GTGCTTTCGGCCTCCGAGCCGGCTGCCGATCCGTGGTCGGAATGTTGGCCGGTCGCCGAACTGTGTTCCGATATCGCGTCCTCCTCTCGTGCCCCCGAGGTCGACGCGGCGCCCTCACCGCCGGACCCCTTCTTGCGCATCCAACAATACGCGTCCCTCTGTTCACTCGACAGCGCCAACCACCTGTGGGCACACTCAACAATCCAGGAGTCCCAGGTCTTCTTCCTTTCGGGCTCGAGGTCCGCATCGGTGGGCGGCTTGGGAGGTTCGGGAACGTGGACGAGCACCGTCGTTGCAAATGGTCTGAGCGCTGCTTGCCAGGTGCGATGTTCGCTTTCTAACTGATCCCAGTACTCGTCCGGGACACGTTTCCCGAGGAAAGGGCGGTACGCTTTTTGGATCCATCTTAAAAGGCGGTCACTCCCCTCCTGGTCCTCGTCGGTCCTTATTTCGTCCTCAGGGAGGGGGCGTTGGCACTCGTGGTACAGGGGTGAAAGGATTTCACTGAATAGGCGCGATTCCTCATGTTCGGCGGCAATGTTGACGGGGACGGTGAAGATGCGCGCGAGGATGTCGTCGAAGTCTTGGATGCGGGTTCTATACTCCTTCAAAACTCTCGCGCTCCCTCCACCTCTTTTTCGCTTCTGGTCATCGTATGCATCGAACAACACGATCCTCCAATGGATGAGCACGGTCAACAGGCTCCGAGGCAGACGTCCATTCCCTTTGTGCCCTGCCCATTCATCCCAAACAGGCCACACGACGTAGTCGATCTCCTCCCGGACCTCACAGGCCAAATTTTCGTCGTCCTCGGGGATTGGGTCTTGAATCATGATGTCTTCGGGTTCCATCGCCAGCCGACGCGCCCTTTCCGCCGCCCACTCGTCGTGCCTCGCACGGTCCGCTTTCCCTGGCGCCTCCAACCTGTCAAGCTTGGCCTGCAACTGCCGGCGGTATCTTTTCTTCAGGTGGCCAAAACCCTAATCAGATCAGATAAGTACATAAACAAAGGTTTAGCCGAATTCCACATATTTTGTATCTGATCTCCTGGGAAAGCTGTTTAGCACTCACCGCTTGGACCTCACGGTCGGTACCGATCAGCTCAAACACCGCCTCGTTGCATCTGTACCGACTGTCGACCGTAGACGGATTGAACGTGCGCTTGTGTATACGAATGATATGTTTTTTCAGGTTTCGTTTGGCCTCATGTGCATGTTCCGGTGCTACAGTTGGGGCGTCGAGTGACCTGTACCCCCCAGGCAGCTTGTAGTGTTTGTTGCAAAGTTCACAACGGACACGCCATTGGCCGGACTCGTCACGGATGAGATGCGAGTCGATGTCGAGCCAAGCGCGCTCGCCCTCGGTGGCGCGTGGTGCCATGTTGGACTTGGAGTGGGGTTTAGGGGTGAGAAAGAGAAGTGTCCCACTGTGTACCCCCGGGGGTACACGTCGCGCCTCGCGTCACCGAGCGTCACCGAGCGCGCGCGCTCTCCTCTCACAGCATCACCGACACCGTCGCGTCACAGCCGATCCGATGCCCTCAGCGACTCGATTCATACCAAGTTACAACCAGCGATTCTGTCTGCGGGACACAAAGATCAAGATCATCGAGTATTTGCACGAGACGAGATATAGTGGCCACCTGGTACATTGCCTGTCCCAGGCGTGAAGCAATACGTAGTCGGCACCGAGCGCGACCTATGAACGCTAGCGCTTGTATGCAAGCGACTCGGCCAACAACGAGAATTGCTACTACGAAGTCATTGACGCCTCAGCACCAAGCTGCCACTATATCGATGCCGACTTTACGCCCCCTTCCATTGACAATTCAGCAGAAAAGGCATTGATTACGCGTAATGCAGCGTCGTATTTCCCTGGCCCTCAGCTAGAACACCGTGGTCAGGTAGCAAGCTCGGACACCTTGCGATCTTGCGTCTGCAGGTCAGAAGTGGTGAACTACCTTGTTCCCTGCTTCTGTTTTATATCTATTGTTCCAGCGCCAACGAATAATCTCGGCTCTCCTTCTCACCGTGGGCACGCCGTTTGAAGAACCCTACGCGAAGCGTGTTATTACGGACATTCTCGACAAGGTTCTGCTGTCACTTCGCCGGCGTCTCGGGGGGTCCGAAGGGGTAGTCGAAGAAATTTGGGTGCTTTGCTGTTGGTCACCCCCCAAGCTCTGGGACGAGCTTAACTGCAGTTTGACATTAGGTAGGATGAGTGAGTGCTTTATTTGAACATCTATTATTTGCCTGAATCTACGGAGTAAAATCTGAAACGTTTAGCGCGGGTAAATCTATTTGCTTTGCGATTTGCTTTGCGATCAAAAATGCGTCGCATAATTGATCAACGGACGGACAGTCAAGCTAGTCAAGATGCGTGGAAACTTGTTGAATACCTCTTGCCACACAGGTCGATATCACCTCAACGACTACAAAAAGTTTGGCAATCTACCTCAACGCGCGATAGGCGCACCAACAATATACTGAACAACAGAAATGTAGTCGGATTCGGAATCAAAATGTTGCAGCTCCCAAATCAGAATCAGAACCAGAACCAAGATCAGAAGCAGAAGCAGAATCAGAAGCAGAATCAGATCCAGTGTCTTGGTCTTCTGGCTCCGTTTCCGACTGCTCGCTCATCAAAGTACTCTCGGCAGGAGTGCGGTCAAAAGAGACCTGGCCGATATCCTCTTTGAGCGAAAACGTAAGCCCACCCTGTCGCAGCAATGGAATAATTCTTCTCAAATTGTTAACGGTCGGCTTCTTGCCATTGGTAGGACTGCGGAAATCACGCTCGTGAAGACCGTTTCCGAGCTCGATAACAAGGGCGGTTGGATCCTTCGCAAGAGTTTCCTGGTTGTAGCTCGTAAGCTTAGAAGGCACGTAGGGCTGAATAGACTTGTTTCTGTTGTGGCGACGACGGAGCGCTTGATCTGCACGGCCACAAAACTTCAGTCATGGGCTGCCAAATGTGGGCGCAGAGCGGTGGAGTGATTGCTTACTATAGTAATCGTCAATGATAATGCGATACCATGTGCAGAGCACTCGGTGAGACGCCTTGTCAACATCACCATGATGAGCTGCTCATCAGTTCTTGGAATCAGCACCAATCTATCGCCGAGCACAAGGTCCGTTCTGAAGCTTGTCTGACAGACCTTCCATCTTGAATTGCTCGTCTCGCTCCTGATTGAACCGGGTGCCATTTATGCATTCCGTGAAGTTAACGAGCACATCGTTCTTTTGAGAACCCCAGCTTTGGCGCCGCATGAAAGCTGCGCCGCCAAGCGTCGAAACGATGAAACGATCATTTTTATTCTCGAGCTTGTTCGAGCCGACGATGACTAACGCGTCGAATCCGTAGGTGTCAGCATGCTGATGAACCTGATGCAGTGCCAAGCTATCTAAGTCAACGGGAGGATCATGAGAATTGAGGAGAGCCCAACGAGAAGAGCTGAATTGTCACGGACCAGTTCGTGTATCGTCTTTTCGTACTTGTGACTCAGTTTAGTGATGGCAGCAGGATCGATTCGCCATCGCTTGAAGGGACGAGTGGTCTGCTCGTGTTCACGCGCTTCGGCTTCACTTGCTCACGCTTCCTTCCATTGTTCATAAAGATCTGGCGAGTCTTTGACTTTTTCCCAGTAGCGCGATCCAATTGTGTTTAGCGTAGAAAAATCTTTCGAGACTTTGTAGGGGTACAGAGTGATCAATTTGTGAGTCAAAGAAGCGTAAAGGAGCGTCTTGAAATGCCAAAATGAACGATCTCGGGATGAGCTAGAAAGGCAGACGCCGCGCTCACCTTCGAGTCCGTCCTTCTCGACGAGACAGTGGAAAAAGCGGCTCGTCTTGAAAGCGTTCCAGTCGTTTGTGTCATTCCTTCGGATCGCACGAGGCATGTACGAGTCGAGGTCGTCGTCCCGAACGCCATGATGTAGACAATACTTCATTGTCTCGAGGCGACGTTGCAAGCCATAGAGCACATGGGGCTGCTTCTGCGACGACGACATTCGCGAAGTTGAAGGCAACGCACGAACGGCATCATGGAGAGCTCGAATCTCTTCCTGAATCTGTTTGATTTGTTGATCAATTGAGTTGGACGAGGTCGGCCTTGAGGCGAGCGGTGTGCTTCGTCCACATTCGGGAGTCACGCCGCTGGGCGCAGGAAGGTGGTTCTGTTGGGTCTGAACCGTAATTGGAGACAGTACGGACCCCATGTCTGCGCTGTTGGTCGATTGCACCGAAGCAGCTGTGCAGAAACAGCGAGGAACGGTGCTGAGCAGAAGGACCACCCATATCACAAACACGAGGACGCGTCTCACGGGTGGGAGCGGCAAAGTCTGACGCGTTGCTGGGAGCAGACAGGCTGGACATATCGGATCGTCGGATGGCGTCAAGTATAGATATATGACGAAGAGCGTAACGGCGACAGGAAGGGGTAAGACCAGGACTGCACGTGGTCGATAGCGGCGCGTCAAGCGTGAAGAGGCATCAAGTCGCACGTTGTCACTCAGTGTCGCTTGCGTTTGTTAGCGTGGTGAAAGGGCACGAGACTCTATCACGTTCAATAATGCCATTTTATCACTTTAGTAATGATGTTTCCTAATCGAACCTCTCCTCGCTGATAGTTTACCGAAAAAATTGACACTGAGTGTTCCAAATACGAATTACACACTACGATGACTAGAATAACCTGATTTGAGCACGCACGTACATGAGATGAAACTGTTGGAGCCCACACAAGCCTCCGTGTGCCCCTGGCCTCGGGCCCTCAAACAACCCGGGTTGCAGGGAGAGCAATCTGTACGCCGCTTAAGAGCGGCGCTGGGAAGGGCGCTGCGCGCGCCACTTTTCGGTGTGCTTAGAAATATAGCCAGAGGAGATATATAGCCAGAGGTGTGTGAGACTGTGTGGGGAGAAAGTCGGTCAGTCGCGGGCGCGTTCCGTGATCGTTCGGTCCCTTCTTCTCTCCGTGTCAGCCCACCCGTCTACCCCCGTCAAATGGCCGTGGATACGACACCACCAGATGGATCGAACCTGTCCCCGCCCATCAACGTCAACAACCCGACTGAAGTAGTCGAGCAAGCTGACGGGGACAAGCCGGTGCTGCCTCTTGACGACAAGCCGCCGACGAGCGCCGTGCCCGCAGACTCGGCACCGATCGATGTGGACAGTGAAGATCTCAAGATGGGTTCCGGAGGGAACGAGGGAGGTGGAGAAGGAATAGCGCCGACGGTCATCGCACCAACGCCTACACCACCCCCTCCCCCTCCACCGCCACCGCCTCGCGAACCGACCCCGATCGACCTCGGCCCCCCGGACTCTGCCTACCTCGAGCAGATCCACAACCGCCGACGACACTATACCGCCACCCCTTCCTCCTCGACCCCCGACCGCAGATCCTACACGATCGAAACCCTGCTCTACGTGCCTCACTCTACGCCGATCCACGCCTTCTCGTGCTCGCTCGATTGTTCGCACCTCTACACCGGTTCAGCCGACGGCTACATCCGACGCTATTCCCTCCCCGCTTCGTTGAACCCTTCCCAATCGGCCCATCTAGGTCCCAACTATACCTCTTCTTCGTCAACTTTGTCTCCAGCTCATGCGTTGGCGTCGGTGTTGCATTCCACGGTGGGAGGTGGGGTCGGCTCTTCCGTGGATGGAATGGGAGTGGGTTTAGGCGCGGCGCATACACCGCTGTTGAATACGATGGGGAGGTATCCCGTCCTCAGAGGCTATTGGGAGAACGAAGCACCCCCTTCTCTTTCCTCCTCCTCCTCCTCCTCCTCCTCTTCCTCCGTAGCACCTCCACCCGCACCGCCGAATCCCTCCACTTCCTCAGCACCCGATCCAGCTTCCCCACCGAACTGGATCCAAGACCGTCTCTGGTCCAGTCGAACCCAAGGCGGTCAATCGAGACAAATCGAATTCGGTCCCAAAAGTAAAGCATGGAACAAAGCTTCGGTCGTGTATAGTTTGCAAGTCAACAAGGAGGATCTATGGGGCCTTTCAGGCACGGCGGTGAGTTGGATTTTTTTGGGGGGGAAAAGAAGGTTCTTCTCCGAGCTCGTGGTGTCGAGGCTGACGTTTTTTTTTTTGAGGGGGGGTTTTGGTTTTCAGTTTGGTACGATCAACCTCTTCACGATCCGACATGATCAAGGGCAGATACGGCATGTGTTCCCCTCTTCCACCTCCTCTACAGCACTAGGTCATTCCCCTTCCTCCCCCATCTCCGTCCTTCATCTGACCAAGGACGAGAGGAGGTTATGGAGTGGGGGATGGGATGGGCAAGTTTTGGAATGGGATATGGATATGGGGAAGGCGGTGAGGAGGTTCGGGCAGGGGCATGATGCGCAGGTTAGTTCGGTGCAGGCGAGACCGGTGGAGAGTGAGGGAGCGGGAGGGGGAGGGGGAAGGGGACGGGGAGGGGACGAGGATGAGGATGAGGATGAGGATGAGGGGGCTATGGAGGTGGATGATAGTGAGGAGGAAGAGGAGGATGAGAGTGATGAGGAGGAGAAGCAGAGGAAGAAGAGGAAAACAGGGAGTGGTGATCAGGGGGAAACGAATGGGAATGGCAATGGTACGAAAGAGGCCTCCACAACCGATGGAGAGGAAGAAGAAGAGGACAGGGCGTCGACGACAACACAAGCGAAGGAGGAAGCGACAGCCAAAAAGGACGACATCGATGCTGAAGGCGACGTCGACGCCGATGGGGAGGATTTCGACGAAGAAGCTTTATTGGGCGTATCCAGTGACGCCAATACGACATCAGCGACGAATCCTTCCTCGTCTACTTCCACCAAAATCACCATCCCCATCAAGCCCAAATCCACAGGATCCTCCTTGCTCGTCCCTAAAATCAAGAAGACAACCTCAATTCCCATCTGGGGAACACAACCTGATGTTTCATTGTCCATGCGGGGCAAGAAGAGTGACGATGTGTTCATGTCCACGAGTTTGGATGGCCAGGTGTTGATTTGGGATACGAGGGTCAAGGTCGCGAATGTGGTGAGGTTGCCGAGTAGTGGGAGGTATGGGATGTGGTGCGCTTCGGTGAGTCGGTCGGGGTTCATATGAGGCGAGTGCACAGTACTGACTTCCTGTCTTTCCGAAATCTTTAGGCAACCTGGTCCTCCGACGGGAACCAAGTCTACGTCGGACGCCACGATCCCCTAGTGGACATTTACGATCTACGCCAATGTTCTCCGCGTTCTCCAACTCTTCAAACTCTTCGTTTACCCCTCGCTTCAGGACCCGTCACGGCTATCAAGGCTCTGGGGACCTCGGGGAGGAAGTTGATCACGGCGAGTTTTGATAATGTGAGGATGTGGGATGTGGGTGAGGAAGGGGGGGAGGCGAAGGCGAAGAGTCGGCTTGTGTTGGGGCATTATGGGGGGGTCGTGTCGAACCTTTGTACGTTCGTGTGCTTTATGACCCGAGTTTTTAGAAGTGGATGGCTTACTGGTGTTTGCCCCACGCTGTTCTTTTGGATAGGGATCGACCCTTTGGAACGATACATGGTCACCACGTCGGGGAATCGAGGCTGGGACGGCACGAGCACGGACTTGATGATCGTGCATGAGATCAAGTCGTAAAGGATGACAAGGTGATTTTTATTGTGGGACGCATGGGGCAGAGGCTACTTTTCAGAGGGGTTTTTTCTTCTATTTTTATAGGCAGATGGGACTGGTCTTTGTTGTACGAACGGAATCAACGAACGAAAGTAAATGTCCATTTTGCTGGGTCAGGCCCGGTCGATGATGAATGGATGAATGATGTGCTCCGAGTCGAGATGTCTCCAAAAATCTCATCTTGAGGCTTGCGGTGTCAAGTGTCTTTCTAAGTGTCATTGCCGATCGAATCAAGTCCCTTCCTTACGACTCGCAGTTGTGCACAGAGATGCAATTGTTCATGCAATCGGCCAACGACGTGCCACTGCGAGACGGCGGGAGCGAGTGATCGGAACATGAGCTATGCTCAGAGGAGGGGTGTGTGGGTGCAATGGCAGAGCGGACTTACACCTGCATATCCGCGGATCCAGTCGCTGGGTTCTTTTGGTTGCATGTCGTGACGCATGAACTGAGGAAGAGGAGGCCGGGGATCAGAAATAGTGAGAAAGGGGTTGCTCGGGAGGTAGAGCCCGATCGCCGATCGCCGGCGAGGCGACTTACTTGCACGACATTCTGCGGTGTGATGAGGGCAGGGGAGGTCGTCAGTTCTGAGGTAGCTGCCGATAAAGCGAGCCTCGGAGAACGTACTTTTCAGTGGAATCAGTCGAATTGGCAGCTTGAGGAGCAGCGACGACGATTTGGGGCAAGCTCAAAGCGAGCAAAGTGCCGAGGGCAAAGACAATCGAGCAAGTGCGCATGATGATGAGTGCGTTGGAGTGAGGTGAGGTGGTGACAAAAGGGTGAGGAATGAAGGAAAGTGACGAAAGAGAAAACTGCTCCGGATCAAGACTGACCACCGAGCCTGCTACTTTTCAAACGACTCGAGGCTTTGTTGGCTGCGCCCGCCGAACCGGCCGACGTTCGTTTTGAAGTACCTCCTGTGAACCCGCTCGCAGCCGCGAAGTCAACCGCCGTCCTTCCAGCCGGCGGTCGGCCGATCAAAGCTTCTGATGTCGGGGTCTGGTGTGTAATGTGTAGGCGTCGATCAGTGAGATATTCTTGCCTATCTGCACAGTGATCGAAACCAGATGAACATCAGTCGAGCCCGTGCATCGCACTAGTTTGGCGCGATCTCCACTGCGCTGCTGGCGAATTCTTCTGAACTCTGAGCGAGCGCTAGTCAATTCTTTCTTGAGAGGGTAAGTGAAGTCCCGCTTGCAGTCACACACGGACAACTAAGCTCTGGCTCAGTGTCTCATCACCTCCAGATTTTGTCGCCTTGGTACTGAAGCGATGATGAGCGTCGCACCATTTCTGGGTCATGCTCACCCTGCCCGAGTACGTTAACCCATCTTCGTGTGATTACAGTGGATATCATATCTACACCCATCGCTGAACACGTAAGCCTCCTCTTCAAAGTTCTTGCGGCGGTGATGTCTTTAACTGAAAATAGGGACGAGCGAGTCGATTGATGAGCTTCAAGCACTCGCGGCGCAAAGCCGATCAGTTTCCTCGGGAACGGCTCGGTTGAAGAGACCTACCTGCAGCCCATGCATCCCCTTGACCTCATCGGCCAAAAGGTCATTAACGATGCGGTGTTGCTTGATCGTTGACAGGCCTTTGAAGGAGGCGTGTTGTATCGAGATGGCGTAAAAGGTGCCGCAGCCCCCTGTTTGCAACGACGCCGATCGCGACCGGGGCGCGAGTGGGTGCGAGTGCGATCGCAGGTGAAGGGTGAGTGAGGTCGAAGCCAGTCCAATCAGTAAGTTCGATCTCGCTCACCAGAACAGGACCAGCCCGTCCCAGCTGACTTACCTGACACATCCTGTACCTGCACTGTCGACCCCTGCAGTGCCTGCTGCAGCTTGCTCTTGAGCGCCCGTTCACCTTCGCTTGTCTCCGTCGATTCGGACGAGGTCGAGTAAGGCCGTGTGGCGGGCGATACGAAGCGCGTCGCGGGTGTTGATCGAGCGAGGAGACCGCGTCGGAAGGATTGGGATATTGTTGTAGCGAGTCGAGACATGGTGGTATGTGGACGCTGCAGGGTGGTGGTGTGGTGAACAATGACGCGAGGACCGACCCGGAAATGGAAGCGAATCGCAAGCCTCTCTTTCTCTATTCCTGACCAAAGACGGATCTGATTACTAATGACCGATTTCCCTTCCGTGGCGAACGAGCGCTCGCTGCGAGTCCGCTGCGAGCCGCTGCGTGGGACTGACGTCCGTCGCTTGTGGCCGTAGCGTGGAGGACCCCTCTTGCGCTCTGGCCAAGCAGGGCCAAGCTCGTCATCGTTCGTACCCATCCCCGGTCCATCATGTGGTCATGCTTGTGTTGTTGCACACAAAAGGGGGTCCCACAGGGCGAAGAGGAGTCGATACCGTATCGAAGATTGGGCTCACAGCCTCCTTCACCGGTGATGGCGATGACGTGCACCCCCACAAGCGCCACCTCGGCGTCGGCTTCGGGCACGACGACTACTGCGAGCCTCCCCTTTGGCCATGAACTACTCGTCAACTCGGCAAGTGACAAGCATCCCGTCAACCTTGTCATACATGACACTGTCGAGGCTGATCCAGCGGCTGCACGAGGGTATCTCAGTGTCGTGCAGACGAGAACGGGTAAGCCGCGTGGTGCGCACTCGCGACGCGACGCGCAGGCGAGAAAAACATCACTGAGCCATGTTATTCGACATCCTACTCTGTACAGGACCAACCAGCAACTTTTCCTCTTTGAAAATACTCAAAAGTAAGTTCTGCTTTGTTTCGATTTGATCCGCGTGCAATCTGCACAAATTGACGGAGCATCGGCGAATCGGCGATCTTTTCAAACCCCCAACAGCATCCTCGAGCACGACCCTCAAAATCCCCTTCCTCCACGTCCTCAGCGTCGAGATCACGCCTTCTTCCACCACACAGATCAAGACGCTGACGATAAAGGCGATCCATAACCCGCAACCACAGCAGAAGGGGAGCAAGTTCGTGCTCTGGTCTTTCCAAGGGACCGTGCACGACTCGTTCAGTGACGACGATCATCTTGAACGCGGCTTGGGGACCCAGAATCCCCTCGAGGCTTTCCAGAACGAACTCATCAAGAGGGCTTATCCAGGTGAGCATCCGAACCAATCTAGTACCTTGTGGAATCCGAAGGTTAAAGAGGTCTGCTTTGCCTCACAGAGGGCACCAAGCGTCATCGCCGATTCAGAGTCATCGTCAATCCTCATGGGGGCAAAGCCAAGGCCAAGACGATCTGCCATGAGCAGGTCTTGCCTGTACTGGAAGCAGCGAGCGCTCACGTCGATGTTGAATGTCAGTCAAGATCGTAAACCTTGTTGAGCTCGGATGGAACGAGACTCAACGGACTCTTCTCTTCCAACTTAGACACCGGACCTCCAGGATCACCTACGGATGCCACTGTCCTGGGCCAGAACCACGACTACAGAGCCTACGACGCCCTCATCACCGTCTCCGGCGACGGCATACCTTACCAAATCCTCAACGGACTTTCAACTCGCGATGACGCCCGGACAGCTCTCGAATCCACGACCCTCGTCACTGTGCCTGCTGGATCAGGCAACGCATTGAATATCAATGCTGTGGGGAAGGACCACGTCGAAGATCCAGTGTGGTCGAGTTTGGTCGCGATCAAGGGGAGAAGTACCAAGATGGATCTGTGTTCGTTTGTCTCTGGCGGAAAGAGGAGTATTAGCTTCCTGACACAGGCGACAGGTTTGATGGCTGATATCGGTAAGAGTTTGGCACCTCCCCTCAAGCGTCCTCCAGACTGGTGCTGACGTTTGGGGCCCGGGGGCTTCCCGTAGATTTGGGAACGGAGCATCTGAGATGGATCGGCGACGCTCGTTTCACGCTCGGCTACATCCAGGGTTGCCTGCAAAGAAAGAAGTACGCCTTTGAGCTCAGCTTTGAGATTGCCGAATCGCTGGACAAGGTCGACCTGGTCCAAAGGCACAACGAGCTCCAAGCTGCGCCGAGTAGTAGTTCCGCGACGGCAACGGCAACGACAACGACAAAAGAGGAAGATGGGGGGGATCAGGGATTACCGCCACTTGCTTATGGGACGGATCTAGATCCTCTGCCCGCTCAAGCGCAGGCAAGGGTGCACAATGAGATTCCTTCGGCCACGACGGCGTTGGGAAAGGGGTGGCACACGATCCGTTCGGACTGCATGTGGATCTACGGTGGCAAATGGCCGTTCATCTCGGCCGATGTGAGTTTCCCACGGGCGTGATTCGGTTCTACCGCCACTGATCAAAACTCCATCGTTCAGGTCAAACTTCTGTCCATCGCCGAACCCTTCTCGACCTCGGGCACCATCGACATGGCGATCGTGCCTCCTCTAAGCGCTCTCCAGGGTCTCCAATTTATGGACGACGCCTCGACCGGTGGGGTCTATTGGAACCCCGAGTTGAGGTACTACAAGGTCAAAGCATACAGATTGACGATGTTGAACCCTCAAGGATCCATATCGGTCGATGGGGAGAAGGCGGAGTATAGGACTTTCCAGGTCGAGTGTCATCAGGGTTTGGGGCGCGTGATGACGCTGCATGGGAGGTTTGAGGGGGTGGAAAAGGAGTTAAGTCTGGGCAAGGGCAAGTAGAGTTGGTGTGACGTAGGGCGTTACTACGAGCTCTAGGTCCCGTATGCTGTTATGTAACAACAAGCTAGGTACAATTTCAATTCTCAATTTTCAATTACCTGGGCTCACAAATCGCTGCCCGGGTTTGACTGGAAAACCGGCCACATCCACAGGATCCTTGGCCGTATGAGCGCCGCAAATTTGACAGCCCATCAGCGGAGCGAAATCGTAGAACATAGCTGACCAATTAATCGACTTGTTGCTGGATACTCTGGGGATGAGATTGACTAGCCACTAGCCACTGCTGAGCCAGAGTGAAGCCGAACAAATCGAACGAGCACTTTAACAAAGGGGTCAAACTCGCGCCTGCAGCTCTCCCCTCCTTTGTTGAGCACTTTCTATCCGTTCAAGCGATGTAGAATTACGACATTTTGGTTTCCTTCACTAGAAAAAACGATTGTCAAACGTCACCACCTCTCCACTAAGCCCTAACCTCCTTCCACCCGAAGACAATTTCAACGTGCCAAGTGGTGCGATGACTTCGTCTCGAGCTCGAACCTCATCTTGTTGTACCTCAATCTCCACCAATCGCGTTCCGCTCGTTCGGAAGCCAAATCAACACGTTCATCCGAAGGCTCGATCCGCGCGGTGTAACCTTCACCAGGGCTTTTGAGGAGCGACGCGGCAAGGGTTCGCTCGTCCGTCGTTACGGGGATGTCGAGGGTCCTCAAGGGACCGGGGAGGATGTTCGATAATTTTGCGGACTTGATCCGACTGCGCTCGAAGGCGTTGTTCCATCGTGCGTGGATCTTGGACGTGGAGGAAGTCAGGTTCGAAGATCCGGAGGACCCGGAGGTGGTCTGGGGCGGAACGGTCAAGAAGACGGTCACTGGCTCCGAGGCGAGAGGGGTCAACGTGACTGCCAACAAATGGTCATACTCCGTTTGCCCGGAGAGATCCATGACGCGGTCGACTTTGGAAACTCCGATCGACTCGATAATCTCATACGCGGTTCCAGGTCGATCAGGACCGAGCGAGGCTCCTTTTGAGCTCATCTTGCTTCCATTTTCAGTTATCCGTTGTGCGAGGACCACAAGGTCGGAGAAGATGAAGACCTGCACGTATGACTCCTTTGCTCGCAGCTTCAGAGGCTTCGTACGTCGACCCGAGATCGAGTCAAGCGACCTTGATGAGCTCGGCCTCTTTGGGAGAGAGAGCGCGAACACGTTGGGCGAGTCGCCTCCCGTTACCCCTTCGTCGAACCCCATCGATACTGGCGACGATGAGAAGACACCCGGCCCTTCATTCGGTAACCCGGGCAACGTCTTTGGAAGGAGCAAACTTGACTTTGGGGACGATGCCGAAGTATCGAGCGTGGCGTATTGGGCAGGCCAGCTTGTTCGATCATGCTCTGTCAGAATGGAAGGGTCATCGGATCCAGAATCTGATGTCCCGGAAGGAGATCGCCTCGATTCGACAAGCAAAGGCAGTTTGACGGGCAGTGACGAGGCGACAAGAGGTTTTTCGGGTATCGCTGGAATCGAGGACCTGTGTCTGACACCTGAAGCCTCGGCTTCGAGCAACGCACTTCGGCCCTTCTCGCTGGCATGGATCCGTTTCATCGACCCTTGGGCGAGGAGACGGCGATCTCGCTGAGCAAGCCGGAACCCCTGGGGCAAGCCTCTCATCTTCGCCTCGATCCGCTTGAGCTCCTCGTACTCGTCTTCACGCGACTTGACCTCTTGCATGACACGAATGATGAGATCGGTGTCGCGGAGAAGCGAGGTCGTGGCTCGATAATCGCCGTGGTCTTTGGGTGTCAGCTCGCAGAGTTGCTACAGTGCATGGAAGATATCATCAACATTCGTGTCGCGCTCAAATGGACGCCGGCTTCAGATCTGGCTCACCTTGAAGAACAGCGGATACTTCATTAGCCTTTGAACAGGCTTGAGCAAAAAACTCGACAGCGTCATGCCACCCAAGAACGACCGAGTCTGCATGCGAATGAAGGCGCCGAAGTCGGAGTTCTGATCGGCCGCCATCCTTTCGATGAGGCGCGTTACAATCTCAAAGCGAACGAGGTAAGGTTGATGGATCTCGAGCTGGGGGACGAAGGGCATGAAGACGGTGGCAATCCGAGTGACTATGTCTTGCGGTTTCCGGCCACGTGCGTATAGCAGTGCCTCAGCAATTTGGGCGTGGAGCTGAGAACCACGTGCAAGCGTCAGCGAGAGGATCCTTTCAAAGGCCCTAGATTGATGTTCCTACCCGACTCACATAGACGATATCAGCGGCCCAATCAAACAACCGGGCAACGACAGTCGGTACCCCTCTAATCCATCCCCCTTGACGATCCCGCAATGGCAACGCAAACACTTCCATAACGCCCTTGAGCGCTTCGACGAACGACCGCTCCGTTTCGCACAACTCGAAAATGACTTCTTGGCGCTTCATCTCAAGCATACCATGTCGAGCGATCGCATCGTTGTAATCCTGAGCACCCATGATCGACCTCAGAGTTCGACTTGGCAAGGGTGACGAGTTGAGCACTTTGTTCGATGCGGACGAAGCTGCGGAGGCTGGGTCGGTGATGGCAGGGCTCGGCATGGAAATGCTGCCTCGAACTGTGCCCTTCTTTAGCATCGAGGACGGCGTGGAGCTCTGCGAGTTTTGGTGGATCGATGCGGGCGGTCCCAATGTCGCTGGGCTCGAAGACTTAGAATGCGAGCCGGGCCGATTTCGTTTGCTTCCACCATCTTCAATCGGCGAGCGATTCGGTGTAGGCGTAGTCGGACGTGAAATACTCGCAGGCGATGTGGAAGGCGTCAGCTTGGAGAAGAAACTGGAGAGACGTCGTGAAATTTTTGTGCCGGGCGTGTCCGAACCACTTGACATCTGACGCGATCGACCCGTGCCGCGCTGAGAGGTCTGGTCCACCCCGGATGTGGTCCACACAGCCAGTGGAGGTCTCGTCGTGGCGCGCTTCTCCAAGAGCGCCAGAGCCTCGGGGACCAAGAAGCTCGCATCGGGAGTGGGCAGAGCATAGTTCTCACGAGGAGTAGGCATAGGTACAACGCCTGCCCACGTATCGACCTGAGGTGCGCTCGAAGTCCTCCGATTCGATGGACTGGGGGGGAGCATTGGACTTTCTGTCGTTCGAGCGAGAAAGAACTGCGGCGACTCGGCTGACGGGCTGGTGTTGTACCGGACTGGGCGGGCGGAAGTGTAGGTGGAAGTTGACAAGAGGGGCGAATCATAGGTGGCAAGGAAAGACGGCGAGACGCTCCCGGTATTGGAGCTAGTACTCGCAGCAGATCGAGGTGACGGGTCGAGACCATCGGCAAGGATCGAAAAATCGCACTCTGGATCGAGCTGGTCAGACTGGTCAACGCTAGGCGTCCGAGGGCGCGCAACATTGACAGTCGGAACGGGGCTGGCAGTCGACAAGTGCGAAGGCGAGTCTTGTGCGATGTCAAGCATTTCAAGGTTCAGCCCGAGTCCGTCGCGAGCGCGATCTATACTGCGAACTGAGGACCGCTTTTCGTCGGCGGCCGTGAACTCGCGAACGGCTGGTTTGGATGATCGTCGGGTTTGCAGCACGAGTTGCTTCACGGATGTAACAGTAGCTTCATCGTCCTTTGTTTTCTTGGGTGACGGCGAGGGCGAAGTGCTAAGCTTCTCGGAGGAATTCTCGACGTGCGCGAGCAGGTTCTGCTGCCTCCATGTCGAGGTGATCGCGTCGCTCGTCGAGGGGCGTCGCGAGGAAGTAGTATGTGTCGACCGGGCAGGAGACTTGCCAAATGGGGATACGTTGTGCAACGAAGTAGAAGGCGGTGACCGATCTGGTGTCCAAGAGCTGACGTTGGTGCTCGACGGGACCTCTCGCAAGGATGACGGCGAGCTCCAGTCCTGTGATGCCGAACGACTGAACCGCCCGATGATGCTTGAGCTGCGACTTGTACGCCCTCGGCCTCTCCACATACTCTCGTCCCCATCTTCGGCCGACAAAAATCCACTGTCTCCAATCCCAAACCCAGCATGGTCGAACGGCTCATCCATCGGTATCGGTGACCGTCCATGAGGAGGAAGCCCGATCGGTATCGTCGTCTGAACATCGTGCCCTTGAGCTTCAACAACCGTACTCCCGACTACAGCCAGCCCCAACATCCCAGTCACGAGTAGAGCATGGCTTCCTTCTGCTGTATCTCCTGCACCATGTCCGGTGGAACCTTCGTGGTACTGCTGGTCGGACACAGGCGAAACAGCCGAAGCGAGCGAAGACGACCTTGTCGATGTCATGATCGAGTCCAAGCGCGGTAGGACCTTGGGAGCTACGCAATCGTGCGACAGTGTCCAATTCTCAGCCGCCGCATAGGGTCTGTGGTCGAAATCGGTGCGTGAGCGTTGTCTTGGGGTGCGCGATGGATCCTCGACCGGGCTGGCGCTTCTATGGGCCCGCGAGGTCGAGGTGGCCTGCGGAGTGAGGCAAGTTGTTGGCACATAAGAACGCAATCTGGACGGCTCAGCAGGGTCAGAACGCCGACTCACCCGAGACCGTGTGGTGACTTCCACCTCGGGTTGAGAGGGACTCGCTCCCAAACAGGATGGGGAGGTATCGGCCATCGCTCGGCGGGCGGTCGACGTCTGGATCGCTGCCGGCGCCAACAGCGGGCGAGCTTTCCGAGTGGCCGACTCAAATGCGGAGCTTGATCTTGGGTTCGGATACGAGGCTGAGATGCGTGACCGAGGAGTGGGTGAAGGGTTCCGATGAAGGAGGCAGAAGCGGGAGAGGGAAAGAGTGAAAGTGGTGAGCGTCACTTCAGCATCAGCTCAGCCCACGCGCGCGGCGGCCCAAAGGGGGGCTTTCGGAATCACGGGCTCTGTATCTGCGCAATCCAGACTCTCGAGTCCAGCACCGATCATATCGTGTCGCAGTCGCAGTTGCCCGAAGTTGCAGCGCCGCTCGAGATCCACTTCGCCGGGGCCGCGACGCAGTCACCGTCGGAGTCGAAGTTTGTAGCACAATCAAGTAGGACAAAATCAACTCACCTGTATGAGACCCTCCAAGTAAAGCCCTCCGAACAGTGCGCGGGGCCGGCTGGCTGCCCGAACCGGTGAGCTTTCGGACTAAACAACCATGCGCGACGACGACGACTCTCGCGACTGGAACTCGGAGGTGCCGGCGCATCCTTCACTTCGGCCATTTTGGTGATCGAAGAACTCGCCAAGGTCGATCCTTCGGTCTCGGTCTTGTGCGATGTCCACAACACGCTCGTCAACACGATCCTTCGCCATTACGCCACCCCTGAGCTGCGCGAAAAGTACATGCCCCAACTTTCGGCCGACAAGCTCGGCTCGTTCTGTCTTTCGGAACCCAATTCGGGCTCGGATGCGTTCGCGCTCAAGACCACCGCCACCAAGAGTGCGGATGGGTCTCACTACGTTATCAACGGATCAAAGTCATGGATCACCAACTCGGCCGAGGCGGGCCTCTTCCTTGTCAGTTCCAAATGGCTCCAGCCGGTGGTTAAAAACTCTTAAGGGCACTCACTGACCCGAACCGCTTGATCGCACGCACACACTCTCAGGTCTTTGCCACTTCTGACGCTAGCAAGGGTTACAAGGGTATTTCATGCTTCCTCGTCGAAAAGGAGATGGGTGTTGAGATCGCCAAGAAGGAGAAGAAGCTCGGTATTCGCGCTTCATCGACCTGCACGCTCAACTTTGACAATGTTAAGGTGCCCGCCGCCAACTTGATCGGCGAGGAGGGCAAAGGTTACAAGATTGCGATCGAGATCTTGAACGAAGGACGAGTCGGGATCGCGGGACAGATGGTTGGACTTGCACAGGGTGCTTTCAACAAGGCCGTGCCGTACACGTTCCAGCGCCAGCAGTTTGGTCAAGCCGTCGGCTCGTTCCAAGGCATGCAAATGCAGTTTGCCGAGATCGCGACCGAAATCGAAGCCGCACGTTTGTTGACTTACAACGCCGCAAGGCTGAAGGAGGAGGGACAACCGTTCACCAAACAGGCTGCCATGGCCAAGTGGTACGCTTCCGTCGTGGCGCAAAAGGCATCCGGTGCGGCTATCGAATGGGCCGGTGGTGTCGGGTTCACTCGTGAGTTTCGCTCGCTGCTGCATGGGTCGAGACTGGGGGATGGGACCTTACTGAATCTTTCGCATTCATTTCTGCAGGTGAGGTCGGTATTGAAAAGTTCTGGCGGGATTCCAAGATCGGTGCCATCTACGAAGGCACCTCCAACATCCAACTCCTTACGATCGGTGAGTTGGGCGATAAGCGTCAAATTGGGGACGTCCAGTAAGCACAAACTGATCCCCCAGTTCTCTCTTCTCCAACCTACCAGGCAAATTTATCACCAAAGAGCACTCGTAGGTAGTTTTTATATTGGTCCCGTTTTTGGTTAATATCCCATTGTTACTCCTTTTCCTCGCATCCCATTCATTTTCGCTGCGCGAGCCCGTGGGCCTGAAAATCTAGTTGCTAGCCCTGAGAGGGCTCAAGATCATCAGAATATTTTATGTGAGGACGTTCAGATGTGATGATGGGGATATTCATTCCTCGTACTCCCGAGTGGCAACTGCCTCGAGCGGTTACCGTGCCCAGAAAGGTGGTGTTGGGGTTGGACCTGGTTGGACCGAAACGCAAGCCGTAACCGCGTGACCCCTCGCATTCCCTCGCATTTCTCTCTGGCTCTTATCCCCACCGCGCTCTAAGCCGCTATCCTCCTTTTCTCCTCCTCACACCATCTGATCACGGCATCATGAGCGATTCTACGCGCAACACGACCGCAGGTCATGTTGCATCGTAGAAGGGTACAAATAAAAGGAAATGTTACAAACGATCGTTGAAAAATGCATGTCCTACGCCTGTTGCAGCCTCAACGGTCGTCTCTGTGCTTTCGCTCGAGTCTCCGAATTGACGCGTGACGAGGCTGTTCCAATTGATGCTGGTACGGGGCGTAGTGGTGTAGCGACCGTTCACCGTGCCTCGAATTGCACCTGTAGTGTGGATGGTAGGGTCGGATGGTCAGCCGAATGACTCTAGATGCCGACGGTTCACACGCAAGCGGCTTACCACTGAGAATCGAGCCGATACGTGGTAAAGATGATTCACGTTACGAAGATGCAAGGAAGAAGCAACATCGTCAGCCCAATCCTATCGCAGTAGCACACCTCTCACGCCCATCCTGCACCACCGCAAGCGCCCTCAGGGAAGCCTTTCGCAACCGCGCCCAATCACTCGGTACTCACTGCGCTTGATCCTCTTCTTGTACATCATCCTGCAGCCACACTCACGACACCGAATAGGCTCCCTTGCCTTGATCTCGTTCGTCGAAGCGCAATCTGTTACCATCGTGTCCCGCGGACTAGCCCAGTCAGCCTCATCCCTCGCCCCGCTTCGCCTCTGCTGTAGAGGGTCATAGAGGGAGATGACTCAACCTGCACAGAGATATTCGACTGCTACGGGGCCACCTTGCGCGTAAGGCCTGTAGCCTGGTCCGCCTTGAGGGGCACCTTGTTGACCGGCGTTCATGGTTGACTTGAGTGGTCGTTGATCGAAGTGGGCAGTCGGTGCGAAACATACGCGCGGGCGGCGGCGGCGGTGATTCGGACCGACTGATCTGCCAGGCGTGAACGGGCAGACCGGGGCCTCTACTCAATTTTCGTGTGAAGAGTTGGTCGCTATTACCAAATCAATACCACCGAAGACAAGTGAATATATAACATTCAGGAATGCTGCTCATCATTCCATGGCGAATATCATTGCAGCAGGCGTCTACTTGATCACCCCGGGCCTTCAAAATCTGCGCCGAAAATACCCTCCACACCAAGACTCCAAGAGGCCCACTGTGCTACGACTGCCCCCTGACCTGCGATGTATCCCTACCTATCATCGAAGTTTGCCCAACTTTATTCCCGCTATACAGCCCATTTGCCCTGTGCCTCAACATCAACTGCGACTTTCTCGCTCTATTGAACCTCGTCCACCCCAACGCAAAGATGATCGACATGGTCGCGCAAATGCTCGTCGTCACCGTCCTAAACATCACTGGATCCTGTTCCCACCCGTTCTCAAGATTCATCCCGAATAGACCGGCCACTACGGCTCCTGCTGTTAGGGCGGACATGAAAATCGCGGTTTGAACGTCCAATTCGCCCATTCTCAGACGTGAAGAGGCGAGGGATAGCGCTATGCCGGAATCGATATCGACGAGCATCTTGGATAACCGCGAGGCAGCTTCGTTCGTCTCGTCCAGTCGTCGTTCGTAGTATTCCAACAATAGCTCAGCGCTTTGATGATCCTCGGTCGCCCGGGCATGACCTTCGATCTTATCGGTGATGTACATGGCCGCCAAATCCTCGTCCTCGGACAAAACGGTCGAGAGCGCCGATTGTAATGCTCGACCGGCGAAGAGAGTATCTTCACACATCCGCTTGGCTTCCAAGAGGTCGTGGAGTTGTAATGCGTCGACGCTGAAGCGTAGTTGGGGGATCGTCGAGTAGACGCGAGCGTGGAGCTCGGACGAGATACTTTTGAACCCTCGTTCGGTCATTAAGAGGATCGCCTCGAGAGCTCTGTGGGGTGGATTACTTTCAATAAAAGTATTTCGAATAAGTCGGGTGAGAGTGGTCATGTCGTTTGACAGCTCACCGAAGTTCAAAGGGCGAGTCCCGAGGTGATCGCGGGTCATTCCCGTCAAGATTTGCGGTCGCCTCCATTTCCAAGTAACGCATCACATCCACGATCGTGGAAATCATCTTTGGGTGCAGAAACCATGAACAAACAGATTAAATCATTGAAGTGATTCCCTCATGAACTCGTGTCTGCGACGCACCTCGTCCATTCCTTCATTCGAGCAAGTCGGGTTTGTCCGATCCGCGGTGACTACGACCATCCTGTCGTGGGTGATGACGGCCCTAGCTATAGGTGTACATAGGACGATGCTTCTCCGTCCAATTAATAGTGAGGGCCGAACGTCCAGGATATGGGAATCGAGAGCCTTGAGATCGCGTGGAAGACTGTTCGCACGTGGCCGTGAGAATTTTACTTCAGCTCCCCGAGCCAAGCAATATCCCGGTGTGTGAGAAAAGACGCACAGTCCATATCGAGAGATGATGTCGTTCTTACGCAGCTTGTGTGCAGGCTTTTCAACCTTGAGGTCTTGGGTGATGATGACATCTGCAGGGCCGAGCCAAGCGTCCACGGCATCACCGCCATAAGCCAATCCTTCCTTTCAATTTCACAAGTCACTGAAGGTCACTTACACTTTGCATCAATCTCATCCCTTCCTTCGTACCTCAGATCAGCAGGTGAAACCTCCCTCGAAGCCTTGTGCCAACATGCCATGAACTCATGTCGAGAGTACGGACTCGCAGTCGGAGCAAGGGAGGTTGGGGCACCCGATTGCGCATGAAGTGTCCCCGGGGCATGTAGGGAGGAATGCTCGTAACTGCGTGCTCGGACGCTGAGCCCGATCGTGGGTGGCGGTGATACTGCCCAGGTGTGGGGCCAACATGCCGGCTGTAGGGCTCGAAGGCGGAGTCGAGGAGGCATCGAACTCGCTGCGAACGTGATACGTCACTCAACAGGCCCGAGCTCTTGGTCGGGTGAGGTCTAGATAATTGAGAGGGGTGCGCAGGTGGTTTGATGAATCCAGATCCAAGATCCAGCTGCTGGCGTAGCGAACAGGTCCAAGATGCACTGGCGCAGTGGGTGCGAAAGTGAAGCTCAGAGTGGGGTTCGGCGACGGGCACATCGAGTGGGGGAAACGCCTCGGTCGGAATCGCGACTGCGCCCGGTGACGGTGGATTTTCCTTCAGGGCCGAGACTCCGATTCACAGCAGAACTGAGCTTCCATTGTGTTCTTGAATACACCCCTATTTTTTGAGAGACTACAAAGATGCCAAGGTGTCGCCAAGCGCGATTAGGCATCGCTGGACTCGAGAGCTTGAGCGGACTCCGTGAAAGTCCGTGCAGGTCCGTGGCTGCTTCGGCGCTCTCGGTGAGTCTAGACTTGGGTTTGCCTTCGCCCTCTCATCTGCCTCCCTCTCACAGCTAGCTCACTCGGAGTGCGCAGGAACACAGCACTGTAAAAAGGTTCACCGTTATCACCAACCCACCACCCGACCCCACCAACCAATCACCCTTGGCACATAGTGATTCGGGAGCCCATTCGCTGCAAGCTGTGAGCCAGCCTCTCGGACGCCGCCGAGAGCTGAGGTCGTCCACTGATCTCTACACATCGATCTCGGGGGCAAGATGTCTGCACCACCGCCTTCGACCCCTCCTCGAAGGGAATTCAACATCCCGCCACGCTCTCCCGGTTTCTCCCCGGGGTTTAACATCCCCTCAAGCCCTTCAAGCCCAGCGCGACACCTGAGGCCCGATCACTCGACCCTCGTGCTCCCTTCAACGACGACTCCGATCGTCTCGCCGCCACCCTCACCTCGTCCACTCTCATCGCGAACACCGAGTCCGCTCCCCGAATTCACCGACAAATACGGTGGCTACGGTCTTCCACGGTCCGACAGTAACCGATCCTTGAGGCCGGATGAGGATCTGCTCTTGTCGACTTCAGTATCGCCGAAGAAGAGGCGCAGTCCGCCCAGGACGATGTCGTCATCTGATCGGGATGCCGCAGGACCTTCAACTCTTCTGCTACTCGTCATAGTCTTATTGGGCATGATCGCCTTCTTCCTCTTACTTTCGGCGATGGGCACCCGAGTTTCGGAGCCGACCAAAAGAGTCGCCGCCAAACTCAAGCCCCTCGTGCCGAGCGTCATCACACGACTGTTACGGACTTCCCCGACCGCGGCCGTCGGACTACATCCAATTCTTACTCTTATAACGTCGTCACGACTCGCATGGTCCAAAAAATTGGGTGCACAGTCGACGACGTTTGACAAGTTCTCGAAGACCTACATCGCTCGCTATAACCGACCGGTCCCACCAGGGATGGACAAGTGGTTCGCCTTTGCCACTCAAGGGCGTAATCATTCGCTCGTCAACGAGTACGACACATTGATGCAAGATCTCCTACCCTACCGCTCTTTGACACCGCAAGAGCTGCGTCGTCGTACCGCCGAACTCGCTTCCGTCCCAGGGATCAGTATCGTCTCGATTCGAAATGGTGTCGCTCAGGTGCACTCCAAGAGTGGCAAGTGGGCACCGGCGTCGGCGTTCCAGCAGATGCTTAGTCCGTATGTAAAGGAATTGCCTGATATGGATATTGCGATCAATGAAAAGCCAGAGGGCAGGGTGCTGCCTCGGCGACGGAAGGAGATCTCTTGGGCAGATTTTGGTCTTGAAGAACAGCTCGCTTTGGGCGGTACGTTGATAGTGCTCGAGACCACAACAGGCACCGTGTGGGTGATGAAGCTGATGCTTTCCTCTTGAACTCACAGGGACTCTGGATCCATCGTTAAAGCCGAGTCTGAAGAATTTCACCAATGAGTGGAAGCGGGACGGATCCGTATGGGACGCGTACCGAGAATCGTGCCCGGACGGATCGGCATCTCGTCGCTCGTTTGAGTCCCTCCGATCCGCTGAATCAGGCTTGCAGATCCAAGGACGACCGAGCGCGGGCGAGATGACGGTCTCCCGTCGACGAGGTGGCGGCGAGGCGATCCCTGCCGGACGGGAGTTATCCTTTGCAGCCGACGTTGATGCCCAAGCCGAAATCTGCTCGATGCCTTCGATGCACACCTTGCATTCGGCTTTCTACTCGGACCAGCGTTCAATCGAGCAGCTCTTCCCTGTCTTCTCTGCGTCCAAGCCTTCGGGATACGCCGACATCTTGATCCCTTCGCATCATTACTGGCAACCGTCGAGCGAGTTTACGTACGAATGGGAGCTCAAGCGAGGTCGAACCAAGGTGCCGACCGATTTGGATTGGGAGGAAAAAACGCCGACTGCGTATTGGAGGGGCAAAGTGACCAAAGGGGCTGATACGCCACCTGGCCATAGCGCCTCGTTCCAAAAACAGCGTCTCGTCAAACTCGCGAATCAACCCATCTCGTTGGGGCAAGAAACGGTCCTGGTCCAATTCAACGCGACGAATGGCGCACTTTCATCGATCCGAGCGACCGTCGCCGAATCGAACAAGCAGATGACCGACATCGCCATGGCCTGCGACCCCAACTTGGGCGAATGCGCCGCCCTCCGCGATTTGGGCTACCGAGTCGAAGCCCCCGCCCCGCTCAGTCAGACGTGGAACCACAAATACGTCCTTGATCTGGATGAAATTGGTTTCTCGCCCAAATTCTTGGCGTTGATGGAGTCCAAGTCCGCAGTGGTCAAGAATTCGATTCAGCGAGAGTTTTGGCGAGGGTGGATCCAACCTTGGTCAGTCTTCTGTCCAGATGTAGTCTCCTTGTCGCTGACGATGTATCCCTTGCGGACACCAGGTACCACTATATCCCCCTCTCTTCATCCTACTCGGAGTTGTACAACATTCAATCCTTCTTCTCCGGGATACCCGAGCCCCTCTTAATGACCAAACTCGAAAACGACACTTTGGTCCCTCGACCCATGACACCCCTCACCAAACCCCCCTCCAACCCTGAGATCTCTCCCTTGTCAAGTGGAGCGCCTTTCGAAGGCGATGCCGCGTTGAAGGAGATCGCGATGCAGGGGAGCCAATGGAGGACTCGACATGTGAGGAAGGAGGATATGGAGTGTTATGTCTATCGCTTGATGGTGGAATGGGCCAATATACTGGCAGGGGATAAAGAGCGGGCTAAGGTTGAGGAAATCGCTAAGATTGCCAAGAGGTAGACCTCGAATAGAATAAGTCGTCATTATAGCGGTCCGGGCCCCTTTACGGCGATGGTGCCTGGGTCAGTCTTGAAGAGAAGCATAAGTTTCGAGATAAGGCTACATGTCAAAGGGTATGATGGTATAAGCTATACACAGATCTGGTATCAATCAAAGTTGGCGCCCTCAGAAGTTAGCACGCTCAGAAGATGGACGCTCAATGCAAGGGCAGTGGTGCGCATTTGCCCGAGAGGTCGCACATGTTGCTAGTACCGAGCACGGTGTTGTTGATGCAATCCTCCAACGCCTGAACACAAGTGACGAACCTGGGGCCCAACGAAGCGGTCTTGAACAAAGCCTCAAAGACTTGATCAACTCCTTCGGGGTTATCGTCCGCCTTCGCGATGGCAGGGGCCAGTTCTTGTTCGAGTTGGATCACGAGTGTTGGCGGGAGGTACCCGAATGCTTGTTGGATGATGGAATCGACCCAGACTTGAAGGGTGAAAATGGGTCCACCTTGTTTGACGACACAGTCTTTCAAGTTGAACGGATCGGGGGACATGAGTAGATCCGAGAGGCAGTTGGACGCTTGCATGAGGAGCGTCGCGGAGTTGCCCGAGGTCGAAGCAGCGATGGACTTGATCGCTGCTTGCACCTTCGTTGAAGCGGCAGACCAGCTGTGACACCGGCTTGCGAGAGGTAGTAATTGTTGACTGCGAGAGCTCACCTTGGTTAGCACAAAGCACCGGCGACTGACTAAGCTTTACAAACGCTCGGCTTACTGTGTTTTGACGACGTTCGGGGGAAGGTAGCCCACAAATTGCTGCGTACTGTCGGAACCAAGAAATCAGGGTCAGAATTCCGGTCGACGGGGTAGAGAGCTTGGAAATACTCACACTCCGGAAAGAAGGGTGAAGAGAGATGTGACACCCGACTGCGGACCCGTCAAACAGCGCCTCGTCGTCTGCAGATTCTTATCCTTCGTCGCCTGCGCGAAGCAGTCCTCGAAGCGCTCGATCGCGGTCACGGTCTCGCCCGAGGTGCTGGCTACGACCGAGGCGATCGCATTGTTGATGTGATTGTTGAGATCGTTTGCGGGAGGTATGAATCCAAGTTTGCCGAAGATCGTCTTCTCCTCTGCAGATGCGAAAAGAGTTGGAATAGGATCATGTCATGAAAACGTTCGTGGCGGCCCAGAAACTTACGAACCTGAATTGCAGTGACGACATTGGGAGGGACGGTGCCGACGAACTGTTCGAGGTAGGTGTTGAACGCCGTTCGGTAGGTGGCCAGGGTGTTCTTGGCCTGGAGGGGACGGCAAGCAATGGAAGGAGTCAGCCGAGCGGTACCACCCGGGGCTCTACCACCCGGGGCTGAAAAGGACCACTGCTGACTCACGGAGTCAACGCAGACGTATCCCGACGGGATGCCTTTCTTGGAGACAATATCGTTGAGGCACTATTGAGTTCCCTTAACGTATGTCAATGCTGGGGAGCTTCTCGAGAGCGAGCGAAGTCTTCTCACCTTTTGTGCGGCATCCAACTAGGCAGCGGTGTCGGACTGGCTTGAAGCCTAGAAAATTATCGACCGCGACCTCGGAGTCAGTCTCGAAAGAAGCGTGCTCAGCGTGCCCGACACGGTGGCAAAAGCCTTCGCCGAGAGCAAAGGCTGAAATTGCCCGAACCCCTTTTGCAAGTCGGTACGAAGGGCTTGGGACTGAGGGGTGAGACCGAGTCCACCCAGAAGATTTCCAAGTAGGCCAGGGTCGGCGTGGGCGTTGGCGAATGTTGCCGTCGCACCGAAAATTGTATAAGTGGTCAAAATTAAAGTTTGCGGAGCGCATCGTAGGCGAAGCGTCTTGGCGGTGTGCGGATTGAGTTTAGCGAGCGTTGGCGGTAATGCCTGTAGGAGGCTGGTGGTGTTGAAGCACAAGAGCAGAGGAAAAATATCAAGAGAAGCGATTTGAGGATGAAGAGGAAACAGAGAGGGTCAGGACGCAATACCCGCCGAGCTGGCCAGGATCATATTGTGTGCCGGGAAACTTCCAAAGTTGGCCCAATAAAAGAGCTACTAGGGTCGCATTTGTCGAAGGGTATGCCAAATGGAGGAGTTCTTCTTTGCAAGGTATGATCTTCTACCCGACTGCCTCGACATAGTTCAAGGAGAACTTGTACTGTTTGGGACTGACGAGGCTCCTAGTACGGTGCCCGAACGACCGAGTCGGCTGAGAGTGAGCTCACAGGCTCCAACCTTCTCGCTGCTCCCACTCCGAAGCGATTTGCCCTGGGCAATGGGGTGGTACATTGCAGGGTGGCCTTGCGTTTGAGAAGCGGTCCCCACAGTGACAGGTCCCTGGGGCCGTGTCGTCAATTAAGCAATACCCCATACTTGCCTCGTTGGGATGGTAAGAAGCGCTCTAACTCCTCGGTTCGTCATGAGCTGCGTGGCGACCGACAGTCGATGGCGACCGCACCTTCCGAATTAGAGGAGTTCGGATTAGTCATGCAGTCATGGCCGAAGCCAAGCTTGGCGTCGCCGACGCGGCACAGCGCGCGGGCGCCGGAAGTCATCGGTGTTACATTATTGAATCACGCAGGGAGGCGAGCGCACAATCTATTAATGAAACGGAACTTGGAAGCGATCGTGCCTGGCGGCCTGGCGGCCTGGCGCGCGGAGAGCTTGGGCGCGCTTGGGCGAAGGGCGGCACGCCGGCAACACGGCTGCCGCAGCCGTACACCGCGTGTTTTAATTACAAGCTTCCGTCAGGACGTGACGATGAAACAATTCCCTCAGCTTCTTGCCGAGACGACCGAGCGAATATATACACTCTGGGAGTGTTTCCTGGAGTGAGAAGATCACCCCGTAATACTTTATCTTCGTGGCGCGAAAGTGAGGTGCACGCCAAGTCGCTGCTCGTACTGCCAACTCATGCAGTGGCGCCGTGAGGTGCGAGTGTTATGATCTGTATCCGCTGCAGGGCATTCGTTCGGCGTTCCAGTACGGTGAGTCATCGGACTCCGCGTTCTACCCAAACAATGAGATAACAAAGTACAGACACCAGCCGTAGGCGATATGAAGAGTCAGCAAGGGAATGAGAATACCTGTGGGAGCACTGCCGCATGCACTGCCAGTGGCAGCATATGCAGATTTTCTCTGTCAAGGTGAGTCTACAGTTTGTGGAGTGCCATCTTACTGGCATGCGGTGTCCTTCAATTCGTTGTCTTTCTCATACTTTGGGTGAGTGGGATGAAGGTGATCGCGACCCATTCACTGTAGTTTTGCACGCTTGACTGACCGGTCTTCAATCTCAGAAACTGGTGAGCTCGCCCGCTCTACTCGCTTCGTTCGGGGTGCGTCTTTCGCTCTTCGCGTATGATCTGAGCTGAGCTGAACTATGGGAAGAATGGGATAGGTCATTAAGCATCATACATACTGGTACGCCCCGACGATATCGTCGTTGGCATCTCGGCCGTCCTGTCATGTTTCGGAATGATGTGCTTCGGTAAGAGTCTACTGACCTTCCCAGTACCACGCACTCCGAGAGGGTCACCAGCTTGTACTAAGAGCTCTTTCTGCGCAACAAATTCAGCGGTTCTGCGTATAAAGGCGTTGTACTACTGGCCTTACCAAGCACTGACGGCCCACTTGTCTTCACGGGACGAGTTGCTCAAGGACACACTGGAAGGCGACCCAATCGACGGCGACTCACCACTGATCCCGCAAGAGCCTCAAACAGGGTGGCACCACCTGCCACAGGCTGGAGTCACTCGTTGCGCAGCACGCTTTTTGGCTGGGTCCGTATAACCTTCAGAGGAGCTTGCCGAACTCACAATTGATGGAACGCCGCAAGTGCCGCGAACTAAGATATGGCCTGCTCCGAAGAAATGTCTGATATTTGTGAGTTCGCCCTCTTACTAGATTCGCATGCCATGTCGGGCTAACAAATCTGCCATGGACCGTAACATCAGACCGACCTAGCACGCGAAATCCCGGAAGAAGCCCTCAACGTTGCCTCTGAATTCGCACGGAAGGCGCTCTGAAGGATCGGATCCTGGATCTTGAACAAGTCAGGGGTCCCAACAATCGTCGCCCAGGTCGACCCAATGGCGCTCCTAGCCAATCAGGGGTGCCTTGTGACAGCCCATGGACGGACCTGGGAAAAAAAAACATTTTTCAGCCGTTTCACCCGTCCGAGCGAAGCCAAAAATGCAGCTTTTACACGCGTCGTACCCAACAACCCAAACCTGCCAAAAGTTGCGGCGTCACCGAGCTCGTCGCCAGCAGAGGCTACATCTTTCACAAACCAATCGTCAGACTATCAGCGATATCTGCTACCTATTTCAAGCCTGCAGGAATCAATGCCGTCGACAAGCGCGTCCCAGCTGAATTCTATCCACGGCGATAACTTCCAACCCTGCTCGTCACGCCATCTTTCGAAGTCACCGACGGCCCCCTGCAAACGCATCGTGCTGGCATTGTGTCGACGTCAGCGACGCAGATAGCTCGGAGAAAGCGGCGTAATTTTGTTAAGACTGATCGTACTGCGACAAAGTCGTGTGGAAGCGGAAGTCTACCCGCGGCAGCTGCGCTTCCCGACCCAGACGGTGGAAGGGCTTTCACTTTTTTGGGGGGATGCAGATCGATTGGGGATACTATAGGAGCCATGGCGATGAAAGAGCATCTAGCGTCAAGCTGAAGGTCTCATTCGCTTTCTCTCCAGGTGATATCTTCGAAGTAGGCTCAGCAAGATCTTGTCCCCATTTAGTCAGGTTCCAGGAGATTCTGTAGAATTTAGTCCTATTTTTCTGGCCTTGCGCGAACGCCTCGGCTCTCCTCTCCGACTCATCCGACCGATCGCCGAGTTGACCGAGCGGAGAACAAGGGCCTCCTGCGACGGCCGATGGTGGCCTCGCAAAATGGCTACGACCATGGTGGTAGCATCGCCGACTCGTCACAAACGACTTCGACCTCGTCTCTTACGGGACCGTTTCCCGTCGTGACGCGTCAACAACACGCGATCCTCGAACGCGTCGTCGCGGCGGTCTCTCCTCCCGAAGCAAGCGACTTCAACTCGCTGCAACAAGCCTACGCCAGATTAGGTCTACCAGAGAATGACGACGAGACTTACAACTTACTGTTGAGGCTGATGTGGGAGAAAGGGTTGAACTGGGTGGAGAAGTGGAGCAGCGCGAACTCGTCGTTGAAGGATCGCGGCTACGCGTTTGCCTCCGTGTTGCACCGTGAAAAGGACCCACGGACTCCGTCGAACGCCCAGAAGGGAAGGAGGGCAGGGGTAGGGAACATCGATGTACTCAAGGCCAAGCTCGACCAAGTCACACCCTCGAATATACCCGCACGATCGTCCTCGACCCAGCTCCGACGTGATCCCCGCCGTCAATCTCAAAGCGACGCCGATCTCACGCCTGCCAACCATCGCGAGACCGGACTCACGCCCAAGGCAAGCCGTATCTTTCTCAAGCGACGCGGTGAGGGCGGCTACTCGTCTTCGGACGACTACGTCGGCGTGCCATCGCCGCCGAATCACCGTTCGGGCGGATCGGCCGCTTTGCCGCGATCGGCGTTTAGCTCTCCTTCGCTCGTCAAGCTTGCTCAAGCCGCAGAAGAGGCACCAACCACTTCGAGACATGTCAAAAGGGTGTCGACATCAGACAGCAGCCCGAACATCGCGTCCTTCCCAGGTCATCCGCTTATGTCGAATAGGACCCGTTCCCACTCGAGCTCGGCCCATCCGATCCTGTCGTCCCGAATTGCTTCGGCCCTCTCATCAAAAGCCGACGTCGCCACGAAATCCTATGTCGATCGAGAGGACCCCGAAATGACCGCAACAGGTGTAGCCTTTGATCGATTGCGTGCCCTCAATCCGCTCTTTTCACACTGGCGTGCCAAAACTGCATGGCTATTAGATCGCGCTCGCGGCATCGAACTGGCGCGCCAGACGAACATCAAGTCGTGGGCCCTCGACAGGTGGAAGCACAATTTTGTGGAGGTCATAGTCCGGCGAGCCGATCTGGAGCGCGCTGAAACCCAGTGGCGCTTGCGACAGGACACGAGGCTGCAACGAGACGTTTTGGGCCGGTGGCAAAATCGGATGAGGTACAAGCAAAGGGCTGAGTGGGAGGGTCGGCTGCGTTCGGCCTGGGAGGAGGTCGTTCACAACCGGAAGCAGCGGCTCGTAAAGAGCGTTATCAAGGTGAGTGGAAGCTGGTACTGTAATTTGTGTGGCCACCGCGACTGCTGACAACTCTCACTCGCTATTCAGTTTTGGCATCGAACGATCCTAGAGCGTCGCGCGCGTCGGTTTCAAGAGAGCAGACTCGTGGACCACGCGTTCACGATCTGGCGCTGGCGGTACGAAAGACTGCGATCGATGCAAGATATGGCGGACAATTTGCTGGAGCAGATTGATACTTTGGCAATGTCTTCAGCCGTACACATCTGGCGCGAACGATTGCGGTTAAGGTCATCCGAGGTGGCGGTATCCGATGCCCGGGACCTCGACCTGGTAGCAAAAGTGTGGGATTATTGGAGGATGAATACGTAAGTCAGCATCACACCTCCCTTTGCTCGTAGGGCTTCGCTGACCTTTCACACTGACTGCCACAGAAATCAGAGACAGTACGTCCAGGAACTCGAGGAGGTTGCCAATGACTTTCAACGAAGGAAGCGCAGGCACGAGCTGCTGTCGATCTGGCGCGAGCAAGTTCACCGTCGCAAGCAGTGCGCAGCTCTCGCACGGAGACACTACCAAATCCGACTGGTCAATCGAGTCTATACGCTATGGCTGGTCGAATATGCCGGGCGCAAGTACCTTGCGGATCGGAACACCAAGCTTGGCCACGCCTCGCTCGTCAAGTGGTACACACGCGCGCGCTTCGTTTGCATCGAACTCGAAGCCAAAGCCGACACGGTGCTCGCTCAGTCAGGTCAGAATTTACTCGGCGGTGCATGGCAACAGTGGTGCGAGGTGATCAAGCAACGACGAGAGGCTTCTGAGTTCGCTGTTCGCATTCATGAAGGGTCTCTCGTCAAGCGAGCGATGGCCAAGTGGAGGCAACGACTCGAAAAGTCCGTCGTGAGAGAGAGGCAAGCCGACGTCGCGAGGGACTTCTTGCTGCAGCGCATGGCGTGGAATCGGTGGTGGGACGCGATTGCAGAGCGGGAAAGGGAACGAGCGGTTGCAAGGATTGCACAATTTTTGACTACCCGAGAGATCAATCTCAAGCGTGCAGCTCTCAGTGGTACGATTCGTGCGACGCGCTGGCGTTGCACCCTCGTCTGACCCTCCCTCTGTTTCTACCAATAGGCTGGATCGACATGACTTTGCGCGCTCAGTCCGACCGACTAAAAGTGGAGACCATTGGCAAGATATCTAATCACGTGTTGTTGAAGCGGTGCATGGAAACATTCATCGGCCGCGTCGTGGACCTGCGCGACCGAGAAGACCGAGCAGGTCAAGACTTTGAGCTCAAGATGAAACGGTGAGCAGGGGACCCGAACCAGACGCCCTTCCGATTAAATTCTAACGATGGACGTATCAAATGCGCAAAGTTTGGTCCTTTCTCGCTGGCGCCAACGGTCGAGCAAGATTCGTCAATTTGAGGAACTCGCAACAACTCATCGAGAGATGAAGGAAAGAGGTGGGTCTACGAGGTCAATTTCGGGGCTGCGATGCTCAATATGACTTAATGAGCCCGTTTCGGGTTTATGTGATCTCAGAAAAGAGCAAGGTGGCCTTGATCAAATGGTCCACCCGCGCTAGGTCGTCGCAAGCGCTGCACATCGCACTCGCCAAAAGACGATCTTCGATGCTCGAGTCGTGTTTCGATCATTGGCGCGAAAGATCGATGCGCTCGCGCGAGATGCACGTCGTCCACTCGATCGGGGACCGCATTCTCGTCGATGCATGGAGTCGATGGGTCGAACGGACCATGGCTTTGCGAGTGATCAGCAACCGTCGAGCCCGAACGCGCGCTCAGGTGCTCGAGATCTGGCGGGCCAAGACTACTCCTGTCGAGCTTGTCGCGATGGCCGTCGAGTTGGACCAGATGGGTACGCAATCTCGCGCCTTCCAGATATGGCAGATTAAAGCGATGGCCAAGAAGAAGCTCCGCTCCGTCAGGTGAGACGAGGAGTGTGGTTCCATGCCTATTGCCGACGGACGAGTGCTGACCCACCTTGCATGTCATGCAGCAGCCGCAATCGCATCCTTGGATCGTCGACCACTTCCTCGTCGGCCTACGCCTCCTTCGTCTCCTTCCGATCCTCTCCTTCGCCCTCCCCCATCCGTGCCCACTTCGGACTGACGTCCTCGCCTGAAACCACGCCGACGCGACCTCAGCCCCTGAGCTATGATGTCCTCGAAAGATCGCCCGAGCCTGCATCACCCTCACCAGCATCGCCAACACCCTTGCCTCCGCCGTATCTGAATCGGACGAATGGATCCCGCGGTCAATCCGAAAGTTCTGAGCAAGGCTCGAGGTCTGCGACCGATGGAGGTGGTGCGAGAGCGAGGTTACGCGCCGCTGCTGCGGCCGCTCGGGCCCAGACTTTGGGCGGCTCTTAGACCTTTCTCAGTCCGTCGAGGAAAGTAGTTACATGTTGTTGTAATTGTGACTGATGTGGAACACCACAGCCCAATGTTCGAGTCCCTTAGAAAGGAATAAGGCTGATGAAGTCACACGTGACTTGACCCTGCTGATTAGCCGCGGCCGTGCGCAAGTGTCTCCTTTCCGTCGTCGCAATGTCTCTCCGGTCAGGCGAACAATTGATCCCAAATCCACCTAGGGAGCGCATGTTTTGTACCGTCTTTCCGAGCCTACGTATCCACCATTGCCATGATTACGGCTCCCCGCAAAGCCTCCTTTCTGCAGGCCGTCTTTGCCCGCGTCCGAGCGGTGACTCGTCGTTGGACCTCCTGTCTGATATGCAAACGGCCGCGCGTTCGATCGACGCAGACGACGTCTCTGGCGCGGGCAAGCCCGGCTCTCGCTCCCACCTTACCCGGACCAAGTTTTGAGACTACTCTTTCCGAACCTACCGACATGAGCGAACCCTCGGTGCATTCACCCGTGACTGCGATTCCTGGTCAGAAGAGTGAGTGGTGGCTCATTCCCCGCGCTTGTACTCTGCCGCGGCTTCGTCGTCATCGCTGGGCTACTGCTTTGGAGGTTCTTACACCCGGCCAAGTGGACAGGCATGTTATATTGCGCTGGCCAGGTGACAGCATGGGTTCGCTGATACTGTTGCACACTCCCCTGGCAACGCCTCGGTTGATCCCTCCGACATCGTCAATCGCGTGATCGCCCACGCTCCGTAACGTCCCCACTTTCCTACCCCAATGCAGTCGATCCAACCCGGGTCTACACCATTGAAGCAACAAGCGTACAAACAGGGCAAAAGACGCGGTTACAGTATACTGATTGCAAGATCTCGGGTCATGGTTCGTTCGGCGTCGTCGTGGCGGCTCAGTTGATAGACGGCGACGTGGGCCGAGTTGCGCTCAAGCGGACCAAGCAGGTGAGCAGCACGGTGGAGTGGATTCGATCTTCGTCTAACTTCAAGCTCATTGCTTGGTTCCCATCCCACAGGATCGGAGATTCAAGGTGGGTTACCGAATTCTACCTCTCGTCTTACGCCGGCGCTGAACCGTTGTCACTGACACGGTTTTCATCCCACACAGAACCGAGAACTTCAAATTATGAAGATCACTCGACACCCCAACATCATCCGCCTACGTTATTGGTACTACGAGCCATCGTGCAAGCCCGAAGAGGTGTACCTCAACCTCGTGCTGGACTACGAGGTCAGCACTACGCACGCCTGGACTCGGGCCCCTCAATGCAGCTCACTGAATCTGAGCATCCTCTTCTTTGCTGTTGCATCAGCCCGAGACAATATTTCGGACGTACCGCATTTGGACCAAACAGCAACTCCGGTTCCCCGAGTTCCTCATCAAAGTGCACAGTGAGTCTGCATTGTTCCAGGTAAACCTAATTTTATAGCGACCGTGCGCTTACGAAACGGTGTGCGCACGGGATTGGCCTCACAGTGTTTCAGGTACATTAAGGATGGGTCATATATCAGCCAGCCATACTTAACTCAACTACTCTTGGCTATTCACAGCTCTGTCGAGCGGTGTCGTACCTGCACTCCATGGGAATTTGTCATCGAGACCTCAAACCTCATAACATTCTTGTCGAGTGAGCAACAGGTCGGTTCGTGGCCATCACCCACTTCGAAAGTGTATTAAATGGCTTAATATTGGTATTACCCAGTCCTCGAACATGCAAGACCACCCTGATCGTGAGTCGGGGCCGAGGTAAGAAATTGAACTCAGTCGGAATGAGCGCTGACGCCTTGGGAATTTGCCTCAACAGGATTTTGGCAGTGCCAAAGTGTTGAGGGAAGGGGAAACCAACGTATCTTATACATGTAGTCGCTACTATCGAGCTGCGGAGTTGATCTTTGGGGCTACGATGTACACGCGTGAGTAATTTCAACATTTTGCCGATCGGGGATGTTGTTTTCCGTTTCTTTGTACCAACAGACCAGCTCGGATCGACATCTTACCTAGATACCATTGATATGTGGTCGATTGGATGCATCTTCGCGGAGCTTCTTCAAGGCTCCGTCTTCTTTCCGGGCTCGTCTGGTGCGTCGTCCGATCGTCCTATAGTCGGTTTTCCTTTGGAGCTGACCTATTCGACGGTGGAGAAGCACAGGTGTTGATCAGCTGGTCGAGATCATCAAGGTCCTCGGGACCCCGTCACCCGACCAAATCAAAGCCATGGTCCCCAACTACCATGATCGAGGGTTGCCCCACATCAAGCCTACACCATTCAGCAAGGTGAGCGCGAGTTCGCACGCGCGTCGCTATTGGTACCTGCGCCCCCTGTCAATCATAGGTTGCTGACGCTGGCTCTCTGACTTGCCACCCTTTTCCCCAGCTCCTACCCCGAGCTTCACCAGACGCAATTGACTTGCTGCAGAACCTGATTGTGTTCGATCCGTCCCAGCGATTGAGCGCTGCAGAACTACTGGCACACGCCTTCTTCGACGAGATCAAGCACCCGGGTCCGAGCGGCACAGGGCCCGTGCTTCCAGGGGGCGAACGCATGCCGCCGATGTTCAACTTTTCCCATCACGGTGAGTGGAGGAACGCGAGAGGGACCGAACCGGCTTTCTCCAGGTCGTAAAGATATGGAGCACGATGACGGGGCGGCGGTGATCGATCGTCCTTTCCCTCGTCAGATCGATGTGGGGTAAACGGCTCGATGTCTCACTCGCGCGGCGCGGCGTCACATGACCGTCCCATCTCGTCCGCTCGGAAGCGCTAATAAAGCGAGATGGCAATTAGGCGCCACTGCTCTTGGCCTTCGGAGAACCAATCCGCTCGTGTACGATATCGTGAAAGCGACAACTGACCCACACTTCACTCTGTGGTAACCTCTCTTCTATCCTGCACCTCCTTCACCTCAACCTCGACACCGATCCCATCATCTGGCACCGTTCCCCTATTACTACCCCGGCGCGCAGAACTTTCCATCCGGCCCGACCTCGTCAATCGCATCATCCCTGCCCATGCAAGACGAGAGATCTACATCCAACACGGGATCGATCTGTCCAAATCTTGGCAACCCATCGACTTGCGCACCGTACGAGTCGACGATATCATCGATTAGACTCGCAGCGGTGGACTACGACGAGTTTACTTGCTCTCGATCCGAGGATCGAGGGGTATCGTGTGGGGACGATCTCTTGGGGCGAAGATGGGTACATAGGTCTGAAAGGAGGAGAGCGACATACCTGGATGACGAGTGTAATACTATCGAATCCTGTGGGTACAACTTCGCACCAAGCTTGATCATCCCGGCGAATTCACGATGATCGCGAGCTTGCGGCAGATTTCTCGTCGTGCACCGGCTGCAAGGCTGCAAAAACGCAGAAGAAGGAACGTTCGAGCTTACCAAAGGGGAGCCAAAGGGAATGTCGGAAAAACCCCTCGAATACTCCCCACGAAGAGGCTAGCGGTTCCCGGTCGTAGGGACTCGGCACGAGTTGTTTCCGGTGTACGTCGGCTGCCTTAAGTTTGAGGCCGTGTTAACGCCTAATGATCCTCTCGCCTGGACGCGGTGGTACAAAAGAATGAAACGGGGAAAGAACATATCGCTGGATCGCTCGGGATCAAGTCGGTTAGCTTGGGTTTTATTCTGCTGTAGTCTGGTGTAAGCGCTTTCAAGGAATATGCTGATATGCTGATGCCTTGAACCGAGTCGCCCACGTCGGTTCGATCACATGCTGCCGCTGACGGTGGCAAGTGGGGTCGTCAATTTTGTTCGGCTCGACAGAAAATGAAAGTTGAGCGTCCATTTTTTTTTTCCCTCTCAAAGAAGCGGACTGAAAGAAAGGATCTCACATGTCGTTTATGAACATGGGTGGGATCATACCAGTGGTTCTGGACCGGAAAGCGGGACGACGGCGGCACAGATCAGGTGAGCAGCCGTCGAGAAAAAGGTCCAGGTCCAGACGTAAAGATCGGGGGGTCCACACAGGCCAGGCACTCCCAACTCTGGCGTGCCGCTCTTTCCTCTCGACACCTCACGCTCGCCCTCCGAATCCTCGTCTGCTAGCCAGATTTGAACCGTGTTTTATTTTCCCTGTTTGGACGAACGCTCGAAGCAACGACCCTGCTACGTCACAGTGCACGAAACCCAGCCCTCACATTCCCCCAGCGTAACACCCCGCCGGTGCCGTGCAACCCACCACCCCTCCCACTGCCGCCAGCTGTCTCCAGCTGTACTCGACGGGCCCTTGTTCCCTCTCGCCGCCGTTCGCCGGGAATCGAGCTCCTTTTTCTTTCCTCTTTACGAAGCCATCTGTACGTTGTCCACCTCCTCGAGCTTGGGACGCGCACACCAACTCGCCGCGGCACCAGCAAGTACGGCTACGCTACAGAGTGGGGTTCACGCTGGCCGTCAAACAGCTGACGGTTGGCGGTCGGCTCCGCTGGCGCTGGCAATGGGCTGCAGTGCTCGCGGTGGCCTGTGGCTGGCTAGCGTGGAGGTCGAGGTCAGCTGAGACGGAGCCCTCACACGACCGAGAGAGAGAGCGCGCGCGTGTGCCGGCCCCAAAGCCCAAAGGCCCAAACCCGAGCCCAAGCGCAGCCTCGGCTGACACCCACTTCGAGCCTCATCCTCCAACAGAAGTTGGACACCCTTAGCTTCGCAAACCTTGTCGGACTAGACGGGATTCACCGAATTTTCACATCATGAACGGCGTTCGCATCTCACGTGAGTTGGCTCGGCTCAGCTGCTCCTCCTTTTCCTCTATCCTCTCTCCGTCCACCGCTCGACGACTCGACTCGATTCGGTTTCCGGGCCCAGCGCAACAATGGGAAACGGTGGGGATCCCATATGCGAGGTAGCGAGTGGGATGGGGCTGGATCGACATTCGCTTGCCGAGGCGTAGCAGCAAGCCCAAGCCCGACGTGATGGCTGTTGGCTCTTCCGCCCGCCCCACTCGTTCTCGAGATGGTCGACCGCCGCCTACCTCCAGCCTCACTCGGCGGAGCGAATCTCCAAGCGGGCCCATCGTCGAGTACTCTACGACGTTGTGATGAGCCGCCGCGTTCGCATGTGGGGGCGGATTCGCGCTTCGGGAGAGATTAGCTCGGTGTTTGGGCGCGTATACGAATGCGCGCCTCGAGGTGCAGGTCAGGTGGTCCGCGACACAGGCTGCTGGCGCAGGGCGGCTGATGTGGGGAGCACACTGGCCTGGCCCTGGCGCGTTCTAGTGGGGCGTCGAGGGGACGGTGACACGAGCTGCTCTGCGGTGACGATGGCCATCATCTGCATGACGATGAGATCTCATCTTCGCTGCACTGCTGCCGATCTCGCGTTCGGAAACTCCCGACGCTGGCTGCCCCTGCGCGCGTGTACTCTCTTCTCTTCTCAGGCGGCCGTCGTACGGGTTCAGACTGTCAGCCGGCTCGTCATCATACAGGCTGGTCATGGGCCACCTTTTTGTTCGACGGTTGTGACGGTCTGGGGTGGCTCGAGCGACACGCAGCATCTCCAAAGACACAGGATCCTTCGGCGCGGTGACGCGCTCCCGACGGGGGCTTGCAAGCTGGTGCTGCCCCAGCCGTCCGCCGTCTATTTGCGCCGGGGCCAGCACGCGTGTGTGCCTGGCGCTGGCTGGAACTGGCGGGCTGGGGTCGACGATGCCGTCGGCGCTGGCTTGCCTCTCTCCCGTCTGTCCCCCACTACCACTCGTGCGGCTGTTCGCTCTAGCTGTCCAGCCATGCTCTGATCGCGAGTGGTTCGAGTGTAGCTGACCATGTTCTATCCTCCCCTCCCTCCCCTCATCGACTACCCCCTTAACCTCAACCCTTCGTCGTCGGCATCGTATCCGTCTCGGATATCACTCGATCCGCCATCGGCACCCCTGCCCGCGCTCGACTCGATTGCGCTTCGTGGGCTCGAAACCGCTCCGGCGACTCCGATTCCCGTCGACCGCGACGTTGTGCTGCCCACACCATGTTGCTTCTCCGCGGCGTCTTCGACATCGACGTCGGCCTCTTCCCTTTTTGATGCCGTACGACGACGACACTCTTCCTCGTCCGGTGACACCTCGCCCGATGACGCATGTTACGACTTCTCCGCTCACGACGGTGCGCTTCTGCGCTATGCGGCCACGTTCGACAACGACGACGACGATAACGACGATGTCGATGACGACGATGCTACATCTTTGTATCCGATACCAACAGCCGACGACTCACAAAAGGTCGTCAAAGTCATCGCTTCGAACGGCAAGACGGGTGAACAGTGCGAGCTGAGCTACACCAACTGCAAGGTCGTCGGCAATGGCTCGTTCGGCGTTGTCTTTCAGGCGAAACTCGTCAACGGCTCGCTAGAGGGCGACGGCGGCGACGATGATGTTGCCATCAAGAAGGTGTTGCAGGACAAGCGGTTCAAGGTCAGTTTTCCTGTCATCACCTCGAACAGAGTTTTCCGAGTTGCATGCCCCTGTGCCAAGACATGTTGCGCGAGCCGGCATTTGGCTGGGCGCGATGTCCCCCATTGCCAATGCGGGATCTCGCTCGGGCGGGCGCGCAAGTCACGCGCGGCGATCCCGTGACGAGGGGCGGAGGGTCACATGAGCGCGCCGACGGACGGGCACCACGTGGGGCTCCGAGAGGGCTCGAACCCACAACCAATTTCGAGCGCAATCTCATAAAACCGACTTCCGAAAGCCGATACTGAAACGCTTGCTGCTACACAGAACCGAGAGTTGCAAATTATGAGACTGGTCAAGCACCCGAACGTTGTTGACCTCCGTGCCTTTTTCTACTCGAATGGCGACAAGGTGCGTACTAGTGTCTGACGGGGCCACCAAGACACGGTCGTCACTGTTTGGACGCTAAATGGATATGTCACCTTTGCTTGCTCTGCACAGCCAAAGAAGGATGAAGTCTACCTGAACCTCGTGCTCGAATACGTCCCCGAGACCGTCTATCGCGCTTCGCGTCACTACGCCAAGCTGAAGCAAACGATGCCGATGCATTACATCAAGCTGTACATGTACCAACTCTTGCGGTCGCTCGCGTACATCCATTCGGTCGGCATCTGCCACCGCGACATCAAACCTCAAAATCTGCTGTTGAACCCGCCGACGGGTGTACTCAAGCTGTGCGACTTTGGCTCGGCAAAGATCCTGATCGAGGGCGAGCCCAACGTGTCTTACATTTGCTCGCGGTACTACCGAGCACCCGAGCTCATTTTCGGCGCAACGAACTACACCACCAACATTGGTTAGTCATCAGATTCCTCGGAACGTTGGAGTGCCGTCTCGGACTGACCCATCTGTCGACTTGGCCTGCAGATGTGTGGTCTTCGGGTTGCGTTATGGCCGAGTTGATGCTGGGCCAGCCTTTGTTCCCAGGAGAATCGGGGTACGTTCCGAGCTCAATGCCTGATCTGGTTTTACAATGACCACTAACTGATGAACCCTATTCCTCACTCACAGCATCGATCAATTGGTTGAAATCATCAAAGTGCTCGGCACACCGAGCCGTGAGCAGATCAAGACGATGAACCCGAACTACATGGAACACAAGTTCCCTCAGATCAAGCCGCACCCGTTCGTGAAGGTGTTCCGACCCCGCACGCCGCCTGAAGCGATCGACCTCATCTCCAAGTTGCTCGAATATACCCCTTCGGCGCGTTTGACCGCGGTCGAGGCCATGTGCCACCCCTTCTTCGACGATCTGAGACAGCCCGACTGTAAGATGGCCACGGGCAAAGACATGCCGCCCTTGTTTAACTTTACACGCGAGGAGCTGTCGATCCGACCGGATCTGATCCACCGACTCGTGCCACCGCACTGTGAGGCCGAGCTGCAGTCGCGAGGTATCGACATCAACAACTTTGAGCCGATCCCCCTCGCCGACATGCGCATCACGTTGGATGTGAGTGTACTCTCTGTACAAATTATGTGATGTAAATGTTCGATCTGACCCTTCCTCTCCTTGTCGCATCAGTGATCGTGAGACTCTTGGGCCCCAACCCCCCCCCCCCCATCCAGCCTGCCAGCCTTCGCTTTTGACATTTATCGATCATATGTGTGTATCTTGTCGAGTATCAGGATCCCCATCTGTTGCGCGTCTCTCCCTCCCCCGTGTTTGATTCTTCCTGTCAACAACGTTCCCCCACCCCCCGTCGTGTCGCCTCTCGCCTTCGTCGTCAGCATCTTCTCTCAAGCAAGGCCTCCTCTACCTCTTCCATCGCTCGGCCGCCCGCTCTCGACCTTCTTCCTGATCCTCTCTCGACGACCTCATCGGAGGATACCCCGGGTGAAGCGATTGTACATGTGTGGCTGAGTGTGTTTTCGTCCCTCTCCCAATTCACCTTTCTAAACCCCCCGTTTTTCTTCTTCTTTTATTGTTCCTAACGGACTCCCAAAATGCGTCCGACCCTCCTACTCCCAACGTCCATGTGTAACTGAAGCAAAACAGACATGTTGAAGCTGGCTTGCAGTGTGGACTGTTCGCGCACTAGTGACCGCCGAGTGTGAGGCCTGTGAGGTGCCACCGCACTGGCGCGCGTTTTGAGAAAAGGCTTGGCTCGAACGCGGACGAACGTCATTAGTCCCACTAACCGCGATGGCTGGCTTCATTTGGATGGGCTCCGGCTGGCTCCGGGCGCGCTCATTAATTTCACTCATCTTTAGATCGCCCCCATCGCCCCCATCGCCCCCATCGCCCCCTCGTCATCGTCTCTTGCATTCGCACCTCCGCTCTTGGATCGACGCAGCGCTGCTACCCTCATAACACACCCCACAGACCCCTCTGAAGCCACCGCCAACGATGTGGGGCATGACCAAATCCAAGCAGGGCAACGATGGTCAGGCTCAGGACGGTGCCACCACCGCCGACGCCTCGCCGAGCTCATCATCCTCATCGTCGTCATCCACCACCAACCAAACCACGTCCACCTCTCGCTCCCGACCTACGCACCATGCCAACGATAGCAAGTCCTCCTTCAAGAACCCCTGGCCATCCGCCAGTGCCCCCTCGTTGTCCGAGATGGTCTCGGGCGGATTGCCGATCGGACTTCCTCATCGGCATCTCCACAAGCACCCCAAAGCACGGGCCTTGCAAGTCCTCAAACCCGACTGGGGCGCCGCGAAACTATCCCAGGGTTCCTCGCAGACCCATACACCGTGCGAGAGCATGAACAAGCAAGGCAAGCTGCTAGGCACATGGTTGGGCCATGCTTCAGCATGGTGCGAAGTGCCTTTGGTCGATGGGGAAAGGGGAAAAGCCAAACCGAGGAGTGTCAAGTTGTTGTTCGATCCGATCTTTTCGGGCAGGGCAGGGCCGACGGCTTATACGGGTCCGACGAGGTTGAAGGATAGTCCCTGTCAGGTCGACGAGCTGCCGGGGTGCGATGCCGTGTTCATCTCGCATAACCAGTCAGTCCGAGCGGCCGATGATTTTTACTCGCCACTCGGGGATGTGAGCTGATGCTCGTTTCGTTCTGGTTCCCTTTCACGCTGGCAGTTATGATCATTTGGATCTATCGTCTATACAAGCGGTTATCGAGCATTACCCCAAATGTCATTACTTTGTACCCCTGGGTCAGTCCACCCTGACCTCTTTCCCATACAGTCGGAAGATCCTGCTCCTAATCCCGATTACAACTGCAGGCAATCGCAAATGGTTCCTGGACACGGGCGCACCACAAGACAGAATCCACGAGATGGATTGGTGGGACAAGAAGGAGTTTTGCCCCGAAGAGATTGGGTACGAAGCCGATCCTTCTGGCGCCCAGGAGACGTCGAGGTTGAGGTTCACTTGCGTCCCAAGTCAGCACAATTCGGGTCAGTCCTGTCTTGCTGTGAGGATAGTCTGAGCGAGAGCTTAGGAAGATGCTAATGCGGGGCACGGGTTCATATCAGGCCGAGCCGCACTGGACCAAGGCTCTACGCTGTGGTGTGGGTGGGTTGTGGAGCATTTCGTCCATTCGCTGGCTACCAAAGATGGGGACAAGTCGACGGAGCGTATCACGAGAAAAGGCGCCATCTATCATGCAGGGTAAGTCGGGGTTTTGGTTGTGTGATCGGCGACCGCCCTTCACAGACTTATTCAAAGTTATCCGAGTCTTGCAGCGATACGGGGTACCGGCGGCATAAGAAATCCAAGGTTGTCTGTCCCATCTTTGAGGGTGAGTCGATTGTTCGTCAACACGCTTTGACGGGTATGGGCTGATCCCAATTCTACGACGCAGAAATTGGCCAGAAGTACGGGCCGTTCGACCTCTCCTTCATCCCGATCTGGCGAGGTGGCTCATTGGGATTTGTTTCTTGGATTGGACTACGCGTGAGTACGGGATCGACGGCTTCTTGCGAGAGTAAGCCGAGCTAGAGTAGCGTTTGCCTTAAGCTCACAGCTTGCGCACGAGAATATACCCGCTGCTCTGCATGGTTCCCCCACCGACGCCGTGGCGATTCACCTGGACGTTCGGTCGCGTACTTCGATCGGCGTTCATTTCGGTACCTTTATCGGCGCGGAGGAGGAATCGCTCGAAGCCATCATCGAATTACAAGATGCGTGTGATGAGGAAGGCGTTGCATCCGAGTCGGAATTGGGTGGGGTCGAGCATGACAAGGGCAAATTTGGGATCGTCGATCTGGGCGAGACGGTCGTCGTGGATGTGGCGGATTTGGTGATTGTTTGAGGGCGGATGTGTTGTGGCATGTCAGATGTGGCACAGACTGTTGCGGTGGTTTTGACATCTAGCTTTTCATGAGATGCGCATGCAATCGCACAGGTTTCATCTATTTTGGGGGGCTTCTTGAGAGGTGCATACACTCAGCTTATGGCTCCGCTCGACTTGAATTAGCGGTGCACGTGAAAGTACGTTAGGGCAGGTTAGGGCAGGTTAGGGCGGCGCGGGCTGTGGAAGCGCGCGACACGATGAGGATATGCCTCTGTTCCGCTCTCGCCATCCACTTGCGTACTCGACACGACGTCTCTCCCGCGACCATCTTCAAGGCTTGGCTCTCGTCCGCCGACTCGAATCGCTCGGTAGCTTCTAGTCGGCTCGCGCGACCTGTCCTCCGTCTCAACTAGAGTCTGTTCCCCCCCGTCCGTGCACGAGTGGTCTCGCCCTGTTCCCCATCCTCCATCACAAGTCGAGCAACCATGGCTCCATCAATCCGCTCCTTCCGCTCCTTTCGCTCCGCCACTCAACAAGCGACGCATCAGTCGAACCGAAGCGGCGATGCCTCCCCAACTCTGACAGCGACAACCTCCGCTTCGTTCCTCGATCTCGGCGCCGAAGGACCAGCACTGATCATCAATCGAGCCGATTTGAGGGCTTCGGTCGCGGCGTATGAGAATCTGTTGGCTGCTGCCAAGGCGTATAGGAATGCCATGTTGGCGCTTAGTGCGGGTCAGTCGTCCAGCGACTTCAGACGCGCTATCGTTTCCGTCAATCTCCGAGCTGATCTCGACGGCGGTCGTTCATTGGTCGACAACGTGGGGCATGACTCTTCATGCAGCCTCGACCGGTTTCGCACATGCTTTGGAGGAATGCGCACGCGTCAAAGGTGCTGGCACGAGTGGCGAACAGCTCCTTGCTGCGAGTGGGATGCAATACCTCGTCGCTAGTTCGGGGCAGATTCTCGTCAGTTGCGGTTCTCTCGCTTCGATCGAACGCGTGCGCGACTTCAACTTTGGAGGTCGAGCTAATGCTCACTTGGGTGATTCTGCTACAGAGCGACACCTTGTATCGATCGTTCGAGATCCCATTGCTCCACGCGTACGACACGTACGTCGCGACCGTCTCGGCGCGTCACAGCGAATACGAAGCCCTCTTGGCCGAAAAGACCGCCGCGATCCGCCAGACCGAGATGGAGAACATGAAGCAGGGCAGGAAAAAGGTGGGGAGGCGAATGATTCCGGCTACTCTCTCTGGAGAGGCACGCTGATAACTTCTACGAAGTCTTCCCACAGAACCGTGATCTGGCGCAGTTCCGGAAAGCGCTCGAGAGGTTGCAAGAACAAGTGATGCAAGTCGAGGTGTGCAAGCGGAGCTATTACGGCGAAGTTTTGGAGCACGAAACGGAGACGTGGCATTCCATTTCGGGCAAGATTGCGCTTGTGCTACGTTCGACCGTTGATCTTTCGGATCGGCTCGCGACGAAGGGCACGAGTGATCCGGTGCTTGAGGCGATGATGAATGAGCATCCGGATCCTTTCAATGTCTACAAAGCGCATGATGAACCGCCCAGGGATATATTTACCGTCTTGCCACCATTGGGCATGAACCTTGGTTTGGGAGGGAGCAAGAGGAGCAGCATCTCGATCGATGACGAGGATGACAACCGAACGCAGAACGATCTACCGAGACCCGGGTCAAGTCGAGCGACGTCGAGGGAGGATAGTACGACGACGCCCAAAGCGGGGAGTAGGAAGACGACTATTTCAACGAGCGTTTCGGTTGCTGATGCGTTGGGTTTGGATGACACGCCGACCAAGGCATCACCGAGGGGTGGGGGGAGGGGGGAGGATTCGTCGGAGGGACAACGGGAGAAGACCTCGACGCCTCGACGAGGGGCGTTCCGAAGGATCGAGTCGTCGCATTCGAGAGATTCGAGTGATGGGGCCTCGCCTAAGCCTTCGTCGTCGTTGAGACCTGTTTCCAATAGGAGGGATAACGGCGAGGAGAAAGACGACGAGGAGGAAGAGGATCTCGACTCTCCACCTCACGACTCGTCACCGCTAACAGGCACATCGAACGACATCTCTTCGACGCACCATCACCAACGAACGAGTTCCCAAAGCTCTTCTTCAACAGGAGGAGGTCCAAATAAATCTAAGCACACCACCCACACACCTCTAATATCCCCTCGCAAAGCGCGCCACTCAAACCACCAAGGAGGAAGAAGGCAAGGTGAACTTTCCTGCGTCACCGAAGCAGATGCCCCACCTGATCCCATGTCAGGTGATTGGGGGGCACCAGTTTACGGGAAGAGTTTGAGCCCGGTGATGAATGGGACGGGAGGGGGTTATGACTCGGGGGAGGAGGAGACCGTTTGGGGCGGTCAGAGGTCCGGGGTTTGAGTGGGTGGTTGAGGATGTATGCTGTATTTTCGATAGACTTCATCCGTTTTCGTGTTGCTTTCTTGAATGTTATGCAAGCTTTTGCTTCGTACTTTGTCGTCGAGAGAGTACTCCCCCTTCTCGAACGTCATATTGCACAACATGGTCCATCATCCTCTACTTGCTCGGCTCCTCGTCATCATCAAAGTTGTCGAATCCTTTGTCCATGTCCTCCCTGCGCAAGTGAAAGGAGAACAAGTGGTCAGCGAGCGTTAGAGCTATGCGAGGATATCTTAGACCTACCTAAGCAATTCTCGCATCCCTTTCGGCAAGATCGGCTCGCCTTGAGCATCGGCAACGTAGCGGAAGGGCATCTGCGATCAAGAGAGCTGGAAGTTAGCTCCGCAAGGTATTACCGGGATGCTTCAGAGTCGAAGCCCTGGGACTGACCTCTACAGATTCAATCTCGTCGAATCGGATTGTAGGGTGGTTGACGAAAGGAATCTTGTCCAATGGGACTGGTGAGAATGAAAGAAAAAAAAATGTCAATCCTTCGACGCATTTGAAAAGAAGCAATTTGGAACTGACTTTGATCTTGTACGACGATCTTGGTGACTCCGAGCGCGGTGTCGGTCGTCATTTGTACGGGACCGAGATGGCGGGTCGGGAAGCCGAGTTTGCGAAGTTCACCTGTTCGGTCTGGGGAAGGATGGGCGGAAGGGTAAGATTGGCATTCGCCTAGCCGAGAACCTGATCTTTCCGAGATCGGGAGGCTCACCTCGAGGGGGGTCGTCTCCTAAGATACCACCGAATCTTTCGAATCAAAAGAGGTGTAGTTGTCAGTCTTGTCTCTTCCGAGCAAGCCTGCCATCATTTCCGACTCACAAGAACCAGTCAAACTCTTCCCGATCCTCGACCGAGACCTCCTTCTGCGCCTTGGGATCCAACAAGCACACCTTGCTCAGATCCACCCCTTCTGCCTTCATCAATTCGAGAATGCTGCTCGTTTCAGCCCGGTACGAAGCTCTCGACGCTCCTCGCGATTCGAGCAGACCGCCGAGGGAAGAGACGGACTGCGGGGAGAGGGACGAGAATATCACTTGGGAGGGGGAGGCGAGGTGCAGCATTTGCGAGTATTCGAGCGAGACCCAGGGTGGGAAGGATCCGTCGGATTCGTCGGATTCCATGTGTTCTGTTCAGGCGACAGGGGAGGAGGAAGGATACAGGGGGTGAGGAAGCGTACGAGTGACTGGCGATGTAGCGACCTCTGGAAGAGGTACTGACCGATTACATAGGTAGGCATGATGTCGAGAGATTATGAAGGATGGAAGGCAAGAGCTGAGGAGGGGATTCGGAAGCTGAGGCTGAGGCTGAGCGCTGAGCGCTGGGCTATGACGCAGCGTGCGAAGGGTGGCCTGAGCGGCCTGAACTGCGCAGTAGCGGCCAAGTCGGCGTTCTATGACGGAGCGGTCAATGTTCACGTAAATGATCACAGTTGGTTGAACGATGTGTAGGAAAACAACTGCAACTCGAAGCCGACAGCGAAAGGCCTAGTATGACACGCTTGCCTACGGAGGTCACGTGACCGGTCAGTGAAACGAGCAACAAACAATCGAGCCGGCGCGCCCTGGACTTTTCGGCTCTCCTTTCCCATCCCATTCACCCAGCGAGTGCATACGAGACCCTGTTCAACAACTGTCTACCAATCACCTACTCTCAAGTAGACACTCGCACGGCTCTTGGTTCCTGGATCCCACTCCTTGCCGCCGTGACAGTTGCCTGGGCTCTGGGCTCGCGTGCGCACCGATCCGGAACGAGTTGAACGATCCGTCCCCGGCCTCGGCTCGACTTGGACTCGGCCCACATCGCCGGAGTACTTCCTTCGTCCAGACGCACACCACAGACGTGCGAAAGAATAGGCACACAGACGCCTTGGATTGCTTTTCATGTCGGTCGCTCATACGCCGTCGCAGATGCGTCAACAACGCTACCCGCTCGACACTCCCACCCCGGCGTCCTCCTCGGGTCATCACTCGACCCTCATCACCTCGCTCAAGCCATCCAGGTCCCGCTCCAACCTCTCGTCCGAGATCAAGCGTGCCATATCCCAGCATGCCCAGCCACCCGTGAACCGCACCGCTTTCGGAAACCTCAACGGTCGATTCGCCGCTGCGCCGCCCCCTTCGTCCAGTCCCGCCTACGCCTCGGTCCCTCGTGTGATCGAGGAAGAGGGCGGCATCCTCACCGACAACACCGAGCGCGAACGTCTCGACCTCGAGAACGAAATCAGGCTCGGTATGGGCGAGCTCAACCGTCAGGCTGGTGGTCTCCGATCTGGTGCATCCTCATCGGGCGATTCGATCGGCTATGGTGATCTCTCGGATGATCACGAGCAAGCCCATGGCGGTCTCCGACAGCAAACGTCGACTTTGCCTCGTCAACGTCACCACCAACAGCACCAGGGGCTGCGAGCGAGGATTGAGGACGAATCGTCCGGCGCAGAAGACAACGGCGAGTCGTCCGATCCTACCATCGGCGACGATTTCTCGCTCAGGATCGGACTGGCCGGGAATCGAGCCAGCTCAGCAGCGGCTCATTCTGCGATGCCAACCGGGTCTGCCATCCGTGCAGCGGCCCGCGCACTCGATCAGGATGATCTCACCTTCACGGGCATGCAGAGATCACCTGCTGCTTCACCTCCTTACGCTCGAGCGGCTGCCTCGGCACGCCCTCCTCCGACCGATGAGAACCGACCCCCTGTCACCGCTGCTGGGCCCTCTGCCTCCTTCATGCCCGCTGCGTCCAAGACTTTCCCGTTGCGGTCGCCTTCCAATATCAAAAACGCCGCATCTCGAGCCAGTGCGATCCATTCCTTCTCGCCCAAGATGGGTCCGACCTACGGCAATCGCTCGAGAGTTCCTTCTTCGACGCCTCACTTTAGCGAGCCATCGCATCGCTTGCCTGATGTGACGGGTCTGACTGATGGTCTGACGAGCCCGGCTAGGTCGAGGAATCAGCATATGGCTGCTCCTGTGCCGAGAAGGCCAAACTCTGCTCAAGCTGTCGGAAGTGAAGGTAAGAGAACGTCAGCTTGGCTGGCCTTGCAGTTCACGAGTGTTCAGCGACTGATCTTGCCGTCGAAACTGGAACCCTGGACCCAACAGCCACCGCCGTCGCGAACGCCATCGACGATTTGCGTTCTCGATTGCAAGACGCCGAAGCGGCGAACGCTCAACTCATGCGAGCCTTGGCGGAGAAAGACCAACCCCCCGCCGTCGAAGTCCGACGCGCCTCGCCCGCTTTCGTCCAAGCACCAGCGCAAAGTTCGCCCGGATTGACTCGCCGAGAAGTCGAGGACATGTTCCTGCGCCGTGATCAGGAATCGACCCTTCGAGCCCGTTTGACCCAACTCGAACGCCAAGTCACTTCTCATGAGATCGCGATCGCTCAACTTCGTGCTCTTCCCCGTGTCAATGAGCATGATCGACAACGCGTGAGCGAGTTGAACGAAAGGCTCAAGACGATGTTGACCGAGACGAACGTGGTCAAAAATGCCGTAGAAGAGTTGTTGCACGACAAGCTGGTCAAGGAACAGTGGGAACGGGAGGAGATGAGTCGGAAGAGAGAGATGGAAGGACATCATATGAGGACTGGAGGATCTACGCCACCGCCGGGTCAGATGGCGGCTACAGCCAATGTCGACCCGGATCGTACCCCTCGTGCTCAGAGGACGACGCATCGTTGGGCCGCTGAACCGACAACGATCCCACCACCGCAACCCATCATCCGACCCGCGACGGCGCCCCCACGTCAACCCGTTCATGCATGTGCCGCACCCGCTCCTGCTCCTGCCCCGGCCCCCAACGCGGCTCCTGTGCACGCGCGCGCGGCTCCCCAACCCACGCACAACGACGCAGCATATGACGAGTCCTACGTTTCTACAGCGGATTCCTCAATCGCCGCCAACGATTCCGCTTCCACCGCTGCTTCCTCCCCGATGCTCGAACCCGACTTCCGCCGCGCCGAAGCCTTATTCGAATCCATGTCGATGCAAGACCCGTCCAAGAGGAGGAAGAACATTTGCAAGCTCTGTGGGAACGGGTTGAAGAAGAAAAAGGCACAGGGTCCGAGGAGGCCAGGGAATTTGGGCGTTGGTGGGAATGCGAACGAGAAGGAATTGGGAGGTACGGGTCCAAACATGCAAACTGCTGTTCCTGCAGCAGTGCCGGCGGTCGACCATAAGCTGGAATTGAGGTCTACGTTGGAAAAAATGGAACAGGCGTTCGCGGTGCAAAAACAGTAAGTTTCTCTAAAAACTCGTTACATCGATTCAGACATCTTACCCTACCAGTTCCTTCGGGTCTTCAGATTGTACATCGAGTTATCGGAGCAATATCGAGCCATGGATTCACGCGTCTCGGACGGGCGCCGAAGGATGTTGGCGACCCACCTCAAGGACAGCATCGACGTGCTCGAGACCATGGCCGAGGAAATTCAGAAATTCGATGCTTGCTTTCAGTGAGTGATCTCTCCCTTCCCAGGAGTCGAATACTGTTCGGTGGGTTCTGATCGTCGTGGCGACGTTCTTCTTCCGCAGTCGATTCACCACGAGCCAAGGGCACGGCAGGATGAGGGAAGGTGTCATCTAAATCAACTGAAAAGAGTCGGCCCGCAATTTTACGCCCTTGTGTCTTGATTTACCGCCGTACAGCACACTGTTATACCCCTTTGTCACCTGGCTTAGTGTCACCGTTATACTTTCGGATTAATTTCCTCTCGCTGATACACCAATCACGGATCGGATGAAGTCTTCCTCCTTCTTGGCCTTTTGAAATTTCTCTTGCTTTGCTTGTAATTGTCATTACTTCGGTTTATAAAGAAACATGAACAGTGTCGTTATGAGGTACACAGTTAATTGAGTAAAGTGACATTATAGTCAAGTCACGGAGAGGCGGAAGAGTAGGATCTGGGCCCGATCAAGCTCAAGCGTCAACCGCTACGGCAGGTGAAGGACTCCTCCTCATCGGCGAAGGCGGGTTGACGGGGGGACCGAAGCTCTTCCTGCGCACTGTTGGGGTATCGGGTGACGCGGACAAACTCGATCTCCTAAGCGGCGATGGGATTGGGCGAGGTGGAGGCGTCGTCGAAGATGAGTAACGACGGGTCGCAGTAATGTCGACCGAGAGGCTCGACGCACGACGAGCGATGGGGGCTACCAACAGAGCCTCGCCGTCGTCGGCATCATCGTTATCGTGGGGGACCGAGGGGATGCTACTTGTGGATGCGGGAATTGGGGTGGCAGGGATGATGATGGGCGAGCTGAAGATAGACTGCGAAGTCACCGTGGCCGATGGCGGCGCCAAGGTCTTGGGACCGATGTTGTCCTCTGGGCCACTCTCGGTCGGCTGCGCAGCCGGAGCCGCAGCGAACGAGGCATTGAACCTCATAAGCGATCCACCCGAGTCACCGAGTGGCGGCGAGTTGTGGGCCGTCGAATACTCGTCCGAGCCATCCATACCTGAAAGCCGACGTTCTGGTGTGCCCAACGACGCGGAGCTCCGCCTGGAGACGGAGCTCAATCGTCTCTCACGCAGACGATCACCCGAGACCAACATGTCGTGGTCGATGGGCGCCAGTTTCTTCTGCGGTTGGAAAGGCACCGAGGGTTGGTACAGCGGATTGAAGACGCTCACGGGCCGCGCTCGAACGTAGGGTCGTGGTTCGCTCCAGGATAGAGACTCGGAAGGCAAAGACCCACGCTTCCCGTTGCTAGCCATGGACGATCGTGTATCCTGAGACGCATACATTGAGGTGGATCGAGTCGAGCGCAACGAATGTCGGGCTTCGGGACGCGGCACGGCTGCGGGAATCGGCGCCTCGTTGTCCTTCTCAGCAGAGCTGGTGTGCTCGGCTTGATTTGGGGTGGGACGAGGTTCCGCGCCGGATGATGGGGCCGGTACAAACTCGGCCTTCACATTCGGGGCGACTGTCGCAGGCGACGCGAGCCGGGCAGAAGACATGAGCGGTGGCGAGTGAAGAGTCGGCGAGTTTGAGCTTGTCGACGTCCGGCGAGACATGTTGCGGGGGCCCGATGAGAATATCTGGACAGGTTGGGGTTCGGGCTCGTGCAGCGTCAACGAGTTCCACGCTTCGACGGGAAGTCGCGGTAAGGGCGGTGACGCAGCGGTGTCAGCGACTGAATAGAGGCTTGGCGAAGGGAATGCCTCGAGGTTGGCAGGTGTGGCGAGCAATGCGAGATCGCTGATGGGGAAAGACGAATAAGCTTGTGGAGGGGTGTTGCTCCACTTGTGCACTGCACTCCTGGGCATCGAAGATGTGAAGGGAACCGTATTGTCCGTGTTAACGGACTTGGCCGAGCTCGAGGCCAAGGGGGCATACGTTGATGATGGCCACCAAGAGGGAGTCTGGGTCGCAGTGGGCACGCTCGGTCGAATACAATAGCCCGACGGAGCGCCGCGCAAGGAAGGTGCTTGCATCGTGGGCTTGCTCGGTAGAGGCTTGTACAGAGACTCGCGCAGGGCAGCTCGATTCATACTCGAACTCGATGATCGTGGGTCGCCAGCAACCGTTCTCCGCCTCTCAGCAGCGAGCGCCGGTCCCATGGCCCCCACTCGCGAAGTCGGGTTGAGCTGATTGGTTTCCCTGCGTCGATATTCTGCGACCTTGGACTGCAAATTCGGTACTGACGTTCTGCGAGGAGGAGCAGACTCGGCGAGCGGTTGTGACGCGGCTAGTGCTGCCGCATCGGCTGCGGATAGCCTAAAGCTTGCGGATGCTAGCTTGATCTCGAGCGTATGCACTGACGATGAGCTGGTCCGATTGAGTTTTGCACGCGGTAGGGTGAGTCCAGCTACGTTCTTTAACCCGGAACTGGCGGACTTATTGCTGAGGTTGTCACCTTGCTGAGTTGGGGTGCCGGCGGAGGACGATCTTGCCATGCGTGCTGTGTGCGCCTGCGCGGTGGTGTCCGACATGACAATGTCCTCCTCTCCGAAGCCGATCAATCCAAGTCCATCGAGTGCGGGGACCGTGAACGAGGGTCCAAGTGATGTGCGGGGCAGATAGCCGTCCTTGTACCGCGATTCGCGGATCACGGGTACGTCTTCATCCGGGGTCTGAGCCCGTGCAGTGTTACCAGTGTTGTCTAGGCCTGGACCCGGCGCATAGTCCTTGAGGCCCTGAATCGAGAGCACGTTAACGACAGGCTCGGGCATGGGTGGGGAAGGAGGAATACCATTTCCCGCGATCGCTAATCGGAACGAAGCCGAATTGGCCTTCGCCCCACGAAAGCTGTTCTGTCTTGCTTCATCATTCGGTCGCGGAGAGGTTCGAATCGCGCCTCGAGGCGACTTGGGCGTCACCGTCGAGGTCACGCCCGCGAGTGCCGAGCGTGCCTTGCGGAAGGCCAAACCGGCGGGGCTTTCGGGCGAAGTCGTGTACGAAGGCGGGGTGTCATGCGGTTTGGATCTTGACTCCTCGGGTACGGAGGTGGTCACGGGTTGCTGCGACAGCTTGCGAACGGCTTGCGCTGCTTTGGTGACCTGCATACAACGTGTACCGGAGCAGCCGGAGACCAAATGAGGTCAGCGCAACTCCTCGCGGAGATTCCGAGAGCCGGCTAAGGCCTCTTAATCACAGCGACCGTACGAGCACTGACCTTGCTCTTGAACATAGAAGTACGACTGGTCGAACCACTGGACGTGGAAGAATTTGAGGTAGCCGCCATGGTGGTGGTTGGGAGCCTGTCCTAGGTTGAAACGTCACGGAGGCCGACGAGTCGAAAGTGGCTTGTGGCCCGGGGGATCGAGTTGAGACGCGCGCCGATCACAGATTTGCAGTCCGACTCTGAACTCGGAATGTCTCAGACAGCTACAATCGCCGAGAACCTCTCGCGGAATTGTCCTAGACGTTGCTTGACAGGAGGGGGTACAGTACGAAAGTGGGACGTCGGTTTCGATCCGATGTTGAAGAAAGGAAGAGCAAGTCCTTTGCATACAACGATCAGATGATCAATTCCCAAGCGCTAAGGTCCGACTTATTATTGAAGTGTGATCGCTGCTTCAGCAACGCCCGAGATTGATTAATTTATGACAAAGGCTTTGGGCCATTTCTATTGAGGCTGCCTTTTTCCACCCGGGTTGATAGATGACGTTTGAGCAAGGCCTCATCTCCGGGGCCAAATTCCGTCCGTTAGCTTGAAGCGGCGCCGAAGATGAATCTTTCCTCTTCCAGCGTATGACCTGGAGGATCGCCTCGAGGCCTTGCCGGCTCGCCCGCCGTTCAGCAGCACAAGGGTGACACAGCGATTTGCTCAGCATCCATCACACGCAGGAGTTTGAATGATAACATGAGAAACAAAAAGTATAACACTACCCGGAAAACTCATCCCTCATATTGTGAGCTCGTGGCGGCCGTTGTATTCACATATTCACTCTCATCTCCCAGAAGCCGGGGGTCGAGGTTCCGAGACAGGGTCGCCTACGGCGTCAGCCCTATAGTTTCTTCTCCAACCGAATGTGTGCCCGAGACTAGTATGGCTGCCCATAAAAGAAAAGAGAAGATCGACAGGACACCGGAGATAAAACCCCTGAGCCCATCCGAGATTGGTAATGATTGGTCGGTGCCACAGTCGTGCTCGGGCCCCTCTCTCGGCAAGCACACTCCCCGTCAACTTCCCAAGCAGGCTCCCCACTATTCTCAGCCTTACCGCTGCCGAGTGAGATGTCGGCGAAGCGTTCTAGAAATAAAACATCAAGATCGCGAGTCACATGATGTGCGTGCCGAGGAGACGATACACGAACCCAGAAAGTCGGCCTCCGTGGCAGAGAGAAGAACCGTTCCTCACAAAGGCATCGTCCACGAGTCGGCCAGGGCGAGACCAACATCGCACAAAGAAAGGAGAGAGAGAGAGAAAGAGAGAAAGAGAGAGAGAAAGAGAGAAAGAGAGAGAGAAAGAGAAAGAGAGAAAAGTCGATTTGATCCCAGAAAGCACACAAGAACATAACAAGACGAGAACTCCATGCCCAGCGCGACAACTCTTCGGGCTTCAACCTCCTTTCCTCTTCAAATTCCTCGACATCGCCAAGCCCGATCCTTCCCCACAGGCAGCCGCCAGTCATCACAACACCGTCCTCCTGCATCATATCCACGTGCTCATTCCTTTGCAACAACAGGCGCCTCCTTCTCGACTGCAGGTGTCTCCTTCGCAGGCACATCCGTGGCAGGAGGTGCAGGCGCAGGCTGCGCGGACACTTCCGCCTCTTTGGCTTTAGCAGGAGCCAGAATCGTCGGCGTCATAGCCTTGTTCTTTTTGCGATACTCGACAAACATGCCATCGAGCGCCTTGAACTGCATATGGTGGGGCACACCTTTGACGATCTCGCTCACTTGGCGATGAACTTCCTGCGTGTCCAAGCCCGCCTTCTCCGCGGTCTGCACACTGAGCCTGAACATGGCCAAGACGGCCAATGAGACCTGCGTTTGAGAATCGGGATAAGGAGCCGAAAGCGAAGCCGCGAGGACGGGAACCGAAGGACCCGACGACGAGCTGTAGTTGGTGTTGTAATGCGATCGCGTATCGCCTCGAGCCAGACGAAGCAGGATCTCAAGCACGTTGTCAATGTCGGACATGTGACCGGACACGAACGCCTTCCGATCGGCCAATGAGCCGATGCTCGAGCTCGAGGTCCAAGCATCGAGCGCATCCTGGATCGTCGGCGGCGGTTCAGGGTCATGCACGACGATCTTGCCCTTCCATGCTGAGAGCTTCTCGTCCTTCTTCTCCAGCGCCAGACCCGTGATCCATTGATCAATCTCACCGGTTTTGACCCAGCGCGCTTCGGTCAAAGGGTTCGATCGGTCAAAGCGCGCAATCACGGTGATTCGGTCGCGAGTAAAGCCGGGCGCGACGCTCAGAGCCGTGGCACCTGTCTCATCAGACAACGACGAGGCCAAAAGGTGGTGCAGAGGAGGCAACAAAGGATCCAACTCCGGGTCCTCGGTCTCTCCTTCCTTCGCCTCTTCAGCCGTATCCTTGGTTTCGTCGTTTGCTGCACGCGTACGCCACGCCACCTCGAGAGACAGACGGTCGATGACGAGGTAGTCGTCGTGTTCGCGATCCAATGCCTCGATCTAATCAATAAAGATGCGATGAGTCCATGCTCCAGCCCTGGGGAACACGTGTCACGTGTAGGGCGAGACCACTCACTAGAATACCTTGGCAAACCCTGAATTCATCCGGTACAGCATCCTCACCATCGCCCATATACGCCGGCCGCAATAAAACACCTAGCTCAATCCTCCCCTCTGCTCGGAAGATTTTGACCGATTCAACGACCTCGGCATCAAGAACCATACGACGCGTATTACGAGCGTACGAGATCGAGATTCGATCCGCACTAGGCTCGGGCGGCGTCAAGTGGGGTAGTAGGTTGGTCCCAGGGACGACGGAGGATTCGCGTGGCTTGTCCTCGGTTTCGTCACCGTGCGTGGAACCGGTGATGGAAGGCTGTCCTTGAGCATAAGGGTCGGGAGGGTAGACGGACGACATGGAGACGTCTCCGGCGAACGAAGCGTCGGCGTCGGCGTTGACCTCGACAGCTTCATCTTGAGACGCCGCCGCCGCCGTCACGTCCGGTTCGACCGAGGCCTGGACTTCAGCGGCCGGTTCTGTCGTCTCGGCGGTGTTTTCGAGAGGTCCTCCCTCAAGTGGTATGGAATCGACATCATCGCCATCGACCTCTGCCTCATGGTTCGCCGCAGCCTCAGCCGTCGTTTCAGCTCCGCCACTAACACCTTCCGGCTTCACCGCCTCTTCAACTACTGCCTCGACATTGGCGGGAGCTATCTCCTCTTCGATCGTCGGAGGCGCCATAGAGGTATCTCTAGTCGGCGCTTGAAGCTCCACCGTCGCTCCTCGAACAGACCCGCCCCCGGTGTTGATGTAGGTCGAGACAGAGTCGACGGGGGAAGAGAAGTAGATTCTGAGACGACTGTTCTCGCGATCTGAAGGCGGTCGTTCGGCTGCTGGTCCGGTCGGGGCATTCGCGGGTGGAGCAGAGTTGGCAGCTGAAAGCTTGAAAGGCGGCGGGTTCGATGACGCAACAGGGGTAGGAGCAGCGACGGGTTCCTCAAGTTCCGTCGCATCTGCGCCGGCAGACTTGTTCTCCTCCTCTTCTTTGACTTCAACGGGCTCGCCATCCACGTCCTCTTGAGCAGCCAAAGTCGATTCCGCCGCCTCAGCCTCAGCTTCGACCTCGGACTTGGGCTCCACACTCTCAAGCTTGACGACCTCCCCCGTATCCGCCTTGACTTTCTTCGGCATCGTCGCATCGACATCCCCCTCACCTCTCGACTCGCTATCCTCATCCTCATCTCGCAGATGCTTCGACTTCTTGGTATTCTTTTGCGAAGGCGACAACGACGTCGACACAGGTTCACCGTCGAGCTCATCATCGCCATCTTCTTGAGTTGATTCGTCTTCGGGGTTAAGGCCGGCGTTGGAGGTGGGTTCTTCGACGACGGCAGCGGCTGCTTTGGCCGCTCGTCGACGCTCGGCCTTGCGTTGACTTTTCGTCTTCTTCTTCGTCGGGGCAGTCGCATCATCCTTGGCCGTCCCTTTCACGCCATCCCCATTCTCCTTCTCCGTCGAATTAGCGGCATCGGCCTCAACGACCGCCTTAACGACCGCCTGAGCCTTGGCCGCCCAGGTCCATTTCAACTCCGTGATCTCCAACCCCGCGATCCTGAAATCCGTCAAGGTCCTCCCATCACCACCCTTCTCCTTCCCCGAACCTCCCGGACCACCCCCACTCCCCATCGTCCTTGCGCCCCATTTCCTCTCCTTCTTCTGACCATGCGGAGGGATCGCATTGACGCGCGCGTTACGGGGTCCTCGAGGGGCATCGACGGCGGCGAAACGATCACCTCGTTTTGCGGGACTCGACACGAATCCTGCACGACCTGCACCGGGAAGGGCGGAGACGGGCCGTCCTCCGCCTCCTCCGCCTGCACCACCACCGGAGCGACCGACGCCGCCTCGAGGGGGTCTTGAAGGCCCATCACGAGGTGCAAAAGCCGGACCTCGGGGCGCACCCCCACGGGGTCCAGGCGAGCCTTGATCTCTGTACGCAGGTCCAGGAGGAGGAGGCAAGCGTTCATCCCTTCGAAGAGAAGGTGGGGGAGGTCTTCGGTCGTCGTAACGTGAAGGCGGTGCGGGGCCGTAACGATCGCCTCGATCGTAGTGACCTGGGGGAGGAGGAGGCAATCGATCTCGGGGATCGTCTCGGTAAGGACCTGGAGGGGGAGGTCCGTCGAATCGATCGTCGTAGCGAGAAGGTGGGGGTGGGCCACGATGCGCAGAGAGTGGTGGGGGTCCTCGGTCATATTGGCCTCGAGGCGGGGGTGGTCCACCTCTGGAGCTCGATCCTCCGACGGGCGGTAACGCAGGTGGTGGAGGCGCAGGACCGGGGGGTAGCGGAGGTGCTGGTCCACCTTCGTATCGAGTACGCTTGTAAGGCGGTGCTCCCTGTGGTGAGGGTAAACCGTGCTGAGGCGGAGGGATCGGGTACCCATTGCCAGGAGGGGGAGGAGGGTATGCTCCCTGCGCCCCCGGGTAAGGCGCCGAACCGTTCGGAGCGGGGTAGCCGTATGCTGGCGCACCGTACGGCGGTTGAGCACCTTGGGCTTGTTGCTGGCCCGGTTGGGGGTAGTAGTTCTGTGGGCTCGGGTAGCCGGGTGGGGGAGGAGGGGGAGGGACCATCCCGCCTGGGTAGGCCGCATACGCCGCTTGCGGTTGCGCGTAGTTGAGGTAGGGTGATGTGGTTCCTGTCGGGACCTGTGAGAGCGCAGATCACCTCGCGACGTTAGAACGTGCATCGAACATGGGACCGAGCCTCCCCAGGCTGACCTGAGCTGCGGCGCCTCCATAGCCGTAGGCCGGGTACTGGGGATGAGCGCCATGCTGAGCGGCGGCATAGGCAGCAGGGTAGCCATAGTTGGCGTACGGATTGGGTTGTTGCGGACCCGAAGCTGAGGGGGGTTGGGGAGGTGGGCCCGGGGGTAAGGGCGGAGGGGCCTGGGAGGGTTGAGGTGTGCTCGAGGGCGCTGGCGACGGTTGCGGACCGGACTTGTAGGTCGCTGCTGCACCGGCTTGCGAGGCCGTGGCCGGAGACGAGGTCTGACCGTATGAGCGCTTCACTGCAAGTGTGCAAGTGGTGGTGGTGGTGGTGGTGGTGGTGGTGGTGGAGGAGGAGGAGGAGGAGAATTGGCCAGGGAAAGATGAGCGGGTGTCATACGGGTGGAGATGGGGAGATGGGGAGGAGATGGGGAGGGTGGTGCGACATGAGCGACGTCGAGGTCACGTAGCGTAGTAGAAGAAGCATGACTTACTGGCGACTCGATCACGTCGGCGGACGACTCGACGTCAGTCCCCGAACCAAGCACAACGAGGGAGCACGTGTCCAACTGAGACGGTGAGGTGAGTCGAGTGCAGAGAGGCGAGCAGCTGAGCGTCGCCTCACTGACTCGGGCGCGTGGTCGGGATTCTGCCGAGGGCCAGGCTGTCCCAGGCGAGTGCCAGGGGAGTGCCACAGCAGGCTGGCAGGGGCTGGCAGGGCGTCCCGCGCTCGGACCGTTCGTCGGCTGAGTCAGAGCACGAACTGCGGACTCAATCCGGACTACTAGTAGTGTAGTAGTGGGCCCAAACAGTGCCACACTTCCTTGACCAAGCGCGGTGTTTCTCTGGATTTTCCTGGAGTGATAATCACCTGACCGCACTCGACTGGTTGTGTTCTCATGCTCGCTTGTCCAGAACAAAGAATTTCACTCGGTCTGCCATGCCCAGTCCGCGGATCACCACCAGTGAACCACTGGCAGTGGATCAGATCAGGATTCAGGGGGCTTGCTTTGGGTCGTCACGGTCAGAACTAGAGACGAGCAACGTTCAAGGACAGTCCCCGTCGTGGATCAGAACATACCGCACAGATCTAGACCCGACCGACCCAATCGAAACGAGGTCCGAGGCGGTGAGTGTTCTTTGACGGGGGCAAACGATCTAAACAGAGTGGCACCCGCGCCGAACCGACTTCTCTCGCTCTCGCCTCGCTTCTGTCGCGACTTGTGCTCGTCCACGGCAGCGAACAAGATGGACGCCCAAGTCGATCTGCCCGTCTCACGTCGAGAGCTGTACGAGCTCGTCAGACTGTGGTACGTCGACCCAACCTCCGCGACGGTGGCGCTGTGAGTACGACCGACACCTCCCCACCCGCGCCGCCTGTTCCCGGTCTGACCCATCTCCGATTCCTTCTCTGATCCAGAACAAACGCACTTGTGACCGTCTTTGCCACCTCGACAACCCGCGCCTCGACCTCGGATGCGGTGGACCTCTTCACGAGCCTCCATTCGCTGCTCTTGCCGCTGTGTTCGATCGGGGCGACCCGTACGACCGCCGACAGCCTGGCCAACTACTTGATCCAGTCACTGCACCCTCAGCTCGCCCCTGAGCACTACCTCCGCTTCAGCGATCTCATCATCGATGTCGCGTGGCAATTCGAGCAGGCGATCGACAATGGGTTTCTGCCCAGCCCTGTCGTCCCCACCTCGGCGACCCTCACCGTGGCCGAAGCAGCCGCCGCGCTGCCGGTGAAAGATGACCCGCACAATCAGATGCAGATCGACTCGGATGATCTCAAGGTCGTAGAGGATGCCGCGTCGATAGCCCAGAGTATCGAGCGCAAGCGCGCGAAGCACGTTCACCAGGCTCGCGAGAACGTCGGAGCTCTGTTGAAGCACCTCTGCGTGAGTCATGGGCCGAGCTACGCATCGAATCAGACAACCACCACTTACACCACTTCGCCTTTCTCTCGACGTAGGTCGCCAACATCATCTCGGTCGATGCGGTCGGGGAACGGCTCGACCTCGTTTCGCTCGTCGTGCCCACCTTGGGCATCATCAGCAACGTGCAGCACTTTCAACGCCACGAGATTCGTGCACGAACAGCCCTCTAGTAAGACTCGTTTTCCATACCGCACGGCATGCGCACCATCATCGTTGGTCCCGGTCGAACGCTCGTCCGTCGTCGGTCCCCCAAGATGATGCGTGACCTTCTCGTTCAAAGAACAACCGTCCTCTGACCCACTGTTGCTCCATCTTTCGCGATCCTCGTCCGTGCCTCGCGACCGATTATCCCCACCAGTTACAAGCAGCAAAAGTTCAACTTGCTTCGCGAGGAGATGGAAGGATACTCCAAGCTCGCAGTCGAATTGCTCTTGCTCCCCGGGCCGCCGCAATCGACCGAGGACGGCCGCAGCGTCGAAACAGAGGAGCAACGCTTCAAGAGGGCCAACGCGGCCATGGATAAAGTCAAGAGCTTGATTGGTCAGTCACACAAGGGTCAAACATCACGAGTCGGCCAACTCGTGCTCATCTACCAGAGAATACGGCGACATCACAGGCAATTTTGACCTTGATCCGGATCGCACGATCGATCTCATCCTCGACGCCTTTACCGAACAAGTCATCGACCACTACCAGTTCTACCTCGACCTCATCTCTGTCTCACCATGGGCTTCACCTCGCAAGAAGAATGGGGCAGCCTTACCGGAAAAGGGCAAAGCGAAGGAGACAGACATCGACATTGGGCTCGAGGAGGACCAAGGCAATCGAGTATTGGCCCAAATACTGGGTTTCAAGTTCAAGTTCTATCAAACTGAAGGCGTCAGCGAAACACCGAGGCAGCTCTACCTCATGACCGCCCTCTTGATTTGGCACGGTCTCGTCAAGCTTTCCGACCTGTGGCCCCACCTTTCCCCCGACGACACCGTGCTCGCCAAGGTCGAGTCCCAGTATCGCGAGGACCAGGAAAAGGCCGCGGCTTCCGTCGGCGGTGGTAATGCATTGGCCATGGCGGGCGCGTTGGTAGACGACGACGCTCCCAAGACCAAGTCCACCGCCTCGACGGCATCCAACGCCAACGGCGACGCCGCCGCGGCCGCTGCCAAACCCGATCGAGTCTTACCGAATCAGCGACTAGAGCTGGTCAAAGCGATGCTGTCGCTCGGGGATCTCGCACATGCCCTCTTTGTCCTGTCCCAATACCCGACTCTTGTCTTTGCCAACCCTGCGGTCGCCGCTCTCCTCAATCGATTGCTCGTCGTCTCGCTCACCCCAGCATTTGAGACCATCGATTCGTTGGCCCTCAAGACCGACGCGTCCCGTCGGGCCGAGCTCAAGGCTCCTCGGAGGGTTTTTGAATCGTCCACTAAAACGCTCGTCCCTCCTACTCCCAAAGCACGACAGTTGACGAGTCGAGCGATCCCACTACCGATCCCAAACAAGGAGCAAGTGTTTTTCTTCCCCGATTGGCAAACGCGGCTACCGAAATGTGGCGATGTCGAGGAAGTCTTGGTCGTGCTCGAAAAGACGTTCGCTCCATTGCTCGGCCCGTTTCTCGCCTTGGACTTGCCAGCCTACAGTCGCATCTGTCGGATCATCAAGCAAGACCTCACCGCGCTCGCCCCAGCCGAGAACCCACGTTTCGCTCGATGGCTCGTGCTCATACGTCAGGTATTGCTTCCCGGCGCTGCGCTTCTCAAGGACAACTCGCCTGTAGGTCTCCTGATTTGGGACGTCTTGCGACTCTTGACGATCGAGCAACGCTATCAGTTGTACGGTGAATGGAAGGACGCGGCGTATCGTCGGATCCCCGTTCTCGGCGTTCGCAAAGCAGAGACCGAGCGTAAAGTTAAGATGATTCTTCGACGACTGTCGACGGAGAACGTCAAGCGTTTGGGCAAGAACCTCGCCAAAGCGGCTCACAACAACCCCATCATCACCTTTGCCGTCGTGCTCAACCAAGTGCAAAGCTACGATAACCTCATCCTCCCCGTCGTCGAGGCTGCACGATATTTGAGTGACCTCAGTTACGACGTCCTCACTTACACCGTATTGGATGCGCTGAGCTCGAGCAAGAGCAAGACAAAGGAAGACGGAACCAGTACCGCGCTGTGGCTCCAGAGTCTGGCAACCTTCACCGGCCACCTCTATCGTCGATGGTTGGCCCTCGAACCATCCCTAGCCATGATCCTACAATATCTCGTGAACCAACTCGTCAGCGGCAACTCAAAGGACCTCATTATCCTCCGCGAGATCATTTCCAAAATGACCGGCCTCGAACCTTTCGCCGATCTATCCGACGCCCAAGTCTTTGCCCTCGCAGGTGGGAAGGTGCTCCGCAGCGAAGTCTTTTTCCAAACCGAGATCGGACAAGCCGCGAAATCCAAAGAGATGGCCTTGACGAACAACTCGCGAGAGCGATTGGGAAAGGTGTTGGAACGTACTCGTTTGTCGATGCCTTTGTTGGTCAATATCGCTTTACAACGCCAAGCGTGCGTCGCGATGGATACGCATCTCAAATCGCTCGGAGCATTGTTCGATACCAACCACGCGATATTATTTCAATTCACTGAACTACTCCTCGCTTTAATGGACGTGACCGAACTAGCCAAGGAACTCCCAACGATCGAGGAATTGACGAGGGATTACGGCATCGAACCTGCTGTGGCGTTCGAGATCGGACGACCTAAAATGAGGATCGCGATGAAGGCGTTTGATGAGACGGATGCGCAGAGAAATTTGGAGCTGGAGAAGAGGAAGGCGGATTTGAGGGCCAAGTTGGCTAAGGAGAAATTGAATAAGGTCGCGGAGGAGGAGAGGGCCAAGACCACGTCAACGACGGGTGATGCGGTTGTTGAAGGTGGGAAGGGGAATGTGACAAATGAGGCTGAGAAAGTTGGGCAGCCTGAGGCGGGGACTGAGGATGCCAAGATGGAAGATGCCACGAGCAAATTGGTCGAGGAGATCAAAGTTCTTGTGGCCGACACAGCGATGGACGTGTCGATGACCGATGGGACGCCGAGCGACCCACCCGACTCTCCAGTCATCAAAGCACCGGTAGGTCGGCAAAGACTGTACGCGTGCTCATCAACCTTTACTCATGTGAACCATTATCATCTCCTATCAGATATGGCATCCGGGGTTGGTGGACGTCATCCATTCAACGGAGGCGACGCTTCCTTATGAGGTTCAAGAAGTGATGGGGTGCGTGAGAACAGACTGGACGGCCATACAGAGACAGGAAGCCTGATTCTCGCTTCTTCTCTTGTCCAGTGCGCCCTTCTACGTCACCTTCTGGCAACTCACCCTCTACGACATCATGTACCCCAAAGAACGTTACGACGCCGAACTCGACCGACTCAACAAGATGCAACGCGACATCAGTGGATCTGAAATTGCCCAGACCCTGACCAAAGATGCGACGAGTCGTTTCGTGCAAAACATCGTTTCGCTCGCCAACAAATTGCTGAAAGAGGCTGAGGAACATCGATCAGCGAGGGCGGTGGTCAGTCGCCGTTTGACGAGGGAGGCAAAGTCGTGGTTCATAGGTTAGTGAGCTTAGTGGTCCTGCATATCCAGTGCTAATTGCTGACTTGCTGCGTGCTCTTCGTGCAGGTGTTACGACCAACTCGCAACGCAAGGTGCTCGTCGACCAAATCGTGCAGCACTGCATTCACCCACGAGTCAAGCTTTCGTTGCCGGATGCCGTTTTCTCGTACCAGTTCATCAAGCGCTTGCATTCGATGAACACGACTGGTTTCCATAGCATTCTATTCTACGATAGGGTGCGCAGGGCTGTATGATAGGTACTTTCGGCGAGATAAATTTTGACATCCCGTTGCCTGCGTACAGATCCTCAACCGCCACTTGGTACCCGTCATCTACTCGTGCAGCGAGAACGAGGCACGCAACTACGCTCGCTTCCTCCACGACATGCTCCAAGACGTCAACAACTGGTACCGCAACGAGGAGAAGTTCAAAAGCGAGGCGATTGGTTCCGGTCTCAATGGGTTTGCGCGGCGACCTGCAGCCCTGTTCTCGTCCTCGATCAAGCTGGAGGAGTGCTTCTCCCACAAGGATTTCCAACACGTTACGGAGAAATGGACGAATCGAACCGTCTCGAGCTTCAGCGAAGGTTTCGAGTCAGGTGAATACATGCACATCAAGAACTCGATCCTCGTCTTGACCAAGATTGCACCCCACTTCCCGATCGAGTACAAGTCGGGAGTCCGACTTGAAGCTGCGATCGAGGCGTTGCTCAAGACTGAACAGAGAGAGGATCTCAAGATCTTGGCTCAGGGTTACAAGGCCGTGATTACGAAACGCAAGAAGCTTTGGGCGAACCAACCTGCTCCACCTGCTGCTGCGCCAGCTCCCCTGGTCGAGATCAAGTCGATTGCATCGTCTTCGTCGGCCCCGTCCTCGTCTCGCCCTTCGCCTGCGCCCCCAAGCGTGTCGGCCAAAACGCAAGCGAGTGATGGACCTCCCACTGCACCAGCTGCACTGCGGGCAACCGCTACCCCGTTCTCTGGATTGCCGATGCGACCCTCCTTGAGCTCGGGAGGTTCACGAGAACCCCTGCGACCTGCCCCAACTGGACCCGCTCGTGACACCGCACCCCGAGATGATCGTTTCGCAGACCTGAACAGGCCGCGAAGCGATCTTATTAGTAGGCTCAACCCGAGTAGTGGAGGTCGCCCAGCCGCTCCTGCTGCCCAAGGTCCGCCTGCAGCCCCCCGGGCCGACGCGGTCAATCGGTCACAGCCTGCTCCTCGCTCGGACAATGCCTCCACTTCGAACGCGTCACAGTCGGTGGCCACATCAAACGGAACCGAGAATGCGAATGGGAACGCCAACGGCCTGCCGGCGAAGCCAGGAACTTCTTCCGAAATGGAGCTTCGCGCGAAAGCCTTGGCCTCGAGTCGCAATTCGGTGCTGATGAACCCTCCAGCATCGACTTCGTCTGCCGCCGGGACGCCCCGAGCTCGTTCGCCCGCTCCAACTGGGCCCGCTTCATCGACAGCCCAGCCCTTGTCTCATCCTGCGAAGGATGCATCTCATCTTCCTTCGAGTACCGCAACGCCTCGCGAGCAGGACCGCGGCCGGGAGCGCGACGATCATTCGAGTCGCCGCCGATCAAGTCGAGAACGAAGTGTCGAATCGACTCGGTCGTCCAATTCGAAGCGCGAGACGAGATCCTCGGCAAGAGATGAGCCTTCCTCCAGGTCTTTCAGGAGCGATCACGATCGTCATGACGAGTCGCGGAGTACGCGGGATGGCGGCCGGGATAAGAAGACGGAAAGTGATCGCGAGAGTAGTACGCGCGATCGGGATCGTAGAGATCGAGAGAGGGAGAGGGAGAGGGAGCGTGTTCCAAGGCGCGAACGAGAACGCGAGAGGGATGGAGATAGGCCTCGTTCGCATGAGGCCTCTTCGAGGAGTTCGAGACGGTCCGGGGGTGAGATTAGCGCGGCGGAGGAGGATCGGAGGAGAAGTGAGAGGAAGGAGGAGGAGAGCCGCAAGACGGAGAGTCGGCGTGTTGATGAGAAGACGATTGAGGATGACAAGACGCGCGGTGAGAATAAGAAGCGAGAGTCAGATGGAAGGCGGGGAGTGCACGGTCGTGAGGAGAGGGACACCAGACGTCGGGGTGAGGATCGGGAGAAAGAGGTCAGTACGCCGTGATCTGATTGCTCTGGTGTTTTGCTTGATGGCTGACGAGGATACAATCGATTTGACAGCGACCTGCACGAGACTCGGGCTCGACCTCACGGCAACCGTCGCCCGCTCGATCACTAGCTGACCGCCTCAAGCCCGCATCGGCATCGGTCTTGGCTTCGATCGACGACTCGAAGCGAGCATCTGCACAAGGTCGCAACGAGTGTGAAGATGATCGGGAAAAGGGCCAACGTGACGCCGAGCGCACCACCCGCGATGACCCGTCATCAACCGAGCCGACGCGGATGTCCGTCCGCTCGACGGCGTCGCGAGAATCGTCGAAACCGCCGACGGCACCCTTCAGCATTCGCGGCAGCAGTGGTGGTGTTTCGAGGCTCATGAGCAGTGCTGGATTGACGAGTCGTTCCGAGCCGGCTTCGTCGAGGCGTTCATCGAAGGGACCGACGCAAGACGGCGAGACAACCGAGAAGCGGGATGAGATGAAGGACGAGCCCGTTGATTCGAGGAAACGTGCAGGCGGCGAGAGGGTCGAGGAGCTCGAAGTCAAGCGAGCCAGGACTTCAGCACCTGTCCCACCACCCATCGCTCCCGCTGCTGATCGGGAGCGCGAACGAGGTGGCAGAGATACTCGAAGCTTAAGGGAAACGAGGGATGGCTGGGACACCAGCAATATCAATAGCAACAATAGGGGACCCCGAGGCCCCCGAGGCAGCGGATCAGCCGACACGCGCTTCGCCTCACAGTTTGCGCCCCAGGGAGGAAGGAGATAACTTATACCATGTATGTGTTTCTTTGTGTGTGGTATGATTGAAGTATTGTGCAATGTTGGGATGCAACCTGGATGGAGTCTTCTTTTATCCATGACGAGGCCCCTTTTCGGGCGTAGGAGTGGGGTAAACTTACAAACCCGTACGGAAGGCTGCTCGGGGGCCCACCGGTACTGTCTACGACAAAAAACAACTATGGACAAAATAAAACGCGCGCCTATTGCTTCCGCCAGGTCTGGACAAGACAAAACAAAACAAAAACCACAAATGTCCCAGACGCGTGAGCCGGGGGATGGGATGCCTGGTCAGCGCCCGGCCGAGCCTCACAGAGACCTTTGAGCGATCATCGAGCTCAAGGAGTCAGAGTACTCACTGTAAAAGATTCCCTGCACGATCCACCCAGTATTCAAAGAAGGTCGAGAGATGACCTGATGAGGAACAACAGAGTACTGCAAAGAGTCAGCACGATGAATCATGGTGATGCATGATGATGGAGCGAGCCTGGCCGAGGCCGAGGGAGTGAACCCCCCGCAGGCGATAGGTTCGCTCGTCGAGCACGACGTCAATGGTGAGCTCTCTCTCGCAACCTTGACCCATCACATCACATCCGAGCCTTCCATTGCAAGTACTAGGTTAGATACTGACAACATGGTAATGACCTTGACTGTCCCCGTGTAATCTGCAGTGTTCATTTTCGACGCGGCAATGGCCTTTACCTACCTGCGCAGGTCAAGAATATCGACAGACTCGAATCGCCTGCTGTTCGCTTGCTTGCGAGGGAGGATCCGATACTTCGCAACCGATGCTGATATGAGCATGGCATAATCGCCGTTGCCGCTCACGAGGGCGGTACGTTCCGAGACGAGCTCGACACCGCCGATCGAGCCAAACTTGGTCGCGGCCGCGATGATCGGGTCCGTCTCGTGGGCGGCAAGGACGAACGATACATCGCCTTTCGAAGCGATCTTGCCAAGCTCGACCTTCCGACCTTGTCCTTCAAAGTCCTCTGCCCATGGTTGGGCTGTTGGGAAGGCCTTGTTGAACGCGTCTTCCGAGATCACGGGGATGGGCGAAGCGGAGAGGACGGACGTCGTTCTCTTCTTGAGACGGCCCTCCACCGTGGCCCTTTTCAACTCGAGTCGGAAACGGGGATAATCAAAGAAGACAATGAACTTGGTGGATCGCAAGTCTCGAGATGTCCAATCATGGATCAGGGACTGGATCTTGCCGAGGAACTCGCGTGCTTGGCCGTGCGGGTGCGGGTGGGACGAGGGCGAGGGCCACACTCGCGATCCACCAAGTTCATTGTCTTCTTTGATTATCCCCGTTTCCGACTCGAGTTGAAAAGGGCCACGGTGGAGGGCCGTCTCAAGAAGAGAACGACGTCCGTCCTCTCCGCTTCGCCCATCCCCGTGATCTCGGAAGACGCGTTCAACAAGGCCTTCCCAACAGCCCAACCATGGGCAGAGGACTTTGAAGGACAAGGTCGGAAGGTCGAGCTTGGCAAGATCGCTTCGAAAGGCGATGTATCGTTCGTCCTTGCCGCCCACGAGACGGACCCGATCATCGCGGCCGCGACCAAGTTTGGCTCGATCGGCGGTGTCGAGCTCGTCTCGGAACGTACCGCCCTCGTGAGCGGCAACGGCGATTATGCCATGCTCATATCAGCATCGGTTGCGAAGTATCGGATCCTCCCTCGCAAGCAAGCGAACAGCAGGCGATTCGAGTCTGTCGATATTCTTGACCTCGCGCTCTCGACGCTGACTCAAAAGTGCTCGACTCTGACGGCCGCGTCGTCCTCTCGTTCCTTTTCGGCAACGACTACTTTGGAGGGATCAAGGGGTGGGGGTTCAAGGCACCAATCAGGGTGCCGATCGATAACCCTCTGTTTCAACTGAACTCCTTTCTCCGCGATTACGACCATGCTCACGGACGACTTGCCCGTGCGCCGCCAATCAACGCCCCGGCGCTCTCCACCGACGACATTCGTGAACTCTGCGACCATATCCGGGCCGTTCGACAATTGCACTTGTTCGCATCCGATGCCTTGTTCGACAAGAACGAACTCGTCGACGACCCCACCGCCAACCTCAGCGCCGACGCCGCCCGTCGCGCGATCACCGCAGCTGGCGGCAGCAACGTCCAACTCAGCAAGAAGAAGCTCTTTGAGAAAGTTGTCAAGATCGAACGTGTATCTCCCCTGCTGCCCTCCGCCTTCCCTCGCAACGCCAATCCCAAGCATGGAGGTCACCACAGCATCAGCGACACCAAAGCCAAGTTCGACACCAAGGTCGCAACACGGTGCGAGCACAACTTTGCACGGGAGAGCAAGAAACCCGCTCGAACGATGTCCGCCCCGTCATGCGCCGTCAAGGGAGAAGTTGCATACTCACCGCTCATGTTGGAGGGACCCGAGGATCTGCTTCGTCGCGAACCCGTCGTGTCGACTTCGAACAAGGCCAAGCAGATCGCGACGCCCGAGTCAGCGGCTCGGGTCGCCCGAACGGCACCAAAAGTCGCAGTCGACTCATCCGAGGAGACGGCTCGAAGGGGCTGCCCCGGTGGATCGATCTATCGATACCGAATCGTGACCACGCAACTCGACCCTGCCTTGAGGAACGATGTTGGGAGGCCGGTGGCCACTTTGGGTCGATGACTCGAGGAACACGCCAAGCCCAACCATCTGCAGCGGTATGCCTTGGGGGAGACCCGAGGGAGCATCAATCAAAGCCCAACATCTAATCTACTACATCTTCGATCCTCTGAACCCATTCGACGGGGTACCCACTGACCCAGCCGCCCCTTGCTTCATTCTCAGCAAACACGCCGACACTTCACTCTTTGACTACTTGACTCTTGCAGCCCCAGCCCCACTCGATGCGAAACCGGCCCAGATCGCGAAGTCGTCGTCGACTCTTTCGTAGAAGCGCGGTCCAGACCAGGTAGCGGGGACAAGTCGCCGTCGCTGGCAGACGAGTATGGCCTCTGTCACCGCTGCAAATGGGTGCATACGGGTACATGACCAGCAGCTATAATCCTCTCTATCTCGTTCAAACAACCTTTGCATGACATTGCATAGCTATTCACCCTCGTGCACGCTCGGATCCGATCGCCCGCGCGCGACCTTCGGTTCGCAGCGACTCGAGGTGGAAGCGAGGTTAATACCAGCTCGAGCAAAGCTGATTAAGCCACAGCCACTGCATCTGTTTCGGAGATATTAGCTCTGGGGTGAACCTCAGATCTTACCCTACTTGCTGAAATATGAACGAGCTTGATCGACAAGGCATTCGGTCCCTCGAGGGGTGGAGCTTTGACCTCGATGTGGGGTACAAGGTCGGTCCCCTGTCCACGATTTCACTTCAGTGCCGCGCCGCACTCGGACCTCGGCAGAGGTGGAGAAGATCGGAAGTGGTAGCCCCATCGATATGACTCATCTGCACAGGCAACCACAAGCTGACAGCACTTCGCACACCTCTCTCTCTCTCTCTTCTTATTTCTTCTCCTTGGCCCTGGCTCAGCACTTTGGGCCGGCAAACGCTACTTGCTCCCCCTTGGATACGGTTGAATGCGTTTGTGTTCATGTCAGCATGTTTCCGAAACGTGATTGTTTTCCTTCTCCTTCGCGTCTCTTGCTCTTGCTCGTCGTTGTCGATGGGGTGGGACCGACTCCCCCACAGCATTTCGAGCCGTCTCTGATCCGCTGATGCCGCTCGGATTTATGCTAACTTCAGCCCACCACTACATGATCACCCTGGCCTTCCACAGCCCTGCTATAGATTAATTGACTTCAAACCATTGAATTGTAAAATCTACTGCTCGAGAACAGTGAGTCAACTCGTCGTGCGATGTTGCTGCTTGCACCGGTCGATCGGTTGCACAGCACGAGGTCGCACAGAAGAGGTCGCCTCGAGCTCACTAGGCGCTCACCTTGTCAAGGCTCGAGCTCAGCAACCCTGGTGTTGGCAGAAAAGCCAACTGTTCGTTACTCTGTACTAGATCGAGCTTGACCCATTTCCCATCGAGATCGACCACGTTCCAATCCGTCTTTGTGCGGGACTCTGAACGTGGTTGTAAAGAAGTGAGTTTCCAAGCCTGTTGAGTCCGAGCTCGTGCGACGTTCACCTCTCGCCGTCGGTCGGTCACACAGGGGGGCACCCGAGTCGACTTGAACTCGACCTCGCCGGTCGATCATCGTCATAATCATTCAGCATTCAACGTCATGCATCATCGCGCTGAGTATTGCATCCTTTGCTGTTGTTTATCAGTTCATCTCTCGACCTTCTTTAATCACTTGATGGACCATCATGTGGGCTCGATCACTCGATGGTCTCGCCACGGCTTCAATCCGTTGCCTTACGCGCGCGCCCGCGCCTGGGAGAATGTTTTGGTCATTTTGTCCAGACCTGGCAGAAGCAACTGACGCGCTTGTCTGTTTATTGTCCATAGTTTTGTCCTGGACTTTTGAGCCACGCGCCTCCGTTTGACCCCCCGAGCACGCTCCCGTACGGCGAAATTTGCCCGCAGCATCGCCTCCACCCTACCCAAACTATGACGTAAGTGCAAGAGCGCCGCCGACGTCGACGTAACTCATGCCCGGCTGCCACTTTTCTTTCCCTCCTCCCCCTTCCTCCCATCCAAACGACATTAACCTCTCGCCCTATCCATCATGTCTCGCTTACTGCAGAACAAGCATGTCGGCATTAAGAAGCCGACCCATGGCCACCAGCTCCCCAAAGAAGGTTAGTCGCCGCTCGCCTCTCGGGCTTAGCCTGAGCGCCACCCACCCGACGACGACCCTGGTCGGCCTGGTCGCGGATGTGACGACGTTCGAAGTGACGAGGCGGCGATGCTGCGCTCTCGTTCGCCACGCTCCCAGCCTTTCTATTGCACCTAGATTGACCACACCCCGTTTATCTCCTGCACTCATAGGAGGATCTCTCCGACTCGACCACACCTTGATCGACCGATGCCAGCAATGGAAGCACGTCGACAAATCGCTGCTGCACTACTTCGAGGGCCTCGCCGCGATCCAGCACACCACCGCAAAGGCGACCCTTGCGCTCCAGGAGACCATCCAAGTTCCTTTCCATGAGGGTGAGTGTGCTGCCTGAAAATGATCCTTCGACCGCCTGCGTGATGTGTGGCGAGATACACCGATCATCTCCCGGCGAGATTGATCGTCACCCTTGGGCGCCACCTCCCCGACGTCACATAGCCCGAGGCCCTTCCGTAGTCCCTCGAGACCCGCAGGGGCTTGGAGAATGGAGCAATTCTGTAATACTCACAACTCTCAGCTTAAGTCGTTCTGACACCCTTTCAACTCGCCCTTTCCCTTCACAGGCCACCAGTTCCTCGGTGAAGGCGGATGGCAAGAGATCTTGTACTCGGTCCGCGACCAGACCAAAGTTCTGGCCGAGGCCCACTCCAACTTTGGCGAGACCATCGAGAAGACGGTCGTCAAGGAGCTTCAAGGCGTCCGAGCCGAAATCAAGGCTCACATAGCCGCCCTTGAGAAGGAGGCGTCTCTCCTCGCCGATGACGTTGAGAAGGAGGTTAGCCGTTGCTCTGACTTTGCGAGCACGATGGCGCTACGAGTCTCGGAATTGACCCTGTTCACGTTTTATGCCACAGCGCGCCAACTCGACCCAGCTTTTGACTCAATTACAAACCGGCATTGAAACCTACGAGTCCTCGGACTCCCCCATGTTGCCCCAACACGACCCGTAAGTTTTGAAGGACACAGCTTCACGTGTTTGTGAGGGTTGCTCAAGCGTCCCCTGTTCCTCGCACCGCAGTTACCTCACGCACTCACTCGTGCAGACCCAACTGAAGAAGCAGATCCACAAAGAGAGTGAGTAGGACCGGTGCGATACCTCTAGCTTCCACCATTTGGCTGACTCGGACTAAATTGGCCTGAATAGACGACCTCCAAGCTGCTCTCATCCGCTTCCAGCAGCAACAGCCCGCGTTCGAGGAGGGCATCGCCAAGTCGATCCAGTCCGCCTGCAAGCTGTTCGACGAGGCCAAGGCCACAAAGGATGACGAGTTTGCCAAGTTGACCAAGGCCATTGGCGAGTCGCTCCAAAAAGTCTCCCCTACGGCCGAGTACGAATTTGTGGGTCTTCATGGGAATATTCTCCATAGCACGCGTCTTCGAACCATACTCACCAAGTCTTTTCTCATCCGTTAGTGGTCTGCCAAGGAGGGGGCCCTCCTCGACGTCAACGCGCCAACGCGCAGCGTTGACGCCATCATCTTCCCCGGTCTCGACCACGCCGCGACGCAATCGATCAAGGAAGGCCACCTCGAGCGCAAGAAACGCTTTACCAAGTCTTACGCGGAGTCGTACTACATCCTCACTCCTTCCGGCTACTTGCACGAGCGCAAGACGAGCAGCAGGTCCGACGCCTCAGCTCCTGGTTTCTCGCTCTTCTTGCCCGAGTGCGTTCTCGGCCCTCCCAGCGGCGAGAGCGACAAGTCGCACAAGTTCCACGTCGAGGGCAACAAGGCCGTCAAGTCGTCGTTCGAGTCCAAGGTCAAAAACTCGCTCCGCTTCGGCGGCAAGGAGATCGCCTACACGTTCCGCGCTCGCACTCACGCCGAGATGATGGGATGGTGGAAGGAGATGGACCAGCTCACGCGCGAGACCAAAACGCAGGTTCCCAAGGCCAAGCTCGCCCTCGTTACGCCCGTCGACCTCGCCGTGGCTCAGGTCGGTCTGCCAGTCGAGGGCGGTCAAGACTTGACCACGCCCATCCCTACGGCCGCGCTCCACCCAGAGGAGGACGAAGAGGAGTCTGGAGGATCGAGCGCCGAAGAGGAGGATGATGAGGCCCGAGCTATCCGAACCGCACCCACCACTCCGGCCGTCGGTTCTAACGCCACCTCGCCCTTGGACCACGCCGGCGCCGAGCATGCTATTACGGAGTCGGAGTCAGGTCAAGGCAAAGCCGAGACGTTGCCTACATACGCCGGTAACACCAACAACGTCGCCGTTGCCGAGAAGGATGGCGTCAAGAGCGGTCCTCCTGCCCTCGCTGAGCCGACCGAGAATCACGCGTCGACGTCGTCATCGTCGTAAATGCCGTCGCTGCCAACCCGCTTCCCTCGTCACCTTGATCACGGCAATCTTGTTATTGTGTTGTTTATATTTTTGCCTTCGCCTTGATTATAAAATATCCGACAGCCGTGGGCTTCTCTCTATTCCCGTCTTGCTCCCCCCCCCCCCCCCCCCCCCTGTGCCCCGCTGAGTCGCTGTCGGCGATCACATCGTTCCTTATCTCTACGATAGTTCCTGTCTTAGCGTGCCTCTATATCCTAAGTTTAATTTACAATTGCACGTACTCTCTTTCACACTGTCAACTGATCCAGTTGAGAACGAGACCGGATGAGCGTCGAGCGACCTCCGGACCCAGCCGGCCGCGCGCTTCGCTCGCCTTCAAGCCTTCGAGTCGGATCGACGGTGCCCCTGTTGGCCTGGCGCCGGCTTCTCTCTTGTCAACAAAAGGCAACATGAAAAAATCTATCGACCAGACTCGAGATTGGCCCCGCAACGGGGTTGGCTCTTGACCACCTCGCCACCCACTTTGCTTGTCCCGCCGCCACCTATTTCGTCGTTGCACGGGTTGTAGTCCGTGTCAAGCAGAATGATGATGATGAATCGCTGCAACCTCAAGGCGGGCCAGTCGCTCCGCATGGCCGCTACCGCCGGTCTGGGTGGTGCCTCGAGGCGATCACCGGCTGTGACGACGGCGTGGTTGCACTCGGCCGCCCGCTCCGGTCCCTTAAGCCCCGCATCCGCTGCATCCGAAGTACGAGCAGCAGGATCATACCGTACGTTGGCGACCGAGTCGTCGTCCAAGCCGCCTACCCGCAAGGTCAACGCGGTCGCCTCGCGGGGCTCCGTCTTCGCACCGCTCGACACGTTCACGCGTCGACATGTCGGCCCCCAGCCGGCGTCGATCGAGAAGATGCTCGACACGCTCGGCTACACGTCGATGGACGCCTTCATCAACGACTGCGTCCCTTCTTCGATCCGTATTAACGATCAAGAAGTTTCCGAGACGGGAGGTCGCGCGATCGTTGCACTCAGCGAGCAGGAACTCTTGCGCCGTGCGACTGAGCTCGCCAAGAAGAATCGAGTGCACCGATCTTTCATTGGGTTAGGTTACCACCAAGCTGTAGGTTACTCTTAATATATTCTCCCTTCGAAGAGCTTATCGCCTCGCCGCCCGACGCGAGCGGATTCCCCGAGTTATCGTGCCTCAGCCCGGATGTGTGCTCTTATCACAGGCGCGGGCGGGCCGCTTCCCGTCGGCGCGAACCGGTCCACCGGAAGGAGCGATTTCCGGAGATCGAGTCTGCTGCGGCGCCGGAGGAAACAAAAGTGAACCGGGTAGGAACGAGGCTGAAACCCGGTTCGGCGGCTTTCTCTACACAGGTTGTGCCTCCTGTCATTCTCAGAAATGTTCTGTGAGTTGCAACTCGGTATTCACATGCCTGCAAGAGCTGCTCCTCACCGTAGCGATCTACTCGTACCTTCGTAGCGAGAACCATGGATGGTTCTCTCAGTATTCTCCCTATCAGGCCGAGATCTCCCAAGGTAAATCACAAAGGTGCACTAGAACCGGAACAATCGTTGAATACCACTAACGTGCGCAACTTGTGCTACAGGTCGTCTGGAGTCGCTCATCAACTTTCAGACCATGACGACTTCGCTCACCGGGATGGATATTGCCAACGCTTCCCTCCTCGATGAGGGTACTGCGGCTGCTGAGGCCATGATCATGGCTTTCGGTCAATTGCGCGAGAAGCGCCGCACCTTCCTCGTCGACCGAGGTGTCAACCCCCAGACCATCGCGGTCGTCAAGACCCGCGCCGAGCCCTTCGGGATCAAGATTCGCGTTGGCAACGTCAACAAGCTGCTCCAGCAAGCCGAGGAGGACCCAGCACGCGCCAAGGACGTGATGGGTATCTTGTTGCAGTACCCCGAGATGCGTGGTGAGGTCGCGGACTGGAAGGACATCGCCGACCGAACCCACAAGATCGGCGGTCTCGTCACTTGCGCGACCGACTTTTTGGCCTTGACGATGCTCAAGCCCCCCGGCGAATGGGGTTGCGATATGGTTTTCGGCAACAGCGCTCGTTTCGGTGTGCCCATGGGCTTCGGAGGTCCCCACGCCGCCTTCTTCGCTTGCACCGATGCGCTCAAGCGCCGCATGCCCGGTCGTCTCATTGGTCTGTCCAAGGATGCCGAGGGCCGTCCCGCCTACCGACTCGCGTTGCAGACGCGTGAGCAACACATTCGCCGCGAGAAGGCGACGAGTAATATCTGCACTGCCCAAGCTCTCCTTGCGAACATCTCGGCCATGTACGCCGTCTACCACGGCCCCGAGGGTCTGCGCCAAATCGCCGAGAAAGTTCATGGCATCACGCGAGTCGTTGCCGCCGGAATCGAGTCCCTTGGTCACAGCGTCGTGAACGAGACCTACTTTGACACGCTCACTATCCGACTCAATGGTGTCGCTGCCTCGTTGGTCCACGAAGCTGCTGAGCGCGAGCACATCAACTTGCGACGCGTCGACTCTGACCACGTCGCCCTCACGTTTGATGAGAGCAACTCGCTCGAGGACATCGTCGACTTGATGAATGTGTTTGTCAGCGTCCGCGGTCGCACCAAGGACGTCCCCTACACGCTCGAGACGCTTGTCGCTTACGCTGATAAGCTCGGCATCCAAGCCCCCGGCCGAATGTCGTCAGCAGAGGGCAAGGCCTCGTCGGGACACAATATCCCGGCCCACAAATCTCCCGCCATCCCTGCCGATCTTGCCCGAACATCGCCTTTCTTGACTCAATCCGTTTGGAACTTGTACCACTCCGAGACCGACATCTTGCGCTACATGCACCACCTCCAGGATAAGGATCTCTCGCTCGTCCACTCGATGATCCCGTTGGGCTCGTGCACCATGAAGCTCAACTCGACCACGTCGATGACCCCCTTGACCTGGGCCGAGTTCAGCAAGATGCACCCCTTCGCCCCGCCGGAACAGACGATTGGCTACCTCGAGATGATGGAAGACCTCGCTCGAGATCTTTCGACCATGACTGGCTTGCCAGGGTGCTCTCTCCAGCCCAACTCTGGTGCACAAGGAGAGTACGCCGGTCTGTCCGTCATCAGGGCGTACCATCACGCCCGAGGCGACCAACACCGAGATATCTGCCTTGTACCCGTCTCGGCTCACGGAACGAACCCTGCTTCGGCAATCATGTCTGGTATGAAGGTCGTGCCCGTGAAGGTCTTGTCAACCGGCTACCTCGACCTTGAGGATCTCAAGCTCAAGGCCGATCAGCACAGTGACAACCTCTCCGCCTTCATGATAACTTACCCCTCGACCTACGGTGTGTTCGAGAGCGGCGTTGAAGAGGCGTGCAAGATCATCCACGAGGCTGGCGGTCAAGTCTACCTCGACGGTGCCAACTTCAACGCCATGATCGGTCTCACCTCGCCCGGTCGCGTTGGTGGTGATGTGTGCCATCTCAACTTGCATAAGACGTTCGGCATCCCTCACGGTGGAGGAGGACCCGGTATGGGTCCCATCTGCTGCGCCGAACACCTCACGCCTTACCTCCCGTCCCACCCCGTCACCCCGACCGGTGGCTCCGAGCCGATCGGTCCAATCTCCGCTGCGCCCTTCGGATCGGCGTCGATCTTGTCCATCTCATGGGCTTACATCAAGATGTTGGGAGGTGACGGTCTCACTCATGCTACCAAGGTTGCTTTGCTCAACGCCAACTATGCCATGAAGCGCCTAGAGCCTTACTACCGTGTTAAATTCGTCAACGAGCAAGGTCGGTGCGCTCACGAGTTCATCATCGACTTGGCCGAGTTTGACGACAGTGCTGGATTGAAGGTCATGGACTTTGCCAAGCGTCTCCAGGTATGCATATAGAGCTTCTTTCTCCGCGATGACTTGCAGCTGCTAACATGCACCGCTTCATCAACTCTACAGGATTTTGGTATCCACCCCCCTACTTGCTCGTGGCCGCTAAACACTGCGATGTTGATCGAGCCTACCGAGTCCGAGGGTCTTCGGGACATAGACATGTTCTGCGACGCCATGATCAAGATCCGCCAAGAGGCCGACGAGATCGCCGCGGGCAAGCAACCTCGCGACAACAACATCATCAAGAACGCCCCTCACACGCAACAAGTCGTGATGGCGAACCAGTGGAACAGACCGTACTCTCGCGAGGAGGCAGCTTACCCCGACAAGCGCTTGAGGCAGAGGAAGTTCTGGCCTTCCGTTTCGAGAGTCGATGATTCCTACGGTGACCGAAACCTCGTCTGCGAGTGCGGTACCGTTGATGAGTACGCGTCGTAGATCACCATCTTTCCTTTCCCTCCCTTTCGGTTCTCTTTCTCTTCCTTCGGGGAGTTTCTTTATCGCAAGGGGCTCAACTCCCCATTTCTGGATGTTTCTTTTCTCTCTCGTATCGCATACCTAGCTCGTGTTCTTCTTTCCGTATCTTCCAGCATTGTCGTAACATCGAGATTCCTCTCTCTGCAAAACCCTATTAGGTCCCGTGCGATGTTGTTCGTGAGATTGTGTTACGACATGAATAGAGGCATGCGTCCTGGATGAATACAGGGTACAAAGACATAGAAAATACGTGGCCTTGTCAACCCCACACAGCGACAGGACTACATGCCCAGAAAAGAATGATGAAGCCTGAGAAGAAGTCCCTCCCCTGAAAACCTCTTGGACCTAATGCATGCCCAAATCACCGAAATACCCGATCGAGCTCCGATCTCGAGACAGAACGGTGTGTCTCATCGTGCCAAGGTTCGGTTCGTTCCCAGCACTATGACGTCTCGTCGACTTGCGCGACCGTTGCTTCGACAACGGTTTGAAATCCCCCAAGGAACATCTTCGGCCTAATGTCGGTCGAAAGAATTTAGGGTGCGCGAAGCCGCAGTAGTCCGAGGCGGAGAGTTTGGTGGACCGGGTTAGGTCGAGTACATCGAGGAGCTGGGTGGTGGTGAGGCGCTTGAAGCTGTAGATCTGTGACGGGGTGAAAGGAGGTGTCAGCCCGGGAAAACTTGAGGGACTCGTCGTGTCGAGGACACACATTCAGCTGACGGATTAAGGAAGTGATGGTCGTGTACTTGAAATATTGAGACAAGGCCTTGAGCAAGTTGGGATGATGTGATGCGAGGATGATGCTCTTGCCCTAACAGTTGAACATAATTGAGCCCAAGTTAGTTCAATGCAGGGGCGATAAACCATGTCGATTCGAGAAAATACAACTTGCATCACGACTCCACCTAATGTACTCCCTATGCTCGCTTAATTCGAGGATGTGCGAAAGCTTAGAGATAAAAGGCGTCGGTTCGACGGGCGGGAGCTCGGGAGCGGAAGCCGAGAGCTCCTGAATGTCGGTGACCGCGCTCGAAGGCGGGTCACTTTCGCGCCGCCTCGACAATGCGACACCAGTGGAGCACGATTGCCAGGAAGACGATCTCGAGTGTTCCCCGATGAAACGAGGTCCATTCTCGAGGGGCGATGGACCAAGCTCGAAGTGATATTTTGGAACGTTCGATAGCGAATACTGTTGAGCGGGGGCGGCGGTGTCCCATTCGGCACATGAACTTCGCACAGTTGACGCGGCGACGGCGGCGGCCGGGGCTTTTGGAATCGAGACCATCGGTCCAGGCTCGCGGGAGATCGCTGGCGAGGCTCCTTGAAGTGCCCCGGCGAGGTCAGATCCGTGAGGCGCCAGTGGACGTGGGCAAGCGTCGCGCTGATATCTGGAATAAGGTCTCGAGGTGACGAATGCAGCTGATTCGTGGAAGCGCGGAGAAAAGTCGTGCTGCGTCGTCCCGGGGAGGGTGCCGTTCAGGGCGTGACTTGGTGTGACTCGCGCTGCGCCGGTGGCGGTCACTGCATTTGAACAGTGTGGGGGTCGGTTCGTAGGGCTTTTGAAGGCGTACTTGTAGTAGTTTAGCGTGGGCGGATTGGGAGGAATGGGTCGGTATGCTGGCGCATCGCTGACGTAGAAGGTGCTCATCGGAGAGATCTCGCTTTCGAGAACAGATTGCGCATCGGGAGAATAGTAGATCGGACGGGCGGCGCCGAGCATGATCGGATCCGCCATAACCTCGGTGTTGATGTTGAGTCGGTGCTTCGAGGATGTTAAGTGGTTCGGGTGGAAGGGCACTGGAAGAAGTGCAGGACTCTGTCATGACTCGAGTCAAGCCGAGGCGGGCAAAAACCTACTGAAGTCTGGGCTTTAGGCACAGGAGGCTTGGAGCCACCAACCGGAGGCGCAGAGGCCAAGCGCAGAGATCGTCCAGCGATGCGCAGGAAAGGCCATCTTCGGGATTAAAAAGGCTCCTCTTTGCGACGCCGCACGTTGGGACAAAAGAGAGCGACTTCAGGCCCAGACAACGCACCAAGAGGTTGAAGATCTCTCCTGAGTCCTGAGTTAGTTGGTGATCTGGATCCGCCTGCCCGCGCTGCACGTGGAATTTTTAAGAGCTCCAGATGGAGCTAGCGTGGATGCAGTGGCTCAGGCCCCGTTGACCTTGAAAACTCGGCTGCCCGGACTTCAGGGCGATTCTACGTCTGTTACAAATTTTGGGTCTATTGAAAAGTTTCTCACGTTCGAGCTCTTGACAGCGGACGCAAGCATGACACGGAAGGTGCCTCCGGTGTGCCTCGGATACGAAAACTCGGCGAGTCCGAGCGGGCGTGGCAAGGCCGCAGCACCTTTGAGCGTACCTGGTTCTCGGCCCGGTAACAGCCGACGAGCATCTCACGAAAGTTAGTTACTAACGAGTAAGGCCTTGCAATGCAGTAGATTGAAATAAAGTGAAGACCGTGCAGAGAAGATAGCTTCTAACGGAGACTAGGGAAACGAAGATAGGTCGATCGACAAGTAGGTAGGTAGGCGCGGCGTGCGCATTGATGAGCATGACCCGGAGGATGGCCCGTGGGTTCGTGTTTTGTTTTGTTTCGAGAATACGCATCAAGGAGATGGGATTACCAATCCTTCTTGAGTTCGAATTGCCAAGTCGCGTCGACTGTGAGCAAAGTATCGAGGCTGAGAGTCAGCCAACAATTGCAGTTCAAGCTCCGGACAGAGCTTGGCCCCAACGAAACATCTTCCAAAAACTCACGATAGACAGCCCCATCATCATCGATGACGCGTGACCTGACGACATACTTGCCCCTCGCCAGCATCCCACTCGGTGCTTCCTCGGTCGGCAACTTAGCGACGACGGGGTCGGTGGAAGGGCCTCGCGAGCCGATCATGTGTTCGAGTTTGTCCGAGAGACCCATGCGTTTGGCGACGTGGATGTATTTGAGGCCTGCGACGAGAGATCTGGTGGGATGGAGAGAGAGTCGTGAGTGGCCTGAGAAGATGCACAGCGAGGACAAAAAGCATCAGGCCCGGGAATTGACTGACTTGACGAGAAATTTGATCTCGACCGTGTACTCGGACCCTTCCTTGATAACGACGGCTGCAAAGAGCTCACGCGCGAACGCATCTCATCAGCTTTCCGCTCCAAGTGATTTCCTTGCCAGCAAGATCATTCCTCCGCGGACTTACGAGCCGCGCCAGCCAATTGTTTAGGGTCCTTCAAGTCGAGCACGATAGGTCCTGCCGGTCGGTTCGACGTGAGCGTGAGGGAGATCATTTCCACTTTGGGCCCGGCTGCTGCTCATATAGCAGAAGATTCGATCAGCATCGTCATCTCCTCCCTCAACACGCGTCCAGGGGCTGACACGCGTTGCCGACGGCGAGTGTGACGTGCAAACGTCGCGTGAGTGAGATGGATGGCTGAACGGACCTGCTGAACCACTGGCTACGGCATTCGCATCTAGCCCCAACGACGCCTTCCACTTAGCCAATGATTCGTCCTCCTTGTCCAACTGCACCGGACACAGACCAACAACGGGAAAGGGTCAGCTACAGACCCGGGGTGTCGAGCGCGTAGTTTGCTCAGGCGCGACCGTCGGTGCTAGCCACGTCGACCGCACCCCCACACGACGGAGAGGCAGCGGAGGATGGCTCCCCCACGACAACTTGACGCCTGTGCGGCACTCTGAAAGGTGACGCGTAGCAACTTGCCTCGGCTAATTCGGCCAAGGATCTTTCCGCTCCGACCTGGAACGCGAACGTGCCCATCATCAGCTTTTGATACCTAATAAATACCAGCTGGACTGCCGTGAAGCACGGCGCACCTTGTAGCCGGCGGTTTGAGTCGCCGCGAGCTCGGACGCATCGATCGCGGGAACGGTGGAGCTGTGGAGATGTGTTGGGGACGGAGTCAGCAGCATGCGTATATGGCCTTTTGCATGACCGACAAACTCACGACATATTGTAGCTGTATAGAGCGAGCAATAAAAGCGGTGATGGGGAGCTTGAGGCTTGAGCTTGTAAGAGGAGACGACGATGAGATGAGCAGCCAACCGATCTCAAAGGGAAGCACCGGCGGCGAGACCTGTCAGAGCCTGGCGAGACATACTTTGAAGAGCACGGGCCTCGTGACAAAGGGGCCGCGTTTAAGAGGCCTTCACGAACGTCCACGTGGGCTTGTCTCTGATCTCGAAGCCCACAAGAGCGAAGATAATACCTAATGCAACCGTCGACAAACACATAAGAGCGGACTGGGACGAAGAGCACCGACGAGAAGAACCGAGCGAATGGAATACGAGAGTTCAGAAATGAGCCTGCATCAAGTGCGAGTGAGGGAGACCAGCATTTCAACGCGAAAAACATGGTTCGAGCAAAAGGAGACAGCGGAGTTTACAAGTGCACCGAAACAGCAAGAAAGTGGAAAATGAGCGAAGGCTGAAGGCGTACGAGGCCTCGGCGGCAAAAGATACACATCTCAAACGATATAGAATTAGAGTGTCCAGCGGCTCTTAATCAGGCGGTGATGCCCGGGGTCTGACCACGCGATTCGCCCAACGTGGCCGAGAACGAGTCGTGTTGCGAGTGTTGGCCCGACGTCGCCCCAGGTCCGTACGAGTGTTCGGCCTTGCGTTGCAGGATGTCGAGCACGGGGCCGAGCAAGCGGGTGAAGGCTTTTTCTCCGAGCGTCGCGACGCGTAACCGACCTTGACCGGCCATCGCTCGGACAGTGGCGGCACGAGGAGCAGAGTTGAGCAGAGCAAGTTCTGATGAAGGCGATCGATTGATGTCAGTATCCCAGAGGTCAAAGGTGTGCGACGGCCAACACGGTTCCCAACTCACCTCCAAAGTAATCGCCCTTGCTCAACGTGCCAAGCACATCATCGTTGAACGTGCCCGAACTGGGTGATTTCCGTCGCTTGGTCACCTCTGCTTTACCGCTCTCGATGATGTAGAAGTTCTTGCCGACCTCGCCCTCGACGACGACCGGTTCGCCTTCCTCGTAGACCTTCTCCTCGAGCGCGTCGGCGATCTTGGCTCGTTCCTTAGGGTTCAATGACAAGAGAATAGGGACTTCGGCGAGGAAGCTTTCGTACATCTTGCGCTTGCGCGATGTGTGTTCCATCAGGATCGAGCGGAAGGTCACGCGGTCCAAGGCCCAGACGACCGCATCTGACGTCGCCACGACCGAGGCCGCACGAGGGGCGTTGTACATCAACGCCAACTCACCGAACGCACCTCCCGGACCGTAACTGGCGACCTTTTTGTCCTCGCCCTGGGTCATCGTCGAGCTACCGGGTCCGTTGTAGCTGTGCGTCGGCGGGGAACGAACCCAAGCCTCGAAGCTACCTTCCTCGACGACGTAGAAGAAGTCACCGACGGCGCCTTGGACGATGACTGAGGTCTTGTCCTGCACCTTGACCTCCTTCATTGCATTGAGCACGTCGTTGTGTTGGTCCTCGTCGAGGTTGCGGAAGAGTAAGTTGTTCGAGATGGACGCCTCGATGCGCTGGCGCTGCGACTCGGACTTGGGGATCACGGTCTTGGGCATGGGTGCCGCCGGATCGGGGTTGAGCGACTCTGCCGAGACGGAAGTGCGACGGCCAAGGTTGTAGTTGACGGGGATGCCGAGCGTGCCTTTGCCGGATCCGGACGAGGTGTCGCGGGGGTCGTAGACGTCATCGTCGTCCGAGTCGTTCGAGCCGACGCTGTCACGCTTGGCGGTCATGCTCGACGACAGCGCGGATCCACCGAAAGTCAAAGGAGCAGGGTGGAACGTCGATGGGGTCGACGACGATCCCGTCGACGAGTTGAGTCCGCGGTCGCCGACCTTACTGAAGGGCGAAGGCGGGTTCGAGCCGGGACGGTTGGAATGGGACGAGCCACCTGCGCCGCGCACGACGGGAGGAATCTCGGAGAAGGGCGATAGCTTATTATCGCCGTCGAGGTCCATACCCCGCGCACCGCCAAAAGTGTAGCCTTGACCGACAAGCGAAGGCGGAGTGACCTGACGGTTACGCAGTGAGGGTGAAGGGGCGAGCTGACCGGACAGACGACTGGACGGCGCAGCCCCACTCGAAGCACCCGAAGGCATGTTCGCAGCACCGGTCGAAGAGGCGGAAAAAGAAGCGGTGGATCTAGCCGAGCTACGCTCTTGCTCGAGTCGGGTCTGGAACCAGTTGGCGCAGAACTGGAGAGCGTCGGTCGGTTGGGCTCGGAGTACGTCCCGGTTCAGGTCCGAGAGTATCGACGAGTAGGATGCCGGCAAGGACATTGATGGGTGATCACTCAAGATGATGCTGTCGTCTAGAATGCCGCAGTTGAGTGCGATCCACTGAATGCTCGGGGGGGAAAAAAACCCCGCTTTGGAATGGGGGGCCGGGATCAAGGCGACGTGCGATGGACTGAGGACGTGGTTGGCCGCGGGGAGGCGGGCTCTCGGCTTGGCTCGGACCGTCGGTGGGGGGCGGCTGTGGCGGAGGCTGAGATGATCAGCGCCGGGGGTCGCACCAGACACGTACGCGAGATGCGCGGGTCAGCGGATCAGGTATATGTTATATTCCACGATCGTTCGAAGTGACCAACCTATTTTCCTGTGAGAGGGACTGAAGGAGGGGAGCAAAGGGCCAGTACGTCCGAAGGTCAGCGTCACCAACTCAGGCCACGCGAGGCACGCTCAAGCCTCGTCCGTGTCAGCCAGCAATCAGCCGGGCCGAGCAGCCAGCCGTACGACGTACAAGCACCAGTGCGTCCCAGAGGCCAATTCAGTCGAACAAAGATGTGGAGGTTTGTCAGCGGGAACCGAGTGGTTGGATCGATGTCAGGGAGGAGATGAGATGGTACGGTAGTGGGAAGGGAGGCTGAAGGCAGGTAAGGAGCGAGCGGCGTGCCCGACGTAGCATGCGCGTGGCGGGCAAAGGCGGGCACTGGCGGGCAAGGCCGACAGAGGTCGACGACAGCCCGACACGCTCGCAGGCGCTAGGCCCGGCCTGCCCGGCACCTTCCAGCACAAGCTCAGGCTCACCCGCTTCAGGCGATCACAAATGCGCGATTTTGTCGATCACTTCGAACTGAGAGCGTCGATCTGCGAGTCTTGACTCCGTCGTACCTACCTACACCCGAGCAACAGCAGTAGCATCGGCCTAGACGATCGTTTTGAAGCTCCAGTAGAACAATCTTCACAAAATTTGCGGTACTCTCAGAGCAACACCGAACTTTTCGGAACCCTCGATTGCCCTGGGCCTGCCATCGTCAAGCCCGGCCTATAAAGTCGTAGCCCACCTTACTCCGTCATCTGTGCTCCTTTCATTACTAGAGCCGCATAAACCCACCAGAAAAGTGGGTTCCCTTGCGCCGCGCACGCGGGCCGCTCTGGGCGCGAATCCAGACTAATGCGCTGATGAAATCCGGTGTGGCTTGCAGATCCGACGTTCGACCCCTCACACCTCAATTGTTCCGGACGGCGATCCTCTTTTTCGTCATCAATCTAAAGCCGAGCTAGAGTTAGAGTGTGATCTTCATTTGGTAAGCAGTCTGGCTGCCAAGTCAGGCTGTACTGCTTCAAGATCAGTTCCGAGTTTTAGGCTCCCTCGCAGCGGCGCAGGCTCAATTTTACCCAAACCATAGCTTCCGCTCGTTAGACCACGAAGTCACAGATAATTCTGAATACGCAGGAAATGACGCAGAGAAGTTCAACGATTGCAAACCGTATCGATACAAGCAAAGGTGTCGGAGATGAACGTCGGGCGAAAAGGAAGGCAGACTGCAGGACTTGGTGAGAAATTGAAAAGGAAAAGGCAGCCAACCTAGTCTTATCTTGTCTAATCCGTGTCGAGGTACCGCTGTGAGAACGTACGAGACTCGAAGTTAGGACTGAATGCGTAGCTGCATGCGTAGTGAAATACAATGGATCCTCCGGGAACGTGTCACTCACATAATCGAATCGGAAGTCGCCCTTCCTTCGCTGACACCACGAGCCCTCCCAGTCGACTGTTCGAGAACAGCACCACACATCAGCTCAGCCCAATCACCTTCCACTCACCACTACTCCCAAACTCACAGTACAAGTAAACGCCCTGCTCATACTCATCCGTGATCTGCTGCGGCTCATTCGCGCGCTGGAACCAGGTGAGATACTGCTTGTGAAATCGCCAACTCTGCTTCTTCAACTCGGCCGCGGCGAGGAACTGCAGGTATGTCCCCTGGCAGTAATAGAAGATGTAGAAAAGCGTGTCGACGTCGAGCTTGGCGAACAGGGCCGGGTTCGCGAACTGCGGGAGAGGCTCTTGAGGGTAGTAGTTGGGAGTTGCGTACGGCTGTCGGGGTACGTAGTACTTGGGCCTGTAACCATGAAGTAGTTAGTCTCTGCAAGATAATTGCCTCTCACGATGGCAAACTCAAGCTCACTTCTCAGCATCAAGAGGCTGCGGCACGTTGGAGAAGCCAGCATCGAGGATCTTGTGGATCGCTCCCAAATCGTTGTCTCTTCGGATCGACTTTTGCTTCGCGCTCTCAAAGCTCGTCACGAGATCAGCCAAACTGCTCGGCAAACGAGGCTCGTTCGCTGATCGAGTCGGCTGCGAAGACGCTTCTTGTGAGGCGGCGCTCGAGACAACACCCTTGTCGGGGGCGGGGACGGCAGATTCGGATGGGTCGGTCGACGAGTTGGCCAAGGCTTGGGGCAGCGATGAGAACGAAGGAGCGGGCGAAGCCGAAGCCGCCGCGAGCGAGGGGGCTGCTGAAGTACCGTTGACACCGTTGAAGGAAGCCGAACTCGGCGCGGGACTCGAGAGGGAAGCATTACCCGGTGCCAGCCCAGGCGCCAACATCGGCGATGGTCCCGCCGAGGCAAGTTTGCTCGCATCAGCTCCCGTAGATCGGGCCACTTCAGAGCTCGCTGTTGAATCGTGGGAAGCATCTTGACCACTCGTCGGCGACGGAGCAGCCGAAGCCAGGCCTGGCGGTGGTGCGGGGGCACTGGTCACGCTCGGTGTCGAGGTAACCGAAGGCGTCGGTGCCAGTGCACTCGTGGGAGCAGGTACCGATGCTGGCGTGGTGGCCACTGTTGTTGTTGCTGCCGATGTACTCGACGCATTGGCGGCGGCGGCGGCGGCGGCGTAACGAATCGGGGGCAGGGCTGCAGGGACTGGCCGCGGTGTCGGCACGGGGCCCGAAGTCGATCGTGTCGGCTGCGGTACGACGACAGGTCTCGGAGTGTTGGAGTCGAGTGTCGGTTTGCGAGTTGTTGCTGCAGCGGGTGCGGGTGGACTCGTGATGGCGGGTGCGGTGGCAGCTTTGCTCGACTTGGCCGGGCTCTTGGCGGCCTCTTCGACGACGGTTTTCTTCGCCGACGGTGGCGGTGCTGGTGCCGGTGATGGCTCGTCGGCAATCGAACTCGTGTCATGCGACGACTGTAGATCGTCTCCTCCAATCTGGAACATCTCTTCCTCTTCCTCCAAATTCAGTCCGTCATACACGCCTTCGTCCTCGTCAAAGTCCTCCTCCTGTGTGCGTGTGCCAGACAGCAGTTTAGTGACTGCATGCCGAGGAGAGCGAAACAAAACATCTCCAACGCACCGTATTGCTCTCGACAAAGTAAGCAATGTCCTCCTTGATGTCATTGACGGCATCGGTCTGCAAGTTGCCATTCTCGAGCAGGCGCAAGATCAACTCGAGCCGATTGACGTGCCACTGCCGCCGCTCGTTGAGCGTCTCGAGCTGCTCCAAGCGCTCGCGGTCGCTGTCCTTCTTCTTCTTGAGCGCCTGCAACGTCTCGACCTCGGCTTCAGAGGCCTCGACCTGGCGCGAGAGCTCATCAACCATGCTCGTGATCCAGTTGCACAGCTCAAGCTTGAGCTGTTCTTTCGGGTCGAGCTTGGCTGCGGCAGAGAGTCCTTCCTTCGAGAAGGCCTTGGTCTTCATTTCCTTCTCACATGCCTTGAACCGTTCCATTTGCTGTGAAACCCCGCACTCGCGTGAGCCCCCGTTGAAAAGACCCCTCCCCACGCGCCCCATACCCCAGAACTGACCGTCTCGATGAGCTTGCGGTTATCGATGAGCGGCTGCTTGTCCTTGATGTCGTTCGAGGTCATCCATGTCTTGATCTGATCGCGCAGACGTTGCAGCTTCTTGATCTGGGACTTGAGGTCGACCTCGAGCTTCTCCTTTTGTGTCTGGTTCGTGCTCGTTTGGATCTTGTCAAAGATCTGCGGTTGGTCAGGGGAAAGAGGCATGGTTCAGCTGCGGCACCTACGGCACCACTAGCTCTGGCGTATCATAACGCACGCCTTCGAATATTTCGACCTGTTAGTTGAGGAGTGGGGTGACGAGGTCAGCAGCTGGGAGCGAGCGAGCGAGCGAGCGTGCCCTATGCGCGCATGAGCCAGGCCAGACCGCCGACTCACACCTTCGGACACCTTTTTCAGTGTCCGCTCAATCTCGGCTGTGGAGTGGCGATGATCGAAGAGGTCAGTCCATGTGTCCTCGGCGGAGATGGTTGGTCGGGGGTGAATGAGCCGTGGGGGTCGCACGACAGAGGACCGGGGTGGTGGCGCGCGTCGCACGACCGGTGCAGTCGACAGAAGGGAGGTACGTGCTGCAACTCGACGCCATCACAGGTACAGCGGAACGGTTTCCTAGTCGACACGGCTCAAGTGCCCGGTATGCCACCTCGTTGTTGTCGACCAGCTGAGCGTCGACTAGGAGACCTCCCCTCTCTACGCCTCCCGTCCCAGCTAGGCAACCCATGCGGTCACGGTGTCGGACTCACTCTGCAGCTTTCTGGCTGCCATCTTGGTAGGTCGTTCCCTCCTGGGGTCGGTGTAGGCTGGGGTGCCAACGGGGGTGGGTCAGGGCCGGACGGCTGGTGATGGTGGTGGTCGGAGTCAGCTCAGACAGACGGCCGCGTTGCCTTGCCAACTGCCAAGTGGAGCACCCGAGCGACAATTCAGCGGGTTCCTAATTCGCGTAGCGCTCGCGTTGGTAATGGTCGCTTTTACCCCCGTGCTGCCCAATTCGCTTCGTGTACTCGTGTGTGGTGTCCAATGCAGGTCATACTTTGCCTTCCATTTCTCATATGCTTGTAGGCTACAGCTGAACAGCTCCGTTTCATTACCAATCGTGATGCACAAGCCCCTTCCAAAGAGGTGAACCCCCAATTCATTACGACCGGATTCTCAACTTTATCGATCCTCAGATCGTACTCTGACCAAACCTTCGAGTGATCATCTCCCCGTCCGAATCTTCATCGGCATCGTCCAGGTCCGAATCATCATCGGCGTCGTCGCCGAGGGAAAGGAGGCGATCGTTGATCCACAAAGCTCGTGCGACACGTTCCGATTTGAGTTGTACGACCTCAGGCGTATGGTTGTCGAGCTGCAGATAATTAGTTCCTGGTCAGCTCGGGAGCAGCAGGAATATCGACGCGCTTCGAGAACATTGGCACACCTCTTCAAGATCACAGTACGTCGCCTCCAACCTCCGCAAAAGGCGTTGTTCCTCCTTCTTGTTCTGGCGCGCCTTGGTCGGCGTTCTCAAGAACGAAGCATACGCGTTTTCGAAAAGGCCCGAAGCTAGAAATGCCAAGATAAGTAGTATCAGCACAGGGGGCTCACGACTTCCTGACTCTGGTCGCGGGTGAAACTCACCTCGAATAAAGACCTGTCTCGTCTCCCTGACCAAATCATTCTCCGGCACCTCGACCCTCTCCCCCTCCGCCAATTCCGGCTCCTTCCCCTCTTGCAGAACCGCGTCCTCCATCTTCCTCCTCTGAACCGAGAACGCCTCATCCCTGTCCAAATACATCGACCCCACAGCTTCCAACATGACCCTCCCCAACGTCAACAACGCCGTACCTTGTTTCTTCTCGAACGGCACCAAGTGTTGGATCGTGTGTTCGAGAACATGACGAACTTCGTTTCTCCTTTCGTTGGTCGTTTTAGGATCTTGAAGGATCGCTGCGGCGGCTGAGGCGGCATCGACGAGTCGGTTCGCCGACATGGACGCTTCGATAAAGGTGATGTCTGCGACGTGCGTGGCCCATGCTATCCGGCGATTCCACAGTGAAGCGGACGAGGTGAAAGGGAGCAGCGTCGACATGTCCCGGATTAGTCGAGCATTGCCCATGACAGTTCTGGCCGAGGATGAGGACTCTTCGGGTGCGAAATTCGGGTCGACCGGGGTGAACAAGGCTGAGGTGGGCAATCGCGTGTAGGGAGAGGCGAGTGAGGAATTTGCGGAAGGGGTAGCAACGGTTTGGGAGAGGTATACCGAGATCAGCCCAAGGGCAAACAGTAAATATCCTCTTCTCATACTCGACTCACCTTGCACATTTCTCCTGCACGCCATATCCAACATTTCGGCCAACTTGTCCTCCTCGACAACCTCGTTCCCCCCAGGCCTCAGCAAGCTCGAAAAGCACAACGTCGTCTGCGTCCTCGCCCATTCGGCCAACATCTCCCCGACCCACCCAGGCACGGTCCCCAACTCCAAGGGCAACACGCCCTGTTTCGGCCTCGTCACGGAAGGGACTTGATCCAACGTCGGAGGGTCGGGTAATCCGAGCAATTCGCCCGCGCGACTGAAGCCTTGCAAACTCCTCTCCAATTGAATCGACAAGTCCCAGTAATGACGAGTCGTACTCCCCAATTCTGGAACGACACCATGCCTCGACGAACTCGCCCCTTGCTTCTTCCTCATTCGATCGTTTCGATGTCCTCCCCGTGGTGTCCTGAAGCCTGGCGCGCCACGTCGCAGCACATTCGAGCGTCGCTTGTAATGACTCCAACACGATTGCGGACTGAGGACCGAGAACGCCATTCTCGAGTTCTTGTTCGAGTGCGGGATGGTTCAACGCCGAGTCGGCTTTGATTCGTAGATTGACGAGGGCGCGCAAAGGTTCGGGAAGGGGCGCGGTGGACGAGTGCGAGGCTTGCGAGATGGCGATGGGCGCAGCGCTCGAACCGGCGTTACTGTCATTACCACTCGCGGTCGGCATCGTAGAGATACGGGTCTGTGGCCGAACCCCGAGACACGAAACGGCGACGACGCAGGAGAGACTCAACGGCCCGTCGTTGTCGTTGAGACGAGCGCAGATCCTACGAGGTCCGCTGGTCCGCGGGATTCCGAGACGAAGTGACGGCCGGGGTTCTAGACCTCGTCAAGGTCCCTAAACCAAATTTCAAACGCGGCGATTACAGATTATCGGCGCCGCGCGGCGGCTACCGATCAAGCGGGGCGCGTCCATCGTGTTGATAAGGCGCGACCACTGTGTGCTGATGGTGCTTTGTTTTTATTTGATGGATTTAAATAACAGTATAATTGTCTATACCGTGATAAGGGAGGGAAGCGAAGTCTGCAAGGCTGAAAAAGCTCCGTGAGTATGGCCGAGAAGAATATTCCCAGAGAAGGATAAAATATACTAGGACCATGGACCCGCGTCATCCATCTACACTTCAGACCTCCTCGACCGCACGACGCTTGATACCCATCTTGCATCCTAGAGGGCTGATGAAAAATTGGTCTGCGTGGATTCATCACCTATCTACCGGACGAACTGTGGAGTCATAGATATTTTCCAGGGCTTATACACATTTCCCGGCCTTTCCCAAACAGCTGACAGGTTCCAATACATAATCGCGATACCACTCAAGAAGGCACAAACTCCGTCCAACAAAAATACATCCAAGATACTATGACTGTTCCCCCTCTCAAAAGTGACTCGAAGCCACACTCCCCGCATCCTCGCCAGCAACGTTCTTCGCCGGTCCCCCTTGCCTGAGCAGATACAAATCTCTATTCCTCTGTTGCCTCGATCCGAAACTGACCCAACCCAACCGAGCCAAGAGCAACAAGATCAGGGCACCCAATACAGCCGTTACTGCGAATCCGATGAAGCCTGCTCCGACGGGGGAGAAGTGAGATTCGCTTGAGGATTGTTGGAATAGTTTCTCGTACTTGTCTGCTAGGGCCACGGTTGCGCACCCCGAGTTGAGGGTGTTGGAACAGGCGTGACACCATGCGGTCGTGTTGGGGATGATGGAAGAGGCGAGTTGGGTTTCGAATGACGCTAGAGGGATGTCGACGGATGATGAACCGAACAAGGGGTAGTACGTGAAGTCAAACTGGTAATTGAGTAACAAACATGTTCAGTCTACAGGCCACACGCCGAGGCAACGAGGCTCGATGGCACACTCACGGGAATTGTGCCATCGAAAGAACCATTACGGAACCCAAATCGTACATCGAATCCGGTCGAGTTTGTCATGGACTTGCGAAGCTCGAACGTTGCGACCGAGCCGTAGTCGACTATGGCGGTGGCTCCGGCAAATCCGGTGGCGGACATGTCGGTCATGTTGAAGATGGACAAGAAGGCTGCACGGGACCAGGGATGAACAGTCAGGGTCCTACCAAATAGGCCCCAAAAGTAAAATCTAGAGGCTTCACTCACGCTTGTAAGACATCTGATAATGCGCGATCTTGACCTCTGTCCCATTGGCGAACTGGTCGAACGAAGCCAGAACCCTCGGCAAGAACGTGCGGCCAGCGATGTTCCCAATCCCACTATCCGTCGAATCGGTGAAAGAGCCATACTCGTGGAAGTCTGCCAATGCCCTCATCGCATTTAGGGTGTCAGGCCCATTGGCGTCGAGCAAGGCCGAGTAGGTCGCGTTGTGGATGCGCTGCACGTTAATAAAGTCGTAGAGGTTGTACGCGTTGACGAGCGAGACGTTGCGGCCGCCGACGAGTCCGGCCGTTTGGAGACTTTTGAGGAAGGGGGCTGATTCGGCGGTCTTGGCGAGGAAGACGGTCGAGTTGTAGAACTCGTTGGTTCGATTCGTCCATGTGCCGCAGTTGACCCAGGCTGGAGAGAGCAAGCACGATTGAGAATGTCAGCAACAACGCCGAGGGGGGTCGCCGGCAGGATGGAACTGACATTCAAAGTCGACATCGTCGGCTGGAAGAACCGTGTTGATTTGCAGAGTTTGATAGCCGTTTAGAGGCGAGGTAACGTTGGTCCCGTCGGCGAGGGTTTCGGAAGAAACGCTGCATTTCAGGTCAAAGTGGGTCGGGTCGAATTATTCCCATGAAATCCGAGGCGGCCCCTCCAAGACTCACGTTGCGTTGGGAGGGTAGAATCCTTGCCAAAGAGCGACCTGTTGTAATTGAACCATGTCGCCACACACTTATGAGCCCTGGGTCCTAACCCCCAGCTCAAAAAAAAAAAAAAAAAGTTCCGAGACTTACCGCCGAATCGAAAATCACGCCTGTTCCCGAGCCAAGCGCCAAACGGCCCTTCGTCAGGAACACCCTACAACCCACGCACCACCCCCCCACTCAAGACCGAACTCACCTCCTTCTCCCCCTCCATCAGCTGTCGAATTGATCTGCGCCGCATTGAGCGTCGAATTGCTCAAACCTTGAATCGCTCGGTCCGAGGATGGGTCGGCGTAGATCGTTCGGAGCATGTTGCCGACTCGGTAGAGTTGTTGTTCGCCTAGGGGGGTGATGGAGGTCTTGGAGGCTGCATAGGTGTTGGGGTTCTATGGGAGAGAGGAATCGGGTAGTACGGCTTGATGCGAATGCGTGCGTCGGCGTCGAGGTAGGGTGGGGTGGGGCTGCTCACTTGATAGAAGCCTGAGAAGTGATACGATCGTCAAGTCAGCTCCGAGCCAAACGACGGGCAAAGCATCGGTGTATGCCCAGCTCACCTGCTCGATCACCATGTCGAGCCAACAAGACCACACCGATGACGGGGTTGGTATTTGCCATGGCTTAGAATCGAGTTGCGAGGATGGAGCAGAAGTGATCACGAAAGACTGAGAAGTTGAAGAGATCCAGTCCGACGGCGCTCGCAAGTCCCAGTCACTTCCCCCGACGCGGAGATGGTACCTCGGCCGGGCGTCGGCCGGGCAGCCGGCCGCCCTCGGTCATCCGCAGCCCGGCCATGTCAGACTGAGGCGCACCACTCATCCGCTGCCCGGCCCAGCCGATCCACCCATATCAAGTTGTAACAGATTCGTGATTGGACAATCTTCCTGCATCAAACTACACAAAAGCCAGACAGAGGAGAAAAGAAAGCAACGAAATCGTACACTGGTGCCTAGCGGCGGTAACGCTTCGGATCCGTCATTCCATTTTGTTCACTCTCACCTCCTCAAATCTCCTCGACTGTTCGACGCTTGATACCCATCTTGCATCCCAAAGGCTGAAGGAAAAGAATCGCACGAGTAAGCTTTATGCTCGTGGATATTAGGGTTCTAATGTGCTGTCCTAACTCACCTTCCTCAAGAAGCCCTCGGCAACTTCCAGCTGCTGGTTCTCCCCCTCAGCGAGCTTGAAATCATATCGGTAGGCGAACGTCGCAACGAAAATCAACAACTCCATCATTGCCACGTTCCTGCCAACGCACGACCTTGGACCAAAGGAGAAGATGTTGAGGAACTTGGTCTCGAGGTCCTTGCCGCCTTCCTCGAGCCATCGCTCGGGGCGATACTCCCATGGGTCGCCCCAGACTTCGTTGAGGTGGTGGATCGTGTACGAGGGGACCGAGAGGACTGTGCCAGCTTTGAAAACTTCGCCGCACACTTCGGTCTCTTGCGTCATGAGACGAGCTAACGAGAGGGACCTGGCAGGTTAGCATCTTGCAATCCAACGAGGTCAATCACGAAGAACGCAAACTCACGAAGACCCATTCCAGACGTTGAATGCCTTCGAAGCGCCTCGTTGATGCAAGCCTGCAAGTACGGAAGCGCCTTGACATCGGCATAGTCCAAAACACCATCTATGCCGCGCGCACCGAACGCCTTATCAAGTTCGGCTTGCAGCTTCTTGTGGACGCGGGGGTTCTTGACGATGTAGTACATGATAGCGCAGGATGAGTTCGAGGTCGTGTCCGAGCCGGCAATGAGTTGAGTCAGAGCTGCGAGTGGAATGAAAGCTTGAGCATGCGGACCGTTAAACATGTAGGCGGGACAATAACTGTGCGCTCACCTTCTGCTGTCAGTTCATCACGGGGCATCTTCTTGCCTTCACCATCTCGAGCAGCCAACAAGTGCGCGAGAATGTCCTTGCGATCACCACTGCCTTCCTCGAGGCGCTTTCCGACGCGGTGGCGAGCGATCTGTAGGTAAAATCTTTTGAGCTTGATGTCGATACAAATCTTGCCTCAAGTAAACAGTTACTTACACCGCTGAGGTTGTTAACGGATGCGAGACCTCGTGCGAACCAAGGGTCAAAGTACTTGGTGTAGGGACGGATGAAGGGAGGGAGAGCACCTTGCGTCGCCGAGAATTCACCGCGCTCGTTGAGGATCTTGACGGCGGGGGCATGGAAGACGCTGCCGTCCTCGCGGGTGATGGCGACGATGTCGGCGGCATCTCGTTCGAGCATGCCAAAGGTTGAGCCGAAAGCGAGGTCGCCGATGATGCTGGGGTAGACAGTGTTCTTCGGTTTTGGTCAGCACTGGTATTGCCGAACTCTTCCCGAAAACAACTCACTCAAAGGCAAGAGCGTTGTACCAGTCAAGGGTCTCGATTCTGGCGGGTTGTTCCGTCGCGATTAGTCAGGCATATCTCTGACTCGCAGTAATCAAACCAACATACACGGCGTAGCCCTTGAGGGCGCCTCCACTCGCTCCATTCTTGGCCTTGTCGCACAGCTCGTCCCACTTCTTGAGGAAGACACGAACGGTCTCGGCGATGTAAGGCTCGAACTCTTGGACGCTTTTTTGACTGAAGGTGTGGGCGACGATCTGTAAGAGATGCGAGGTTGCCGAAAAGTCAGCTGGGTGAAAAGTGGAAGAGCATTCTGTGAAAATGAGCTCGATCATCAAAGGGTCTCACCTTGCGCTTGCGAGTGTGCTCCTGTCGATCACGGGTGTTGAAGAGACCGGTTCGGATGGCGACGAAAGCCTGTACGAGTGAGCAAGCGTGTCAGCCAAGCCGATCTCGATCGAACGTACGCTGCTGCTCCAGACACGTGACACGACGAGTCGGATTGAATAATCCCGGTCCGTCAAATCGGTACTCGTGCGCACGCACGGCATGCCGTCGGGGCGGCGGGCTCCTTTGGTCTCAGGGCGGGCCCGCTTCGTCGAAACGGTTTATGGAGGAGACGGCGCGGATCACAAACACTCACGGAGTAAAAGTCAGTCTTGAGGGATCCAGTGCCATGGCCGTAGACGATGGGGAGTGCCGCGGGGTCGGCGATCGAGATTCTGTAAGCAAGTGCAGGGGTGAGGAGCACCGACGGCGTCAGCGTTACCAATCAAAGTGTCAGCGGGGAGGGGTGGGTGAGGGCCGATGACGATGGAGTGCCGTCGCGGCCCGCGGCCGTCCCCGCTTTCGAAAAGGGGGAAATCGGATCGCGAGGAGGGCGCAGCCGAAGCCCAGCGTCTCGACAGGACGATCACGGTACTTGGGGGCCATCTCGGCCATCTCGACGTAGAGGCAGGTCGAAGGAGGTGTCGCGTACTCGCAGATCGTGTACGAAACGAACGCTTTCCGGTAAGGAAGAAAAAAAAGTCAAGGGAGCAACTCACTCATTCGGGCCGATCCTGACAAACTTGCCATACTTCACATGCAACTCATGCACCGACAAACTCCTCACGCCGCACCTCGACTTGATCGCCAGCCATAACCTCGAGAACTTGGCGAGGACCGGGCCGGGGTACTTGGCTAGACTCGCGTGGACGGTCAGAAAGGGGATCGCGTAGACAAGAGCGACGAGCACCAAGGGGGCCAAGGCGAGCACTTGGAGGGTGTTCTCGTCGAAGTACTTTTGGAACGAGTCCATGATGAGAGTGTGGGTTGATGTGACTTGAGGGGAGCAAGGCGGGGTACCGAAAGCGCGAGGGAGGAGGGAGAGAGTGAGAAGAGCAAGGGAGTGATCGGGCAGAGCGGGGGGGGGGGGGGGGGGGAGGGCAAAAGTGGGGTTCGGCTCGGCGTGGCGCTAGGGGCAGCTCGGTTGCGAGATCCGCGGTCCGCTACAACTTTGACGCGAGCCCGAGAGGAGGTTCTTTTTCCTTGCAGCTAAGCCTAAGCTTCGAAGCCGTACGAAACGCTGCCGAGATCACGGCACACTCTCCAAATTGGGCGGTAACTTTTATTAGAAAGGTTATCAACTTCCCGACGGCCTTCGATTCAGCTGCCGCTCATCGTGCAGGTGAGCCAGCACCGGGAACCAGTTTCCGGGCGGCCGCGGCCGCACCGGCAGGCACCGGCCTACGCGCCTGCACCAATCCCGCGGCTGCCGTATCGATCGCGGCCGATCTTCTTCGATTCGTATGTTACCAAGACTGTTTTGCAACAATGAACGAATTCCAAGTGACTCCAACTGTAAACATGAGTATATGTATCACGCCAAGTTACTACCACCCCTTCTCCGAACCGCTTCCAACTCTTCGGCCACCCGCGCTTTGACGACCGTCGGACGGGCCTCGCGTTTGACGTACAACCAGTCCTGTCGATCGACGGCTTTGATGGTCGAAAAATCGGGGAAGAGGTTGCAGAGCATGTGCAAGGATTCCATTGCCTCGTCTGTGGGGATTGGGTCGGCATAAAGTCAGCATTCGCAAAAGAAATTTGACGAGTGAGGGGTTGTGGGGGAGCAGCGACGCACCTTCTCCGATCTTGACCAGGGGACTGTTCGCAACGGCCAAGGCAATATCATAGACCAAACTCGGTCGACCACCGCATTTGCTACAAAGTGGATCCTCAGACCGGTCAGTAAGACGACCCAAAGTCGCGAGGACTAAACCTAGTAGCCGACTCACTTGGAGAACATGGCGACCACGTCAGCGATGTTACCCAGTCGACTGATGATGGCGTTGCGTTTATAAATATCCTTCTCGACCGACCATGCTTCCTCAGCTTCACCCTTGCGTTGTCGCTTGAGACTCTTGGACGGCGACGCGGCTTCGGCGATCGAGGACAGAAAAGCCTGATTCGTCGAGGGCAGCAAGGACTCGGCGTGTTTCGCAGCGAGCTGCGGATAAATAACAAACGCCAGATGTCAGCGTATTTGTCTGTCCAGATTGCTGTCGCAGGTGACTGACCCTCTCGCGCATCATTCGGTTCCTCTCGCTCGCCTTGACCTTGGCCGCCGACGGAGGATGTTTGACCACCGATTCTTCGAGCAGCATCAGCACCGAGCGATTCGGGCCCGCAATAGGTACGGCGGGGCCAAAGACGTCGTTCAGAGGTGCGCGCGGTTTCTTCGGACTCGGCGACAATGTGCCAGGGACGGCGATCGCTGCTGCTTCAAGCGAGGGGAGGGTCGCCCGTGGGATTTCAGGGATTTCGGATGGGAAAGGTGGCAACGAAGGGTTGTAGATGGGGCTAATCCGCACCTGCTCGGCTCGAGAGCATCGCTTGCCCCATGCGCGGAGGCGTCTTTCGAGCTCTGTCCGTCGAGCGTTCTTGCCCTGTGTCCAAAGAGCAACGACGCTCATCCCGTCGCGACCTCGACCCAGACTACTAGGACTTGGAGGAGCCTCGGGGGCCTTGTTGGAGCGCTGGGAGGGCGACGTTGGAGGCAAGAGCTCGAACTTGGGCAGCTGAGGGTTCGACTTGAGCGAGACCGAAATGCCGACGCCGTACGTGTTCTCAATTTTGCCTGCTCGTCCAACGCGTGTCTTGGAGACGATGAAGCCTAGTCCACCGGCCTCGCCTTCTCGGCGGTGCTCGATCATGAGCTCATCATCGCTCACTTCGCCGTCACTGCTCGATGCCTCCGACATGTCACACCCCTGCCACGCCCAAACCAGCCGAGCAAGCTCACGCTGCCCGAACCGCCGTGCCCCGCTCTGCAGCATCTTGGTCAAATCATCGAGATCAATCAAGTTAGGAATACGTATCGTCGAGCTACCATCCGGATGGTGCTCCGTCACTGCTGATGATGCGACTGCCCACCCTGACGTGCCGAGGTGCATGATCAAGGCGCCCTCGAGTGCGGCATGCAATGCGACGAGGTCGGCGAGTGCTGGAGGAAGCGAGCTCTTTTTTGACAACGATGTTTCGAGAGCAAAGGCCTGGCTTAGTGCGGCAGAGGATGTGGGTAGCGTCCGTGCCAAGAAGGGCGCTGGTGGAGGAGACGGTGTTCGCGCGGCCTCGTGTCGACTTTGACCTGGTCGTCGTCTTGTCGGTGTCTCGGCCTTGACGGGAGACGTCGTCGGGGACGAAGCAGAGAGTGAGGACAGCGATTCGTGACGACTGAGCAATGTCCGAGCCCGCTTCGATGGTTCGGTATCTTTGAGCGGGTCCTGAGTGCCGCGTCGTCTCTTGTCCGTCATCTCGGGAGCTTCGACGAGCATCGCTCGCTCGAGTCGCTTCCGCCGTTCGTCAGCCCGTTCGCGTTCGAGGTCGCCGACTTGCTCGTCCGGTTCGCCCAAAAAATTGGCTTCGCTCGAGTATTCTACACCCTGTAGCTTGGTGTCGAGGGTGCGGAAGATCTTGCCCGCGAACTTGACGGCGATGGTCGGTGACGAGTGGGGGGAGGCGGCTCCGTTCAGGACCGACGAAGGGGAAGAAGTCGGAGGTGTCGATGCACGTCTGTCCAGTCACATGTAGCCACAATGTCAGTGTATATTCCGAATCAAGGGTCTGGAAGTGTACTGAGTGCGGTACGCTGCGGTACTCGACGTGATCGTCTCACACTTGAGCTTCGGAGAGCTCGCCCCGAGGTGCCGGAATGGGTGCGAGGAAGAACTCACTGTTGCCCACGACGCTTGGTACCACTCGACCTGCTCGGCGAAAAAGACAATCCGGCTTCACGAGGTGTGATGCGCGAGGCTGAAGCTGGTGTGGGAGGGGTCGCTGCTGAGGACGACGAGGACGGCGACGAGCACCAAGTCGAGCCGGCACGACGTGACATCACACGCGTCGGACGGCTGTGACGACAGCAGCCAACTGGGAGCGCGAGAACGCGAATAAAGAGGCGGGAAAAACCAAGAGTCCAGCTGGGCCGACAAAAGATGCAAGAAGCGCACCAAGAAGGAAGTAGTGGGGAGTATGCGACTCTGACGAAAGAGTGACGAACAGAGCGCTAGCAAGTCGGCCAGCGAGCACGGTTGAGCACACGCGCGCCGCGCGAGGGCCTGCGAGGGCGCGCGAGCCAGCTCCAAGTCGAAAATAACGACTTCTCACCGCTGTAGCTCAATGAATAGGATTTGCAAGAGTCTTCCCTTTGGTAGATGCTCGAAAAAATAGCATAAGAATGCGCCTACTACAACAGATTGTATAGGTGATTTTATTTGCCATGCTACAGCAAGGTGGTACTTTTCTGGGCTAAATTTTCGATAGGCAACTCAGCCAAACGCGCCGATAAGGTACAAGCCCCTCCACAGAGTGGAGGGTTTCGAGCTTAGTTTCAAGCACGACTGAGCACGTCGTCAGGCAGGCTGTGGAGCTGTGGAGGGCTGAGGCGACGTGCTGGCCCAAGGCTTCGGAAGATTTCGACAAGCAAAAATTCTCGCGCGCGCGCTGATCTGCTCGCACCTGTGCTCCTTGTTTTTCTTCCACTACCGGCCTGCCACGGGTGACTTTGCTGACCGAAGACACTCGTTGGGTTCGGCCTTATTCCCATCCTGTTGCTCCTCCTCGGTCGCTACTGAACCGTGTTGCAACAGCATGACGGACCTCGCGACTCGCCCAGGCTCCGCTGGCAGCCCTGCCTTGGCCACCGGCGTCGCCCCGAGCGTGAGTGCGATGTTGGCGGATCCGTCTCGACCGCTGCTCCCGTTCGAGCGCTATGATTCTGCGGGCGATCCCGTCTCGAACGAGCGCACGTCCGAAGATGGCATCGAGGTCGTACCAGCACCGGAGGACTTTTTGCTCAACAAGGCATCAACGTGAGTGCGAGCTGGGATCCTCTACCTCCTGGCCACCCACTCACCCCGGTACACCGCCGCTTCTCGCGCTTTCGACACGGTACAGATCCACGTCGGTTCGACCTCGTTCGGCCGGTTTGGGCCAGCCGTCATTTTCGTCGCTGCTCGCACCGTTCGGGGTCGATCTGAGGAAAAATCGCTCGCTCGAGGTCAAACTCGTGCCCGCACCGCTGCATCCTCGTTCGTCCAGCCAAACTGGATTCATGAGTGAGTCTGACATCTCAAGTGGATGCATGTTGTACCTCGTCGTGACCCTAGACCTGGCCTCACGTGCGTCGGCGTTACCGGATCTCCCAGCACCAAGACCGGCTCAACCGTACCCCGAGACCGAGAACGAGCGCGCTCGCCAAGGTGAGCTTGCACTCATGCCTCTTTCCATTCTTTGGAAAATTTGACGTCACTGATAAAGGTCTCTCGATACCGTAGGACCGCACTATGTCTACGTTCCCAGGGCGCCACCACCACCGTTCCGACGACCAGGCGCCCCTGCGCCCCCACCCCGTCACGTCTCTTCTGGTCCGATGCAAGATGGACCCTATTACCGAAATGGCGGTCTGGCTCCTTCTCCTGCTACGTCCTCTCCGTACTACAACGGTCAGGGCAAGCTCTTGACGCCTAGCTCGATCCGACCCCAGGCGATGATCAAGCAGCAGAATTCTGCCGGCGCCCGCTCGAGACCGAACCACGCTGCCGAACCAGCCTACTCGGCTCGCGTGGCCTCTTCGCTACCGGTTCACAACCAACCTGTCCCCGATGTATCGTACCGCGTCGTCGCTGCGTCGTCTCGGATGCCCGCAGTGCCAGCAGGGAACCGAGCTCCCGTCCGAGAAAGTGGACCGATGCGCAAAGCCCCCTCGCGTGATCGACCTCTGCCGGATGTCGCCGCACCCAAGAGTGGCAGCCGCGAGCCAGTATACCTACAACGCAGGGCAAACACCAACGCTGGAGTCGAGCGCGAACGTGCCGCGTCGCCTCGCTTGGTCTACTTCAACGAGCCGATACCGGCTGCTGCCCAGGTCGGACCGGACGGAACCGTGCTCGCGCCTGTTCCGCTCCCACCGCTCATCGGAGGGCCATCACCAGAGGGAGGACAGAAGTTGAAACTCGCAGGTCGGTGGGCCGATCTTGCGGACGGAACGATTGCGGGCGAGCATGGAGAATATTACGACGGAGCAGGAGCGTACCTCGAGGAGTATTATGCCCAGGAGTACGATGAGTATGGACAGCCTATCCCGAAGCGACAACGGCTCGGGTGGGATCCAAACGATCCTGGTGGATACGGTTTGGACATGTGGGATGACGACGGCGAGATCATGATGGATAGCGATGATGAGGAGTTTGGGATCCGGCAACGTGGTGGAGGTGGAACGAGAGGTGGCCGAGGTCGGGGCAGGGCTGGTGAGCAACTCTCTCTAAGTCAGATTCCTAAGGGAGACATTGAGTTGCTGATGAAGGCTTCCACATTTTCCTAACTTCCGTACTCAGCTCGCTCTCGACCGACACCTGCAAATGCGGCGGACGTCGGCGAACGATCGCTCGCTGGAACGTACTGGACTCCGCCATCCCTCAAACCTTTTGCGTGCCCAAACCCCGAATGTGACAAGCGCTTCAAGAACGCCAATGGTGTTAAGTACCACACACTCCACGGTACATGTCACACCGCGGCGGTCGCGCCCGACGGATCCATGGAACTCGACGAGTCCAAACCCCACGTCTGCTGGTCCCCTGATTGTGACCGATCCTACAAGAAGTGAGTCGCAGCTCTCCGCTTACGTAGTCGATCTTCCCTGAGATACGATCATCCTTCACAGCGCGAATGGTCTACGGTACCACTACGCTCACTCGGGTGCCCACGGTGCCCGAGGTGCCGAGATGCTCCGTTTGGGCACACACCCGAAGCCGCTCAAGACGGACAAGCGCAAGCGCCCTGGCCGGCCCGTTGGATCGGGAGATGAAGGATCACCTACCCCTTCCGAAAGCAACGTCGGCACCCCTCGCGTCAGCTCGGGCCTCGGTCGTCATTCCTACTCGGCTGCGGTTTCGGACGAGGAAGACAGCTCGGCTGCGAATTACCGTCGCAAGGCTCGAGCTTCAGGGACATCGATCAAGCTCTCGACCACTGCTCCTGCGATCGCGGCTCTTCTCGGATTAACCCCTGGCTCTGCCGGCAAGGAGCCAAGATCCAAGCATCAATCTTCGAGCTTTGCCCCACCCGCCTCGTCGAACAAGCAGCCCGATTCGCAGTACTCGAGCTTCGCAACCCCTCGCGATCGCGCCATCACTGGGTCCACCGATGCCGACTCCAACGACTGGTACGGATCGGAAGCCTCGTTCGCCGACTTCCCTGCGGGACCCACGGCTGGCTCGGGTGGTGGACGAGGAGCGAGCAAGAAGAAGAAGAAGGCCGTCAAGAACCGCTCGGCGCACAAGTTCACATCGTGGAAGAATAATTTCCCCAACGCTGGGACGGGCGAGGGATCGGCTTTGGGCTTTGATGCGGGTACGGATACGATGGGCGATATTGATGCCGAGGGGGAAATTGATGAGGGTTATGCGGATGACTACGAGATGCAAGGAGTCGTTCACGCTTGAACGACGCGTGGAAGGTGCATTTTTCTCTTCTTCTTTCGACAAAGCATCGAAGCAATTAACAACCAAGCTTGGATGATATTTGGCTTCGCATTTGTTTGTTTGCATTCTGTTTTGGCATCTGCTGGAGTCTGCTTTTCCGGACAATCACCACGAGAGCGGTCGAGCCCATTTCTCAACTCATGGCGATCTACGCTGACACTCAGCAATCCGTGAGAAAGAGAGCCTAAGGACTGAGTTGTATGGGTGCCAGACTATCAGTATGTCTTGATCTGCTCCAGTCGCGAACAGGATCTGCCGGGTCTGTTCGGTCTAGTCGTCGCCACTGCTTCCCAGGACCGCAAACGTTCGGTGGTCTGAGCGCTTGCTACGAATACCGCCCCCTACTCGAAATCGATGCTTTCCCCTATCTACAACACTCGCAACACTTTCCTCCACATACAAGGCACACCAATGCGTTCCTCGCCAACTTTCCTCCTCGTCGGCAGTTCGATAGGGGCCATCTTGGCCGCGCCAGCCGCCCTTGGTGAATCGTCTTTTCCTTGATATAAGACCGCGAGCACTGCTAGCACCCAAGCCGTTTCTCCCGCCGACGGACCATCATTCCTCCACCCTCCCAAGCCGCGCGTTCTCATTCTCCCTCCTCCGCTCTTCCTCCTCCTTGAACGTATCCGGTAACGGAAATTCTTTAAGCGGTAAACAGCTGAGGAAGCTGATCCCAGCGACGATCGCATTGAGGATGAAAACGGCTCTTAGAGCGTCGAGGTAGGACGACCGAGCCAAAGGTTGAATCGAAGGTGGTAAGGAAGGAATCGACGTGCTGACGTGGCGTATTTGGTCGATGTACTGCGAGTCGAACGGTGCCAAGAAGCTCAGTTTGCGCGACAAGCGAGGAGACTGAATATTTGGCCTCACCTTTTCGGCATCAGGGCCCGTGATCCGTCGATGCAGCGTTACGTTCAAGACGGCTTGGAGCAGACTGGACGAGATGGCCACGCCCACGACTTGGCCGATGTAGCGCGCCAGATAAGTGATGCCTGTCGCTGTAGCCATATCGGAGCGATCGACAGAGGCGATCAAAGCGACCAACGTCGCCGTGATGAGGGATGCGAAACCTAGCAGAACAAAGACACGTCAGTTCAGCGTGCCGATTGATTTCGGAGTGATGATGAACTCACCAAAGCCAGCAGGAATGATGCCGAGCCACTCGTTGAACGGTGACCGGTGCTCATTGAGGGTCATTGCGGACACCAACGCCAGGATGGGCAGGAACGACGTGACGGCGATGAGGTTGTAGTAGCGGCCCGTGTGGCGAATGTACTGTGAACGTGGTCGTCGTGTGAGTGGATGATCGCAGAGCGCTATCTTTTTTTTTACTTGGGACTAACCCATCCAGCAAATAGAGATCCGCATGATAACGCAATCGAGTTGGGGAGCAGATGAGCTCCTGCCTGCGATGCCGACAAGCCTTTGATGACTGCAGAACCAACCTCGAGGTCAGTGACATGCTGCTCACGAATGTGAGAGGTCGAAGATGCCTCTACCTTCGAAAAAGGCGGGATACTGCAGAACAGCTTCGAAAAGGTCAGTATCGCCCTCGAGCACAAGGAGCGCCCGCGGTAAACTGACAAAGTAAAGGATTGAAAAGGTGACGAAGCTCATGCAGAAGTTGGCAAAGGCGACCGAGAGTCCATTTCTCGTCATCAAGATCCTATCACATCACGAACGAATCCGCTCGTTAGTGTAAGTATTCGGTAGGCTACTGAAATGCGAAAGGGCCGCACCTCAAAGGCATGACTGGTTCGAAGGCCCAGTACTTCTCGACGAGGACGAAGAGCACCGCAAAGACGATTGCGACAGTCAGGAGGGACCAGACGAGAGGGTGAGACCACGGTAGGGCTTCGTTGTTCTTGTAAGATAAGGAGAAGAGCAATGATCCAAGCTAATAGAATCGAAGGATATAGTCGGCATCAGTATGAGGACCTGTCGGCAGAGCTAGGGTAACGCACAGCGATGATGAGGGTGATTGCGCCCATGTAGTCTATTCGGCGCAGCATCTCCCTTTTGCTTTTCCCCTGCCCGGGTACCCGGTATCGCACTTTCCACAAGACCATCGCCAGCGAGGCCACCAGTAAGGGTAGTTGAGCTGTCCAATCGATAGACAGTCATCAGCTGCAGGGACTTCATGAAGGCGTCAGCTCGAGCTCACCCAAGAAAGCCACCCTCCACCCTGCCCAATCGGAGATAAGCCCCCCCATCGGTCCACCCAGGCCTGAACCTGCTCCAAAGAACAAGTTGGCGATACCTTGGACCAGTGCGCGTTTCTTGAGGGGGACCAAGTCCGAGGCGACGATGGAAGAGATAGCCATGAGCCCGCCTCCACCCATTCCGGCAATCAATCGGCCTACGATTACTGTGAAGGTGGACCATAGAACGTGTCAGCCGGAGACGTATCATGACCGCCAGGTCATCTTACGTAGGTTCATTGTCGGCGCCAGTCCACAGAGCGCGGTGCCGACGAGGAAGAGTGACAGAGCTAGCAGTGCCGAATATCTGACGGGCGTCAGAGGATTGCGATGCTGTTGATCAGCGAGCGGTTCTCCGACATGAAGGCGATAGCATCAAGTGAGTCTCATTGCGCGTGAGATGTTCACCTTCTGCCAATGATATCCGCCAGTCTCCCATAGAGAGGGGTGAAGCACGCGGTGCTGAGGAGATAACTGGTGCCGAGCCAGCTCGCTTGATTCGACGATTCGAACGAAGCCGAGATGTCGGTGACGAGCGAGGCCACGACGGTTGCATCGACTGCTCCAAGAAAGACGCCCTGAATGATGCAAGTGGACGAGTGTCAGCCGACTGCGCTGGAGGACGTACATATGGTCGCGTGGGAGAGTAGAGCAGAGAGCAGCGAGCCGACGACCAGATCCTTATAGAGGTGGGGGATGAGGTGCCTGAACGTGAAGCTAGGTTTTGCACTCACACACCATACAGAGACCAGGACAAGGTTCCTGGTGCGCGGTGTGAGTGCCTGCGGGTCGGACAAATCTTCTGGTACGACGTTGCCAAGGACACCATCCTCGCTAGCAGCGTCGGCGGTGGGCGCTGGACCATCCGATGGGGGTGAGGACAGCAATGGGGTGCGTTCCGATGCGCCTGTAGTAGGCCTTGAACTGGATGGCATCGTCCCCGAGTCGCTTCTACGATCAGGCTCGCTTGCAAAAAGGAGGCAGGAGACAGGAGAGGGGAGAGGGGAGAGCCCGCAAGCGTGGTGTAACGGTCTTGGTGAGCCGAAGCCCAACTCCGGTCCGGCTGAAAGATCAAGCTATCAAGCGCGACTAACGCCGTTCCGCTAATAGGTTCCTCTCCCCACCTTCCTCTTTGAGACTGCACGCCGAAACCCGAGAGTGGCAACCCGGACATCGGGCATCGTGATCTCTCGCTTGCAGAAAACCTTCCATAACCTTCCATAACATTCCATGGCTTCTACTACATATAAAAGCCTGCCATCTGATATTTTCAAAGCAACAACTAAAACACAGCCTCATACTCATACTCCTACCCCACTCCTTTGCAATCACACTCCTTACCTATCTCGAGAAACCCTACAGTTCAAGTCCTGCTTCAGTTGCTTCGCAGACCTAACCTGATCCTCCCGCGAGAACTCCCTCGCACCTCGTCCCCGAAAGTCTAGCCTCAGCCTAGACCTCTCTCCTGCCGCGAGGACCGTCATACGGTGATCGGTGAGCGCAAGAGTATTATAGCTCAAGACTGCTCAAGAGAGCTCGTCGATCGTTCGCCTTGCGAAACAGCGCGATTGCGATTGATCGCGCTTCCGTCTTGCGATACCACACCCCACAACCTTCGAGCCGACACACGATGATCGACCCACTCATTGGGATGACGTTTGACGTGTCGTCAATGCTGGCCAGCTCCGGTCGTCGAGGTGACGATGGCTCAGCTCCTCGAGGAGGCAACGGTTCCCAAGTACTGCCCGTCGCCGACCTGCCCGACGACTTTGACGGCGTGCCCGAGGATGGCATGCAGTACCTCTTCACCGTCAGGTACGTTCAAGCGATCAACATCGGAGTGGGTGTCCGAGTCGACTGACTCATGCTCCTCGTGACGCAGACAAGAGGCTCGGAAACGACCGAGCATCAACCGAGTCCCCAATCCGTACCAAGTCATCGCGCAAACACCCTCCCCGGCCCCGGCCACACCTCGAGTGCGACAGGTCGGTCGACCCACACAGGCTTGGAGATCCTCATTCGTCACCCAGTTCCTCCAACTGCGTCAGGTCAGTCTCTGCTCATCGCGTGATCGCCTCTCTGCCTGTCTCAACACGTGCGCTGATTCTCCTCCCCACATGAGCATTAACCCAGAGGATCGCAGCTGCTCCTGCTCTATCTTCGTTCCCACCCATGACCCACAACCCATTACCTCAACCTCAAGACCAAGGTGCTTGGCATCTTTTTATCCACGGACGCAAGACCGCGCAGACGAGCGATGCAGCCAAGAGATCTTCCTCTTCGTCGACCGCTTCCCTCTCGACTCGGATACCAACCGCACCACCACCGGCCGCCGCGACGCAGAGCACAACTACGGATGTCGACATGACTCCAGCCGAGTCAGAAGCAGCCGAGTCTCTCCAAGCAGCTAAATCACAACTTCTCGCCTCGCTCGAACTCGACGCTCCGTCGGCTTCGGAACTACCCGACCCCGAAGAAGATTCCACCGAGGTCCCCTCCCACCCGCCTCATTACCCAACTCCGTCCCTCCTCCTCTCCATTCCAGCATATTACATCCCCCGCCTCTTGTTCCACTTCCAATACTGGCTCGCGACCAAACAAGAAGACTACGAGATGGCGATCAATTACACAACTTCGACCATCTTTGCCCCTTCCTCTCTGCGACGAAAGCCCACCACGTCGACCCAGCCCATGACAGCTGTACCAGTCAAAACCATCCCTCGACCACCATTGATGACGGCACATGAACTACACTGGCTCTTATCCCTCTTGACACGCCTCGACACCCTCTTGGACGGTGAAGACATATCCACCCTCCGGTCCCTCGTCCGAACCATCAAGCTGTCGAATGAGAAATCCGAGCTCGCCCGACGAGAGAGGGAAGAGGTGAGGAAGGCACCTCGACGTATAGAGGAGAAGAGGGAGGATGAGGATGAGGCTGAACGACGTGGGTTCGGATGGATGATCGTGGCGGTGGTTTGTGGGGAGGTCTGGGGCCAGAGAGATTTGTGGGACGAGTGAAAAGGTGGACCTTTTCTCTCACTTGAAATTGGGAACTTGATAAGGGATGGGTCGAGGTGCTCGTATTTAGACCGAAAAAGCGAGCGTATAAATAGATACAACACAAAACACTCTACTGTAATAGGAACAAAGTGATGAACAGTGGGTGAGACCCCATTCAGACCACCACCGCGCGAGCGTTGAGCCTCTCCTCGGCTCTCATCTTGAGCAACTTTTCGATCGAACGACTCGAAGGCGTGCCACCGCCGCCACCGCTGCCCCTATACCTCCCATTCGACAGAGTCGAGCCGTACTCCTCCGAGCGATCCGAACGGTCCGACGTCGACCTCGAGTAAGGTGCCGGCCTCGGTAAATCCTTTGGAGGAACTTGAAGCACCAATTGCTCGGACCTCTGAGGTACGAACTGTTTCTCCCCGACCTGAGGAGGTTGAACGGAATACCTCCTACATCCTTGCCTCCTCCTCATCTCCTCCTCATCTCCTCCTCATCAATCAACCACTCGGGAACGTCCTCGATCGTCTCGGCTCGATTGAGGTGATAGTCCCTGATCACTCTCGAAAGACGACTTTCACCTTGCGCGTCGGGAGTCGAATTTTCTTCGATGGGGTCGGAGCCGTAATTAGAAGGTTTGAGGGAGTCTTTGGATACGGTCGTGGCGTGCATAACGGTCGATTTGAAATTCGTGGTCAGACGGTTCCAGAGACCTGAATCGGCTACGAAGTTCGGTCCTCGAGGAAGGGGTGGTAACGGTTGTTCGTCGTAATCGACGGGAACTGCAAAGCAGGAACGGTGGTGGATGAGCAACTGAAGGCGACAAACCGAAAAACCTGCATCACACTCACTCGGCAGCTCCTTTTCCTTGGCTTGAAGCTGGGGTGAATGGCGTGCAAGAGGTGGGGACCAACTGTCATGTTTGATTAAGATAGTGGCGGGCACTTCGTTCGGGCTCGTACTACTGCAGTACGAGTCATGACTTCCCCCATAGCCCGAATCGATCGAGGGGTGCTTTTGGTGCGGTTGGATCGCGGGGCGTCGGAGGTGCGATGAAGGGTCCAAGTCGGGTACGGAGACGGGTGTAGAGCTTTCTCGCTGAACGCAGGCGTAGGTTCGTTCGAAGGTAGGGATCGGTCGATTAGTCTCCTTGTACTTGAGAAAAGTCGTCTCGCGCTCGTATGACCGCTCGGCGCACGATGCGGCCGATGAGGAAGGTGCATCGTCGTGATCGAATCGATCCACGTTCGAATGACCATGGTACGAAGCTGGTGCACGTTTTAGTGTTAACCTGGCATTGGTCGAAGACGATAGATAGGCGTCAGGGCGCGGCGCGATGACCGAAGCGCGCGGCGATTCAGAGCCGGGGCTGCTGGTGCTGGCTCCAAGATTCGAAAACCCCTGGTCGGCAGTCTCGAAGGTGCCGTGACCGCTGTTGCTATCGGAAGCACGCAACGATGCCCCTGATGACGATTTGGGTCGGGTGAAGATACCTCGGGATAAGGTCGTCATTCGAGGGGAGAGGTCTTGCGTTACTGATTCGTTGGGGGAGGGCATGAACGAGGGGTAGGCCGAGGTCGAGGTAGAAGGTCCAGAGCCCGAGCCGAAATGGTAGGCCGAGGCGAACGAGGTTCGGTCGCGAGTCGCCGAGCTCGACGTCCGAGGACCTCGATCGGAACGGAACGACCGGATCGAAGGGGCAGGTTGGTTTTCTGGCATCGCTGTTTCGAGGATGACGGAATGATACGGTTTTGGGTAGCGGTGGGAGGGGGAAGAGGAGTAATGGGGAGGAACGAAGACGACAGGATGGGGGTGATTCGCAGGCCAGATCTTTCGGGGGAGACTTGGGACGGAAATGTCATGCAGATCGGCGCGCAGAGGAGGCCAGCCAACAACTATCTGCGACGACGATCACAAACAAAATCATGGGCCTGGGTTTGCAAGAGGCTCCAGACTTCTTGATCAACTCTTTCGCCTGGCCAGCAAGAGGACGTACATGTTGGCTATGCCCGATGAACGAGAAACGTGTATCATTACGGGCCCAGCCACAACGATTGGGACCCCGCGCCAGCGATCCGTGCGCGTCCCATCCGCTTTCGGCAAGAAGCCGAATGCGATCGCACCTTGCCCACACCTCACCTGGGTTTCGCGCCGTTACCAGGCACAAAGCAGGTCAAGTCAGTTGCTTATTTTGTGGGTTAATACTAATAAGAGTTGGGCACGGTCGATGCGAGATCGGACCGATTATGAAGCGCCTGGGGTGAGTTCAACCCGACCGCTGGCCAGGCCTTGCCAATCGGCGAGCGTCGGCCGGCCCAAGCCTCTTGCGCATTATGATCTTTTGCTCGGAATACGAGCTCTACATGGCGTCAATACAATGAATTAGGCAGTGTTCTTACGGAACAATGGGTTATTCCGTGGAAGCCATTCTAGGGATGTGTGAAGCCCGAGAAAAACTCGGTGGGATCGGGCTTCGGCAGGCAAGTACGAGGTTTTACCGCTGGCCGCGCGCCGGCCGTTGGCGTTGGATCAGCGCGATCGACGTGCAGCCCATCTGCTCGCACGCCAGTAGGGCTCCGGAGTAACTGCCGTCTGGTCGACGTCACCAACATGGTGAGGGAGCGTTGTGAGACTTGCCCGACGGTCGGCGTCGCACCTCGTACTAGTCTTGTTTGGAATGTCTTAGCATTGTGCAGAGGGGAAAAGCTTAGATTACGGGCATTAGACCGTCTCGTACGGAGCATGATCGTACATGAAGCATGGTGAACTGCACCAACGATGACACCAAGATGGAGATCTGCGGTCGCCGGGTGGCGATCAGGGCCGACGACATATATATCGGCGCTCTCCGGAAGACCATGATCTTTGCAGCCAGGCATGCGTATAGGTGTTTAGTCAAAGTTTTTAGACCGCACTAGGGCTCGGGGGGCGCTCCGCGCCCACCTCCCTGCGTAAATGAAGGTCGTTGCGAGCTCCGCCCGCACCTCCCGGACCGTGGGGGGGGGGAAAGATCGCCGCGCGCGCGCGCGCGGCTGAGAACCTTATTTAAGTCGTGCATTCTTTTATGTAGATGTAGATAACTTGACAGAACTCTGATTGTGACGTATCGTTTGCAAACAATGGGCCCAAACGGATGCATGCACAATGTCCCCCAAAGCAGCGGCGGCGCCGAAAGGGCTAGGCTCTGGGCCCCGAGCAAGCTCCTTGAGGCGCGCTTTCAAAAAGGGGTGAAAGGATTGGTCGGGCCAGATCGCACCGCCGGAACGGCTGCCGACCGAAAGGGAAGCTCGGTTTCACGCCTGAGAGTAGGCTACGGAGGAGGATGCTTGCTTATCGGCGTAGTATTGAGCCAAGCGCTTCGAAAGAACTTGCCTTGGGTGGCGCGTATAGGTGTGCTAGAATATTTATCCACCGTGCCATTGTGTTGGTGTTCCCCACGTCTCCACGGCCCCGAGGTTTTAAGCAGCTCCATCGGCGGACCGCCTCGTCTTGACTTAGGTACCTTCAATGCCCCGACCGTCGGTGTATTCTGAAGCCCAACCCTGCTAGACCGGTATCTCAGGGGGAACTCGTACTTGCTAAGGGAAAATAGATGGCCAGTCGGAGGGCAATGCTGCGCTGTCTGGAAATGTCGGTAAGACAGCCCCGAGTGACGCTCGTTGCGTCGGATATCTTGCCTCTGTAGAGCGACAGTGTCGAGCCTGAGCGATTTCTAATGGATCCGGAAATCATCCATCGATCTGTGAGGAAGACCGGTGACTGATACATTTCGCTTCGTGAAGATTCAATTTCCTAAAATCTCTCGAGAGCTCAGACCCGCCTTGGGAGCGCGGGCAGCATTCCAACGCCGGTCCGCCGAATTGAATCGCTCTTGCTGCTCACGTCGGAAGAACAAGGGGAGTGTCGGATGTGGGACCACGCCGGAACTGGTAGACTGCCTTTCTGATACTTGAAGCCACCCAGCAGTCTAAGTTTGTTTTCAAAGTAGCGCGTGAGTGCCGAACGACTGGCGCCGCGAGAAGCCCCTTCGTGTCCCCGAGCCTCTCGATCTCGCCTTCGCGGCATCGAAGGTGGCCTTGATTCCAGCCTGTGGCTTCCTTCCTGCTTGAGCAGGATGGAAAGCGGGCCCACACGAGCCTAAACATGTTCACCATTCCCGATCTTTGCTGTTGTAGAGAAGGAAATTGAAACAGATCGAACCGTTTCTCAACGAAGGCTGCGGAATCTTGTGCGCGAAGTCAACAGCGAGGAGCTGAATATGCCTGGCGTGAGGGTGTGAGAGTAACAAGAGTAGCTCGATCATAAAAAGCACACTCTTTCTCCTCCCGAGGCGAAGAAGCTGTTCTATCTCGTTGTCAGGGGCACTTGGGTAGGCCGGCGCTGGAGAGATCGACCGCAGTGCCATGGCCAGTGTGCAGTGTCCACGAGATTGTTTCAACAGTCTCGTTTTCAAATGCTCTCGCGGCCACAGATAAGTGGTCGCAAAGATATGGGAGAAGTATGACTCTGAGCTTTGAAATGTAGTGGCATTGGAGCACACATAGCGGTGGATTGCGTTTCCCGACTCGCTCCGTGGCTTCGCGCTCAGTTGGGCCCCGCGTCCGCAAAATTTGCATCCCTTCAGGCCGCTCGACGTCCTATAGGCGGAGGAAGCTGAGCCGAGGTGCGACCACAGTCGAATCGTTTTAGCTATGAGTACTGTGAACTACGACGTTTTGAAGTGCACTCGATACGGTGCTCGCCGCGCCTTAGAGCTATCGTAGACCGTTTTGCAGTGGCTCTTTCACTGCAGTAGCCGACTGGCCCGGCCGATGGCGCTTCCCCAGACTGACGCCATTGCCTGACGCGCCTGGGGCACGGACGGACTTCTCTGTGCGAGGATGCGCCTGCGGGGTGAGGCGTGGTGCGGCCGTGGTCTGCAGTAGTGTGCAGTGGTGTGGCGCGTGGTGGCGCCGCTTTATGCGGGCCAGCAGCTGACAGGTCTCTTTCCCCACCGCCTCCCACATCAACTTACAACAGCAGCAACTTGCCCCGCTCCGTAACTTGACGCCCAACTGAACTCACCTGTACGGACACGCCTCAACGCCGCGCTCGTCAATCTCCCTGCCCACTGCACCGAGAGATAGATCTCTCCTTTCCTTCACCCCATCGATCGCATCTGCAAAAGCTCCCATCATGTCTGCTGCACCCATCACCGAGGCTATCCAAGCCAACACCGCCCAAGAAGTAGGACACAAGGTCAGTTCGCAACTACTGAGGTCTTCTTGTTGGTGCTAGGGGTGTTTCGCCGGCGCGGTCGCTCGCTGCGAGGTCGACGCCGACACGACCACGACGTGGCGGCCCTCCACCTCCACGCCGCTCGTACCCTCCATCCCCGCCCCGCCGCTTGATCACACGCTCTCTCCTCCGCGGGAGCACATACGGCCCCTACTCTCTCCGCATCGTCACGTCCCCAAGCAAATGCTGAGTCCGTCATCCCCTTTCGCCAGGTCTTTGCGGGCAACTTGTCGTTCCAAACCAAAGACGCCGATCTCGAACAGGCCTTTGCGGTCCATGGCAAGGTGTAAGTTGAGCATGATAGGACCGCGTCAAGAGCATGATGGAGGCTGATGACCTCCCTCTGGTGATGATCGCTCTTTCTGATTTGACGCCATTTCACACTACCCACAGCACCGAGGCCCAAGTCATCATGAGGGGGCAGAGATCTCGAGGGTCAGTTACCCACACCCCGTTCCCACCTCAGCACCCCACCCTACTTCAAAACTGACCCCCACGCGTACTCTGGTCCTCCACCAGCTACGGTTTCGTCACCTTCGCGTCCGAGGCCGAAGCCACCGCCGCCGTCGCCGCCTTGGACAAGTCCGATCTCCAAGGCCGTCAGATCAACGTCGAGTTGGCCAAACCCCCGACCGAATCCACCGCCGGTCGGGCGATCCGAGAGGCCGCTCAGAAAGCCACTGATAAGGGGCTTGGAGAGGGTGAGGACGCTGGTGAGGCACAAGAGGGGGAGACCAAGCCCAAGAAGAGGAACGCTAGGGTAAGATTTAGCGTACCCCATGATGGTCAACGAGTCGCCCTTGGCTGACGTGGGACTTGTGCGCTCATTCCTTGCAGTCCAAGAAGGGAGCACGTCGCCCGCGTACCGATGCCGAGACCGAAGAGGCCGGTGACGCCCCTCTCGAAGGTGCAACTGGCGAGAACGGTGAGCTCGTCGCCGGGACGACCCATGACGCCGCCGCTTCGGGGGAACGCAAGCGAGCTTCGCGCGCGCGCAAGTCCAAGAAGAAGACGACCACGACCGATGGCGAGGCTACGCCTGCGACGAACGAGGATGGCGCTGCGAACGAAGGCGACTCGACGCGTCCCGCTCGAACGCCTCGTCGCCGAGGTCCCCCGGAAGGGAACCCTTCCAAGACGTTGTTGTTCTTCTCGAACCTCAGCTTCTCGACGACCGATGAATCGCTCAAAGAGGCACTCAAGGACTATGATGTCGTTTCGGCCGTCGTCATCAAAAGACCCTACGGCCCTACCGCGGGCCGTTCGAAAGGTTTCGCTTTTGTTGACTTCAAGGATGAGAAGAGTCAACAGCGGGCTTTGGAGGAAGTGCAGGGCAGGGATATTGAGGGGAGGAACGTGAGCGTCAAGGTCGCGATTCAGGAGGAGAAGAAGGAGGAAGCTGCTCAGGCGATGCCGACGGAGGAAGGTGCGGCGCCGGCTCAGGAGCAAGAGGCTTGAGGTGTGTCTCTTGGGCGAGCGTGGATGTTCAAAAATCGGAGGGGAGGATGCGGACCCCTTTTGAGGCGTGGGAGGAGATTGATTTAGGGTGGAAGTGATGGTGGTGGTGATGAGAGGTTGTCCTTTTTGCAAACAAGAATACCTTTTTTCCTTTCTTCGCACACTCAGGCTCGCGGCCTCTCGCAGAGAGAGGAGGAATTGCAACGAGCACTTTAAGGGTATAAGACGGAGAATCAGCTCTTCAAAGCCGGCTCGTCCTCCTTCGTCTCTTCAAGTACAACCCCTGGCCCAGTTCTGTCCGGATCTGAACTTGCTCTGGGCCTCACCCTTGCGTCCTCCCCATCTAATCCCTCCTCACCCTCTTCTATCCCACTATCAACAACAGCTTCGATATCCACCACCCCGCCCTTCCCCGTCCCATCAACTCTGGAAGGACTAACCTGCCTCGAACTCGTCGTCGACGACGATCCGGTCAAGGTCCTCTTCCTCCTTCCTCTCGGTTCCTTCTCCCCACCACTTATCGGAGCAGCACCACCGAGTATACTGCCCGTCCTTTCCCTCTCCCTTCCCCCCTCCACCCCACCCTGTCCGCGGGCGCCACCGCGTTCCTTCTGCCCCCGCCCCACCCCGCTCCAAACCCATGCCCACGACCCCCACCACCCATTCCCACTTGCACCGCCGGTCAAACCCTGCGCCTCGACCCTACGCCTCTCCCACTCGTGGCGGTACCTCTCGTACCCCTCCCTAAAGACGGGCGAGACCCTCGACGAGAAGATCAATTCCCCCCTTGGGTTCTGTGCGGGTGGGATAGGGGGCAGAGGTATGCCTATGGAGGGGGAACGGCCCGAGGAGGATCTTTTGAGGGATGTTGAGGGTAGGGTGCGGCTGACGGGATCTGAGGATGAGGAAGAGGATGAGGATGAGCTGGTTGGAGTGGGGGGTGAGGACGATCGGGAACCGGGTGGGGAACGATTAGGTCTTGTAGAGCGGATCGTCGCTGCGCTTGAACTGGACCCGATCGAGGTCCTTCTTGACCCGCCTCTCGATGTCTTGTTCGAAGGGTGGGGAGGAGAGGACTCGTCATCCGACGTCACGGGCGACATGGACCAAGGGGACGCCGAAGGGGAAGGGGACGATTTGGGCGTGGTAGCTAGGGAAGGGGGTTGGGCCACGGGTGGGGACGCGGCGATGCGAAAGAGGGAGAGGTACGAGATCCACGATCGCTTGCGCGTGTTGAGGTAGATGTTGAGAGGTCGCAGGGCTCGGTTCGCCTGAGGGACGAAGCTGTGGGGGACGGTACGGTAAGCCAGGAGGAATGGAGGGGCAGCGGCGGAACGGGCCTGGAGCAGAGTACGTGCCGATATGCGTAGACAATCTTTTCAGAATACATGCCCGTGGCAAAGAATAGGACGAGGGTAACGAGGGAGACGAGGAGGAGTGCGACGTTCAAGTAGTGTACGAGCGAGTACTGTCGACGGTGAGGGAGAGGGAATGAAAAGTCAGCTGACGTCTACGGGCCGACACGAAGGGACGACGTACGATCGAGGGCAGCACGAATACGTTGTAGGCAAAGTGGACGATCAAGAGAGCCAATGAGATGAGAAAGGCTGTGCGGGGAGGGGGGGGGGGGTTTAAGGGAGTGATTGAGTGCTGCGGTCCGAGTCCGACCCAAGTTGAAGGTGCGCAGACGATCGTGACCGACCTTGGTACTTGCGGCGTTGCTTTTGTAGTCTGTGCGACGTCATGCTGCGGTCAGCTCACGCCCGACGCTGGCCAGTAGACGGTAGACGGACCACGCACCGTTCTGCATTCTGCTTGAGCCTCTCCTCGAATATGAGCACGTCCTTGAAGGTCTCCCTCGTCGGCGCGGGGGACCACACGTCCCTCTCCCTCCGGTTCCAAGTCGAGCTGCTGCTGCTGCTGCTGCTGCTGCTGCTGCTGCTGCTGCTGCTGCTGCTGCTGCTGCTGCTGGCCGAGTGGTGTTGGTGGTGGTGGTGGTGGTGGTGGTGGTGGTGGTGGTGGCGGTGGGGGGAAGGAGGACGATCGCTTGGTACAAGGGCGGTCATCTCGTCTCGCTTGGTGAGGACCGGGGGGGTCGGGTCGGATCGAGTCGTCCGAGCACGGTCGACAAGTGAGAGCAGTCGAGTTGGTTGCGTTCCTGTCTCCAAGGTCCAAGGTGGGGATTAGCGCGCGGATACTAATCACCAATTCGAAACCAAGCACCCCATTTGGCTCTCGGCGAGTCCGACGCGGCGCGCTGATAATTATCTGCTCACCGCTAATTACTCACCGCGACTCACACCCCGACTAATATGGACTAACAAGCCCTGCCAGGGTAAGGACTAATTAGCCCCGGCTCGGCGCTCCCTCGCCTCCACGTCGGATCGCTGTGCTCAGTCGTCGCTGCTCAGTCGTCGCTGCTCAGTCGTCGCTCTCCCGCTGGGTTTGCGTGGCCGACCACTGCGTCCCGACATCGTCCAGGTGTGGGTAGGGGTGTGAAACCCAGTCATGGGTCAGTTGCTCGTCAAGGCCTGCTCTGCGAACCCTTCTGATGCTCTCCCTCGCAGAACGATGGACCGCGCTCCTCCCCGATCGGACCCCCGCCCTAACGCGCTTCAACGGCGCGTCCCACACGCATCGTCCCAAGGTCAAACTGCTCGGTCGACTGCCCGAAGAAGCGTACCTCTCGATACTGCCTCACTTGGCTTTGGCCGACCTGGCCTCCTGTGCCAGCACGTGCAGGAGCTTGGCACAGTTGGCGAGGGATGATCGGGTGTGGGCCGTCAAACTGGACTGGTTGAGCTATAAAGGGCCGGGGCAGATCCACTATGCCAACCAGAAACGGGGAAGCGAATCACACAATGATCCGCAGCCGCCTTCAGCTCCGAATGGGGTCAAGAACGACCAGCGACCACCGCAGGAGCCTTACCGCGATGACGACGACGACGACGATGACGAGCAGCCCAGCAAGGAGCCGCACCACCACGACGATGACAACGACGACGACGACGATGACGACTTTGGCGATTTCTTCCGAGGCAAGCAACCCTCCGTCCCGGCCATCGAATCATCGACCCTCGCTGCACCGACCACCGCCGCGGACGATGGCTTTGGCGACTTTCAGGATGCCGCCCAGCGAGTCGACGATCCCTTCAACCTCGCCACCGACGACTTTGCCCACGTCGACCTCAACCCGCCCTCCAACGCCCTCCCCAAAACAGCCGACGCGGCTGATCTCATGCTCATTTTCGACGACGACGACCAAGACCGCGCCGTCGTCCCACCCGCTGCCCCCTCGGCCACCCCCACCTCCTCCTCCTCCTCAAGGAACCGACCGCTCTCCGTCTCATCCACCACCACAACCACAGGCGAGACCCTCGACCTCTACCACGTCTTCAAGACGCACTACTCGCTCCTGCTCCCGTACTACTCGTCCCTGTTGACCCATACGACCTCTTCGCTCGTCTTCACCTCCAACCTCCAACCCATGTGGCGCGCGCGCATACTCGCCTCCCTCGTACGCTTCTGCCAACCCCTCGTCGCGCCTACGCGCTCCGTCCCTCAACGCATGACCGTCTTACGCAACACCCAGTCCGCGATGGATTTCTTTGAATCGGCTCTCTTGGCCGAATTCGAGAGGGCCGATACGAAAGGCGACGAAAAGGCGATGAAGGAGAAGGCGTATGTGCTCTGGGAGCTCAATCAGAGCCCGAGCGTGATTCAGGTCTTTATACAAAAGAGGGAGATCTTTTACGATCAGTCGCATAACCCGCTCAAGAATTTGACGTGAGTCTGGAGTCGGACCTGTGAACATGACTAACAGTGAAAGCTGACCAACGCCCGTTCGCGCACCACAGCAAATTGACCAGTCCTGAAGGGCATGTCAGTGACGGGATCGACTTTACGGCGATGGACACCTACATGCGTTACGTGCTCCAGACTGTCGAGAGGGACGGTAGTCTCCTCGCGCGTGCTTTCCCTCCCGAGGCTGACGTGCTCATCTTTTACATCGAGAGGATAGCGAATGATGTACGTCCCGCCCTTCAGATCGCTTTCCCGGCTGGGTCACTGATGGTCCCATGCTCTTAGGTCGTCTCGGACTACATCACCACATTACTATCATCCGCTCAAGACCTGCCCCACCCTCTCTTCCTCCTCGCCACAGCCGCAACCTTCGGCCAAGTCTACCGCCTCGTCGAAATGACACTCTCGATCGAACCCAAGAGTCCCCTCGTGACGAGATCGAGGGCCGAGGACGTCATTTTCAAGATGTTTGAACCCTTGATGGACGATTATCTCACGGAGGAAGGGGAATGGATCAAGGAGGTGTTGAAAGGGATCTGTTCAGAATGGGATGCCAAGGTGCGTCTAACTTGACGCTTCCTCGGTCTGAGAGGTAGACTGACCGTGAGGTTGTCGTGTTATTCCCACAGACCGCATCCAGTCTCGCTATCTCGGATCCGACATTCCTCGCTTCGGCGAACCCAGCTCAAGTCAAGAAGAACGTGCTCGCTGGATTCGCCAAGGTGCTTCTGCTCCCCGTGACCATCATTCCTAAAACGGCCGAATACGGTCTTCAAGCCATCACGATTGGTGCGACGGGCGCGTTCAACACTTTTGCCAATTTGGGCAGTCAATTGGGGTCCGGGTCGGGCGGGAATAAATCGGGGACGCGGACGCCGAGTGCTTCGAGCTTTGCGGCGACTTCAGCCACGCCTGTGCTTATGGATGATCCGAATGTCGTTGTACCACCTCCTTTGTCCAACACCACTGCTGCACTCGAGTCGACCACTTCGGCATGGGGTGGGGACGACCGATATTCAATCCCGCCTCCGTCCAACCCTTCTCTCAAACCTTCCTTCTCCCGCAACCGCTCCGTAGGCCCGGACTCTCGCCGCTCCTCAACGACGACGCTCCCCCATTCACGCTCCACAACCGAACCTTCCTCCTCCCGCTACGACCGAATGCAACTCCTTCTCTCTCTCGACACAGCCCTCCAACTGATCCAAGCCGATCGGGACTGCCTGAAACGCATTCAAACCTTCGCCAAATACCCCGGTATCTACGGTCGTAAAGTCCGCGACGCCATCGAAGAAGTCTTCATAGTCCTTCTCCAAACACTAGGAGAGAAACACGTCGTCCCTGCCTTTCGACAAGCGACGAAATCGATGGGCTTGTATAGGGCTCAAGATCATGAGGGCGAAGGTAGTGTGGCTCCGTTGGTGCAATTTTTCGAGTTGGTGCATATTGGGGATACCATACAGCAAATGGTCGAGGTGTATTTTGAGAAGGAGATGGTCAGTCCCTTTCGTGGGTGTGGCGGTGGAGTCTCTCCTCATGGTGCGCCGATTTGCTAAAGCTGGGTTTCAAACACAATAAGGTGGCCTACATCGACCGAAGAGATTTCCTCAACGTCGTCATCCGCGAGAAAAAGAAATTCGAATCCTCGCTCGACGACGCCGTAGCCCAAGGCCTCAACGCCGGCGTCAACATCCTCATGCACCAAGTCGAACACATCATCACGACGCAACAATCCCCTTCCGATTATTGTCCCCCCGGTCAAGCCGAGATGGAATTGAACTCGACCCGGGCGTGCGCGAACGCGATTGAGACGTTGACGACGCATTGCGATATGTTGAGGGGGTCGACGGATAAGCAAATTCTGGAGGTATTTCATCAGGAAGTCGGGATTAGGTTGCATGGGTGAGGGTTTCATCCTTTGGCCTGAGTCTTGGACTCGAGTTAACTCATCCCTGACACCCCTCTTTCACTCCACAGCATCCTCCTCAAACACCTCAAACGCTGCACCGTCTCCATCGACGGCGGTTTCACCCTCATCGCGGACCTCAACGCATTCCACTCCTTCGTACAGTCCCTCCGTCAACCGACCGTGACGGCCTACTTCGCCTCGTTGAAAATGGTAGGTGAGTTGTTCATCGTCGATTCACCGAAGGAGTTGGGCGCTTTAGTGAGGGATGTGAGTCGGTATGAAGGGACCTTGAGCGCGGATGATTTGTATGAGATTGGTCAGTTGGTTCTTTGCTGCCCTTTTTTTACGTTGGATGATGAGATTGCCATAACTGATGGGGTCCCTCTCGTCGTCAAATAGTCCAACGCCGCGCGGATTGGAGGCAGATCGAAAGTCAGGTCGAGAAACAACTCTTTGGGCTCAAGCTCGCAGACGATTGTATCATCTCTTGAGACCAAACAACAACGACTCGGATCCAGCTCCCGAGACGTCGTGTACCACTACTACTCTGTGGAAGTTGCTTCTTTCTTAACGTTGAGGGTGAGATTGAAGTCGAAATGCGAAACGCTGTGTTGATTTATATTGCGTGGTGGAAAGAGTGTGGGTTTCGCAAGGAAATGATGCTAGGAATAAATGTAATACCTATGAAAGAGAAGGAGAGAGAGAGAGAGAGCCGCCTATGCCGTCGACGTAGGAACGGAAAGGAATGAAACGAAACTTGATCCTAGCGCCTATCTCAAACTCGGCTCGTCCGGCTCGACCAAAAAAGTCGGCTCCTCGACATAATCGACCGAATCCTCCAAATCAAGGGCTAGGATCCTCGAATACTCCAATGCAAGACGATACATGTACGCCGCCATATCCGCTTTCCTCCAATGCGTAGCCGCCCATTTCTGACCCGCCGCACCAATCTTTTGCGCCAAGGCGTCATGAGCACCTTTACCTTGGGGTGTACCGACGAAGAAAGTCATGGTGTCGTAGAGGTCCGAGTAGTCGAGTTTGATGGGGACGTAGTGGACCCACGGCTCGATACGTTCGTGGTACCATTCGGGGAAGGCCGTCGCTTTCAGAACAACCGAACGCGTCGACATGAGACGATGGAACCGTCCTGACCAACCGTTGCCATCGACGTCCATCAAGTACTTGTACGTATTCGATTCCTCGATCCCGATCGTAGGCTTGAAGTGGAAATTTTTCCTCAACCATTCACAAGTCTCGGGATCGCATTGCGCCGGTTGACCGGAGAAGAACGTGTCCATGTAGAGATGGTTCATATCTTCGATCGTGAAATTGCCACGATGCATCTTGTCGTCGGTAGCCCAGAGGACTTCTTTACTACCGTCCATGTATTGGCTCATCATGTGTAGGCGAGCACGTTGCGAGTTGCGCCAAGGAGTGTGCCGGTCGAATTCGGCTCCTGTCGTTGAGCCTGTGCGGTGGGAATCGTGGAAAGCTCGGTTAGTGACAAGCCGACGAGACAAAGCTTCGATCACGAATAGCTCACCTCGCCAAAGCAGCTTGTTCTCGCTCTTCCCTTCCCAAGGCGGTTCATACTCCTTGTAGTTCTCAGCCCATTGTTCCATCGGCGTCACCAAGATATCCGCCTGCATACTCGTCTTGGCGAACGTCAACAATGGCACCAGCGGACCCGGTGGAACACCCTGTTGCATCAGATGACCATGGGCTTTGCGGCCTTCGGGGTGGATGCAGAGGTCGACGGATTTGGGATGGTCCCAGACGAAGGTCTTACGCGTGTCGGAGGAATAGTCGTGGTAGGGTTCGCCACGCTCGGAGCGGCGGAGGGGAGAGTCAGGCGCGCAGGCTTGGGCGAAGTTGGAGAGGTGGGAATCGTCGGTAGAGACGAACTCGGAAGGCCCCCAGTCTGTTTCCGAGAGGGAAACGCGTTCAGTAAGTGGGTTCAGAGGTGCTCATTGACCTGTTGAGCAGATGCTCACATTCGCCTTGCTCGGCCAGTTCGACCATGCGAGAGCGCTCGCTGTACGGCAGCAAAACCGCGGGGTTGTCGTCGATGATGTACGTCAAGTTGAGATTTCGTGGAATTCGCTCGGCAAAGAGGCTGAGCAAGTCTTGAATTTCTCGCGCTCGTCGCGTGTCGGCGTATTCTCCTTTGATGCCCGCCATCTTGCGACCGGGCTCGAGGACCATTGTGAATGTGTGTCCTCGTTCTTGCATCACGCCATTGCGGTGACGACTGTCGCTCGGCTCTCTGTTAAAATGAGACGTGCTTCAGTGATCAGTCTGGGTAGGTGGAAGCATTGCAGAATGCATGCGATAGGGGCCACCCACAGAGCTCGATGGGGGAGCATATCTTTGTCGATCTGGTCGTACTCGTCGCGCAATTGCACGTCATTCTCCTCGCAAAATTTCCACCTATCACAGTCGAGTATAGGTCAATATATCACAGTGGCGAATCAAGACCGAGGCTATACCGCCTCACCAGTCATCGAATCCTTTGGGTGGGTTGCGCCGATACCGATTCTTGTACTCGTGCACGGCTTCGCTCAACGTGCGACTCTGCTTGGCAATCTTGTCGCTCCATCGTTGCTCTGCTCGTTCGATCAGCGCATAGATTGGATGGCGTCCATTCTCGTTGACAAGCAGAAGACCGTTCGGATGGAAGGTGTGCTGGGACCGCAGCTTGTGCTCTTCCTCGGAGAGCTTTCGGCTCGCTTCTCCTTGGGCTTCGATCGCGGCAATTTGGTTGTCATGCCATGTCTTGACGCGCGATCCGACGGCTGGAGAGATACGATGAATGACATTCCCTCCCTCGCGGATGATGGGCAGGAACGCTGTCGGGACCATCGTCGTGGTCATCCTCCCCTCGTCGCGAAGATCGCTCGTCCCCTTGGAGGCGGCGAGAAGAAGATACCCCACCGCCAGCACGCCCAAAACGGTAAGCGCTCGTCGTTTTCGGGGAAGTTCAACAGCACCAAAAACGCTTCTTCCTCCACCGCGTCCTCCTGCCCCGACGTGGGCCTTGGGATGATCTCCATTTCGTTCGCTCGCCTCATTCACGCTCGACAAGACACGTGGCGACTTGTAGTCGTGCACGGAGAAGGGCAACCGGGGCGACTGCCCAGACGCTACACCTGAAGGTATCCTGGGACTTTTTGGTACGGAATGCACTCGGTCATCGATTTCTATTCTCGTCGTCGCGGACGAACGTCGCCTCGCGTTGCTGTCGCTGAACATGATCAATGGGGATCAGATTGCTCGCTCCCCTCGGGTCCGGACTCCGAACTCGATCTGGAGGGAGGCGGTACGCCGCTTCGTCCCCGTGACACCGAGTAGGGAGCTTATACCAACCTTGTCGCCTCCGTAGCTGAGTATAGACTGGGAGGAGAGGGAATACGGCGTGTAACCTGTTAGAGGATCGTACGTGTCAAAAACCTAAAGACAGATCGCTGATCATCGCTCTCGCCGACGACTAGACTCGATCCGAAGCCGAGTTCGTCTTAAAGCCCTGAAGCCGGAGCGCTAAAGCCTCATATCGCCAGCCACCGACCGCAAACGGCGAAGGCTCCGGAGTGCTGGCGCTCTCGGGTCGTCACGCTGCCAAGCGCCTTCATGCCGAGTCGACCGGATCAGTTGCTTTGGGTTCCCCGCTGCAGTTTGGTGCCCCGAGCCCGCCTCACGTGCCCTTCAATCGCTTCACTGCCCTGCCGCACGTTCCTGCCATGTCTCACACAGGTACTCTCACTCGGTTACTGACTCTTGATACCGCCTACTGTCCCGCTGATAACTCCTCGTGGACAGTGGTCCTCGCCCTGCCCCTACATCGCCTCGGCTCGACGCAGCACACTCGGCAGTGGGCCAAGGAAGACGTCTCGCAACGACGAGGTCTCGCGAGTGGGGGTGGGGGTCGCAAGAGTCGAGAGTGAAGCGTCGGCGTGCTTGCTGAATGAAGCCAGGGGAGGGTGGGTACCCCCATCAAAGGGGTTCAGACGATCGAAGACGTAGTAAATTATTTGGGCTTTGATCGATGATTACCTGGGTCGATGACTCGAATACCACGCGATATCCAGCCACCAGCGGCACGACTTTTGGAGAGATGAAGCTCGTCAAAGTGTACGTGCGTACTCGCAAAGAAAGCGACTTACACATCTAGTCGATCGGCAACCAGAGGAAAGGGACCTGGTACAGCCCATTGATTGGACAGAATCAACCAGCTTGGGACCCGATTTGAGCAAGAATGTGGACCTTGATAAGCATGCAACGAAAGTCCCCACTCCGAAACAGCCCCGCAGCGGCCGCGCGGGCATGCAGACCAAGTCTTCTCGGCGGAGGGAGAAGAGATGTCTATAATGCGGGAAGACGGCAAGGATGAGGATCGTGATGTGGATATCGTTCAGGCTCTAATATTCTTCAAACGAGAACCCTAGCCTGCCACTGTTCAGATATAAATGAAGACGGCTGCCGAGTTTACAGCCGTGAACATGGCGTCTCTACTCCGACATGACAAAACTTGACCTTCGGCGGGGCCGACGTGTAAGGCTGCGTTTGGGGCGTTTGAATGGAAGTAAAGGTTTATTTTAGAACATGGAAGAGCGTGGAAGAGAGTTAGACCCTTATTGTCAAAGAGTGGATTCGGACTCACCATTGATGGTGTCCACCAGCGAAACCAACGCCTGACGCACTCTTGATCTTGGCCCAAAACGGCTTCCGGAACTGCGCCGAGTTCTTGGTCGAGTCATTCGTGGCCGTGCGAGATCGTCATGTTTGAGGGTTCAAGTGAGCGATTGAGCTAGATCCGCGAGTCTGAGGGCCTAAGACGGTAGTACCCGAGGTGTTCGTCGTGTCGGACGTGAACAATTTGAGGGGGCCGACCCGCAGCTGGCTCACCAGCTCGATCGGAACCCCTCGGAATGACTCCGAATCTGAGCCATAAAGGGGCATAACAAGTAACCAGTCGTTCAGAATCAAAAAGAGGGTAGTACGATCAGAAGCGTTAGGATACAAGTGGAATTTTACAACCATAAAGAACACTGCTTGGTTGATTGCGACTGCTACGAATTAGGTCGAAGCCGGTCAGAGTGACCTTGGTGACCTCGGTGACCTAGGGGTTGCGACGGACTTGGGCTGATATTGCTCTCACCTTCTCACCTTGACCTTTGCATCCGCATCACCTTTCCAAACCATCTTCATCCCCACCTCCATCCCATCATCACCTCCACAGCCGACTGGTCTTCACCTTCACCCTTCACCCCCTTTATCATCACCTTCGCTTCCACCTCGAATCACGTCCACCTCCATCCCTTGCCTTCACCTCTACGTATATTCCTAGACCGCACACCTCCACCTTCGACGTACCCTCCTTTAATTCTACCCTTGTTTGTGTTTGACCTCGCCACCGTCAACCTCGCCTTCACTCCAACGTCCTCCTCTCGCTTACGCCATTCACCTCCATCTCCGCCTCCACCTCGGGACCTTGCGCCACAGGGGGTTTATTGTCCGCCAATCGGCAGTGTGAGACGTCATTGCGGGTATCTTTGGTGCGTTGGTGATCAACAATTCTGCCACAAAAACTGAGTATCGTGCACACCAACTTTGACAACCTAGTACTAGTTCTCCTTTCCGCCCTCTGCTCGAACGGCTTGCGAGTCGCTGCTGACATCGTCGTCCGCTGCCAGCCTCTTCTTCAACTTGCAACACGTTGCAACAGGTCAGACAGATAGGAATGATGGAGAGAAAGTGGCGATGTGTGGGGGCTCGCTGTGTTTACTTTTTCTTTACTTTCACGTGCACATACAGGCCACATTGCACAGGGGTTCGGACTGGTCACCGTCTGGTCACCGACTGTTCTCTGTTTTCTCGTTCTTTGGGTAGAACAGAGTCCGATGATCAACCGTACTGGAATGTCCGTAATGCTTCAATCCTCAATCCAAATCGAGAGAGCCTTCGGATGCCGGTGCATGGAGTTGTTGGCACAGCATCATAGCGACTAAAGCTAAAATAAAAATAAAAATAACTGTCCCTGACACGCATCTGGGCTCGAGGTTCGTGGTGTTGGCTGCGTGAGTGCGCATATCCAGCTCATCGAGCAAAGCCGTGCGATGCACGGTGGGACGGGCTCGCCGGAGGACTACCTAAGTACGATCTTAAGATCAACCGGTGATTGTCACGCCTACATACGCATGATGACGGTGTAAGTAATTTACTTGTGCGATCGTAGCCTTCCTCGTGTTGAATCGTGACTTCGAAATGGGAGGGTCTGATTAAAAATCGGCCCAGAAAAGTGCAAGCCCAAAAGAACCGCACAGATCACCGGTTCGGGCGGTGGGGCCATCGGGCCTGAGAGATGTCTGAGACATTTGTGCCGACCGGGCGGGTCGTCTGCGACATTTTTTGGCCCACCAGGCGCGGCGCGCCGGAGGCCCCGCGGCAGGCGGGGCCTGGCGCTAAAGTCAAGCGGGAGCTGTTTCGTAGCCTGTGTTTCATAAGTGGGCGCCAGTGTGACGAAGGTGGCCGTCACCTTCGCTTGCCCGGCGATACTTCAGCTTACTTCCTCATCAATTTGCCTGCGGTCTCCTCCGCTTGCTGTCCTGCCACATCCTTATCCTTTTGGTCCCGTTCCAGCACATCGTCATCCACACCCATACGGGCCCTCCAAAGCCGTCTCCCGCCGTTGCCACGATTACTGATCACTACAAGCTGCAAACTTGTGCGGTCGCGATGCCAGGCTACCGACAGCCCCATGCGACGCTGAATGGCGATGCGAATCCCATCGTGCAGAGCGCCGCCCGGATACGACGAGCACACCCCTCGCCGCTGCCATCACCGCCGGGGACACCGGATTCGTGCGAGATCTTCTTTACAAGCGAGCACGAGGAAGGATCGGGGTCACCGGCCACGTACTATAGCTTCCCGACCTCGTCCGCGAGCGGGAGGAGCCCCTCGATGGCGCGCTCGGTGTCGCCCCGCCCCTCCTACTTTGCGCTGTCCGAACCCAAGGGCGCGCCACCGCCATACTCGGCATCGGCTCATCCTTTCAAGAGCGCTGGCCGAGGCAGCACGCTCTCCCCCCAGCTCAAGGATATCGCTGGATCGAACCTGAAGTGGAGGACATCCGGTCAGCAGGACCCCGACTCGAAGAAGCGCCGGCCACCGACCACGGCCTGGTTCGACAACGCGAATGCCCTCAAGCTGGTCATGATCGTGCTGCTTCTCGCCTGCGCGTACCTCACCATGATCCCTCGTGGAAGAGGTGCCGAGCTGAGAAGTAGGATGAGTCCAACCAAACTTGCGAATGCTCCGGTGTTCGCACCCCTTATGAGTGTAAGCCGGCTTTCAACCTTCGAGCTTGGCTTCGGACTCCGAAAGGGACCTACGGAGTGCCCGCCGCCACCGAGCTGACTCGCGCTTCGTACCTTCGCTACGCCCGAACAGATCGCCGCAACAATGAAGAAACAAACTTCCTTCCGGGACCAGCTCCGACCAGGGTCCCAACACTTGATCAGCCCGAATGAAGGAGAACTGGGTCAGTGCGCACTATTGACGTCATTGCCCGGCGAGACCATTGTCCCACCGAACTGACACCCCCACCTCGCACCACATACCGCACTTTGTTTTTTTCTACAGCACTCCAAGTCATCGACTTATACCATCTCGCGCATCTCGCGATAACCTCTTCACGCTCTGTCATCGTCACCCCTTTCAGCCTCCCGGTTGGGACCTCGGTTGGGCCGTCGACCGTCCCCTTCTCGAGCATCTTCGATCTGCAGCGCTTCAAGCAACTTACGAACGTTGAGGTCATCGACTATGACGAGATCCGGCCCCACGGTGCGGACTCGGTCGAGTCTCTAGGGTGCTGGGTCGCCCCGTCCATTCTCGCCGACGTGAGCTCCAGGGCAAGGTCGATGATGGACAATGGCCTGGCTGCGTCCTTCTTTCCGATCCACTCGATGGGCCACGTGTTGAACTCGGCCGGTGAGGGAGACTCGATTCCGAGTAAGTCCAACCGGGAGGCGAAGACTCTTGTCCAGTAATCAATTTTCAGTGGCTAATCGTCATATCCTGTTGCTTCTCGAATCGCCTCAGGGATTCACGATTTCCTCAACAAGTTTGTCAACGACATCCCCGCTCAGACCGGCTTGTCGCAACAGGCCATCTTCTCCCAACAAGCCCAGACGGTCATGGGACACAAGCATATGGTTCCCGATGCACAAGTCATGTGCATCGACCCTTCTTTATACCGACCCGATCACCCCTCGACGACGATCACGAGCGATGTGATCGAGGCAAAGGATTACACGGCCTTCTTCTCGCACGGACGTCACCTCTACTTTGCTGCCGAGCTACAAGAAACCGCGATGGATATCGCTTCTTTCGTTCTTGGGCACCGCGGCCCTTACATCTCTGTTCACATTTCCGCAGCTGCACAAAAGGCACGTTGCGAGCTCGAACAGAAGCCGGAGGAATGCGAGCCGAGCATCGCGAAGTACGTTGAAGGCGTCGAGGAGGTGCGCAACCTCGCCATGGCCGGCTACAAGTCGGGTAAGAACCGAGAGCATCGCCATAGCACCAAGTCGCTCTCGGTCCTTGTCTCGACCGACATCTCCGACCTCGGCTTTCGCGGCGAGTTGGCCTCGCTCGGATGGACCTTGCTCGAGTACGAGGATCTCGAGCTCGTTCAACGCTTCGGAGCGTGGTCGCCCGAGATCATGGACGGTGTCATTCACAGCTCGGCAAAAGGTTTCGTCGGCACCAAAGGAAGTCCCAAGAGTATCGTCGGAGCGTTGAGGACACAGGCCTGGCGCCAAGGTCCGACGCGATTCGTTTCGTAATTAGTTTTCGTGTTTTCCCCCGTTGTATCGCGTACGCAGACCCCTACATGTTTCGTTGTATCTTTTACGCATACCATATTATAGCCTAGATGAATATACGTGAGCAATTTAGTCAAATTTCATTCACATGACCATTCAATATTACCAATGCAACTCAGATCGAGCTCGCGACAGAACGATCGATTCGCTTTCAGTAGAGGCCTCAAGAGTTGATCTGGTCAGATGATACACCTAGTATAGTGACTGAGATTATGCGACTTTCTATTGCTATGACAGATACGTTGGAATGCTGTACTCGACAAGTGCACCTTGCACGAATGAACATCGTGGGCAAATCCTGAGGTCTCACTTGCGGGGAAGCGATCGTCAGGTGTACGTCATTCGTCCGAAATCAATACCGGACAGGAGACGGTGCGCCAGCGCTGGCGGATCCAATCGCCCACCCATCTCTCGGTTTCTGACCATTAGCGACCGCCTACGACTGCTCTCAACACACCAAGTCCCGAGTCCCACACTACCCTTCCAACACCCCAATTCGCCCCAGGCCTCTCCTATAGGCTCTGGAACCGTTCCTTCGCCTCCTGGCGATCCCCACCGTGACCGCGAGATCGACAGGGTCGTCGCCGATGCGTGCTCGGTCGATGCCTCGGGTTTTTGACGCCTGCGCAGTGGAGAGAGTTGGGCTTGAACCAGGACCGATGGCACGCGTTATTCATGTTCATCATCTACCTGCAGCGCGAGAACGGCGGGCCGGAACGGGTGGGAACCCTCGCACGCACCCGAGACGCGACGGAAGTGGGCTCGCTCTTCTTGATGGGCGTCCGACCCGACAGACGCGTCATCGGGGAGAGTGAGAGGGTCGTCGAGCTGGGTGCGAGCCTTCCCGCCCATCCTTTTTTCTTTCGATATGAATTTTTGGTGCCACCTTACTGGTATAAACGCTGGGTCGCGCGTGGAACCTGACCTACTCCCGACCTCGCGACCGCCAGCTCCGCGTAGGAGTTCGCAGTAGATTGCCATCGTTTGACTCCACCTCGACTCCACCTTCACATCGACCTCCCCTCACCGGAGCTCACCCGATCTCATCCCACCAGGTATCTCGCTCGCCTCATCTCACCCCGCCTCACTATAGGGAACTTAGAGTGCTTTCGAGAAGCGGATCAGGGAGTCGATTTCCTCAACGTCTCTAAGTTCCCTATAGGGTAGCGTCTGTCGGTTAACAAAAGAAAGGGGGCGGCTGTCTTTGAACCATGCTGTAGAGCAAGATGCCAAAGCAAGATTCAAAGGGGAAGTGTGAGGATCTATTATAGAATCTTGCTTGTAAATCTTTCCAATGAGGCCGCACATAGCTGCCGTAGCTGCCGCAGAAGCTTGACACAGAGTCCAATTGGGACTTAGAGTCGACGCATTGCAATAGCCTGGCAGCAGTGCAAAGGCCTAAGGGGGAAATGTTGAAGGTCTTAGTAGACCTTGCACTGATATCGGGGGCCGGATAGGTTAGAGGTCAAAGCTTTTCCGAACAATGGAAGCGACCCAGGTTCGACTCCTGGTCCAGTCGTTTCTGTTCTTTTGTTGATCATTTTCGGAATCATCGTTGATTCCAACACTCACCGTCGTCGTCTCACCTCACTCGTCTTTACCCTGTCCCACTTTGCCACCCCCAGCCTCCCTCCCCATCCTCATCAGCAAAATGGCCAAACGCGCGTAAGCGCGCGGAACCTCGTAAAGCAGTCGTTAAGCGGCCTAGAGCTGCTCATAAGTATACTTAAGCGCCCTTAACCACTCGTTAAGCCGCGCGCGCGTTAAGTGTCGCTTAAGTGTACCCTAGATAAAGGACTCTTACGGCGCGCTTACGGCGCGCTTAAGACTCCTCGCGCGCTTTGTTTGCATACGCAAAGCGGTCCGTAAGCCCTCTTATGCGGCGTAAAGCGGTCCTAAAGCGACTTTATCCGAACCACAGACCGTGTTTTAAGCGGCTGTTTAGGCAGTCTTATCTTCGCAGCCCCTGATCTGTTGTCATTATAAACCTATGTTACACTCATATACTACAGTCAAGTGAAGAGAGACTCTTCAAAGTCGCAAGCCCGTTGGGCTGTGATCCTCATCTCGTCACTGGTTCCCCGCCTAGAAACCCCGGGCCCTCGATACTCCTCGAGGAGTGCTACTTCCACGCTGTTCTGTACTCGATTGGTGACTCGTACCTGCATAGCTTCTGAGTAAAAAGGCCCAGAGCCTTCTCTACGACGCCTACGCAGTATGGCCATGACGGGACCCTGATAGTGAGTGGCCGAGAACTCGTGCCAGAGCGCTACGGTTTGCTTCGCCACATTCGCATTTCTGCCAGCGTCGGACGATTCGGGGAGCGATGGGGGCGGCGTAAGGACCTGCATGGCATACCGAACCTGATCCGTCATAGCAAGAATGTAACGATATGATTGGTAGTTTGAAATGGACATTGCTGAACAGTTGAGGAACTTACGCCGGCATATGCATGAGTCAAAAGAGCGAATGCAAGCTCGCGATGATCACTGTCGTTCGGGTCGAGGCCTCCCTTTGGCCATTGGAAAGCAGCAGATTTTTCTTTCCTTATGCCGGCGACGATCTTAACAAAGATCTCGTATAGAAGGTCGTTCTGAAAATCATCCTCGGCCTCGAAGGAGCAATCGTTCATGTCGACCCCACCCTGAGGGAGAAAGATGTTGTAAGCAGCTCGAAAATATTCTGCATGAAAATAGTTTGAAACCAGGCGCCAGCGACCATCTTCTGCTCTAGAGTCAAGTCGGATGCTTGTCGGTGGTTGGGCTTTGAATCCAAAGTCTCTTGATCTATTGGCTTGCGGTTGTGCGCCCCGTCGTAGGGGGCATTGACATCGAGGTTCCTTTTGACCAGGGGCGACGATCTCGCAAACGACGAAGACGAGCCTGGTGTACGACTGGCAACCCTACCTTGCGGTGGATTGCGTCTTAAAGCTTGTCCGGCGATTGAGGACTGTAGAGCCTGAGCCTTGGGCTGGGGCGTCTGCAAGTGTTGATACGACCCATTGAATGCCTGCACGCAAGTACCGAAACCTGCTTGAATGCTACTCACTACGCCTGGAATGACGCTTTCGTCATCATCGTCCATGATGCTGGTCGCTACCTTGTTGACAATGGCGACAGTTGCGGCCCCATCGGCGCCATCCACAACCGTGGGTCCGACTAAGTCTTCGCCCTCGTCCGAGTCTGCCTCGTCCTGACCGTTGTCCGAAAAGTCACAGGGGTCCTCGGCCCAACACAAGGTCCTTTATAGCAGGATCGATATAGGAGTCCTCGTCGCCGCTATCTTCGTCGCTGTATGGCTCAACAGAAGTCTGCTGTGCACGGAAAAGCTGACATGTGGTATCTGCATGAACGGTGTGAAGAGAAGAGGTGCGTGTCACCGCAAGCCTGGACGCGTGTGCAGGGGCTGCTGGGGGTGCACTGGAAACAAGGACGGGCGAGGCCTCAGTTCACCTACACACAAGAAAAGATACAGTAGAGTTAAGAGATCACACTTGCACGTACTTCTCCTTCTGCTCCTTTGCGGCTTTGTGGCGTTGCCAAGCGTCTTGCTTCTTCGCTGCGTTGATTTGGCTCACACCGACAGCGACGTCGAGTCGCCGCCGCTTGTTGTCGGCCGCCTTCGTGTTCGCCGCCTTTCGTTTTTGCTGGGCTTGCGCCCTCTCCCGTCGGTCCGCCGGCGTGTCGCGGTCCCGCATTGTAGCAAGGTGCACAGACGCGGTGGCACTCGTTCGAGAAGGTCGAGAAGACATGTGAACAGATCGCTGGACAGGCACTGGGTGGAAGGGCTACGACCGAGACAAGACGAGAGGCGAGGAAGGGACGGTGAGTGAGTGAGGAGGAAGAGGGAGGGAGTCAAAAGGTGGTAAACAGAACGAGCGCGCGTGACACGTCGCATTTGTTGTTCGGTGTTTTTTTAGGGCGCGGTTTAGCGTGCGCCAACATATGCAGTGGCCCCTATGCTGCCACGTCGCGCCGCAACGCGCCAGCTGCGCGGCGTAGTTTTGGACAACTTAGCGCATTTCGAGAAAATACGCCTGCATTCAGGCTGTGTTTACGCGCGTCCCTTGCCTTCCTCCAGCTTCAGTCCACTCTCGCTGACAGTAGACTCGTCGTACAGGCCTTCGGGATGTCGCTTGAACATGAAGGCTCTCGTTCGCAAATGAGTCAATTCCGATGCAACATTGCTGGTTGTCAGAGATCATTCCACCATGTGCGCAATCTCGAAGCACATTTGCACGTTCACGAAAGGCCCCGACCGCTCGACCGCGTACTACCCACGTCATCGGCTGCTGAACGAAGTCACCTCCAAGTTCTTAGACAACAGCGCTCTCGCCAAGAGTTCTTTCGCCGACGCCGCAGACGACAGAAGAACCTCAGAAACGGTTGGCCCGACTGCGACGTCGATGGCTCGCCCCGCATTTGTTCAGCCGTTGTTAGGCCATGCGGAATTGGCACCCGACCTGGATTTTCGGAATGTGATGGATCAATGGAATGGGGAGTTTGTGGTGAATCTCGCCCAGGATCAACATGTTTTTCGTCACCTTGGGCGTCATTTCACCATAAATCTATTACGTGAAGCATTGCAGGGCACATTGCGGCCTGCTCGACGGCCTCCAGTGGCGGACTCATAGATTTTGCTGGAAAGTTATTTTTGTAGAAATTACGGTGTTATATGGATCAACTACTTCCTGAATATATGCTCCTTAGCCTCATTGAATAAAATCAAGTGAAGCGCCTTTTGATGGGATTTTAGCACAGAAACTTGTTGGGGTCAAGAAAGCAATCCGCCCGCTCGTGTGCAAGTACAGGCTTCGCAGTTACGTATGCGAAGTGTAAGCGAGGTCAAACGTTAAGCGCGCGTTAGGCGATCCTTAAGCATGGCCATCGCAGCGCTGGCTATGCGCGGATTATGAGGTTCGCCCAATTCAGCCGCGCGCGTATGCGTCCTTATGCACATCTTATGCACCGTTAAGCGCTGTTAAGCGCGCGTAATCTCGGGCGAATCCTTAAGCGGGTTCGCGCGCGTGGCCATTTTGCTGCTGGCCTTCCTTCTCCTCGTCGACGCCTCTGCACTTTTCGCGTTGCACTTTTCGCGTCACTTCATCTTGTCGACATCGCCCCCAGTTTCAGAAGGATACAAGGCGGTGGCCTTTGTTATGTGGTAAAGGCTGTCGTTCGATCCCTCCGACCGTCAAAAAGTGGGAGTAACCACCTAGCTTGCAATCGTGTTCGTGTCGCACACGGTCGTGCTGACTCGTTTCGTGCTCACCCGTTCACCTTTCACCTTTCACCACTTCCACCATCTTTCACCACCCCGCCTCTCCGCTCCCCCCTCTCCCCTCTCACTGCGTCTCTCGCTTCCCATCTCGCCACTCCCACCTATCGTTTGTCACTGCGTCATGGCTGGCCATGAGCCTATCCACTCGTCGGCGAGTGTTGAATGGCTCCCACGGCATGTCACTGAGGTGGTTTCTGGTCCAAAAGACCCCTTGTCATCTGATCATACCTTGTGAGTCTCTGTTTTGACCCTTGATCGAACGATTGTTCGATCGTGCTTGTCGGCCCTTGACGACGGGCGAGGCAGCTGACGATTCGATCCTCGCCTAACGCTACACAATCGATTCGCCTCCACTCTTCCGTCACCAAGTTGGCTCGATGCTCAAGTCGATCTCACATTGGGTTGAAAGGAGGTTCACGGTAACCTAATCACGAGTGAGCATGCATGTACATCAACTTTCAGCTGCACGGTCTTCAAACCATCTCCCACCTAGGCCGACAAGGCTCCCTTTTCTTTTCTGTTGCTTTCGAATTGGTTTCGCCTCGGAACTCCTACGCTGGCGGTGCTAAGTGGCAGGCGACTCGTCCTTGTTTAGCCTAGCCAGATCCAACTCCTACATTTGAGCCTCCCTCGTGAACCCTTTTCTCGTTCCCTAGTGTTCCCCTTCGTCTTTTGTAGTTTTTGAGTGCAACTGGCACGGGATTTGAAATTCGAGCTCGCGACTGAAGGGTTTGATTCGCGCGCATTTAGGAGCTTGGGCTTGCACCAGGCCGAAAAACAGACACATCGTAGCTCAGCATCCCCCTTTACATCCGGACCTCTGATCACGGTCGCCAATAACCTGGGATCGCGCCCTTCCCGGTCCGGGGAGACCAGTTAATCACCTGCCGGGCGGGGCGCTCAATGAACTTCCTTTTTCGGCGGGGGAGGCGACCCAGGCTCCTCCGCTCGGGCCCCGAGCTGGTCGCTGTCGGTGGCTTGACCTCACACGGCGAGGGAGCGCGGCCAAGTATAGATACAAGGCTTGAGGTCCGTGTCCTGTGTAGGTACGTGGAGCCTGGATTAACTGTGCAGCCCGGCTGGAGCCCTGGGCTACCTTGTGTATCTGGGCCGAAGGCCTTCCGCGCCACTGGAGCCGGCCAAAAATGTTCATCAAGTCTAATCCGAGAGTCTGGGGTCCGACGCCGAGACTTGGACTTGGTGTGGTACTCTCCATACCTCTACTTCTGATTCTCAATACCCCCCGTCGTCGTCCACGTCACCGGTCGTGCACTACCCGTGTCTTGCCTTTCGCCAGTGCCACTCGCCGACTCGACGGATTCTGCTCGCGATTCGGGGCCCCACTTGACCGGCGGCAGCCATGGTGGCAGGCGCGTCCGAGTTTCGACTGTCGATTCCCATCACGACACACGTCTCGACCCGACCCGAACAATCTGTCACCTTCATCAGTACCTCTAGACGGGGATGGCCAAATCACGATACATCTCGCATGCCCGATTCTACGTACATGCGACGGTCGTCTTCGCTCGATAGCATGGGGCTGGCCGCTTTCCCTGCCCTGGTCTTCCGCAATGACGCGAGCGGGTACAACCGCCACCCTGGATCCTCCCCTGTGGCACCACTATACTGATACCCGAGTCATCACAAGGAGCTCGAGATGCTCCTGGCACCCAGCGGATCGAGGGAGTCGTTCGACGCCAGCAAGGAACCGATGAGGCGCAACTGGATCGGCCGATTGTCGTACCCGACCCCTTGGGCGCCGAGGAACGAAGCCGCCGGGTTCTCAAAACCGCCGATCACGCCTTCGAAAGCGATGTTACGAGGGGCTTTGGGCGTGGCACTCGTCATTTTCATAGGAACTGCAATTGGGGTGCTTTCCATTGATGGCCCTGACCCGTGGGGGCTCAAGTCAACCCTCGAGTCTAAACTCGAGACGTACGGGGTACAGTTCGTGCCGACTCCGTAGGTAGTGGGAGTGAAAGCAACACAGAGTCCCAAGAAAATATGCTGATGTTATCTTTTCGCTCCCGCACCTACCATCGACAGCTGCTCCAGTCCGTATGGTGAACTCGGGAGGCTCCGGAGCGATTTTTCGCTCCCCGAGGGGAACAAATAGACACCGTACGACACGTCATGCACTGCACCAGACATGATGACCCGGCTACGCATACACATCGACAATGAAGCTCGAGCTGTCGCTGCTGATCAACCGCCTCGGCCCTTGCGGCTACCGTTACCAAAGCAGCGCCCAGCGTACCGACACGAGCTCTCCTTGCCGTGGCTATTCGGCAAGACCGTCGTTCTGATTGGCGATCACGTCGAACGACTGCACAATAAGGACTTTTGTCGATTTGTTGGCGGCAAGTTCATCTCGGCCGGGCCCGAGCATGCTATCTCGCCGCCTCCATTCCACAATGGCATCGACGAAAAGCTTGGCTCGGCCAATCAAACGAACTTTGTCCCGAGTCGGCCGACAGTGTGTTACGTCGAGCACTACGACTTTATGATGATCTCAGTATTCCACTATGGTTTCATCAACCGCGTCGAGGCTGAACGAGAGAACCTCCTGTGGGATCCACACTTTTATGCTCCAGGTGAGCCATCGGTCAATCTCGGCGCGCCGCACTGCTGCTTGCTCACCACGCCACTCTCGCGCAGGCAACGTGCAAGATCGCATCTCTTACCTCATCAAAAAGCTCCTGAGGAATCTAGATCGTCAAGTCAACTTCATCGAGTTCTCTTCGAGTGTGTGGGACTTGCGCCACTTCTCCGTCCTCGACGAACTGGCCAAGAAGAGCCATCTGGACCCGCTTTCGGCTTCTCGCCTAGCATGGTACTCGCAACGGTTGAAGGATACGTTCGAATACCTGGCCGAATCGTTCCCTGGAACTCCCCTTTCCTGGCGTACGCTACAGCAGACCCCACTCTTCGATGCGACACCCTTTGGCCGAGTGGCGGAGTTAGATCGTGTCTCACGCAAAGTCATTGAGGACCTGAATCGTCAATGGGCGGGCCACATCACCTCCGACTGGATCCACGAATGGGAAAACGGACCCGACTCGTCGGCCCACTCCCCACCTACGAGCGACCCTAACCTAGCGAAACGCCAAGCCATTTCCCAGCCGAGCGTAGCCAAGAAGTTATCCCTCACGCGCGCCAGGGAGTCCAAGGTTTTCAACTCCTTCCTGTTGAGGATCAATGAGCGCATCAAGGGAGATAGCGTCACGAAGACGAGTGAAACGGATATGAGTGATTTCATAGGAGGTCCTGATCCATCCAAGGGAAAGCTTCGGATTGCGATCAACGAATGGGGGGCTCTCATGTGCGTCAAGCCGCGGATCCCGTCGTTTGATTTCTGGAGGCTGCGGGAAGCTGACGACTCGGCCATCACATCTCTTCTGCAGGCTCGGACAACCAACGGCCGACAACCAACTTTACACGCCGGCTTTACCCGGAGGGTACCTCTGGGGCGACATGCTATTGTTCTTGCAAGTCTTGGCGTCGGCCCTTCCATCCCTGGTGTGAGCCGAGCTGACTCGTGTTTTTCCTTTTGACATCCACAGGCTCGAAAAGGAGTTCGGTAACCACTGAGGTGGACTTCATGTATCAATTGTTTCTCAGGCCTACCACTATGTAGCTTTTCTGTCACCACCCAGTCCTGCAGTAGCAATGTCTCTTTCAAGTGACGTGTCGAACAAAAAGAAGAATTACTTCGCATTAGTCACCATCGTGTATTACGATAATCAGAGGAAAAGTACTAAATCGGACAACACAAATGAAAACTGCATCCTAGAACAAAACAAAATCCCCGGCACTGTGTACTCCGACTCGAGGCTCCAAATTAAAGTCCGATTGGGGGCTCAAGTCACGGCGATCGGTTCGTCGACATTGACGATCCGGGCACCGAGGAATTGAGACGGGGCGATAACGCTCGAGGTCGAACTTGATCGCTCCATTTTGGGTCGGTCGGCTTGCAAGAACTCAGGTCTAGGGAGGTCGAGCAAGATGGCTGACGAAGGGGTTGGGGGGCGAGGGTCGTACGATGCGTCCTCACTGCTTCCGTTCGAAGAGAGGAGCGAAGGCACAACGCCGGAAGACAAGGAGTCGCTGGGCAGCTCATCCGCGCCGACGACCACTTCGAGTTGGGGTCGCTTGAATTCGTAAGGTTTATAATATGTGGGTGAGGTAGGGGACAGGCTGGTCAACGGTCGCAAGTTACCATGCGTGTGACCATGCGAGTTGGCGCTAGTCGAGCCGGTGGTGGCGAGATTGCTCGAATGATCGGACGAAGAATGGAACGAGTTGTTCCGCGAAGCGACCGTCGAGTTGCGACGCGTGGGTGCTCCGGTGTTCGACACAGGAAGGCTCGAAAAGGACTGTCGCCTTGAGACTTCCGTCGGCGAGGTGGCGTGGTTGGAGTACGACTGATGCCTCGAGACGACCGAGTCGTGTCGAGACATAGTGGACATGCCATCGTTCGGCGCTATTCTTCGATGAGCCACGCGGTGTTCCATCGGCCTCTCGTAGCCGCCATTAGGACCTATTGTGTACTCGTACTCGCAGGTGGGGCTCGTTGGCGACCTCGCTCGAGCCTGCTGCTCTTGTTGCTGGTAGAACTCGTGTTGAGACATGCGACGGGACTGGTAGTACGCCGCCGATGTTGGTGACTGCAGGTGTGTCGGCGGCGCCGAACGATAGCTCTCGTGACTTTCGTGACCACTCGAGCTCACACCCGAAACGCTTCTCCGTACTCGAGCCGCCGCAGCCGCCGATGCACTGCGCGTCAGCTCATTAGCGCGGTTGTAGTTCGAGTGGCCTGCGGTCGGGCTCGAGATACGCCAGATCGTCGGTTGGACCGGTTCCGACGAGAACGAGGACGCGCGAGCATGCCAAGAATGTCTTGACCCTTCCATAGCCGCTTCTTCCGCTTCCTTCTCGCTCATAATTTCCCCCGAGTGCATGCCGACGTCAGCGTCGTCATCATCGTCGTGGTTGACCGATCGAGCCTTGATGCCAACGACGCCCTGTCCGTGCGCGTCCGGCGACCAGATGTCGTCGTCGAAATGCTCGTCGGACGAACGGAAGCATCCTTTTCTCCTTAGTGCAACCAAGATGAAGATGGCCAGGAGCAATGCAATGATTCCGCCCACGACACCGCCGGCAACTGCGAGGATCACGGAGCGCAGCAATCGATCAGCCACTCGCACTTTGTCGACACGGCGACAGAATGTGGGCACTCACTAGCGCCAGTATGAACCTTTTTCAAACCGCCGGTACCTTCCGTCGCCGAGTTAAGCGTCGGTACACCGGAGGAGGACGTCAGAACTGAGACTTGCCCGTCCGAGCCCGTCATGGTGACGAAGAGGGTCGAGAAGCTCGTGATGGTCAATTCCTCGCCGTCGGTTGTGATGACGACGGGGGTGGACACGACAACAGCCGATGTCGTTACCGCGGTAGTGGTGGGAGTCGTCGTAGTAGGAACAATGACCATGGTTGTGGATCTACTCCGCGTCGTCGTCGTCGTCGTCGTTGTCGTCGTCCGTTGGGCTGTGGAGGGAGCGATCGTCGGCGTGGTCGTCGGTGCCGCAGTCGTCGGTAAAACTGTGCACGTCGTGCTCACGACGCCGGGGAGTGTGCGGACATTCGAGTACACAGACGTCAAAAAACTAGTCGAGGTCGCAACAGTACCCTATTGGAGAAGAATTTGTGCGCACAATGGTGCAGATGACGTGCAAACGTTGAGGCATGTAGGTCGGCGAGCGTCGATCGAGGAGCCCAAAGATGCCAAGGCGGCCGAACGCGGATTGAAAGAGAACGGGGCGCACCAATCGGCGTCGGAGATGGAAACGAGGGAGCGAATCGTAGTGAGCATGGTGACAAGAGAGAAGGAGAGGATGTAGCAAACCATTGCGTCAGTTCAGTGAATTCGATTGCACAGTCAAGTGATTCCGTCGGAGGAGTGGCGAAAGTGGGTCTGAATTGGCGCGGGCCGTGTGGGCTCGGAGGCCACGGAGGTTGAATTTGGCTTCGGGCACAGAGCCATTATTGGTCGGACCCATCTGGCATGATGCGAGTGCACTGGCGCAGCTTGAATGAGGGCGCACAGCCAATACAGGAAAGAAACTCACGGGTATAACAGTTTGGCCGGTAACGTAGGAGGTATAGGTCGAGCATTGCGTGAGTGGTAGGGAGACATTGGCGATGGCGATGGGCTGCGAGCAGGTCGAAGTAACGACAGGGGATGAGGTCGTCGACGTCGTCGGAGGAGCGGTGATCTGGAGTCAAGTGCGCAAGATGGCATTTGGAGTCAGCAAGAGATTCACGTTCGATACAGTAAACTCGAAAAGCATGGCACGGGTATTCCATCCACAAGGAATAAGCTGCATCGTCCGTCGCAAGGAGGGCCGAGTGGAACGAGGGCTGATTTGAATAGGGATTCCAAGTGGGATGCGCATTGCGCCTGCCCGGCACCCACGTTCGCGCTCGATGATAGATAGACAGGCACCACTCACGAGCTGCTGCGAGGGAATGGTGGAAGTGGCGAAGTCCGTCGTGAGCTGACTGGGGCCGGTGATAACCTGGCAGGACGACATGGTCAATCACAAACGTCCCAAGTCGGGGGAGAGTCCGGGTCGAGTCGGGAGTCCGAGGTGGCCGCGGGGGAGGCGCGGTCCTTCGATGATCGTGATCGATTGTTAGCGCTTTCAAACGCTGACTTGACCGAGGTAGCAGTTACCGCAGGCGGTCGTGCGGATGGACGAAGGGCTCGACTAAGGTACCTATGACCTCAGTCTACGACTACGACCACTCGAGGAAGACGCACACCTCAACGAAGGGGTGTCGTAGGCAATGCCGGAAGGTGGAGCGAAAGGGACAGAGAGGCCAATCTTTTGAAATCGAGGCGGGGATAAGAGCACGAGCTCAGACGAGCTCGAAGTAGCTCAAAGTCTCGGGCGGGCGGGCGCCGTCGACAGGGCAAAGCTGGGCAAAGCGAGTCGAGATCCGTCTCGATCGGACCAAGCGCCGACTCTGCTACGACCGGATGAAATCTGCAGCAAGCGGTTCCGGACTGCCAGGTCGGAGGCAACTGGGGGTTAGGAGGAGTCGAAGAGAGCTCGACGGGTCTCTAGGAGGAGAGGAGGTCTGTGTAGCAAGAAAAAGGAGAGGGGCAGAACAGAACCAAGTGCGCACCTCGATAATGATGATGATGCTGCTCGATGCCGTTGATGCTGCACTTCGAAACCATCAGCTTCTTGCTGAATCGAGAGCCATCCGCCCCGACGTCCGCCTTCAGCGTGGCGCCGATTCACTCTGCTACTAAAAAGTACTTTCCTCATTACACCCGGACGACTTTTCTTCTCAGATTTTTCCAGAAAGAAGAACGTGATCGATTTTTCGCGTCATGTCCTTCCTTCTTTGCTTGACCGCTCCAGCACCCGCTTCACCAACTACAGCAAGAAAAGGCCATCACACACGATCTCGCTTCACTTCGATGAGACCATGGCAGATCGGCGGCAGCTGTGGGGGTGAACGATTCCCATCGGAGATCACGATTCACCATCCCGCTTCCCGCTCGCTTTACCCCACACGAACTCCAGAACTCGGTGATGGTGGGAAGGAAAATGAAGCATCGTTTTACGTGCTCGTTTCACTTGACCTTCCAAGCTGCGTCGAACTGCATCTTCTTGTGAGAGATGTGGCAGTCCGCCCTTTACCCGCTGTTTGTTTTTCATATATTCCCACTACAAAACAGATTTAGAGTCTGGGCCCGCCCGAACCTAATAATGACCCTGGTCCATGAGGGGTAGAAGAAATGAATCCGAGACATTACTCGTCTGTAGTTTCCCAAGGTACGCGAGGTCCTTCTCATGCGACACCGCGGCCAACGGCCAATCGCAAGACTCAAAGTGCAGGCGACTTGAGCGTCTCCAGCAAAACTTCGCCTCTAACGTTTTGACCGAAGTCGTCGCGCTTGGGTTGAGTGTGCCGTGCGCCTGAGCCCACCGGTTAAAAAGAACCCCGCGGACTCCGGGCGGGTGCATTACGTCATCGACGACATCTTCTTCCACTCTACATTTCAAATGCGAGGACACAGCGGGAAGCTCCAAGTCGCTCCTGTCGATCCCGAACGAGGACGACTCGCATCATCATCCACTTTCGTCCTGTGGTACCCACCGGTTCCAGCAGGCGTCCTTTAGTCCATTTGAAATACCAAATACCAACAAAACGTCGATGCATCTGACGTTGACGCATGAGGCATCCCAAATCAGGAACAGCGAGACTCGCTCCTCGCTCCTTACACACTCTGCTTCCTTTCTTGGGACCTGAAGAATAAAGTTTTGCCGCCGGGCGGCCGAGCTTTGCCGATGGAATTCAAGGGCGCAGTCTCCTGTCACTTGTTCGCGAAAGTTCATTGAGATTGTACGACGTATTTACGAGCCAAGTGAGGCGCCAATGCGATGCACCAAAAAAGGAGCATGCACGGCAATAGAACGCCCGGTTTTGTTTGGTAACCAAGATCAGTTGCCGAAATCGCTTCCAAGGGTCAAAGGTCCGCAAGCTAATCGTAAATGAACAAGTAGGGACCGCTTTATCGGTTCCCATCGGACTTGACCTCATCTTCCGTCACGACACTACCACCCGAATCTTTAAGTACATCCTCCATACCCTTGACAACTCACCACCCTCATTTTTATTTTTTATTTGAGTACTCCGACCCCCGCGTATGCCGAGCACTAACGCTTTAACGCCTTTTGTGAATGCCGGAGAAATTGTCCGCGATGAGAATGATTACTCTTGCGCTAATATGTACTAAGGAAACCGCCATCCGACGACGACTAAAGCTACAAGAACGAAGACCCGAATATGAACTACCGAAAAACTTCCCTGTATGCCGAGAACCCAACCATCGACAAGAAACGAACAATCAAGCAACCTGAAGACTTCTCAGCAGCACTTCCCACCAAACACCCCTGTCCGCGAAGGTCTCAGATTCGATCCCCAACTCGACACCCGTCGTAAGGATCGTTCGCCATACGAGACGCCCGAACCGGTTTTCTCGGGATCGAGTTGCCCCGATTCAATGGCGAGGAGGATCGAACGAGCGAGGAGGATGAAGGGCTGGAATAGTACGACCGAGTAGCCTTGGTCAGTATGACCTAGCTTGTGGTGTACGTCCCCGTTGGGGTGATTGATGTACGTACCTGCTCTACGTTCTCGCCCGATAAAGACGAAGTTTCCATAAACATGATGCCTGCGAGAGCTCGAAGAGTCATCAGCTCTGCCCGAAAAGGGCTACGGCGCACGACAATCACTGACCGTGATCTTGCGCCCACCGACTGGCCTCGAGATACGGCACCTGTCGCCACTCTTCCTGATCCAGCTTGTTACCAACGAGCACGACAGCAAGTTCGGGTGAGGCGAGGGCCCTCGCATCTGCCAGCCATTGGCCCAGAGACTCGAATGATTTCCGTCTGTACGAGCCCGTCCACGGAATCAGCTACCGCATCTTGGAAGGCTCGAAGGGTGGCACACCGCGAACGGAAGACGCACGATGTGATGTCATAGACAACAATAGCGCCACATGCGCCTCGGTAGTAATTCCGAGTGACCGAACGAAACCTCTCTTGTCCCGCCTGGCGGTTTCGATCGAACGTAAGCGTCAGCGCAAAGTGAGAAAGCAAAAAAAAAAACCTTGCTCAGCGTCCCTTCAGACCAATACTGACAGTATCCCATAGTTGTACTTTGAGTGTCTTGGAGTTGGTTGCTCGACTCCCACTTGCCCCCGCTGCGATCGGCGTTGATGACGGTAGGCGCATCAAGGTCGAACTGAACTCGACTCCGATCGTGTGAGGGGAGGGGTCTCGGACTGTAGGATGTGATAGGTCAGCCTGTCGCTCGAATCCACGCTGCAAAGGATCGCGAACGCACCGGATTCGTTGAGAAAGTGGTGCATGAGGCAGGATTTGCCGACACCCGAATCGCCTAGATAGCCGAACCAAAGCAACGATTCAGAGTATACCTTCGTGTCAGCACTAGACCTCGTTCGACACGTACACCACTGCTTTTGCAGTTCAAGCCTCCACGCTCTGGTCGATTCGGGCATGTTTGCCGGCAACGACTCATCCCGTCAGGGTTCGGCTTGTTCGGCTTGGGGCCATACAGAGCTCGACACTAGAGTGCTTCTCCGGTCCTGCCGCATCCCCAGTCCAAGCGAACATCGCCGCACGACAGCTGGTCCTTCGTCGCGCTCCACAACAAACACACACACACCAACTTCTGCGCCGCCTTGTCTCCTCCATACGCAAGACCAGCTCACCTATGATAATGAACTTGAGCAAGAAGTCTGTTTACCCAAAAATGAAAGAAGGGTGTGTGCTCAGTCGGTCATGCGACATCGCGTTTGATCATGCACCGCGGTGTGAGAGGGCCCGTGCTTGCTATGCGCGGCAGTCTTGTTGACGCCGAGGCACGAATGGGGAAGGGGAATGTGAACGTACCATACAGTTCGGGGAGGGCCAAGACGTTGGAATCTGCATGACCAGAGTGGGATGAGTTGGGGTGCGCGATGCTGGCTGCAGTGGCCGACGGATAGAGGACGAACCGTTCCCACTCATGGCGACGAGCGTTGGATGTATGCACACGCGCTAAGCGACCGGTCCAGCTGAGCGCTGAGCGACGAGGTCCGGCTCGCAAGTGACGCCGTATGACAAGGGAAGAGGTTCCAGAGATAGCCAGTCGAGAGGGTGTGCTCTCGATCAGAACGCTGGACGCGCGCGAGCAAGTGAGCTCGATCGATGGTGTGTGGGGGGCACTGGGGGGGTTGCTGAGAGCCTGAGAGGACGAAAGCTGAAAGGTCGACGAGGTGCACGCGCGCCACCTTTTTCGAACTTGATCGGCAGCTCGAGAGAGCGCGAGAGGGTCTAATAGGGTCTAATCCGGATCGGTGAGAGCTGATCGCTGTCAGGATTCCGAAAGTGAGGGGCACAGAAATGCATATCCAACCAGAAAACCTATGCTCAAAGTCTAGAAAAATTTGCTCGCTGAACCAGGGATGTTGTACATGTATGTGGTCAATTTCTTCGAGTTCGGGGAATGACTCCTGACGACGAGCTCGAGGGAGTCCGGCGGTTCTTTCCCTTTCGCCGAGCTACAAAGCGCACTGCAAGTGTAGTCGATTGTACACCCACACACTTGTGACAAACCAAACAGATGTCGATCTGAAACATGGTTCGCCCTCTAGGGGCCTTGCAAGCCTTCAACTCCCTACGTCGACCGTCTTCTTGACATCCTTCACACCCGAGCCCAGATTACTCAGCGATAGGCGTAAGCAAAGGCGGATTTCTTGGTAGTACTGTCAAGTGTAGAGAGTGCGGGTCCAGGAAAGGATGAGAATCGGGGACATGTAGACAATGTGGTTCTTTGTGAGAATTTAGGACAAAAAGAGACAGATAGAGAACAAATCGGAGGGGTGAGAAAGGGATGCTCAATGGTTGTCAGTCAACAGCAAGTCAATGAAAGTCCAGGCAAGTCGGTCCGAGGTTGAGCTTGGACCTACTGGATGGCTGCCGAGCATGCCGAGCCTTAATTACATGGTGCTCCTCGAGTGATCGGCACTCGCTGCAGCGACACAATCGTCCAACACCACTGACATTAGAGTTCGTCCAAGCTTTCTCTTTCGATTTTGAATCGGAAATTGACGAGTGTCCTCCAAAACACTTTCATCTCTCGGACTTTCTTAATCTACCTCAATCGCTAATAAGTAGCCGTCGGGGTGGCCTAGCTACTCGGGCTCCACCCATACACACGGCCTTGATTGCGCCGCTCTACACCGCTCTCGCCCTCGCCCTCGCCCTCGCCCTCGCCCTCGTCCCGGTACAGCTACCCTTCCCAGCTCGCTTCAACATGGTCAGTTCATAGACCATGGGCATGAGCTCGATCGTGGTGACCATGCTCGCTCAAGGAACTTGCTGACTCGGAAATGGACGCCGAAACAGGATGACGCCGTCGGCTGGCTCGTCGCGCTCTCTTTCGTCTACTTCACCTACCGCTACTTCTTTGGTCAGTCGGACCACAGCTGGCGTGTCTGAACGCACCCATTCGTCTTCCCATCACTCACGCTCTCCTCGCTCGTCACCAGGCTCGTCCTCCGGCTCCTCGAATGCTTCCTCCCGGAGGCGCTACGTCGTGCCCCCAGCCTCGATCGATACGGTCGCCAACATGTTCCCCAACATCCCCCGAGCATCGATAAGGTACGAGCTCGAACGAACGAGGAACAACGTCGAGGCGACCGTTGAGAGATGTCTCAGTCAGGGGAGCTTGCCAGAGGTACGTTCGGTCGCTTGCGGGGACATTGAGCAAAGCTGATGGATGTATCATTCGTATGACGCGCGAGTAGCCACCTGCAAGCTTCTTTGCGGATCTCTCCTCCGAGAACCGTTCTACGACACCTCAACGTCCGACCCCACCCGCCCCACGGGCCCCTCCACCGACGACCCCCTCGACTCACGCCTCGACCTCCGCGACCCCCAGTCCTTCTCTAATCCAAAGGCTGCGTCTCCAAGATAAAGTCGAATCCCCCACTTCATCCTCAGGCATGTCTGTTCAAGGCAAAGGCAAAGGAAAGGCAGTGGAGGAAGACGATGCGACGCTCTCGGGGGGGTCGGCGGAGAAGGTCAAGATTGCGCCTCCGGTATGGGAGACAAGTGCGCAGGCGAGGGAGAAGAGCCTGAAGGAGAGGAAGGAGAGGATGGTCTTGGAGGCGAGGAGGTGAGTCGTAGGGGCTTTTGGACCGCGACTTGGTCCTGTTTCAAGTCTCAAGCTGACTGTTATCGATTCGTTTTGGGGTGGGACTCAAAAAGGAAATTGCTCGCCAAGGATCAAGCCAAGAAAGCTTCGGCGGCTTGAACAGCAGAAGATGCTTTGATCAGCTACTCGAACATCTCTCGCTTCATGCTCAAATCTCCAGTGTATGGCCTTTATATCACCGCCCAAAAGCATCGCAATGCATGTCACGAGTTTCCCATTTTCTCTCAATCTGTCTAGCCATGTGGGGAGGGCGCTAGAGAAGAGTGAACCGTCTAAGATTGCATTGCGAACAAACGACCTATAAGGATTAGATGATGTTCTTTGCGACGGCGTATTCAGCCTGTGAAGTAGCAGCAGTCATAAGAACGGTCGTCAGCTTCCGGCTCCGATGCGACGTGACCCCACAGCGGGTCTCGAACAATACACTCACGTTGATGATCGAACTCGTCGCCGCTCCAATGCTAACATTGTTCACCAACACCACGAACTTGACGTCCAAAACGGGGCAAGGGCGAATACGACCGACGTTGACGCCCGATCCATTCTGGAAGTATCGATCCAACCTCGGTTGAGGACGGTCCGGTTCCTCGTGCACGTAAATAGCCTGTTTGGGAGCCGAGGGACACCCGAGCGTTTGGGCTTCACAAGTGAAAGACGAAAGGGCTGTTTTGATCTCTTCGATCGAGGGAGGGGGTTGTTGAACGAATCGGACGGAAGCGCATTCAAGATGGCCGTCCAATACGGGGACTCGGTTACACATGGCCGAAACTTTCATGGGCGAATGGGCGTGCAGATCGAATGCCTTGCTTTCGGACGAGTAACCGCCGAGGATTTTGGACAGTTCCCATTCCATCTTCTCTTCTTCGCCACCGATCAAGGGGACGACGTTATCGAGGATGTCGAGGGAGGAAACGCCGGGGTAACCCGCACCGGAAATGGCTTGCATCGTCGTGACCATGACCGTTTCGAGGGGCCCAAACGCTTTTTCGAGTGCGTGGAGGGGGATCGAGAGACCGGTCGTGGAGCAGTTGGCGTTCGTGACGATGCAGCCTTTCTTGAGGGGAGGGGATTGCAAGGAGCGTTGGTGGGGAAGAATTTCGAGGTGCGATGGATTCACGAGAGGCACGCAGAGGGGCACGGTAGGATCCCGTCGGTAGTTGCCGGCGTTGGAGAAGACGGCTAGTTCGGCTGCTCGGAAGGCTTCCTCTGTGACATGTGGGAGGAAGCGGAGAATCAGTCTCGAAGCAAATTTTTGTCTTCTCGGCGGCGGCGTTTCCCGAGGAAGACCGAGATCTGGGGATCGATCGAGCAAGACGTACCAATATCTCCCGCAACATCGGAATCCAATCCGGAAAAGACGATGTCACATCCCTCGAACTCGCTGGGGTTGCACTCGCGTACAATGACGTCGCTGACCGAATCGGGGATAGGCACCGGCTGCTTCCACCGCGTTGCCTCGCGGTACTTTTGGCCCGCCGAGCGCGAAGAGGCCCCAAGGGCGTGAATTTTGAAGTAGGGGTGGGAAGAGAGCAGGACGATAAACCTGTGAGCAATCGGGGTGAGCGACACAGCGATGCATGCACCGTACGAGAAGCGGAGGTCAGTCGTGTGAGTCAACGCCGAGAGACTCGTTCCAGGCTCATCAAAGTGGATCTGGCTTTGGGAATGGGGGGCAGACTGACCTCTGCCCAACGGTTCCAGTGGCACCGAGAACACCGACGTTGACTGTGCGAGTCATGTTGAAGCTGCGGTGCGATAAGTTTCTGGGCTTTGGTGGATATCGGAAGCGCAAAGAGTGTTCTTGGCTGCGAGACGTAAGGTCGCGTAGGGATGGCCCGCGCCGCTCTGCGCCGCTGCTCCGCTCCGGCCCACGCGCGGAGATAAGTTTGGCGTGTCGATGGTGATATTTATGGGTCTTGTGTACAGCGGCCAGTTTATTTTTTCAAGCTACAATAGGGCGCTGTTATCATCATCCAAATCGTTGCCCTATCCTAGATGCTCACTGTAATCGAATTTAGGATGACCAGGTCAGCTGGAGAGTACATAGCTTTGAGAACCTCTTGACGTCGACTAGGCTTAAAGTTTACTACTCTCCATGAGTGATGGCCACTTGAAAATGCCATATTAAGAAGTATTTGCTTATCTTGTGACAGTTTTGTACTCTCGTTGCGAATGCGATTTACCGAATCGCGCTCCAGCCTAGTTGTAGGCCCAGACCGCCCTCGCCACAGCCTGCCCGAGCCCAGTGCCAGCGCCGGATTCCGAGCGTGGCTTGCTCAAACTTGACCCCCACTTTTTGACTTTGACTGCGGTCGCGCCACGCTCTCCGCCTCCCGTCCTCTCCTACCTCACTTTGATACATCGACTTCAGTCCTATTCAAAAGTCAGAAGTTGGACCTGAACGAATCAAGGCGCTCAGGATCAAGCTGCAACCAGCTGACCTTCGAGTCGTTGGCTCCTTGGATCTCGACCTCGTTCAAATCTCCAGTACATCTCGCCGACGTGCACGAGCACTTCGCAGCAGACACTCACTGCGATGAGCGTCGGTCTCTCACCCCGACTACCATACGCCTCTGGTCCACATTTGACAGGCACACCAATGTCCACCGCCCCTCGAATGGCGCCCATGGACGGATACGTCAAAGTGGGGTCCGGGCGAAAACCCCTTCGAACGTCGCTGAGCTCGACTTCGGGGATGTGCAACTCAAGCTTTTTTTTCTCGCGTCTTTGCCGTCACTTCCGCCTGCGTCGTCTTCTATTGGGTCGTTTTGTCTCCTATAGCAGGCGATCGAGACCTGCTGGACCTCCCCAAAGATCGATCAAAGATGCTCGCACGCCTGACGAATCGACTCCCATCCCAGCTCGGCGGAAGCTCGACAAAACTTGCATCATCCTCCGGATCAAGACCGGGCTTTCGCAACCCTGCGCACGTACCCTCCAAGAAGCGACCGACGTATCAGTTGTCCGAGTTCAATTGCAACCCTTTCGAAGAGCTAGGTCGGCTGATCGTCAATGTGGAGGATGTCACCGCGAATGTGTGGGCCCCTTACGATCGATCCTGCGCGCCTTCAAACTACATGAAGGATCTCTATCGATCCGCGGACGACAACGTACCATTCACGCCCAGAACAGCTTCAGCAATAGAGGAGATCGGAGATGGACCAGGTGCATCCCGACGTTGGCTCCCTTTGCTCGTCGATCGAACGGTTCTCATCCACGGGGATTCAATCGATCGCTTCCACCTCAAAGATTTCTGCGAGCTCGTGAAAGGCGAACTGACCTTAATCGACCCCAAACATCCCGAATCGCCACCTCCTCATCGTTCATCGGAACATCTCTCTCCTGGGGTGTCGGAAGAGGAGCGTAATCGCCGAAAGGAGAAGGAAGCGACATGGGAAAAGCGACCGACCGAAGGCCACGTCTTGACCAATCCTTGGGTGTGCAACGTCCAGGAGTACAATTTCACCCTCATCAATGTCTTTACATGGGGATTGGAAGGTGCCGAAGAGTTTTTCGAGACTGAACGATGGTACCATCCTCCTGGTGAGATGTTCTTGAATTGCTGCTTTGTGACGAGTCAATCGAGACTGATTATGTAGCCTGAATTCTCACTGCCAGCTACGTGGACTGAACGCCTGGAAGCCATCACCCTACCTCTTTTGAACAACCTCGCCCGTCACTTTAACCGACCGCAAATCAGATACCCCGATCTGGTGGAGCTCAACTCGGGGTATTGGGATCTGCGAAAATACACCGAGGGTGCGCAGCGCTCTCCCGTTTAGCGAACGGACTCGGAAAGCTGACACTATTGCTCGTCTCTTTCGAGCAGAGGACTTTGTCGCAGCAGGGTGGAAGACAAGACCATATCCGGAAGACTCGCCGATCCCTTATCAGAACCTCCAACCTGGGCGAGAAGTCATCTGGGAGAGGGAGGCGAGGAAAGCGATTCGCTTCGCAGCAAGGGCCTTCAAAGGTCCTGATGGGACCCCCGCGAATGGACCGGCGATCCTTTGGAGGACTCTGCATCATCCTCCGAGGCATAAATACGCTCCTTATAATGTAGGTCCCGATCCGGATCGAAGAGTGCGGGATACCTGAGAGAAGGCAAAACTAATTCATTGACCTTCTTTGGGTTCGGCGCTGCACAGCGAGTTTTCGCACTCGACAACCTCGCGAGAAAAGTCGTTCTCGATCTTCAGAACGGTGTCACAACTCCCATGGCTGCGCATCATGGATCCCATGACGTGGATCTGAATCTAGGGGAGAGGTTGCGGCTCGACGAGTCGGGTCGGTTGATGTTGGGGCAGGAACAGCTATTCCGCGATTTGTTGCACCCGCTCGCGATCCCGGGAAGTTATTTTTGGGGAAATATCATGCTTTACGAGTGAGTTTAAACTCCTTTCAGTCCCGCGAGAGATTTTGATTTCTGATCCTCGCGCACTTGCTCATTTTCGAAGGTTGAAACGAGTGGTCAAGGGCATCGGGAGAGACTGGAGCGCCGAGCTGGAACGCTGGCAGGGTTGATCCTGCAGTGCGACTCCTCGGTCTCCTCGGAAGTGGTAGAAATGCCTTGGTGCAAACAGCTACCCTTTGTGATTGTCTCTTTATCTGGATTATGTCAATACATCATAAGGCTTCCTACCATTCTTGACCCCGAAAAGCCCCACACCCTTCACCTCGTACGGCATTAGCAAGCCTTTGACGGTTACTAATGACGTGATAAAACCGATGTTCGCTTGCCTATCACGCGCTTGCTCGCGCCGCCTCGGCTTGCTTTTTCGCTCTGCCTACCCACCCACCACCGTGCACCGCCCACCGTGCACCACCCACCACCCACCACCGGTCGCAACCCCCGCACACAAACGATCACCCCAGGCGTTGTTGGTGCGACCATGCCTTCAAGCCGCGTACGACAACCGAGCGCCAAAGCAAGGGCAGCAGCGGGAGAAGCCTCGTTGTGGTCAGGTCCTGTTGTGTCGACTCCCAAGGCTACAGCGTCGATGGCGACCTCGACGGGCTCACGCTCCCGCACGGTGACTACTAGTGCGACCTCGTCCTACTCCGCGGCGGCTGCGACGAGGAAGAGCGCTAGGGGGAGAGGGAAAGGCAGCGACACAGCCGCAACAGGGGAAGATGAGCACGTACTCAACAACGGACACCCGGACGATGACGACGACGAGGAACACAAAGACGATGCCGCAAGTGACGACGAGGAACCGCACGGAATGCACGCGGACGCAAACGAGAACGAGGATGACGATGATCAAGACGATGCATACGACGATCATATGGGAATGTCCAACAGCAAAGAACCCGACTTCACCCTCTGTACGTCTCCGCACGAGCCACGACTGGCTGCTAGCCCCGCCTGTCCTACCTCCGAATGCTGACTCGTTGCTCGGCATTCGACTCCTTGCGATGCCACGACCACAGACTGCATCTGCTTGGGACTCGCGGGTGAACAGCCCATGATTCAATGCGACCATTGTAGCAACTGGTGCGTTGCCGACGGACCGCCCACCCCGCTCGTTGCGCCTCTATGTCAGACGGTCTGCTTACTCCCTGAATACGTCATGCCCAGGTTCCACTTCTCTTGCGTCGGGATCGACGATGACACGGCGGCCATGATTGAGTCTTATTGTTGTGACATTTGTGCGGGCATGGGCAAAGGTGTGACATGTGAGTACCGTTTTTCGCTCTGTTGTGCGGCGAAACTTGTCTTTTCACTCGGACAGCTCGGACCTCGGTCGCGGTCGTACCGCCTTTTCTATCTGGGCTTGCGGTGGTATCGCTTCCATACGCGTGGTGTGGTTCAACTCGCGGTGCCTACCACCAGTCTCATCAGCGGCTGTTGGGAAGCCCGTCGGCTTGCGCCCCCCCCACCCCCCCCCCCATGTGGATGTCGCACCTGAAAGCTCTTTCTAGTGTTGAGTGGTGCTTCAATGAAACGTTGCCGTGTCGCTCAAGCCCCCCTCGCTATGGTCGTCTCATGGAAAGTCAAGAACCAATCGTGGTCGCACTTGGAGAGACCCCACATCCCGTTCGCAGCCTTGACTGCAGGCTAGATGTACATGGCCAAGACGATGCTGGGGGAAAGGATGGCAAAGGATGGACTCGGGTATCACACTGTAGCTTGCACCCACGATAGTCCTGCCCTCATTCTCGTCCACTACCTCCTCGACTGGGACGCACCGCGCACCTCACTCGAGGTGTCGGAGGCCCCGGTGTCCCCAGTCGCGGGGTAGAGATGCAGCGAGAACGAGGACGCGATAGTGGATGGAAGGGGCACGTGCTATACACAGTCGTGCGTTTAAAGGACGTTGAGGCTTCATGGACGGGCTTGAAGGGATGTATGTGGTGTACATCGCCAAGGGGAGGGGCGGCGACCGATGCAGCGTCGCGTGTGCGAAGCCGCACCGGCCCGACACTCGGCCGCGTTGGGGCTGTCCAGTAGTAGTTCGCATGCACACAATGCTATAGGGTTTCCTATTTTTCATTTCAGTTGATCCATGGAGAACTGATCTCATACCCCATCCTACCTGCTCTTCCCTTCCTCTCTCTCTCTCTCTCCCGACGACCATGTTCCCTCTCGTTTGCGCAGGTTACTCGACCGCGGGGTTGCAAGATCGTGTCGGCGCCTCGGGGTCCGCCTCCGATTCGGAAGAGGAAAACGACGACGTGTTCCGCACCAGTGAGACTGGACCTCCTCTCGATCCATCTAAAGACCTTGAATTGCAAGACGAGGATCAAGAAGAGGGCGAGGATGAGAATGAGGATGACGAGGAATATGTCGTGTCCGTTGGCAAGAGGATGAAGGTGAAAGAAGTTGCGATGCAGGCTCCGGGGAGTCGGGAGAGGAAGAAGCCAAAGTTGGAGGGGACGTCGACACAGGTGAGATTCGAATGGCTTGTTATCTTGATGTGTTAGAGTGCCTGCTGACGGTGACCGTATTCCATGTATGCGGACGGCAGACTGCGAAGAAGCGCGCTCCTCGTCGTCGAGTCGAGAAGGACGACGAAGAATTTATTGTCGGCGACGATGAGGCTATTGACGGCCGCAAGCGCGCCACCGCACCCTCAGCTACTCGAAAAACTTCGCACAGCAAACCGAAAACCTCTACGACAGCAACGGCCGGGCCCAGCAGCAACACCAAGGACGTCACTCTCGTCGATGCGCAAGCCCCTATCGAAGTTCCTGACGCGCCCCCGACTGATCGAGTCCGCGCCCACGTCGTCAAGCAACTACACACCATCTTCCTCTCCATCTTCACCGCTTCGACCGAAGTCCCTCCCGAATACCATTCAAACGAGGATCGCGCCATCTCCTTCGCGACCGACGTCGAAGGCGACTTGTTCCAAGGGTTCGCCGAAGTCGACCTCAAAGCCCACGTCCGCGGTCCCCGAGCCAAATACAGCAGCAAGTTCCGTTCGTTGCACTACAACCTCAAAACTAACGAGAACTTTCGCGAACGGATCGCGGCGAACGAATTGAGCTCGATGCAGATCATGGCGATGACGAACGAGGATTTGATGAGGCCCGAGTTGAAGAAGATGGCTGAATCGGTGAGGGCCGCGAGTTTGAAGCACTCGGTCAAGGAGGTGATTGGGGTTCCGACGGCCAAGAGGACGCACAAGGGTGAGGAAGAGATAGGGACGGATACGAGTCAGCGGCTTCTTGAGGAGGAAGAGAACGCTTTCGTCCAACATGAGCGAGCTCAGTCGACGTCAATGTCGGAGAATGTCTCGAGTCGAACAGCGCGAATGAGTCCGAGGGCCATCTCTCCCATCGAAGGTCGCATGTCGCCACCTGCACGCGCCATGTCACCCCTGAGGTCTGGGAGTGAATCACCGCCCCCACAGACACGATCCCCCATCGTTCGCGAGACTTCGCCGATCATCAACCTCGGATCTCCTTCGCGCTCCGGAAAAGACTTGACAGCACCACCACGACCAGAATCCATGTCGGCCAACACCGATGAAGGCGTCAGAGGCGCTCAATCACCCGTCTCCGATCGCCGGGACAGCTTTGGTCCGGCCGGCTTACCGCCCTTCGACCGACCACCGTCGGACTCGCCCGTCGTGGACAACTCACCCTTCCCAGTCGCTCGAGCGGCAAGACAACGCCAGCGCTCGAGCTTCGACATGGCCAGCATCTGGAACAAGGTCAAGGCATCCCCCAATCCTGATGCCGAACAGGTCGAACCGATGCCTGAACAGACTGCAACCGACGATGCGGTCATGTCGGTCCTGGACGAGTTGAAGGCGACCGTCACCCCGGCCGAACCAGGTATGCCCACCTATGCGGATGACGAAGACTTTGAAGACGAGCTCTTTGGTACAACGGCCAAGGGCAAGGCTCGAAGGCGGGCACTGCCTTCGTCCGTGGCCGAGATGGTCGATTCCTCGTCCGCGGTTTGGAACAACGACTTTTTCGTGCCTGAAGAAGGTGGATTCCCTGCGTACGCGGTCCAAGTCGGAGGACGACCGCTCGGGATCGATCGAAAATCGTGGGCTCAGATCCTGCCTCAAAGACCCTGGACCACGGCAGGACGTCTTTCGACGGACCAGGCGTTCAAGTACCTGCTTGATTGCTGGGGTTCTTCGAAACGTGAGTTGATCGTCTTGGGTGTCATGCCGGACCTTCAAGGACCCACTCCCGAGTCGCCTCATCGTCCTACGAAGGAGAAGTGCCTCGTCAAGCATCAACACGTCGTTGATTTCCATCTCCGCATTGATCGTGTTGGGGTTGTGCCTCCCAAAGAGGTCAAGAACTTGGTCAAGGATCTGTACATTGTACCGTTGAGGAAGGACGCGCCTTTGCCCGACTTTCTACAGGTGTTGGATGAGTGCAACATACCGCAGAATCGTGAAACGGATCTCTTGTTGGCCGTTTTGGTCATTCAAAAGAACGCTTTGCCCACGGTACTACCTCTTGTCCCGACTTTGGCGGCCCCCAAGACGGCGTCTCCGGGCCCTAGCTCTCATTCACCCCTGCCTCCTCCTACTTCTGTCAGCGCTTCGACTACATCAGCACCCGCTCCAACCGTTCCCCCCGCTGCTTCTTCCGCTGCAGCAGAGCCGGCGCTTCCCGCCTTTGACGCCGCCTCCCTCGCATCTCTGAGCTCACTCCTGTCGAACCCTTCCTTGATCCAATCGCTCGCATCCGTCAGCGCCGCCCCTCTCTCCTCGAACGTTCCTTCCGGAGTTTCAACTTCCTTCCCGCCTCCACCACCACCCGGATTTGTCCCTCCACCTGGATTCTCACCCCTTCCACCTGGGACGAGAGGCACGAACGGTAGTGGTGGTGGTGGTGGTGGTGGTGGTGGTGGTTGGTCACCTACGACTTTGGCTCCTCTAGGATCGCCGGTGTCACCCTATGGAGCGACGACACCTCAATGGAATGGGAACAACAACCCAAGTAGCAATTACAACTCGAGTAGCTACTCACCTTACGCCATAAGAGATGGGAGAAGCCCGATGCATGCATCCGCATCCTCTTCGTCTTCAACAACGGGACAGGGGTCCGGTCCACTTTCGAATACGGGGGGTATTCATCCTTCGCGATTGGCATTGTTGGAAGGGGCTGGGATGGATGGGAGGGATGGGAGGAGTCACCATCCATCTTCGAGGGATAGGGGGCAGGATTCGTATAGGGGTGGACAGAGGGCTTCAGGATGGGGTGCACGAGGGAGGGGAGGTCGATGAGGTTTTAAGCTGCAGAGTGGGAGGACGCTTTGGTGGATACGGATGTATATTGCTGTATTGTTTTTGACTTTGAAAATGGAAATTTAGTTCGGGTTGTGTATGGAATGCTACCAAGCAGCCTAAACCGCCGTCAGAAAGACACGGGAGATTGGCCCATCAGCATAAATTGGGGCCGTAATCTGCCGTAATGCCCAATTACGAGTTTAAAGTCTTGGGTCGTTCGGTGCTCGCTCGCGGCTCCTCTCGACTCTGCACGGACGCTCACATCCAACAAACGGACCACACCATGCCTCCATCAGCAACAGCCCAGGCGGTGGCACCCTTTGTACGTAGTGCACACTCCTGGACCTCTCCACGCTGCTCGTGACTGACCCCGGACCCCTGTCCGCTGTGGTGCTCGTCGTGCAGTCCCAAGCGCATCGTCGTTATGTCGCAGTGAGTGACCCATTCTACGTCCCCTGTGTGAGAATGGCTCCTGAAACGACCTTTGCTTCATCCCGAATGTAGCACCTCTACCGACGAGCGTTGAAGGGAGCGCTGGACTGGTACGCCCCCCCCCAAACGCTTCACTCAGCTCAGGCTTCCCTCCCCCCCCCCCCCCCCCACCCTCTCGCTCCACCCCCCGAGTGCTCACGAACCAATCCACCCTCCCACCCTCCCTCTAGGTACGTGCGCCGCGACCTGTGGCGAGAGAGGGCGATCGAGATCCGCGTGCAGTTCGAACGCAACCGCAACGTGCGTGACCCGCGTGCGGTCGCCGCGTTGTTGCACGAGGCGGAGAAGGCGGTGCAGGATATGAGTCATCCGGATCCTTATCGGGGTCAGTCTTTATGGGCTGTGTACGAAAGAGGGGTAGGTTGGGTTGGGGTGGGGAACGGAAGCTGATGCGCGGCGGCCCCCTGCCAACAGCGTCGATGTTCCCTGATGGTACAAAATGGTCAGTTGCGGACTGGGGGGCGATTGCGGACTTGCGAGGTACAACAACCAGCTGACCTCACTCCAACCTCCAACCCTTTTCAAGGGAGCGCAACCTGCCCGTGAGTTTGTGCATGCGAAGAAGATCGATCGATTTCGCGGCCCCCCCCCCCCCGGCCGAACTCGCATCACTGACCCGCTTCATCCCTCCGCAGCCCCCAATGTTCACACAAGAGCAAAAAGCACAGGCACTCAAGGCGTTCAGGGATGGGCATTAGATGAGATCGCGCAGGTGGATGACGACCGGACGCGAGGGGGATACAAGAAAGGGAGGGGCACGAGGCCTTTGGTCGCATGCGATAGAGAAGCGTAGCATCTGGACGGACTTGAGATCGAGGTTGTGATCGCTGTAACTGGTTTCTGTTTTGTTTCTCTACCCTTTCCGGGCTCGAGCGGTTGCACCGAGCATGGTGTCCGAATGGCGTGAACGGGATCATCATTGGAAGTGTATTTCGGACGTAGGAGAGTCGCGAAAAAGGTACCAATGTCTGATCTTAGCACGAAAGAACAAAATACCCCATCTACTTCCATCTATCGACGACAATCTAGGCCTCTTTCCTGTTCTGCAACTCTTGCAGAACCTTGCTCTCCACCACCGGAGCATCGGTCGTCGTCGTCGTCGGGGTCGCGGTTGTCTGCTTTTGAGCCTGTTGCTTCCGAGCCCACTCGTCGGCTTTCCTCTCGTCGTCCTTCTTCTTCCACGCGCGCATCGTCGTCTCACTCGGCACCGATCCTTGCGCAGCCAGCTCTGTGCAAAGATGTGTCGGACGTCGCAGCGAGTGTTGGTTGAGCCCGACTATTCCAGCATTGGTATGGGAGCGGACAAGGTTAACCCTACGCACCGATGCGGGCTCGTGTGCGCCATTCTTCGGCTTTACGACGGTGCTCGGCTTCCCATTTCAACAGATAGTAGTCTGTGTGAACGAGGTGGGCCGCAAGCAGGAACATGTGGGGGGCCGGGGGTTGGGGTCAGCTCACGCCGCAAGACCGCCTGATTTTGGGACGGCGAAGCGCTCGGAGAAGATGGGGATTTCAGGTCCAGGGTCGGTATACGAACCTGCGTGTGTGACCATACCAAAGATCGTTCCCCTGGGCACAAAAAGTGACGGTTCGCGCTCAGCCCGATTCGTCGATGCTGGCCCGAAAATTGGGCGTCGTGGTGGGGACTGACCACATGGTGAGGAACGCTTTGCCAGCCAGTGTCTGTCGCTGCATCCATGGGAACCTGGCAAGTATCGGTCCCAGGTGAGTGCTCTGCTCCAGGCGATGACGATGTTGGATGTTGCTTGTCCCCCCCAGAGAGTCCGAGTCGTCGACTGACCTCCAGTTGCACCTGTGGCGTGGTAGAAAACAGCAATGAGATCAAAGATGGCCGTCGATTGCGTGTGCGTGCTCGACAAGGGCTGCTCACAGTGCGACGAGTGTACCCGCAACGAGTGTGCCCTGATCATAGTCCGAAGAGGGTCGTGTGCTCAGCTCCCGAGCTCTGTCGCGCCGATCGACGCTCGACGACGGGCATGTACCTTGATGGCTCCTTCACGAGCACCCATGATCTGCAATCGATCTGTGCATATCCACCGAGTTCGTCAGTCGACAGCGCTGGGTACGAACCCCCCACACCGGCGGGCGAGGCTGGCTCGATTGCGAAGGACGAGCCCTGCACGACACCGGCAGGCTGTGCGCGCGATGAGAGGCAAGGCGTACGTACATGCAAGATCCTCATCCTCGGCATGATGCTTGACTCGTTCTGCTGTGGCCGTCATGCTGGGGGCTTTGTCGGGTAATCGAGGGAGGACGAGCGGGCAGCACTGGAGTCTGGAGGCAAAAGAAAGAGACGAAGATCTGTCATCGATCCCGTCGGCCGGACTCGGACCGACTTCTACCGACTTCGGACTCGGCCGCAGCGAAGCTCAGCGAAGCCGATCCGAGCTCGGCGTGTCGCTCGACACGCCGAGATCGACTGAGATGGCGCAGTCACTCGGATGACGGGCAGAAACGTCCGGTCGAGGCTGTACCTGACGCTTTGGGCGGGATCAGAACGCAGGCCAAGAACTCTGCTTCCCACATATCTTCGCTTGGCCACGGTCAGGCCTCACAGCAGCTGAGCAGGTGGGGTGATGCAGGCCGGGGCCCCGACGCGGACTTTGCCCCTTCCGAGCTCGCAACTCGGTCTCGCAACTCGCTCGCGTTTAGCAAGAAACACCCTACAATGACACACCACACATGCAAGATAAACTACATAACGAAACCTCCACAACCCTCGCATTCGACATGCACACGATACTACGTCTCAAACGCATTCCTCCTGAACGACATGGCGCGCGACGAGCTAGCGCTTAAAATTTTGCCCTTCTTCGAACCCATCGACGACCCCTCCGACGGGTTCGAACCCAACGTCGAAGACGTGCGCTTGAAACTCGTCACCGCGCTGTTCTTGCCTGCCGTCGTACCCTTGCCTGATCCCTGGGATTCGTCACGCGCATCGCCGGAGCTTTTGTACACGACTCGAGTAGCCGCGGTCGTGTTTACTAGACCGTACTGCGACTGATCGTCAAGGGTTTAAAATTAGCCACGGTTCCTGATTCGAAAGAGCTGGATGGTGTGACTTACATCGAGCGATGCAAACTCGTCACTCGGTCGAGGTCGGGCCACGGCCGTCTTGGGCAAAAGCGCCCTGTTCTTCACCCTGGGAAGTGCGATGGGCGAACTGGAGCCAGTGCCAAGACGCACTTCCGGTAGCGGAGTCGTTCTTCGTTCCATTTGCTATGGTAGCAGTATCCATCGAGGGTCAGTGCTTGCGTGAATTAAAGCGTGCTACGGCCGAGACCCACCTTGCGTCGTGATCGCTCAAGAGCTAATTCGTTCGCCTCCCTCATCGACATCTTTCGTGGCGGCGGGGCCATCTTACTATCCCCTTCCCCATCGACATCGCTCATCCCCTCATCATCGTCGTACTCGTCCTCGTCACTTCCACTCTCAGCACCCTCGGGCTCGGCAAGGTAGTCGACGTCGGATGGACGAACGCTCGTCACGAGCCCTTCGGTGATGTTCAACGCGAACTGCCTCGTCTCCTCGTTCGCCTCTGCAAGGTCGAAGCAGGATGGGAGAAACGTCAGCAACCACCCGACTCCAGAATACTCCCGCTCGTCTCCTGAAATACGTACGAAGTTGGGCGGTGCTCAAATTCTCCACGCGTGGTCGCTTCTCCGCCCGTTTGGTCGAGATGCCATAGTCATCGTCAAAGTCGTCGTCGTCGAGGTCGAGGCCCTTGCGACGGGTGCGCTCCTTACCGTCGGCGATCGCTTGCGCCTTGGCGAGGTCGGCAGCATCTTGCTTTGCCGCGAGCTCGCTGTGGAGGGACGAGATTCAAGTCCATTCGCCGAGGATCAGCCCCCGAACCTTGTCCGAACGAAACAAAGCACGAGGGACCAACTTACGCGTGAAGAACGTTGACCGCCGCGTCCTGCTCCGCCGCCACCTCTTCGTCGACCTCGTCATGATCAACAAGCGACTCGAGCTCGTCATCGAGATTCGTCTCGTCCTCATCACCACTCAAGCGGCCCAACGCCCCTCCTTCCTCATCAGACAAATCAGCTTCCTGCTCAATAAAAGCATTCGCTCCCTTCCTTCTCGTCTCGCGCTGCATGTCCTCCACCAAAGCCGGCAAAATGGACTGCTGCGTCGCCGCAGCTTGACGCATGATCTCAAACGCGTTCGTTGCGGTCGGTTGAGCCGCCGAAGGGAACGATTCCTGTCGCTCCGTCTCTTGCGTCTCGGCGCCTTCGACTTCGGTCGCGGCAAGTTCCGAGATCGAGTCGTACCCGATCACGGCATTGGCGCGTCGGAGGCGACTTGGGTCTTTCGAGGCTTGGGTCGGGGTTTGCGTTGCGGCGAGTTGGGTCTGCGTCATTCCTGTTGGTCGTTGCGAGCTCGAGTTGAGACTGAATCGAGGTCGTGAGGCGGAGTCGAGGGGAGAGAACGTCGAGCCCACTGGCGATTCCATTGAGGCAGCGCCAAAGAGATTCAAAGGCCGAGTTTGGGTCATGAGACTGCGAATAGTCATGAGGAGCGACGTGTCAGCGCGGAGTATCAACGCGAGCTTTCCTTTGGCCAGCTCACCCTTCTTTGTTGATGTAAACACGTGGAGGCGGATCGTAACCTGGGCCCGGTGTGCCCGGTGAAAATTCTCCAGCGAAGGCGGCTCGTTCCTCCAGAGCTTGATTGTCGGCCATCCGCTGCGTCTCGGTGATGTGCAGGCCTTGTTCTCGCGCCGCCTCTTGGCTTGCGGTCTCTTCGGCAGCGAGCTTTTGTGTGCTTCGGCGTTTGAAACCCTCGCCCTGGTAAAGTAGAAAGAAAAGTCATTATCAGCGAATTGACGCGCAGCCGTGTTTTGGGTTGGCAAGCCCACCTCGTTGGCCTCCCCGAAGGCCTGGCTGACGTCGTCGTCGAAGAACTGTGAAAAGCCTCGGTCCGGCTGGCTGTCGAGGAACGATGGGAGCTCGACGCCCTTGATCGCTTGAGATGAGGAATTCTTGGCCATCACCTCTTCGTCGTTGTCTTCCTCGTCACTGGCGGATTGCAACCGAACGCGGCGCTTCACCACAACTGGAGCAGAGACTTCTTCCTCTTCGCCCTCGGCTACACTGTCATCCTCGGCCTCATCTTCGATCATCTCGTCGCCGCTGCCTGCCTCGTCACCACTCCCTGCCTCGTCGTCACCCTCGGCGTCCGACCCTCGTTCATCCTCATCGTCCTCTTCCCCCTCGGCCCAGTCCCCATCCTCCGCATCCTCATCTTCCTCTTCCTGCTGCTGGTCGGCCTTAATCTTCTCTTCCTTCGTCTTGAGTAGATGATCGACGTTGACCTTGGCCACGCCACCATCGTTCTTGACCACGCCCTCCATCTTGCGCCTCGCCTGCGCTTGCTTGCGCGTCCGTTCATCAATGTTCTTCATCGCGGCCTTGCCGAGCAAGCGATCGTTCAGCGCCTCGATCGAATCGAATTCGGCGGTCGTCGTCTTCTTCTTGAGTTCAATGCATTTGTATTGAGGAACCCATCCTTTCGGCTTCTTGCCCCGACCGCGCATCAACAACGCAGTTTGAGCCGCGGTCTCTTCGTCATCGTCATGGTTCGCGGCTTGAATGTTGACGTCAAGGTCACGGATCTTGCGTGCACTGCGGGAGACGCTGTTGTGGTCGATGACACGGTGGGCGTCCGAAGTCGGCGTCACATGTCGTTCCGTCCGACTCCTCGCTGAAGGCTTAGGCTTGACAACTTCGAACACGAGCTCATCAGAATCTTCCTCCTCCTCCTGAGCGATCGAAGCCAAGCGCTTGACGCGCTCCTCATCGGCTCGTTTCGCAGCAGCGAGTTTGAGTTCCTGGTACTTGCGTCGCTCCGCGGCTTTGGCCTGATCTTCGAAAACCTTGTCCAGCGACGGAAGCTCCTCATCCTCATCATCGTCGTCATCCACCGGTGCCGTGGTCACTGACTTCAAGGGCATAATCGATTGCGCCATCGTTGAAGGAATGATGACTTGACGCCGTGTTGTCGTCGGTGTGTCTTCAATCGGACTCGAAGCCCGTGACGGGGATGATGAGGTTTCTTTGATAGATGAATCGGGCAGCGGCTCCGCCTCGGCCCTCTTGGAGGGAACAGTCGGGATTGGACCGAAGAAGCTTTTGCGCGTCGGGGCGACGAAGGGTCGATCGTGTTGAGTCCTGCGGGGAGTGAGCACGTATGAAGTGAGCGGACAGAACGGTTTCAGCTGCTCAGCATGAGTACTCACTTCTTCAAAATCTCAATAATCTTGGGAGCGCTCTTGACCCGGGGCGCAAGTCGAAAGTCTTGTTCTACAGGTCACCATCAGGGATTCCCACACAGGATGTCAGCTCCGCGAAGCGACTGAGACCTCCAATCGGGTGAGTTGCTCACCTCGTCGTAACGCGGCCGTTTCACGATGCATCAAGTCCTCTTCCTTTTTCGAAATGCTGCCCTATGAGCTCACCTCCTCAAGAGATCAGCTGCTGTGGCTGAACTCGCATGAACAGCGGTGACTGACCTTGGCCTTCTTCTTGGAGAGAGGAGCGGCGTCCTCATCGACGTTGTCGATGTCCTCGAGCGATGAAGTGGCGATCACGGCAGGTCTAGCCTTGCCCACCTCGGCGTCAGAGTCCTCGTCCGAGTCGATGACCCTCCGCTGAGTTTTGGGCTTCCTTCGCGCCACGCCTTCATCGGACTCCTCTTCGTCATCAGAGAGCACGCCCGGTCGAGTAGAAGTCAACCCTCGGACGATATTCGCAACTGGCCCATCCGAAGTAGGAAGAGTTGTCAGGGTCGATTGGGTCGAAAACACGAGGATGGTGTCCGCAGCTGGCTGTGCACTCTTCTCGACGGCGACTTTGGGTAGAGCGTCGAAATCGTAGTCATCTCGGTCCACCTTGGCGAGTTCGTCCTTCCAATTGCTTTGCTTGAGGAACATGGCTATACCACCTTGGTCGTCGCCATCGTCACTGCCCGAGTTCGATTGAGAACTTGAAGGTGCGGGGGTGTTCTCGTTGACGATGGTGTGGCGGTCCTTGGACTGGCGTACGGTCGGGTCAGGGTCCCCATTCGCTTCTTCAGACGTCGGGTCCGTCGAGTCGTGACCGCGTCTGCCACTTGCAGGCGAAGAAGAGCTGATCGCTTTTCCCTTTCTCTCGATCGAGCGATGCGTTTGAGGCGACGAGTATGAGGAGGAAGTGTCGGCGTCTCTTGCTGCTGGGTCGAGGTCGGATTCGGGCACGACGACGAGTGACGTTTTACGCGTGATCAGGCGCGCGTCGACGCGTTCGAGCCCCGCCATTGCTGCACCCGTCGCGACCGCGGAATTGGAAATGCTCATCGCGAGATCCTCCTCGAGGACGGGTCGAGGCTTTCCGTAGGTTCGAGTTGCGGTCTTGGCGCGTAGGATCGACGGGCCCTCGGTCGTGACGGTCGTGGAGGAGTAGGACGCGGAGGGGAGCGCGGTCGCGCACGCCGGATCAGAATCGGCCACCACGCTGGAGGAACTCATGCCGCCTTACACTGATAGAGAGAGAGGTCAAAGTCCTGGATTGGATTTGAAGTCCTATATAAATATGGTCGAGTTGTCAGCAATGGGCTCGCCAGTCTCGCGATGATCGGTTGGAAAGTCGCGACTAACCCCAGAGTGATGCTCGAACGCGTCGCGGACGCAGCGCAAGACAAAGGGAACGCGACGCGAAATTGCAGGCGCTAGTTCGTCTATCCAAGGAGTTGCCCAGTCACAAACCGTCTCGGCACGCGAAAGGCGACGTGCTTTACCTGCAGTCAATGAGGCGGGCGCGAAGGAAACCAGGGGCACGCGCACCGATCGAGAGCGAGGCGTTTCGCATCACGTGACTGGCGCCGGCGCGAGGACCACGCCCGCTTGCCTTATTCGCCGTTCCGGCGCCTGCAGCGCACGACCTCGAAACCGGAGGTTGCCTACGCCGAAGACTCCGGCTGTTCACTATTCAGAGGCTTTAAGAACACCGGTCTTAACCGTTATGGCCGAAGAACACGGCCGATCACTTTTCTCGATCACTTCATAGACCAGAAGCTTTCGGCTATCGAAGAATCTCAAGTTTATACGTAGTACTTGGACGGCGGGCGTGCTTTTGGGCGGCACTGCAGCCTATTATAAGGTAGGCAGGTCCAACGTCCGAAACGCCATCGACATTTTCACCGGTCAGCAGCAGAAGGAACGGTACCTGATGCATAGTTGATACATCACTCATTGAATTTGCAACTAGATAGGTCCCTCCTGAAGTAGCTGCGTTGTCCAGGTACTTTTGCAATCGCTTCGTCAGCTTTCGCGCCATCGCCATTGTCTCGGACAGGAATTTGCACACGCTCGGAGGAACCTTACGGCAGGGGTGGACCTAGGACCTAGTAGAGACTCCAGATGCCGAACTTCCCCTAGGTACCTGTCCGGCACCTGATCGATCGTACTCTAGTGACGTGTGCACTTCAAGCGAAGTAATTAGGTAGACCACTTACCGGCAGACGTCGACGCCGGCTGCGCACCTTTGTGGCACCGTCTCTCCGAAGATCCGAGTTGCTCACAGCCGCACACACCGCGAAACTTACGTAGATGCTAATGCTGAATATCTTCAGCTGATGAGATACCGATACGGGTACCTAACTACCTGCGTAGTCTGGATTCCAACCACAGTTTATGACGGCATGGGTCACGTGGATCTGGCGGGCTCGCTTCTGGATGTAGTCGCGATCAGGCTGCCATCTCACGTCGATCGGGCAACGGTCATGCGCAAGGTCGGCTGATTCCTCGCCTGACCTCAGCTGTTGCGGTGTACCCGAAATTCATGAAAGCTGCGCACTCGGTACGCTCTGATGTGCAGAGCCCAGTCATCCAAAATAATCGTCAACATCTAGGGATCGTGCTATCTATGGACGGTGACCAAGATCCATTATTGAGCGTTACCGTTATCAAGCTCGAGAACGGCCGGAGCGTCGCTCGAGTTGGTCGGTGGTCGGTGTTTCGAAATTGGTTGGCCGAACTCTTGCCGAATTATCGTGCATCTGTGTGCCTTGTAATTGCCAAGCAAATGATTGTATCCGGCACCTTTTCCTGGGTTGAATGCGCACATCCGACGAGACATTGCTTCATGCCCATGATCCCGAGTCCCGGGGCCTTTTCGGGCGCCGCGCGGCCTGAGTGAAGGGGGTTTTGGGGACTGACAAACCCTGGCAGGCTGCCTAGTTAGGTACCTGTGCTTGCACCCGGATATCTCTTGCATCCATCTCGCGATATAAATAATAAATAATAGTAGTGGTGTTCCCCAGACTTGCGCAGGGCTGACTTTCGAACGGCGGTCTCGATTGTGCGCTGTTAGGTTTTCCATGGGCCGCCGGGCCTGCACTGATCGTTGATCCGAAGGCATCCATTGACCAGCTGCAGCTGCAAGGCATACACAATGTCCGGCGATGAAAGAATGCCTCACGGCAAAGCAAAAGCCCGCACAGGTAACCCCCTCGTCATCACTGCACCAGCCTTTAAACATGAGCTTAATACAGGGGCTGTTTTGCTAGCGTTTGTAGGAAACTTTGAGTTTCGACGGGGGACATAACACTTTTATGAATCACGGTAGACGAGAGTACCTAACGACCTTGGGGTGCGGCCAGAACGACCTAATACATAATTAGCACGTGCACGTGGCTAGATTATCGCGCAGCCGTCACGTAATTTCTGTTCCCGGGTTCAGGCACCTCCCACCCGGCGGGGTTTACGGCTGGTTTGATCGTCTGCTCCGTCTCGTCCAGCGCCTGCTGCTTTCCCGCTTGGTCTGGAATTCTTTTAACAACTTTTGGTAAAGGTACCTACCGTACGTTTCCGGCTGCCCACTTGCCGTTGGTACCTAGAAAAAAATACTCATCAGTTACAATGAGCTAGATAATTCCAGCTTATGCTTGGTTTACTTACATAGTTAAATCCATCACACTAGGTAGTGTATCCACCAGCTTGGGCAATTCGACAGCGGAAGAGCTGTGTCGACGTTCAACTTTCTGAGATTCGGGAGCCGCTCGAAGAAAGTCAAAGGAAAAGACTTCTGATCTTCCGGATTTCGGACAATCGAGTTTTAAGGACGGTCCTGCCACGAGTCGCGCAACATTCCGCAGTCCTGTGCCTCAGTAGCTCGATCGACGATGGGATAGGCTTGGCGGGCGCGATTGGCCGCGCGTTTCAGATTGCAAATTCGTCGAAAACCATTGACCTGACCAGCGATTCGTGCAGCCCTGTCCCGTTCGGCGCAGCTGAGTGGACCTGTGCGACCAGCGGCACCGTGTCTCGCTTCGTCACATAACTCGAGACAAGGTCCAAAGCGGCCTTCGGCTGTGCCTGCCTTCTTCGGGTTTTGCCTATTTTCTGGCTCACCGACACCGTGACCACCAGCACCCACGACTGGATCAGTCAGTGCAGGTCAGTGCACAGTAAATAATAACGCTGTGTGGGTACCTTTGAAAAGATTCGATTTCCTACATAGGCAGGTAAAAGCACCCAAGGTGGAAGCTCCTCTTGGAGTGATCGAGGTCTCGGACTTGGGCTGGCTCAACTCAGGGGGCGAGATCTACCGTAGCGCCCGCGTCGGATCAAACGGTCGGACACCTCATCATCGGCGTCCGCTGCTTGACGACCTCCTCTTCTGACCTATATCACCCCATACGTCGCCGCTGCCATGTCACCTTCCATGTCGCCCCGCTCAATCTCGACACGACGGCCCCCTGATTTTGTCAAGAAGCTGTACTTGTAAGTATTCCGCCCTCTTGCTTTGTCTCCTGCTCACGGCCGCGCAGCTGATCCACCTCAACTCTGCTGCTCCGCGACAGCGCTCTCGAGGCGGCTCGGCAAACCCACGAACCTGACCTTCGATGGGTCTCTCCGGGCGAGTTCGAGATTACGGGAGATCAAAAACGTGCACTCGAGGTCTTGCAACGGTACCAGCTCGATTTCAAACTGTAAGTACCGCTGCGTTCCGTGCGGATTCCCTCGCGAGTCATCGACTTCCAGAGTCGCGACGGCGCTGCCAGCCTGCCAGCCTGCCAGCCAGCCCAAGTGGAGGCTCAGGCCGCCACGCACCGCGCCGCGTCCCATTATTTCCGCGGTCCGATCATTCGATCATTCTGAATGGGGCGCCGGCACCGACTTACCCCACTCGGGCACAACCCCGACATTCCGACCAAACTCTGACATTTGATGATTGATGATTGAAACTAACCCCCCGATTTTGTGTTTTGCATGTGATTACAGATTCTCGTCATTTGTACGACAGCTGTCCTACTACAAGTGAGTACCTCCCGTGGTGCACGTGACGGCGGCAAGGGCCGCGCGCCTGGCAGTCTGGCAATTTCACATGTCCAGATGCCCGAATAAGGCTGGGAGGGCACCGAACTGAACCCGTCGCGCCGAATCACTGTCCCAGCTTCAAACGCCTCAGCGATCGACGGCGCAGTGATGCACGGAGAAAGCCTGGTGTCAAAGAAAACATCCACTTTGGGTCAGTTTCTTCGCTTCAGTATCAGTAGTATCAGAGATGCTTCAGGGCAGAAAGTGACCGTCGAGGATACTCAATGCCACTGCCCCTCTTCCTGCCACGGTCGCGTGACTCACTCTCAGGCACCCCGCGCGCGATTTTTGGACAGGCAATGCCGGCAAAGCCTTCGCGGTGATGATTCGCAAGAGTCGCAAGCGAAAAGACAGGGCCAGCGTCACCTCCAACTGCAGCACCTCCTACTCTCACAGCCCCGACGATGGCGCCTTGTCCTCGGCCCATTCTGGCGACTCGAACCGCCGCGACTCGGTCGCTTCGATCGACTCGCACGGCGGACATTCGACGAACAGCGACTACATCACACATCAGACGTCCCTCGCTGCATACAGCCAGTTTCCGTCTAATGCTCAGAAGCCATCGTTCATCAACCTCAACGCGCCGGTCCACGAGCAAGCCGTCTCGACCCTGCCCGTGTACCCCTCGCCGCTCTCGCCCTCCGCCACGACTCCATACTGGACACACGAACACTCGCCCCTGGCCCAAGGCTCCCCCTACGCAACGCTGCCGGCCGGGTCAGACCGCATGCCTCCGGGAGAAAATGTCTTCTCCCACACGTTCGGTGCCGCAACGCGAGGAATGACGGCTCCCATGTCGAGCTATTACTACCCGAACGAGGGCAAGCACGCCTCTTCGTCGAACCACCAAGCAGTAGCCTACTACCCATCTCAACACGAGCGCTACATGGCCGTCGACGCCGCCCGATGGGGACAAGTCGACTCTCAGTCGTCCCTCTCTTCGGCGGCACTGCCTACTCCGCCGGATTACTATCTCCCTCCGTACAACCGACAGAGTTCGACCTCCCCGGGTTGCTCGTCGGGCCTCGTCCATGCCGGTCACTACCTACCCCATGCCCAGCTGGCGACGTCGACCCATTACGACCCCAACTGATCCCCTCCCTACCACCGTCCTACGCATCCGTTATTTTCCTTTGAATTTAAGAGGCTCAACATCGCATCCGCCTCGTTCCTGTACCACTGTTCTGTATTCGCAGGATTTCCAGTTATCTGGTAATCCGGCGTGCTCAGATTCTCGTCTGTGTTCTGCATGTCCCTTCAATTTGCTTCGTGTTTTCTTGGGGTTGTACTCTTCTTGGGCCCTTATTATCTCCATATCAATATAAACATGGGTCTCACAGTTCTTCGGCTTTCGCATGATGAACCAACTTTCTTGACCTGTCATAAGGTCGTCGCAATCTCAAAGCGCAGCCTTTCAGGGCTCGGATCATCGAGGGTCGTAAAGAAGCGCGATCATGATCGAAGACGATGCTCGATAAGCTACAGGTGATGAACAGGTCCCAGCATTAATCAGAGTGAAGGAGGAACGGGGTGCTAAAACACGTATCGCCAAGCGCAACGAAGAGAAAAAGCGGATGGGAAAGTTTCAGTGCGGAGATGAAATTCCTTCGACTCGAAAAGAAGAGGTAGTCTAGGTATACAACAGCGAGAAAGGAAGGAGAGAGGACCGGTGATAAAGCGTAGGTACGCTCTCTAGAAAGAAAAATCTTCGCAAACCAGACTGATCTGAGCCCTCGGGTCGCCCTTCAGCAACTTCTTGATCTCGATGCGGGATGACACGAGGTGCCTGACGAGGGTGTTGAGCCCGTTCGGGCCACAACAAGCGACCATCGTCTTCCCCTTGGAAGTGTTGACTTCGGCATCCAAGATCTCCGCCAATTTGGGGTAGCCCGGTTTGGCGAATTCGGCGACAATATCGAGATCGGCTTGGTCCTCGGCTGAGACGTCGAGCAAACCGTCCTCGTCTGCTGTGGTGGTGGGTCGGAACGAGCTGCGCCTCGAATCGACGAGTCGATGCAAGCTCGTCGATTTGGTTTGACTGGGACCGAGGCGATACGAGTTCTCCTCTTCGACTCCGAACGACTGGTCGGGCGTATCTTCGTACGCGCCCTTGGACGCTGGCGAGTCCGATCGACCAACATGTCTTCTATCTGTGCCCAAAGCAACTTCCGAGTACGATCGATTGTATTCAGGTGCAGTGAAGGGGTCACGCACTTCGCTGCGGTAAGGCGAAGGCGCCTTAGCACCGATGTACGGCATCGTCGATTCCGTCGGTTCCGATCTGTTCCTCCTCGACAAGGCTCGCCGGATCTTGCCGACCTTTTTGACCTTGCTCGACATCTCGGCTTCGCCAGGGGTACGGTAGTCATCCTCGCCATCGAACAGGACCAGGTCGGTGACGGACTCGACCGCTTCGCCGTACATCGCAGTCGGGTAAGCGCGCTGGAACAATCGGGTTCGCATCGACCCTTCCTCCTCGAAATCGCTCTCGTCACCACTGTCGCCGCGACCTGGGGACGCCGCTCGGTGGGAGCGAGCGAACGGTGGGCTCGGGGCTGCAAACTCATAGTTCTCGCCCGGCAAGTAGGTCGTCGAAGGTTGTTGGTACTTGAGCGAGGGAGGATCACGACTGACAAAGACCTCGACTTGCAATTGAGAAGGATCGACCATGTCGAGGCACCGACGCAGCGTAGGCGCGACCCACGTGAGATGCGCAAACTCGCGCAGGATCCACACGAAGCGCACGCGGCTCGTCTTGTACTTGCGATCGTCGGCATCGCGGCGAGCGAGGCGTCGGCAGATATACTCGAGCACGCTGATCCCAAAAGTGACACCCGTGCCACCACAGAAGATCAAGAGACTCTCGTACTGTCCCCACGACGTGCGACACGAGGATCCGAGGGGCCAGCCGATCAGTGCTCGCAACTCGACGCCCTTGAAGCACTCAGCGGCGGGCAGACCCGAAGCCTCCTTTTCCTTCCGCTCCTTGACCACGTGGTCCCACAAGGTCTTGGAGAACCCGCGCTGGGCTCGGATGAGCATGGTGATCTCGCTACCTTCGATTGTCGACGCGCCTCCGATCGGCGCGATGCCCTTTGTCCTCTCGTCGCAACACGCGATCGTGTACGGGTGCGCTTGGAAAAGGCGCAGGGTCGGCAGTGTGAGAAAGACGTGTTGTCCGGGCTGCCAGCGCACGGCTCGAGGCGTGTGGATCGTCAAGCGAATCGTCCGACCGGGAAGGATCTGCGCCGAGGCGAAACCGGGGGGAGGGAGCTGACGCGCGCGGGCGTTGGGTATGTTGTAGTTGAGGGCCGAATAACTCGGAGCGGGGCTAGGGAGGTAGGGTAGATGTTGGGATTGAGCAGAGGGTGGGTACACGTGGTGGTTCGTCGTCGAGGCGTGCGGAGCACCCGAATTGGCCAGAGGCATGCTCGCTTCGTCCACGGCGCCAGGACCAAACAGCCTTCCCTTGCCGTCGGTATAGCCGTCGATCTTTTCTGCCCCAAGGACCGAAAAGCTCGAAGCGCTCGTTTTGGAGGGTTTGGGTCGAAGTCCGATGCCTTTTGTAACCCCATTGACATGGAGTTGCACGAGGAGGCGGCACAGCCGTTCGGCACCCCACACGATCGCAGCGATGATGGGCCACCACATCAGAGGTCGATGATGGATGATGCACGTCGCGAGGAGCGTGAAGACCATGACGACATGTGACCAGTAGAATAGCTCGTAATGACGATCGCGGATCGGTCGGAACGAGACGAGGGTCAAGAGCGTCAACAAGCCGTAGCCGACGATGCCGGCGAGAAAACGCCAGTAGCCGAGCAGCGAGATGAGTACCGGTCGTCCAAAGGGGTCTTTGTCGACGACGGACTGATAGAACCAGGCTGCGACATGACCGGACGTGAAGAGCCAGATGATTCGTCCAGACCAGCGGTGCAAGATGGCCGTCTGTGCCGAGAGACAGCGTCAAATGAGCCTCGTGCGCTATGCCATCGTGCGCCTGGTATGAGGCTCTTGCGCACCCTTTCTTACCTTGTCGTAGTGGTAGTCCGTCAGGAAAGGCGTAGCCCAGATGTTGAAAGGCCACTATCGGTTTGAATTGACGATCGTCAGATCAAGTATGATGATCTGCCCAGGCCCCATCGAATGCGCGCTCACCTGCTTCAATGCGAGCGTAACACAGAGCGGGAGTAGGGCGTAAGCGATTAAACCAAGTCGAGCGGCCGAGGTCCACCAGTTCTTGTCAATGTCGGTGTTCGAAGCTGAGAGGAGAGGATCCGTATACGCGACCCAACCTGGGGGCGGGGAACAGATTTTGTCGAGGAGGGCCGGGCTCAAGGGTCAGCTCTCCCCTCGGACCCCGAGAGCAGAAAGACTTCTTCGCATGGGGCGGGACTAACCTCCTGGATTCGATGTCGAGGCGCGACGCAACATCCTCGGTGGCAGCTGCGAATAGACGCTCTGGTACGGGCACGTTCCTCCAAAGGTGCAGGTGCGAGGATTGATGTAGCTCACGCCGAGGAAGCTGAGACAACACGACAAGGCAACCAGTGCGAGCAAGACGATGATCTGAGCATAGGTCGGTGAAGCGAGCCTGACTCGACTCCTCGACACGACGGGTACAGGTCTGGCCTCTTCCTCCGTCCCCTTTTGGGCCTTCTTCGGTTTCTTGGTCTGAATGACGAAGCGTTTGATCGAATACTTGCGAAAGAGCGCGCTGAGCGCTGACCCTCTACTCGCTCCGCTCAGCTGGTATACGAGCGACCACAGGATGAGCACACCGGCAATTGCGAACCAGAGGATGTAGGCGTAGCGCCAGGTTGGGACCGAGAGGGAGTGCGCATCGATGTAGGGCTGTGTGAAGAGGGGGATGCGATCGATCACCAGTCAGTCTCTCTCTGCGCGTAATGAACATCTCCGATGCTGGTCGGCCGTATACGACAAGCGCCGCGATGACCGACGACTGCTAGCAACGCACGTGCAGAGGACCGCAACGCGCGACTCGACGAGCAAGTACAAACCTTGGTGAAATACTCCAACAACGACGTCGAGTCGATCCTGCCATCGGTGCTGATGATGGATGTATGCGTCGGCTTGACCGCAGCGCTCGAAGCCGTGGCCGTGCCCGTCGCGATCTTGGCGAACGAGATGCTCGTGCCCGTCGCGCCGCCCGAAGCTGCTGCGCTAGCGGCCGACGACGCGCTAGCACCGCCATGATGGGCCGTCGTTTGGGCGAAGGGGGGCACGTAGTTGGACCCGACCGAAGCCACGATCGATGACATGGTGGTGGGCTTGGGTCCGGTGGAAAGAACGACAATAGAAGAAGAAAGAAACCCAGACAGGTGGACGGGGAGAGCGAGACCGTAAAAAGAGCCGCTTCTCGCGAAAGCTCGCGAAGGCTGATCGGATTGGCCGAGATTGGCCGAGGGAGCACAGTGGAGGCCGTGTGGAGGCGCCGGGAGGCGCAGCAAGCCAGCAACGCGGTGCAACTCGGGGCCAAAGGAAAGCTCGGGCAAGAGACGCCATTTTCTGGTTTTAAGTTTAAAGTCATAAATTCCGGCTAGTCTTGTTCAAAGACAGAATCTAACAAAGGCTAGATGGAAGCAGACGTGTGATTGAACATGTCTCCTTTCTATAGGAGGTGCATTACCACAACTCACTTTTTCCAGCGGTCCTGTCACTGTAAGACATTCATTGATTCCCCACAATGAGGAATGAGCACCCTGCAGCTGGAGAAACATCATCAAGTACTGTCCCTCTCGACTCAAAGGTCACGTATCCCTAGTAAAAGCTCAACCATTGTCGCCCCTATTTCGAATCACGACCCGAGCCGACGGCCCGGCGGTACGCGGCACCTTGCGATATGCGAAGTAATCTGGGACTAACTTGTCTACTCAATCTCAACGAAACGCTGATGTGCTAATCCTCGCACAGATTGGACTTTTCCTTTCATGGATGAGTTGCGACCTGCGAGCCTGGCTCTAAAGCTTAGACGGAATGTCCAAACACGCCCTTCTAATACCATTACATTCTCACAAACCACAAACAAACCTATCCGGCTCATTGCTTCAGATCCTTATCGACATGATCGAACAAACTGTCCCCACCCTTGATGGCCTTTCGAACGCGGTTTAGCAACCTCTCGATCGCGTCCAAACCTCGATCGATCTCTTCCAAGGGCGGGCCGTACGAGAGTCGGACTGCAGGATAGATTCGCAGGTCTCAGTACCTCATTGAATTCTAGAGAAAGTTGGAGGCCTCGAGAGGACTTACCGAAATGATGACAGGGTGAATCGTGGAGGTTTCGTCTTACGGCCGGGTTGAGGTCGAAGAAGATTCCTGGAGTGACGATGACGCGCTCTTTGAGGCACTCTTCAAAGAAGACAAGACCACCGTCTAAAGGTGCGGGGAGACAGGAGAGATCGAGCCAGATCTATGAAAGGAACATGGGACACGGTGTCAGTTTCGCTCTTCAAGCTAATCTGATGCGAGGCGACTGCGGACAACTCACATAAAACGTCGACGTCGGCTTGTGTTTGACCGGCAAGCCCATACGTTCGAGTCGCTCGAGCACATGGTCCCTCTTGGCTTTGAAATGTCTTTCTAAGGTTAAGCGATCTTGTTCGACCCGAGAAGGCTCCATCAAAGGTATCGCGGCCACTTGCAAGACGTGGTTCGCCCCACCGTCGAGGTAACCTCCGACCGAACCGAGGGCGGTGACGAGCGCTTTGGGTCCGATAACCCAGGCGACACGCCATCCGGGAAGACGCCAGTTCTTGGTGAGACCGTCGATCTGTGCGTTCAAAGAACTTGAAGGATCAAACTCGGAGCGCTCCCTGCAGCCGTGATTAGTTGGCTCGCACGATGATGACCGAGTCCTTTTCAACGTCCTCCACGTATTTGGCGGCCGAGACTACGGCGCCTTCTCCTAGTTCGTACTGGTACATTGAGTAGAACTGCGAGCCCCACACACAAGAAATATTAGTCATCCCCACTGTGATCGGATTGCAGGCGTCTCTCCCTCCGTCAGACCCACCTCATCAAGAATGATCGTCGTCCCTTGACGTCCGAGGTCAACGAGCTGTTCGAGCTCCTCGCCATGGATGACCTGCCCCGTCGGGTTGCGCGGGTTCGAGGCGACGACGACGCTCAGGCCTTGGTTTTTGATGTTCTTTTTGAGCTTATCGATGTCTACGCATCAAAGAGGTGCCATCCAGACTCAACTCAAGGCTCGAAAGTTTAGTCCTGCCCGGGCTCACTAAGGTGGTAGGCATCTTCCTCATCAAGCATGCTCGGGATGGGCACGAGTTTGCGGAACGACGACAGCATTTGATCGTACGCAGTGTACTCGGGGACCTCTACGAAGGGCAGCACTCGTTAGTTGACCGCACTCAATCATTCTCTCTCTCGCTCTCGAATCTGCCTTTCCTTAGTAACTCACGGTAAGAAACGTAGACCTCTCCAATGATACTAGCGACGCGGGTCAATCCTGCTCGACCACCGGGTACGATCGCAACGTTGTCGGCAGTGTACTGGCTTGTTTTGCCTTTTCGGTGCGTTTCGTTGTAGAGGTGAGCGACGGCGGCGCGCAGTTCTCGCACACCGGTCGTAGGCGCGTATTCGTGGACGTCGGCTCCCTGGTACGGTCGAGATGAAGAAATTCGTTAGGTTTAATGGACATGATGGCTGGTCCGCCGTGGAGATGGGGAACTCGCCATTTTGGACATGTCAATGACCTGGGGTCGAGGAGGTGCGCCGGGCAAATCTCCAACTTCGGGAGCTCCCTGACCCTGTAAGAACTCGACCCAAATCGTGGTCAGGGGCTGGGTCCCCGTATGCTGAAAAGGACCTTGTGTGTATTTTACTGACGAAGTTGGCCCACTTGTAAAGAAACGAACGAAAAAGGAGCAACCCCATCTCCAAAGAGTCAGGTCCTCGGTCTTGCTTCTGCTAGTCGTGAGAGATCGCCCTGTACTCACACCTTCGTTTAAGGGTGACCACCCATTAGCAGCTGCACGCTCTGAGACGTACATGACCCCCGTCGAGGCGGGTGCGACGACGCCATTTACGGGATGACGGTCGTCAGATCGGGCCGAGTCGGTCTGCATTGCTCCATGACGTGGTTCGTGGCCTGCGCACGAGGGGGCGGGTCGCCGAGGTCCAAGAGTGGAGGGTGGAGGGGTAGAGAGGCAAGACAGCTTCAATACGATGGGAGTCACCGCTGTCGTGGTAGGGAGGTGAACTGACCTGGCACAGCACGATACAGGCGATGAGCCTCGGAGGCGGATTCGTCTAAATCAAATTAATGAGGCTCGTTCGGGAAAGTTAGCCTTCCTCGGGATTGCCCAGTCAGTCTCTGCAACGGCGTAGAAGAGGCATCGCTGACCTTGACTCATGCTCCGAGAGTGGGTTCGCTTTGGAAGGGCTGGGAGAAGAGTGTGCGAGGCGGAGCGGGTGAGAGGGCACGAGGCAGGAGACGGCGTATGTGGGGCGGTGCTTCCAGTCCGTAGTAGTCCGTAAAGTTTCCAATGGCACCTGCTTTCCTCCGTTGCATCTGCAAGAGCGCTTTTTTTCGGACGGCTCGGATGTGCCACCAGGGGCCATTTATCCAGCAAGAAAAAAAACTGCCCGCTCTGTTGCTATAGAGTCAGCAAGACCCCGTGTTTCGTTTGTGCATTTCACGTGAGGCTAAAAAGATTGGGTCAAGCGGCGATAAAAAAGTGGCGAATGGGAGTCGAACCCATGATCTGACGCTCTGCAGGCGCCCGCGGTACCGTCCCGCCCCCGCCACTACGCTACGATGCGTATTCGACACAAAATATGTGATTACATATCATCATCGACAAATCACGTGACCGTACAAACACACAAGTGAGTTTCTGTGGTGTAGAGTGAGTAGTTGACCTCCAAGCCCGTTAAGCTTTACAGGTCAACACAAACACGCGATGCCGGATCCGCCCGGCGCCGATGCGCCCCCGCCCGAGGACCTATTGGGTGGTAATGGCGCGAGTGATTCATCACTCAACACGCAAACGCGTGAAGCGGTCACTGGAGGAACCGCGAATCCTCCAGCTTGGTCGCCCGAGGCAACTCAGGTCCGGTTGGACCATGAGAAGCTGATGAAGAAGACCTTCCAAGTGCTCGGGATTGTTCCCTCCAGCAAGTCGACCCGCCGACTGATGGTCCTGATGCACGACGCCTCGACCCCGCCTTCGCAGGCGCCAGCGCTCGCACGAGCCGCCCAAAGAGCGGTGCGAAACGACGCAGCCCCGGCCTCCAATGTGATTCGAGTCATTATGGATGGTCCTGGATCACCCAGAGGTCCTGTACAGACCGCGCTGCGCAAGCACTTTGGATTGGCCGAGACGCCGTTCATGTTCGCGCGGCCCGAGGGCGTCGTGCTTGACCCCGAGGTCGAGAAGCTTTTCTCGAAATGCGTGAAGCTGAACCCGATTGTGACGAAAGCCACGAAGAGGTTCCCGATCGCTCGTCACATGTACGAGCTTGTATTCGAATCCGAGCAAGCTTGTCTTGAAGCCGCTTCAGCGGGCCCATTCCCCTACCACGGCAAGGAGATGGTTACCGAGCTCCCCAGCGCCTCTCCCCTTAACCACGTCGTGCAGGTGCGATTCACCTTGCCCTCCTCCTCCAGCGCGATCCCCGCTTCCGTGCTCCGAAAATCTCTCGATGATGCTATCACCCTTTCGTTCGGCCGCGCAGGTCGCACGCAAGGTTATACCCTGATGCAATTACAGCGGGGCCTCGCGGTCGATCCGAATGGCGATCCGATGGCCATGACCGAAGACGGGTTCCACTGCGCGTACCTTCGCTTACATGCTGATCTTTTCCAAGGCTCCATCGAGACGCAGAAGGCCGCGCTCAACGCCGCTTTGCCACAAGAGATCGAGATCCTGGGCGCCAAGTACGGCTTGCGACACGAATTCGAGACGCACTACTGCGCGGTGTGCGATCGCGCCGGACACCAGTGGGGCGCTTGCAGGAAGCCGGTTTCGACTCCGGCCACCGCCGCCCCTGTTCCGGGGGCCTCGACCTCGACTTCGACTTCGACCACCGGCTTCCGAGTTGCTGGAAAGAATGGGAAGCACGGTGGGCCTGCCGCATTGAACTCTCGTGTCTCTGGCGCGAACATGATCCAGCTGGGACCTCGTGCTAACCCCGCAGGTGCAGTAACCGCCAACAAGGACGACGCGAACGACGGCGACGACGAGTCGGTCGTTTCGACCGAACCGGAGGGCGGCGACACTGGGGAAGAGACGTCGACGTGTGCGACCCTGGGCTCAACAAAGGAGACGCAGACGACGACGGCGGCGCCCGTTTCGACCCCGACCTCTCCTTCGCCTTTGTCCGGTGGCACGTCGGGATCATCGGCAACCTCGACAACCTCGATAGCCTCGACGAGTCCTCGACGCCTTCGTTCGAGCTCGGCACCCGGCAACCGACGTGTCACCCGGGCGGGATCCGCCATGATCCTCGGTGCATCAGGGGGTGATGGCTCAGGGGGCAACAGTTCAGGGGGTCACAGGTCCGAGGTGACCGAATTCGAGGGGGGCGGCGCTGAACTGATTTAATCATGATTGAGTCACTCACCGTGTTGACGTTCAACGTCCGATCGATGAAGAACGCAGTCAACCAAGTCAAAATCATCCGTTATCTCAAAACCCTTCGGCCGGCCCCTGCGGCCATCCTCCTGCAAGAGCACCACCTCAGCTACAACGCGTCGCGCGAAGGCTTCGAGAGTGCTTGGCCGGGGGCTTGTATTCGTTTCACTCCTCATGTCCTTACCCTCATACCCGATGGCTCACCTTTGGCGGGCCATCTCCTTTCCTCTACCCCGGTCGTCTTTGCAGGAGCTCCTCGTTTCGACGGTCGGATTCTGCGCTCGGTGTTTCGTCTTGAGGAGCTCGATGTCGAGATCATCAACATGTACGCGCCGGTGCAGGAGGACGATCGTCGCGACTTTTTCGGGCTTCTGCACTTCAACGCCCCGAGACCCAAGATTCTTCGGATCTTGGCCGGCGATCTCAACGATTGTCCGGATGTATCGGTCGACCGAGTGTCCATCACCGATCGCGCTTGGACTCCTGTATCGCACTGGCAGACCTTGCTGTCAAAGATCGCGTTCAAGGCACTCGACACGGTCCGATATGTCCATCCTTGCACCCCTGCATTCACTCGTCCTCACTACCGTGGTAGAGGGGAAGAGCGAAAGATTTGCTCGTGGTCGCGGATCGACTATATTCTTGTCCAATGCAGTTGGGCGAACCGGTTGTTGAGCGCTTCTACGCTCTTCGATGCGCCCTGTTCGGACCACAGACCTGTAGTTGCGACTTTCGCTTTGCCTACATCGAACACTGATGCCGAACCCCCCCTTTCTCTTCCCTCCACGAGCGATTTCATTTCGAGGCTCAACCCAATGGTCTTTAACGATCAAGACTTTGTCGCATCGATTCCCGGGGTCGTCGACGAGGTCTATCGAAGGCTCGAGGGGACCGCTCCGCTCGGCGACGTCTATGACGCCGCTCTGCGGGCGGTTGCAGTCGCTGGCCATGCACGATACCGCTCGACTCGTGCCGACATGCGCCGACTGCGGGCCGAGAGCCAATCCGTCATGGAGGCTTTGGAGGCACGCGGTGAGCACATGAATGAGGCCGAGCGCGATGCGTATGCTCATGCCAAGTCGCGGTTGGACCAGTTGGCGGTAAAGGAGGCTCAGTGGCTGCGCATTCGTGCGCATGTGCCGTCAGTCGACTCGAGGGAAGGTCAATCGGCAAGCATTCGCACGCGCCTCAACCGCCGGAGTCGCCAGACGAGCATCGTCTCGCTGGAGGATGTGGATGGCACCGAGACCGTTGACATGCAGGAGGCGCTGGGTATTGCTTCACGGCACGCGCAGTCGCTCTTCACGCCGGACCCAGCTCGTGGCGACCCGACGAACGCACGCCGGTCCCTGCTCGACCCTATTCGCGCAGCGAAATGCTACGATGACGACCGCTCGGACCCTACGTTCGGTCGTCGGCTGCCTCGTCAAGCGAGAGTGGCGCTTGACGAGCCCTTCACCCTCCTCGAGGTTGAAGCGGCGTTGAAGAAGACGGATTCGGGGCGATCACCGGGGCCCTCGGGCATTCCGTACGAGCTCTTCAAGGCGCTGCCAACCTACTTTGCTCCCAAGCTGTTGGACTTGTTCAACTCGATTTGGGAGGGCGGCAAAATGACGGCGTCCTTGGCAGAGGGGCTGGTGCGGCTCTTGCCCAAGAATAAACCGGGGGCCAATCTGAAATCACTGGGGGCATACCGACCGATCACATTGCGCGAGACGACCTACAAGGTCCTCAGCAAGGTCTTGGTGGCGCGACTCAATGGGGTGCTCGGCGAGCTTTTACCGCCGGCGCAACACGGTTTCATGCCATCAAGACGTTCAGCGGACGCGGGAAGTCATCTCACTCTCCTTCTCGAAAAACTCAAGTCGCTAGGCACTGATGTTTTCCCCGAGGGCGCCCTCTTGTCTTTGGATCAGCAGAGCGCGTACGATCGGGTCGATCACGCCTGGATCTTCGAGGTCTTTGAGGCCTTTGGGTTCGGTGAGCGTTTCATCTCGCTGCTGCGCGCTCTCTACGATCCCGAGACTCTGGGGGTGCGCTACCTTGTCAATGGGTTCCCCACGGACTTGGTGCGGTTGCTGTGTGGTCTCGGTCAGGGGGATCCCCTCTCGTGCCCGGTTTGGAACATCACGTTCCAGCCCTTCCTCGACGCCCTCGTTCGGCGCGGGATCGCGCTCGACCTGCAGAAGGTGTGGCCAGGGGGGCCGCGTGCGCAGCTTACGCATCTGGCGTTTGCCGACGATGCTGTGGTGGTGGTGGAGTCACCGGCGGCATTGTCGAAGCTGCAAACGCTGTCGCAGACGTGGTACGAGGCTACCAACGGGAAGACCAACACGGACAAGACGCTGGTGCTACCACTCGGACCGAACTGGCTTCGGGACGAGACTGCGCAGGCGCTGCCAACGGTGCAGGAGGGGGAGAGCTTCAAGTGGTGCGGCTATGCCTTCTTTCGCCACGGTGACTCGAAACTGTTTTGGACCCATGTTCTTGACAGGATCAAGGCCAAGACCCGCGCCGCTCGAGACCGGACACTTTCGCCGAGTGGGAAGGTTTTCTATGCCAACGCTCACATCATCTCGACGGTCCTCCACGTGCTGTCCTTCGACATACCGCCTCAATGGTTCATTAAGGCGGCGGAGACGGCACTTACGGACTTTGTCTGGGGAGGAGCAGGGCGAAATACCGTCGCTCGCGATTTCGTGTTCCAGGCTCGGGAGGACGGTGGCTTGGGTTTGATTTCGATTGGCGACATCGTTCATTCGGTGGCGCTTCGATTTTGGGATGCTGTGGCGGGCTCGGACGAGGCGATCTGGGCGCCCCTAGCTCGCGAGAGCTGGAGGTGCCTCGTCGCTGCGACCCGCGATTTCAGTCCGTGGGGGTTCTTCAGCAGCACGGCTCGGGTCGAGAAGCTGTATCGCGACTCGACGCGCTGGGGGGCAGTCGTTGCAGCGGCCAGGGTCACAGTTCCAACCATCAAGTCCGAACTCCTTACGCTTCCCGAATTGCTCTCGCTTCCGCCTCGCCTCCCTTCACTCTATGCTGAAGGTGCCCAGCACGCATATGACGATGCGGACGCGGTGGCGAAGTTTGCGCAGATCGCGGACCTGTACTGGAGGGACGAAGGGAAGGGATGGGCTCTGGTTGGTCATCGACGCGGGTTCTGGCAGCACTCTAAGGAACCCGCCCTACAGCACGAGCACGTGTGGTCGCGCGTGGGTCAGTTGCTCAAGGCGAAAGCGTTGCTGCCCAAGACCGCGTTGCGACCTGCTCGGATACCTCTCAAGGAGGCTCCCCGTCCTCGGTGCTTCAACTTCTTTGGGCTCTCCCGACCTTTTACGATTCGCAAGCTTCGTCGGCTTGTGAACAAGGTGCGGTTCCCAGGGAGGGAGGACCGTGTCAAGCGTTTCCCTGATGGGACTTCTCAGAGCGATAGGAAGCGCTTCTGGAGATGGCTTCATGACCGGTTCGCGTCTGCTGTCGAGCAGGACACCCACTGGCGGCTCATGTACGACGTGACGCCGACGCGCAAGAGGCAGCATACTCAGGGTCATGCCTCTTCGCCGACGTGTCTGTTCTGTGGCAACGATGCAGCGGTCATCGAGACGGTGTCCCACTACTTTTTCGAGTGCGCGTACTCGACCAGCTTCTGGGGTGGGGTGCTACGCATTCTGCTTGACAAGCTCGGCATCGAGGATACCGACGTCGATCCGTCGACGTTCACTCCGGAGCAGCTGACTATGGGGCTCCCCCTTTTGCGGGGTCGTGGGAGAACGACCTCGAAATGGATGTGGGTTCGGCTGGCCTGCGCGATCGGCTTCCAGCGGCTGCACCTGCTCCGCTGGCGCGTTCATCAGCGGTTCGAGCTGGACAACGTCGTGGCCCCTCCCTCGCTTCCCAGTGCGCTCAGAGCGTTCGAGCGAGATTTTCTCTCTCGAGCGGGTTTTGTGCCTGGGGTTCGAGATTGGGAGGTGTGATGACCGAGTTAAGTCCTTCCTTCCCATTTTCATCCCCTCCTTTCCTCCCTTCCTTTTCGGTCAGAAGCTGACTGTCTTGAAACTTGTTGCGCAGTGGAAGGCTGCGCACCTCTCCCTCTCTCTACTTTGCGCAGTAGCGATTTTCGTTCTTGGATGGATCGGCAAGCCGGGTCGATCGTCGTTGCGTTGGAGGCTTTGTGAAGTTCTCCCCCCTCTTTCCCCCCCCTTTTTTTTCCCTTCCCTTCCTCTTCTCTTTCCTGTTGCTCGGTTGTTGACTACGCTTCAGCCACTTCTCCTTTTATTCCTAAGCCGTGTGTTGGATTCCGTCGAATGGATCGTTCGTTCGCGTTGGTCAAGTTCTACGGCATGGATCGGGAAGAAAGGTCGCTCGTTTCTTGGTCAATATCCTCGCGTCAAGGCGAGGCTCGTTTCGTGGTATTGGATCGTTTTCGCTCGGCCCCGACGGCTCAACAGCCAGCACTCGAGACTCAGCCAAGGGAGGACATCAGGCGCTGTCGGGGTGACGAGTAGCTGGGGCTTGGCTGCGGCCTGTCAGTCCCTGGGGACCTCTAGCTCTGGCTTCGACCCCCTCCCTTGGCCCCTCGGGTGTGTTCCCCCTCCTCCTCCCCTCCTCTCTGTCTTAGTATTCCTGGTTCTCCGTGTTTCCAGTCGTGAATTTTTGTATATTCTCCCCTTTTCTTTCTCTAGGCGCTCTTGCCTGGTTTTCGAGTATCTTCGCTCCCGCTCTTGGGACGTGAAGCGGCAGCAGTACTCACCGCCCGTTGGAGTCCGCGTTAGGTGCTCGGCGAGTTTTGATCTGCGCAGCGCTCTTTGCGCGCAGGGGTTTGACTTTCACCCAATTGCTTGCCGTCGTTGCTTTATAACCTCTTTTAGCTCTTTTTCTAGCGGTCCCAGCCAACCCGAAGGATTGCAATTTCATGAGCCCCAGTAAAAAAAAAAAAATACAAAAAAAAAAAAGTCTGTATACTAAATATCTTTTCTTCATCTTTCTTTTATTACAGGTCTGCCTCCGTTGCTCATGGACCGGCTCGCGTTTTGGGATTGACTCGACGGTGGCTCGCGCTCTTTGGCTTCGGGGTTCTGAGTTCAAGGGAGGGATCAGCAGACACAGGCAGAAAGTCGGCTTTGAGGGGCCAGGGACTGCTGAGGTGGAGGTTTTGAGGGGCTTTCACCGCGTCTTGTTGTGAACGAGCATAGACTTGGGACTTTGCGAGTCAGGGTAGCTGCGCAGTCGCTCTCCTGTCTTTGTCTCGACCGAGTTGGGAAGTGGGTGCGGGGTGGGCCTCTTGTCGTTAGTACGCCACTTACTTTCCTTTCTCTCTCTCTTCTCCTGGGGTGAGCAACCGCTTGGCTGGGGCACTTGAATCCGAAGTATCGGATTGGTGGACTTGGCCCGTTTCTCGCACTACGCGGGCGGTTTGTGTTATCATCGTCGACTTCCATCTATTTTTTCCGGAGGCCAAAGGGGGAACAGACAGGAATTGGGGGCAAATACGATGAATGTTTCTACAAAAAAAACGGGGGGGCACTCGCGAAGAATGTGTATAGACTTGTCATGTACTAGCAAGAGTTAGGCGCCTACAACAAGTTTTGCTCCCCTGATTCGTCCAGCTGATCATGAGCCGGCGGCGCTTGTCCGGATCCCCTTCAGTGACCGGTAACGACCGGCCACCACTGCCGCCAAGTCAGGCAGGGGCTGCAGTCAGTGCAGTCAAGCTAGAGTCTATTACTAGCGCTGTGTCGGTCAGGCAGAGAAGTTCTCGAATCCGCTTACACAAAGGGCGGCTCAAGCTCGTTGAAAAGAAGATGGAAGATAATTGTGGGGGATTGCACACGGTACCTGCAGCAGCCACTAGTGCTGGCGCGTCGTCGCCAACTCCTGCAAATAAGTGGAAACGAGGACCCGAATGGAACTTAACAAGAGGTAGACTAGCTGTCGTGTTGTCTGTTTCTCATTGCCCCACTCACCGTTCGGCGCCGGTTCTTTCGAGCTAAGCCAAAGCCATTGGTCGAAGTACTAGCCCTTCAACTTGCTCCGGCGAAGGCGAGCTCAGGGGTTGGGGTTGCTAGATTCATGGCAAGAATGCGGTGGGTTGAGAAGGTTCGTCTGGTACTGGACCCGTTTGCTAGATTGCCTACACATCTTGTACTATTCTATTTTAGCGCTACGGTCGCCGCTCGGTGGGCCTTGCATTGCCATCGGCACGGCATGTCTCAGCATTCGGCCTGAACGGATGTAGGACCTACCCCAAAAACTGCCATCTAGCGTGGAGATTTTGACAAATTCTCCCGTATAGTTTGTGTAGGCTATTCCGTCGCAAGATATAATCCGAATTGATGACGTTCCTCCGCAGCGACTGAAAACCGGCGACTCTGCACAGCAGTCGAACGGGAGCGCACGGGCCCCTTTCGGGCTGGTCGTGGTGGCGACGGTCTCGACCCCTTCCTCCTTTCCTCCAAGCTACCAACAAAAGTCCCGCAGGGATGGGGGGGCCATCTCGCCAAATGCAGCTCAACATCCAAGACGACCACTCCCTCTCCTACAGCGCCCCCAGCTCATCCACCACTCCCAACCGCGTCGGCAATCCATCCTCCTCCTCCTCACGCTCTTTCGACGTCTGGGGCTTCCCCAACGATCCCTCGACTCAGACCGGGCGGCGGATTGCCTCCCGTATCGTTTATCGTGATGCCAGGGATCTAGTCGATGGTACGGATCTCGTGGCGTCGAGAACGGCAGAGAGCGTTGCCTCTTCCGCGAGCGACGACGAAGGGCCAAAGCTCTTGGAAGGCCGTCAGAGCGGAGAGGAGTCGAATGATAGCGAGGTGGATACTGCGAGTTCGCGGAAGAAGGGCAAGGGAAAGGCAGAGGTACGTCATGACTTGGGGGGATGGCTGAAGCGACGAGCATCCAGGGGCTCATCTCCTGACTCGGCTCGAAGCAGACTCCACCGTCAAGATCAAGTCCTCAACGCCGGAAACGAGTCATCGAATCGCCCTACGACGAAGACGACGACGATAACGAGTCAGATCCACCACCTCCCCCTTCTACGACACAACGACCACCCCGCTCCCCCCGAAAAGCCGACCTCGGTGCGGAAGGTAGCAGAGGACGATCACGAAGCGCTTCCCTTTTCGACTGCGTATGGGTCGACAACTCTCGCCTCTCGTCGCCGAAGAAATCCAGTATTGCTTCGTCACCCACGAAAACGCCGAGATCGGTCATGGCCTCGCCGAGCAAAAAGGGTCCGCCGCTTGAGACTTTGGTGCTGTCCAGTTCGGGATCGGATACCGAGGATCCGGAAGAAGAAGACGACGACAATGATGAAGAGGAGCACAATCCAAGACGATCCCGATCCAAGCGTGATGCGTACCTCTTTGACTCTGAGGCCGAGGAAGCGAGCGAGAGTTCTTCTGGAAGCTCGGAAGCGGTGCTCAAGAGTCGACCTACGCCCAAAGCTCGTTCGCAGTCGTCGTCAAACAAGAAGAGGGTCGTCGAATCTGAGTCTGGCACTGAATCAGAAACGGAGGAAGAGAACGTTCTGCCTCGATCTTCTAGCAAAAGTGCTCGTCGTACTCAAACCAAGGCTACGGCGTCGTCTCGCAAACGCCCGGCGTCAACGAGCTCGTCAGAGATCAGTGAAGAGTCTGTGGGTCATCGACGCATCATCACCTCGGTACCTCAACCCAAGAAGCAGAAAGTGCTCTCTACCAGGTCTCCTCGTCGTCGTCGGATTCCTTCGACTACTCCACCCTCGAAACGCAAGAGCGTCAAGGAGGTGGCCAAGAAGAGGGAGAGGAAGCGGTCCGACGACGAAGAGAGTGAGAATGAGAGTGATGAGGCTTTTATCGTCGATGACGATGACGATGACGATGACGATGACGATGACGAGCCTGTTCGGTCTTCGTCTGGGAAGAAGAGTGGTCGAGGCTCTCCAAAGAGGGAAAAAGCGAAGAAGGGATCCACACGAGCCTCGACCCCTTCGTCGGGTTCTGAGAGTAAATCGGAGGGTGACGACAACGGCGGCTCACAGCAACAAGACGACGACGGGACCAATTCGGAAGACGAGGACGATCTCGAGCTCAGTGGTGAAGAAATGATGCTTCCGGACGATGCACGAAGAGGAAGTAACAAGATCAGCAAATTTGCCAAATTGAGAGCGGAGCGAGAGCGTGAGTCCTCCAGGATGATTTCCTTGAGATCATCTAACTGACAGCTAACGTTGGATTGACAACAGAGAAACGGTACGAGAAAGTGCGGCGAAAACGCAGGGTCGTCGACTCGGACAATGACCAGCCGGCGTCGACGCACCATGCCGCACGATCTTACCTGGGAGCTTCCGAGGAGGAAGATGCTCAAGATAAAGACGAAGACACGGACGAAGACGAGGATGATTCTACTCAGAACGGTCAGACCACGGACCTGGATGCGGATGTTCCCGGCTTCATCGTCGACGAAGACGAGGACGACCAAAGTGAGACGGACCGAGCGCTCGTGCAAGACATTCGACGCCGAACGCTTGGCAAGTCCCAGGGTCCGATGTATCATTTCAAGGTGAGTCCACCTTGATGGTGTGTGGGGTCTGTTGTTTGATCGAGCTAACCCGCTCCAGCCTGATATACTCACAAGGTCTTTCTGTCATGGATTGTACGATCCATCATCGCCCCCGAGATCGATTGGTTCGCCGACGAGGAGATGCTCGAGGCGCACACCAAAGTGCACGAGATTTATCGCGACCACCTCAACTCCCTTCTCGGGTCCTCGGCATGGACACCCATTTTCCGCGCAGCGATCAGGATTCGCCCCACCTTCATCCTGCACGAGATTGACGATGCTCTACGAGCGACGTCTTGCGATGCTTGTGTGATGGGTCGTCATCGCGCGTCCATCTTCCGTGCCGAACTCTCAGGTGAAGCGTACGACCACAAAACGCTCTCTCCCTTGAACCGCAAAGCGCGTAAACAACTCGTGCACCAACTCGCATTGGAAAATGACAACCACAGCGAAAAGGCCCTCAAGTTGCTTGTCGATGCTTCCCAAACGCTCGATTTTAATCTCGGCAAGTTTTGCGCTTCGAGGTCGCAGACATATCACGAGTTACATCATAGACCGTATTCGGTGAGGAAGGAGTTAGTGGATGCGTTGAGGGAGGTGAGGAGGGAGGTGGATGGGATTGAAGAAGGGGAGGGGGGAGAGAGAGGTAGGAAGGATGAGTGGGAACGAAGAATTGGGAGAGAGGCGGAGAGATGCGTGCAGGTGTTGGAGGAGCAGAAGGTCACGACTAGGGTGAGTGCGTGGCCTTTTTCTGGGTTCAGGCGTGGGGTGGCCATTGAAACGCTGACTGAACTTTGTTTGCTACCGATAGCTCGCCAAGTCGATGCAGGACGAACTGGCAACGGCGACAAGACTGTTTGCTACGTCAGGCTAGGACGAGGAGGAGTTTGCTCGATTCGTTCACACGGTTGAGCGACGACGTGTGATATATGATGATTTGTAATGTCCGGGATCCTTTTTGGACTTGGGCTGGCTAATCTTCTTCAGTGGGCGGAGTAAGCTAGGAGCAACAGGGGCTAATCGGAGATGTCTGATGTTGTAGTTCTATGCATCTATGTGCGATCAATGTCATTCGTGATCGAAAAAACAGGCTCGGAATCGAGCTAGACCATTTGCTTGGCCTTCAGAAAACTTGTCACTGCCAGATCTGGAGTAGAAATTCTGCGAGTCCGGCCGCGGGGCCACGCTTGGCGATTTTCCGGAATGACGTCCGAGATCTTGCCACTAGAATTTAGGTGGCGTGTTCTTCCTGGACTGACGAGGCATATTGTTTCCGAGCTTGAGGAGATCGGGCGGACAGCAGCAAAGTGGTGGGAGATCACAAAGGCACTAGTTTGATGCACTAAAATTCCGCCGGAATTGACGCCGGAATTGCAGCAGCTAGCTGGCGCGGTGCCGGCGGTCCTCTCTTGAGCCTCGACCCACTCTTGCATCACGGAGGCGACTTGTCAAGGAACGCGCCTTGTTCGCTTCTTGGCTGTTGGGGACGACAACAGACTCAGAGTCTCAAAAGCTTTCGCACTATGGCGCAGCTGGCCAGCTCGATTGATCTACAGCAACGCCGACCGGGCTCAGCGACGACGACGACGACCATGGCTCGCTCCGACTTGTCAGCCATCGCTTCGAGCCCCAGCGCGGCGCCGGCGGGTGCGGGTGCGGTGGGCCTGGGCATGAGTGTGGGCGTGGGCGTGGGCGTGGGCGTGGGCGTGGGCGTGGGCGTGGGCGTGGGCGTGGGCGTGGGCGTTGGCGTGGCACACGGTCCGACCACGCACGGCCACCCCGCACCGAGTCGTGATCATTCCGGCGGGGAGTTCGACTTTGTTCCGCCTGCTTCTCCGACACCCAGTGGTGGGTCGTGGAAGAAGATTCGACACAAGCTCAGTCGGAAACCGTCGGCCATCTCGACCGGGATGCGTGGTGCGGCGCCGGGTAGCAGCAGCACGCCCCAATCGCCCCAGCAGCACCACCTCCTCGTCGCCAGCGGCGCTCGGGGCAGCAGCACCGGCCACGATCACCACCCACTCGACTCGCCAGCTTCGCCCGGCTCTCCCCACCAGCAGCACCAGGCGATCTGTTCTACCTCAACGCTTTCGATGGTCTCGGGCCCTACGACCCCGCTCAAGTCGTCCTCGCTCGGCCATCCGCAGACTTCCGAAGACAGCGGCTACTTTGCTCATTCGACGCGTGCCGCCACCATCACCACCACCACCGCAGCAGCGGCCGGCACGAGTTCGGGCACGGGTCCGGAGAACAGCTTGGGCACAGCCACCCACGCCAACTATGACACGACCCCGTTGAACGACAACTCGCCCGCACCTAGCAGCAAAAGTGCGAGCTTCAGGAACGATCACCCCAACTCGTCCTCGTCGTCGCTGAACCGCACCCCACCGATCGGCAAGGAGAATCTGCGCGGATCGACCCGGTCCAAGAACGGACTCTCGAGCTCTCAAAAGCAAATTTCTGCAGCCCAGTCATCCGTGCTGGTGTCCTCGTCCTCGCCATCCTCTTCGTTGCCTTCGACTCCGGCCATCATCAGGGGCTCGGACGCCACCTCCGCTCGCTCGGCCAAATCCTCACGCCCATCCAAAGCGTCGCGATCCCATACGGCCTCGACGTCCCCACCGCAGAAGGCATCAACGCGTGAAACCTCGCCTACTTCTGGCTCGTCGGCGGCTCGCTTCCTGCGGCGCGTCGCTTCGGCCCCAAACGCTAAAGCCCTCTTCAATGGCTCGCTTTTCTCCTCCTCAAAACCCAACTACCTCTCGCCGACCCCACCGGTACCTCCACTACCGACAGGTGCTATCCGTGTCGGCGAAGTGCACGACTCGGGCGTGTCGCTGAGCACCGGGCCCGGATCGAGCAACGGAGACAAGCGATCAAAGTCGTCCCTCTCGGATGCGACGAAGTCGTCCTCCTCGGCCCGATCCTCGTCGAACGGCGGTGTAGCAGCCCTGTCCAACAGCTTCCACGTCCCGTCTCCCTCTCCGTCCCCCACTCGATCACGTTCTTCGCCCGCGATCGCGACCTCGCCTTCCATGTCTTCATCCGCACTTCTGGCCCCACCTTCACCCAGCCCCTCGATCACGCCCGGTTCGCCCCGTGCCGCGTTCCGACGGACGTATTCGTCCTCTTCGATTCGCAACCGAAGTGCCGAGATCGGGCCCAGCAGTTTCCACAAGATCAAGCTATTGGGCAAAGGGGACGTCGGCAAGGTGTACCTCGTCCGGGAGAAGAAGACCGACAAGCTGTTCGCGATGAAGGTCTTGAGCAAGAAGGAAATGATCAAGAGGAACAAGGTCAAGCGTGCGCTGGCCGAGCAGGTAAGGAAAGAGTTTATCTAAGCGGTTCCGTGACCGAGGACTTACTCAAACCCCTTTACCGTACTGTCGCAGGAAATCCTCGCTGGCTCGAATCACCCTTTTATCGTCACGCTCTACCATTCTTTCCAGTCGGACGATTACCTCTATCTCTGTACGCAGTTTCGCAGAAGCTACGTTAAGTCCTTGCTCCGATGCTCATGCTTCGCTTCCTTCCTCAGGCATGGAATACTGTTCGGGCGGAGAGTTCTTCCGCGCTTTACAGACCCGACCTGGCAAGTGCCTTGCCGAGGACGACGCCAAGTTCTATGCCGCCGAGGTTGTCGCCGCTCTCGAATACTTACATCTGATGGGCTTCATCTATCGGGATCTCAAGCCCGAGAGTACGTACTACGACCTGCGCCATCTTTGATATTTCATACGCTAATCCTTCTTTTCTTGCAGACATCCTGCTGCACTCGAGCGGCCACATCATGTTATCCGACTTTGATCTGTCCAAACAATCCGATGTTGGAAGCGTCACCCCGGCTGGGATCCGACATACTCAAAACGGTGCTCCCTTGATCGACACCAAAGCCTGCGTCGCCGATTTCAGGACCAACTCGTGAGTTGCCAGATTGAGGTAATCACCGACCAGGGAATGTGCTGATATGGCGGAATGTCTCCTGGCGGGCGCACAGTTTCGTGGGAACAGAGGAGTAGTGAGTCATTCAAATGGTTTGCTTGGCTCGATAAGAGTCGGGCACTGATTGTTGCCACCGCCATTTCACAGCATCGCCCCCGAAGTCATCAAAGGGTGTGGTCATTCCATGGCCGTCGACTGGTGGTGCCTTTCTGTTCTCTCTTACGAAATGGTGAGTGACATCAGTCAGCCGCCGGATCGGGCTTTTCAGGGGATCAGGGGCTGATATACGAGGTCTTAGTTGTTCGGCTACACGCCCTTTAAAGGCGCGAACCGCCACGCGACCTTTTCCAACATCCTTCGCAACGACGTCGTCTTCCCCGATAGCCCCGCCACGACGACGCACTGCCGAAGCTTCATCAAGAAGGGCCTGCTTAAAGACGAACACAAGCGTTTGGGCAGTCAGAGTGGAGCGAGCGAGGTCAAGCAGGCCAAGTGGTTCGCATCAATCAACTGGGGTCTGTTGAGGCATCAAAAGCCGCCCATCATCCCGATCATCTCGTGAGTTTACTCTCGGTGGAAGCGTGTTTTCCCTCTACCGCATGTTGATCGATATATGGTTGCTTCTTGCGCACAGCAACGGTCACGACGCCATCAACTTCCGCCAGATGCGCGATTCCAAGTCGCTCGATCTCGAGGGCCAGGGTCAAGCGTGGCTTCCTTGGCCCGAGTCAGCATCAGAAGGCTTTTCTCCGAGCGGTACGGTTACGCCTTCGGTCGAGGAGGTCCCGGGCCATTAATTCTTACCCTCCCTCATCACCCGAGCTGCCTCAGCTTTTCGGCTTCTGTCTCATCTTCGAAGTTCTCGCATCCTGTTCTCGCTCTTCTCATTTCACTTTCTTAACCAGCATATCACAACACGCATCTACCCACCCTTAGTTCATTTATCCCGCTCGCATACATCATTCGTTCATTCTCCCCTTCTCCTGCCATCAGCCTTCGCAGGATGTACTTCTTCGTCTTACCTTTACATCCTCCCTTCTATTTCTTGTTTGTTTCGTAGCCTTTCTCTTCTCCTTTCTTTACTTGTTGGGTACCAAATTGTTTCCACTTTTTCTCCTTACTTCGCAATCTCGATACACTTGACGTCCTCTTCACTCTGTCGCAATTGCGGGGTCTGCCTAACCCGCGCGGGAGGACGACGGCCCGGTTGCCGGATCAAGTTGAGCCCCTCATTGTAACGTCTCCGCGGCTCTTCATTTAGGTCTCTCATCCGCTACTCCCTGCGCCCCGCAGCATTGGTACAGACGACAGAATGTTGACGGGCCAAGATGTGCTCAAGCATGCGCAGGCCGATGATTTGTGGATGATCATCAACGGCAAAGGTAAGTGGAGCGTAGCCCGGCCATGTCGCCTGCCGACGTACAGTGCTGACGCACATGTCGTCTCGCTTGCCAACAGTGTACGACTTGACCGACTTTGCTCCTAATCATCCCGGTACGTTAAACGACGCTTCGACCTGGCGCCGCGCTCTTACCACGTCGCTACAATCCAGCGATCATGCATTCGTGGCACTTCCCCGCATGCCCGCACCGGGCGAGCGCTTCAAGCCAAGCACGTGACGCGGCCCCAATCAGCAATTGGCGAACTTTCTGACTTGGTTCTTGGGCTGGTGTGCAGGTGGAATGCGCATCTTGCTCAAGTACGCGGGGAAAGATGCGACGGAAGAATATGTCAGTCCACCACGAGCCCTACCATACCTCCTGAAGTCGTTCGAAAGATTTGCTCAACCCCTCGGACCAACTTTCTTGATTTGCCACGCAGGAACCGATTCATCCACCGGGTAAGCTATTGTAGACGCGGGAGGTGATAGGCGACTGTCTCCAGGACATACCTCATGTTTCATTCATTCGTTCCTCAGGTACGATCGAAGACACGCTCTCCCCTGACAAGCACCTCGGTCCCGTGGACATGACCACGGTCGAAAAAGTAGTCGTCCAAACCGCCGCTGCGTTCGATCCGACAAAGCAGTTGATCTCGTTGGGCGAGTGCCTCAATTTATTTGATATCGAGGTGAGTAACCCTTTTTTTGAATCCTGAGGGCCTCTGGGCCGGAGTCGCTGATTTTTTGACTTTCGCTTTCTTCATAGCGCGCCGCCGAGGCAAAATTGAAGGCCAAGGCGTTTGGTGAGAACAAGTTGCTCCTCAGGTCTCGTAGCATCGGGATGAATCATTCTGATTGAGGTCACGGCTGGTCACAGCATACTATGCAAGTGCCGCGGATGACGAGCGAACCAAAGTTTGGAACCATCAAGCTTTCAGTGCGTTTCTTCGGGTTTTCAAATTCGGCCCCTTACCAACCCATTTACGCGTGTTCTTAACCTGCCCATTATCAATAGCTGAGATCAGGATGCGACCCAGAACCTTACGCAACGTGACCGACATCGACCCTACGACAATGATGCTTGGTCACCCCATCTCCTTACCCATTTTCATCGCCCCAGCCGCCATGGGTCGGCTCGCCCATCCCGAAGGCGAACGCTTGCTCGTCAAAGTCGCGGGTATCTACAAGATCCCTTATATGGTCTCTGCGAACGCGTCCGTTTCGTTCGAGGAAATTGCAAGCCTCAAAGTACCGGGACAGTTGTTGATCTATCAGGTGCGTCATTCATCACACCGCGACCACCTTCCAAGTACGAGTCAAAGAAATTGTTCTCGTTTTCGCGAACTGGCATGACTTATCCTATCCCTTTCACCTTCAGCTATACGTCCACAAGGATCGTCAACGTACCGAGGAAACACTACGCAAAGTCGTCGCGGCAGGTTACTCCGCCATCTGCCTTACAGTCGATACCCCCGTCGCGGGCAAACGCGAGCGGGACGAACGAGCGACGCTCGACGCCGAATCCGCCGCCGATGCCGCTTCCTCCAAACAAGGTGTCGCGCCACCCGCATCCAACCAGGGTTCATCGACGGGGATCGGTCAGATCTTGACGAGTACCTTTGATGCCGATCTGAACTGGTCCGATTTGGCATGGATCAAACGCGTCACAGGGGGGTTGCCCCTGATCGTCAAAGGGATCCAATCCGCCGAAGATGCGGCGCTGTGCGTCCATCATGGCGTCGAGGCGATCTACCTCAGTAATCACGGTGGCAGGCAATTGGAAGGTTCTCCAGCGGGAGTGGAAACTTTGTTGGAGATTAGGGCGCATGAGCCGCACGTTTTGGACAAGTGTGAAGTGTATTTGGATGGGGGGGTAAAGAGAGGGACGGATGTGTTGAAGGCTTTGGCGTTGGGGGCCAAGGCGTGTGGGATGGGAAGGCCTTGTGAGTTCAAGTATTCTTTCTCCCAAATCTTGCGACGGCCTTGGGCGGCAGCTGATCCTAGATGTCTGCACCGCCAGTCCTCTTCTCCCTCGCCTTTGGCGAGTTGGGCGTCGAAAAAGTCGTCACCATCCTCCGTGACGAAATTATTCTCAACATGCGCCTCTTGGGCGCGATCAAGATCGACGAGATCGTACCTTCCATGGTCAATGCCAGAGCATTGGAGGCGGACGTCATTTCCAAGGAGGAATACGCGTCACCGTTGGGACAAGTTGTCGCACCGAGCGGAGGGGGTTTCGTCGCTGGTGTGAAGGGTTTGCTTCAGAGTGTAGTTTCGAAAGCGCGGTTGTAGATCTTTTCTCGCTCTTGGAGGCAACGAATTTACTCTCGTATCTCTCGCCTATGGCACAGTCAGAGAAAGGAGAGAGTATACAACGACCCGCCCCCCATGCAGATATTACACGAAGGGCTAGGTGTTTTCAGCTTTAGATACGTGAGGTGGTGGGGGAGAAGACCGGATGACACAAGATGAACGAAAAAGAGATTCCCTTTCCGGCAATTACATCACAAAGGGGAAGACAAAGAGAGGGGAGATGTGACAAAGTGAACGCGGTGTGGTCAAAATGAGGAATCCTTTTTTGGTCTTGACGATGCGCTTTTATGCGTTCATGTAGGTCGACGCATCGATCGTTTCGGGCAACTCGCTGATCTCGACCTCGAACCTCGATTGAATGGCCTTGAGCACTTCCTCGTTATCGTCGTTCGAGACAAAGGTGATGGCCAGACCTTTGGTCCCGAAACGACCGGCACGGCCGACTCGGTGGAGGTACGAGTCGGCTTCTCCGGGGGTGTCGTAGTTGATGACGACTGTGCATCAATCGTATTCGCCACGGTCAGTACTCTGTTCTCGTCAGTGACTCCATGGCTGCCGAGATATACGCACTGTTGACTCGCTCGACATCGATACCTCGACCAAAGACATCAGTGGCGACGAGCACACGCTTCTCGAACGCCTTGAACTGCTGGTAGAGCTTGATGCGCTCCTCTTGCTTCAAGCCAGAGTGAATCGCGATCGAAGGGAAGTTGCACTCGCGCAACAATCGGTCGAGCTCAATCGCACGCGAGACGGACTTGACGAAGATGCAGACCTGCGTGGTTGCCACGTGAATTAGTTATCGATGGGCATCCGGTCCTCTCAGGCCGAAAGGCAATGTACCTGGTTGAACTCGAGCGAGTCAAGCAAGTCATTGAGCTTGCGGTTCTTGGCCGACTCCTCGAGGCGGACGTAGTGTTGTTGCAGACCGTGGAGCGTGAGCTTCTTCTCGTCGTCGACGTAGATTTCCAAGGGCTGTTGATGTGTGCGCGTTGAGGAAGAGATTCTATCATCAGTTGCTGTGTTCAACTCCAGCGGAGGTAGAATGACACCCAACTTACGCTCTGCATAAACTTCTTGCACGTCGGTCGGATCTCCTTGCTGAGCGTGGCGGAGAACATCATCACCTGCTTGTGGTGAGGGGTCGTCTTGAAAATCTCTTGAACGTCTCGTCGCATATCTGTTTCGGATCGGAAGGCGAAAGGGGAAGGGGAAAAGGAAGAGGCGAACAGGGTACCAAGATCATAGCATCGAGCGAACAGTCGACAAACACGCCGAGTGCGTTTGTGAACGCAGTCACGAATCGGACACGGAGGGATCCAAACGGCATCGGCATCGGCATCGGAACAAGCGCGGGAAAGGGAGAAGGGATCGAAAGAGGGAAGGAAGAAAAAAGAAGAACGAGGAGATGGGCTGTAAGTGATGCGTTCTTGCTCGGGTCCGATGCTTCTGTATGTTCACCACCGGAAACGGGTGCCGGGGGAGGCTTGCATCTTCCGTCACGTTACTGAACTCTTCCGGGGGCGCCTCATTCTCTCTGCATCGATGTCGAGACCGATCATGATAAAATGTAGGAGTGGTATATGGCGGGTTGCGCTCTGTATCGTTGAGAGCTGGGGACCTTTGCGGTCCAACGAGTCGGGATTTCGGAGGCGAGCGTCGGAGCCCTCAAGAGGTCGGTCGAATGATGATGAAATCACGCGAGGATCCGCCTTCTCCGGCCGTTCAATCACTCGTCGGTCCGCCATCCTCTTTTGGTGCGATTCACGTCGTCGCGAGGACTTTTACCAGATTGGCCGAGGCGGCGAACGAGTATCGATGGAGGGGCCGCCGGCAGAGAGGTAGAGGCACCACGCCGACGAGCCACCGAGTACGTTGGATGCGCGCACCCCACCCCCCAACACCCCAAGTCCTACATCCAAATACCTCCGCTCGACTCGCTCGATCGATCAGCGAGGTTGTGGCCGCCTTGGGAGTGCGCTCGACCACAAGTCGTAGCACGGGGCAACGATCGTGCATGCGCGCGTGTATGGACGAAAGGTGGTGATCGGAGGGAGGAGAATCGTAGAAAAGAAAACTAACCGACAGCTTCCAACATCTTGTCGCACTCGTCGAGCACAAAGTGCCTGACGCTGGCGCACTTGAGGCTCTTGTCGCGCACGAGCGCGTTGATGCGCCCGGGGGTGCCGACGACGATGTGGGGGCACTTTTCCTTGTTCTTGAGCAGCTCCGAGTCGACCTTGGGGTTCGTTCCGCCGTAAAAGACGCCGGTGCGCACGTCGGGCATGTACTTTGAGAAGCGAGCGTACTCGTTCTTGATCTGGTAAGCGAGTTCTCGGGTGTGGCACAGCACGATGACGGACACCTCGCCGGCGACGGGCTCAATCTGTTGAAGAGTGGCCGATACGAACACGGCGGTTTTACCTGGGGGATGCGGGTGAGGGTAATGAGCCCAGTGTTGGTGTGGTCAGGTACGGGGGACGGGGGGGGTGGGACCAAGACGCACCCATTCCAGACTTTGCCTGGCAGAGGACGTCCATGCCGAGGATGGCTTGGGGAATGCATTCCTGTTGAACTGTGGCGGTGAAATGACGGGGGAGAACCACGAATCGTCAGCATGGCCTGGGTGGTGTATCCCGTGTGTGTGGTGGGCCGAGAGCCAAGGGGGTGTGACGGGCAACGGGCGACGGGCGACGGGCGACGGGGGGCGGCGGGGGGCGGAGTACATACCTTCGGAGGGGTGCTCGAAACCGAGATCGGAGATGGCACGCAGCAGTTCGGGCTTGAGCAAGAAGTCACGGAAACCGGTCGAGTGCACGCCGACGTAGGAACCCTTCTGGTCCTTGGTCTCTGCAGCCGGGTCGGTCACGCTCGCCGCAACGGGGGCCTCGATCGGGTCTTCCTCGTAGTCTGAGAGAGCATGCGACCGCCGGGGTGAGCCTCTACGTGCTGGCAAAGTACAACGGATGCCGCCATGGACGTACCGATCAAGTCCTCGGTAGGGTTGGACCTGTGGTGGGGTGGGGGAAGGGGGGTGGTGGCGTGCGGTGCGACCCAGTCAGGAACGGGAACGACAGCGGTCGACGACCCAACCCGAGTCGCCACACGGCCGAGCGTAGAGGTTGAGAGGCAGTATCGACGGCTCACATGGTGGTCTAGGTGTTTTACGGTGCGGTGCGGTGGGCTGAGTAGGGTGGAGGGGAGCGAAGGCGGGCGGAGAAGAGCGAAGAGCGAGTCGGGACAAGGGGTACTACTGGCCTGCTGAGCGTGGCCCGCTCTGGCCCAGTTCTGGCCCGCTTTGGGCTCGCTTTGGCCAGTAGTCTGGCGCGAGCTTGGGCGCGGGGAATGCCCGCTTTTTCCCGCTTTTGGTTTCTCAAACGCGCACATTTGTCGATCGGTAATACTGACTTCTAACCCACAATTCAACCACGCCCGAATTCTTCACTTCCCAAATCGCCACCGTTCCAGGGAAATGACACGACACATTCGAAGATATCTTCTACAACATTCTCCCCTCTCAATCGACCCTCAGCAACACACTTTCAATCGCTCCTAGAATCGAAGACTCGATGAAAGCCTTCTCATAAATCTGCTCGTCGAACCCGACCGAGACGTACAACCGTCGACCGAACGTGTATACTTCGGTGAACATCCCTTCGCCACGGTGGAGGCGGGTGCCGATGGAGAGGTCGGTGATGTCGAGGGTGGGTGGTGGGGTGTTCGAGGCTTTGTTCTCTAGTGTTGCAAGTAGAGGGAACGAGCTCGGCAACAGGCGATCGAGGTCCCCAATCACTGCCAATGCGATACATCGTCAGATCATTTGATTTTTTTTTCTCTCTTTTTTTACGACAAAAACAAGACCCCTGGACTCACTCGATGCATTAATGACAGTGCTAGGCTCCTCAATCGGGACAGGATCTTGACCTGCCGCGGATCTGCCGAAGTAAGAACCCAATCAGCCTCCACCGACAGAGAGGCAAAATCAGCCTCGTCCGCAGCGCCAAACTCACAGTACTCGAAACAACATCCTATGATAATTATCAGCGAGGAAGAAACCCCTCTCCTGTTCCCGGAACCTCGTGTCGAATTGCCTCTTGGCCAACCTTGCGCCTTTGAAGATCCTCCACTTGAGGCGCTCGCCACACAATTCTTGTGCTTCGGTATCGTAGAAAGGGAGGGCGATGTGACCGAACGTGAGACGGATGGCGAGATCGCTGGTAAAGTCCGGCCCTTTGGCTTTGAGGGAGGGATCGAGAAAGGGTCGTATCGAGGATGGAAATCCAATCTTGAGAGGGCGGTAGCCGAGTGAGCTGGTCGCAGAGGCAAAGAAGCGCGATACGACGATGGACATGATCGAATAGAGCAGCATGCCTAGGGAATTGCATCGAGCAATAATGAGAAATACTGAGGAGTGAACCGCCATTCTTGGACTCTGGACTTACTCGGACTGATCCGTTCCCTACGACACACCCCAACGATACGTTGACTCTTCTCGACGTTCAGTTTGAGCGTCAGCCACTCCGTTCTGGGAAGCTCGTTCCCAACTCCGGCAAATGACAAGCGAGGGAAAGCGAACATCTCAGGTGCTCTTCTGTGTCGGTTCAACATGATTGTTCGCGTGATCGCCCAAAACCATCTCTTGCGAGCTACGGAGGCCGAATTCGGCGAATCGAGGGGTAGCGACGGCCAAAGATCTTCAGTCGCAAGGGTGAGCTGTGATAGTTGTTCGGCCTCAGGTGCGGTAAGGTTCCAAGCGGAGAGCACGCCCGGAGCGACGTCCCACAAGAACACAGAGTCTGGATCCAATTCGTCCAAGCATCGAGTGTACGGAGGCGACGTCGGAGGCGTTGGAGGCCAAGGTGAAGTCAACAACTCAAAGAAGTCCCGCATGGCATTGACGATGGAGATACCGTCCGAGATCTATGGCAGCGATAGCACGAGGGGAGTAAGCTCCTGTACAGATCGAGCCATTTCCGAACCCCGAGGGAGTGGAGATAGGAGACCTTGCTACCCGAGGAAAATGCTGACATACAACATGCGACAGAGCCAGCATGAACACCGGGTCCAAATGCGAATCGGCGTCACTTGACTGCGCGTCGTTGATGATCACAACCATTCGTGCCAGACACGATGACTGTTGCAACTGGGACCTTGGCCCGTTCAGGACTTGCTGCTGTTGAAGCTCACGGGCAGCTTTCCCAGGATCGCTCGAGTGCTGAACGTGCACCGTCCTCCAAGCTTGTTCGATCGCATCGCGGTCATTTTGAGGTACATGATATCGAAACACGCGATTTCTGACTCCTGGTACATGTTGCATTTCCCCCTGAGGTCCGTCGTGGACGGTATAAGCGAGAGAGAGGTGCAGCGTGCGAAGCCTCGTCCAAGCCAGCAATACGCGACGCTGCAGGACGTCCACCCCATGGGCGGGTACTCGAGTCTTCATTCGAACGAACACGTCGCCTTGCCCATCGTTTTGGGCAGCGAGGTCGAATTTGGTTTCAATGAGCCCCAGGGGTCGAGTCCATGCCCCAGACGACGGTGCGGAGGACTCCAAGACGGAGTCGACGTCGATGGACGGCAGTCCGTTGGTAGGAACGACCTCCGAGTTGTTTTCCAACTTTGATGTAGAAAGAGCTTCCTTGACCCATCGGTGGTTGGGGTTGTACCCGGGCCATGTGGACCACATCGCTGCCGCAGCTCGATGCTCCAGGTCATGTGGGGTGGAGCCGAGCTAAGCTGTCCCCGGACGCCTGGCGGAGACTGCCAGTGTCGGCCTCTGGACTTTGTAAAGGGAAGCCCAGTTCTTCGGTGGTGCGAGCTCATTCTTCCCTTTCTAAATGTTGACTGGGTATCATGCGTGGGGACAAAACTCCCTTGCACCCCCTTGTGGCGCTGCAGTGCGAGTCAGAACGGAACTTCGGAGATGTGGAGGTCAATTTGCGCGGGGAATACGGACGAGTCGACGGCCCATTCGGCGCGCGGCAGCGGCGCGGTCGGACGCTTTGGGCGAATTTGTCCAGGGCGAGTCAGGCTTGATCAGACCCCAGATCGCACCTTTCTAACTCGTGACGTGAGCTTCCATCCTCGTTTGCGCGTGCAACCACCCGTCTTGACTGCGATTGACCACGTTCTGGACACTCCAACAGCAGTAAAGTACCCTGTCTTCCCCCTGCTTGGCCTCAAGACTACGTCCTACCTCGTTTCAGCCTCAAATGACGCTCGCAAGCACGCCATCAGCAGGCCCAGCTACACCGTCCCCGTCTGCTGAGCCACGGATCGACGATACTGTACCAGATCCCGCTCCCAACATGGTCCCCACGAGCGCTGTAACGACCAAGGAGAACAATGGTCGGGATCAGGACTCAAACACGTCGACCGCGATCGACGAGCCAAAGACTGAGACTGCACTCGGCGGAGCTCCAGTCATGCGCTCGCTCTCCGCGCACCCCCTATTGTCGCCTCGCGCCAGAGGACTCAAGATCAGGATCATGCGCTTCACACCGAGTTGGTTCTCTGTAACCATGGTCAGTCAAAAATATGAACATTTTACTCCGTAGTATTGTCTGAAGACGTACTGAATGTGCCTCGCCGCCTCCCTTTTTCCCCAGGGTACGGGCATCGTCAATACTTTGCTCTTTGACCTACCCTGGGACGAGACCCACGCCGCATTCCGCGCGATCGGTGCCGCCTTCCTCGTGCTGGATATTATCCTCTGGGTCGTCTTTTTGCTCCTCACCGTCTCGCGCTACATCATGTACCCGAGGTTTTTCACCGCCATGGTCACGCACGAAACCCATTCGCTTTTCCTCGGCACCATTCCCATGGGGCTCGTCACGATCGCAAGTGGGATCGCTAGGACAGGGTCCGAGTATGGGGTCGCGCACTCACTCAACATTGGCATCGTCCTGTGGTGGATTGCGAATGGTCGGTAAAGAATAGCCGTATGGTCCTGGGCAATCAACTAACGCAGTGTACCGGTCCCCTCGCAGTTATGAGCATTGCTACGGCCTTTGGTGTGCCATGTAAGTCCTACTCAACTTCACACTCTCAACAGAGCGATAAAACTGATGCTTCGTCTTCCAACACCACAGGGGTCATGTTCACGAAGCAACAGCACGCGACAGAGACCTTGACCGCCGCATGGCTACTGCCCGTCGTGCCGACAATTACCCAAGGTGCCGTGGGCTCGTCGTTGTGTCGCCTCCTCTTGGAGGACAACCGCCTCGACTATGCCTTTACAATATGGATCATTTCTTACATCATGACCGGGATTGGAACGCTCTTGGCGATGGGACTGCTGGTCTTGTACTTGCAGCGATTGGTGCTGCATCGGTTGCCGCCGAGGGAGGTCATCATTTCGACCTTTTTGCCGCTGGGACCCTGTGGACAAGCCGGGTTCGCTTTGATCGAATTGGTAAGTTATATTATTGAAGTCACATTATGCGGTGTCTTCCCAGGTATATCTAGCCACTGACTCTTGGTTACGCTTCCCTTCAGGGTCGAGATGCGGTCGACATGCTCCCGAGGATAGCGAGCATGTACCCAGATCGGGAGGGATTGCAACAACTCGCGCTGCTGGGAGCGCCGCTGCTCGGTGCCGGGCTGTTGACGGCGCTCGTATTCTGGGGGTGAGTCTCAACTCACACAGAAAGGATAAATTCTAGAGTCTCTCTGCGGAACTAACATGATTTTATATGTTCTATTTATGATGCAGTCTCGGCATTTGGTGGGCGTTCAATGCTTTTACCAGCGTCGGCACCGATTTGTTCAAGCGACGGATAGCATTCAATATGGGCTTTTGGTGAGTGAACAATGACTACCACATGGGGCAACAGGATATTCTTAATGATGTTGAATCGTGTTGCGCAGGGGTTTGACCTTCCCCTTGGGTTCGATGACACTGGCAACTTTTTCATTGGCGAGGCTCTTTGACTCGAATTTCTTCTCGTGAGTCTCGGGTCAACAAGTCATATGAGCAAGGACTGACCCAAAAATACAACATCCGGCATGAATATAGTGTGCTCTCGGCCATCATGACCTTTGCGGTCACATGTTTGTAAGCCGACCTTGCCCTAGCTCGCTTTTCAGAGTCGATCTTTCCCGAGGGTCGTCCACCCTCCTCCTATTCCTCCCGAGCCTCCAACGAGGAAACGTTCCGGCTTCTACCCTGATCGATCCGAACACTTGAAGGCTCCGGGCCGAATCAATTGCCGATGACGTACCCGGGCAAAGGCTGACTCTTTTGGAACATGCCTTCACTTTGCACGCAGCTGGATCTCCGTCTTTATCCCTACCTTGTTCGGGGCCGTTCGGGGCACGCTCTTCAGTGCCCCGTGCTTGACGACTTTGCCGTCCGAGATGTTGGAGAAATATGCAGCTAGGAAACCACGATCAGCTGAGTCTAAAGTATGATGAATAGGAGGAAGTATCATTGTTGTAATACCATTCATGATCACGAGTATGTCCGATTTCAGACCGTACACACGGTATCGAGTCAAAGCATTACGCTCGTTTTTTTTGAGTACACCACGCTGGTGCATGGGTATACATCACTGTGCTTCTGAGTTTCGTGTGTCATCTGATTGATATCGCGTGTTGTCCCGTTGATCACTTCTCGTGGATCATGCATGGTCCTCGCCCTGCTGATGTCGCGGGGGGTCTCGCAACGAAGTCGACCTCGCGAGTAGGGGTGGGGCCTGCAAGAGTCGACTTTCGAGTAAAGCGTGAGTCGTCGTGCTTGCTTGAAGCAGGGGAGGGCGGGTACCCCATCAAATAAGTTCAGAGGATCAAAGATGCAGTAGTTTAATTAATACTGGGCTTCGATGACTCGAGTACCACGCCCTGCCCAGTCACCAGCGGTATGATTTTGGGGATCTGGGAAACCTCGCCAAAGTGGCGAATTACTCACCCGGAAAGCGATTTTGGCGCGGGCCTGACCTCGGCCGAGAAGTCGGCAGTTGACGGGATCCATCAATCCATCAATCCATCAATCAATCGGCGGACCACGCTTTATGCTCTTCTACGACCGGGTACCGACCGATTCCAGTGGTCGACCTTGGACAAGACATGAAGGAATACGAGGCGTTCGGTGACGCAGAAAAGGCTTTGTCCTCACCCTCGTCCACACCTTCTACACGACCTCTCGAAGATGCGCCCCCACAAGTCACGCCCTCCGCGACGGCCGCAGTCGGCAGCAGCAGCAAAGCAGTCTCAGGGACGGCGGCTGCCCCGGCTCCGCGCTTCACGTCATTGACGGGTTGGATATCGCACGCTTCACGACACGAACCACCACGAATCACGATCACTGATCAAGAGTGGGAGCGGAGGTGTGTGTGGAGAATATATGTCTTGTGTATGGTCATGTCTCTACGGGGCCATGGGTCGCGTGAACGCAGCTGACGGCGCGTGACCTTTCTCGGAATTCCAACCCTCGGGCCGGACGTCCGATTTGGTCCGCCTCCGTTCTCTCCGTCGTTGGAGCCTTAAAAACATCGCAGAACCGAAAATCCTCGCAACTGGACCCAATCTAGAAGGGTCAAAAACACCGTCATCATCTCCCTCACCGGATTCCTCACCACCCTCGCCTCCTCGATCCTCGTCGCCTCCTCCTCGATTCTCCGCGAGCAATTCGGCAAGTCCCGCGAGGTCGTCACTCTGACCACATCCATATACGTCGCCGGACTGGGATGCGGTCCTTTCCTCTTTGCGCCTATTTCCGAATTATACGGTCGACAAATCGCGTACAGCTCGTCCATGATCTTGTTCACGATCCTCAACCTCGTCCTTTGTTTCGCACCAAGCTTTTCGTCGATCCTCGTGTTGAGGCTCCTGACTGGCATCTTTGGATCGTCCGGTCCTTCGTTGGGTGTGGCGACACTGTCGGATCTGTTTGCGCCTAAAGAAAGGGGGAAGCCACTGTCTTAGTCAGTACTGCATCCTGTTGTCTAGCTTCGTTTCGGTGATATTGACGGCCGAAGATTCTGACCTTCTCCACAGCTACGCTCTCGGACCCATGGCCGGTCCGACTTTGGGAGGGGTGATGGGCAGTTACTTGGCTCTCGTCGATGCAAGTCCAATGTTTCCGGAGCTCGTAGGATGAACGCCGAAGCTTACACACATTTGTTCGCCGGGACAGTGGAGGTGGTGCTTCCGCTTGCTCGCCATTCTCGTCGGACTCAACACACTCGCCATCATCTTCTTGATGGACGAGACCTATGCGCCGTAAGCTCAACTTTGTCCTGAATTGCATCCATACTCCATCGCGCGCATCTAATCCAGTCCGTCCCTCTTTCGCCTGTTTTTGCCCCCGCTACTAGCGTGCTTCGCAAAACCCTCGAAGAAGAAGATGGTGTCGCTATCTCCCGACCCGCTCGTCTAAGACAATTATTCCGACCCAAACCCGAAGCCAAAGCCATCATGATCCGCACCTTCACTCGCCCCCCACGGATGCTCGTCAATCCAGCCTGCGGCCTCTTCGTCGTCTACTACGCTTACGTCTACTCCATCATTTACGTCTTCCTCGTTTCCCTGCCTCTGCTTTACTCCCGCCATAACCCACCCGACGCTTTGTTCACGTACAATTGGAAGCCGACGATCACTGGGTTGAGTTATCTCGGGCTGGGATGTGGGTTCTTCTCATCGGCCTTCACAGCAGCAAGTTTGCAAGATCGGATTTACGGCTATTGTTCGAGACGGTACAAGAATGATGGACAGCCCGAGTATAGGCTTTGTATTACGCAGGTGAGTGACGATTGATACGTTTGCATTCAGAGCTGACCTTGTAAAAAAAATTGATCAAAGTTTGGCATGATCATCTTCCCGATCGGACTGCTGATTTGGGGATGGACCGCTCAAGCCCAAACGCATTGGATGGGGCCCATTACTGGTAGTTTCATCCTCGCTTATGGATTGATGTTGTGCTTCAAGTAGGTCTTCCCGATCTCTACCTCGAGGGAGGGTGTTCATATGCTGATGCCGCCGGATTTTTACGGTCAACCGCAGCTCGATCCAAAATTGGATCGTCGATGCTTTCGTGAGTACAGCGTCATTCACCTGCGTTGCTTTAAGGTCACCAATGACTGATGTGCGTCTCGATCCTCCGTATCACAGTTATTACGACAAGGACTAAGAGGTACTCCACGACTCAGCTCCGAGGTACACGAGTGAGATGATGAGAATAGCGTGGAGAAGGAAACCCAGAAGGAAAAAAGACGCAAAGACAGAGATAGGCGCGCGCGCAGAATAAGGAATTAACCAAGACTAATAGCAATGAGTTAGGCTCTCAGACCCCACCTCTAACACTCCCACCGGTCAAAGAGACTAACGAGACCATTCCAAGTAGCGCACGAAGTTGATCAAAGCGTTGAAATCCCAAAGGCTTCGTCATAATATCCGCGGCATTGACGTGGGTAGGGCAGTATCAAGTTCGACCTCGCCAGAAGCAACCCGTTCTCGAACAAACAAGTGAGCAATGTCGAAGTGTTTGGTTCGCATGTGATCGACCGGATCCTTGGCGATCTGGATGCATGCAGCGTTGTCCTCTTGAATGATAGTAGGGTGTGCTTGTGGAATGCCGACATCACCAGCCAAACGACGGAGCCAGATTGCTTCACGAGTGGCTGAGGATGCAGAGAGGATTTCGGCTTCGGTAGTGGATGTAGCGATCATGGATTGTTGCTTCGACTGCCAGGAGATGACGCCACCAGCGAGCATTGATGCGTAGGCTCCCACCGATCTGCGAGATTCCGGGTCGTCCGCAAACGAGGCATCGGAGTAGACCATCAATCGAGTTGTAGAACTGTTGCGATAAATAATTCCCAAATCGATGGTGCTGTTGAGGTAGCGAAATATACGCTTGACCGCAGCCCAATCGTCGACAGTCGGACAGGAGTTCTTTTGAGCAACAGCACGAACAGCAATCGCGATATCGGGTCGACATCGAGTGGACGCGTACTGGAGGGAACCCACCGCCGATTGGTACAATGAAACATCGGCAAACGGAGTAGTGTCGATTCGAAGCGAGGGGCGATCGTCCATGGGCGTGACTGCACGGCGCTTGGATAGAGAAGCGAAATCGAATTTCTCGAGCATAGTGCGGACATACTTGCTTTGGTGGACGAGGATGTGATCCTTGGTGCGATGGATTTCGAAGCCCAGAAAGTAGGAGACGGGTCCGAGACGCTTGAGCTTGAAGGCCTTGTGAAGCGATGCGAGCTCGGAGTCCAAGAAAGACTGATTGTTGGACGCGATGAGACCGTCGTCAACATAGAGAATGATGATAGCAAACGAAGTGCCCGAATGTTTGATGTAGAGGCAAGCATCTGCAGTTGCCCTCATGTAGCCTCGAGACACCATGAGATCGTTGACAGCTCGATACCATTGACGAGGGGCTTGCTTGGTACCATACATCGAGCCCACGAGCTTGAGACATTTGCCAGGGGATTGAGGACCATTCCATCCTTTCGGATATCGAACGTAAACATCCTCGGTCATCTTGCCATTGAGAAAGGCGCAGTCGAAATCGAACTGTTCGAGATGCAGACCCTGAGCAGCAGCCAGAGCAATCAAGAATAGGATAGTCGACGAGCGAGCGACAGGAGCGTAGGTGTCATGGTAGTCGATGCCAGGACGTTGGGCGAAACCTTGAGCAACAAGGCGAGCTTTGAAACGAATGATTTTGCCGCTTGCATCGCGCTTGATACTGTAGACCCAGATCGTGCCGAGTACCCGAATTCCTTCGTGCCACTTGACTTCCTGAAAGACTCCATGATGATCGAATTGTAGAAGTTCTGAGACCATTGCCGCACTCCAATGGTTGCGATAGGGTGACTTCATGGCTTCCTCGAATGTCTTGGGTATCTCGATGTCTTCTTCGGCGAACACGGCAGCATAGTAGGCATCGTAGGAAAGCTTGTCGAGGAACATGGGTGGAGTATCCAATACATCGACCATGATAGCCGCAATGATAGGAAGGATAACTTCCGGAGGTTGAGGTCGGCGACGAGACCCAGCAGGAAGGATGTTGGAAGAGTTGACATTCTCGAACTGCCCAGGATTTGGACCAGTGCGCACGATGGCGTAACCTTCACGAGGAGCGAGAGCGACTTCCGCCTCACCGTCGAGTGGTTCTTCTGCGTCATGGTAGTCATCAGGTCCATCGTCAGGTCCATCGTTGTCGTCATTGTCGTCATCCTTCCGAGGAACGACTGCAAGATCCCCCCCCTGTTGACCGACGCCAATTGGGACCACCGGAGGAGGCTGTGGATCCGGAAAAGTTGGACCCACAACAGGCGAGGCCGGTGTAGACGGCAACACATCTGGCGGATGAGGTTGAGGATGATGAACGGGACCGGAAGCGTCCGCGCGATCTTGAGACGAAGTGACGACGGAAGGAGTCCCGATGAATGTGACGTGACGCGAAACGTAGACCTGGTTCGACGATTGGACCCAGACACGGTAGTTGTATTCACCGGAGTACCCGATGAAAACTCCCTGAATGGAGCGAGGTGCAAGCTTGGTTCGACGCTCCTTGGGAACGTGGACAAACGCCGTAGATCCGAATGGCTGAAGATGAGCAAGATTAGGCTTCTTGCCTAGAAGGACTTCGATTGCCGTTTTTCCTTGGATACGAGGATGTGGTCGACGATTGAGAACAAATGTCGCGACGGCCAGAGCATCTGACCAGAATCGCATTGGAAGACCGGAGTCGAGGAGCATCGAGCGAACGAGACCCATGAGAGATCCATTGAGCCGCTCTACTTGACCATTTTGCTCCGGAGTATAGGGGGCCGTGAATTCCACGATGATGCCCTGCTTTACAAGAAGATCCCGGAACATTGAGTTATCGAATTCACGACCATTGTCCGATCTGACCCTCTTGATCTTCTGACCCGTTTGACGTTCAGCCTCGACTTGAAACTTCGACCAAGCATCGACAATCGATTCAGCCCTCTTGTCCTTCAGCACCATCGTCCATTTAGCCGTCGAATACTGATCCACAATAGCGAGATAGATAGTATCGCCATGGTGATTGGGATGCTCGACGAACCCAAGATCGATGAAGACGCGGTAGAGGGCATGAGGTGCTTCGGTACTCTTGGCGGAGAAGGGTGATCGCTTTGACTTGGCCTGGATGCACGAGAAGCAAGAAGTAACCTTCTCGTCCTTCAGAGTGATGCCGGTGATAGCTCCGGATTTAACGGCCAAAACGATCGCCGCAGGAGACTGATGGCCCAGCTTCCGATGTGCTTCCATCAACGTGCACGTTCCAGTGAGACGATTGGCTCCGACCATGGAGGGTGATGAGGACGACATAATAGGCTGAACCGGAGCTGCGTCCATGACAAACCCTCGACCAGGACGTGAGCGTAGAATCGACTTGCCGCGGATGCTGAAGATGAGATTGTTCTGAGGACCAACAGCATACGTCATCGATTCCAAGAGACGATCGATCGAAATGAAACCGCATTGAGCACCGGGCATGTAGTAGACCCTCTTAATGGTGATACGAGAGCCATAGGAGGTAAGGAACGTCACTGAGCCATGACCGGGAGAGTCGATTTGGGATTGATCGGCGACAGAAATTTTGAGAGGCTCAGAGATAACGTCCGATAGTACCGACTTGTCTCCAACGCAATGGACTTTGGCACCCGAGTCGATGATCCATGGAAAACGTGGCATCGTTCGAGAATAAGGGAAAGTGTAGGTCATCAATGCAGATTCATCTACACCAATGGCAGCTACGTTCGAGTTTGAGTCCGAGGAAACGGGAGCGCTCGCATCCTTGTTCCTGCTTGGACAGAGACGCCAACCACGCTCGTGTCCCAGTGCTTTGCAGCGCGAACAGTACGACTTGGAGTAGTCCTTCTGCGCCGTGGTGGAAATACGGGCGACGAGGCTGGTATCGTCAACGATCCGAGCGGATAACGATTCCTTTTGTTTGTTTCGGGAATCAGCCATCTCGACGTTCATCAGGAGTTTCGGATAGAACGTGTTCCAATCCATGTGAATGTCGATATCGGAGGCAAGGTTCCCAACGATCGAGTCATACTGGGCTGGGAGCGACCGAACGAGCATGCCTGCAAACAACCAATGCGGAAGCGGAGCTCCGAGGTTCTGAAAATCGGTCATGGCAATCTTGACCTTGTTGACGAATTCTTTAAATGGGATATCCCCAGCGTAGGGTTGTGCCAGAGTATTGAGGAGGTCCATAGTACGACTCGGGCGACCGTGAGAGTGGAGGCCTCGGAGGGTGTCCCACATCTCGTACGCCGAGGTGAGATGTATCAGGTGAGACATCTGCTCCTCAGAGATCGAATTGGCGATGTATTTGCATGCCAAGTCGTTGCGGCGGATGGCCCGTTCGCGATATTCCGCGACCTTGTCCGCAACTTGAACGCTGGTGAGCCTGGGCAATTCGTCCGAGTGCGCAGAACCAGAGCCCCCCCCCCCCCCCAAGCCCGCTAAAGCCGGGGGAGGCTGGTTCAAGTGGCGCGACGGACGCCGTTGGATGTGCGATAACGAGCGTGGACCGATAGTCCGCGACAAGGGAGTCGATGGATTGGTTGACGACATCCCATAGTTTGTCGGCTCGAAGATTGATAAACGCACGTTGTGACCAGCTCTTGTACCCTTGTGTGTCCTTGAGGTACAAGCGATTGCCCGACCCGTTAGGGAAGTCGGATTCGCTCGTTGAGCTCATAACCTATTACGACAAGGACTAAGAGGTACTCCACGACTCAGCTCCGAGGTACACGAGTGAGATGATGAGAATAGCGTGGAGAAGGAAACCCAGAAGGAAAAAAGACGCAAAGACAGAGATAGGCGCGCGCGCAGAATAAGGAAGTAACCAAGACTAATAGCAATGAGTTAGGCTCTCAGACCCCACCTCTAACAACAGTCACCTTATAGCGCTGCCGCTATGGCAGGAGCGACGATCGTGCGATCCATCAGTGGTGCGATCCTGCCCGTCTTCAGTGACTCGCTCTTCATCAACCTCGGTTACGGATGGGGTGGGACGTTGCTGGCTTTGGTGTCACTCGTAAGTGTCTGATAGATGCCGTTATTTCTGTTCTACCACAGCGACTGATCTGAGTGTTCCCTTACAGCCCGCCGTGCCCGCTCCTTTCGTTCTGTTTATGTACGGTCAGAGGCTTAGGGAACGCTACAAGTTCCAGCCTTGAACGAGCGATAGGGATGTTACGCGATTCAGTTATTTCAGAGAAATGTTGTTGTACTCTTGCATAATGGAAACGAAAGTCTTTCTCACCTCTGCAAGAAAGGACGGGAGGCTGCTCAAAGCTTTGTCGGGAAAAAACTCTCGAGCGCAGTGCTCGGTTCCAGAGCAGCAGAATGGCACGCAGATGGAGGCAAAATCGCGGCACGTAGCCGTGAGAATAAGTGTGATGCTGATCAAGATGCACCAAGGCGTAATTCAGGAGGCAAATACCACACCCTCTCCTCTCTCCGCATCGGCGCATTTTAGGAGTCGAACACTGAGGCCGGTGCTCTTGGCGGCAGGCGCGCCAAAGCGAACTTCGGTTCGTAGTCTCGCTTTTTCTCTCTCTCCGATTCATCTGTTTGGGCTCGTTGAACTTGGTACTTTTGCGCTGTTACCAGGTGGGTGCTCTTGGTTGATTTGGTTTGTTCCAGTGCCCGCCGTTGCTTCCTTGCTCTCGGTCGAAAACTTCGTCTCCGACTCGCCGTCATCGCCATCGTCGGTCGTCGCCGCCCCCTCGCCGGCGCCGCGCAACTCGGTCAAAGACCACACCACCGCTCAGGCTGGACCTGCCTGGACAGCGTCATCGAGATCCGACGCGGTCGTCGATCTACTCAAGCCTTTGCGACTCCCGCTCCCACGCCTCGGCGCTGTCAACCTACTCACCACACCACACACACTCGCTTTCTGTGCCACAAGGGCTGCGTCAATTCAGGTGCGTGTCGTCGCTGCTGCTCGGGTTCTCTCCGCCTCGCAATCTGAGCCCGCGTACGGGTTGCAGCTGGGGTCGGGCAGCACCAGTTGAAGCGAGCGGATGAGCGTGACCCGCCGTAGAGCACCGTAGAGCACATCCGGGACTTGGCGCAGACTACCCTCCGACCCACTCGGACACAACCTGGGACCATGCTCTGAACCTAATCTCAATTCCTATCCGCAGATCCCCTCCCTCCCTCTCTCCCCCACCATGTCGCCGTCGTACCTACTCCCCCTCCCGCAAGATGCCGGAGATCTACCCGAAAAGCACCAACACGCCCTGGCAGAACTCGAGCAACAGTTCGACCTCCCGAGCGACAAACTCCAGGAGATCGTCAAGCAGATGCTGTGGGAGTTCGAACAGGGGCTGACCCAGTTCGCGACCGCCGAGAACAAGGATACGTTCTTGTGGGTCCCAGTCTACGCCGGACAGGGCGCGAGAGGGCCTCTCCTCTTTGGAGGGGCTGGCTTCTCACTAATTCCGGAACACGCTCAGGGGTAGAGAGAGCTGACAATCACGCGCGATGTACCACAGGCCCATGATCCCGTCCTATATCCAGTCAATCCCCTCGGGCAAAGAGCAGGGTACTTTCCTCGCCCTCGACCTCGGCGGCACCAACCTGCGCGTATGCGAGGTCAACCTCCGCGGTGATTCCAAGTGGACGATGCGCCAACAAAAGTACAAGGTCTCGGACGCGCTCAAGACGGGCGAGGTCACGCATTTGTTCGATTACATCGCAACCAGTGTCGATCAATTCTTGACCGAGATTGGCACGAGTGGAGCCCAGGACGAGAAGCTCTACTTGGGGTTCACCTTTAGTTTCCCCGTTGCTCAGACAGCTCTTGCCAAGGGGACACTCATCAACTGGACCAAGGTAGGCAGCATTCTGTTCACGCTGCAAGTATAAAGTTGAAGCCGGGAGCTGAAGCGATCACCCACCCGGTTCTGGACAGGGGTTCGAATGCAAGAACGCCGTGGGCAAGGACGTCGCCCAACTGCTGCAAGATGCCCTCGATCGCAAGCACATTCACGTTAGGGTATCCGCGCTCGTCAACGACACCTGCGGCACACTCATGGCCGCAGCTTACGAGAGGGGTGATTGTCTCTGTGGGGCCATCTTTGGTACGGGTACCAACGGTGCCTACGTCGAGGAGATGGAGAAGATCACAAAGATGAAGCACAGCAAAAAGGACATTGACGACGCGAAAAAGGCGGGCCTGCACAAGATGGTCGTCAACACCGAATGTGAGCAGACTAAAGCTGGTGAAGATTGACCAGCTCGGAGCGACGGCAGCTAAATTTTACTCCGTTTCGTCTCTCTCTTTTCTGTAGGGGGAGCTTTTGACAACGAGGTGCGCTGGTTTATGGCGAGTCGAGAAGCGCGGCTAGTCGACTAATCGTTTCCATCCCCTCATTGCAATAGCGTATCGTCATGCCATTTACGGTCTTTGATAGCCGAGTGGACCGCATCTCGATCAACCCGCGGAAACAGGCCTTTGAGAAGGTAAATGCAGGCTCGATACTACGACAGATGCTTACGGCAGCTGACAGTGAAGTTCTTCTTTTGCTCCAGATGATTTCGGGGATGTGTAAGCAGCGCGATAAGTGATTTTCGGTGGGTTTGATCTCGTCGCTCACCATAGGCTTGTTTCATCCACTCCACAGACCTCGGTGAGGTCACCCGCAACGTTGTTCTGCATCTCGTGGACTCGCAGGTCATCTTCAACGGCTACTCTTCCAAGAACCTCAACGCCCACTACGGTCTCGACACCGCCGTCATGTCGGCACTGGAAGCGCCGTCACTCGGCGGCGACGCAGCTAAGGACACGCTCGGCACGATCCGTCAATGTCTGACCAAAGACCTCGGGATGGAGAATTCGCTCGTCAGCGACGCAGACTGCATCGCAGTAGCTCGAGTATCGGAGATTGTCGGCACGAGGGGAGCGAGGTTATCGGCTTGTGCGATCGCCGCTGTCGTCAAGCAGACGGGGTACGATCAGTCGAGCAATTCGGAGAAGGCGAGGTTCGGGCTGGATGGGTCGCTGGTCGAGTTCTACCCGAGGTTCGAACAACGTGTGAGGCAAGCACTGAAGGAGTTGCTCGGTGAGGACGTAGAGAGGCGCGTGGTGATCGATCTCGCCAAGGATGGCAGTGGTGTTGGCGCTGCGCTGTGTGCTCAGGCAGCCAAGGCGATGGAGGACAAGGCCAAGCAAGCCTGATCTCTCTGGACATCTAATGTAGCTTCTGTGTCTCTGTTCATGATATCGGACCAATGCAGGAGACCGGGACAATGGAACTGAGAAATGCAAAAGAACAAAGAAGATGACACAACGAAGGCTCTACCCGCCGACTCATGACCTGCCTTCCACGGACCGAATCTTGCCCTTGCTCGCCGACCGCATCGGTTTTCGCATCCGTGTTCTTCCACTCTCCTGCTCGCCCTCCAATTCCTTCTGGATCCTCTCGGGCCCCGAACTCGTCTCCATCCCCACACCGAACGAAGCCTTAGCCTTGCGTTCCTTCTCGATCTTGTGCTTCTTCTCCTTCTTCTCGATCAGTTGCTCCTCCTTGGTCTTGGCATGAGGGATGAAGGACATCTCCATACCGCCACCGGGGGCGGAACGAATGACCTCGAACGAGTCGTCGCGAGTCGTGTCGGCCTCGCGTCCTTTGCCAGTGGCCTTGGAGAAGAGTTCTTCCCGTGCGCGCTGGCCGAACGTCCGAGATTGCTTGGCCTGATGGGACGACAAGGTTTGGGGACCCGATCGAGTCGATTTGGAGGGTGTCTCGTCGTCGGACTCATCGGCCACGACGAGGGAGGGTTTCGATTGCGTCTCGGGCATCCCTCTCGGTACGGGTTGAATGTCCTTGGTCGAGACCCGCGAGGTGGGGAGAGCTTTGGCTCCTCTGCGTGGGGCGTCGAATCCAAGATCACCTTCATCACTGCTGTCGGAATCGCCATCCTCACTCTTGTCCTCATCGTCCTCCTCCTCCTCATCGTCATCATCGCTGTCCTCGTCTTCGTCATCCTCCTGTCCTCGCACCGTAGGCTTGGTCGAAGGGTTAAGCAAAGCAAACTCGCGCGATTGCTCGTCAATCTCAAAGTCTGGGTTGACAAAGAGATCGCCGAATCGATCGTCCTTGAGCAGACTCGGCGTCTCAACCTGAGCCTTCTTCTTCTTCTTCTTCCTCTCACCATCCTCCATCTCGACGTCCTCACCTTCCGCGATCGGCTCGCGTTTCCTCTCCGCCTCTTGCGCCTTCTTGGCCAAGGCCTTATTGACCTTGACGCTAGAGGGCAAGGCGCCAGCACCACCGTTGGCACCCGAGACCTTCTTGGCCCCACGAATACGCGATTCTTGTTCTTGCTCGAGTCGTTCCCGAACGAGTCGATCGCGATGCTCGGCGTAAGCGAACGGGTTCGCGATCGCTTTGGCTTTGGTGTAGAGACGCAAGTCGAGGAAGTAACCGTGCATATAAGGTTTGAGTTGGTTCGAACCGATGAGATGGGAGAGGTTGAGCGCGTCGAGTTCTTGTCGATCGACGAACTTGTAGTCGTCGTAGAGGAGCGCCTCTTGGTCCTGCTCCATCTCCTCTGTCATGTTGTCCAAGAAGCGGCACCACTTGGGTGCGGGACCTAATTGAGGGATGTAGTAGCCCGTCATGGGACTGGTTTCGTTCGCGAGGAAGACGAGACCACTGGAAGAGTAGACGTGCATGTCGTTGATGGGCACAGGGGGATTGATCGAGATCAAGTTCGTTCCCGTTTCGCGACCCCAGATCTTGACGACTTTTTCATCGACCGAAGCGACGTAGCCTCCTTCGGCGTTGCCTCGTCCTACACCCTCATCGACCCACTGTGCCTTCTTGATCGGCAATCCGTAGCCTTGATCTTTCATCGTGTATTCTCGTTGCGCTCGAAGATCGTACAACAAGATGTGACCCGTCGACGTCCCAACGGCAAGGTTGAGTCCATCAGATTTACTCGACAAGGCCGTAACGGCGACACCTCGTCTCCCATCGGTGGTCGGATCGTCGACCCCAGGTAAGGCAGGTTGTAAAAGTGCCGCACTCGATCCCGAAGCGGCCATCAATTTGGCATACGGCAAGCGCAGGATCCCCGCACGTGCCCTCGATCGAGGATCCCACATCTCGACCGTGCCTCGCCCCAACTCGGTCTCGGTTCCGAATGAGAGCAACTGGTGCGCAGGGTTGATGTCGATCGCATTAACGCCGAGCACGGTGTCCAACCCGTCTCCCGACACACCCCCTTCGCCACCGTCGAGCTCGGAGGTACATCCTTCCAATCCGTACGGTTTCATGAAGCGTCCAACTTCGAGGTTCAAACGCCAGACCTGGTTCCCTTGTCCACCGACCAAGGCGTCGCAAGAGGGGAAATGATAAGCGACAGCTCGACCGTGTTTGGGCATGCGTACGCGGTAGTGGGACGAGGCTTGGGTGTGTAAGTCCAAGGATCGGTCGGCTTGGAGGTGAAGGGTTTTGGTCCAGTCCGAGGAAAGGATCTGCGGGTCCGAGAGACAGTCATTAGCTTCGGACGAGGCATGATTGAGAGGACATCCAGTGTAGAACCCACGCAAAAGTCGACATTCTCGCTGTCGGTGACTCGTTCGGTCTTGAGCGACAGTTCCTGCAGGTCAAAGACCTTCATCCGGGGTTTGTAGGTGCCCGTCGCGACGACGTATTGGCCGTCGCTCGTCGTCTTGATCTTGTTGGACGCCTCGGGGAATTCAAAGTCCTGCAGTATAGATTGCGGGTGTGTGAGTCATCACACGTCGGATGGACTACACAGCTGACCACTGCCTGCTCACCTGGATCAATCGGATCTCGCCTTCGCCACCGGTCCCACCTTGACCGCCTTGCTTCCTCCGTTTTCCAGCATTCTGCTTTCCGATCTTGGCCTCCAACCATGCGGCTGCGTTCTTGCTGTTGTTGCCACTGCCGTTGATGCAGTACACGCGTGCGGCACCGCCGGCCGAAGCGAGCGAGACGACCATGACTTGGATCCGACGATCACGACCGCGAGCTGAGCTGGATTCGGCGCCGCTTTGCAAGTGTAGCGCGGGAGTACGTTGGCAGGGAAGAACCTCGAAGTTTGTGGGTGATGTGAATGGGGATATCTGGTCGAGGGTGCGCTAGGATGTTGCAAGACCTAGGCTCGAAGGAGGTGGTTCAGCGCTCGGCTCAATCGCTCGGCTCTCGTCGACAGTCGAGCCGAAATCCCGCTTCGCAAGCCGGCTCGTTCGCGCGCGTGCGGAGCGCCAAAGTGGATTACTAATCAACCTCCCCGGGCAATTCTAATCGAATGGAACTGGCGCAACGCATACACGCAGCTAGCTCGCTCGCTCTCTTTCTCTCCTCTGCAACGTGACAAGATGGTTCGGATCGACTTCTTCGTGGCGTTGTCACAGTCAGTCCTGACTGTTTGCGTTATGGGTGCCGTCTGTGTCCCCCCACATCCACATCCACTCCCGCTCCTGCTTCGCACCTGCATCGCTCCTGGGAGTGCCCCTGAATCACGCCTTTCGGGGTGGGGCCCACGCGGTGCCGCCATCGCTAACCGCACCGAGCTGCAACTTCGCCTGTACGCCTGAGCTGAGGCCCACATTTGTCGTATCGCGCAGCACGCTAGGGTGGGTGTACACCTTTGCCTGGTCCGCATCCTTCTACCCTCAATTCCTCCTCAACCTCAAGCGGCGCAGCATCCAAGGGCTCTCGGTCGACTTCCTCGTTTTGAACCCACTGGGTTTCGCCTCGTACGCGACCTACAACATCGTTCTCTTCTCCTCCAAGACTGTCCGGGATCAATACCGACAACGCCATGATGGGCACAAGCCGTTGATCAGACCGAACGATGTAGCCTTCGCGGTCCATGCGCTCGTCATTTCCTCGGCGACTTTGTTGCAGGCTATCATTTATAGAGTACGTCCAGCTCGAGGCATGCATTTGCATCGCAGATGAGCTGACGAAGAAAATCTTGTTCCTTCAGAAAACGACCACTCAAACCATCTCGACCTACAATCAAACATTCATCGGGCTCGCTCTAAGCTCGATCCTGGTTGTTGCTCTCCTCGCGGCCACGACAACCTCCTCGGTCGCTTGGCTCGACCTACTTTACTTCCTTTCCTACATCAAACTGTATATCAGTACTGCCAAATATATACCTCAGGTAAGGCTCCCGAGTCTCGCTCTTATGACTTGTGCCGAACCGCTGACCCTCAAATTTTGTCTCGATTGAAAACCCCCTTCTATCGAGTCGCATCTCCAGGCGTATCTAAATTACAAAAGCAAGTCGACAGTCGGATGGTCGATCGAGAACATTCTGCTTGATTGTACTGGTGGAGTCCTGTCCTTGTAAGCTGTCTGGACGTGGGCGCAATTATATGGCAGTTTTGCCTGAGACACCACCTGCGAATATGTTCCGTGCGTACCAGAACTCAACTCGTGCTTGACTCGTGGCTCGATTCGGATTGGCGAGCCATCACTGGTAATCCTGGAAAGCTGTACGTTTCACTTGTATGTCTTCGGTCTGCGTCACGAAGGATGCCCTTCGCTCACAGCAATCGCTCTCGTCTCGATCCAGGGGCTTGAGTTTCCTCTCGATCGGATTCGACATTCTCTTCCTCCTGCAGCACTACGTCTGGTACCGACATTCGTCACAATCTCTCTTGGAGGCGAGCTCGAGTGATACAAACGGTATTGATGACCCCGATAGAGAAGATCCCATACCCAATTCTGCCGGTGGTGGCAGTACGGAAAGGAGTCGGTTGTTAGCTTGATTCCTTGCCAGCGTAGCGCTCTGTCCGAGGGATATCCCTTCTTCCAATCCGTACCACGTCCTGTAACGGGTCTGAGTGTGATCCTCGGATAAAACTCGAAGAGACAGGAGTTGGGCTTGGCAGGCTTCGCAAGATCTTGTGGAGATCATCAATCGTGGGTTTGTCGTGATCGTCGACGACACCTATTCTCAAATTTCACCGCTTGAGATCGCGGTCGGGGAGTGCCGACGGCGCCGTCGATCTGAGACATGGCTCAGCGACTGAAGACATTCCCCTTTTCTCCATGCGAAAGACCGCAGCAGGTGGCCGAATTGACATCATTCCCAAAGTAGGGCTATTACAAGTGCCTCATTAAGATCTGGCAAGTTGTGTACTCCATAGAATGGATGCATGTCATGGGGCTACGACCGAGCGGCAAAGGATTGCATCTAGGAACGAGGCTCCTGAGTCGGATAACCCGTGGCCATGCCCGCTACTACATAGCGGGCGCTTGTGCGGGCCGCCAGATCGTGTCGAGTAGATCGACGGTTAGGGTTGTCACGTCCGCGCGAGAATTCCACGGGCGATCGAGGGTTGGTAACCCCGAATTCTAATTTTCGCAAACGACGCACCCCACGCGCCTGATCGCGGGCGGGGTAATAATCTCAATGGCCTGCTGCAGGTTCCTCCGACGGGGTTTGGAAAACGTGTGTTGGCAGGCCCTGGTGGTTCGTTCAGGGACACGTGTTGGAGTTCTTTGAGCATGGGTTGCAGCTCTGTTGAATGACGTTCCATCGTGGGCGACTACTGAGACCCTCAACGGAAAATTGACTCCTTTCCATGCCCGCCGCGGCGCGACTCGAGGGGGGGGGGGGCCTTATTTGGAGTTTGCGCCGCTTGCAACGGCTGACGGGCTATGTCCGATTTGCGGGGGTGGGGGGGAGAGGAAAATCTGCTGAGTTGCATTACATCGTGCATTTTGTCCAGCGAGGATTGAGATCATCACTTTTGGGTATCGAGTCGGGCAGAGTGAGGTTATTTAGGCAGACAAGGGCTGTGGGATCGGAAATGATCAAGGCACTCGTGGACTCGGTGTTATTTGGTGTTGGTCGCAATTGGCCAAGAGCGAGCTCCGCGCGCCGGGCCCTCTTCCTTGTCCTCTCTCTCTTCTCTTTGACCCTCTCCACCCGTCTTCGACACACTTCATCCCTTTCTCACGGACCATCCTCCCACACCACTCTCCGAATATCTTACCATGTCTGGGTCTCTGAAAGCTCTCATTCTCGTCGGCGGTGAGTCTACCGTTTCGCGCGTGTTCTCGCTCTGGGGCCGGCGGTCGGGGGCGGTCAGGCCGTTGTCGTGGTCGCGGCGCGCGATCTGGCTCAGCCACGCAGACGGCGACGACCGACGACTCGACCACCGCACCGGCCGGCCGCTCGCACTGCGCTGGTGGGGTGGGGGTGGTTGAATTACGCATCGAGGTAACGCGTCGGGCCACGCACGACGAGAGAACACGATCGGTGTCAACGCGTCACACACGCATCCCAGCGCGTGTTCTTCGGGACACGACATTCAACATCACCCCTTACTTTTGGGGGGATCACCCGACGAAAGCTGATCTGCTCTGTCGGGCCTCGCTGCGTGTTCGATGAGCAGGTTTCGGTACGCGCTTGCGCCCCTTGACGTTGACGCTCCCCAAGCCTTTGGTCGAATTCGTAAGTACAAAGTGCGTCCCGAGCACAACTTCAATCTGTCTGAACTAACCCCCCAACCTCTGTCGATCCCCTCGATGCCAAACAGGCCAACAAGGTGAGGCTCACCCACTTGAGCGCGACGACCGAGGAGCTCGGACACTGACTACCGCGATCGGGCGCGCTCTGTTCCGTTAGCCGATGATCTTGCACCAAATCGAGGCCTTGGTCGCATGCGGAGTCAAGCACATCGTTCTCGCCGTCAGTTTATTCGACTTTCCACGCTTCGATTTCGCTCTGCATTTATGCTGACGCTCTGTCCATCTCGATTTCCGCTCTGCACACAGGTCAACTAGCAAGTCCTCTTTCCGTCGACGTGCCCGCAGCCGGCGTTCATGCTCGCAGCGCACTTAGCTGACCACCTCTTGCACCCGTTCGCGTTCACCATCGCACAGCCGCCCCGAAGTCATGGTCGCCTTGTTGAGCAAGTGCGAGGAGCAGTACGGCATCAAGATCACCTTTTCGGTCGAGACCGAGCCCCTCGGAACGGGTCAGTCGAACACATTCCTACTACGCGTTTCCTCCACGTGACGTGAACCCGAGCGCTGCGCTGACCCTCTTTACGTTGCTGTCTATCAGCTGGACCTCTTGCACTCGCGAGCCAAATCCTCGGCCAAGACGACGCTCCTTTCTTTGTCTTGAACTCTGACTGCATTTGCGAATTTCCCTTCAAGGAGTAAGTCCGCGCTTCTGCATTCTCAAAGTGTCTCGACGCGCCGGGTCATCCATTCCATAGACTGACCAAATTCCCACCGTACGCCGCCCATCGCGACAGATTGCACGCATTCCACGTCGCCCACGGTGGAGAAGGTACAATCATGGTCACCAAAGTCGAGGAGCCGTCCAAATACGGGGTCGTGCTTTCGGTCCCGGGGACGAGCCGCATCGACCGCTTCGTCGAGAAGCCCAAGGAGTACGTCGGCAACCGCATCAATGCCGGTATCTATATTTTCAACCCGTCCATCCTCAAGCGCATCGAGGTGAGCAATCTCGTTACTTTTGAGAGGTTGTAGCTCTCGCGACTGCACGCTGATTGCGACTCGACGCCTCTACCTGTGGCTATAGCCCAAGCCTACTTCAATCGAGAGCGAGATCTTCCCCCGGATGGTCGAAGACGCACAACTGCATTTGATGGACCTCACTGGCTTTTGGATGGATGTTGGACAGCCCAAGGGTGAGCTCTTGTCCCCGCGATCAGATGCACCCCAGCTCCTGTTCAAGTAGACTGACCCGTTGACATTCATCGCTTCCGCAGACTACCTGATCGGCATGTGCTTGTACCTCACCTACCTGACCTCGCAAAAGTCCAAGTTGCTCTCGTACCCGACCGAAAACAAGTGGGTCAACTCGGGCAACGTGCTCGTCGACCCTTCGGCCACGATCGACCCGACCGCCGTCATCGGACCCAACGTCGTCGTCGGCCCTGGGTGCGTGATCGGCGCTGGCGCCAGGCTGCAACGATGTGTCATCATGGAGGTCCGTTTTTTTCGATATCATCCGCAGAGACTAGTCGTGGACAGAAAGTTGATCTCCACACTTTGTTCTTGCAAACATTCTCGTCCCTCTACAGAACGCGGTCGTCAAGGAGCACGCCTTCATTCGATCGTCCATCATCGGGTGGAACAGCACTTGCGGTCGATGGACTCGCATTGACAACTGCACCGGTGAGTCTTGGCTGAGCTTCCTGGTGTGAGCGCGACCTGCAAGAATCTGACCTTCTCCGTGCGTCATCCTCCCATCAGTCCTCGGTGATGACGTCAACGTCAAGGATGAGCTTTTGGTCAAGTAAGTCGTCAAGGACGCACTCCGTATAAATGAGGTTGAGCTCTCCTTGCTGATTCTGTTCGTACAAATTTCACAGCGGCGCTTCGGTCCTTCCCCACAAGAGCATCCGCACTTCCATCGCCGAGCCCTCGATTGTCATGGTCAGTCTCTGATCGCAAACCGCTTACCCGACGAGCCTTGATTTAACCCATATCATCTCTCCACAGTAATGCAAGCCATCGACTCATTCAAAACAGGAACGGCACCTCTTTCCTCGCCGACCTCACCCCCTTTCCCACGCCTATACATGATCCTCACTTTCCACTCGCAAACTCAGAACAATCCTCTCTCTCCGACAATCTCCGGCATCGATTACCCCCGCATCACGATTTTCGCTTTCTTCGCTTTGGACCATGACACGTTGTGTGCCCTTTCGACTTCGCCGCGCCCCTTTGACTCGCCCGTCATTTCGTTTATTCTGTCCCTATCGCACTGCTGCCGTCGTTTCGTCGTCATTGTTCTTCGTTTCCCAGACACTTTCATTCTGTTTTCTTCTTCTTACCCTACCATGAACTCATGGTAGGGAAACTATCCCGTCTCTTTGAAAGGGGGTGGTTCAGTCGTCATAGATCTCGTTTCAGCTATGCCCTCTCGATGCTTTTTCTCTTTCCTTTCTTTTCGCAGACACCCCTTTCTTGCTTGCGGACTTCCTCCTACACCCACAACCCCCCCCCCCCCCCCCCCACACCTTGTGTACATTTGCTTCTCCACCTGATCATTCAGCCATCCGAACTTCGAACACTGGAGCATTTTTTCTTCCCTTGTGGCTGAAAAGCAGCTTCGACCCTCGCTGTCTTGGGTGCAATAAGCGGTGATGTCAATACAGAGTCTTGCAAGCGAGCAAGACTGGTGAGAGTAGCTCGACAGACGGTGCGCGTGCACAGCCCCTGATCCTCAGATTTTGCCGATCGCGATCGAGTCGATGAGCGGCGGGCGCCGAGAATGATCGCTTCTGTGGGTTCGTTCAGACGGGACTCTGTGACTAGTGTGGTGAGAAAAAACACTTTTGCTTTTACCTCTCTCCCGTCCATGATCTGACCCAAAATGGAGCTCGCGGGGACAAGAACGAATGAACCCGACCCGACGGCTCGGCTCAGCAACGGTCTCGAACCTTTTTGCAGAAGCGGGCTCTGGCGGTGCTGAGGCGGGCGCGCACGTCCCCGTTTGATGGTGCGAGGCGCTCGCCGCTCTGCTCACACTCTTCAATCGCCCACCGACATCCCAACCGAACCCATCCGCCCACTCTCTCTCAACTATGAGCTCTTCTACTTTCACCCACGAATTCACATGGTCAGTTCATATCCATCTGCCACAGGGAAAGAGAGCGAGGATGATAGGCCCCAAGGAAAGCGGGTTGTGCCAGGTCTATCGTTTGGGACGGGAATCCACCCAATCGCAGTGACGAAACCCCGCAACGGCAGGCGGGAGGGACAGACCCAATCGAACACCCGGTGCTGACACTCTCAACAACGTCTTGCTACTTCTTTCAGGTCCGGAGAGGCTGGACATGTTATTGTGAGTGGGTGTTGATGCGGTGTCGGAGTAGTCGGTGGTGGGAAACTTCAGGAATGCTGATTGAATCACGGTGGCTTCCCTGCTTGAATGCGCGGTTACGGCTGACCCAATAGGCGACCGGATCCTTCGACGACGTCAGTACAGCCACTTCCTTGCGATGGTACTCTCTGCGTGACACAAGACTGACGTTCTGCGCTCTGTGTATCACTGCATTAGTGGAAATCGTAAGCCTCCTCATCCTCTGGCAGATCAAACGCGATCGAACCGAATCCCAGGCGCGCCGGTTCATCGATGCTCGACAGATCGCACTTCTGGGGGTCTCCTCTTCGGTGTCCGACGCTCTGGGGACGGGACGCCTTTCGCTTCCACATTACCCGTGCTTGCTTACTGACGTACTCATCCATCAATGTCCCTTTAGCACCCTTCCCCTCACAAAAGGTGCCGATGGCAAACAATCCGCTACTGTCCAGATCCCTTACGGCGAGAAGATCACGTTCAAGGTGAGCGAATGCTTTCGTTCTTGATCGTCGACCGCGCGAGTCCATGGCTCACAAGACTTGGATACGTTTTCTTGCCTTCATTTTCTCCACCTGTCTCGCGTACAATGCAGTACGTCGTTGATGGCAACTGGCAATTCAACCCCAACGAGCCCCACGAGACCGATGCTTCGGGCAACGTCAACAACGTCTTCACCGGTCAGTAGCTTCACTCGGTACCTATCTTCCCTCAAATCCAGACTTTGATGCTCACTTCAATAACCGCTCGAACCTCATCAGCTCCCGCCGCACCCGCTGTCGTCGAGACCCCTGCGGCAGCACAAACCGAGGCCGTTGTGATCCCCCTCAACGAAGTGAGCCAGCAACAACCCGTCTTGCCCGTCCCCGCTTCCATCAACGAGACGCCTTCGACCGTCGACTCTGTCGCTCAACCCACCCCCGTTGCCGCTGTCGTCGTCGAGACTCCTGCCGCCGCCCCTGCTGCGACCGAGGAGTCCAAGAAGACGGAGGAGAAGCCCGACTTGGTTTCGGCTGCTAGTGAGTTCGGGCTGCTGATGCCCATAAGAGAATCTCTTTTGACCGTGTCTTTGATCGCAATCTTTCCAGCCGCTGGTGTTGCCGCGATCGCTCTCGGTGCCGCTGGATTGGCCGGTGCCGCCATCCACAAGGTCACTGGCTCGGACCCCGTCGGAATCGACCCCACCCCTAACAAGAACCTTGCGACCACGACCGAGGTCCCGGCTGAACCCATTCACACCCCTGCGACTGCTCCCCCTACCACGAGCTTGCCGACCGTCCCGAGCGCTGCGACCGTTTCGACCGCGGTCGAGAAGAACGAGCACGTCAAGACCGAGTCGGACGTCAAGCCCGTTGTGGCCGTTGCCGGTGTGGGAGCTGGCGCTGCTGCGGGTGCTGGAACGGCCGCTTTGGCGACCAACGAGGGCGACACAGCCGGTGTCCACACAGCCGAATCGTCGACTTTCCAACAAGGCGAGAAGTACTTGAGTGGGTCCCTTTTGGTGTCTACAATCGGAGTCTTCAAGGGGTGGCAGACTAAGTAAACATCTTCCTATTTCGGTGGCTCACAGAGAGCTTCGCTGCCAAGCATGGCAAGGAGAAGGAATTGCACGACATTGCCGTCAAGGCCGATGGATATCTCGCCCAGGCCAAGGCCGAAGGCAGCAAGCGATTCACCGAAGGCGAGAAGATGGCCGGTGATGCTTACGAGAAGGTCGCGGCGACGTCGTTCGGCGCTTCGACGATGCACGCCCTCGGACTCGACAAGAAGGCTTCGACGCCTTCGACGACGACCTCGCCCGCAGCTTTGCCCAAGGTCGAGGCCGTTCCGGACCCCGCTGCTCCCGGTAACAAGCTGTTGAACCAGACCCTCGGCTCCACGACGGCCGTCACCGATCCCGCTGCTCCCAAGGTCGCGGTTGCACCGACACCCGCCCCTGCTGCCGCTTCGCTTCCCCCTGCGAGCCCCGCTTCCAAAAGCGATGGGTACTCGACCGCCCCTTCGACGCCGCTCAAGTCCGCACCCGCCACCCCGTCCAAGGGTCAATCTGGATTGGGCCACGGTGATGCCCCCGGTACGCCTTCGTCGACGGCGTCCAAGACGCGCAACCCGAGTTTCTTGAAGAGATTGTTGGGCGGGTCCAAGTCGTCGCCCAAGGCCGAGAAGTAAATGGTCGTCTCTGAACTACTGATACAGTCTTATATCCCCACCATCTCTTCACAATGGAATATCCCTCTCTCCGTCACAAGTTTCCCCCCTGCTTCCTCCCTGTGTCCACAACGTTCTCTCGATTTGCCCGCTCGAACCTCCCTTCCGAGCCGAAGCTGTGTGCTTTTCTCCTCCTTCCCCTCGCCGGTCTGTTCACCTTCACTGTTCCTGTTTGCTATTTGGTTTTCTGTTTATTTTGTGTGTCTCTTTTCTTTATAGCCCTCCTTGTCTCGTATACTGGAAATGGGTCAAACCAACCTTAATTGCTTCTATCATTCCGCGTCAGAAGTACATATGGGCCCGAGAGCACGGTCCAGCCTCAAGAAGAATTGGAGCCGTCGGGTTTCATCAAATACATCGTTCGATGTCAAGCTTTCGGCACGTAATCGGCGCTGCTTCTCGCTGCTCGGTCACACGAAAGTTGGCGTGTAGCCGACAGCTGCTCGTTCTCTCTCCACGCTCTTCGTGTCTCTGCCTAGTCACACCAGTGGGTTTATTCATCTGACTGAAAAGCATGGTCTGGAGCCTTCATTGCCAAATATTTTTGTCACACTACAGCCCAAAACCGAAACGACCGATCGCGCGATTGTTTCGTTTACTGCGAGTGGTGGGCCAACTCGGTAAAGGTCAGTTTCCATGCGCTAGTGACTCGACCCCAGAAGGTGTAAAGTTCGAACTGACAGCCTTCATCTCAACCTCCTCCTCCTTCGTCTCGCCGGCCTTGCGGTCCTTGCGCTGCAGCAAGTTCTTGCGGTCCTTGTCGAGCTTGAGGTTGGTGATGACGCATTTCGAAGGGTTGACGCCGATCGGGACCGTCGCGCCAGAACCCTTCTCGCGGTGGACGCCGTTGACGTGGATGACCCACTTCTTGCGGTACACCTGCGCGACCTTGCCCTCACGCCCCTTGTAGGTGCCTCGGACGATCATGACCTCGTCGTCCTTGCGAACGGGGATCGAGCGGGTCTGTTGTTCAAGGACAGTCGAGGGTGTGGGGGATGAGGAGTTGGAGAATTAGTTCAATGTACTTGGCATCCGTAGGTGACGCTGTAAGATGAGACTGACGTTGTACTTTGCGCGCAACTCCTTGCTCAACGAGGCCGACATGATCGTCCGTCGGCTGCATGGATCAAAAGAGGTTCAGTTGATGTAACGAGTGAGAGTGAAATCGATGCGAAGAGGGTGTACTCACACCGACGAAGGCGCATCGAGCTGGGCCTTTCGGAGCGTGCGGCGCGATCGGGAAACGTCTGCAACGCACACAGCAAGCACGTGGTCAGCCCTCTTGGTCGCACCGTCGATGTTGGGGATGTTCAGATCATCGTCGGGTCGTTGTCTCCCCCATTGTGCACTGCGGTGTGCCGTCCCAAACGTCCCCCTCTGTCCACACGCCTCAGCCCCCAAGCCCAAGCCCAAGCCCAAGCCCAGGCCCAATTGCGTCCTCGCAGCCACCGCCAGCGAGCGAGCAGCCAGGCCCATCGCCAATTCCCACCGCGTTCAAACGTGCTGTCCCGCCCCCCTCTGACACCGCAAGTACCCTCCAATCCATTCCATCACGCCGAGATCGATTCCATCGTCCAGGATGTGTAGACCCCCCCGAACGGAGGCGAGGCAAAAGCCATGCCGGTGGCGCGGTGTCGTTCGCTCGTTGGCGCTCCCGGCTCCCCCCTTTGCGACGAACGAATTGGGGCCCACGCACACCACGCACGCTTTCCCCCGCCTGAGCCGCCCGCCTCAGAAAAGACAACGACCACGCCCTTCGCGCTCTGTGCTTCGTTGGAACGTACCACCAATAGCCATTGTAGAGAGACTGAAGGGGAGCCGTAGATGTTCAGTACTAGGTCCAAGGGAGTTTCTGCACTCGTGGGTACGCCGCCGTCGAGACTCACGATTTGATGCAGGTGGGTGTATCGAAAAGCCAAGGCCGCGCCCGTCGAAAACCGCGGCGCGCCGTTTGGATTATTTCGCTTTCGCGCGCTCTCGCCCGGCGAAGGGAAGGCACACTTACGGAAAAGATTACTAATCCGCAACCGAGCTTAGCCGTGATTAGGCTTTGCTGATCGCCAAATTGAACAGGTGGGCCCGTGCGTTTTGGCGTTCCAACTTTCGCCGTTGGCAACACTCGGAGAAGAACTACACAGCACGCGTTTTCACTGAGCGCGACTTATCAAAGCTTTCACAGCAGGGGGTGAGCAGCCTTCCCTGCTACCCTCCGTTGTAGACTTTGTAGACTTTGGAATCCGTACTGCCCCAACTGAGCCCATTTTTCGCTGTGCACCTCGCTCCGCTGGGCTTCAAACTCGCACCCTCCAAGCTGCAAAGAATGAACAAAATCTCAATGCTATTACATGTATCAAACTGTCGCGAACGATGAGGGGAAACCACATGGGATCCGGTCCTGGTTTCGAAAAGATGAGAACGAAAGACCCGCGACGGGAAAAATCGGAGAAGTGCAATGAGTAGCGTCGTCCAAGAAAAGGCAAAATTCATTCCAGTCGTCTGTCGTTTTCGTTCTTCTGCTTTTTCGTCGCTCGCTGTCACGGTCTTTCAATCCCTCTAGTGACCGTTGGCAGCGACCTTGTTCGGCGCCGGGGTGTCCTCAGCATCGGACGAGACCTCGCTCTTGTGCTCGGCCAACAACTCGTCAAACACCTGCGGTTGCCTCAACTTGAGCGCTCCGGAAGTCACGCCTCGGTGGTACACGCGCAGGACGGTGTCGACGTCGTCCATCGACTGTGTTCGCACGTCGGCCAACTCCTTGATCTTGGCCGTCACGTCCTTGACTTGGTCGTCCGAGAGCACCAATCCGAGTTGTTCGACACGGCTCTTGACCGCATTCCAGCCCGTCAATCGAGAACCAATATCGATGTACCGCGACATGCCGAAGTCCTCGGGCTTGAGGATCTCGTACGTCGACGGGTTCGCGAGGATCGCCTTGGCGTGAATACCGGCCTTGTGCGTGAACGCGCAGAACCCGGTGATGGGGTTGTTGAAAGGGACCGAGATTTGCACAGCGTCCGCGACGAGGTTCTCGACTTCTCGCAACATCGGCAAGTTGTACTTGCTCTTGACGTATTCGGGGTCGACGACGTACATGCGCGCGATAAGGCCACCGAGCGTCTGATTCGCAGGAGATACAAGATGGAGATTGTCAGTTAGCCTCATTCGAGTATCATACATTGGTCTAAGCGATGTATACTCACAGTGATACCGTTCCGCTCTCCGATACCGAGGACGGATGTGTCAATGTGGGTCGCACCAGCCTCGAGCGCGCAGAAGGCATTGGCAACAGCTATGAGGAGAATATCCGAATTTGGCCCAATTAGTCAAACCACATCCACTTGCACGAAACAAATGGCTCTCTCCATACTCACCGCAGCCCGAGTCATCGTGGAAGTGGCACTCGATGTCGCACGAGACGACGCCGCGAAGCGTTCGGACGAGATCGTAGACCTGGCGAGGGTTGGCGCACCCGACCGTATCGGCGATACCGACACGGTTGACGCCGATCTTGTCGACAGCGCGGTAGATGGAAAGGAGGTCGACGAGGTCGGAGCGGAACGAGTCCTCCGAGGAGAAGCGCACCTCGATGCCCTTGCTCTTGACGAACTCGATCACCTCGATCGCGGACTTGATGATGTAGGTGATGTCCTTGCCGTGCGAGTACTTGCGCAAGAAGGACGAAGTGCCAATGACGACATCGACACCATCGACACCTGAGGGGGAGTCACGGTACACGTCAGCAGGTTGCTCTGGTCTGTCGGTGGAGAGGCTCCTGTAGGAAGCGGGCGGGCGGCTCACCCGTCTCGACAGCGATTCGGGCGTCGTCCATGTGGCATCGGATGTGGGTGAGGATCTTGGACTTGAGCCCCATCTGGCAGATCTTGACGCAGTCGGCGCGCGACTGTTCGGACGCGGCGGGGGAGGTGATCTCGATGTACTCGACACCAAAGTCGGACAGGGCCTGGGCGATCTTCATCTTGGTCTCGGTGTCGAAGAAGGCGTTGGCGAACTGTTCACCCTCTGTAGGAACGCGGAAAGAAGGGGTTACGGAGTAAGCTGTCAGGTTTCTGATTCCGATTGCTAGTGATGCTCCAGCAATTCCGAGTTTTGAGTGCGATTGACCGCGTTGACTCGGTTTATGGAGGACGTCTGTCGGCGTCATCGCCGTCGTCGTCGTGGGCCACACGGCTCGCAGCTCGGGAATCGCGTACTCACCTCGCAATGTCGACTCGATGATCTTCCAGTTGGACGTCTGCGCGATGCACCGTAAAAGGTATACGTCAGTCATGTGCTCGTGCAACAGAACGGCCGTGTTCCCGCTCCGATTGCTCCGCCGCGGCCCGTCGTCCGAGTCCAGAGCTCGCGTGCACTGCGACACTCGCACGGCTCTAATCCACGCCCTATGTCCGTCCAGTTCGGAACAGGACCCCATCCCCTCGTGCCAGAGACAGCCCAACGTGTAATCCAACGACAAGAAGCGAACCCAAGGATCGGCGCGTGGACTGACGTTGGACAAAAAGTCGGCGTAGCGACTCGAGTACGGATTCTTGATCTCGATCCCCGCCGCGGCGGCTGGGCCATTCGTTGCTTGCTGTCGCTTCTCGGCGACTTCGGGCGCGGAAGGGGCGTGGGCGTCGACGGCCTGGAAGTTGGAAGGCGCCTCGCCCGTCGTCCTAGGCACGGCGGGAGGGTCGGAGGAAGCGGCTGCGGAGGGGCACATGGTTCAAGTATCGGGTAGAGGGGAATGGGGTGGGAAGGGGAGCGGAGCAGGAGCAGGAGCAGGAGTGATCCGTCTCTACGGCTGTCCCCCCTCTCACCCCCGTCAGTTATCTCCCGTCGACGGATTTCGCGCGCGTCGGGCCTGGGAAGGCGCGGCCGAGCGCCCAACTTTTTTTTTCGCTGCTTTAGTCCCACTCAAAAACCCCAAACCACCGTCCGAGCGCTTCAGATTCTGAAGTTTAGAATTTGTGAAATCGCTCGCGCCTTCCTCTTTGGGTTAGGCTCGATCGTGATCGCTTCAGTTTTTGAAAAGCAAACGCGTTTGAAGCGCTTTCAAAAATCCGACCTCTGTTCACTTTTCACGTGAAACGCCGAGCGCCCGTGCCCCCTATTAAAAAGTTGTCGCGCTCATTTCGTGAAGTTCGCCCGTGTTGCCCCGCCGAGTACGCTCCGCCGAGTACGCCCCGCCGGATAGGGCCTTTCTTCCACCATGTCATCGTACACTACCTTACAGGTGAGCGCTCAACTCTAGCACGCGACGTGGAGATTGGCCGAAGCCAGATGTTGTTAGACGCGCTCGAGCTTCGCGCTTGGACCTCCTCTTCCAACGTTAGACTTCCCGAGGCCGCGATTAGCGCTGCAGCGCTGCTCACTTTCCTCTAATAAAGGCGAAATTGACGCTCTGCACGCCGAGTAGTACGAGCGGGGAGTGGGAAACGAAAAGGCGAAAGGAGAAGACGTGTCGGAGGGATGTCGGAAAGGAACCCCTAAGCCAACGAGTCGCGGAAGGACGCGGCGACAGACGCTCCTATTCCGGTTTATCGCGTGACGCGTCTTCGTCTACATGTCAGATCACTTGCGCACGGACCGTCCGCCTCATTTTTGAAAGGCAGAAAAGGTTGCCGCACGTGAATTTGCAACGTCCGCAGAAACTCGACCATGACGAAAATCGCTTTCATTTATTTTCGAATTAGACTTTCTCAGAAAATGGTTCGGCGCACTTTCTCTACGGGGTTTTTGAGTGGGACTTTTGACTCACCAAACGAAAGAAAACTTGGCATCCAATTACAAATCCCGCTTCCTCACGCTCGATGTGCTGCACCCCAACAAACGGCTCGACGTCTTCGATGATCAGCTTGCATCACAACTGGTTCTTACGTTCCCGCAACAGAAATTTACGAATTCTCTGTGCCGCATGCCTTTGACTACTATAGCTTCTTCGCACAATTCGTCGATTACAAATTCAAGATCGTTCGGGCCTAACGGGCGCATCGTGGGGAAAGCGGGGTACCCAGCATCTCTCATTGCGAACGACTTTCGAGTAAGGTAGGTATTTTCAACTGTAAGGGTTTTGGACTCTGATAGCTGGGGACTCGAAAAGACGAAAAAGATGCCCCGGTGATTGTCAACTGTGTACGCCTTTGAAGAAGTTTTTGATTCTACTTTGATCCATCGATCCCTTCCTTGGGCCAGGTCCAGTCGAACTTGTCCGGGATCGTACCGCTCTGAATTCCTGTCAGCTCGGAAAGGACTACAAAAAGAAAGGTCGGGAGATGTCAGGGTTGCGTGCAATCTTCCAAGAGACATTGCATCGTAGCCAATAACTGACTGGAGAGGAAGCGAGGTCCGGCGTTGACACCATCGCCGATCGAGCTGAACAGACAAAAGGCGAAGCAAGTGTTCCAAGTCAGGTTTTCGGATGGTCAATGTGGCCAGCAAGTAATGCCTTGATATACTTACATATTTTGCGTCGTCTCGGGTGTATCGTGGTAAGTGATGGACCGGATAGGCGTAAGCTGTGTGAAGAGAAACCCTCCGAAAGTGAGCAATCCATTCCCTCCTCGCCAGCCACATCAATGGTGCACGACTCACAGCAGCCGCAGTTCCACAAGCCGCAACTTCCTCAAAGTCCCCCTCAATAACCTCGGAGAACTTGACGATACGTCGGTCGACGGTCCATCCGAACGATTCGGCGATCCCGATGATGGCCTTGGTCGTGACGGATTTCAAGATCGATTCCGAGGTAGGCACGACCAAGGTGACTTTGTCGTCGCCCGATGAAGAGCGTTTCTTGATGGCGAGGAAGTTGGAGGTGGAGAACTCGTCGATTTGCTGTTGATGAGCCAAGAGGGCGCTCGGCGAATTCAGCCTTGATCCCCTCCTCCTTTCTGAACTTGACCGAGGAGGAACTTACAGTTCGAGTGGCCGAATCAAGATGAAGGGTAATAGCATAACCAGCTTGCTTCGCAGCTGCAGCATGTCGGAAAGTAGGTCTGTGGATAGACATGATCTCAGATGCCTTAGCGTCTACTCGCAATCTCCCATTATCCTGTCTGACTCACGCGTAGTTACCAGCCAATTTGGCATGTCCAACGCCTCGAGGAGCGGCTCGGTCAAAGGTCTCGAGCACGAAAGCATCAATGGCGGGGGCCTTGAGTCCGGCGGTACCGTACAGACTTCCAGTCGGGGTGACGTAGACGATGAATTGAAACTCGGAGGGGGGCGCGAGGATCAAGTTTTCACCCGAGGCGAAGGCCAAGGGACGAACGTACTGTAGAACACGTACAGTATGCTTGGGGTCAGATAGACGTAGCTTGAACATGGGGAGCAGACGGGAGCGTTACGAACGTACCATCGACCCCGAAGCGCCATGTGGGGCATGAGGGGGCACGAGGTCCAAGTTGCGACCGACGGCGAGGGAGACAGCCTCGAGGAAGAGTTCCTCGGGGACGGGCGGCATCGAGACAACCTCTGCAGAGTGCTATTGGTGTAGACGAGGAGAAAGTGTCAGCGTTCGGGTCGAGGAAACGATCTCGCTGGACCCCGAACCGCGATGAGCTGGCTCCGGACGAACTTGGATCCGAGCGGCATTGTCCTTGGGTCGGAAGAGGCGGACCTGGGAAGAATCGTAAACCATGTATCGTGATTAGCTCGATGTTTCGAAGGCGAGGAAAGGCTCCGGAATGCAACCACTATTGGTCGTCCTCGGCCTCGGACATCCCTCTTGTCTCACTCAGTGGGGAACGTAGAAAACTCACCTGTCCGTCGGGGTGACGGAACGCCTTGAGTCCTTCAAAGGTCGAAGCACCATAGTTGAGAGCGACTGTGGGAAGGGAAATTGCGACAGTGGGCAAGCGGTGAGCAAGCCCGAGCTCGGGGAATCAGAGTTGCGGTGCGATGCCGGTCAGAGGCCGAGAGCAGCGAGCACAGAGCAAGAGGACTGACCACTTCCGACGTGAAGCTTGAGGTAGGGTTCGCTGACCCACTCTGCTTTACCCCACGCGCCGTCCTTGTAGGTGTAGCTGACGTAGCCCGAGGTCGGGTACAGCGCAAACGCGAGCTTGTCCCACGCGAACGTTTCGGACGGAGGAACGACCGCGGGCTGCACGAGCCGCGGAGCGAGGCGGGGGAATGCGGGGACATTGTCAGCTTGGGTATGGGAAGGAACCAGCCCGAGTGTGAGGTGTGACCGACCATTCTGACGAGATGAGATGGGAGAGAGAACGGGTGGAGAGGATAGCAAAGCGGACGAGTCCGAACAGGTGGAGGAACGATTTGACTCAGAAAGCCCGGCTCAATAATTCGCATTGCAGTACGGTCAAATGTCGGGCTCTGTCTGGCTCTGTTCAACACAAAGACTGAGGAACAGGCACCCGTCGGAGCCGCGGCCTGAACGTGCACGTAAAACAAAGAAAGCAAACACAGAATATCTTCACACCTCCCATCTTCATTTTCCACATGCTCAGCTGACCTGTCCCGACGTGATTGAGCTGTTGGCCGAAGTCACCAAAGTCGCTCTGACCCGACTCCGAATCCAACCTAATCTGTAAGAGCAACAATGAACAAAACAGGGTTCTTGGTGGTTGTAAAATGACATTCGAATTTCAACGCGTCTGTCCGTACTTTTCTGAGTCCGAACGACCGGTTACTTGTCATGCCCCTCCATGGCTCGGACTCGGAGAGGGGCTCCGATCGAGCCGGTGAGCCAGGAGCGCGCCGGCCCCGTCACCGGCGCGCAATTTCAAGTTCACGTCCGACACGACTCGCGAGAAACACCTCGGGTACAACAGTCTCAATTCCTCCCCCTCGAGGGTCTAGCTCAATCCCTCAATTGAACCCTCAGACATGATGATCTCGCACGGCCACAAAAGCCTCGACCAAGAACTCGGTAGTTCCGGAAGCCCTTTTGGGCCAGCATCAAGCGTGCGCCACGGCGTTGGTTTTGGTGGTGGGCACCGTCAGGGGTGAGTCTGAACCCACCCTATCTATCGCATTAAGGATCTGAACCTCTTCCGTTCTCCCCCCCCCCTTTTTTTTTGTCTTCAAACACCCCCACCCCAACCCCGGCCTTGAATGTCGGGCCCACCGACGGTCAAGTTTCGTCATGTCGGAATACTAACATAGTAAAATGGCCATGTTCACAGCTGTAGACTCGGCAGCCGTCTTCATTTCTATCTCGCCGGCAGACTAGGGGTCTCGTTTAGAGAAGGTCAGAGTCTGAACGACACCTACATCACGCCATTCATCCTCGCCGTCTTCCCGGACTAGACAGCTCTTCTGCCCTCGCCGAGAAGACTTGGTCTGCTTGCCCGCGCGCCGCCTTGGGACCGTTTCGGAGTGGGGACTTTCGTTGCATCTTTATCAAGGTCCACATTCTTACACAGATCGGTTCTCAAGTTGGTTGATTCTGTCCAATTACTGGGCTTTCTGGTTGTCTATCGATTGGATGAGTAAGTCGCTTTCTGGACGGGTTTCGTCTCTCCGAAATCATACCGCTGGTGGCCGGATATGGCGTGGTACTCGAGCCATCGACCCGGGGTATCATCGATCAAAGCCCAATTGATCTACGACATCTTCGATTCTCTGAACCCATATGACGGAAGCACCCGCCCCCGCCCTCCCCTGGCTTCATTCAGCAAGCGCGCCGACGGCTCACGCTCGAGTCTCGACTCTTGCAGCCCCCACCCCCACTCGCGAGACCAACTTCTTTGCGAGCCGAGTGCACGTTGAGCCGTCACTGGCGGAGTAGGGTAGGGCGAGGACCATGATCCACGAGGAGTGGTCAGCGGGGCAGGAGGCGGTAGGCAGAGTCAGCAACAGACCGAGAATACCTGTGGGAGACATGGCAGGAACGTGCAAGGAGGCAGTGAATCGATTGAAGGGCACGTCAGGCTCCGGGCCAACAAACGCCGTCAGAGCAGGCTGAGATTAAGCGGGATCCAGTCCATACTCGCGTATAACCCTAACAAACCGTGAAAAACACCGCGCGTTCGACCAAACCTTGTACATTCAAAGACTCGACTACTGTGATAAGAACGACATCCGCCCATGTGATTAAGCTTGAATCACTCAGCCCTCTGCGCCTGCACCTCGAAAGAGGACCGACTGGAACGCGTTCCAGTACAGCAAATATGCCGGCAGACTAGCGGCAAAGGAAGGTATCGAGTGTGCGTCCCCAATTCAAGCGTTCGTAAACTTCGGAAGCGCCTTGGCTCTGACATCAAATCTGCTACTCTGCAGTGCCACCCGGTCTGATGGACAGACAGCCGAGAAGTTTACGAGCGCTTGAATTAGGGACGATACCTTCCTCTGCAGCTAGTCTGTCGGCATATTTGCTGTATTGGAAAGCGTTCCAGTCGGTCCTCCTTCGAGGTGCAGGCGCAGAGGGCTGAGTAATTCGGCTTAATCACACGAGCGGATGTTGTTCTTATCACAGTAGTCGAGTCTTTGAATGTACAAGGTTTGGTCGACCGCGCGGTGTCTTTGGACATCAGCTGAGGGGACGGAGCGTTTAGTCTTCCGCTCAAACAAGCCTCGAGGGACTTTCGGTGCCGGGATCGGTGCCTTGCGACGGCGTTTCTGGCTGGTGGTGCTGGCTGTCGATCTTTCACCGAAAGTCGAGGATGAGCTGGAGTCAGGATGCTGCCTAGGTAGGGACGAATGAGGGGGAGGAATGCCAGCCGGGGCGTTGGGGACGACGGGACCAAACCAAAGACTGCATTTAGCCGTTCATTGAGGATGGACTATACGGAGGCTGGGAATGGAATCGAATTCGGACGACAATTAACATAGTTAGCATGAGCCATCGCAGTTAGGGTCGAACTGATCCCCGTTGAACAATCAGTCGAGATGTGTGCACACAGCACAGCGAAGGAGCGACCTACCCGTGCTTGGATCGGTCGGTCACGCCCTGTAACACCGTTTGAGGAAGGTGAATGTCGAGAACGTCGCTGTCCCATAGCAATGAAGCTGAACAAGCCAAAGATGAAGTACAATGGACTGGTCAGTCGGATGGTACCTCTATAACAACAACCTGGACGCGTCAAAGTTTCCAGAGCTCGCTATTGATGCCCACAGCTAAGACGTGTTTGGGATGCGGCGCGGCGCGGCAGCAAGCATGGTTCTAGGGCACTCACTGGGGACAATCCTGGCGAGTGTTCAACACAGACGATAGGTAGAACTCGCAAGACTGAGGTAGAAGATCAGAAAGAAGCGATGTTGATTGCTAGGAAGCCTTGGAAGGTACGCGGGTGGGCGTGTGGCAGCTGCAAACGAGAACACGCGCGGGCATGCGCAGGTAGTGCGCAGGTCTGCGCGTCTGCTCACGCGCGGCTTACGCTGCGCCGTCAGTCAAGTGACGTATGGTTTGCATCGCGACGCGGATTGTAAAGGCTTGACAACAACATGAGGTTCGAGGGGCTGTAAATAATCCTGCGCTAGTCTCTCTACTTCTTTCATTCTCCCTCCCTGCACTGGGGCCGATCGACGAAGCACGCAACCGTCCGAGTTTCATTGCACCGGAGTACTCATATTTGAAGCCAATATGCAAGTTGGACCGACTCTGCGACGACGTTTTGGACAACAAGCAAGGGGCGGCTGTTTCGGCAATGAATGGATAATCGTTTATTTGCTGTACTTCGTATGGCGTTCTTTTACCTCTGCTCAATCCAATTCTCCGGCTATTTGAATTTCATCATCCCGTTAATTTCACGGGTTTCCAATGGTACTCGTCTTGGATCCAACCCTGGGTGCAGTACGCCACTCGGGCTATTGTCTCTTGATCCGCAGATCGTTGACATTTCCTACTCTCCATAGCTATATTCCCATCAAAGTCGATTACACGGACCTCTTCGACGTCATGGCCTTCTTCGCCGGCGATCTCCGCGGCGAGAACGCCCACGACGACTTGGCCCAAATCATCGCTCGTCAGGGACAAGAGTTTGCGCAAACGCATAGGCGATACGCCGATATGGAGGCTTACGTGTTCAGGTTGGCGTTGGAGTGGGCGAGATGCAGCGGTGAGTGAGAAGGTGTTATGTTCTTTTTGACCTCGTGAAGCTAAACTGTGCCCTTTCCGGTCGTTTAGCATCGGACCGGGCATCGATGGACTACTTTGGACCAGGGACTTGAAGCGAGCGCTTCACCAATTTTAGTCACTGATATCCCCTCTGTATATCATGTGACTGAAGACTCTTTATATGCAATTGATAACCCCCCCCCCCCCCCCCCCCCCCCTTTGATCCAGAAGAAAGTCTTTGCACATCCTGACAAGCGATTCGAATAACCCACGGTACACAAAATCTACGGAAGACATAAAATGGTCGAGATGGCCCGTCGGACCCCCCTGACGATTCTAAACCTTGCTTTTTTTCATGCACATGTTCATACAATTTCTCCCTAGGTTCGAGTCGGTGTTGTTCTGATCGATCCGCTGGGAGAACTGTCCGACGAGAACGACGACGAAATAATGCACCTTCCCGTCGAGCCGCCACTCGTACCCCGACTGTATGATACGGAAGCTTGCGGTTACTCGTCTTTCTCGACCAGTACGACTTGTTAGAAAACGGGGTTTTGTATCGTGTGTGATTTCGTGCTGGATTATTGAGAGTCAGTTCCGTTGCGTGAGGTGGTATCCGTAAAGGACGGTACTGAGAGAGAAGTGGTCACGCGGGTCAGTCCGATGACACGCATGGTATGGTCCTGGACATACCTTGAGCCTCCGGAGACTTGTCCGAGTTTGAAAATGTAGTACGCTCTGGCGGTGCCGACGCAAGCAGATCTCTCGACTCCTGAGCTGCGGCTAAAAGCTCTAAGGCATGCTGCTCGATCAACGGGCTCGTGCGCAGTGCGAGCAGTTCGTCTTGTGAGTACCTCCTCGACGCTCCACCTTTTTGGTGCGGGGACGAATGAGCAGCTTCGACGAGTGGTGCCTCTTCCTTCTCGGTCGAGTGAGACTTGTTCTCGCGAACCATGGCGGCTTCGACTTTCTGACTGCGCGCGGTTTCACGTTGTTCAAGCGCGAGCTGATTACCCATCTCCATCGCATCCTGCTGCGCAACCAACAACCGTCCCGTCAACGAAGCGCGATCCAACTCGGACGCGTTCAACCGAGTGACGAGATTCGAGCGATCGGCCAACAAGGCCGTCTTGTCCTTCTCCAGCGCGGTCTTGGCCGCCTCGAGCTCCTTGTAGTGCTTGTCAAAGTCGGGATCCTTCGAAGCAGTCGCGGACTTGGTCGCCATTTCCGCCGTAGCTCGTTCTTCAGCAGCGGTGACGAGCTCGGCGTTGCGTTGACGAAGTTCTTGGTTCTGCTTTGGGAGATTCTCGAGCTCTGAACCGAGTAGAGCACGCTTGTCAAAGGCTTCGAGTAACCTGATCTCGAAATCGTGGGCCTTGTGTTGGTGCACGCGAGCTTGGGCTTCGGCGATGGAGGTGCGTTGGTGTTGCGCCGTGAGGTCTCGTTCGAGCGAGCGCACCGTACTTTGCAACTCGAGTTTCTCGGCGTACATTTCGCGAAGGTGGTCCATCAGGCCTTTCATGCCGTGCAATGCCGAAGTCGACGAAGAGGTGTCGGCTCCGAGCGAGCCCACTTTAGTCGATGTCGTATCGGTGCAGTCAGGTGATCCGTAACCGCCGCCCGTAGCACTCCGATTCGAAGCACTGGCTTCGAGAGGTTTGGGCGACTCGACGAAACCGAGACTGGTACTCCTTTGCGTCCTCGGACTCTCAGCTTGAACAGAGGCTGGAGGAGACTCTTGAATGGGAGAGGACCTCTGGCGCACGTCGACACGATCACCACGACTCGTGCCGGCCCAGCCGCGCGCAGCAGGGGCAGACTGGGCTGGGGCCTTAAGCTTCAAGTGCGGCGGGGTGTCGAGCAATGACGCTGACCGAAGCATCTTCTCGGGGTCGTCCAACTTGATATCGCACCCTGGTTTAGCAAGGTCCGACTCGGAAAATTCCCTTTGAATCGAGGCCACGATGCGCGAATTCTGCTCCAACGTCGCGACGGTGAACATGTCCCTCGTCGCTTGGTCGGAACGAGGGCGAGTCGTATCGGCATCGCTCGGCTTGAACATCTCGTTGCGCAGCTTGGAAAGACTTGGGGACGGAGGAGGTGAAGTGAACCCAATTTGAGCTGAGGGGTCGTTGCCCTCCACAGGCGAGGAAGCCGCTTTGGCCGTGCTGTGGCCACTGGCGGTCGACGGAGGAGGACTGACACTGCTGCCGCTCGAGATTTGGCGGAGGACCTTCATCGGGTACTTGACGGGAGGAGGCACGTACCCTTCTGGGGCCCAGCGAGAGTAGGCGCTGGGAGTTACCTCAGGATTCCAGGATTCGGTCTCGATCGATGCCGCTGACGAGCAGAAGTCTTCCTCCTCCGGCGAAACCTTGGACGCTGTCGGGTGTGAGGCGTCATCGAGGTTAGTGGCGACGCCGATGAGGAGGGCACAGAGAAGCGGATGAACTCTTACCTCCCTGAGCCTTGCGACGACGACTCGACTCGGCCATTGAAGTCTTCGTAGTCGAGGTTACCGAGTCGAGGGGTTCGTAAGGCGTGGCATCGGGACGGAACGAGCTCGAGCTCGAGGTGGTATCGCGAGCGCCAGTGGTGGGCTTGAGATTGGCGGGGGAGCGTGGCTCGAATTCGGATGCGAACCACCCACCACTACCACCTGAGTCCTGAGTTGGACTTTCGAGATTGAGATCGGCTTGATTTATCGACCATGATCCTTTTGCAGAGTTGTCGTACGCACTCTTGTCGGCGGTATCACCTCGGCGTTCCGAGACCCCCCACGGAGCCTGTTGCTGATCGAACGCAGGCGGCCCCTGGGGAACCTCGGACGCGCTCGGAGTGGGTATCCAACCACCACCGTGACTGCCAGTGCCACCGGAATCGCCTACATCGTAACGAGAGCGATCGCTCTTGAGCGAAAGAGAGACATCAACCAGCGTGGAACTCGAGGAGGAAGACGAGCCGCGAGGGGGATTACCGCGGGCCGATCGAACGGCTTGGTTGTGGGGGGCCTGCTGGCGCCTCGAGGCGATCGAGGGCACGGTCGTGCCACCAGCGTGAGGAGGGTACGTAGAGGAAGCGGATGTTCCTTTCTGCTCGGACGAAGACGAGTCACGTTCGTTGGATCCCCATTCACCGAAAGCATGGGATTCATTGGATCCCCAATCACCGAAAGCATGGGTGGAAGCTTCAGGCTGGTCCCACCCACTCATGGCTGAGGATTAGTCGGTGCTGGACGGGGGGTGGATAGATTGGGTCGTACAAGTGAGAGCAAGAGCAGATCCTACGATCGAGCTGGAAATGAGAGGGGAGCGTAAGCAGCCGTGGAGGAGTGATGACCCCTAGAGTGCGAGTGGATCGAGTAGGAGGAACATCATCATCGTGGCAAGCGCCAGTCTCGGTACACACGCGCCGCGCTCGGCCGCACCGCGCCACCCCCACATCTTCTCGCACCCCCTCTCCGCCTCTGCGCAAAAGGCTCCTCTTCGACTGACCGAGACCGAGCCAAGCCCCAAGCTGCGCAAGGAGTAACCTCCGAATAACACGAGTTTCCACTAAAGTGCGTTACCGCAGTTGAGACGATGCCCTCAAACAGCATGATGTCCTGATACCATATCTCTATTCCCTCGGTTGTCGAAAGGGGTGTCTAAGGTATCTCCTCAGCTGACGTGTAGAATGCTCTCGATCTCTCAGGCCACGCTTGGTACCATGACTTTTGAGCGGCGAAGAAGACTCTCATCAAGAGATAACCATTCCAAATTTTTATACCTCCTCTCAGGCCCTCGTAAACTGCCCCATCTTCTTGACCTTCACCAACTCCCTCGCGACCTTCGAAGGTCTCCTCAAACTGGCCCCACTTCCCAACGCCAGAGTGAGCAAGATCAGGCTACCCGCTTGGTGCGTCGCGGCGAGATGGATTGGGACGAGGTAGATGAGGGTTGAAATGCCCAAAGCGACTTGGAGTATGGACATGTGCATCGTCCCCTTGATCAGACGGAGGGTGGTGGGTGGGAGGTGCGCTCGGATCGAGGGGCGTCGGGCATAGAGGAAGAGCGAAACGATCGCGGTGAACGTCGTTGTGGCCTGTCATTATTGAAACGAGTGCATCAGAACCACACATAACACTGTCTCGGCTCACTACGAGATGAAGACGTACCAAAAGACGATGATCGAACTGGACCGTCGTCGGGTTCTCAAACATGTTGCGCCACTTGTCCGACTTGTCCGACTTGCGCGCATAGTGATCATCAATCAATTCACTCGTAGCAGGTACCAATCGACCACCCATTAGGGGGAACTCGTTGTAAACAAGACCGGCGTCCAAACCGGCGACGAAAGCGCCCGAAAGCGCGGTGACGAAAACGAGCGCCGAAACGACGGTGACCATCGCTCGTACTCGACCGACGGTCTTGCTCTGCAGGCCTTGGATCGTCTGCTCGGGCGTCGCCCATCCGCCGAGACCTTTGCCCAGACTGGCGAGCTTCCAATCCCTGCCAATCCCCCAGGCGAGCCTAACGCAGCTCGCGTAGACGGCAAAGGCCATGCCGAGATGAGCGGCAAGTCGGTATTGACTAACGCGGGCGACACCGCCGAGGTCCTGTACGCTTTTTTCGTCGAGTCCGGATTTAACCATGTACCACCCCAGAGCGCCCTGAGCGCCGATGAGGGTGCCGATACCGAGCAGGGACAGAGCGATGCGGGGCGAGACCTTGCGTCGCAGGTAAAAGTAGGGGATGGGGAGGACGAAGGTCAGGCCAATAACGCGACCAAGGATGCGATGTGCCCATTCCCAGTAGTAGATGCTCTTGAACTCGTCGATGGTGATGTGTGCGTTTTGCCTGAGTGAGGAAACATCCACCTGATCAGGAGTTTTCTTTCCCCGAAAGGTCCGCATCTCCGAGGTCCGCATCTCTGATGAGGTCGACTCACATCCTGAATTCGGGTGTAGCGCGGTACTTTGCAAACTCGGATTGCCAATCGGTGGCACCCAAGGGCGGCAGGATGCCACTGACGACGTTCCATTCGGTGATGGAAAGGCCCGACTCGGTCAAACGGGTCATGCCACCGACGACGACGATGCAAAAGACCATGGCAGCGATGAGGAAGAGGTACTTTGCAACGATGGGTGTCGTGAGCGCGACCTCGGGTGGATCGGGTGCGGTGCGTGTCGTAGACGGATTGGCCACGGTCGAGGCGGAGGAAGTGGAAGTGGACGGATCGTATGTGGCGGTGGTGAGTGGCCGACGTGAGGATGTGATGCGGTCTTTGAGCGCGGCCCACGGAGAAGGGGCTATCGTTGATGTGGCGTGTTGCTGCTGGACATCATTACCTCAAGGTACCAGTCAGCACGATGCGAGCTCCGATTCTCGCCGACGACGAGGACGACGATGCGTGCGAGAACTGGGACTGGGACTGACCGTGGAAAGCAGCGATGCAACGCGGGGCAGTGCTGAGGGGGTGGCTGCGTTGGAGGATGCATTCCGCCGAAGCAGCGGTGATGTTGACTGCCAAGTGCTGGAAGTGGATGCACACGAGCACGCGATCGCTCGGGACAGCAGCGACGTGCGCCTGTGGGCAACAGCAGCTCCTCTGAGGATCGAGCTCGGGTTCGTCCGCAACGAGGTACGACACCGGCTCGAGGCGGCGAGCAATGGTCTCGAGGTGGAGGCCATGGCTTGATGTGGTTTTTTCCCGAGAGAGGTGCCGAGTGAAGTGGCGCGCGGTCGACAGATGGCAGCGAGGACGGAGAAGAGCGTCGCCCGACTCGCATGCTAATTCGTCGTTCCGCGCTCGGCAGCAGCTGGCAGCAGTTCGGCTCTGGGGCTGGCAGCGCTCGGTTTCGGAGTTTGGCGCGCCGAGCCCTCGGGAAGCGGCGGAAGCGGGCCACCCACGCGGGCCCACGCCGACACGCGCCGAGGCTGAGCGCTGAGCTGCTGCCAGTAGATCACTAGAGATTACTAATCGTCGGTCGATCACTATTTACGAGCTCCACCGTCTGCTCGCCTTCTGCCCTTCCGCAACACACGCCATACCCCTCGCATGCTTCAACGAGCTCGGGCGACATATCGTCCCCTCGTGCATAGCCACCCTCTCACCTCGAGCCGAGTACGACCCTCCGCGGGCGTGCTCCCCAGTCGAGCCTTGTCCCGGTCGTCGTCGTCATCGCTCGCCGTAACGGCCTCGTCCCCTCCTTCGCGGAACAGACCCACTGCAGCGCGCTCATTATCGACCCGCGCTCATCACACTAGCTACCGATTCTACTCCTCCTCCTCTTCCTCGGCACCCCAGCACCCCCCGCGGTCTTCGAAATGGCCTCGACGAGCTCGCAACTCGGCGATCGTCGTCGGACTCGGAGTCGCCCTCTACGCGTGGGATAAGACCTACTACGCTTCGGCTCTGACCAGGACCGCCAGGACCGCTTATGTAGGGTCAGTTATGGGATCTCATTATCATACCCTCGATCGGGGCTTGAAACTGGGCGGACCCGGCAAGGGAAGCTCGAGACGTCACCGGCTATGAGCATGAGTACTCTTCGCTCACTTCCCGATTCTCCCCCTTTTCTCAGAGCTGTCATGGCCCTGGATTTCAAACTCAACTTTAACCCCGACAACGCGACCGCGATCGACGCCCTGCACGAACGAGTCGCCCATCGCATCAACGACCTTTGCGTCACCAACGGCGGACTCTACATCAAGCTCGCACAGTCCTTGGCGATTCAGGCTGCGATCTTGCCCAAGCCTTATCGAGAGGCGTTTGCAAACGTGTTTGATCAAGCTCCGCATGTCGAGTTCGATGAGGTCGTCAAGGTCAGTTTGGGCTCAAATCTTCCTCCGGAGCTCTATGCGCCTTGACTGATGCCCTTTCTCCTCACCGAAAGATCTTCGAGAAAGACTTCAACGGGACCCACCCAGACGACGCCTTCGACGAATTCTCCCGTGATCCCATCGCTTCGGCTTCGATCGCCCAAGTCCATCGTGCTCGCATCAAGCGCAAGCCAGGAGAACAGCCCTGGAAGGAAGGAGAGGGTTGGCTCGCGGTCAAGATTAGGAAACCGAGTGTGGTGATTCAAGTCGAGTGGTGCGTTCAGTAGAGCTCAGGAAATAAGTGGACAAAGTGCTCAACTCTTTGCGGTCGTTGTTCCACAGGGACCTCATGTCATATCGCGCCCTACTCTGGACTTACGAAAAGCTCTTCGACATGCCCGTATCCTTCGTCTCCCGCGAAGTGACCGCCCGGATGCGCCTCGAAGTCGACCTTGCAAACGAGGCCCGGAATGCGGAGAAGACAGCGGCGTACCTCGAAAAGGAGAGCAGCTTGAAGGATAAGGTCCTCGTACCCAAGGTTTACTGGGATTGGACGAGCGAGGCGGTGATGACGGCGGAGTGAGTACTCTCAAACGTATTCATCATCGTTTTGGGTTGCACTGAACTGCTATGACGTCCGTTCCATCTCAATTACGCAGTTTCTTCGAAGGATGCAAACTGACTGACAAGAAGCAATTGGAACAGTGGCACCTGTCCCCGAGGTGAGCGCGAGCGAATGCTCCGTTGACGGCGCACGCGCGTAGGACAATCGGCCTTACTAAATCTTGTCTTCATCTCCAGAGCTGTGATGGACATTGCCAACGGACTGCTTGGAGCGCAGATGTTCAAGTTCGGCTGGGTGCACTGCGATCCGGTGAGTGAGCTATAGTTGTAGATCATGGCCCGACGATCGCTGACCTCTGCCCTTTTATCACGCTTTGACTTCCTTCAGCACCCCGGCAACTTGCTCGTCCGACCTCACCCCTCGAATCCCCGCAAAGCTCAGCTCATCCTCATCGATCACGGACTCTACATCCCCTTGACCGAGGAGTTCCGGCTCCAATACTGTCTCCTCTGGCGATCGCTCTTCGTCGGGGATACCAAAACGATCGAAGGGATCGTCCAATCTTGGGGGATCGCGAAAGAACATTCCGAAATGTTCGCTTCCATGACCCTTTTAAGACCTCATCGATTGAATAAGGAGAAAGGCGCAGGCGCGGAGAAAGTGGATGGCGGTTTGAAGGAGAGGAAGTTGGGGGAGAAGAGGAAGGAGGAATGGGGGGAGAAGGACAGGCCTAAGGAAGTGAGCAAGTACGAGCAGCAAAATGGGTTGAAGGAGAGGTTGAGGGATATGTTGCAGAATCAGGAGCAGATTCCCAAAGAGGTATGTTGGGGCGTTCGCAGACGGAAGGTATGATGTAGCTGATCCAAAAGAGTTGGTACGCTTCGTAGTTGATATTTTTGGGCCGAACGGCACGAATGATGCAAGCCAACAATCGTGAGTCGTCACACCGACGGGCTTCTACCCTAACACCTACTAACGAATCTCATCCATACTCCTTAACCGCAGAACAACTCGGCTCCCCCTCGAACCGCATCAACTCTCTCGCCCACTGGGCCTCAGCAGGCCTCGAATACACCACCTCCCAATCTCCCCGACGCTCGCTCACCCTCCAAAACGTCGGTCTCAAAACCTACGCCGTCGAGACCTTCCGATCGCTCCTCTTCCGCGTCGTTCTCCTCTTCGTCGACGTGGGCTTCGCCTTGACGCAAGCGAGACAGTGGTTCTTCAAAGTGGTGATGAAGAAGGACAATGAAGGGTTCGAGGACCTGTTGCAGAGGCAGATTAGTAAGATGGCCAAGGACGAGTTTGGGGTCGAGTTGGACGAGGAAGCATTCGCTGGATAGACGGAGGGGATAAGGATTCTGTTTTAGATTGTTTCCGGATGTAGCTTGTTGTAATATGATCGCAACACCTTGTCACTGAAGACCTGTGAGCGAGGTTCCCTTTGGGAAGACACCGTACAGTGAAGGCTGTTCAGATTCCGACAACGGTTATAGTTGCAAACAGGAAAAGGAGGTGTCTTGTTCTCCGTAGGAGCAAGATGAGAAATGTCGACGCGGACTCAAGCGAGGGCGACTCAACGGCCTGTGTTTGGAGAGGAATCACTTTACCAGTCCCACAATTGGAGCGATGAAAGATCTTGTGCAATGACGGAAGAAGGACGAGTGCGGCGTCAGATATTGTAGAGCGGATGCCGTGATCGTACTTGGCGACGGGATGCATTCCTATTCCGGGGTACGGAGTCGAGAGAGGGCTTGGTCACCATATCATAGGCTGACGTCGCGAGCAGACTCGTGAGGATGGGAACCAAAGGCTTCATCAGGACCGCTCTATGGTCGAAAGTCAACCTCCAGAGGTGCGGCAAGGAGACGGTATCAACAAGGGGTCGAGAGAAAGGATACTTGAAGCTCTCGAGGAATTTTGGCAATAAAAGCCTTCTGCTAAGCTACTGTTTGTAACCTTATCACGAGGTTGTTTCGGCGAAGGTGTTTGATCAAGCGCCGAAGGATGAAGTTCTCATCGTCAGCCTGCCATGTCGAGCTTTCGATCGAGGTTTTTCTTGCGCCTTTGCGCTGTTGCCAACCAACGTCGCTGGAGGACCATCTGTTCTCGTCAGGGAAGGATTCAAAGACGTACACACAAGAAGCGACCTGGAGAAGTGGACGCTGTCGCCGATGCGAGCGCAAGCAAGCCGGCTGTTGACTGCGCGTGGTCGCGGGACGTGACCTACACCCCAACTCCCTTCTGCCGGGATAGAGGTCTCCAATGGACTATCCGGAACGCAAATAGGCGCATCAGGTTGGGTGCAGAAGGATCGACACTCCGGACGAGGAACCACAGTTGAACTTGAGACCATGCTTTGCGATTATGAACAAAAAAATAATATGTTTATGCCGAGACAAGTTCGAGCACGGACAAGGTGAAGGCCAACGTGCACGCGAGCGAGCGCACGTGGTGCAACTTGGTCCAGGATTGGATGTCGTAATCGGCTGAGAGGAGAGGGCAGTGGAAGAGCGAGAAGGGCTTGCTGTTAGCTGCCACACGATCAGGGCAGAGGGAGGGAATAGTCAAGTTGAGGAAGACTTACTGTCGCCGGTGCTGATAGCATCGCCGTCCTTGCTTTCTGCAGGAGAAGCACCAAATGATAGATCAGTCCTTGCGAATCGCCGCACACTCTTGTCCTCCTCGTCCGGCGACTGACCTTTGACGATCTTGGCCTCAATCACCTTGAGCTTCTTGACAATGGGGAGGATGGTGAGGAACGTCCAGGGGAAGTTGAAGAGCGTCAATGCGGCGCTGACGGCGAGGACGGCCTGTGAGTGAGATAGTATATTTGCGCCCCCCGCAGTGAACGATTCAAGGGTTTGGCATGACGACGGGAGAAGAAGGAGGAGCATCATATCAGCTAGCAGCTTATGACGATTTGACCCAAGCGTAAGTCTGTGGATGTACCCGGCGTTGGGAGGCGATCCAGTTGTGGGGCACGTAGAGAGCCGGCTTGGTAGCGTAGTAGGCCGACGTCGCGAGCAGAGTGGTGAGCAAGGGGATCAAAGGTTTCATCAAGGCCGCTCCACTGTCAAAGGTCAAGCTCCAGAGGTGCTACAAGGAGAGGGAATCAACGCGGGGTCGAGAGGATGGCTACAGAGTGGTTAGTATCAGGTTGTTGCCCCTGTGGGAGGTTCGTGGGGGGCCTAAGCGGGCAACGTACCAGTCGATCACGCGGGCTGAGCGTCGGCACTCGGTAGATATTCTTCATCGACGAGATAGACTGTTTAAAAAGAGTAAAGCGAGTCAGATGGCTGATCGTCACACACCACAAGCAGCTAGAACTGACGATGGAGGTCGTGTATCCGGCGGTGAGACCCAAGCCGACGGCGGCGATGGCTCGGGTCCACGCAACGAAGGGTGCATCATGAGCGGACTGTATTTGATTTCAGATGCACGAGTCAGCTAGAGGATAGCCTTTGCTACGATCCAGGTGCACTTGCCATGGTGTGTGGGGACGAGTACGGTGGTGCGAAAGGGGAAGGTGGGGGGTGGGGGAGAACGGGTGCCTGAGCCAGCGCGCCCGAACCAGCCAGAACCCGCGCCGTTCGAGGCAGTTCGAGGCAGGACTCCCGAAAGCCCAGCCCTATAGGTGGCCCTCTAAAAACGGCCTTTTTCGAGGCATAATGTGCAAAAAAAATCCGGATTCCGACTGAAAATGTCCATGAGGGCCGCCTATCACATCGGCGCGCGAAAATAATGGAGGGCACAAGGGAGCTTTTGCCCTATGAGCCCCCTATGGCAATTTTCGGGGCTCCATAAGGTATTGGTGTAATGCGTCGATAGAAATGAAGTCCTTAAGGCCTCGGTACCCTCGGTAGGGCGTCCCTAGCCCCTCCCTACGCGCGGGCCATAAGGGTTTCCTCCTGTGGCGCGCGCATACGGTCACCGACTCACCGTAGTGCTTCCATACGGCGGGCCGTCGGGAAGATCGTTCAGGCTTCGGAGCTACGGCGGCCGGCGTGCAGCCGTATGGGAGCAATAGGGTATGGCCTTATAACGACGAGCCATAAGTCACACGCAGGGATGCCGTACGGGCTCGATGAGGTCGCACTACAGTAGAATAAATTTGCTGGCATACGGAAGTCATGGTTGTCAGCCAAGAGTCGCGTTCGGTCGCAGATAGTACTCCAGTTTACAGGGCTGATCATTGTACAGTGGGTTTCCACCCTTGTGTCACACGACTATGTTTTCTTGCATTCTCAAGCTCAACATCCGCCTCAGCGTACGTTGCCAAGCAGCCTCCGAGAGTCCGAGCCTCGTCGGGGGCGACTCGGACTCGGATCCTGCAGCTGCGGCCTGCGGGTGGCTCCGGCCGTGGCGGGGGGCTTTGGAACTTGGCTGAGACCGACCGATTGTGAGAGAGCAGCCGAGAGAGTGCCGAGATCAAAAAGTTTCGCGAGTGTAGAGGCAATGAGCACTGCCGTTCGAGCGAAACGAATAAGGTGCAGAAGCGAACAGGCAATTCTCTCGCCTACTCCACTCTGAGCGCATGCAAAGCGCATGCGCTCCAACCCCAGGGGGCGGCCCACCCGTTGCCGAGAGGTGCCAGCTGCAGCGGCCTGGCGCCTTCGCGGAGCCCCACCCTCGCTTTCGTTTGCCCATCTGACAATCCCGGGCACAACGCACTCCTCGACAGCGAACACGATGTCCGTTCAGTCGAGGGATTTGGAACAATTCATTGAGCATGGTGGGTGCTATCGACGTCATGGTTCCCGCCGACCTGGGCGGTAGCGACTCCTTGCGGCACTCTTTCAGCACCGGGACCCACGCCGGCTCGCGATCGCATTGGCGCGAACACTTTCATCGAGTCATCATCCGCATCGCCATCGCCCGCAGACTTCGTTTTCGAATGGTCCTCTCAGAGAGCTTCTGCCGGCTATGTGTGCCGGTACTGTGGTGGCGAGCGCATGTGGTATCGTCGCGCCGTTCGACACGCCACGAGACACGCCACGACCAAGAAGCACCTCGACGCGTACAACAGTCGAGCCGATCCCGTTGTCAATTCGTTCAACTGGTTACTGCAACCCACGGCCCAGGCGCTCTCGAGCGGCGACGAGGCGGATTTGGTCGATTTCAATGAAAATCCGGCAGAGACCGGCACAATAAGCCACTCTCTGGTGGCTTGGTCTGTTTTGGCCGGGTCGCAAACGCGGCTGCGAGCGAGCGAGTGCGAGCGTGGCTTCGGCTGAACCGCCTCTTGACGTCGTACCAGCCATTTCCGATCACCCACACGCGTCTTCGCGCTCGGGGCGCTGCCTCCGACATCATGGTGGGTCCTTTTCACCGCTGTGCTTCAAGATCATACCCCACGTGCTCGATTCGACCTTTTCTGGCGACCTCCACTCGACTTGGGTCGACACCGGCTGACCGACACGTCCACTCCAGCGTGCGCCTGCTCGACGACCCCAAACGACGCAACAGAAGGTGGCAGCTCCCAAGACCACGGGCAAATCACTAAAAGACGTGACCAACGAGGATCCAGCCAAGAAGTCCCAACATGAGCCTGCGGACGACACTACCACTACGTCGTACGAGAACCCCACCATCATCACGCCGCCACTTGGCGTCCCCGCCCCTCACACGAAGACCTTGACGGCTGCCACCACTACCGCGAAAAACAGTGCCTCACTTCTGTTTGAGCCGATTTCTGATGGAAAGAGCCATGTCGCCGATGTCGGCCCATCCGCTCGCCACGCGGCCTCCACGCACCTCGAACCCGAAGCATCGCATGGCCTTCACCTCGAGGACTCGGTGGTATGTCGCGCGGACGTCCTGTCGTTTGTTCAATGTGCAGCGCAAACAGGCTCCCTCAGAGAACGGAACCAAGCGCAAACGTGCCTGGGGAGTTGCCGCATCACCCGCAGTTGGTCTTGACGAAAAGCGGCATCGTCCCTACCGAAGCGTACAACAAGAATCTCACGTTCCGCCACAACTTGCTTTCAAACATTCCGGCGCTGTTGGTGCAGGGTCGTAGTGATCTCCTCCGACACCCAGACACGTTTGCGCTTGGTTCCGTTCTCTGAGGGAGCCTGTTTGCGCTGCACTTTGAACAAACGACAGGACGTCCGCGCGACATACCACCGAGTCCTCGAGGTGAAGGCCATGCGATGCTTCGGGTTCGAGGTGCGTGGAGGCCGCGTGGCGAGCGGATGGGCCGACATCGGCGACATGGCTCTTTCCATCAGAAATCGGCTCAAACAGAAGTGAGGCACTGTTTTTCGCGGTAGTGGTGGCAGCCGTCAAGGTCTTCGTGTGAGGGGCGGGGACGCCAAGTGGCGGCGTGATGATGGTGGGGTTCTCGTACGACGTAGTGGTAGTGTCGTCCGCAGGCTCATGTTGGGACTTCTTGGCTGGATCCTCGTTGGTCACGTCTTTTAGTGATTTGCCCGTGGTCTTGGGAGCTGCCACCTTCTGTTGCGTCGTTTGGGGTCGTCGAGCAGGCGCACGCTGGAGTGGACGTGTCGGTCAGCCGGTGTCGACCCAAGTCGAGTGGAGGTCGCCAGAAAAGGTCGAATCGAGCACGTGGGGTATGATCTTGAAGCACAGCGGTGAAAAGGACCCACCATGATGTCGGAGGCAGCGCCCCGAGCGCGAAGACGCGTGTGGGTGATCGGAAATGGCTGGTACGACGTCAAGAGGCGGTTCAGCCGAAGCGGCCCGCTTTATATGCCCTGCGCCTCCAGCCTCCCGCTACCCTGGTGTGCGCTTCAAAGTTCGACCGAAGGGAGGAAGATGGCCAAAAATGAGGTGAGCCTCGACACATTTTGGCCCAAAAATGTCCAAATTTGCGGGCTGCCAGGCCTCGGAAGATCCCCAGAATGTCCAAATTTGCCTTTCGGGGGTTCTTCCGAGGCCTTTCGAGGCGCCGAGACCAGCCGAGACTGCACGCTACTGCACGCGGCGCACGGCCCGGTGCATCGCTGAACATCAATGTGCACACGTGTGCATCGGTTGTTTTCGAGTTAATCAGGATACTACACGAGTATGCACTGAATCCAATTTCTTTCAGCCTCCTCTGAAGGTGTTTAGTCGCCCGGAGCCTGAGCTTAAGTTGACGTGCCCGGGCCCTTCCATCGGTTCCCCCCCGGCCCTTGCATGTTCCTGCCATGTCTCCCACAACTATTCTTCCTCCGATGCTGAATCTTCATACCTTGTATTGTCCCGCCGATCACTTCTCGTGGATCATGGTCCTCGCCCTACTCCTGCTCCGCCTCGGCTCGACGTGCATTCGGCGGCGGCGGGTCTCGCAACGAAGCCGGTCTTGCGAGTGGGGGTGGGGGCCGCAAGAGTCGAGAGTCAGGCGTCGGCGTGCTTGCCAGTGAATGAAGCCATGAAGGAGGGTGGGTACCCCATCCAATGGGTTCAGAGGATCAAAGATGTAGTAGACTAGTTGGGCTTTGACCGATGATCCCCTGGGTCGATGACTCGAGTACCACGCCATGTCCAACCGAACTGAGCGGTATGATTTTGGAGAGACGAAACTCGTCCAAAAAGCGCTTACTCAATACATTCGATCGGCAACCAGAAAGCCCAGTGAGTGGACAGAACCAACCGGCTTGAGAGATACGGTTTATGCAATAGAGTGGACCTCGATAAAGATGCGAGGAAAATCCCGATTCCGAAAAAGCCCCACGGCGGCCGCGCAAGCACTTGCAAGTAAACCACTAGTCTTCTCGGCGAAGGGATCGGAAGAGCTGATCGGGGGAAGACGGTTGAAGTAGGTGATGGTTGTACCCTCCCATAGAACTCCAAGGAGTGGAGAAAAGGAGGAACGAAATTGTCTGATGTCATCTACAGTCACGGTTCCGGTTCGGGCGACTACTAGTAGTTCGGGCCGGATCCACGCAGTGCCCGGCCCCGGCGCTCTCAGGCTGGTGTTTGTCTCCGTCCGGCGTGGAGTTTGGACGGCGATCCAGCACGATCATGTCGACGCGATCGCGAACGAGTCGAGCGCCACGTGACCTGCCACCGCCGCTACCCCCAACACCGTCGCATTTCAAGGCCGAGTCGAATGCTGGGACCGGTATGAATGGGAATGGGTCCAAGTCGCCGGTGTCGTCGCCGCCGCCGCCGGGGAATAGACAGCCGCCGTGGTGGAGACTGTCGTCGTCAGAACGGGACGTGCTGCTCGTCAGTTTGCTCGTCAAGCTGCTGCTCTTTCCCGCCTAGTGAGTTCACATTTACTTACGGGGGTCGAGATTGGTTTTCATTGACACGAGATCTCGTCTCCAGCCGTTCGACGGACTTTGAAGTGCATCGCAATTGGTGAGGACCGCTCGTCGCCAGCTCGACGCGTCGTCGTCTGCCATCCGAGGCTCATGTCACGGTTCGTCTTGACAGGCTAGCGATCACGCACTCTCTCCCACTCTCAAGATGGTATTACGATGTACGTCGTCGCCTGACCCGTGGTTCGACGCGATCGACGTGCGCTCGCTGACGACCACTGCGCTTCCCCCACTTCAGACCACCTCGATCTGGACGCTCGACTATCCCCCCTTTTTCGCCTACTTTGAGCGTGTCCTCGCCTTCTTCGCCTACATCGTCGATCCGAAAATCGTACGGCTCGACAACCTCGAGTACGCCGCATGGTCCGTCGTCGCGTTCCAGCGAACAACCGTCGTGCTCTCCGAGCTCGTTCTCGCCACCGCTTTGCTTATGTCTGTGCCCCTGTGTCCTTTCTGGCCGAATACACGTACACAAGTGCTAATGACTGCTGACCGCTTATGTCTGTACATAGGTGGTCGAGACGGTCCAAAAAGCCCGATCACACGACCGCGTTCCTCATCGCCGCCTCGGTCCTCCTTCATCCGGGGTTGATCATTGTCGATCACATCCATTTCCAGGTTAGTAGGACCAGCCGAGAAAAAGCATGTATGTACACTAGCTGACCAGGGTTCTCGTCACTTGTTTAGTACAACGGTTTCTTGCTCGGGATCCTTCTGTGGAGTGTCGTGGCAGCTCGCGAGGTCAGTTCTGGGGCCCCACCTGCCCCATCTTTCGACGCGTCCGACGATCCGCTCAACCATGTGTGACACACTTTATCTCGGTCTTGGTCTCGGCCTTACAACAGGACAATCTTTACCTTTCTGCAGCTCTTTTCGCCGCACTGCTCAATTTCAAGCACATTTTCATCTACCTCGCCCCACCTTACTTTGTGTTCCTGCTGCGGAGACATTGCTTCTCGAGCGGTCGTCAGTTGCCCCCCCCCCCCGTTGCGAACGCGCAAGAACATCAAGGAACTGACTCAGATACTGCGCTCTTATAGGTTTCCTCTCTGATCGGCTGGTCGAACTTGGCGCTCTCGTCACCGCCGTCTTTGCCGTCGCGTTTGGCCCCTTCCTCCTCGCCGGAGGTCCTTCTGCGATCCGACAAATCCTTTCTCGACTATTCCCCTTCCAGCGCGGCTTGAACCACGCCTACTGGGCGGGGAATGTATGGGCGATCGTATCGACCGTCGATCGAGTGCTCGTCAAGTACTTGCTGAAGAGGGGCTGGCCCATCTCTCCCGACGCCATTACCTCAGCGTCTCGAGGGATCGTCGGCAAGACGACCTTCGGTGTTCTGCCGACCGTGACGCCAGGCCTATGCTTCACGATCACCTTGAGTTTCTCGATGATCTATTTGGCCAAGCTGTGGGTCGATCCGACGTACAAGCGCTTCTTGGACTCGCTTGTGCTGTCGGCGTTTACGAGCTTCTTGTGGGGGTGGCATGTGCACGAGAAGGCCGTGCTGTTGTTCTTGGTCCCCTTGAGGTGGGTGAAATAGCTCGTTGCACAACGCCTTGGTTCTACCAGAAGCTGAAGCGTAATATCGCATTCCTCAGTTTGACAGCGGCCGAGGACGAACACCACCTGCGAACGTTCATCGTTGCGACCACAGCCGGCGTCTACTCCCTGTTCCCGCTCCTGATCAAACCCAACGAAACGCCCGTCAAGGTCCTCTACTCATTGCTCTGGGCTGCGATCGTCTTCCCCGCCGTCCGCAAGGTCGTGTACCGACCTTTGCCCAACCTCATGTCCGTCTTGATCAACTATGGCGAGTTGTTGTACCTCGCTGGCTTTGCCGTGCTGCACCTTTGTAAGTTGCCTATTCACACTCTTTCCTGCATGAAAGATCCCTGGCTGATCGCGACACATTCGGGTCCACGCCGCAGACACCGAGGTCCTTCACGGCATCCTCTTCAGCACTCCTTCAGCCTCTTCCGCTGCCGCCCAAATCGTCACCTCTCTCCCGACCCACATCGTGAACGGTACCGCGATGCTCTGCGGATCCCCGGGCGGACCAGCGTGCGCCGCCGAACCACTCGCCAAAGTCGCGGCCGAATCAACGATGGAGTTCCTGCCTCTGATGCTGACGAGTCTCTATTGCAGTGTGGGAATCATTTGGGCCTGGTTGAGGTTGAGCGTGATCTACTTGTGGACGTGAGGGGCAAAGTTGCGGTGTACGAAACAGAGATCATGTAATGTCAAACCAACGCGACAATCATGCGGGAAGCGGAGCATGCGAAAAGGAGAGCTTGTGAAGCACAGGGATGTGATCGAGACGTCCTGGAGCGAGCCCTCTTTACCGACGACCTTCTTGATGACTTGCTCGCTCAAATTGTAAAAGCTGTCGATCAATTGCCGAGGGAACGAGGCCAGCAATCAGCTGCCGCCATCGACAACGGGGGCAATCCCTAATATAAGGTATCAAATTCACGTCTCGATACTGCGCCTCGTTCGTCTCGTCTCTTGGAGGTAGCGTTGCACGAGGGCCCGTAATATATTCCCAGGGCAAAGGTTTTTTCATCTGGGTCACTTGGAGCCCCTTGACTCGAAGTGATGACCATACAACCCCCCTTCAAGGCACGAAAGACCTGAACAAAACTTTGCTGAGCTTGGCCCTTACGTACAAGCTGCTCGGTCCAGTGTCCATCTTGACGACTTCTTCGTCGTTGAAAAGCAAGGCCCCAAACTCAAGCTCAGACCTCCAAGGTGAGGCGGTGGTTCCCTACGGGAAATCCACGCAACCGCAGTTGACCGCGGTTGGACGATGGCGCCGAAGTTAACCGCAGTTCAACCGCGGGCACCGCGGTCCGACCGCGGTGCCCGCGGTTGCGCGGATTACCAACTGCGGTTGCAACTGCACGAGGTCGCCAACTTGGGAATGGTCCATTACGCCCTGCAATTCTCAGTTGGCTCATAGACTAAGCGAGAACAGCCTGACTTTGAGACCTTATCTAGTGCAGCAAACAACTCGTGATATAGTCTCGAGTGGTGCTCTAATTACATACATCAACCTAAGAATGTGTAACATCTCCAGATTCGAAGATGTGGTGGTCTTGGAATTGGACAAGGTTTCTAAAGGATTGAAGCTAATGAGCAATTGGAAAAACCGGGCCCCTGTATCTTCAACCGGACGACCGAATGGAGAGCGCTCTGCCTCGTGTCAGTGCCAGGCGTCGACTCGGCGCAGAGGGGTCGCAGTTGAATGTGGAAACACAGATATCGCATATGTGTCGGGAGCTGTTACAGCTGGCCCTGCGCCTTGCAAGCTCGGCCGCGGTGGGAGGCGACCGCATCGTATTCGGGATGATGGACACGAGTTGGCGGAGACGCTCGACGCCGATCAGGCTGAGGGTGCGAGGACCATCCACATCGAATCTCTCGTACAACCGCCGGATGTCCATGGCAACTGGGAAGACATCGACCAACGAAAGCAATCGCTTCTCCTTCAGCGTCGTTATACCTAGCTCAACAAAACACACAACTTCGCCGGCGCGCTGTGAATTGTCGGCCTCCATTGACATCTGTGGATCCCAGATTGGCTGTCAAGAATCTCTCGGCTGACATCAGATGCGATGAGTTGTTTTGGTGGTACTCACTCGCACGAATCTAGCCGTCTTGCAGTTGACGGTGCCTTGCGTATTTCGCATCTCGTTACCAGATCCAAGCAACGTGATTGCCGATGCACCTGCACCCTCAAGGCGCCGCCATCCTTTGTCGAGCGAGCTGCCAAAGTCCATCGCATAGATGGTTCTTGGTGTAGTCGTTTGCATTCGACCCCAGAGAGTTATCGACGCGACACTGCCTCCGTGGAAGACTGCGACCTCTTCGGTCAAGTCAACGAAATTTTGCGAAGGGCGTTGCGCCGTTTTCTTGAGCGTGTGCAGCTTGTAGGCCGGCAGCTGGGCATGCAAGGCATGATCCCTCGGCAAAGTGTCCCGGAGATCGTCCATTGTAGGTATATCGTACTTGAGTCGGAGGATCATCATCATGTTCCGCATCTCCGCCGATTCATGCCAGACTCGACGGGTTTTGACTTGCTTCTCATCCCCCCTTTGATGTAACCCATCATCGTCTCCGTTCCGCAAGCCGAGTACTCGCGAGGCGGCCCCATTCTTTTCATAACATCGGGAACGTGCATAAGATCGTGGCGGGGGAACAGATGAAGGAACTCGGGATCTCGATCATAGAGAAGCTTCTCGCGCAGTAGCAGCGTCTGTTCGATGAGAACATAGAGGTAGGTGTACGTGATGGGAACCTCGCCCTTTTCATCGAGCTCGTACAGGCGAAGTTTTTCGAGCCGGTCCACGTCCGGTAGGCGATCGAAAAAGTCAACGGAGTCATCGCTGAAGACATCGGTCTTCATCGCCGCAAACATTCGGATGGTGAGCGCCGTCAGTCGCTCGAACTCGGGTTCCTTGAATTGCTGGTACGAAAGCGGTCCCAGGTCACGCAAGATGAACAGTTCCCGTTCGATTGCTTTACATTTTTCCTTTTCTCGGCTAAGGGCCTGACAATCACACCCTCCACTCTCGCAAGGTGTCAGAACCCAATCATACTGATTCTCTTCTAATTCTATTTACTTCTCATGCCACTATTCCACTCCTACTTTGCACTCCTTCTTTAGCCTATTACCCTCTACGCCGGATCCCAGCGCCTGATCGAGACTCGGTTGACACGTTGGCTTGGGTTGAAGTCGCGCGCCTCGCGGGCACTCGTCTCTCTTCCTTCTTCATCCATCTTCCATCCTCGATCTTGCGCTCGTACTCAACCCCTTGAGTCGGGATCCAGGTCAGTCCTTTTGCAATGCTTGATCCATCTTCCATCCTCGATCTTGCGCTCGTACTCAACCCCTTGAGTCGGGATCCAGTCCTCCATACTTCTCACACAAGGTACGGCCGAGACAACAGCTGCGCACGAGTCATGCGAGCGATCGCGTCGGAGGTCAACGTCATGGAGTGCCTGCGTGCTTTCGAGTCCAAGTCGCCGACGAGGATATTGATGAAAGTGCTTCCACTGTTGATACCAATCAGATGCATATAATCCAATGGTAGGAACGTGGAGTAAGCATCCTTGAACAGGTCAAGCGCCTCGATCGGAGCTTCGCCTGAGATCCCCGTGCGACGCCGCAGCGATTCGAGCTTGGTCGGGTGTCGTTTCATTGCTTCACCCACCCGACAGTAGTGCTTGTAGTTGTGCTCATTATCCAGTCGAACGTCCCGTCCACCAGGGGTTTGGAATGTCGTGGCGGTGTCGACAAGCCCAGCCCACTCGGGATGGTCGAGCACCGATACGATCACTCCCTCGTCGTTTTCGAACGCTTTCGCATGAGGAACACAGAACGGCAGATAGCCTTTGGTGTTTCCAGGTGCGTAATGAGGTATGCTGATGATCGAGCAGATCAAGCACGAAACGAGGCCTCTTGCTCCCACGAGGTTTCCAAGGCCTGCTTGCTCCAGCGTGTCGGCTATGCAAGCCACGATCCTGTCTCTGCAAAGCACGTGCCTGTCCCGAGCGGCTGAAAAGTATGTACGCTCCCCTTCGAAGATGTAGAGCTGTTGACAGAGTGTTTCGAGGAATGACTTTTCGTCTTTGGGTTTTTGAGGGCCGTTCACGGAGATGACAGTGCGATGATAGCTTCCAACGAAGTTCGGGGGGCAAGGTCATGGGTATCACCCCAGAGATGTGGGTGTTGACCTTGCGATTGGCGTTGGAGTGCGCGAGCACTTCGGTTCCGTCGGAGAATGTTGCAAGAGGGATGTCATCCGGCTTGAGATCGCCGTTTGCGTAAAGCCTTCGTGCGTGTAAGCCGTCGACCCATCGCTTCACGACCGGGTAAGAGCCCGAGTCACTGCCTGACGCCTTGTACAAGTCGACGACCTCGTCGCTCGGCTTGGCATTGGCGAGGGTAGGGCCGAGTACTGGGTGTGCACGAAGCGCGTTAACAAAAGGGCCGGGGTCATGAAAGCGCTGCGTTGACCGCTCAATTTTCTCGCCATTCTTGCCCAGCGTGAAACGTTTCTCGCGGCACCCGCGCGTCGGACACTCCTCAAGATCTTGGAGTCGTTTGGCGCCATAGGACAGGCAACCTTTGGGGCACTTGCCGATCTCCAAAGTTCTGAAGCTGGTGAGATGTCGTATCGCTCGGACCATTTTGTACTCGGACATGTTGCTGAGGTCAGCGTTGTGGAAGGTGTAGGTGCGCAGTGAGGTTAGCCTGTCCAAGCGTCCCTCAAAAGCGATCCCCGGCGGCCAGTCCGGTCAAACATTACAGTAAGTAACTTGTTGCCGGGATCACATTGGACCTCAAGAGAACTAACCGTACATCGAGCCTGTACTCGATCTAACCGTGCAAGAGCTTTCGCGCTTGGACTTCGCGTGAACTTGAAGGGCATTGCGGCCTCCTTGGACGGGCCCCTCAAATGCTCACGGCGAAGAATCGCAAGGCGGCGGCGAAAGGACTATTTCCCGTCAGTCACCCCTATTCCGCTGTTACACAGCTTTATCTCTTGCGAGTCAGGAAACTAACCAGCATGCTTGGGGTCAATCGGTCCTTGCGTAGGAGCTGGCGGCTCAAATCGATGGGCACTCTCAACTCCAGCATTTGGAGATTGGCGGATGGGAACTTGGGCGCGCTCGCGCTTCGCGCTCGGACCTCTTTGAACTTGGACTTAGAATACCCGAGCTGCGACTAGCGCAGCTCTCTCTTTCTCTTTCCTTAACGTTCCCAATCTTTTTCTATCCGGAATCTTTGTTTGCTCACTGCGCTGCTCCTCATAGGTTAGTGTAATACATCATGAAAGTTCCCAATCCTATTACTCGGCATCTTCGTTTGCTCACTGCGCTGCTCCTCATACGTCCAACCTGCTTGCAAAAGTCAGGCAAACTAACCAGATTTTTGCCGATTAGATTTCCAATTTCCAATCGACTTTCACTGCTTGAAGCGCGCACGAAGCGCGCGCCGCCTCTCTCCATCCTGCTCCACGCATGCCGACAGCATGGTCACCCCCGACTCAACTGAAGCGCCCTTGGCATCGCCAACTTGCAGCATTCGACTCACCGACTTGATCGGCACCAAGTCAGTGACTGAGTTTAGATGACTTACAATCTCGATGCTACCCGGTCACTCAACATGGCCCGTGCTTTTGGTGTCACGTGTCCGACCCGGCCTCGCTCGATAGTACGTCGCACCGATCACGCTGACGCAGATCCCACTGATCAGCAGCTTGTTCCACCGACTCTGTGATGCTCCCCAGGTTAACTCGCCATCTGGTATCCTTAGTTCGTGTACTAACCACATCAATCAATTGTTCTGCACTGGGACCTAGCCTTGCTCGGCGGTCCGAGTCACATGCACTTGTCTCTGTTCAGGAAGCCCACAGGTGGCCATTCTTTGACTTCGAGAGAAGTGTGAGCAAGCTTGCTCTATCGTCCGCTCGCTGATGCCAATGTGCTTGCATTAACATCGAGAACAGTGCCACAGGCCACACTGCTTCGCCTCCGAGTCGATGCTGTAGACGGGAGCTTCGAGGTGAGCAGTCAGTCGGTTATCCAAGCTCGACGAGAAGATGTTTAAGATGTGTACAAGCATATTTCAGGACCTGATGTTGAACTATAGGGTGAGTCTCTAGTTCGCTCCTACACTATGACCGGGCTGATTCTGATCCGTCGCGCGACAGCAGGCGTGCTTCCGATCGACGCTTCGAGTTTGATCAGTCGAGTGAGTCAGCCACCAGACTGAGTCTGAGGTAATCCACTGAATATAGCGCGACACTCATCATCAGCCTTGTGTGTCATTGACAGGTTTAGTGGCAAGATTCGAGGGTGGAAGGTGAGTCGGCGTTGCTGGGCCCGAGTCTTCGCGCCGATCCGACTTAGCGATTTCACGAGTTGAGGCCGAGTGCCTCATCAGGCCTCAGGCTCAAGGTTCGTCTCTTGGTTCGAGTCGTATGCTTGATATAATGCAATGGCATTGGCAGCGCCACTTTACTATATCTTTACTGTACATGCAAAGGAGAGCGAAGAAAGGGATAGTATAGGCTGCTACATTATTACAACCGCGGTCACAAAAGTTCGTAACCGCAATCACTTAAATTGGCCTATTACAACTGCGGTTAGTGCGGTTGCGACTGCGGTTGGGTATTTTGCAACCGCGGTTAAAGTGCACCTCCGCAATCCACTTTCTAGGCCTGAAGTTGAACCGCGGTTACACTTTCGAATGGCTGGACGGGCGACGTCTGTTCCACCAACCGCGGTCAACTGCAGTCGACTGCGGTCCAACTGCGGTCAACTGCGGTTGCGTGGATTTCCCGTAGGGGGTGGTTCTCTGACGAAAGGGTGAAGATGCGCACGTCGGCGCCGGGCATACGAGAGGTCTTGATTATGACGAGTAACAAATGAGAGAGTATGATATGGTGCGAGAGATTGTTGATCGTCAAGTGGGCATCGTAGCCATCGCCCATCGGGTGGCAGTGGCAATGAGCCAATGACCATTGACAGGCATCCGAGTCCATCAGCAAAATGGCCAAACGCGCGTAAGCGCGCGGAACCTCGTAAAGCAGTCGTTAAGCGGCCTAGAGCTGCTCTTAAGTATACTTAAGCGCCCTTAACCACTCGTTAAGCCGCGCGCGCGTTAAGTGTCGCTTAAGTGTACCCTAGATAAAGGACTCTTACGGCGCGCTTACGGCGCGCTTAAGACTCCTCGCGCGCTTTGTTTGCATACGCAAAGCGGTCCGTAAGCCCTCTTATGCGGCGTAAAGCGGTTCTAAAGCGACTTTATCCGAACCACAGACCGTGTTTTAAGCGGCTGTTTAGGCAGTCTTATCTTCGCAGCCCCTGATCTGTTGTCATTATAAACCTATGTTACACTCATATACTACAGTCAAGTGAAGAGAGACTCTTCAAAGTCGCAAGCCCGTTGGGCTGTGATCCTCATCTCGTCACTGGTTCCCCGCCTAGAAACCCCGGGCCCTCGATACTCCTCGAGGAGTGCTACTTCCACGCTGTTCTGTACTCGATTGGTGACTCGTACCTGCATAGCTTCTGAGTAAAAAGGCCCAGAGCCTTCTCTACGACGCCTACGCAGTATGGCCATGACGGGACCCTGATAGTGAGTGGCCGAGAACTCGTGCCAGAGCGCTACGGTTTGCTTCGCCACATTCGCATTTCTGCCAGCGTCGGACGATTCGGGGAGCGATGGGGGCGGCGTAAGGACCTGCATGGCATACCGAACCTGATCCGTCATAGCAAGAATGTAACGATATGATTGGTAGTTTGAAATGGACATTGCTGAACAGTTGAGGAACTTACGCCGGCATATGCATGAGTCAAAAGAGCGAATGCAAGCTCGCGATGATCATTGTCGTTCGGGTCGAGGCCTCCCTTTGGCCATTGGAAAGCAGCAGATTTTTCTTTCCTTATGCCGGCGACGATCTTAACAAAGATCTCGTATAGAAGGTCGTTCTGAAAATCATCCTCGGCCTCGAAGGAGCAATCATTCATGTCGACCCCACCCTGAGGGAGAAAGATGTTGTAAGCAGCTCGAAAATATTCTGCATGAAAATAGTTTGAAACCAGGCGCCAGCGACCATCTTCTGCTCTAGAGTCAAGTCGGATGCTTGTCGGTGGTTGGGCTTTGAATCCAAAGTCTCTTGATCTATTGGCTTGCGGTTGTGCGCCCCGTCGTAGGGGGCATTGACATCGAGGTTCCTTTTGACCAGGGGCGACGATCTCGCAAACGACGAAGACGAGCCTGGTGTACGACTGGCAACCCTACCTTGCGGTGGATTGCGTCTTAAAGCTTGTCCGGCGATTGAGGACTGTAGAGCCTGAGCCTTGGGCTGGGGCGTCTGCAAGTGTTGATACGACCCATTGAATGCCTGCACGCAAGTACCGAAACCTGCTTGAATGCTACTCACTACGCCTGGAATGACGCTTTCGTCATCATCGTCCATGATGCTGGTCGCTACCTTGTTGACAATGGCGACAGTTGCGGCCCCATCGGCGCCATCCACAACCGTGGGTCCGACTAAGTCTTCGCCCTCGTCCGAGTCTGCCTCGTCCTGACCGTTGTCCGAAAAGTCACAGGGGTCCTCGGCTTGTCCACCCAACAAGGTCCTTTATAGCAGGATCGATATAGGAGTCCTCGTCGCCGCTATCTTCGTCGCTGTATGGCTCAACAGAAGTCTGCTGTGCACGGAAAAGCTGACGTGTGGTATCTGCATGAACGGTGTGAAGAGAAGAGGTGCGTGTCACCGCAAGCCTGGACGCGTGTGCAGGGGCTGCTGGGGGTGCACTGGAAACAAGGACGGGCGAGGCCTCAGTTCACCTACATTCAAGAAAAGATACAGTAGAGTTAAGAGATCACACTTGCACGTACTTCTCCTTCTGCTCCTTTGCGGCTTTGTGGCGTTGCCAAGCGTCTTGCTTCTTCGCTGCGTTGATTTGGCTCACACCGACAGCGACGTCGAGTCGCCGCCGCTTGTTGTCGGCCGCCTTCGTGTTCGCCGCCTTTCGTTTTTGCTGGGCTTGCGCCCTCTCCCGTCGGTCCGCCGGCGTGTCGCGGTCCCGCATTGTAGCAAGGTGCACAGACGCGGTGGCACTCGTTCGAGAAGGTCGAGAAGACATGTGAACAGATCGCTGGACAGGCACTGGGTGGAAGGGCTACGACCGAGACAAGACGAGAGGCGAGGAAGGGACGGTGAGTGAGTGAGGAGGAAGAGGGAGGGAGTCAAAAGGTGGTAAACAGAACGAGCGCGCGTGACACGTCGCATTTGTTGTTCGGTGTTTTTTTAGGGCGCGGTTTAGCGTGCGCCAACATATGCAGTGGCCCCTATGCTGCCACGTCGCGCCGCAACGCGCCAGCTGCGCGGCGTAGTTTTGGACAACTTAGCGCATTTCGAGAAAATGCGCCTGCATTCAGGCTGTGTTTACGCGCGTCCCTTGCCTTCCTCCAGCTTCAGTCCACTCTCGCTGACAGTAGACTCGTCGTACAGGCCTTCGGGATGTCGCTTGAACATGAAGGCTCTCGTTCGCAAATGAGTCAATTCCGATGCAACATTGCTGGTTGTCAGAGATCATTCCACCATGTGCGCAATCTCGAAGCACATTTGCACATTCACGAAAGGCCCCGACCGCTCGACCGCGTACTACCCACGTCAGCGGCTGCTGAACGAAGTCACCTCCAAGTTCTTAGACAACAGCGCTCTCGCCAAGAGTTCTTTCGCCGACGCCGCAGACGACAGAAGAACCTCAGAAACGGTTGGCCCGACTGCGACGTCGATGGCTCGCCCCGCATTTGTTCAGCCGTTGTTAGGCCATGCGGAATTGGCACCCGACCTGGATTTTCGGAATGTGATGGATCAATGGAATGGGGAGTTTGTGGTGAATCTCGCCCAGGATCAACATGTTTTTCGTCACCTTGGGCGTCATTTCACCATAAATCTATTACGTGAAGCATTGCAGGGCACATTGCGGCCTGCTCGACGGCCTCCAGTGGCGGACTCATAGATTTTGCTGGAAAGTTATTTTTGTAGAAATTACGGTGTTATATGGATCAACTACTTCCTGAATATATGCTCCTTAGCCTCATTGAATAAAATCAAGTGAAGCGCCTTTTGATGGGATTTTAGCACAGAAACTTGTTGGGGTCAAGAAAGCAATCCGCCCGCTCGTGTGCAAGTACAGGCTTCGCAGTTACGTATGCGAAGTGTAAGCGAGGTCAAACGTTAAGCGCGCGTTAAGCGATCCTTAAGCAGGGCGAGTCATCGCAGCGCTGGCTATGCGCGGATTATGAGGTTCGCCCAATTCAGCCGCGCGCGTATGCGTCCTTACGCACATCTTATGCACCGTTAAGCGCTGTTAAGCGCGCGTAATCTCGGGCGAATCCTTAAGCGGGTTCGCGCGCGTGGCCATTTTGCTGCGGTCGGCGGTCGGTCGGAATTCGTTGAAGCCGATGAGTCCCTGTGAGCAGCAAGCATCTATCGAGCCTCGGCAAGTGCGAAGCCAGCTCTTTGGCTTTGCTCCTAGTGAAGGTTCTTGAAGCTGACTTGGTCACACTCGATCTCCCTGAGCTTGTTCCCCGGCCCATCCCCACTGAGGCCGGCTTAACCTCCCAAGCCGGCGGCATATTCTTCAGGCGCGGACCGGTCTCAAGCCCCCTTCGCTTCCGGGCCAAACGTTCAACTCTGATCTTGACACGGCGTCTGTGTCGACTCGGTGTGTTGACCGCTCGTAAGCAACAAAGCACACTACACCGGAAAGACAGAGGCCTTGAACGTAGGATAAGGTCCTCGACTTATGGCACACTCGATGATGTTGCTGACTACAGCGTGTCTCGTGACTACGTTCCTCACTCAGGCAGTTCGGCATCACAGCCTCGCGTGGCGGGACCCCCAGTCGGTGTCTCCTGCGCTCGTATTACGGCATCGCCATCTGGCCACCCCACCTGCACGGCCATCTTGCGTCTGATCAAGTGTATCTCAACTCGCGTTGAATCTGCTTGTCCTGGTGCACGTCCTCAAGCAAGGTGTGTAGCCTTTGCTCCAGGTTCCAGCTCAGTCCAACTCGATCAACCCCCACATCGCCCCCCACCGACCATCGGCGGCTCGAGTCGACCATGTCGGTATTCTCCAGCTCTACCGGGCTAGATGCCACCGGTAATCCCATAGTCGATAGGCCCCTTCGCTACCCGTGGGCAGCGCCGACTGGCGTTGGAGGTCCCTTCGTACCGTCCTATGCCTTTTCAACTCCGGACCCAGCGAGTCGTGCTCGAGGCGCCACAACGGGCACGTCGGCATCAGCAGGCCAAGCACACGCTCCAAGATTTGGACATGGATTCCCAGCTTTGGGAAGTCCCCTCCCCGTCTCTACGGGCACGCCCTCCATGTCGATCCCGAATCAGACTCGCCCACAGTCGACCAACCTCGTCGGCTCCCCACCAGTACCACTCGGTGCCTCACCACCACCTGCGTCGAACGTCTCGGCAAGATCTTCCCCTCGACCCGCCGATCGCCGTACACCGTCGGCACTCCTGGGCGGGTTCCCCAATCGCAACATCGTTCAGGCTTCGGGATCTGGAGCAAATTCTCGACGACAGAGCTCTGTGCATACCACCCACCCCGGAACTACAGCTGGTTCGATACCAAGAACGGACGTCCAGTCTCGGCTGTCCAGAGGGAACGGCTTCGCGAATCCCTTAATTGAGGCGGAGGACGCTGTGAACGAGTGGACCTTCTTCGTACGTGTACACAATTGCGCACAAGGTCTCGTGGAGAGTTTCAGCTAAGGACAAAGGACTCCGCTTTGAACCCGCAGGGCGTGGAATTCACAATCACAGATGTCGCGGCCCACGCAGAGGCCACCCGGATCGCCACGGAGACAGAGTCCACCAGTGCCGGCTCGGCCAATCGGGACCGTCAAGCCGATCACGGTACCAGCCCGGGCTCGATGGGAATCGAACTGCTGAGCGCCAACTTTGGTGGCGAGCGTTGGAGGGTCGAGTTTTTGCGCCGACAAAGTCCCAACATCTCGTCCAAGCTCACTCTGTTCCTTTCGTGCCATCTCCTCGAAACGTCCTACTCGCCTGACGTGATCCCCACTCAGTTGATGCTGGGAATACGCGAGCCGAGGCAGCAAGCGTCGAAGCGTGGTGGCTCGGAAACCTACCTCTGGCGCCACTGGGTCGACGAGTTTCAGTTTTCTCACGACAATGAGTTCTACGAGACAACCGAACTTCCTTCCTTGCAGTCGCTGCTGGACAGAAGTGACCGGATCCGCGAGCTCGACGCGTTCGTGCTCACGGTGCAAATCGGTTCGCCAGTCGCATCCTTCGCGCCACAGATCCGTGACGCGCACCCCGTGCCGACGTCTCTTCTAGCGGGCGTCAAGAACTTGGTGGACGATGAAGTGACGGGGGATGTCATGATCTATGTCGCAGAGTGTCTCCCCGTCGTGATGCGGACTCCCAGCGGTGCCGACGAAACGCATTCCATCACCGTTGACAGCTCGGCGGTCGCTGCTCCGTCTACAAATTTTCGAAAAAGGGTCATCTATGCGCACAGTGCGATCCTCAAAGCACAATGTTCCTACTTTGATAGCCTCCTCACCGAAGGGTGGGCCGAAACGAGCGCGAACCAGACGCTGGGCATGCGCAGGCGCAGCGTCCTCAAGATCGAAGACTTTGACTTCAACACCGTCTACACGCTCCTGCACTACCTTTACACCGATGAGATTACGTTCCAAGACGTTGAAGACGTGCGCTTGCGTCTATTCGACGAGCTGCCCTTGGGCTGGCTTGGTCCCCACCCCGAGCGCCTGCACTGGGCGTCGTTCACGGTGGAAGAAGCGGAAGGTTGGGCCGAGTCGGGCCACAGCTTCGTAGCCGAGACTTCTGGCAGAGACGACCGACCTTTGAGTGATATTCCAGAGACCACCGATAACCGCAGATCGAGCAAGACCGCATCTCCTCTGCCCTCCAGGACCGAAGCCAAGGGCCGCCTTGCCCTGGGGATCTCGCCCGTGTGTCCCAAGCCTCCTATTAGCGCTGGGTCGGACAAGACGATCTGCGCGCCGCCGTCCCCTTCTCGAGCTATGTCGGCGGCGGGACGCATCTCACCTCTGTTCGGCCCCCCCGGTCGCTCCCCACCTTCAAGTTCGAGGCCTTCGACAAGTCGCAGGTCTATTGGGGTCGGATCGCATCTAATTGCGACCGAGTCTGCCTCGGGTCACCGCGACGTGCTCGAGCCGACGGACCCTCATCCGCACGCTGCTGGTGTGCAAGAACCCGGTCAGTCCCCAGATAGATAGCTCACGCTTACGAGAGCCCTCGAAAGCTCATCGAATGCGCTTGTGTTCTCTCAGCTTCTGCTCTGTCTATGTACCGCATCGCGCATCGTTACTGCCACCCGGCGTTGCAAAAGCTTGCGTTGGAGCAGATCGTCTACACTCTCACCCCGCGCACAGCTTTCCCCATGCTGCTCTCGAACTACCTCTGGCCCGAAGTCTACGAAGCCGTCAAATCCTTCACGCTCGAGCATTTTGAGCTCGTCTCGGCCGACCCCGAGTTCGATCGATGCTACACCGAGGTGGGGGAAGGGTTGTGGGAGCACGGTGGAGCCGTCCTGCTCGATTTGACGAGAAGTCTTATGCCTGCGACTCAATCTCGTTGGTCTTCGTGATATGTGGTTCCTCTCTGGCTTCATTATAGGCTTTCTCACTGTACCCACTTGGGTCGTTTTTGATACCTTATGCATTGTGGATACTATTCCCTTTCTTTATGGCGTCTTCAATCGCCTGATGAAGCGGCGCACTCCAGGGTAAATCTCGACGTCATGTAGAGGAACTCGACCGAAAGTCGCAAGTGCATTCTAACAATCGTAAACCTCCGAATCGCAGCAATGGACCCCAGCAGCCGGGCCGTCGCTCGCCGATTCCCCAATGTGGTTCGTACAATCTTACATTGAATTTCATGATCATGCTCGGAGTGGTAGGTGGAGTCGTCTAGATCTTCTCGATCGTTTCTCCTGTCTTGAGATCAACCTGACGTACCCCATCCTTGTCGGCCACTGTTGGAGCAACAGAAGAATATCAAACTGCGTTCAGCCAGCTGAGCCTCTCGTGCAGTCACCCCACCTCGCTGCAACGAAAGTACTGACCTCGAACGGTAAACGTGCCGAGATTGACGATGAACCTCTTCTCCAATTCGTCGACGCATTTCCTCAACAGGTCCAAGCCTTGTGCCAAGTCCATATCGGGCGAATGCCACCGATCCATCGTCGACAGCGAAAAGTAGGCGCCGTACCCGTGGGCGGCGTAGGGGACCGTTCCGAGCGTGCCGTACAGGTCGATCCAGAACAGTTCGGGCGAGCTGGTCGTTGGGTCAAAGCCACCGAGTAGCAGTTGGACCGCGTACGGCTTGCGCGAGCGAATCGAGGCGGCGAGTTGGTTGCGCGTCCATGATGCGGCGGATGCGGGTCGTAATGGGATGTGATTTCTGTACGCGCAAGTACGAGACGAAGATGGCAGGGGGAGGAGCCAGACGACAGGTGCGGAAGGGGTGGGTGTCGTCAGCGCTCCCGTTGCTAGCTGGCAGGTCAGCAGACTGGGGCAACGTACCGAATCTGGTACAGCCTCAGGTTGCGTTCGACGTATTCTGCGAATTGTACTGTGTCTCCCGGCTCGCCCATGTCTGCAGGAGGTGTACCGTCATTCGCAAGTTGGCACGCGTCGTCATCCCCATCAGGTGAATCGTCGTCGTCGTCAGCTCTCCCGTCCCACACACGCTCAGCAGCAGAAGGAAGCATGGGTGTGATGGCAGCCACTTACATGCCACGACGAGATGCTTGCCAATGACTTTTTGCTTGTCCTCGTCGGCCTTCATGCGCACGATCGAGCGGTTCGCTGACGTATCCGACGCGAAGAGCACATAGTCCTTGCCCGTGATGCCGAAGGCGACTACAACATGGGCAGTGTCAACGCCGTGGCTCGTCAGCTGGTGGGCTCGGTGATGGGCCACTGCTGAGTGTCAGTTTGGGGTGCTCACCTTCCATGTTTAAGCGGGGAGGTGTTGAGTGGTGGTGGTGTGGTGCGGGTGCTCGAGTGGGGGCGGCCGGCGGCCCCGAGCGCAGCGACCGAACAATTCCTTCCTTAGCCCTCCCTAGCCCGGCAAATCGGGATTAGCTCGGCAACATCCCATTTCTGTGACAGCGGGGCAAGATCGCTGATGGAGTTATTCGGTCCGTGCAGCCTTCTCTCCATCAGGCGGCTTCGTGAGTGTTGAAACTTATAATTCCGTATCACTTCTGGAGGCAGACCAACAAACAGAGTACGACTGAATTGTGACTTTTGCGCATCAACTCGTTCGAGCTCGCGGCGGCCTCGAGGCTCGAGAGCTCGCCCCAATCCGAAGTATAGTAGCCGTCCCAGCTGTGCTGTCTGACCACCCGTGATCAACGACATCATGTCTGGGTAGGCAAAATACCTCAAATACATAACATGCCATATGCTCACGAAGTGGGGAAAGTAGCTCCGCTCCAGCGGCGAGTCTCCGAGTCAACGAGTGTCCGGCGCCGCTGCCCTCGTACGCGCCTCTGGGTAAGGGGTCTGTCGGCCTCTCGTTTCACGTGCTCTCAGCCAAATCCCCTCAACCGCGGGCGACCGCTGCTTGCCCACTTCCCTTGCTCTAAAGAGGGGACTTCATTGTAATAAAGTATAGTTGACCGTGAACGCTCTTCTTGGAAAAAAGAAGGTTTTGGATCAACTAGGGGGAACCGCTTGGTAGTCGAGTTTCCTGATGGGATCGAGAAAATACCTCAGGCCTGATTTGGGCGAGGCGAGGCGCGGTCTATCAGGCATGTCAGGGCCAAAAAGCGCAAGGCGAAACACCCTCAGCGAGACAGCGGGCTACCGGGCGCCATAGTGAGTGCGCTTGCATGTGCAACTTGATTGACGAATGACAATCCAGCTTGGATTAGGGCCCAGGAAGCGAAACACCCTCAGGACGATCCAGCGAGTTGCCATGCTCCCGGGAAAAATAAATGTGACCTCATGAGCTGGGGGGCTGCTCGCGTTCGGCGCGCGTCCCTCCCTCCAGGCGAGTGGACACCGCCCCCCCGCCGTGCCCCTTTTACTAGCCCCAGTGCAACAATTTCCGGACACGAGGTCGCCATGGCAAGTGGGGGTTCGAATCGCTTCTTCACCTTTTGACCTCCTTCCATTAACTGCTGGTCTCCATCCGCTTCCCCCTTCACTTCGAATTTCGTACCACCTAGTTCACCATGAGTCCCTCGCAGACCTTCAGCTCCGGCGGCGACGCCGACTCGTTCACGGAGAAGGGCGACCTCGACGGCGCCTCCGAAGCCGCCGACGTCGAGAAAGGTGCTCGACCGCGTCGCACCTTCGCGACCTTGAACTCTATGCCCACGCTCCCCGTGGCTCGTTCAACCCATTTCGGCGCCCACCCCTTGTCGCGACAAAACCATCGCACCCTCTCCCGCACCAACTCGATCTCACTCACCAGCGGGCCCGTACGTGCGAATCCTCATCACAAGTTGCCCGTCGTCTACCGCACGCTTAGCATTCAAGTCACCGAAACACGGCAAGGGCACGAGACGTACAAGAAAAAGGCGATTCAAGATCTTGCGTCGCTCGAATGGCACACCCTGCCCACCGAAGAAGTCTGCACACGCTTGGGCGTTTCCCCCGTCGTCGGCCTCGACACCCAGGTCGCTCAACGCAGGCTCGCCAAGAACGGCAAGAACGTCATCTCGCCCCCTCCTCGTAACTTACCCAAGAAGGTGTGTAAACCATAAGTTCGGAAATCAGTACGTAGTACCTAGTGGATGATCGCTGATCTCCCATACTGTTCTTCTGGCCCCGTGCTCCCCCTTTTGGAAAATCCCTCAAACCTCGCTCGCGCCACCTGTGCAATGACTCCAGATCTTCTTCTACATCTTTGGTGGATTCGGATCACTTCTCGTGGGTGGTACAATCATCTGTTTCCTTTCATGGTGCGTCTCCAATGTGCTGCTCCTCAATTGTTACCTCGAGACTGATGCAGTGGCGCACACGTACACATTAGGAAACCGCTCGGCAACCCCGATCCGCAGACCTCGAACCTGGTCCTGGCCGTCGTCCTCGTCATTGTGATTGCGTTGCAAGCATTCTTCAACGCGTGGCAGGACTACTCCACCGGCCGTACGATGGCTTCTATTTCCGGCATGCTTCCATCTGACGTGCTTGTGTGCCGAGATGGCAACACGTTCACGATCCCGGCCTCCGATCTCGTGACTGGCGACGTCGTCAAAGTAACCCTCGGCTCCAAGGTGCCGGCTGATCTTCGTTTGATCGAGTGTTCGGCCGACTTGCGCTTCGATCGTTCGATCCTTACCGGCGAATCGAACCCCATCTCGGGTACGACTGTGACCACCGATGCCAATTTGTGAGTACCAATCTTTCGACTGCGTCTGCATCCCTGATCTTCGATCCCAGGTTGCTGACCCGATGTTGGCCTCTTTTTGTGTCACTGTGTGCCAACAGCATGGAGTCGCGCAACATTGCTCTCCAAGGAACTCTGTGCCTTTCCGGAAGTGGTATCGGCGTTTGCGTCGGTCTCGGAGACAGCACCGTCTTCGGTCGGATCGCAAAGGACGCAACGGGCGAACGACCCGTCAAGACCTCGCTCGAAGTCGAGATCAGCCGCTTCGTCCTCATCATCGGTTCTCTGGCGTTCAGTGTCGCGTTGCTCATCGTCATCTTCTGGGCCGCCTTCTTGCGCCGCAAACACCCCGCCTTCATCAACGTTCCTACCCTCCTCATCGACTGCGTGTCCGTCGCGATCGCCTTCATCCCCGAAGGCCTGCCCGTATGCGTCACGCTCAGTTTGACCGTTATCGCCGGCTCGATGAAGAAAAAGAACATCATGTGCAAGACCTTGGCTACCGTCGAGTCACTCGGTTGCGTATCCGTCATCTGCTCCGACAAGACGGGTACGCTCACCCAGAACCGCATGACCGTCGTCGACATCGTCGTTGGGGACAAGATCGTCTCGACCAAGGATGCGCAAGCACTGGCCGCCGGCGGAGGTGAACTCAATATCAGTCGTCGAGCGGTTATGACCTTGTCATCCATCGCTGGTCTGTGCAACGACGCCGCATTTGGCTCCGCCGATACCAACCTGCCAGCCCACGAACGCAAAGTCAATGGTGACGCCACCGACACGGGACTCTTCCGATTCGCCGAAGACTTGTCCCGCGTAGCTGAGCTCCGAGCCCTCTGGAAGGTAGTCGGCAAGCTCGCTTTCAACAGCAAAAATAAGTTTGCGATCAAGGTCTTCGCACCCTTCGACGCCGAGAAACACGATGCTACGCTGCCCCCTCTGCTCGAGTCAGACGACTACCACCCCGAGGACTGCTTGATGCTCGTCAAAGGCGCTCCGGACGTCCTCATCAAGCGTTGCTCGACCTACATGGACATAGAAGGTCAGATCCTCGCTCTCGACGACGCGGCCATCACTTCCATCTCGAGTCGTCAGATCGAATTGGCGGAACAGGGCAAACGGGTCTTGCTCCTCGCGCGCAAGGTCCTCCGCAGGGATCAGGCCAATGCGACCAACCTCGACGATGAGGATGCGCTGCTCGAACTCAACACGGATCTGACGATTGTGGGCTTGGCTGCGCTCGTCGACCCTCTGCGAGACGATACTGCCGAGACGGTTCGAGTTTGCCGCGGCGCTGGAATTCGTTTCATGATGGTAAGTATTTCGGTCGTCAGGGTTTTTCATTACTTGCTGGCTGACTCAATGTAACTGTTCTTCCAGGTCACGGGTGACATGTCCGTAACGGCCGTCTCGATCGCACGATCCGCTGGCATCATCACGACGTCCAAGGTCCATGGGCTCGCCGACTTGCCTCGCGATCTGCCTGAGGATTCGATCGCCCCCTACGACGCCAACAAAGCCCTCGACGCACCTCTTCGCTCGATTGCGCTCAGTGGTCCCGAGCTCATCACCATGACCGCCTCTCAATGGTCTCAGGTTATGTCCTTCGACGAGGTCGTCTTTGCTCGCACGTCACCCCAACAAAAACTTCAGATCGTCAAGTCGTACCAGGCCACGGGTTGCACCGTCGCCGTTACGGGTGACGGGTGCAACGATGCGCCTGCCTTGAAGCAAGCCGACGTGGGTGTGGCCGTCGCTGGTGGTTCCGAGGTCGCCATGGAAGCTGCGGACTTGATCTTGCTCGACAACTTTAGCGCCATCGTCGTCGGTATCGAATCGGGTCGACTCTGCTTCGAGAACTTGCGAAAATCGATTCTCTACCTCTTGCCTGCCGGATCGTTCTCCGAGTTGATGCCGGTCCTGGTCAACGTCTTCTTCGGCCTTCCCCAAGTGCTCTCCAACATTCAGATGATCTTGATTTGTGCCGTCACCGAGTGAGTTGAAAGTGCATCCTCCGAAACCGCATGTATCGTATGTTGACTCGCCCGATCTCCGCAGTGTCCTTCCCGCCCTTTCTCTATGTTTCGAGAAGCCCGAAGCCGACTTGCTCCTTCGCAAGCCTCGCGACCGTAAGAAAGAACGACTCGCTGATGCGAAGCTCCTCGGTCACGCCTACTTTTTCCTTGGCGTCCCCGAGACGTTGACGGCTATGACGGGTGCCTTTTACTTCGGCTTCCACCGCCACGGCGTCCCCTTCTCGTCGTTGTGGCTCAACTACTCATCCGTCGTTGACGCGGGCCTCCTCAGCAAGGCGCAGTCGATCTACTTTTTCAACTTGGTCCTGATGCAGTGGTTCAACCTGCTTTCGACGCGCACGCGTCGCTTGTCCCTCGTCTCTCAAAACCCATTGGGTTCGCCCCGAACCCGCAACTACCGCCTGTTCCCCGCCATGGTCGCTGCGCTCCTATTCGCGATCGCGTTCTCCTACATCCCTTGGTTCCAAAACATCTTTGGCACCACGACCGTCGGTATCGAGTTTTACGGCTTGCCTCTCGCTTATGGAGCGGCGCTGCTCATGTTCGATGAGGTACGAAAAGCGATCAACAGGAGGTACCCGGACGGCCGCTTGGCCAAGATGGCATGGTGATCGGCCCCTTGTGTACTACTATAAGCAGCGTCGAGTTGTTTCAGCATAGTAAGCCGCATTGATGGCAATATAATGTTTGCAAGACTAAGAGACCGAGTGACAATGACCTCGGATTTGAAGGAGCACGCCCGGCCGAGGTGGAGGTGAATAACGTAACAAGAGAAAGACGATGGGGTGAAGGGGAGGTTGACGGTAGCAAGGTCGAATATGAAAAAGAGGAGCATGAAATGAGGGTATGTCGAAGGTGGACGTGTAAGGGTGTAGTAGGGGTGAAGGCAGTGGATGAAGGTGGAGGTGATTCGGGGTGGAAGCCAAGGTGATGGTGATGGGGGTGATGGGTTAAGGTGAAGACGAGAATTGGATGTGCCGGAAAGATAAGATGATTTGAAGAAGATGAATGGGGATGCAAAGCTGAAGGTAAGAGCAAGATCAGTCCAATCCCGTTGCAACCCCTGGGTCACCAAGGTCACCCCGACCCGCTTCGACCTGATTTGCAGCAGCAGCAATAAGCAAAGCAGCGTTCACGATCGATCGCGCGGCTTCCACCCCCCACAGGCTCGAGCGGCTCGATTTAGGATCTATGGATACGAAGATCGCCACGGAGCTGAAGAAGGAGATTCGCAGCCAAGCCGAGATCAGTCAGTTTCTCGACGACGCCAACCTTCGCCTTGTCAGGGCTTGTCACACGTCTTACGACATCCTTGACGCCCTCAACACATTCTACAGGCTGGGCACGATGAGCGCTCAGATTGGCGCCTTGACGACAAAGCTTTATGCGCTCATCGTGCGGCCGAGCGCTATGAACGAAAGTGCCCTTTGACTTGCAGATGCTTACCAACACAGTTCACAGATCGATTAACAAAACACCAAAAAGACATAGACGCATATGCACCGACTCTACAGCTCCGCAAACGAATGTGAGAAATTAGGCGAAGCTTACAAAAGGAAAGGGTCCAAGCCGAACCCTTCCTCCTTCCGCAGCGCTTCGCCTCACGCCTCCGGACGCTTCCTAGATCATAGCCCAAATTGCAGAGAAGCAGCTGACGCTCTTAGGTGCCTCCAGCTGCTCGCCCGTGGTCGCATCCCTCCAGATTCCGTCGGTGTCCACTTTGCCATACTTGCGCGTCGCTTGGTTCGTTTCGAGTTGATCCATCCAATCCCCGACGATTGTGGCGTCATCGATCATGATGTTGGCTTCTTGGGAGTGCATAAAGCTCTGGCTATCTTGATTACCGTTACCACAAATACCGACCGATCCATCAACAGACATGAACTTGACCTGGAAGAGTAAGAAGACGATCGCGTGAGCGTCGGCCGAGAAGCAGAGTAGGCGGGCCGATTCGGGGCTTACGTGGCAGTTTCGCGACTTGTGAATGGCATTCAACGGTTTGATCTGGTCCTTGCCGCAGTACCAGTAGATGTGTAGGTTGTGTTCCTTCTTGACCCTGCGCAGCGCCTTGTACAATCGCACCGTCACCTCCTGCAGATCGTTACGATAGGGGCGCGAGGGTGTCAGCTTTGGCCATCTTGCTCAATCACACACCCCAAGGGCTCACGCACCTCGTTTGTTCCACCTTGGAATGGAACGCTCTCTCCCTTGTCGTTGAACCCGAGTCCGAGGTAGACCGTGACTGGAATGCCTTGCTTGTCCTTGCCGCCCTTTGAGCACGCCTCGATGACAGCCCGGACCAGAGGGGCGGCGTTGAGCGTGGGCGTTTGGCTGTGACGGACACGTAGATCAGCTACCGTGCATCTTCACACACCCTCGGAATCTCAGACTCACATGAACACGTTCTTCTCCGCATATCGAAGTGCCGCCAGCCAAGCCGCATCTTGGGGGACGCGAATGTCCTGGTGGCCCGGCGCGCCGTGCGGTCGACGATTGACCATTGCGATCGGGAATGGCGCATGTGCCTTGTGCAGCATGTGGGGTTTAAAGTCGTCAATGAGCGACTCGTCGTCAAAGGCGGCCTCGATCTTTTTGATCGCTCCGGCGTTGAGCGATTTGGACAGCGCTCGCAAGCGAGATTTGACGGATCCCGGGATGGGCGTGCCCGGGGTCGACGAGTCATTGCCATTGTTGTAAAGTGATCCTTGGGGCGATTCGGTTCCGTCGCCTTGAACAGAGAGTCCCGGAGAAGAAGGAGGTGCAAGACCTGGAGAGCCCGGGAGGGTTAGACCGGGTGACCGCGGCGGGACCGCCTCCACGCTCTGCATCTCCGCCACTCGTGCGGCGCCTCCCTGCTTGGCGCTGTCGACCGGCGCAGCCGAGGTGACCAGCGTGTGACCGTCCGGAGTCGCGATCGTGTTTGTGGCATTGCTTGTGCCACTAGTCGATGTGCCGGCCATAGAATCACCGAGCTTGGACTCCTTTGCCGCTTCGTCCCCGCTTCCCTCCTCCGACACGCTTGGCACGGGGGGTCGATTCGCCGCGGGTACATAGACCTCACCCCTGGCCTTCGCAGCTTCCTCTCGTGCGCGCTCGATCAGCGTGTTGACCAAATGTGCGAACCCGCCCAAAGGTTGGTGTGCGGCCGTTCGCGATTCGAACTCATGCGGTCGGTCAGTCTGCCACCATTGTGGAGGGGCAGTGCTTGACAGCACGTCCGAGTGTTTGACCTGCTGGGCCAAGAGCTTGCGCGCCGCTTTGGCCGCTTTGGCGATGTCTATGTGTTCGAGGTACGGGTTCTCATCGGCGAAAGTGTAGTGCCAGGGACGGGAAGGGTCGGAGTTGGGAGATGGGGATTCGAGGCACGGCAAGGGAGGATCGAGCTTCGCGTGCCAGGAGAGCAAGAGACAGTCGTACATCGAATCGACGATCGGGCCTTCGAGGTGGACCATCATCTGCACCCAAGCAAGGCCGATCCGTCAATATCTGAGCATATAAGGAATGAGGTTGCGGGCCGACTCTTACCTCGACGTTGGGCCGATCCTGGATGTTGTTGCTGTTGATGAGGGCAATTTTTCGGTCGACGACAAGCGCTTTTTGGTGGAACGTTCCTAGTGGGGGGCGATGAAAGTTGATGATCTGGATCGACAAATTGGGTACTTCGGAGGGACTCGGTACGCCGAGGGGGACATAGGTCGATGGGCCAACGAAAACATGATTGCTGACACAGAAACGCGTGAGCTGGGTGGAAAAGAAACGCATTGCTTCCTCATAAGAGGTCGGGATTTGACTCACTTCCATAGCTGCTGAATAGCACCACGGTCCCACATGATCTTGACGACAATCTTTGCGCCGTTTCTCTTGCTCACTCTTGCGTCAAGTTCTTTTAATGCACTTGCAATGGCTTTGACCGAATCCGATGGTCTGCCGGGTCGAGTGGGGCGCGGAGAAAAGGTCAGCGTTGGCGGTCGCGTTGTTGCGACTGAGGGCGAGGCTAGCTGCTTACTGCCAGTAGTCTACCGAAACATGAACATTTTTGCATTAGTCTACATCCGCAGAATGAGTAGAAACCAGATCACCGATGACCAGTGACTCACTCGTCACGAGAAAGACCTCCTTTTCGGCTAGAACGACTGTGTGAATCAGACCGAGGGTGGGCCAGACGGACGACGTCAGCGAATCTCCCCGAACTAATGCCCAAAGTGGGGCGGCGCTTCGACTGCGGCGCGAAACTTGGCGCCTCCCCCTGCGCAGTTTCTTGGGGGATTGTCGGCCGCTCGCGAATCGCAAGAGCAGTGAAGATGGCTACTGACTGCAGTCGTAATAGTGTTGCATAATGTCCGGGATAGTCGAGACGATTGAGAGAGGGATCGTCCCCGAGGAGCCAATGAGCGCGGGTGAGACATTCCCGGCGAGACTGTCTCGCGTCAAGCAGAGCAGCACGTCGGCGTACATCTGTATGCAGTAACGAAGGCGTTGGGTAAACCAGAACCCAGGGCAACTTTACGGTCAGGTTGCATAGACTGACCTTGAGGAACAAGTCACTGGGTCGCCGCGGAAAGTCACCTCGTTTGGCCGCTTCGTCGAGCTCCTCCTGGGTCCAGTCACGACCCTGTTCCGGAGAACGCTCGGATTCAGTTTCCTCACTGCGTTACAAGTACCCATCATCATAGTTCCATACGTACATGTTCCAAGTCGTGCTTGATGAAGAATCGTCGGTAGAAGCGCTTTCCAAAAAAGGGCTTCGGGAACAGCTTGCGCGCTGCTCTCTTGGGCGGCCACGAAGGGTTGTCGTGCAGAGCCTGAGATACGGTGAGGTTCTTGTTCGTGAAAAGGTCGAGGGGCGGGAACGGTGGCGGAGCGAACGGGGCCGGGACGAAGGCCGAGGAGATGGGATGGTCATGACGTTGCGAGTGTGGGATCGATTGCGCGCTCGGCTTCTTCTCCTGCGACAGTGATGTTCTAGGTTCGTCGACGGGCGAAGCCGCAGCGTCCCGACCAGACATGACGTTTGGGGCCAGCGTTTGGGCAAGAGAATCCGGGCGTAGGGATCGAATGCGGAAGCACGATGAGGCTGAGAGGAGGAGGAAACGCCAGGAGGAGGCGCTGCTGTCTCCGGCCTCCTCCCCCTCTTCGGTCCAAAGACGCCTTATAATTCAATTAGTAAGACGGGCTAAGACGCGTGGGCTCTGCTCAGTCGGGCTGTCTGGCTCTGTGACCCGCGCGAGCAGCGCTAGCAGCGGCCGCAAATCAGGCACACCTCTAATTATAAATTTGGCTTGCGCGATGATGTCTGCCCCGCTAAGTCGCTCTGCGCACGAGTAAGAGGTACCTCAATCGACCTAAAAAACATCGGGGTGCAGCAATTGCGTCCACAGCTTCAGCAGAAAAACCAGCACATTTTTGAGGGGCCTCGTAAAATGCGTCGGCATGGGGGTGCGGCCCACTTTGAGCCTGAGCTTGATTAGTTTGATCGACCGAACGCGCATTGACCGGCACACGACCTGGCGCATACCCCCAGCAATGTGAAGTGGCCCCTAGATTGGTCACGGTGCGGAGGATGCTTTTGGACGAAAGCGCCTCGCGAGAAAGTGTAGTGATCACAGCAAAGAAGAGCAATTGCATCCTCGTTGTTCAAAAGACTACCAACGTATTCGGTACATCCCATCCTAGCTCCGCCAACCCCGGTTTGACAATTTCGTTGATCATCGGGTCGGGGCCACAGATCAACACCAGGGAATCGGGTCCCGGTGGGGGAAGGTGATCGATCAACATCTGCTTGTTGATGCGACCTTTGGAGTGCGCCCAGTCCGCGGAACCTTTGGAGAGCACGAGGTGCTGGCGACACCGCGAAGGGCCGACGAGCTTGCCGAGCTCTTCAAGTTCGGCTCGCAAGAGGATGTCCGCCTCGGTCTTGTTCGCGTTCAAGACCCAAACGTTCGTATCGATGTCTTCGGAGTCGTGGATGATGCCTCGCATGACCTGGATGATGGGGGTGATGCCTGGAAAGACGAGACATGTTGGATTTGCTCAGTGACCCGCGCGAGTCAAAACTGGGACAGGTAGAACAGCTTACCTGAACCGCCGCAAATCATCCCGATATTCCGCGCCCTTCTCTCAACGCCCTTCCAGTTGCACATACCCTTCCCAAGCCATCGGAAGCTTCCCAGAGGACCCTTGAACTCGACCTTGTCGCCGATCTGGAGTTCGTCGAACCCGAGGGTCATCTTGCCGCCCTCCGGGAAGTTGGGCGTGCGGAAGTAGACCTTGATCAAAAGGTCCAAGAAGCCTTGAGCAGTGTTCGATGACACCGGCGTGTAGGCACGTTGTACGAGCTCGCCCTCGACGACCGGATCACCACCTTTGTCCTCGGCGTCGCCCGGCGAGACCTTCCGGCGCAAGCGAGCGTAAACGTGTTGCCCCGTTGGCAAGCCTAGCTGCTGTTCAGGATACTCGAGCGCAAAGCGGTAGTTGCGCGAGTCATGATTGAGCTTCTCAATCGAGATCAGCGTTGCAGCTTTCCACTTGGACTTGTTCAGGAAGATAGGATCGGGGAGGGTAGGTGTTGAGGGCACAACCGCGGAGGGGGCTTCCTCAACGACGAGTGTGCCAATGTGATAGTCGGCAAGTTGTGCTTTCGCGTCCTAAAGGTGGAACACATTCTGAATTAGCGCACGTCTACCAGACACCCTATCTCGCGACGACTTACAATGGAATGGATGGCCATGAAGTCTTCAGTGGCATCCTCGCCGGCGACGAGGGTGATGGATTCCGCGCCACCCGGGTGCTTGGTAAGGAAGCCAGTGCCATCATAGACCTCCCCCTTGACGATGAACCAAGGTTCGCTCTCCTTGTTGTGGGCCTGCACCTCGGCCATCGTAATCTTGCGAGTGACGCCGTCCTTGGTCATGACCACGGTCGATTTCTTCAGCTTGGCCGACTCCTTCGACTGCGAGAGTATTTCACTCTCTTCTCCTGTGGGTACGACACCAAAGTGGGATCGGAGAATATCCTCGCCGTTATCTTTCATTCGCTCCATCCATCCTCCGGGTTGCAAACCCGGCATGGTCGGGTGTTCGAATCGAAGAACTGTTTTGCCGGTCTCGGAAATTGAGGAGTGAATCACGACCCTGAACCAGCAGTTGTTCTGTGATCCAAGAGCACGATAGATATGTCAGTGATCAATTTTGAGAGAACAGTGGGAGACAAGCCTCTGGACTTACCATCATACCAGTGGGGCTGGTGAGCAAGATGATAAAGAAGGAGGGGGTGTTAGCATTCACCATTCGGGAAATGTTTGAACAGTTCCGAGACTATCCGACTCACTTCCAATACATTGTCTTCCCTTGCAAGTTCAGACCCTCATCCATTCCTCGGATAGCGATCGAGGTGGCGTCCTTGAGCTTCTCGATGGGAATCTCGATCTTCCAGAAAGCCCAGCAGAAGCATTCATCTCGATCAGTGATGTCCAACGTGCCCCAGACGGGGGCCGAGAAGGGCATCTGACGGTAGTCGTCCTCCGGGTACCGAATGTCGCAAAGAGACCAGGTGTCGCCGTCGTCGAGGGTAATCTCCATGCGAGTGACGCGGCGTCCGCCGCCTGCGTATGCGTAGCCCTGGACCGTGTAAGTCGGAGAGGGATTCGCCTCGGTTGAGATTGAAACGACGAGCTGCTCGTCGTGGGCGGGGCAAGCGACCGCCGAGTTGGTGTTGAGGTCATTGATGATGTATCTGGGGGCATCGGGGCTGGGTCAGCGACTGTTTTGCGATTTTCTGGGTGTAGAGCATGCGGCGCGAGTGACTCACCGAGGATCATACCACCACTGTCGCTCACTTCTCGCTTGCTCGGGCATCAAGGTGGTGGGCAGGACCTTGTTGTCCCAGTAATGCAGGTGATGATCGCTCTCCTTGTCGCTGACGATGATTTTTTTGAGCCACTTGACACTTCGACCCCCGATTTGGCCCGGCACAACAAGTCGAAGCGGGTAGCCATGATCAGGCTCGAGTGCCTAACGTGAGAACACGACAAGACCGGTCAGAACTAAATCGAAGCGGGTGGGATCATCCATTGTAAACACAGACCAACCTCTCCGTTCATCGCCCATGCCAGCATCATCCCCTTCTCCCGAAGTCTTGCCCACCTCAGACGCTGCGACGTTCCGTATTTGCCGTTCGGCAGGTCCTCGGCTCCCTCAAAGATGACGTGCTCGGCGCGCTTGAAGCCAGGTTGGCCGATCTTGCCTTCGTTTTGGGGGCAGACGTAATCAAGTACATCCGCCAAGTAGACACCGGTGAACAGCGCTGTCGAGAGGCCAGCCGCCCCCCAGGAGAAGCCGAGCGACTTGCGAACGACGTTCTGCTCCTTGCGTCGGTTGCCGGCGCAGACCAGCGTCACAGGAAGGGTCAACGCGTTGAAACGAGAGGGATCGAGCAAGTCGGCGAGGGATAATGTGCAGGGGCGCTTGACGAGGCTGTATCGTGCGCGACAAGAAGAAAATGTGACCCAACCCCCTGTCAGCCTTCAGTCCATACCGCGCATTCCAACGCAAAGGCCCAAGACTTCCGACTTACCCTCCGATATCAAACGTCCACGCTTCAGCATCTTGCCTCGAGACTTTGGGCACCACTCCGTGGTTCCGGACGTAGAACAACCTCGTCGGTGTCAAGAATCCCTGCGAGTGTGCACCAACGGTTTCAGAGGGGTCAGCGACTTGAATGGGCCCATCGTGCAGTCCCCGCCCTAGTCGTTGCGAAGGTTAGGTCAGACGTGATGTCCGAAAACTTACCGAGTTCCATAGATCAGGCAAAGGAGGTTCGCAGTTGAAGGGCCACTTGCCCGTCAATCGCACCAGCTTCTCGTCACGCACGATCCACTCGTCCGGTGTGCCCCTGTCGGTGTCGCAGGGTTGCTCCGGTCTCGTCGTTGCCGGCAACGCAGGGTACTGCAAAGGCAGCGCGGGCAAGAGATGCTCCTGCTTCTCATCGGCCGAAAGGAGTGATGCCGGATAAAAGGGGGATGGGAGCGAGTTGAAGTGGTCCGGCTCCTTTGGTGCCGATGTGCGGCATTCGGTAAAGCTGAGCGCGTTGGAACTCTGCTTGGGCGACGATGGCGCGGGTGTGGCGGCTAGACTCGTCGGCGCGGTCGAAGCTGCCGAGTCTTGCGATTCAAGGTCCTCGCTCGAGGTAAGGGAAGGAAAACTCGCCGAGCTCATCTTGCAGGGAATCCGAACAAGGTCAATTTCTCGAGGTGTTGTGTGCGGGCAGGGGATCGGAGTGTTGAAGAAGGGGTGCCAGTTGTCACGATCGTCGGAGACATATGAGGGGAAGGCGATTGGAGGCGATAGAGGCGATGCGCGAGTCTATCGTCAGATCTATTCTTCCACATCAACACCTCGCAAACGCTAGCGAGCCGTTTCTGATAAAAAGGACACCCGTGCAGGAGCCCACTCGAAAGCGAGGCCGGCCGGCGATGATAACTCCGTCTCGGAGCTCGGCGCAATCAGCACTATCGTCGCGCCTGATAAGGCGGGGTCCGGGCCTCGATCCTCGATCGCCTCGCCCTCGCCGAGCTCCGACACGGTCTTCACGGCTCCGCCCACTAGCGAATCAGCTCTCGCTCGAATCATTGCTTTAGTCCCATCGGCAGGTCTCGCTAGCCCGTGTCGGCTCTATCGCTTCCCTGGTCGTGGCTTGGCCGAGCTCGCGGAGGCTATCGCCGCCTCCGACATTCCGACCACTCCTCTCGTCTTAAACTCACCGCAACAAGTTGCAACTCATCAAATCATCAAATCGCATCATACTTCAGGCCGCGCTTGCTTGCCCTCTTTCCGAACGCATCGACTACTTGAATCTCGGACCACCCAACTTCGTCCTCCCGCACAGACCTCTTTGGTGATAAGCGCGCACGGTCAGGGCCGAGCAACCACCAACCACCAGCAACCGACCTCTTACCAGCTCGCTCGAATCAAGATGGTCCCAATCGCAAACTCCACGATCCATGTCCCCAAGGCGGACAGGATCCAGATATTTGTGGTCGGACTCGGCATGGTTGGCATTGGTAAGTCGTACCAGCACCTCCTGTGCCCTATCCGGTTCAAGGCCTCGAAAGTCGCCGAGTGACAGTGAAATCTCGGTCGCATATCGGCATCGGATCATGAGATCCGAAGTGCTGGAGTGAAGAGGGCCCTGTACTGACTCTTTTGCACAACCTCCTTCACAGCCTTCATTGAAAAGGTGCTCAATCTCGATCAAGACAAGCGCTACTTCATCCGAACCTGTGGCGAGGAGAAGCACCTGGCCTACAACCGAGTCGGCCTGACCGAGTATTTTCAACACCGCAACGTCGAAGATCTGTACCTGAATGACCCGAAATGGTACGCGGAACAAGAACCCGATCGAGTCGCCTTCCACGTTGGCGAACAAGCCACTTTGATCGACTCAAAGTCCAAGACGGTCAGTACGTCCAAGGGTAACACCTTTTCGTACGACATCCTCGTCCTCGCCACCGGCTCTGGAGCAGGTCTCCCACCCTACGTCTCGATTGAGCAAGCCGAGAAGACGACCGGTGTGTTTGTCTACCGCAATATCGCCGACCTCGAGTCGATCATGGACTACGCCGAGTTGCCTCACATCAGTCGGGCTTCGGTCGTCGGAGGTGGTTTACTCGGTCTCGAAGCCGCCAAGGCAGTGTACGATATGCCCGGTGTTCCCGACGTCTCCATCTTGATCCGCCAGAACTACCCCTTGAATCGTCAGCTCGATCCTTCTGCGGGCGAGTTGGTGCTGCGCAAGATTGAAAACATGGGGGTCAAAGTCCTGACACAGTGCGAACCCCAAGCGATCACAACCCGGACCGACGGGAATGGTCAAGAGGTTTTCACTGGTTTCACCACCAGTGACGGCGAGCACATTGAGAGTGATTTGACCATCTTTGCGATCGGAATCAAGCCGCGGGACGACCTTGCCGCAGCGAGCGGGATTCGGTGCGCACGAAGAGGGGGTATAGACGTTGGTGACGACTTGATGACCAGCGAGCAAGATATCTACGCTATCGGTGAATGCGCCAGCTGGAGAGGCAATGTGAGTGATATTCTGGGTAGGTTTTTACTCGAACCATGTGACTTGGTGCTGACATCGCCTCCTGTTCGAAGACTTATGGCCTGATCGCCCCCGGAGTGGAGATGGCCGACATTCTGGCATTTAACCTTGTAAGCTCCTTTCGGAGTCACTTGACCCTAGTTTTAGTTGCTCACCATCAAAATTCGGTTCAACAGACTCAAACAGCGGGCCATGCGCCTCGAAAGATGAACGATCCCGATCTCTCCACCAAGCTCAAGCTGATGGGTGTCGACGTCGCTTCTTTCGGTGACTACTTTGCGGACGAGCGCATGGTCAAGGACATCGAGGCTGCCGAGAAGAAGCAGGTCGAGGAGGGTGTCGAAATTGCTTCGAGCAAGCCTAGTCGACGAAAGAAAGGGCCTCGAGACACCAAAAACGATCCCATCAAATGCTTGACCTACCACGATCCCTTTTCGTCGACGTACAAGAAGTACATTTTCACGGCCGATGGCACTCATCTCCTCGGCGGAATCATGATTGGCGACGTCGCTTCCTTCACCAAAATGGTTTCAATCGTCAAGAAGAAGAAGAAGCTCGATTGCCCCCCGTCCGAGTTCATCATGGGCGCCAAGAAGGAAGGCGAGGATGATGGCGCCGATCTGGACGATGATGCGCAAATCTGCTCCTGCCATGTCAGTACCTGAGCTATATCAGCTAACCAGACAGCATCCCAACTGATGCATTTCATATTTCAATGTCACAATACAGAACGTGCTCAAGGGTGCCATCGGAGCTTGCATCAAGGACGGGTGCACTGACTTTGCGACGCTGAAGTCCAAGACCAAGGTAGGCGCGGGCTGCGGTGGCTGCGTCCCACTGGCGACGAGCATCTTCAAGGCCGAAATGAAGAAAGCCGGTCACGCGACCAACAACGACCTCTGCACCCACTTCAAGATGAGCCGTACCGATCTTTTCCAAGTGGTCAAGATCAAGCAGTTGCGCGACTTTGCAACCATCGTCGCAACGGTCGGCGCGGGCAAGGATCGCCAGGGGTGCGAGATTTGCAAGCCCGCCGTCGCTTCGATCCTGTCCTCGCTCTATAACGAACACGTCATGCTACCCCAACATCATGGTCTTCAGGATACCAACGATCGTTTTTTGGCCAACATCCAACGCAACGGTACCTTCTCCGTGGTGCCGCGCATGGCCGGTGGTGAAGTGACGCCCGAGAAGTTGATCGCCTTGGGTGAGGTTGCCAAGGAATATGGACTGTACACCAAGATCACCGGTGGCCAGCGTATCGACCTCTTCGGTGCACAGAAGCGCGACCTGCCCGACATCTGGGAGAAGCTGATCGCCGCTGGGTTTGAGTCGGGTCACGCCTACGGTAAATCGTTGCGAACGGTCAAGTCGTGTGTGGGAACCACCTGGTGTCGCTATGGTGTCGGGGATTCGGTCGGACTTGCGATCGACCTTGAGAACCGCTACCGAGGTGTTCGATCGCCCCACAAGTTCAAGGGAGGAGTCAGTGGATGTGTACGAGAGTGCGCCGAGGCCCAGTCAAAGGACTTTGGCCTCATCGCAACCGACAAAGGATGGAATGGTGAGTTCCCCGATCCGAAGACTTGTCCTGATGATCTATTCGAATTACTAAGACCTGTCTCACCAAAATATGCAGTCTTTATCGGTGGGAATGGTGGAGCTAATCCTCGCCATGCCCATCTGTTCGCCAAGGATGTCCCGCCGACCAAGGTCGTTCGCATCATTGATCGCTTCCTCATGTTCTACATCCGTACCGCCGATCGTTTGGTGCGCACGGCACCCTGGGTCGAAAACTTTGATGGCGGTATCGAAAAGCTTAAGAAGATTCTCCTCGACGATGAGCTTGGCATCTGCGGTGACTTGGACCGAGAGATGGACGCGCTTATCGGCACTTACAAGGACGAATGGGCTGCGGCTATCACCGATCCCGAACTGCGCAAGTCCTTCAAGCAATTCGCCAACACCGACGAGAGGCGCGTCGGGATTGAGCCGATCACCGAGCGTGGTCAGAACCGACCCGCCGACTGGCCCAAGAACTTCCCCGCCAAGCGATTCGAGGACGACGAGGTGCCGACCCCTCGCTCGGACTGGGAGTGGGTCAATCTTGCTACCACGCAGGATCTTATGCCCACAGAGGCCAACACAACGTGAGTGGTTGTACCTACGCTTCCACTTCGGTAGCCGAAATTTACATGAATGCGATGTCTGAACCGATTCTCGGCCTCGGCTTTGTGACCCCGAACAGGAGCGCCGCGGTTCGATATGGGCAAGACACCCAGCTCGCCATTTTCCACGTTCCCAAACGTGGCTATTTCGCCACACAGCAAATGTGCCCTCACAAGCGTGCTTTCGTACTCGAACACGGTATCATCGGAGATGGTGAGTGGATTTAGTGCTTGTTGTGCATATGGCGAATATTGGCTGACGGAAACTCTTCATCCGACGCTAGACGCCAATGGCAACCTTTACGTGTCGTGCCCGCTGCACAAGCGCAACTTCCGCCTCGACACGGGAGAATGCACAAACGACGAAGAATACAAGGTGCTCGCGTTCGAGGTCAAGAACGAAGGCGAGGACCTATTCGTCAAATTGCCCCCCGCCGAGGAGCTCGACGCGCTGATCGGCTCGACCAAATGGATGGTCCGCAAGGCGACGGCCGAGGCGCTGGGACGGAACTCGGCTACGGCGATCGAAATTGTGGGACCTTCAGGAGAGTTGGATGAGGAAAGATTAGCGGCTAGTAATGACTGTGCGACCAAGCACGAGAACGGTAGTGGATGTGGCTCGAACAAGTTGGAGTGGTGAACGAGCCAGCGGAGCAGACTCTTTCTATATAGACGTTGAAATCTGTTCCATCTGTGTGTTTGGGCATGTACTTCTTCCTTGGGTTGTTTTTAGATCATTTTTTTCCATATTTGTATCGTGTAATTGCAGTGCTTATCCTCCTACCTAGTGAAACTGTCCATATGGGTGAATCATCAGACCCCTTAAGTCGGACGCCCTCATGATCAGTCTGCTGGAGAAAAGTCAGGCCGATGCGGTTTGACACCGCCTGAACCAGCATCTCGTAGGTACTACAGCATATACCAGACGCTGTAATTAAATTTTCATACATAGTTCTGTCGAAAATTTGTTCCCTGAGTGCCGCTGGGATCCACCAGAATGGTCTAAACTCCCTCAAGACCGCTCTAATTCGGTCTGAGATCGGTCTGGAAAATGGTCTGAGCGGGCCCGAGGGGTCTGCAGATTTGGCACTCTTGGTCTGTGCGCCATTTCAAATTGCGCAACTGCTCACCTTTGTGGGGCGAGCTGCCACGTTGGAAAATTAAGAAGAGTTTGCGCTAAGCCCATTCACCCGGCGCTCTTGGCGCTTCCCGTGCGCCTCGATCGTATCCGTCTTGTCCACCTTCTGGGACACCTGAACACCCGGCGGAGTTGCTTCTCGACCCCGTGAGCCTGTCCGCGGTGAAAATTGGCCCCTTGACTAGATCGCTCAAGCCAGCACTGCACCAGGCTCGACTCCCTAGCTGCTGCGGTCGTTGATCCCGACTCGAACCGCGCGTGTCGTGGCCCCGTGGTCGACGTCTGATTGTCTGTATGGAGCTTGGCCTACCACCGGCCTCGGGCTCGACTTCGACGTCGGCCGCGTCGGTGCTCCCGTCGCCGGCGGATGAGCCGCTCCACAGCCCACTCGGCTCAGGATCAGGCTCAGCAGCCGCCATCAGCAAGTCAACCAAGCGCTCCAAGACGCACATGTCCTGCCAGGAATGCCGCAGGTACGTTCCTCGCAGCGGTGGCCCCTCTCGCGAGCTTATCATTTGCTCCAGCTCCAGCTCTGGCTCCGGCAGCGCGTGTGGACCACCTGAGAGGGGCTATGCATGGCTCCTTTCGTCCCGAGTTGCAGTTGAGCCCCCTTTCCACTTTCAATGATCCAGGCTCAAGCTCAAGTGCGACCGGGTGTGGCCATGCAACCAATGCCGCAAGCGGGGTCGCGCAGATCTATGCCCGTAAGTCGGCTGGCAGCCCTCCACACCTCCACGCATATCCAATTCCACATCTTCATCGAGCTTGGAATTGGGCCACCAACGCTTGGTCGAGCTCGGTCGCTTTTGTTTGCATTTTTAAGCATCAGTATGGCTGATTTTTACTTTTCGGGGTGCAATCACGGCGTCTCCAAGCCCCCGGGTCGGGCAATCCGACTTAACGCCGAGATGAACGCCTTGCTCAAGCGGTGCGAGGACCTCGAGGCGGCTCTCCAAGACGTCGGGGCCACAGACCGGATCCCTTCTCCGCTCACACTCGAGTTCACTCGAAGGAGCCTGAACAGAAATTCGAATGCGACCGAAGCCGATGGCGAAGGGGACGACACGATGGAAGATTTTGGCCGCTCGAGGGCATCCGAAACACATATCGAGGCGGCAGGGGTCGAGGCTGTGTTGCCAGGCGTTGGCTCGTTGTCGATTCGGGAAGACGATGGCCGAGTGAGATACCTGGGAACGTCTGCTGGTCCTGCGTACTACTTTGAGGTGAGTGCCCATCAGGCCGGGAGCTTCACCATTCTTCGGCTGTGGGTGAGGCCTGCACCCTTAAAAACTCACTCTCTCCTTCGGTTCATGCTGAAACAGGACGATGGCGGCAGCTCAGATGAGTCGGACAGCGCATCGTCACCCGAACGTGCTTCGCAAGAAGTTCGAGCACCCTTCATCCAGCTCCACGCCTACTACTCGCGGACCCACGAGCTCGAGCGATTGAGAGCGTTCCTTCCAGCCGCGGCCGAACTCAAGCGACTTGTGAAGAACTATTACGAGTTTCTCTCTTTTCAGTTCGAGCCCGTTGAAGAAGAGGCATTCTTCAACGACTATCTCCCCGCCGCATTGACCACGGGAAACTCGGCTGGCACAAAGCTCGCCTTCGTCTTCATCGTCCTCTCCCTCGGCTCTCTGATGGATCCACGTGTCCCGTCGACACCGAACGCGCTAGCCCACCACTACTTCCAGCTGTCGCAGTCGGCGCTTTCGGCTTCCAAGTTTTTGAGCAACAATACTCTCGCCGGCGTGCAAACACTGCAACTCACGGCCTCGTTCCTCTTGAATACACACGATTTGCAGGAAGGCGGGGAAACGTTCTTCCCGCTGCTCGGGATGGCTCTTCGGATGCTCGTCGCCATGGGCCTTCATCGCGATGGGAGTCAATGGGGAATGGACGGGGCAGAGCTTGACAAGAGAAGGTGAGCTGTACTGGTGTCTGCCAGTTGGTCACTGTGTGGGCTCGACTCACCGGAGTGTTGATTGTCACGTCGCAGAATGACGTTCTACGAGCTCATAACCCTTGAGCGGATGCAAGCCTTCATCAGCGGTCGGCCATATATGATGTCACCGAATCATTTCGACACCAAATTCCCCTCATCGGCTGAACCGTATCATGTCGACAAGTGGCGCACGGGAAACTTTATTGCGAGGGTCATCGACGAATGCTTCTCTGTCGTCAGCCCGGCATACTCCACCGTGCTGGCATTGGACCAGGAATTGCGCAAAATGTTTGAAGAGTCGCCCAAAGACCTGCGCTCTGGTGCTTTGCCAATGGACGCTTTCGTCGTTCGGCCGAGCGACCCTCCCGAATTGCCTGAACCTGTAGCCTCGTCTGCGCCGCTCAAGACTCGCATGCGGCAACACACGCTTGATATGATCTACTCGCAGATCTTCTTCTATCTCCATCTGCCGGCGCTACGTCAAGCCTTAAAGCTGTTCCCGGACGAGCCCTTGTTGTCCCCATGGGCCGAATCGGTCGCTGTCGTCGCCCTTGAGACTGGAGTCTACATGCTGGCCATCGCCCGAGCGTGGGTCAATCTCCACCCGACCCTTGCTCCTCGTTGGTGGCATCCGACCTTTCATGTGAGTGAAACCACAAAGGGAAGGTTGGACGGCGATCTGGCGCTGACCGCATCTGCTGAATTCTCGCAGGCATTCGCCGCGGCCTGTGCCCAGTCCTCGATCGTGATTCAATCGCCCAATTCCAAATTGGCTCGGCATTCGTGGGCGCAACTCATGATTGCGATCGACGTCTTTGAAACGGCTGCGGGCGGAGGTGCCCCCGTGGCGATGTTCGTCCCTCGTCTTCACGCTCTTCGGGACGCCGCCTTTGAGAGTCTGCAGGCCGCCCACTCGGTCCCGGCCGGTATACCTCGGACTCAAGTTAGCGACTACCTGGCAAAAGGAAAGGGGACCGATGCGGAATTGTCGATTCTGGGTACGACGACTCGACTAAATCGCAAGCCTAAGCGTCGAGCGGGGGCTTCGGCGGCGGAAACACCGTCGCCTACGGCGAGTCAACCGAATTACCCGACACACGCCAATCAACTGCCACGGATGAACGCCACGGTCCTACCCCCTCCATCCCCACTGGCGATGCCCCAAGATGATCGTGTGGCCAGCGCAGCAAAAGAGCTTTACACCCCGTTCGACTCGCCGGTCCTCGTACCTGCAACTCAACCCACCTACCTCGGCGAGATGTCGTACGAAGCCATGTTGGACGCCTCTTTCAGGTCGTTTGCACCGTTCTCGTCATCAACGGCTCCACCATCATCGGTTTCCGCAGCTTTCGCGCCCTCGCCTTTGGCGTTCACAGATCATCGCCTCCAACAGCCTCAGTCGAACGATCCCACATCGCTCCCCAACACGATGCATCGGGTCTTTGATCCATCCATGTTTTTGATGGGTGTGGCTAATGACGGTGTACCGTCGCTCGCGACGTTCACGAACTTTGCGACCGGTGGCTTCCATCCTGCTGCATGGGCGTCGACGATGCCGTTCGATCCCAATCCTCATGTGTCTAGTCAGCAGCAGCAGCTGGAAACCAAACCAAATTCTGAGGGTATGTACGGCGTGTCGCGTGCGGTAAACAATGGTGGTGGTGGTGGCGGTGGTAGTCCCGGAGGCCCAATTTGGGATTGGAGAGGGTGATGAGGCTTTCTTCGTTGGTGTCGCGCCAATCAGTTTCGGGTGCTTTCATGAGGTTCCGTAGATTATCGGTAGACAGTGCTGTTGTGTAGCGAATGGCGTGGACGAGATACGATGCCATGCGCTTGTTGTAACCAAGATGTCTGCTTTCCCAGCTTTTATGATCTCATAAACTGATCTCGGAGGATGTCTAGGCAGTACCCTTTGGTTGACTTTCTTGATTACATCAAGGTATCAACTCGAAGCCCTGCCTACCCACTACTTGGGTACGAGCCCCGTTCAAGCAAACTGCTTGAACTTGCCCTCTCCAACCTTGGCCTCGACCTTCTTAGCCCAACTCGTGATGACGCCCTTGATCTTCTCCGGCGAGGATTGGGCCTCGGCCTCGGTGCGGAACTCGGCGACTTGTTCGGCATCAAGGGCACCGTAGAGCAAGTCGAGCTCGGTGAGTTGACCTTCGACGATGGCGGGGGAGGGGGAAGAGCCAGTCGCGACGAAGTAGTTGTTGGAGGTGACGAGCGCCGAGATGGCCTTCTGCGCCTTCTTGACGTTCTTTTGGGCACTGTGAAGCAGAAAGAACAACAGGAGCTCAGAACGGGTACTTCAGTCACGTGAACACGTAGAAACATGGTAGGCCTTACGCAGCCTTGGCCTTCTTGGCGGCCTCTCGCGAAACCTTGTCATCCGCGGCCTTTTGTGCCTCCTCAGCGGCCTTCTTGGCCTCCTCCTCCTTGGCCTTCTGCTCTTCCTCCTTCTTCTTCTCCAAGTCGGCAGGGCTAACACCGGAGACACCGCCCTTCTTGGCCGCGCGCGCCGCCTTCTCCTCGGCCTTGAACTGCTTAATCCTAGGGTCGAGCGAGAGGGCTCGATCGGTGAGCTCACGAACGCGGGCGATGTCCTCCTTCTTTTTGCGTGCTCGCTCGGCCTTGTTCTTCTTCTCTTGATGGCGCTTCTCGTCACGACTGTAACCCATACGCCAGAAGCATGTTAGTGCCACATCGGGTCTCGTTGATCCCCCATTGAGACGCTAAAACTCACGAGTCAGTACCCTCGGGCGAGTCCTTGTCAAGGTACTCGAACGACCTCCAGCTATCGATGTTGTAGAAAAAGTCGTACAAAGCCTCGACCTCCTTCCTTGGCGTGTCCTTGTTGCCCAAGCTAGGGACCGGCTGGACCTTGGAGAAGCGACCCTCGCGTTCAAAGACGGGGCCCCAAAGGTCGTAAAAGTTCTCGGCGGTGGTCTCCTTGACTTCGGGGACGTCGTCGGGGATGGCCTCGTCGACGGAATCGAATTGACGACGCTTTTCAGGGTTGGAGAGTTGTTCCATGGCTATTGTGCGGGAGTCCGTGGAGTCAGTGTCCGTCTGGGGTTCGGGCTCTCTTCCTTTGGGAACTTACCCTTGGCAATGCATTTGAAGAACGAGTCGTCGTTGGCCAAACCACCGGCCGAAGCCTTCTTGTCGGGGTGATGGCGCAATACCTTGCGGCGGTCTGGAGACCAAGATGACGAGAGTTAACACACGGCTCGGCGGGAACGATGCCACGGGCCCGTTCTACTCACGAGCCTTCTTGATCTGCTCATCGGTGGCCTTGTAGCGCAGGCTCTGAAGACCGAGGACCTCGTAGTGGTCCTGCGACTTCCACTGCTTGGGGTCGGACTGGAGGATCTCCTTGTCCTCCTTTTCGTTGCCGAGGTGGGCATCGACGTCGTCGTCCTCCTCGACCTGCTTGCCATTCTTGGCCGCTTCGGCAGAGAGCGCGGCGTCGTCGTCGTCGAACGAGTGCTGGTTCAAACCTCGACGAGCATGGGCGTTGAAAGCAGGTCCGGCGGGGAAGATCTTGGACGAGGTAGAGGCAGCTGCATGATGGAAGAAGGTGCGTGAGTGCGGAGCCAAAGCGCGAGGAAAAGAGGGGCTCATGTGAAGCCGGAGAGGAGAGGAGCGGGCGGGAGAACGAACCCGACAAAGGCTTGAATGCGGGGGCCTTGTAGCCCTTGGGTGGGGCACCGAGGGTGATGGGGAGCGAGATGACGGACGACATGGTTGCAGCAGGTGCGTGGTGTGTGCAGAGGCAGGGCCACACTCGGGTCGACGCCGCTTGCGCACCTTTCGCAAGTTTTGGCGGAGAGTTGAGCTCGGACCTCTTTCTTGATCCTCGCTCCTCCCGCGCCGACGTTTTTCCCAATTACTCGGCGACTCCTGCACCTTGATGACGCCTCATAACCATTTTTCATGGCCTTGAAAAGTGAAAGCTCCAATATTCAAGTGAGATACCCGCGATGTCCGAGACTCCTAATGGCCGAGTATCAGCGACGATACGGTCGATCAGTTGCTCCGCGATCCGAGTTCAGGAGGCGGGGGCGGCCCGACGAGTCCTACCGGCAACAATCCACCCGCCGAAGGATCCGTATGGCAAAAGCAAACCTCCGGCTATTTCGCTAATGACGAGAACGTTTTCTACGATGTGCGTGCTGCTTGTAGGCTCGCCTTTATTAGCAACACGGCGAATTTCATCGCATGTGCATTCTCCTTCCCAAAGTGGAAAGGGTCTCGTCTCAATCCGAGTCCCGATTCGAGCGATCGAGCGCGCGAGACAGGCCGGAAGCACAAAGTGGCAGGCGGTGGACTCGCGCCGCTGTTCTTGGCGCTCGTCCCCTCTATCCTCTTCTTGTGATCAGCAGCTCCTGCGATCTTCTACACGATGTCTTCCGCAGCCAACAGCCATGCCTCGTCGGTGCACCGCGTGCAGCGCCACGCGTTCCCCGTCCTGAGCGAGTCGTTCCTCGTCGACAGCACCTACGAGTTCGTCAAGGAATTAGGCCAGGGTAAGCTTCCTCTTTGGACCGTATGCGCGCACTTCCTGGGCTGCAAGGATACCGGAAGAGTGAGGACCGCCAAACCATCTACGACACCTCTCGAGTCACGTTACGTTAGGAATGAGAGGCGGGGTCAGAGGCCATCATGCCTTGTGCACCCCCACTTGCCTGCCGAGCCCCGCCTTGCCCAGCCTCACAGTCGCCGAATCGGACCCAAAAGTCAATACATATTGACCATGATGTCCGATCCACCCACAGGTGCTTATGGTGTCGTCTGCTCGGCCAAGAGCACCGTGACCGGCGAATCCGTCGCCATCAAAAAGGTCAGCTCTCAACCCGCTCGTCTAGATCAAACGAATAGGAGCTGTGCATGCGGCAACCAGTTTCCGGAACTCACCCGCGCCCGTCTCCACATCGATACACTAGGTCACCAAAGTTTTCCAGAAGAAGATCCTTACCAAGCGCGCCTTGCGAGAGTTGAAGTCAGTTTCCTCAAATCCGAGGTCCGCCCGAGTCGACCATTGCGCAAAGGAGCTGATCTTCTGCCATCACGTGCCCCAACCAACAGGCTCTTGCATCATTTCCGGGGCCACAAGAATGTGGGTCAAAATGTGCAGTCGTCTGCGCATTGGCCGAGGTACCGCAGACTGACTGGCCGTCATTCCGCCTTTAGATCACGTGCCTCTATGACATGGATCTCGTCGACCCCGTCGGATTCGACTCAGTGTAGGTTGATAAGAGCCGAGACATATCGCAAAGTCTGATCTAATGTTGAGTCTTCTTCTCTGGTATCACAGCTACTTGTACGAGGAGTTGATGGAAGCCGATTTGCACGCCATCGTGAGTCTCACACTCCGAGATGTCCAACTGCGCGGCAATCCGAGGACTCACTGGCTTCTGTCGTGGTCTCTAGATTCGTTCGGGACAACCCCTTTCGGACGCTCATTTCCAGAGTTTCATCTACCAAACCCTCTGCGGTCTCAAGGTGCGTCGCGTTGTATGCTATCATCTTGACACCGAGTTGATCATTCTTGCCTCTCTACCCTTTTACTAGTACATCCACTCGGCGCACGTCTTGCACCGGGATCTCAAGCCTGGAAACCTTCTCGTAAGCTCACATGTCGAGCATAATACAATACATCCAGCCGGACCACTGAAGAGTACCATCTCATCGCTCCACAGGTCAATGCCGACTGCGAGCTCAAGATTTGCGATTTCGGTTTGGCCCGTGGTTTCGAGACCGACCCCGAGTTGGCGGCGCAAGGTGCCGCTGGGTTCATGACCGAGTGAGTGATGACGTGATACTATCGTCGGCTGTATACTGACGCCGTGATTCACTCCGCACAGGTATGTTGCTACGCGTTGGTACCGTGCGCCCGAGATCATGCTCTCGTTCGCCAACTACACCACAGCCAGTTGAGTCTTTTTTGGCCCTATACGTGATGATGACAGTGTCTGACTGTCATCGATCTTCACTATCTCTGCAGTCGACGTCTGGAGTATTGGATGCGTGCTCGCTGAGCTCCTCGGTGGTCGCCCCATCTTCAAGGGCAAGGACTACATCGATCAACTAAACATTGTCCTCCATTTCCTCGGAACGCCGAGTGATCGCACTCTCCGCCGAGTCGGAAGTCCCAGGGTACAATCCATCCTCCTATCTAAGACAAGCCCGTGTCCTCCGAGACTGACCCTGAATCACACCCCACGCCAACTCACAGGCGCAAGACTATATTCGCTCTTTGCCGTACAAGAACGGTGTCCCCTTCGAGCAGCTCTTCCCCGATGCCAACCCTTTGGCGCTCGACATGCTCTCCAAGTTGCTCGCCTTCGACCCGACCGAGCGCATCTCGTGCGAGGACGCCCTGCGTCACCCTTACCTCGCCGTTTGGCACGAACCGAGCGACGAGCCCGTGTGCCCGCAGAAGTTCGACTTTGGCTTCGAGAAGGAGGACTCGGTCGAGGGTATGCGGGCCTTGATTGTCGAGGAGGTCGAGAACTTTAGGCGGATGGTGAGTTTCAAAGCCGAGGAGTCTGAGGACCTCGCTGCATTCGGTACACCCTGAGTTCTCCATGGACTTGGCTGAGCTTTTTTCCCAACCCACCCTTCAATTCAGGTTCGTCCGTCTGCTCAACCCGCTACTCGCACCGAAGGTACTGCTCCCCGTCGACAGGACAGCGTGACCTTGCCCGTTCCTTCCCGTGAGGAGATCCTCCAATCCCCCGGCGGCGCCGAGGCGGTTCAATCCTACCGACCCTTCTCGCACGACGAGGAAGTGCCTAAGAATGACTTGGAACGCGATTTGATGTTCGGCTCTGAAGCGGCGAGGTAAATTGCGGCGGATGCCCGCCGCGGGTACATCAAAGTGGTGGCTGGCGAAAGCTCTACGGGCCTTGGTCTAGTGGGAAATCTGTCGAATATTGGCTGTGTAAACATTGGGTTTCTACTCTCTCGTGTTTTTCTTGGATTTCAGACCCTGGTTGCATTCTTTCTTCCTCTTCCCTGTTCAATTTAACATCGCTCACTGTTCCAAACTTGCCCGTGAAAACGCCAACTTGGCCGGAACCGCGGGCCGAGAGTGGCCAAGACCGCACCGATTTCAACCCATGGAGTAAGTGGAGGAAATTGCTGGGCCTTTACATCATCACGTTCAAGAAAGCTTGCTGCAGGGTCCTCCGTTTCGGCGCGACCCGACCCGACCCCGCTGTGCGTCAGGCGCATTTCCGTGGCGGCATCCATCGCCAGCAGTTCCGTGTCGGACTTGGCGAGCGCGCGCGCCTGATAAAGGTCGGGCTGCGCTGGCACAAGCTCGCTCTACTGACAAGGGTCCGGAGTCCGTGTCGGCTCGATCCAAATGATAGAAATGTGATAGGCCTGAATCTGGACCACTCTCAGGATCGGTGCGCAATGAAAAGCTCACTAGCCGAGACAATCACCGCGATCGATAGGTAAAACGATCGCGGTATCTTTATCACCCAGATCTGGCCTGGCCCGCCCGACCATCCTAGACTATCCTGATCGCGATAGCGGGCTCTATCAGTTCGATCAGTTAGCGACCGTCGCCTGTCTCTCCTTTGATCCCGAACCAACCCATCGCAGACCTTGCACTGCTCCACACCCTCTCCTAGTCTCTTCCTTTTCCTCACGTCATCTTGTTCCAACACCGGTCTTCGCAGTCAACTGTATCCTTTACTACTCAAGATTTGTCATCATGTCGACCCTCGTTCGTGAAAAGGAAGTCTCATCGTCCGCGTCGAGCGCGCACTTTGATAGCCAGGGCGTCGTCGAGGCGGCCAAAGGCGTCAACTCCAACAATGCGACGCTCAACTACAACGAACCTCCCCCGTTCAGGATCGCTTCCTTGTGGGAGAAGCCTGTCGTGAGTATTTGCCTGACCTCTCCGACTCCCTGCGGCACGGCCACGTCGTCGCGTCGCCGCCTTAGTCGATGTAGTGATCCGTCGGCTGTCATTTCCGAGCTGCGGCCACGCACGGGCCTCGAGTTCGGACTTGGGGGTGGAAATAGCTTCCTACGGTCCTACGGTGTTCAGGGCCCAGCCTCCGATTAACGCACGCTGATTTTTTCTATCACCACCTCTTCAGGTCAATCCTCTGAACGGAAAATCTCAAACCCTTCCTATGTTCAGTAGGTCGTCTTTTACTGACACGTTAGCCGCATGGACCGAGCACTGATTGGAAAATGGAATCGGCCGTGCAGACCTCGCGAACCCCTACACGCGCAACTTCCATCTCTCTTGGCTGGGCTTCTTCGTCGCCTTCTTGTCCTGGTTCGCTTTCCCGCCTCTGATCCCCGAAGTAAGCATTCAGAAGGTGGTGTTGGTTGAAGTCTAATTGGTGCGCCTCCATTGCTGACTGCTTGCACCCCCTATTCGATCACCCAGGCCATCAAAACCGATCTCAAGCTCACGACCGCCCAGATCGGCAACTCCAACATCACCGCTCTCGCGTCCACGCTCGGTGAGTTGGCGAAGTCATGATACCACTGAGGATTACCAAGCTAATGACGTTGCTTTTTTTTTGTCTCGCTCAGGTGTTCGATTGATCATGGGACCTTTCGTCGATCGATTTGGACCCCGAAAAGTCATGGCCGCTCTCCTCCTTCTCGGTGCGATCCCCTCGGGTCTTGCCGGTACCATCACCAACTACAAGGGTCTTTACATCATCCGCTTCTTCATCGGTATTCTTGGTGCCACTTTCGTGCCGTGCCAAGCCTGGACTACGGCAATGTTTGACAAGAACATCGTTGGCACTGCGAACGCCTTCACCGGTGGTTGGGGTCAGTTCAGAACGCCCTCGAACGCGAAAATAATTGAGCATACCGTTTACTGATGCGTTTCCTCGCTACAACAGGTAATCTCGGTGGTGGTGTCACCTTTGTGGTCCAAGTGGCTCTCTTCCAGGCCCTCCTGAACGACGGTCTCTCGTCGCACTCGGCGTGGCGCGCAGCCTTCGCGATCGTCCCCTGCCCGATCCTCATCTTCGTTGCCATCCTCTGCCTCGTGTTTGGTACCGATTGCCCGGCCGGCAAGTGGTCCGAGCGCCATACCATGCCCGCAAGCTCCATCGCCATGTCCCGCGGCCACCTCACCACACTCGATGCGAGTCAACGACGCATCGCCGAACAAAAGATGACCGACAAGGAGGCGGGAAAGGTGACCGTCCAGGAAGCCGTCGATGACGATGTCGCCGAGCAACTGCATGATATTGACGTTGCCGTCGCGGAAAAGCCTTCCATCGCCGGTACGCTCAAGATCGCGACGACGCCTTACACTTGGCTGCCTTCCATCATGTACATGACGACGTTCGGGTTCGAACTCGCCGTCGATGCCAACCTGGCCAGCGTCCTGTTTGCCGTTCACAAGTCTCCTAGCTTTGGTCAGCTCAAGGCCGGGTACTACGCTTCGATCTTCGGCTTCCTCAACGTCTGGACTCGACCTCTCGGTGGTATCCTCGGTGACATGATCGGCAAACGATGGGGCCCCAAGGGCAAGAAGTACGCGACCTTGACGTGCGGTTTCCTTCAAGGTGTTCTCTCCCTTGCCTACGGTCTTCACACTCTGCACGCCTTCACCCACGGCAACAAGAAGGGCCCTTCTTTGGGCTTCCAGATCGGTTTGATCGTCGTGATGGCTATCTTCAATGAGATGGCCAACGGCCTCAACTTCAGTTTGGTACCTCACTGCGTCCCCTATTCGAACGGCATCATCACTGGTATCGTCGGAGCGGCCGGCAACTTGGGCGGCATCATCTACGCATTGATGTTCCGCTTCCACCCCCAACAAGGCTACGCCGCGGCGTGGTGGATCTCGGGTATCTTTGCGATGGTCGTCAACCTCATGGTGATTGCGATCCCGCCTCCGAAGCACTAGAAGTCCCTCGGCCTCACTTTCACTCACGATCACGACCACGTCGCCGCGGCATAGGGGGGCGGCCGGTTTTCCTCTTGTAACAGTTCCACTATTATCACATGTTGTGCCTTGCCCCGGTTTCTGGCCTCTCTATAGACATCTTTAGTACTTTATATCTATTGCAGTAAAGTTTACATTGCACGACCACGAGCACGAGAGAGCCCTGGCAAACAGTCTTTACGTTGAAATCGCCGATCGAGACACGGGCTCGGCACCGTTCAAATATTTTTTCCTACTTTCGAGGCCCAGAGCAAGGGGTTCTTTGTCTGCAAGACAGGCGACGCTTCGTTGAGCTCGGACCTCGGCAATTTTTTCCCTCGACGCCAAGCGTAGAGCGGAAGGCACAGTGCACAGTGGCCGGGCAGGCACCACCTTCATCGGCGCCTTTCGGCAGCCTCCCCATAAAAGACAGGGTTAGGTACGGATAAATGGGACTAGAAGTTAAATTAAAGCACTGTCTTCGCTAGGTCAAACTACCTGATAAATCTCGATCAAAGTGCTCCACCGTCGGCACGCATCGAACCAATCACAGCGACTCGGAGTTCCGCTCGATCAACGTCGACGTCATCCGGCGGTCGCCCACCGCCGGGCGCTGCGCCTCCTGCCGGCTGGACTCAATTTAGCGCCAAGTTTCGCTGCGGCTCTTAATTCACGCAGATGAGAAGCCTGTGGGTGGGGTCATGATGCCATGTGGGGCGCCAGAGATCGAGAAATCAAAAGGAGGAAAAGTCACAAGACTTGCAAGCCTCGTGCAACGTGTCGAACGCGCTGGTCGGCGGTTTTCTGCTCCTTCGCTCCTCCCCACATCAGCGACATCTCATCAGTCTTGGTACCAGTTTGTGAATACTGTGAGGGCATGCATTTTTTCCAAACAGCCACCTGATCTGGATCACTGACTCAAGCCTCCTTTTCATCACCCATGTTATCGCACCGCGATGATCGTCGTCGTCGTCAAAATGTTCCCTGCCTCCACCTCTTTGAGTCCACACTAGTACTTTCGACTACAACCGCACAGCGCTCTCAACTCCAACTCCAACATGACACTCGTTGACTCTCTCAAAGACGCGGTCAACTCTTTGGCTCGTAAGTCACCATTCACCGCACACGAGAATCCACTGCTTCCCCCCCCCAACCCGGAACATCGGAACGGGCGGTCGAGACGATGACGCTCCTCTGCTCGTGTGGGGCGAAGTGGCGGAGGGTCATTTCGAGATCGAGCCACCATTTTGGGAGCCCATGAAACTGATCAAGATTGACCTCGTATACCCTCCTACACCAAATTTGCCTTTGTTATACTTCTTTGCATCGATACTTCTCCGTACGCTCGCTTGTTCTTACATCACCACCGCCACACCCGCCGCGAATCGATTGTCGTTGTCAACGCTTCGGCGCACCCCCTTTTTCCCGCGTCCGTTCCACCGCCAACATTACAACCGATTACAGACCCCGGTCAATCGACCGAGACCCGGCCCCTCGAGCACCCCGCCCACCACGGTGCTTCGTCAACCCAACACCATGAGACCGACACGCCGATCCTACAAAAGTTGTGGTCACCAGATACGACGTTGCAAGTCAAGGCGAACGGTAACAACGGCGTCGGGATGGAGGACGGTTTGCGCGCCAAGGCGATTCAACAGCAGGAGAACGTCGCTGAGCGATCGAGGTTGAGGAAGGAGGGTTTGTTCGAGGAGCACATGACTCATGAGGGGATGACGAACTTGTCCCAGGAGCATCGCGATGTGGCTGATGGTTCCAAGGTCGAGCTCTGAATGAGGGTCTTTACCTGATGTGTATATATGTTTCAAATTAAGTACATAACTGTACATATCCCTCTCTTGCTGTGCTGATTGCAAATGATCAAAACTTTGCAACAAGTCTATCTATGCTATCCGCGGCTCGGAATGACTGTTAACCAGGCAACTGTGCCCTACCTAGAGACCTAGACCTTCCCGACGCTTTGTCCCGCCTCGCTTCCATACCTTCAGAGTTTGACCCCCGTGTGAATTGCCGCGATACCGAAAGTCAGATCCTCCCACGGTTCCCTCCGGGGGACAGTGAACCCGGCCTCCTCGATCATCTTGGAGAATCTCGCTTGGGGCGGGAAGCGTTCGATCGACTCGACGAGGTATTGGTACGAGTCTCGGTCCGAGGCGATGACGTGACCCAAGGTCGGGATCACTTGGAAGGAATAGAGTTCGTAAGCTCTGCAAGGAGGGAGAAATGCTCAGCTTTGCGCGGACTTGTTTTTCCAGTGTGCGGAGCAAAAGTCAGGAGCTCACTTTGCCAACAGAGGGTTCGAGACCTTGCTGAACTCGAGGCAGGAAAACACTCCACCGGGTTTGAGTACTCGATGGGCTTGTTCGAGTACTCGGTCGATGTGGGTGCAGTTGCGGATCCCGAAAGCGATCGTATAGAGATCAATCGAATTGTCCGGGATGGTGGAAAGTTCTTCGGCGTTTCCGAGTGTGAAAGAGACTTGGGGCCCTGAGAAGAAGCGCAAAAGAGTGAATCAGACCTCGGGCAATCTCACGCATACGACTGGGATAAACTCACCTCCATCGTACATGCTCTTGGCGAACCGCTTCCTCCCCTCGTCGAGCATCTCGGGGTTGATATCAAGGATATGGACGTGCACGTCCCGATCGGCGTACTTGGTTCTCGCATGGTCCAACAAGCGCATCGCAATGTCACCCGTGCCCCCGGCGACATCGAGGCATCGCATGCCGTCGCGTGGGTCCATCTTGGCGACGTAGTGGTCCTTCCATAGGCGATGGATCCCGAGCGACATGGCGTCGTTCATGACGTCGTACGAGGACGCGACGGAGGAAAAGACGCCCTTGACTGTGTACAGAGGCAGAGACCATTAGCGTGGTTTCGCGACGAGATGTGGACGATACATCGCCTACCGAGTGATTCTTTGAGTTGTTCGGGCACATCCTTGAAGCCAAAGTGGGTCGACGGGGAGGGGGGCGCTTGAGAATGCGGGTACGAGCCAGCCTGACTGGTCGAAGCGGTCGGCGGTGCGTGCGAGTCGAAAGGGGATGTGTACGGTGTGGCGGGTGCTGGGCGTGAGGTCGAGGGTGCCCCGGGTGCCCCGGGTGCTGGGTGGGGATGGGAAGAGATGGGAGAATGAGCCGCGTCGATGGGAGGATCAAGGGGCTTGGTGGGGTGCGTGGCACAGCGCGAGGACGACGACAGGCATCTTGCGAACGAGCGCCCGAGCTGGTGGCTGCATCGCAGGAGGGACATGGTCGGCTTGGGGTGACGCGGGTGAGGTTAGGAGGGGTGGTGTTCACTGTGGAATGCCGGCGATCGCTGGTCTTTGCGCCAGTGTTGCTCGATCGACACCCATTTCGGCTGATTTCAGTGGTTCAGCGCGCGATAAGGTTTTTGTAGACCAGCTGGAATACAAATTTCCATTCGCATTTCTCAGTGGGTCCGCGCGCGCGCGTCGCAGCCCAGTCAGGCCCAGTCGTCGCAGCCGGGAAACGCCTCCGCTGCAGTCCGCTGCGGGGTCGGCATGGCTGCCAGCAGGGTCGGCACCTTCGCTTTCTGGTCTGGTCACTGGCCTTGCACACATACCCGCGCACCCATCCACCATGTCACGGCCAGCCGCCTCGAGGACACTGCACCAAATCACATGTTCATGCACACGCCCAGGTCAGTACACCCGCCCACTCGCAACTCTCTTGCACACTCGGACCTTTTTTCCCACTCGGCACCTCTCCCGTCTCGTGTTGCCCATCAGCCGTGATCATCATTGACACGCCTCCCATGGCCCTACAGTCCAACTCAAAACCCGACAAGCCTCAACTTCTGCCCAGGCCTCTTCTGCCTCTGAAACATCAACCGCCACCTCGACCGAAACTGCTTCGACTTCTTCCTCCGCTTCGACTCCCTCCTCGTCTTCTTCCTCGACCTCGTCGTCGTCGTCGTCGTCGTCGTCGTCGTCGTCGTCGCCGCGCATCGTCGCCGCAGCGCTCATTTCCCGGCCACCTCTGCTCCTGCCTTCCCTGACTCCCTTTGAACGAACCTACTACGCCTACCAACGTCGCATCGCGCGCGCGTTGGCCAAACCCGTCTCCGTCTCGACGTCGTGGTTCTTCAAGCCCAACTCGACGACCGAAAAGTCCTTCTCCGCCTATGACCAAGCCACGACCGCGGTCGACACCGGTCTCGAGGATCCGATGAGGGATTTCGAACTTGCGGGAGAACAGGTCGAGGGAGCGGCCGAGTTGGTGCAGAGGCACACGGAAGCGGATGAGAAGGGGGATCTCAAAAGTTTGGAGAGAAAGGGCGACCGGACGTTGTACATGCTGCTCAAGAAGGACCGAAAGACCCATGCATGGCAGTTCCGTAAGTGATGACGACCATCCTGTTATCGGAAAGCGGACCCAGTGTGCGTACTGACACTGCCTTCGCTGCAATAGCCCAAGGCGGTGTCGAAGGCGACGAATCTCTGCTCGAAGCTGCTCAGAGGGAACTGATCGAAGAGACCGGACCCAACATGGACGTATGGCCCATCGGTAAAGTACCCGCCGGGGCGTACTCGTACCCGTTCCCCAAGGAACATCTCAAAAAGAAGCCGGAGCACACAGAAGCTAGGGTGAGAAGAAGGTCAAATTCCGAACGCTGCCAATTCGCTCGATGGGCTGACTTGGGGACGGTCTCTTCTCCTCAGGTCTTCTTCCTTCCCATGAGAATTGTGCGAGGGCAGGCTGTACCGAACAAGAACGAAGGGCTGGTTGATTTCGCTTGGTTGACCAAGGAGGAGATTCGGGAAAAGGTTTCCCAGGGGTATTGGGAAGCGGTTGAGCCCATGTTGTCGGATGTCTAGATGAGAATTAAGGGGTTGGAATATTAACCTGATCTTAAAGCAAGTGATTGAGCACGCTTATCCGACTTGGTGGCGACCAAGCATTGAACCGTTAACATAATATAGTGGCTCGCTCACGCGACTTGAGAGAGCGAAGGCACGCGCGCCTCGACCTCTTTCTACCTCTTTGGGACGTTCCTCACCCCACACCCCGATCGACACGACCATGTCCACCCTTCTCAGCATTCCCTTGCCATGCAAACTTGAACATCTCGTAGGAGAACAGACTCTCGCTTTGGGTGAAGCAGGTCCCTTAGCTCTCATCGCCCCACCACCACCACCTGGCGCAGCCTCCTCGACCTCGATCGACGAATCGGCTTCAGGCGATAACGGCTTAGCGAGTGATGCGACGACGACGACGACGACGAAGGGGGACGAGGTTATAGTCGTCTTGAAGGTAGCGGAATTGGCCTTCCCGTTGTCCCAGAGTGAGTTGAACCCTAGATGCATGTGGGCTGATGAGACCCACCGCGTCCGACCGGGGAGTGTCCGACCAGCGTCCATCGGAGGAGCCTCGACAACGACGTCATGATCCAGCGACGGCTCAGCGTCTCAGCTGGGGCGCCCCACATCGGATCGTTGCTGGCGTGGTTCATGGGTGCATCGAGAAGTCTGAGAACGAGCACGACTGATACATTTTGATACTACAGACACCCCCTTTGGAACGACGAAAAACCCCTACTCGTATCTCTTCAAACCCTCACTGGCCGGAGCAGAAGCAGACACTGCCTCCTCTGCGACGGGCTGGATCCGACTCACCCTTCCATCAACGACCGCCGAAGCTTTCCCCCAATCCAACTCGCAGGACACAAATTCAACTGATAAATCCGAACCTGTCGACGAGGAGAATCAAAGCCTGTTCCTCAAATTACGAGATTCGTTCGAGCAGGCGCTCGTCGAGTTGGGTCTCTTGACCGATTCGATGGTGCTCTCGGCCGCCGATGATATTGGCCAATCGACGCGTGCGAGTTTGGGTGGGATCGCTCAATCCATTTATGAAAGAACTCGAGTACGGATCGAGGGCTCTGAGGCTGTTAAGCCGGGGGAGGAGGTTCAGCTGGGCGAACGGACGAAGAACTTTGTGGGAGGCGTCGAGGGCGCTAGTCAGGGTGTCCGGGATGTCAGCAACAAGTTGACGGAATACATACAGCAAGGAAGTGTTTGGCTAGGGGAACAAGTGGGCAAGAGAATACCCGTTGGTAGAAAGGGGGAGATGGAGATGGAAGAGGGGACTGAAGGGAGGCCGGACATGTCAGCCTGGGAGAAAACGAAGACGGCTGTGGGGTCGATTGCTGGTGGGGTAGCAGACGGGTGAGCTCGCACATTCATCTCTTGTCATACATTCAACGATACTGAATGGAGACGACTTGTTCAGGTCCACCACTCTCGCATCGCACACCTCCCAAGCCGCGCAAGATGCCGTTACTCACTCGAAAGGCTCCGATGCGGGAGAAGTCGTCGAGAAGGCGAGCCAAACCGCAGCCAACATTGGCGGGACGGCTTCGGATGTCGTCGTCAAAACCTCGGTTGCTCTATTGGGGGGCATGGCCGTCAACGCAGCTGTTGAGGCTGATCGAAGTGCGGGTGGGGATGGGGGTGGGGACGAGCAGGGTGAGGAAGAGGTGAGAAGGGCGTAAAAACCTTGAGGCGCCGTTTTTATTGTCGCATCACAAGCTGTGCGATAGGTAGATTAGTGCCTGATACGGCTAGGTTGGTTTCGTACGGATCCCACAATGCACTCAATGCAGGGCCTTCAATGCGTTCCAGATAGATGCCTAGGTGATCAAAACCCGACTGCGCACCCCTGTGGTGTCGCACGTGTCGCTCGGGTCGTCACGTTCGCGCAGTCGACGTGCCGACGGCGGGCTCGGAGAGGACTAAATCCGGACTTGAAACAAGCTCCTTCGTTGTTTTGCCTTCTGGCACATTGGGAGCGACAAAGTGTACACAAAATATGGTATGTGGATCTGTGAACCAACTCAGAGATCGGGTACAAATAAGGAGTGTAATCCTGGAAAGGGGCCGGCAGGTTCAACCGGAGTTGACGGGCAAAATTCGGCACCTTGTCGTCGGTCGAAGGTGGAACAGTCCGCTCTGGCTCTGGTCCTTCAACGTTTCGATTCCGAGCTACCCATGCTCGGAAATCTTAGGTTCGGTTCCGTTCAGCATGGCAAGACTACACAAATCCAGAAAGGTTTGATCTGCGGCGGGGGCGGAGGTGACTGGGAGAAGACTGCAGTGGTTGGCCAACATTCTGGCACCCGTGCGACCTTGTGGTTGGGCGGGCTTGCGAGCCAAGCTGATCGCGCGGCAACGCGCGGCGCAAGCTGGCGCAAGTGCGGCGCACGCCGCGCGCGGTCTCCGCTATGAGTCGGCAGGCTCACTCCGCGCTTCGTCGCACACCAACTCCCCCTCGTGTTTGCCCCATCTCCCTTGTCTTGATTCCGTGCTCGACCTTCGAATTTGTACAGATAACTCATTTCTATTTTCTCCTCCTCACCGAGTCACTCCTTCACCAAGTCTGCGCCGTCGCTCGTCGTTCCTTCAACACCCCGGCAACTTCTCGATCTCCCTCGACCTTGTTCAGTCGCGTCGCGGCGCGCCTCAGACAAAGTCGATCACACCCTTTCGAATCCCGATTATCGATAAGATCTTTCCTTCACGCTTTCGAATTTCCATAGCTTTCTCGGCTCGTTCTTTCATATTGACGCGCCATGTTCTCCCGCGACTCCAAGATGGTGTCGATGGCGCTCGCCACCGGGGTCGTGTGCTCGCTCGCCTCCATCACCTCGGCATTCAAGTTGATCGAAGGCTCCGGAGCCCAGATCATCCCCGGTCGATTCATCGTCGCCGTCTCGAGTTCGAGTAGCAGCTCGCTTGGGAAGCGTGCGGATGAGGTCAGTGCCTTCTTGTTTGTGTTGCTGCTCTCACGAAGGTCAAGCGCTCGAGCTGGCGAACCATCGCCGGATCCGGACCTCGAGCGCGAGGAAGGGGTGGACTGGGCTATAGTGCTCGGCGCGCGGCTGGGTTGACTTGGAGCCTGATCGTGTACCTCTTGCTCATAATGACCAACAGGACATCGCGGGAGTCATCAACAAGATCAACGATATTGGAATCGACGCCAAGACCAGAAAAACGTACCAGTCGCCTGGTCTGCTCACGGGAGCCAGTATCGTCGTGCCGCAAAACACCACCGCCGCTGATCTTTTGGCCGTCCCCGGGGTCACCGTGAGTTCGGACTTTGGGGATGATTATTGATGCAACGACATCATTTGGTCTCTGACTCAGATATTTTGATGCTCGCTCCCTTAACAGAAAGTTTGGCCCGTCCGAAGTATCCCTCGACCCGTCACCTACACCACCAGCGAAGCCAAGGGCAAGACGAGTCGCGGCACTTCGGCGACCGACATCTCGGCTCGAGGCAAGGTACTCAGTCGTCGCGACGCATACACGGATGACACATGGTCCCCCCACCAAATGACGGGTGTCGACGTCATGCACGGCAAGGGCTTCCTCGGCTCCGGTATCAGGGTCGCCATCTTGGACACGGGTGTCGATTACAAGAACCCCATCTTGGGCGGCTGCTTCGGCAAAGGCTGCAAGGTCGCGTTTGGGTATGCTTTCGTCGGCGATTATGACGAGACGACAACTGGACCAGACCCGTACACCAACTGCTCTGATCATGGTACCCATGGTCAGTCAGCAGCTGGCTAATACAGTGGCCAGATTGAGCAAAAGCTGACTTTTCCAAGTACGACGCTATTCACCACTCAGTGACGGGCATCATCGGCGCCAACGCCAACTCGTACGGCTTCACCGGTGTCGCACCACAGGCAACGATTGGCATGTACCGCGTTTTTAGTTGCTCTGGCAACACGGGCGAGGATACAATCGTCGAAGCGTTGCTCAAGGCCGCCGAGGACAGGGCCGATGTTATCAACATGAGTCTCGGCGGGCCCGTCGGGTGGCTCGATGGCTCGCCAACGCAAGCACTGGTCGAAAGGCTCAACGCCAAGGGTATCGTAACAATGAGTGCGGCCGGTAACGAACAATCCGAGGGCATGTTCTTTGCCGAGTTCCCAGCCGCTTCGAGGACCGGAGTCGCCGTCGCTTCGGTCGATGTCGCCAACTTGCCGGCGTACGACATGGTCTTCAAGACGGGGGGTTACCCCAAGATGCCTTACCTCTCCGCCAGCGCGTTTAGCACCTCGTCGACGCTTAAAGTCTACTTCACTTCAACTGATACGAATGCACTCGACGATGCATGCAGCCCTCTGCCCTCGTCGACGCCGGATCTTCGCAACTATCTCGTCATCATGCAACGAGGAACGTGCAACTTTGCGACCAAGATGGGGTACGCCGCCGACAAGGGCGCTCGCTTTGCTATGATCTACAACTCTGCGACCGGCGCGACGCTGCCTTACATTGGTGCCGACAACACGGGCCTGACCGCCGTCGCCGGTCTGCGACGCGAGGATGGTCTTTTGCTGCTCAAGTACTACCTCGCTCAAAAGAAGAAGGGCCCCAGTGTCGCCTTCCCGAGCAACAGCAAACTCGTTTCGGGCGCTGCCGACACTCAGACCGGCGGCCAAATCAGCGCCTTTAGCAACTTCGGGCCGACCAACGACATGTACGGCCAGCCGAGCTTCGCCGCACCCGGTGGCAACATCCTCAGCACGTTCCCCATCGTTCTAGGCACGGTCGGCGTCCTGAGTGGGACCTCGATGGCGACCCCTTTTGCTGCCGGATCGGCAGCGTTGCTTCTGTCGGCTCGCAAGTCCGACAAGCTCACGCCTGCGCAAATTCGTTTCTTGTTCGCCTCGACGGCCAACGTCGTCCCTGTCAGCCGCAAGGCAGCGCAACCTCTGACAACCACGCTCCTGCAAGGAGGAGGGCTGATCCAGGTCGATCAGGCCTACGCCGCCAAGTCCTTCATCTCCCCATTTGAGCTCATGCTCAACGACACCGCCCACTTCAACAACACACAAACGATGACGATCACCAACAAGAACTCCAAAGCCGTCACGTATCGATACGTCAACACACCCGCACAGGTCCGCGTCACGTACGACACCGCTCGTTCGAACCTCCCTTCGTTGAGCCCTGCTGCGGTTACGGAGGAGACAGCGGCAGGTGTCTCGTTCCGACCGGGACGCATCACGATCCCCGCGGGGCAGACGTCGACCGTTCGCATCACGTTCCAGGCACCCAAGTTCGTACAGCGGTACTTGTCCTTGTACCCGATGTACAGTGGTTTCATCACCATTACCGCCGACGATCCCGCGAAACAAAAATTCCAGATCCCGTACTTTGGCATGGCCGGCAACATGAGCGACATGCAGATCCTCGACAAGACGTCGACCTACGCCGACAATTACCAGTCCGGCCTCAAGTACCCTTTCATTACCGACGGTAATGAAGCTCAAACAGCGAACAAGGTCAAGGATTACCCTATCGCCAACGGTCTCACCCTGTATTTCCGACTTGCTCGTAAGTAATTCTTGTCGCGCAGTCATGTAGAGCCATTGCTGACAGTTTTTCACACACCACCCCGCAGAGGCTACCAGAGCCTACAACGTCGACCTGGTCTTTGCCAACACGACGTTCAAACCGACGGTCTTGCCCAGCAACAACGCGAACCTCAAGCGCCGATCGCTCTCGAGTGACTATGAGCAAGAGTTCGAGTCGCTCGAAGTCGACGCGTCCGAAGACAGCCACATCCTCGCTCGCTCGGGCTTGATCACACGAGCTGTGCAGTCCTATGCATCGACCTCGATCGTCGGTCGTGTCAGCAGTAGTCAGAACCAACCCCGAGACTGGGCCATCGAGTCGGGAATTGGACTCGGGTTCTCTGACCAGCAAATCAGCTTCACGGGTCAATACCAGACGACACCGACCAGTGGCGTTTTTACCGAGGCCGATACCGCCACCCCGTACAGGCTTTTGCTTCGGTAAGTTTTTTACGTGAACCGGAGAGGATGCTCAGAGACTAACTCGGATACGCTCCTTCTCGTTTCGCAGCACGCTCAAGACGACAGCCGATCCGAAAGTCGAGTCGAGTTGGGAGAGTTGGCTCAGTCCTCCGTTTACGCTCAGCAGTTGATTGGGAAATCTTGGTTGGGGCTGAACATCCGGACACTTATTATTACCCATGGAAAATAATATTATGACAATCACGAATAATGAGCTACTTCGCATGCAACACCCAAAAAAGGAGTCCTCCGCTGTCCGGGCGGCTACCCGATCGCCGACAAAGGCTACTGTTATAGTCAAAATTCCTACACTGGGGATACTCCGTTCAAGAAGTTCGTCAACAAGCTAAATATTGCGATGACGGACTTTCAGAATCTCGGTGCTCCACTCCCGCATTGCTTGACGTCGGCGTGCGTTCTGTACGGCGAGAATTGGTGGAATGCGCAGCCGGTTCATCGTCACTCAAGAAAGCTGACAGGAGCACAGTTGAGCTATTCCGTTCATCAAATTGAACTGCTGGCGATCTATGAGGGTTCTCAAGCACAAGAGCATCCTGATTGCACGCAGAGGGATCGTTCTTTCGGATAACAGTTCTTTGGAGTGGTTCTTGACAACCAAAGAGATGAATGATCAGCAGGCGCGAGCGTATGCGTTTATGTCGCAGTTTGACGTCACGATCCGACACATCGATGGCGAATGCAATCATGTTGCGAATGCTTGCGCGTCAGTACGAGGATGACAATATTGCTGATGGAAACGTGGACGGCACCAGACTGGATGATTTCAACACCGAGCGGGACGACGCACCTTTGTTGCTCGATCGTACACTTGCAGTGGTGCAATGAAGACGTCGGCGAAAGCCAAGGGTAAAAGCAGAGACATTGAGCGACCCACAGCAAAGACGAAGACGACGAGATAGGTGTCGGGGAACCGAGCAGCGAAAGCGCAAGCGGCACGTCTCGAGGAAGAAGGTGGAACACCTTCGAAGAAGCTTTGAATCAGGTCGAGGATTACCACCGTCGGTTCATGAAAGCTCTGACGAGTTATGCCGGCGACAAGTTCTTTCAGAAAATCGTTACCCAGGTTGAGGGCTTTGGTCGATACGAGCTTACCGATGGAGTCCTCTGGCAGAATAATGAGGTGTTTGGGGACCGTAGGTGTGTCGCATCGGGGACAGTGGATGGGAGGACAACACGAGAGGTTGTCCTCGAACAACCTCACAAAATGACAGGCCATGTAGCAAGTGAGGGCAGGACGGACCATGAACAGCACCTCTTCTGGGGCCTTCTCTCTCGAGCAATATTGGAGAACAATAGTCCTCGCAGCTTTCTGTGAGGCATAACCCTTACACTTCCGGTCCCACTTGCAGACCGGAGAGGTCCGCCTGGAACAATTAAAGATCGTCGATCCCCGGACCCACCCGCGGGCTTTCCTTGCCACAACCGCATTCGCGTTATCTTTGTTCTTTAGTCTTGGCCGCCAAATTCGTCCACGTGGCAGCCCGCGGTAGGCCCAGCGCCGGGCGCGACACGGCGTGCCGGCGATCCTGCTCGCGCCCGCCGGCGCCTGCTGAGGCTGGCGCTGACTAATCCGTTGCCTCACAAGCTCGCGCGCCCGGGGGCATTTTTGGTTTGTTTTGTCCAGACCTGGGAGAAGCAACTTGCGCGCTGTCTCTGTTTTTGCCCAAAGGTTTCTTTTTGTCCTAGAGGTTTTTTCGATTATTCCCCGAGTTGCCTTCCGTATGGAGTAAGTTCACGCCGATCCTGCTCAACATCCACCTCAGTGAGCCAGAGGCTTCGGCTCGCCAACGGGTCTTGCGCAGCTTGGACCTCGGTTGGTTGCCGTGTTGTTGTCCTCTTGCACATCACTTGTATCGGCGTGCCTGCTCCCACTCCGCTACTTGCCAGTCACTGTCGTTGCTGCCCTTTCTATAACCCCGTCCTCCGTAAACTCGACCTGATCCTCCCGGCCGTTCTGGCCCCCGCTCCTTCGCCATCGGTCTCCGCCTTCGCATCAGGAGCGCGCAATGAGACCCTTCCTCAACATGGCTTGGCCCACCTTGTTCGCCTTAGCCGTGTTGTCGCTCTCGATCACGCTCACCCACGCGTTCCCTCGGGCGCCCAAGAACAATGAAGCATCCTATGTACCCAACTCGTTCATTGTTGAACTCGAACCTTCGGCGACGCTCTCCAAACGGGCCATCTCGCTCGAATCGGTGAGTATTGTGGTCCATCGTCGGCGTTCGCCCCTTCGCGCACCGCATGCTTCGCGTCGGCACCCAACGCTCGGCAGTCCCGCTCCACTTCCCCACTTTTTTCGGGATCGCCACCGGTCATCGGCAGTCCCCGCCCAAGATGAGGCCTCGAACTTTATAGTAGTCTGAAACTGAGAACGATCAATCGCCTTTTATTTTCACCCGACAGGTCTTGACCTCCGTGCTGGGACAGCTCTCGGGCCAGGGTATCGATGCCGAGATCTATAAAAAGTACTCTGGCGTTACTTTCAGCGGAGCGGCTATTACCGTCGCCGATGGCGTACAACAGGAAGACATTCTGGCTCTGAAGCAGGTCAAGGTATGTCGAAAGTGCTCCGTGTATGCGTGGTGCGCAAGAGAGACGTGTGAGCTGATGCTACGTCGCGCCCCTATCGATGCAGCGTGTCTTCCGAAATCGGATTTACCGCCTCGCGCCCGCAAGCGCCGCCTCATGGGACTCCGAGGGACAAGCCTTCCTCAAATTAGCAGACGGCTTCCTGAATGCGCTGCTCGCAAAGCTCCGATCTTTCCTGCCCAGCCAATCCCCCTACGCCAACGACAAGTATGGGCCGCACGTCCAAACGGGTGTCGACAAGCTTCACAACTCGGGCAGCCTTGGCCAAGGCGTCAAAGTTTGCGTCATCGACGGAGGTTTGGATTACAAGAACCCGATCTTGGGTGGCTGCTTTGGGCCGGGTTGCCATACGTCGTTTGGATACGACTTTGTTGGCGACAATTTCAGCGTCACGTCGAACAACGCCGTCCAGAGCCCCGACCCTTACTCCAGCTGCAATGATCACGGATCCCACGTCCAGGGCATCATCTCGGCGTTGGCGAACCAGTACGGGTTCACGGGTGTGGCACCCAAGGCCAACTTTGGTCACTACCGCATCTTTGGCTGTCTGTCCGACGAGACGACCGACGACCTCATCCTTTCAGCGCTTCTTCGCGCCCAGAGCGATGGCTGCCAGGTCATCAACCTCTCCGTCTTTGGATCGGTCGGTTGGTCGAGCGTTACGCCTTCAGAGATCGTTCTTGATGGCCTCGTGAATGCAGGAATTCACGTCGCCGTCTGTGCCGGCAATTCCGGGAACGAAGGTATGTTACTCAGTAAGGCTGTTCTGAGTGCCATCCGGAGCCCGCACTGACTCGTCTCAAATTTGATCAAAAAGGACTTTTCCAGGCAGCGTACCCTAGTTCAGCGCTTAACAGCGTTTCCGTCGGCTCGACGTGAGTGGTCCGCGTCTATGTCTCCTGTATCCGAGTGTGGACCTGACCTTGACCCACTCAAACCTCAGTGATGCCACAACACTACCGACGTACCAAGCTCAACTCAACGGGGGCCGCGCCCCAATTGCCTACATGAGCCCATTTCCTCTTCCTCTGAACGGAAGCTACCCGGTCGTCTTCACAGATCCCACGGGGGCGTCGACCACCGATGCGTGCAGCGTTCTTCCTGCCGACAGTCTCGCCGGCAAAGTCGCTGTCGTTCGACGTGGCGGGTGTGGTTTCATCAATAAGATTAACGTTACGGCTGCGGCGGGTGCCGCCGTCACGCTGATCTACAACACCGCGACCGACTTTATGATCCCCCAGCTGACCGTCGGCACATCGGGCTCTCGGGGAGTAGGCGGCCTCACGAACGAAGCTGGAGTCCAAGTATGTACATGTAGCTACGTGACACATACATTTATGGATCTGACGTGAAACGGATTGTCCACAGCTCCTGTCGCACTTTAACGCCAATCCGACCGGCTTGCAAATGTCCTTCCCTGCCGGGTCGCTCTTGCCGGCCAGTTCCAACGTGGTCGGCGTCAAGGACAAGTTTTCCGGTGGACTCACGTCCTCGTTCTCCAGCTACACGCCTACATTTGATATGTTTGGGCAGCCTTCCGTGTCGGCCCCGGGCTCGAACATCTTGTCGACCGTCACTATGGCCAGCGGTGGCGTTGGGATCTTGCGTGGCACCAGTCAAGCCTCGCCACTCGTCGGTGAGTCAAGGCGTCGATGCAATGGTCTAAAGAGCCTCTCACAATTACACTGACTTTATTCGTTGCTGTTGTGCCACGGCAAACGCAGCTGGTGCCATGGCGTTGATCATTTCGACGCGCGCTTCGGAGCGACTCACTCCTTTCCAGGTCCGGAGTCTACTCGCTACGACGGCGGATCGCGTGCCGACGACAATTGGTGGTTCGACCCCCAACAACGTCGTCCTTCAGGGGGGTGGTAAGTCCCTAGACGGCCGCCCGTTTCGTTTCTTTGGCGACAACACTTCGCTCATCTTCGCTTGTTGTGGTCCTAGGTTCCATCAACGTAGCCCGCGCCGCCTCGGCGAAGACATTACTTAGCCCTTACCAATTCGCCTTGAACGACACCTCCTACGCCAACTACGCGGTCACGTTGACGATTGAAAACAGGAACTGGTATCCGGTCCAGTACAGCTTGGCATCCATTGCCTCGCAGGCACTCGCCCACTATGCGAACGTAGGCTGCATGCTGCCACTACTCCGCGTGACACCACACGCCCTTTCCTCTGTAGCTGACGTTCCTCTGATTCCATTCATTAACCAGTCCGCTGATCAAGACGTCGTTCCTTTGACCGAGCCCGCAAGTGTCACCGCTACGGCAAGTGCCTCCTTCAACAAGAAGAACTTGCTACTCTTCAGCTACCAGACTTCGACCGTCACCATCACTTTTTCCCCTCCGTCGTTGTCGGCCGAACAAGCCGCCCGCTTCCCCCTCTTCTCCGGATTTATCACCGTCGATGGTCGAGCACTTGCTCTTCCTTGGCTCGGTACCGAGTCGTATACGGTTCCTTACTTTGGCCTCGCTGCCAAGATGATCGACATGCCCGGTAAGCTCGCGCACCCACTGCCAGAAGAGTGTCTATGCCAGCTCCAAACTGACCTCTTCTTGCCGCCCTCCATACTTTAGTTCTTGACACGACAGATAAAGCCATCGGTGCTTTCTACCCCTTCCTCGGTCTTGCCGACGGTGGCATCGCGCAAGGCGGCGAGGCGATCTCGATGGCCGACGGTGTGACCATCCTGTTCCGCCTGGCTGGAGGTACGCGATCCGTCACCGTCGATCTTGTCACGGCCGATACCGCGGTCAATGCCACGGTCCCGTCGATTACCAATCCCATGCGTCGCCTCGTCCGTCCGCGCTCGAAGCGTACTGCTTTTGATGCAGTCACGGCTGGGCCAGTTATGCTGAAGAGGGATTCAAGCACGCTGTACTCCGCCGTCCCGACGGTGGGGCGAATCTATACCAACCTTGAGGCTCCTCGCGACACACTTGTCAGTCTGACCGACACGGAATACCTCTGGAAAGGTGCCTACAGCGACGCGAACAATGCAACGCAGACCGCCACCGTCAACACGCCTTACCGAGTCTTGCTCCGAGCGCTGCGCATCACCGCCGACCCGACGCTGGAGTCGTCCTACGAGTCTTGGCTCAGTCCCGAATTCACCATGACGGCATAATACCACACAATCGCAGTCTCGTTAAACATCGGAGAAGTGTTTTGTTGTCGGTTGAGTCTGGAAAGGTCTTTTGTTGTCGGTTACGTGTATGGTAGAGTTGTCTCGGCGGTACATCATTTGTCTTTCAGCGCGGATACCCCAGCTCGACCCGTATACGGGTCGGCCACCTTCTTGGAAGGCACGACGCCTTGGACTGCGATCAATTGCTCCGCAATGTCGCAAGGTTCTTGATTGTTGCTGCTTTTGTAGATGTTCAAGTGACTGTCAAACGCGAGTAGAATCACATCTCTGATCTAGGACCGTACCTGGTGCGAGCGCTCGATGGAGCTAGGTAGGGGGTGGGGATTGCTAGGGCATCCTCCTCGTACACCGCGCGGCGAGTGATGGGTCAAGCAAATGCCGTGAGGATATAAATTACTGCTAATGACTGATCAAAAATACGTAGGCCCAGCCCAGCTAGTGAATACTGAGTCACTGAGTGTTGCTAACATGTGAATCGATTTGTCGTGATGCGTGATGATGTCGTAATGAGCGGCAAGGGAGAGGGTATCGAGGGTGAATCTATCGTTCTAGGATGTTTGAGTTCTTGATAGATGGAACCCAGATCTAAGGGAGCGGCGTTCGCTGTGCATCACCCCACGCCAGAGCTCGTACAGCATCACATCCGCCCACAGGTATCCGCCGGGAAGAGGGTCACCGTGGATCCTGTCGAGTTGATGAGCTTCGTGACCCTTCAGCATCGTGCCCCATTCGTTGAGCCGGAAATCGGGGTGCGGGGCTTCCAAACTGAGATCTCCAATCTCTGTCGGTAGGAGAAGCGAGCGCACGGCTTCGTCGAGTTGGTTGATGCGGGCGTGAGAGAAGAAAGGAGGCTCGGGAAGTGCAGTCGAGTTACTTTGTCGAGGAGCAATTTTTTCCTATAGTGACGGCGGGAGCGGTGAGAGGGTGTCAGTTTTCAGTCATCGTATACCTCAAGTGGGGCTATGGGTCTGACATGACTCACGAAGAAGTATTCACGTTCGGCTTGCGCATCGAGGGGGTAGTGAAGCGTTCGCCATGTCTTGGCCTTGGCGTCGGGGAACATTTTGCGAACCTTCTCCAGCGCCTGACCTACTCGGAACCGGTACCATGTGACTCGGTCTTTGGCCAGAGGTCCGGCCGTGTCTTGCTGCGCGGTAATGTCCTGCTGGGCCCAACGAGCGAGATCCCATACGCCGGATGTGACTTCGACAAAGTCCGGCGCCGATGCGCGGCCGTCGGCTCGGAGTGCCCTGACGACGGGCTCCACGACATCGGCCAGACGATGCTCAAACATCCCAGGGGCAACGTATTGAGGCGCTTCCGAGTCGCGCCAAAAGTCTTCTTGGTCGAGGCCAAAATGGAAGATGGACACGAGCTGTAAGACCAGGCGAAGGCAAGCCGGGTTAGTACGGCGGACCAGATCATTCAATTGAAAGAAGAAGCGACATACCATGAAATCGTACTGGGGGATGTAGCACATGCGGGGCCAACTGGTGTCCCGGAGTGAGCGACCGGCGCTCTTGCTTGACCGCGTTGCGATCCGGCTGGGTCGCTCACCCAAATGCTGCGCTTTGGCTGGCATTCGGAAGATCGCGTTTCCAGGGCTGTACTTATGGTCGTCTCGAATGACCTCACTCTCCTTGCCCATCAAGATGCAAAAGTTTTCGACGTGCTCGCGCGAGATCTGGTCTCCGATGATGAGCGCTGTTCGATTCCTGAGCCAGGAGAAGTCGGCGGTGGTTTGGTCGTTGCGCAGCCTGCTGAGGAAGTTGGGCGCCTGGCACTTCTCATCGAAGGGAATCCACCGGTTTGCATCCGGGTCGTGGGTGTCGGCATATAGCGCACCGAATGCGGAATAAGGCTCGCACTTGGTGGATTTGTGAAAGAGGAGCGCTGAAGCGGCGGAACCCATGGTGTAAGGGGTGCTGTTAACGGAATGATAGAAAAACTCATCAGGTTAGTTCATGGTGCGTTATGCCTGCAACAAAATTCTCAGCCGAGGAAGACTGGGAAGGTGAGCCCATAGCCGTGGCTAACGCGGGCCCTCGAGGGTCCATGCGGTGAGGGATGACGTACGAAGAGGGGACCAGGTAAGTCAGAAGGACGACGAAAGAAAGAGTGACGCTGATAAGAGCAATCACAGAGAGCCATGGTCTTGGCAGTTGGAATGGTCGCCCCTTTGGCGGCGATGCCCGCCGTCGTGTACCGTAAGCGTGTAGGTGAAATCGGGAGCTCGTCGGTGACGATTTCTCCTCCAAGGACTCGGAGCTCGACTTTTTCGGCCATGACGACAAAGTCGGAGGCGAGCAAGGGTAGTCGATTTCACCGCTCTTCTCGTCGTAGATCAACTGGGAGATAAACGGCTGTCTGAGCGAAGTTTGATGGGTCGGAGGGGTGTGAGCCGCGATTGGGGGCGATCTCGGCGGAGACGATCCCGGCGTCGAGACGAGTAGGCTGGCGACCGAGCTTCGACGACGAAAATGGAAGGCAGGAGAGATCGCTACTCTGGGTGATTCACCAGACACATAAGGGATCGGCATGTCGACAGAAGGTGGTGACCAAAAGGCCAGAAGCGTTACGACCTCAAAGAGAAAAAGGAGGTGTCTCGGCTTGCTCAAAGATCTGTTCCGAGTCGGATCAAGGCGCCGTGGGTCTGTGTCCGCGTGAGGCCCGTTTCACTCGGGACAGGTTTAATCGGTTGGTGATGATGGTAGGATGGAGAAGCGTTGTGGTGGTATGATCCTTCACGAAAGGTCGGCAGAGAAATGGGGGAGGTGCGAAAGAGAAGCACCCCGCCCAGCACATCATGTGGAAAACGCATCGGCGGCCCCGCGTAAGAAGCTCTCGGTCTCTGGAGTCCGACTCGATTGGCGCGCACTCTGCGGCCGGCGGGTGGCTGAGACATTGTTTGCCCTCGGCCGCGACTGCGTGCGCCCACGGCACCCGTGCGCCTGCCCGTGCGCGACGCGATCCCATCTTGTCCGGATTGGGAACGATCCGTCCCGCCTCGACCGCGTTCACTTTAGGGTTCCGCTGGAACCGTCAAAAATTGGCTTTACAAACCTGGGGACAGCGCCGACAGGCTTTACTAAATCGTACGGGGTGATGGGTGAGTTTATTTAGCGCTAGGTAGGGAGAGGCAAGTGTCGGGCTTGATCAGTACGTGCTATTCCTGTGCCGAGGATTATGCATCCATCCTCGGCCGGTCCCCAAAGGGCCAGACGTTTCCTCGCCTTTTCATGACCACGTTCAGCTCGCGCCAGTCTTCCTGGCTGGGATTGCCCTCATGGAACTCGAAGTAGGCATTAATGTGTAGCCACCTCCTCTACTTCCTACTTACTCGTGGCTTTATAATCTGCCAAAAGCCGGAATGCCTCGCATCCGTTTCGAGTCTCAGGAGCACTATTACGAGCGATCGGCGTCGCTCTACATACAGTGTATGTTCAGGGAGGGCGTGGATTTCCTTTCCGGCTGTACAACTAAATTGACCGTTTATTCACATGCCTGATCAATATTTACCGCTTGATTTGACACTGCCTCAGAGCTAGCTTCTGATTTAGAGGCTGAAATCGAGTGGGCTGGCTGAGCAGGATGGCACAATCGGCGGAGTAAAGCGGCGCTGTAGATGCCAAATTCCAACCCTGGCGCATAAAACTATACTCAATACATGCACCAAAGAAATAATTTCAGCTTCCTCTCACTACCGTGAGCCGCCATCGCGCGCCGTAGATATCGCTGTCAGCGGCAGCCGGCTGGCAGTTGCCCGATTGGGAAGGTGAGGAGGCAGAGCCGACTCAGGAGCCGGGATTGACATGGCTGTCACTGCGCCCGGGGAGGTTCGAGAATAGCTCACGGTCCACGGCTCCGACCGTACGCAAAATTGGAAGCGTCTTCTGAACTTCTGACCACTTCTGGCTAGGTTACCACTCTGTGGTCGTTTTGTCCTACAAAGGTTTGTAAACGAGAAGATGTAGGCGAACTTTTAGTCTGGGGAAAAGGCCCAGCCTTTACGAAGGGGGACCGTGAGGAGCACTGGCTAGTGCTAGTCGCAAAGTTGGCGCAGTGCATGCATGCAACATTGCGTGGGGAGCTTGAGCCCCCTGTACTCTGATCCGAGACTGAGCATTCGCCAAGGCAATGATCTCGCCCTCGCCAAGAGAGGTTTCACCTCGCTCACCATCGGCGGGCTCGGCAGCGCAGTGCCTTGAGCATGTCTCGGCAGTGCAGGAAGACCCAGCCGGCAGTGCCAGGCTGCGCGCGCGTCCTTTCGCAGGGTCAATAAGAGACACTACGATTCCGACGAAACAACCGAGAAAGTATTTGAAACGAAACAAGTCGTCTCAAGACATCAATAAACCAAGTTGGCCTTATGAAATGCTTTCCAATTCATTCAAGTATGCGACGTGCACCGCCTGTCGGCTGCGCTGGAGGATAAGCCGATGCGGAACCCGTGTCTTAGATTCGCAGAAGCGGCAAGACGGTGCTCCTTCGGACCTCTATGACTGAGACGTGGGTTTGAGTTGATGTCTGGGTTCGTTTGAAGGGTGACCAAGAGGGAGAGGTCCATGTTGGCGTGAGGATCGTGCACTTAAACGGACCCAAGACCTTCACAAGCCATCATACTATGGCGCAGCATAACGAGCAGAATAAAAAAATTGCTCCAAAAGAGCGAGTGACCAACGATTCTCCAGACAACGCTTACCATTGATGGGGAGGAATTGTGCGAGCACGAAAATCACGACTACCTACTTGAGCACAAGTCCCGTGTGTGCATGCCTTCACTTAAGCCGAAGTACCTCGGTGATCCTGGGTTTGACGTGCGCGCAATCGCTCAGTGTCGGCGTCCGGGGTCGAGACATTGTCCAGGCCTGTGCGGGCGCCAAACTGCGGCGTTTCACGTGTCGATCCATCAACGTCAGACGGCCTACAGGAACCGCCGCTTCATTGGCCACGCAAGCAGCTAGTTAGGTTTTTGCCAAGGAAAGCTGTCTCGCTGGGGTTGACTTTCCTCACTTTCCTGCCTCGCTCGATTTGCAACGTAGTGCTTTAATCACGGGCGGTGCCCTCCGAGCTATGCTCGACTCGCGCCGCGGGTGAATGTGACAGCATCCACGCGGCGCCGCCGTCACGATCGCATACAGCAAGCCGTGTCGATTTTGTTTGCGAGTTGATATGCTGCAGAGTATTATTCATCACGACTTTACATACTGCTGAACTACGTTCAATAAAACTAAATCCAAGAATCAACAGTGACCGAATCCGTCGATCCGACCGACAAATAAAGTGGGTTTCCACGCCCGTTGACGAAGCGCAGATGCAACGAAAAGGATGGTGATATGTACTAGCGCTTGAAGTGGGACCTCTCGAGCGTCCTCAATGGTACATACACGATCGCCGCTGCCAATGCACCCAACCACAAGCCAACATCACCACCGGACGCGGCATTTCCAGCGATCTTGACCGCGATCGGACCCCTCCACCACACTTGGTCCATCGAGACGACGACGAGCGCGGCGCCGACCAACGACGACACGATCGCCGCGATCCCAGGCGGCAAGAGAGAGCGCGAGTCCCAGACCGAAATGTCGTAAGAGGTGAAACGACCTTTGCGGAAGTACCAGTGCTCGATCACGAAGATGGTGGCAAAAATGGCGGCCCAGTACCCGAGCAAGCCGAGGAAGTTGGACAGAGCGGCAGCAAAGTGATCTGCTGCGACGATGGCAATGGGGAGGTAGATCGCTGTGGCTACGATCGGGAAAAGGAAGCGGGGGAACTTGGACAGGAAGGGGAAGACGATTTGCATCGAGAGCGAAAAGGCATAGCAGGTGGGTGCGATGTTGGTGATCATGCCGAGCGCGAAGAAGACGAGCAAGACCTTGCCAAAGCCGCGCAGCGGTTCAAGTGCAACCGCAACCAGACCGCCTGTGCTGCCTGTAATGAATGCATCCTCCCATGTTGTGATGAGCCCCGATAGAGCGGCGGCGGAGAACGCGGCACCCATCATCTGCAGCAAGGCGCAGGGCAGGTACAAGCCGACGAAGGTGTAGACGAATACTTTGGTGCTAGAGACGGTCGAACGCTGGTACGTGTTGAAATCGGCCGCACAGCCACACCAAGAAAGAGAGAATCCGACGATAATGGAGGAGAAGGAGAGGATCGTGCCGGCGGTGGCAGGAACATCGTCGAGATAGGAGGTCGCGGCGCCGAGGTGTCGACCTCCGAACCCAGCGAGCAGAATAAACGCGAGCAGCACGGGTGCCCACACCCATCGCTCGAAGACGTGCAAGACCCTGTACCCACAGAAGGAGAGCACGAGCGAGATGGCGGCGATGATGATGATGCCGACGCGGGTCGATACGGTGCCGGGGTTGACGCTCGCGAGCACCTGACCTCCGAGAAGGGCGTTGAGCGCGTTGAAGCCGATGAAGGAGATGAGGTTGAAAGCGGCAGGTACGGTGGCGCCTAGCCAGCCGTAGGAGTAGCGGGCGACAGCCATCTGCCTCATGCCGAGCCTGAACACAAGGCAGAATCTCTGGTCAGCGCCGGGGACGAGGGGTGACCGATACAAGGATCGGCAGCAACAGCATCGCAAGCTCACCTTGGCCCGAACACGGCGAAGTAGGACGGCACCGCACAAGAGAAGATGTTGAAGAACACAATAACAAGGAACGAGTTCTGCATATAGATAGGAGATGCCAAACACTGGATTTAGCTCGCATGCCCGAACGTCTAAATTGCTCGGACCGACCGGGCTTCAACTCGGTCAGCGGGGTTTCCAGGGTGGAGGGAGAATCCCCGTACCTTCATCGAGAATCCAAACAGAAGGGGCCCCAGTGTTCCGGTAGAGAAGCACGCGATAGTAGCATTCATCGTAAGCCTGGATTTGGTGCGAGTGGACGGTGTGTGTATCAGTATACGGTAACGCCGGAGACAGTCCGCGTGATCTCGGCAAACTCCGGTAGCAGCGGCGGAGAGCGCCGACGACCCACCGCGACGATCGTCTGCAACTGTCAACTCACCACATGGTGAATGAGTCGAGAAAGTTGGAGTCGACGCGTTGTTCCTCGGTCAAAGGTGCGATACCGTGGGACTCGATCGAGAGGTCATCATTGATCCTACGCCACAGCTTGCCGAGCGTGGACGGGGGTTGCTGCTGGTCGTCGCCGTCGTCGTCGTCGTCGTCGCCCTTGTGCAGCGACGCCACGGGCGAAGCAGGGTGCGTGCCCGTGGCGAGATCATGGCCAGATCCTCGCAGCGAGCTCGCGCTTGATTCCAGCTTGCTCGGCGAGGGCGGGGCCTCGATATCCTTCATGGCTGCCTGGGACAGAGCAACGGGGAGGAAAGAGAAGGGAAAGAAGTCGGTTGGGTGTAAGTGACAGCGTGCGAATGCGGTGCAAAGAGGGGGAACAGGGGGCAACGACAAGAGCTTGACTGGGACCGAGCTTGAACGAGAGCTTGGCGCGGCAGTCACGACCTGTGACTACTGTCACGACGGGCTCGAGCGCGAGAAGGCGAGATGAGATGAGGCGCGATCGACGCGTAAAGGCGACGGTCGACGACGGCGACAAGCGACCGAGCGACCGAGTCAAACCGACTCGCGACAGTCAGTGTACGCTGCGTTCATCACCCGTACCAAGCTGCCCCCCAACCAGAGCTTTACATTGAAATTGGTCCCTTTTTCGGGACGGCCTAGTGTCTGAAGAAACTTTCACACCTGCTGAACCCCGCCGATCGGGATTCAGGGCAAAAGCCGCGGGCAATACTAGATCCATCGGCGAGCCGAGGGCTGGTCCGTGCGCGCAAGACAACTGGTCCGTGCGAGGATCCCCGGTTCGCAACGAATTCAATCGCGCAAATCCACAGTCCGGGAGTTCCGTCTCAGCCTCTGTACTGGTCGCAAACTTTTGCTTCGTTTCCGGAAGCTGATTCCTCGAGATCTTCTCACCCTTCTTCCTTCCGCCCACCCTTGACAGCATGGCCGACGCCTCGGCCAAAGCGGCGGTCTTTGTCGCGAGCGAAGCCTACGACGGCACTCGCATTCAAGGACCCGACTTCAACCACGCCCACGACCTCGATCAACTGCTGCGGTCGTACCAGACGATTGGGTTCCAAGCCCATGGACTTTCGAGGGCGATCGAATTGATCAACAAGATGGTGCGTACCTTGACAGTAGCATCCAGGCGCTCGCTCCGACTCGCGTGGGAGCCTATCCAGCTGCGCAGCGGGAATTTGGGGAGACATGACTTATCCAACAGACTTTGTTACGAATTTCACCCAGAGGGCATGGCGACTTTCGGACGAAAAGATGGATCCTGATGCCCAAACGGAGGAACTGGATCCCGAGATTCGCGCCGCGACAAAGTGTCAAATCTTCCTCGGTTACACCTCCAACCTCGTTTCGTCCGGTCTGCGCGAGATCATTCGTTTCTTGGTCCAACACAAGATGGTCACGTGTCTCGTCACGACCGCGGGCGGGATAGAAGAGGATCTGATCAAGTGTCTTGGTCCGACGTTCGTCACCCCCGGTGGGGAGTTCAATCTTGATGGAGCAGGGTTAAGGAGGAGGGGATTGAACAGGATCGGCAATCTGTTGGTACCGAATGACAACTACTGCAAGTTTGAGGACTGGGTCGTCCCGATATTGGACACGATGGTCGCGGAGCAACAGGCCGGCCAAACCTGGACACCGAGCAAAGTGGTCAACCGGCTAGGCAAAGAGATTGACGACGAGTCGAGCATCCTGTATTGGGCTTACAAGGTGCGTGAAGACTACCGATATGTCTTTGGTCTATGTTATTAAGATTCCTTTATTGCTCTACCAGAACGACATCCCCGTCTTCTGCCCCGCTCTCACGGACGGATCATTAGGGGACATGATGTATTTCCACTCGTGTACGTGCGCTATTCCTATATACCCCTGACCCCCACTGTGCTAACCTTGTCTCGCGTCCTTCACCCAAACCAGACAAGACCGAGACACCCTTCGTTGTCGATATCGTCGGTGACATTCGACGGCTCAACGACCTCTCGGTCAAGTCCAAGAAGGCAGGCATGATCATCCTCGGTGGCGGTGTGTGCAAGCACCAGATCGCGAATTCGATGCTTTTCGTACGTGATCCTCACTGGGGCCCTTTTTTCCTCGCATCTTTATGTTGATGGGAGACTTTATTTCGTATTTAGCGAAACGGAGCCGATTACTCCGTCTACATCAACACGGGACAAGAGTTCGACGGATCCGATTCTGGCGCAAGACCGGACGAGGCTGTCAGTTGGGGCAAGATCAAAATCGACGGTGAGAGCGTCAAAGTGTGAGTCCTCTTCGTTTTCGGAAAGGATCTTTCGAACTTGATGCTGACATTCACAAAGTTTTGAGCTGTGTTTTAGATACGCCGACGCGACCCTCGTCTTTCCCTTGATCGTCGCCGCGACGTTCGGCAAAGCGCACTGGGACGCCCAACGACAAGCGTGATCCTCGACCCCATTAGACATGCCAGTAGTAACTCTGTATTCCCGTTGCAGTATTTGCCATATCCCAATGTATGACCAGTGCTTCTATCCACTAACCAATAAGCGATAAATCTACTCGCCCCTCTCGGACCCGGCGCTATACAGCGATCCCGGTCGGTTAGGCTTGAACTCGCGAATCTCCTCCAATTGGCGTTGAGCGCCTTTGAAGATCTCGTCACCTTCGATGGGCAACAAGCTGTGCAGGCACGAAACAATAAGAAGAAGAGCGCATCATCAGTTCTCCGTTCCCGTTCCTACTCTCGTTCCAAGAATGAAGGACCCCTTTGTTTTTGGGCACTACTGACCCCTCCAACTTGGTCGTCGATTTCTTAATCTGTTTCGCCTCGGCCTTGGCCGAATGTCTACCCAACGTCTCGATCGCGACGTCCAAATCCAAATAATCCGTCAAGGCCCTACGGGGTTGGACTTGGAGCGCATGTTTGGCGTCCAGGCTTGCGTCGAGCACGGCCGAATGCGCGCCTTCGGATAGGGACACTCGTACGGAGAGTTCCTTCGTCTGACCTTTCGTACGTTCGTACACTTCGAAACTGTAGGGGAGACAAGTGTAGAAGCGGTCAGTTGAGAAATCTTGGGTTTGTGGATTGTGAAGGTACGTACGCGATATACGACATGTAATCCAGTTCGGGTACTTGAGGCATCACGATGGGCAGCTCGGAAAGCGTGACCAAGTTGACCAGCGTGTGGCTGCAATGACCAGAGCGCATCCATACACAACGTCAGCACCCAGAGGTTTCCTTACAAAGCAGCATGTTATTTTTCGAAATCCTCACATATGCGACTCCTTTGTAAAGTAAAAATTGGCCGAAGCGTGCGTTTCCTCCCTCGCGGACTTGAGGTTCTTGATCAACTGTTCCAGCAGCGGTAAACTCGTCAAGAGGCCGATCTCCTCCTTCTCACTCTTCTCGATACCGTACTCCTGCGGCGCGATCAGGTCGAACAACAACTTGGCGCGTTTGTACAACTCCCTCAACTTCTTCGGAGGACCGGATTGGTCTTCCTTTTCCGAGGAGCGGGAATCGAGCGAGAGGGAAGAAGCGCGTGGGGTTGAGCCGTTGCCGAAGATGGTCTCGAGGAAGACGCGGTTGTGCAAGGCGTCGTATTTGAGCGAGTCGTATAGTTCCGATACGCGCGAAGGGTCAAACTTCTCTAGCTCGACGTCGCACCAGTCGGCGAAGAGGGCTTCCCATCGCTCTGTGAATTACCTCGATGAAGTGAATGAGTAAGTGAACCCGGGGCTTATGAGTCGGTTTGCATGACCCACCTCGGAACAAGTACGGGTACTCTCCGCAGCACCAGCGGATCTGAATCTTCTCGACCGCCAACGACTCCCAGTTGCGATGCATGACCGTCCGGTGATGGCGCATCAGCTCGATTGTTTCCTTGACCACCTGGTAACAGTAATACATACGAAGACTGAGCATTGGACGCGCATTCAGACTCCATGCATATACTTGGACTCACCTCGAACGGGGTCTGATCAGCCAAGGGCCAAGCGAACTCGGGCCTCGCCTGCGCTCCAGGACGGCACAAGATCTTGAGGCGTTTCTTGACCTTCTCCATCTGCATTAGCAAGCCATCCGTGACAACGCTTAGTGCGCATTCAGAGTTGGAACCAAGTCTGGTTCGGTGTCTCACCTCGTCCTTGGCAGCATTCGAGTCGTCCAAGAGATCCTTGCGGATGATGAGACGTTGGGTATCGGGTGTAGCTTCCTTGTCGTCCATGAAGGTACTGTGATAAGACATCGAGAACAGTTCGTACAGTTAATATTACCCCGCACATTGAAGAGCGCGTACTTACGTAGTAAAGATCTCTGCCGTCGCCACCACCCGACGTCTGTGGGAAAGCTCAAAGGAGAGAGACTCCGTCAGACGAGTCCATGCACCGACTTGCGAGAATGCAGCTCACTCTGAACTACTGTAGACGTTGGTGTGATCGAACAAGGACTTGTTCATAATCAAAAAGTCTGCACAGTGAACGTGGCTCAGCTGGAACGCGCGCGGTATGACGAACATTGGATCTAGGCCGCTTACCTTTGCGCATGTTCTCGGCGATGTCCCTCGCTTGGTAACGAGCGGCATGGGTGAACTGATAAGACCAAAAATTGCTGGTCAGAATCCTCGGTCATCAGGGCGAATCATGCGCTCACTCACTTCTCCTCCCCATTTGACGACCACGGCGACCTTCTCGCACGTGCCATCGTCCTTGAAAGCCGGTTTCAACTGCGCCTTGGTCCCATTCGTATTCTTCTTCTTTTCAATGATCTTCCTCAACTGCTCAAGTTGTTCCTTATCCGCGCCTTCGAGACCACTCGCCTCCTCGGCCGCATCAGCAATGTATTGCAATTGATCCGGTTCGCGAAGGATGATCTCGTTCGTTCGACCTTGCAACAAGGTGATGAAGGGTTGGGTCCAAGGGTTCGAACCCTTGAAGGTGAACTTGAGTTTGCACTTGGGCGTACGGTCGCCGTGACGTCCGACGCAGATCGTCGATTTGAGCACCCACGATTTTTCGCGCGCGGTTTCGGTTCCCGGCGTGAAGGACTTGGATACGGAAGGCATCTTGCGTTCGCAGAACTTGGACAGGATCTCGGCGCACTTGTCGCTGGTGAAAGGTCGAGTCCGCGGTGGCTCGGTTAGCGCATGGTCTTGGGCTTTTCGTAGAAAGAGTACACAGACTTGAGGCTCACTAGTAAAAGTCGTTGCCTTTGACGAAGCTCCAGCCGTTGACGTCGATGACGTAGCTCTTACCACCTGCCCTCAACAAGTCGAATCCACAAATGTTCTGCTTGAACGCGACCGAGATGTCCCTCGCCATCTTCTTCTCCGCGTCGGTCAATTGACAGATGAAGCGAATCTCCTTGCCCTCGGGGTTGCGTCTGACGACTCCATCGACGACCGGCGATTTGCGCGTTTCGGCATGCACAAAGTTCGGTCCGAGGGTGTAGACTTTGATGTCCTCGGCGTTCTCGACGTCGACGAATTGCTCGTAGACGTAGGAACCTTCCATGCGTACTTGGGTCAAGGTCGGTTCAAACGCCGAGGATTGGTTACCGACCTGTGAGAGCAAGCACGTGCAAAGCGATCAGCATCTTCTACTGACGAGCGGATCAGCTACCTCTATACCGATCTCGACTTGCCTTTCTGAATAACCTCCTCGCTCCTCCGCCCTTCTTCTTGGCAAAGTAGATGTTGACGTTGTGGTCCTCGCCACTGACGGGTTTTTCGACAAACGGCTTGGTCATGGTCTTGCCATCGACGACGATCGTGTCGTCGTCCTTCATAAAGACCTCGCTCCTGGGCCGCGGCTTATCGACGCGTACGCCGATGTTTTGTTGAATCGTATCGGCGATCGCCCGGTCCAATTGGGGTCCTCCGTCGCGGTTGCACTCGAGTCGTTTCGGGGTCGGAACGCCGATACGGTCCAGGATCTGCAGGACGACCCGACGGTCCCAGAACACTTTTTGGAGTGGGAGATCGTTGACGCAGACGGGTTTGCGCAGTTCAACGTATCCAACTGCGGGGGGGTTTTTGAAAGTAGGGGCGAGATCAGCTCGAGAGAAAGTTCGGGTTCGGGGGGAGGAAGAAAACTTGCTGGCTTTATCGATCGGGAAGCCTTCACTGAAGAAGGAAATCAAGAAATCGCACACGGGCCAATTCTCGATGGCTGTGGTAAAAGATTTTCATCGGAATGGGCTTTGAAGAAGGTGAGAGGGGGGGGGGGTTGGTTGCTATGCTGACGCACCTTCATCGAGGATGACTTTATCGCCAAAGACGGTGATCTCGAAGCGCTGGGTCGCGAGCAGGCGGGAGAGGATGTTGCGCATCGGCCTCGAACGGGCCTTGCGATCCATGGCTGCTACGCCTGTTGTAGACGAAGAGAACATCAAGAGTTGGCCGAGGAACGAACAGGTGAGCCGAACGAGTGGGGGGTGGGGATTGAACGTACCGAGTCGGATCAACGGTTCGCTCAAGGCTGAAGCGGAGGTGGGGGGGGCAGTCTCGGTCGAGGGGGACGCGGGGTTGCGAGGGGGAGGGGACGGTACATTGCCAGTGAAGGACCGAGTCGGAGCGACGGTCGGGCTCGTCGGCGTCGAGCTGGCCATGGCTGCGGCTGCGGGCAGGCTGCGACCGCTGCAAGTGAGGCTAGTGAGGCTAGTGAGCGTAGTGTGGCTCTTGGTCTAGTGAGGGGCCGAGTTGTTGGGTCGCACGTGCGAGACGAGTGAGCGGTCCGAGGGGAGCGGAGGGGAGGACAATCGAGAGTGGGGGGGACACCGAGAGCGTCAGACAAGTAGCGCGGATACGGTCAGAGTACAGTGATGGGTTGCTACACGAGATGTACGCCACCCCCGGCGTCGTAAAAGGGATGTACTCGAGAGACGAAGGAAGCCGGAGCTCCCAGCGGAAACCGACGGCCGTAAGCGCTTGGGTCGTCTCGCGACTAGATTGATTGGATCCGATTTCTAATGCGCAATTGCCATGGGAGCGACAGGTGACAGAGGCCTCCTTTGCGCCGCGCGGTCTCTGCCCTCGTACGCTGCTGCATTCCACCCCCAGCAGCCCTACACCCGGCCCGACCTCCGACCTCCGACCTCCGACCTCCGACCTCTAACCTCCGATCCATGACAACACCAACCGCATCACCGAGCTCGCTGCGGATCCTGTCGATCGCGATCGTCGGCAAGCACGGCAACCCGTTGCTGCTGCGCTCCTACTCCCCCCCGCCCGACCACCCCGCCCTCCAACACCGACACCAGCACCACGACCTCAAGTGGCAGTACGCCGCCCATACCTCGCTGGACTTTTTCGAGGAGAGGGGTGCGTTCATCGTCGTCTTGGCCCACCCACACCGCTGAACAAGCACGATCCTCTCTCTCTCTCTCTCGTAGAATCTCCCGCGGCCAAGACGGTCGACTGCTACCTTGGTCTACTGTACACGATGGAAGACTACGCCGTGTAGGTCTTCATCTTTGCTCTTTCGGCGTCACTTGCTGAAGCTGTGTCACTCGCCTCAGCTACGGCTACCAGACCAACACTCGCGTCAAATTCGTTCTCATCCTCGCCATGGCCGATGCGGTCGTAAGAGACGTCGATGTCAAGATCGTAAGTCGATTTGGATTTGACTCTGTTCCATTCGAGATGAGCCTCACGCATGCCCTCTCTTCCCCGGACGAAAAATTCTCCTCTCCTCCAGATCTTCCGAGCAATTCACAACACCTACATCGCATATCTGTTCAACCCCTTCAACCCGTGCGAGACCGAAAACTTTAATCAACTCGCACCACCGATACAAAGTCGCAAGTTCAGGACAAAGATCGACCTGATCGCCGGACAGGGACAGGAACACGGAAAGGACGAAGCAGCAGCACGGTAACGAGTTCAGTAGGTACGGTCGTATGCATGCAAGATTGCTCATGTTGTATCACTTGGACGACTCGAGCGCCGAGGACAGGAGAGGATTAGTCAACGTGACATAGACACCGAGCGTCTTCCTTCTTGCTCGCTCCCCCCCCCCGCCCCCCACATCCCCACCCGTCGATCAGACTCCCCACCCTTCACCGGGTGAGCCCCAAGGTTTCAAAGTGCAAGTGGCCCCACCGCTTCCTCCCACACTTTGGATCCCTACTTCCGAGTCCTCCCATCTTTGAACGATCGACGAAGATTCAACTGCCAGTCATTCTCATCTCCCCCCCGTTTTCGCTCCAGAGGCGTGTGGGGGAAAGAGATGACCTTACGGGCCGTACGATGACGACTCCCTTGGTGGCATTCATCTTTGTTGCTCCTTCTGGGATGACAGAGGACCTCCGCCCTCTAGACTACAGGAGATGTCGACAGATACGCGGCCCAGATTACCCTTAACCCTCCCTCACTTTCCAAGATTCAACACCCCTTCTCCCTTGCAGGAGGGACTCGGCCCACCCTTCTTTTTCTTCCGACGTTGCTTCTTCTTCTTCTTGTTCTTCGTCCCTCCATTAGGTGATCCTTCACCGTTTCCAGACGGCCCTTCGTCGTCGTCATCGTCGTCATCGTCTTCTCCTCCATCACTCGAGCCTTCCTCTTCTCCCTCGGGCCCCCTCCCATTCTTCACCGGGGATGCCTTCTCCACCTTGGTCTTTTTCCCCTCCGCGGTGCGCTCCTCCTTTGCATCTTCGACGTCCCCAATCCTTCTCTTCTTCTCAGTCCCTTCTTCTTCCTCGGCTCTTTGGCTCTCCCTCATCGCCTGCAATTTCAACAGTCGTGCCTTCTCGCGATCTCTCTCCTTCTTCCTCTGATTCTTGGTCAACTTGGCGCCGTGCCCATCCGGTGGAGCTGATCTCGCTGTTGTACTCGCAGTAAGGGCTGAAGTAGAAGCAACGTTCGAAGAAGTTGTACGATTATCGTAAAATGAAGTCGAAGGAATCGGGCTTGTCTCGCCAGACGCCCCAGAAGCGAGCAAAGGGTTGATCATCGTTGACGTTGACGTTGACGGGGATGATGATGCTGTTGTTGTTGTTGTTTGAACCTTCTTCTTGTCGGTCGTGCGTGTACTCCGATCGCTCACTTTGGACGACGTCAAAGCCCTCGATCTAATAACCGCACTTCTCGAGTCCTCGTCTCCTTCCCCGTCCTCATCCTTCATACCCACCGCACTACGATTCCCCATCGTTCCCTTCTCGTCAACGTCATCATCTTGAGGTTGACTATGCGTTCGCGTATGCCTCAACAATTGGTTCCGCAGTTTCTGATCTTGAGCTTGTTGTTGATTCAACAAGCTCGCCGAAGCACCGAGACCTAATCTGTCCATCCCACCAAACAAAGAGTCAATTAAGAATCTCTTCAATCACACCCAAAGGATCACATCTTCATCATAGGAAAAGGAAGAGAGAGAGATAGTAGTAGTCAAACTAAACAACCCTTCCTGAAAATAATCACTCACCTGCCCGACCTATTCGAACGATGGGTCAACTGTCCTAACGAATTGAACGCTCCCTTCTCATCACTCGTCGTGATTGCCCATTCGGTATCGACTTTGGAAGGGACCCATGATCGAACCAAAGCTTGAGCGAAGGCTAGGGATTCGTCTAGATCGAGTTGGAAGGAGATGAGATCTAGTTCGGGTTCGGGTTCGGTCGTCGACGATTCGATTGCGGCGAGAGTCGATGATGAAGCTTTGGGTGGCATAGGGTGGGTGTAGTCGGATGAGGGGAATAGATCACGCTTCTTATAGGGTGTGAGGATGGGGGGGGGGAAGTGAAGTGGCCTATGCCCGGAGCTTGGGTTCGAAGTGGCTTCAAAATTGGCGGAGTGAAAGCAAACAAGAGAGAGGGCGGACTCTGGAAAAAGAGTCTCGCAGCTCGAGCGCTTTTTCACGCGAGACGAGCTGAGCCGGCACGTGACCCAGCTTCGGGCCCCGGGGACGGGTGGGAATGATGGATCGACGTTCGGAAATCGGTTCATTCTACAGAATGGAGTACTGAGAAGAGTTCAATAACCCTAGGTCGAGTCGGGGAGCCATATGCTTGGTCACTCGTGACTAGAATATCTGACGTCGTCGTCGCCGGTTCCTGTGAAGCACCGATTGCGCCACTGGTTGCCAGTTCGCCGAAAGACTCCGACTCCCTCTCACACCTACAAAGCAGGTGCTGCCCCTCTGTTTCCGTGTCCATTCCGACCGAGTAGGCCGAATCAATAGCATCTGTACCTCCTAGCTGATCCACACGTCTCCGCCGAAATGTGTTGTTTACAGCTGATACGACCGATTGCAGTGCATTCCAAAACCCTCTATGCGGATCGATCCTTACGTTCCATGCGACATACAAGTACAAGAGCTTGGTTGTCGTATCGCTTCTTCCAACCCCTACTTCGCTGACGATCAAATCATCGCCCCTGGTGCGCCGACTCTAGGAAGAGTTGTTGGACTTGACCTGATCACTGCAGTCAGTTCAGTCCTGTTGTTGAAGGAAGCCGACGCCGGCGGCTTTAATTTTTTCAACGAAGCGACTGTACGCGAAAACCAATCCCCCAAAAGTGAAAATGATCAAAAACTTTTGTGCCCCGGGTGGAAAAGATACGCTGCCCCAAGTTACACTCACAAATACCACTTTTCTACGACGCCCAGTTCGACGGCGTACGTCGTCGTTCCCGGAACTTGTTGCGCGAAACCGGCGATAGCGTTGTACATATTCTTGGCGACCAACATGGCCAAGGTCGTAGGGTTCGTCATCGGATCTTTGACGACGAGTGCACCCGCTCCTACGTTAGAATTCGCGCTGGAAGTGGGCAGTTGAGCTAGGTGGGCTTGTACGGCTGCCAACGGTTCGCAGAGGATACCTAGCGTTGCCGAGGTGGTTGAGGTCGGGGGAGAGAAGGTCGGGGCGGAGAGAGTCGAGGAGGAGGAGGAAGGGATGAGGTTCCCTCGGAGTCGGAAGATGGCCGAAGGTTTGTCGTTCGTCAGACTGGCGAAAGGGTCGGATGTGGGGGAGGGTTAAGTGGGGATCTTCTGAGCGCCGAGCCCCGGCGGCGGGTAGGTGTGAATGCGTTGCGTAGTCTCACTGGACTCACCCTCCGATCAGAGACCATCCTCGTCCTCTGTATAAAAGTTAAAAGAGAGAGGATCCCAGCGTCAGTAGGCAGGTTCACCAAGAAGTCGGTGGGGAAAACCCAGCATCTTGTCGTGACTCACTTGCCCGGATCAAAGTGCAAGGTACACCCATACCCTTCCGGTAAAGGAGCTGATGTCATCAAATGGTAGAATGAGCGCGAATTCCTTGTATAGCATCCGAGGCTTATTATGACTGACCTGTTTGGAACACGCAGATGTGATTGAGCGCGTCGGCGTCGTCGAGGCTGATGGCGAATTGGCCGGGGGTGTCGGGTACGGCGATGGCTTGGTGTACCGCTCGACCGGGCACGACGATGGCGAACCTGTGGCGTCGAAGGGGGGCAGCAAAGGCGATTCAGTACGGTGTCGAGGGCCCAAGCGAGTCTTGTTTGAATCAGACCCGGGCGATGATACGGTGCGAGCGCAATTGACGAGTGGGTGCACGAGCACATGACCCCGTAGACGTAGACGTCATCGGCGCTTTGCTTTCGTGTACGCTGGGGTGCAGAGGGGCGTAGGAGTGACTTACATGGTAGAAGAAGTCGTATGTGGCTTGACTTAGGCCAGAGGTGGAGGTGGAGGTGGAGAGTATGAGGAATAAAAGGCACCGGAAGGCGACGGAAGGTGACGGAAGCCAAGAGAGCGAGAGAGCGTAGATTCCCAGAGTCGCTTCGTCCTTGTCCCTCCTTTCCCCTCCCTGTCTCAGCTCGTCTTGAGCCTCGCTCGTGGTCACCCTCCCATCAAACCACTGATGGGTCCGCCACCTGCCTCAGCTGCGACACCTTCGGACCCGGGCTCATCCCTATCGTCGCTGGACGGGCATGCGACATCAACCTCGACGCCTACGCTGCCCCGTCTGATGAGGGGCTTGACCGATTCCTCGCCACGACGAGAGCGCACGACGATCGCATCCACTTCGACTTCGACCTCTTCCAACTGGGTTGAAGCAATCACCTCCGCGGCCAGTGGTAAAGACACGAATAATCGTCGCAAGTTGAGGAGGGTCAAATCGTCGTTTCTGACCACCACGCCCACAACAACGACGACGGCGACGACGACGACGACGACGACGACGACGACCGCGCTGGGCGATATTATTCCCTCCATACATGTGGACCAGGGACCTAGACCAGAGGAGGAGGATGGGTATCAGGAAGGTGATTCGGATTCGTCGGGGTTCGCCAATATCTTATCCCGCGTCAAGGGAGTGTCGACCCAGCAAAGGACCAAGCGCGAACCCGATGGCCTTACCCCACATGCTACCCCTTCGAGGCATCGTAGGATCGTCTCCGCGCCCGTGCACCGGACTGGAGCTCACAGGGCTGACGACACCGACGACGACGAAGAAGGGCAGAACGCGCACGACGATTCGGATACGGGAGGGTGGGGCGTACCGACCCAGCAGACCATACAGGCCGCGAGACTGGCCGCAGAGAATTCGAGGAGGTCCGAGGAGGAACAGAGACTGGCCGTCGCCGATGACGATGACGACGGCGACAGTCAACAGGATGGGAATCGTTCCGATATCGAGGATGAGGATCGTCACTCGAAAAATTCGGTATTCAGTGAGGACGACGACGACGATGAAGAGGGACAGCTCGTCACGCGCGCTCAGGGGCACACCGACCCAAGGGAGATGCTCAGGGCTCAGTTGAGGAGGAACGAGACTGGGCCGAGTACGACCGTCCGTAGGAATAGGAGCGAACGCACCGAGAGTGACAAGGGTAAGCGTAAGATCTATGATCGACGCCGTGCATAAGAGTTCGGGCAAGACGCTGACGATAAGACTATCCAGCTTCGACCGAGCAAGAGGCGATCGAGCTGACGCCAAGAAGATACTTCATCCTCTCTTCGGCGGGCAAGCTCATCTTCACCACGTCCGTACGGGGTCATTGTTAGAGAAATAAATAAGTGTGCTTATTGTGTTCCATCGTGCAGTGACCTCGATGACGAAGAGGCGACGGGCTACGTCGGCGTCATGCAAGCCATCATCTCCATATTTGCGGACGAGGGCGACAAGCTAAGGTGAGTGAAGCATTGGGCTCTGCTCGCGGAGGCCGTGTCTGATGGTGGTCGACTCGTCTCGGGCAGATATGTTGACGCAGGTAAAATGAAAATTGCCTTTGTTCTCAAGGCACCCCTGTACCTCGTGTGTATTTCCGATTGGGGCGAGCCTGAATTCGTCGTACGTACCCGGTGAGATCCCACCCCTTCGCCTTCACTGACGGCAGACACCCAATCTCTTCTCAGCTCCGCACCCACCTCGACTACCTCTACCTTCAAGTACTCAGTATCGTGACGTACTCCCAACTCTCCGGCATCTTCTCCAAGCGCTCCAACTTTGACCTTCGCCGCTTGATGCAAGGCACCGAGCCTTTCTTCCACCACCTCGTCAAGACACTGCAGACCTCGTTCGCGATCTTGACCAGCTCCTTGGAGGTGTATCGAATTGATCAGGGGACGAGGGAAGAAGTGGCCAAAGCCTTGTTACCGAGCAAGCACAAGGTGTGTCTTACAACCTCCACCATAGATTGACCATCCTCGCTCACCGCCCGGCTTTCTGCACCCCGTAGCCCCAAGCGCAAAGCCTCGGTCTTCTCTACGCGTTCGTTATTTCGTCGGGTCGAATCGTCACCCTTCTCCGTCCAACACGACACACGATACATCCTACCGATCTCCACCTCCTCCTCTCGACCATCTCGTCCTCGACGACGTTCCAAGCCCCCGACTCGGAATCATGGATCCCCGTCTGTCTCCCGCGCTTCAACAACAAGGGCTTCCTGCACGCCTACATCTCTTACCTCACTCAAGACACGGGGATCGTGCTCGTCAGCGCCGAAAGGGACGGGTTCGAAGGTGTCAAAGCGTGGGGGGAGGAAGTCAAACGAACGCTCAAGGCCAAGAAGCTGTTGGACAAGATTGAGGAGCCCAAGGTGCAGAGGCTACAAGAGTACTCGTTGATGGACCTCGCGGTGCCTGGTTTGAGGCACTTTTTGTACAAGGCTAGAGCGTATGTTCAGATTACGAATCCGGTCTGGGAGGGCGAGTACGAGACGAGTCGGAATCGAGTTAGGTGCGTCGTGGAAGCCCCGTTTGAGCAGCTACTGCCGATGACTGACGGAACCGGCCCTCCTCTTTCTTTGCAGGCTCATCACGCTGTATCAACGTCTTTACGAGGCGTTGCACGTCCGACCTGCGTATGCCGGGGGTGTGCATCGGCCCCCGGCCAAGCTCATGTACCTTCGCACCGAACACGAGGCCGTCTTGGGTTGGGTGAGCCGTTGGTGGGGGCCCACTTTTTCGTCGCACAACTCATTTCTGACTCGCGCATCTTTTCTCCCCCAGACGACCTCGAGCTTTGAGCTCTATTTGGCCGTCTCGCCCTTGCTACCCAAGACGGCGGTCGTTTCGGCTGCTCGGGCTGTGATCAAATGGATCAAAGCGGAAGAGAATCGGCTGTTCTTGACGAGCGCACCGTCGTTCTGACGTTGGAGCGGGCGAGTGAGCGCAGAGGAGGGAATAGATGCCAGGGATTCAGAGATCAAAGGCGGGCGCGTTTTAATATACATATGTGATTGCGCGATGGTGCTGTGTTTGTGTTGTAATTATTACGCATCGCGTGTTGCCCCTAAAGTATTTCCAGTCGTGAATATTGAATGCCAACTTGCACGAACGACGGCATTCAGGCATCGCCGCAGCGCGCCGCTGGGTCGGCTTTAGTTTCCCCCACATCCACATCCACACGCGACGACTGGACGAGGACGGCCTCATAAGCGGACAGACTCCGCACGGACGAGAGCAGGGACGGGCCCAATCAGTGGCAAGCAGCCAGTGCCGAATATCTGGTCTCCAGCCCAGCCAAGAATATCTTATATGACCGCTCCAGCACAGGCGGATTGGTAGCGAGCTCGAGACTTTTGGATTTTGGCCCACGAGTAAGTCGCTTCTTGCCTCGACCTGCCTCTGTGAACAGTGCAACTGATCAGGTATACATTTGAACAGTGCGTAGGTACGCGTCCACGAGTCGGGAACCATTTCGTAAGGTGTTGTATCTCCGCCAGGACTATCCGAGCAACTACGTCGACTCGTCCTTTCTCTCGGACCTGCAGAGGAATGGTACGTCGTGCCCACGGACCTAATATTCACCACGTTATGCATATGGAGTGCTGAGGATCGCATGTCGCTGTCACAGTTAACGTCCACCCAGCGTCCCTGCCAGTGCTTTTGGCGCAAACGTTGCCCATCACCCAACACCTCGCGTCGACCTTCATCTTTGTTTCTATATTCGTACGACTCTCAAAAGGGTCTCTGCAACCTTCGACGTTGCTAGTCTACTGTGGTATTCTTGTGATCGCTTTGCGCGTCGCGTTGTTCGTCATCCGCTGGACCTGCGACGAGCCAAGCTCCAAGATTCCGGCGACGACTGTTCTTGCGGTGGCCGATGGCGAAGAGCCGGATACAGCGCCCGCCTCGACGATACCGAGTCCTCTCCCAACACCATCCACGAACGCGAAGATACCCATCATCCCTCTCTTCTCTCTCTACCTGCTCTCTCCGGCTCTGAAAACCCTTACTCGCGCGACGACCTCGGACTCGATCTGGGCACTCGCAGGTACGCTCTTCGCCCTCAACGTCTTTGTCGGAGACTATCGCTCGATCCCACTTCGCACAACCGGTTCACCAGGCAAGACCTCTTCAAGTCTACCCCTCACCGCAGCATTATCCGGCTCGACCGTCCTCGCCTCGAGGTTGTCGTCCAACCTCGCCGTCTTCAGCCTACTCCTCTTCGCGACGATCTGGTTCGGTCCATTACCGGGCCTACGCTCCCATCTCTCCATCCGACCGACCCTCATCTTGACCCTCGTATTGTGCCTAGGCGCAATAGGAAGTCTGAGAGGACTCGGAGGAGGTGTGGATAAGATCGCGATGATGCTCTTGTTCGCGAGCGCGGTCTTGGTTCCGCTTTTGAGGGGTTGGCTGATGTTGAGGTACAAGGATAGGGTCAGGGGACCTTGGGATCAGGCCGTACCGAGGGTAGGGCCTGCAAACTCGTAGAAATCGTCTGTGGGTCGTTAGTATTGAACAGGGGTAGAGGTGAAATGTGATCACTTGTGTCCTTGTTTAGAGCATTATGCGCGGTCATTCGAGCCAAGCTCAAGTTCACGAAGATGAACATGATGAGGAACAATAATCTCGTAATAAGTAGCGTATACACCGGAAGAGATATACACCGGACGAGATGGAAGGGAAGGGTCGGGGAAGAGCGTGACTTCTATCTAGCGGAAGGCGCACAGCGCCAGGCGTCGCACGGAGTGTATCGTTCGTTGATCAGTGCACACGTGTATACTCGGTGAGACACTGAAGACCGTTTATCGAGCGACCAACAGTCGACTAAAATTAGATGACCGACCGTGGGGGACGACTCGACCTGAGCGTGCCCAAGGGACAGGAGACTGCAATCGCCAACAAACTACGCCCTTGTTTCTGTCAGGGTCAGACTTTTATCTCAGTTATTTTTATTAAGACTGGAGCCCTAGCCGACTAGGCCACCAAAAGGGAACAGTAATCAAGATGAAACTTGATCACGAACTGAGCCCTTTAGCTGTCATGGGCTCCCAACCATGACAGTTTCTGTCGCAGCACAACCTGAGTAACACCGCTGCTCTGCGGCGTTGATCTTTATCGTATTAGGCTCGCTCTTCAAGCTGATTGTTGTTAACTTGGACTGCATTTTATTTACACGTCAACCGTTTCGACTTGAGACAAATGACCTCACTAAAACTTCCACAAGTGGCTATAGTACCACCGGATCTGCACCTCTCTCCCAACAGCTTCGTGAACGGCCCTCTAGTCCAACACGCTCGATCCTCGATCTACAGGTCGAACTCTGGCGGAGATGTTTTCATCGGGCCGTAGTTGAGGATATCGTTGCAGGTCGAAACCAAAGCTAACGCCTCCTTTGCCCTTCAAGACTCGCAAAAAGTTTTCAGGCCGAACGATGAGATCGGCGAAAGCTTGCGTCTCGTCAGATTTGAACATCCTGCAGCGCAGGATGCCGAGAAAGACTGATCTGACTCACCGTTGCGGTCGACGTTTGCTTAAAAGAAGGCAGGAGTTGAAAGCGTCGAGTGAATATCCAAAGACGCCGCATGAGATGGGAGAGGTAGAGCTCGGAGAAGTTTGAAAATCTTTTGTGATGCAATCGAATCGGTCTTTGAACTTGCGGCTTGTGGAAATGTTTTGGTCGAGTTTGGGAGTCAGTCAGAGCCTACGGCGGGTGAGAAGAAACGATAGCTCTGTGCGGACTCACTGTTTTTGGATGCAGTGGTTGACGCAAGCCGCGACGATGGATGCGGACTGACAAGGGCTGTCGAATGTTTTGTCGCAAGTGCTACAGCACGACGACCGGCTCAAGTTGGCTTGGTGTGGTAACGGTCACTGATAAGAGAGGGCCACTCACCTGCAACCAGGACTATCCCCGTCCAGCTTGCATTTGTGACTTTGGCGGCACCGACACGACTTGAGCGCGGCGCTTAGGGTGGCCCTTGACGGAGAGGACGTAGCGTCAGATCGAACGAGACAATGTTTTATACGAGAGGTTCAATAGCACCGGGGAAAGATTTGATTCATTGTGCTCACTGGTTTTGTTTGAGGGTCTGTTGCGCCGCAATCAACGTGGAGCACACGATGACGAGCGCCACGACGAACACCAACCTCATCCTGAAGCCGATTACTGTTCGTGGTGGACTGGCTGCAATGGGTAGGAGCAAGGCGCCAATGATACTGACAGGGAGCAAGGTGATGTGTGATCCGGAAGTCTATTTGTTGGTAGGTCGACGGGGTGGTCAAAGAAAGGCTGTGCCAGCGGCCACTGCGCTATGGACGCGCGACGCGACATGAAAGGAGACCCTTTAGCGCCCCCTGTTTAACATTGAACAGGCCCGAGCGCGGCGGCGAGCACTCTTATCAACGATCATACATAATAGGCCAAAAAATAATCTGATCAGAAAATTATGCCCCATATTCACGCCCGTCGATCAGATAGATCACACTTTCATAGTACATGTTGTCCGCACATTTTCAACAGACCGCTGCCTGAACCGCGTCCAGAAGGTCTCAGTGGGGCGGGCGGCACGCGACTCTAGGTATTGTATTGCCGATACACAAATTTGTAATGCAGAATTCTCGACTCGTCTCGATCGCCGATGGCATCGGGAACGCCAATGTCCATGCTCTTCCCCCCCACGCCGTACCGCGCGATTGGCAGGTACTCCGCACAAGCATACCACTCTTCACACGCAATTGTACCTGGCCTCAAGATCCAGGTGTTGAACAGACGCGCAGTAGCAGCAACGCCGGCCGCGGAACACGCTGCCGTGGTGGAACTCGGAGATCGACGTCATCGTCAAGTAGCAAACGCCGATTGCCATTCACACCGCCCGCAACGCCATGAGCTCTGCAGCAAAACAAAACAATGTCGGGATTGACTTGGCGGGAAAGAACGTCGCCGTCGCAGGTGGTACACAGGTCCGTTGACTGACTCTCCATCCGACGTAGGCTCGATCGGGAGGCGCTGACCGCTCGCATGTGGGGGTGTCATACCTCCCAGGGGATCGGAGCCGCCACCGCGATTCGGTTCGCTCAAGCTGGCGCAGACTCGGTCTACATCATCGGCAGGAACAAGGAAAAGGCCGATGAGGTCGTGCGAGAGTTGAAGCGAGCTGGAGCAAATGCGCCCGACACCAAGACGTACGAGTTCATTCAGGCCGACCTCTCGTCAGTTGTTCAACCACTTGCTGCTTCGCCGCCATGGAGCGATACGGCTCATCCTGATTACCACTTGGCGGTTTATTGTTCTGCTCTGATATCCCGTCAGACTCGTCAGCAACGTCCAAAAAGTTGTTGAAGAGCTCAAGACCAAGGCTGGAGACAAGGGGATCCACTACCTCATCACTACACAAGGTTCGTTCTGGGTCCGGCCCCTCGGGCCCGAAGTGGAGAGATTACTGCTGACTTGCGCGCGGTGTCCTCCAACTACCTTTTAGGTGGACCTCCAAATGGAAGCTTCTCCCTCACGGCCGAAGACCACGAGAAGCGATTCGCTATTCAACACATCTCACGCTTCGGTCTCGCTTACCTGTTGGCCGAATCGAAGACGTTGAAAGAAGCTTGGATCACCGTCTGCGCGCCTTCCGGGACCAACTCGGCTGCACCGGATTTGGATGATTTGGAGCTGAAGGACCAAGGAATGAGCTGGGTCAAGAGGTTCATGAAACAGGCCAAGCAGGATGGCGCGATCGAGGATGGACTGGTTTCAGTTCGTCTCTTCTCTCTTCAAGCCCCTGGCTCCCGTGGGCTCTTCCTTTCGACTGGAGACGGCAGTATTGAAGTTTCTTCTTCCCGACCGTACAACAGACCTTTCCGAAAAAGTACCCTCATCTCCGAGCGTTCCATCTCTTCCCAGGCTACGTCCACACGTGAGCACAATCATATGGTCCTTGACCGCGCCTCGCCAAAGTTGTATTACCCTACATCAATCACTGACACGTTTCCTACATACATAACCCGTCCTACTCGTCCAGCCAAGCCGCGGCGAACCAAGGTTTCCCATACCCCATCACGTTGGCGCAATCCATCTTTGGCCCCTTGCTCACCTACACCCCGCTCGGCAACACCCCTCAATCCTTCGCCGACATCCCCGTATACCTAGCCGCGAACCCTAACGCGCCGACCAATCGAGTAGGGAAAAGCTACTTTATGAATCAAAGGATGAAGGATGTGGGTGAACCAAAGTGGTGTGTGGCCGAGGGTGGAAGGGATAGGGAGAGATTGTGGGAGGCTTTCAAAGGGTTTTACGAGTGAACGATTCCGGATGGATGAAAACTTGAAACCGTCTCTTTATTCTTTCCTCGCGTCACACCATGTTCTGTGCGGTGCAGTATGATTCTACCCGAGAAAAAAAAAAAAACTTTCATTGCGTGATCTGGGCCTTGATACGTTCGTGAGACTGAGCACCCCAGCGAGCATCACTTTGAACCGTTTTACGGCAAGTGAGCGACACCTTCACTCATTCGGTGGTGGATCTCGTCGTTCGTATGCCGGTCTACAGTGTGCCATCATCTCTGGCGATCCGATGTAGATATCCCATGGTGCACAGACAGAACGATCATTGCAAACAAAGGCAGCAGAGGGGGACACAGTTTGATCCGCCTCCGATCCGAATTATAGGAAACAGAAGAAAGAAAAAAGGCAGAAGCACGAATACGCGTCAAATAAACATGCATCGTCACCTCCTCCTTTTCACGTCCTCTTTCCTTTTCAAGCGTTCCAAGCTCCCACGCTTTTTACTTGAGCTTGGCGGTCAACAACTCCTTGAGCACGTCGGCGTCCTCGGCGAACTTTCGGATCCCCTCGTGCAACTTCTCGAACGCCATCTGGTCCTTCAACAGCGCCCAACGGAACGCCGGCTCGTTGTCGACGTAACTGACCTTCTCCATCGGCTCGTTCTTGGCAGCTGCGAGGGGGAGGAACGCGAATTTGATGAGTGAAAGTAAGTGAAACGGGGAGATCGCTGATGGCGAGTCACAGCTGAGCTTACCCAATTCGGGGGAGATGACGCGCTCGACCTTCTCGTTCGAGTCCTGGAGCTCCTTGAGGAGCGACGGCGAGATGGTGAGGAAGTCGCACCCAGCAAGGTTGATAATCTCGCCGGTCTAAGGGAGGGGAACCATACATTCTTGGCGTCAGCATGTGCTCGGTGAGCTTTACAAAAAGGTTCCGAGCTGCTTACGTTGCGGAACGAGGCACCCATGACGATGGTCTTGTAACCGTGTTGCTTGTAGTAGTTGTAAATCTTTTGTACGGACTGAACTCCCGGGTCGTTGGCGCCGTCGTAGTTGCCATCCGGCTTGGCCTTGTTGTAATAATCGAGGATGCGGCCGACGAAGGGCGAGATCAAGGTGACGCCGGCCTCGGCGCATGCGACGGCCTGGCAGAAGCCGAACAAGAGGGTCAAGTTGCAGTGGATACCCGAGTCACGCTCGAGTTCTCGGGCGGCTGAAATGCCCTCCCAGGTCGAGGCGATCTTGATCAAGATGCGGTCCTTGGGGATGCCGATGGATTCGTAAAGCTTGATCAAAGTGTGGGCCTGCGAAATGAGAGAATCACGGGTTAGATGAAGTCCGCTCACTCGGAATTCTGGGGTAACATGTTGATGGACTGACCTTGGCCTTTGTGGCCTCCTTATCGAAGGAGAGGGAAGCATCGACCTCGGTCGAGACACGGCCGGGGACAATGTTGAGGATCTCCTTGCCGAATTCGACGAGCTGTGGTGAGGTATTAGGTATGACCGAGTCAGGTACGATTGTAAGGTGCTCCGCGGCGGCGTGAGCATCTCAAGAGCCCGTTAAGCGCTGGGCACGTTATCACCGGGGCAAGCCGATGCTCCGCTCGCTCGGGGGATCAACTTACGAGTCGGTCAGTGCAGTTGGACACCTGGGTGTCGAGGTCACTACGGGGTGGGGCATGGCGTATTGATCAGTATGCGTGAGCGATGGGTTGTTGTACTTCATGTGTTGGGATATCCAGTCGAGTCTTGACGCCGCTCTCGCCGCTCTCCGCCACCTCGCCCTCCCTCGGTGTCGTCGGTCTGGCCTCAACGGCTCAACTGCAACTGAAGCTGGGATTGGGGACTGACCCTCCTAGCTGCTTGGCATAGTTGACCGCGACGTCGATCGTCTTGGCGTACTCGGCCTTCTTGACGGCGGCGAGGATCAACGAAGGGTTCGTGGTCGCGTCCTGCGGTTTGTACGCCTTGATCGAGTCGAACTCGCCCGAGTCCGAGACGATCGTCGTGAACTGCTTGATCTGGTCCAGCGCGGAAGACTTTATATCGTGCGCCCAGTGCGGGGCCAAGCGCATAGAACGTCAGCACACAGGTGCAGTACCAGTGGGCCTTTCAAAAAAACTTACCATCGTGGTAATTGCGGAGTGAGGTGGTGGGTTTTTGAGGTGGTGGGGATGCGGCAAAGCGGGTGGTTGGGCGAAGCGAGGGTGAGCAAGTGCGTCAGGTCGAGCCGAGTTAGGACCCCGAAAGCCCGGCCTGAGGCGCGTAGGGCCCGACTGGACAAATTTTGGGCCTCAGATGGGCCAAAATCGCCAAGGCGCGTAGTCAGGGGTGGACAAATCAGGGTGCGCCGGTGTGGATGGGGTGCTAGGCCCGTAGGTGTCAGTGGACAAATCGTGACCCATTTCGGCCCCATTCGGCTTGGAAGGCCAAAGTTTGCCGACCCTCAAGGACGTGCGGGAGCGCGCGCGAATCATTCTGGGCTGTACCGAATTCACAACAACGGCTCTAATTGATGTATTTCTTGCACTTATAACCTCTTGGCTGGTTGAACGAAGCGTTTGAGTGCGCGCGTCTCTTGCCTTCCCCGCCGCGTCGCGTCGACGTCGTCTGTGCCATCATCGCCAATATCCTACATTCTCGGCACGACTTGCTTCGATGAAACGTATCTTGAGATCCGAAAATCGATCTCCTTGACGAATGGCACCCCTCATGGACGTGAGGGTGTCTGAGCCTCTCGCCTCCAGCTTGACAAACCAGACACCGGGATACAGCTTTCATGGTCGACAGACAACTCTTGCTAGGCCGCTCGATGCTTGGAGGGACAAGTTGAAGGATCGTGGAGCAATCATTGCGACACGTAGGCAAGGCCACCAATATATCACTATCGGCTGCCTTTCGGTGTCGAATCTGGCGGCATATAGATCACGCCGAGCGCATGCGTTCGGTTGTTATCAGTAGCCAAGAGCTGGTGAAGTTATCTGCGTGTCGACATCGAAGATCAACGTCTCATCGTTAGAGCTCCGGAGGTGATGCCTTCACTGCTCGTTGAGGAGCAATTACCCCCTCAATGATCCTCGGGGTTCGTGGATCTCACGGTAGCTAGCTTACTGCTTCCCAGAGTGACTGCAATCGATCTTACCTCTCGTAGTACGTTACATGTATACCAAGGCCACGTCAAATCTAGTCAAAAAGGCAGGCAGCAAGTGCAGGTGAGGAGCCCTCGGCGAAGCAGATCCAAAACGGCTGACGCGCGCGCGGGCTCCGCCGATTCGGTCCGGACGAAAAATGTCCGGACGGCGTTTTCGCGATTTTTGAAGATGTTTTGGAGCATTTGGAGCAATTCTAGAGCTAATTTTGGCGCGTAGATGGACTGGACATTTTGGGGACTTTTTTGGGCGAAAAATCCAAAAAATGGTGGACAAAAGAGGTCCAAAATCGGGGATTTTGCCGGACTTTACCTACGCGCCTCAGGCTGGGCTTTCATGGGTCCTGCCGAGTTGGGCCGAGTTGGGCCCAATCGCTTCGAGCGCCGCTCTCTGCCGCCATTAGTAATGCCCAACTGAGCTCGGACCTCGTTCAACGCAGCCGCCCGCTCACAAGAGTCACACGTCGGCGAGTCGCGCCTTGCCTTGCCTTTAGCTGCCTTAATTCGCATTCTTCAGCGAGATCACTGCACGTCCATACTGCGCATTTCAGGGAGCGGGCTATCAGAAGAGCCTAGGCCCGCGCGCAGAACAAGCCCGGCCCCGGCCTTCAATCAACTAGGCATCTCACTGCAGGCTATCTCAGGTAGTGCTTCTTTTGGAAATTTCTTCCGGTTAGCAGGTGTCTGTGACTTTAACCACGTTCGATACATATCGGCTTATGCAAAATTTTCCCGGGCTGGCGTGAGTGACAAAGGCGCTTGTCTCTGCACGCACGTCTAGTATCTACTACGCACACCAGCCTCCGAGTCGCCACCACTCGCTATACACGGTCGTCCTTTTCATCGCCTGTTTTTTTTACCTACTATAACCCACCTAATACTTGAAGCATGTTGATCTGGTAGAGATGGAACTTGTGCAACAACCTAACCCTAGCACAGAGACACACCACCAACTTGAAGGGTAGTATCTGAACACCCTTTCCGAAATCTCGGGCTTCAGGACCGTCACGGCGATTAAAGGTCGTGCCCGCCACTGCCCGGTCGACTTGCAACTCATTCGCATTGGACGGTCCAGAGGAACGGTCACCCAGAGTGATCTTCGCAGTTGCACCGAGCTTTGAAACACCCAAGGCGACTTCAACCGGAAGACAGCGGGACACGTGGCGGAGGTGATCAGAGAGGCAAGCCACAGTAGTGTGTAAGAGCGGCCGAGCACCGCCGCCGCAGCTCTTTCAAGCTCTTTGACGGTTCGTGTCAATGTTGAGCAAAGACCACTACTGTCGCCAAGAGCCCGCGGGAGAAGAATTCGAAAGGCTTAATGCATTGCGCTGGTCCTTACAACGATCTTGACCCTGACCGTGGTGCGCCACCCTCTAATAATACGGAACAAAAGAGAGAGGAAAGCAAGGAATGAATCGAAAAAAAATGCCGGCTACTTCATGGACCGAGTCACCTCATCACCGCGCTCCCCCCAAAGGAGGTAGGAGCCCGATTCGGTGCCTGGTGAGTTGAGAGACCATCGCTCTTGCTTTTCAATAGTGTGAAGAGAAAGGGGAACGGGGGGACGACATGTGACCCCGTTGCGAGACAAGGGTCGTCGTCCCCCCCTAACCCCCTCCTCTCCAAAATGGATTGGCGTACCGAACGTTTGTAGGGAGTAGAAAACGTTCGGACGATCCTTTTGAAAGCGGGTGTGGGTATTGAAGGGGGAGGCGTGTGAAAAGGGAAAAGGCAGGCTTCCGAGTTCGAAGATTCTGTCATGTTTCCTTCCAGGGGGGGGGTTAGAAGGTGTTCAGCGAGGAGCGAGGATGCGAACCAGTGAAAGAAACCACTCTACCAGCGTCTCTCGGCGTCCTCCTCGACCATGCGATCGTCAGTATGGATACTCTCAGTTGCTCTTACATTCCAAGTTGGGCATCCCTGTTCTACCTCTCGTTCTTCTCGGCCTTGAAGCCCTGATAGCTCTCCTCGACCTTCCTCCAATCGACCTGACCCCACCAGTTCTTGACGTACTCCTCTCTCCCCCACACGCCGTAATCGTGGAGGTAGCAATGCTCGTGGGTCGAGATGCAGCACAAGGGGTGGATCGTCTTGCCGAGTTGACCCTGGCTGATCGAGGCCGTGTACGCGCCCGCGCTCAACAAGTTCGAGGTCGCGTTCGGATTCGAACGCGTCTTGTTCGAAGGTGGGACCGTACCCCATGCCGATTGGGGTTCGGAAGACGTCGATGAAGTCGCAGAGGATGACGATCCGTCGGTTTTGGGTGCGGGTAAAGCTTCACCGAGCACTCGCGGTCCTTCGATCCGGCCGACTTGGGATCGCTGGTGGACCAAGGGCGTTCCTCCGGCGTAGGTGCCGACGACGCCGAGGTTGCCCGAGGCGTCGGTGACGAGCCAGACGTAGGAGCCGGACGAAGGGTGCAGACCGGCGACGTGGGCCGAGAAGTGGGAGATGAGGCCGGCCATGTCGCGCAGCGGGGTCGATGCGAGCGAGAGAGAAAAGGAGGAAGAAGGGGAAGGCGGTGTCGGTTTCGGAGTCTAGAAGGGGCCGGGAAGGAGACGAGACAGTCAGTGACGGTGGGGAAGTAACGAGGAAGCTTGGGGGGGGGGGCATTGAGGAACTGACCAAGGTGGAGAGGAAAAAGCTGTTGTTGAGCGCCTCGGAGGCATAGTTGAAGGCGAGGACCTGTTCTGGGTTGGCGGCTGTTTGCTTGACGGTTTGCAGTACGGTCTGATTCTCTACGGTTGTGCCTGTGGCGGGTCAGGATGGATGCGGAAGGAGAGGCAAGAGGGGAAATGAGAGGGAGACGATGCGCGCTCAGCCGGCTGGGAATCGACAGGACGACTCGCTCGATTTGTGGAAGGGGCCGACTGACCTCGCACGAGCTCATTCAGATGGGTCAGCACGCCCTGCTGCCAGTCGACGGCGATCGTCCTGAGTGCGGTCGGGGAGAGGAACGGTTCGAGGCCGTGTTCGAGCTGGTACGGCAGGGGAACGCGCTGGTGCAGGTTGCGACGTCGGATCGAGACCGTCGACGGCGCGGCTGCTGCTGCTGCTGCTGTTGCTGCTGCTGTTGCTGCAGAACAGCATGTCAGCTGCGAGGAGGAGGAGGAGGAGGAGGTCGATGAGACGATGTGTCGCAAGGCCGAGGTGGATGCTGTCCGCAGCGAGGCCATCCGGAGTGAATGAATGTGTCGATGTGCGTGCGGGTGCGGGCAAAAGGCAGGAAAGTTTGGGTGTTGGTGCACAAGTCGATCGGGCTGGCACGAGCGGCGCGCGGAGTAAGGAGCGCAATTGCCGATTAGAAAACCGGGCTATGATGAAAAGGAGCAGGAAGGCATCACCGCAGATCACCGCGCTGCAGCTTGGCAGCCTGGCAGCCGTTGGCAAGTCCTGGCAAGTCGCGACTCGACTCGCGATCACCCCGCCCGTGCAACCGCCGTTTCGACCTACGTCAACCATTCGGGTGCCCCTCCTTTCTCGACAACCAGGAGTCCGAGACACGTCTGCCCTCTTTACCGAGCTCAGCCAGTGTAGGCAAGCCAGTGCCCCCCGCCAGTGACTGCAGTCGCCGCGACGCTGATCGTCACCGCCGTCGAGGTCGAGGTTGAGCCCGCCAGAGCCCGCCTCAGCTGAGCTAAGCGACGAGCGACGACCGCGGCCATCCACGGCCATCCGTGTACGCCCGGCTCGGCTCTCCTCAAAGCCCTACTCGACACTCATTAGCCAGCACTCGAGACCGTGTTCGACCCCGCTCATCATGGTACGTGCCACGTTCTGTTGAACACGCCCCCGACTCTGCAGAACAAGCCGGCGTACCTCCCTCGCTCGTCGCGCACGTCACGGCCCACACGCTCGCGAACCAAAACGCGCGCCCACGAACAACATCCTCGCCCTGCCAGATCACCCACCCGTATACACCCTACTGATACTCACGTGTACGACTCTTTCCCCACAGGGCGTCTCATTCAGCATGCTCTTCAACAAGCTCTGGTCGCGCCAAACCGAAGTGCGGATATTGATGTTGGGCCTCGATTCGGCGTAAGTGGGCCGTGTTGAACTGTCACACTCCTACGGTCATCCCCCATGTTCACCCCACTGACGATCATCCGTATTCTTGGTTCATCCTCACCGCATCATCTTTCGTCATCGCCTGCCTTCCCCCCCGTTCCACCCACCCACAGCGGCAAGACAACAATTCTCTACCGGATGCAGATCGGCGAAGTCGTCACCACGATCCCGACCATCGGATTCAACGTCGAGACCGTGCAGTACAAAAACATCAAGTTCCAGGTGCGTGCCCACCGTTACTCAACGAAGCGTGCCCCTCCTCGAGGCTGACCTTGCATCTCGGCGCAACGCGCGTAGGTGTGGGATCTGGGAGGACAGACGTCGATCCGGCCGTATTGGAGATGTTACTACGCCGATACCAAGGCCGTCGTCTACGTCGTCGACTCGTCTGATCGGGAACGGCTCGGCATCAACAAGGCCGAACTGCTGGCCATGCTGGCCGAGGACGAACTGGCCGATGCCAAACTGCTCGTCTTTGCCAACAAGCAGGTCAGTCCGCTCCTCCGACTAGCGTGTTATTTCCATGTATCCTAACCGAGCTCGATTCGGCTAATCCAGGACCAGCCGGACGCGTTAACCCCGGCCGAGGTTTCGGAAGGGTTAGGACTGGACACGCTCAAGGATCGGCAGTGGAGCATCCACAAGAGTTGCGCGATCAAGGGCGAAGGGTTAGAGGAAGGCCTCGACTGGTGAGCAACCGTGCCAAACTTGGCGAAATCCCGAGTCGTGAACACTCACTTGTGATTGTTTTCCTCCCTGATAGGCTCGCCACGGCGCTTTCTTCGAAATGATGGACCCCTGGCTGTGTTCGACTCGCCGCAGCTTGTTCATATCCTGTCTTGGAGCATCCACTCCAGGTTGCTTCTCTTCTTTTCGCACGCACTCATCTTCGCTGGAACCCAAACTTGTCGTCGACGCTCGAGCTCCAATTCGAACCTCTTTTCTTTCTCGGAGCAACCTCGCAGGCCTTCTCTCGAATCTATCTCGTCTTTCAGCGCTCCCGTGCGATGATTTCTTCTCCGTGTCTGGTTTCCCTCTCCTTTAGCTACTTTCTTCTTCTTCTTTTGTTCTCTTGATGTGTTAATTGCACCTTTAACTTTCTCTTCTTTCTCTGGCATGCGAGCTTGAAAAAGCAAGGCGAATGCGTGGAGGAGTGGGGGCGGTCCGTGCGCCTAAGAGAGAGAGCGAGCGGCTTGAGGTGGTGACGCGTCGCCTTCGCCACGCACGGGCCAGCCGCCGAGGCGCTTGTCACACGCTGCTCACGCTCACCTCCTACACTTACCTCCCTTCAACAAAAGCGGAGACTACCCGCCCCTCGACCCAGATCACGCCTGCGCCCCTACCCTATTCCGACCAGGCCCAGAGCTCGTCGTCTGCTCTCGGTGAACACCTCGACCGACACCTCTCCACCGCCGACTGGCTGGTGCACGTACTTACGTACTTCTACTCCCGACCCCTACTCCTTCCCTCGACGTGACACCATGGACGAAATCGGACTCGACCTCGAGCGAGAGGTAAGGGCCCTGCACTGCTGCATCTTGAGAAAGCACGCCAAGCTGAGCTGCTCCGCTCGGCTCACAGGACCCTACGTTCAGTTCGGTCGTCGAAGAGAAGGCCTCTCTACTCTCGTCCCTACCGCAACAGGACCTCTACCTCAAACTCAAGAAGCTCGACCAACACCTCGAGTTCCTATCGCTACAAGAAGAGTACATCAAGGACGAGCAAAAGAACCTCAAGCGCGAACTGCTGCGAGCCCAAGAGGAGGTCAAGCGCATCCAATCCGTCCCTTTGGTCATCGGTCAATTCCTCGAACCGATCGACCAACACACCGGTATCGTCGGTAGTACGACGGGGAGCAATTATGTCGTTCGGATCTTGTCAACGATCGACCGCGAACTGTTGAAGCCGAGTAGCTCGGTCGCGTTGCATCGTCACTCGAACGCTCTGGTCGACGTCTTACCCCCCGAGGCCGATAGCTCGATCGCCATGTTGGGCAAGGACGAGAAACCCGATGTGTAAGTCACGTTCGATCTGATGTGCGAGCTTGAGTTGGCTATCGCGGGAACAAGTAAATTGGACGTGGGGGCCGCCAGGACGATGACGACACCCGCGCCAAACGTAGAGTGCGGTGCAGAGTATCACGGGCTGACCACGACCACGCTTACACCCCTACAGCACCTATGCCGATATTGGTGGGATGGACATTCAGAAGCAAGAGATTAGCGAGGCCGTCGAGTTGCCGCTCACTCAGTTCGACCTCTATCGACAAATCGGTATCGACCCACCCCGCGGTGTGTTGTTGTATGGACCACCAGGTACGTTATGTTCGGTGCTCGTAGATGACTTGCAGCTTACGGATTGAGTTTGTTCCTGCATCTGTTCGTTGTCGTTCGCGTAGGAACGGGCAAGACGATGTTGGTCAAGGCCGTCGCGCACCACACAACCGCGTCCTTCATCCGCGTTGTCGGGTCCGAGTTCGTGCAAAAGTACCTGGGTGAAGGGCCGCGCATGGTCCGCGACGTGTTCCGCATGGCGAGGGAGAATGCGCCGGCGATCATCTTCATCGACGAGATTGACGCGATCGCGACCAAGCGGTTCGATGCGCAGACCGGAGCCGATCGCGAGGTGCAGAGGATCTTGCTCGAACTGTTGAACCAGATGGATGGGTTCGATCAAGGTTCGAACGTCAAGGTCATCATGGCGACGAATAGGGCGGATACATTGGTTGAGTTCATCCTTCATGCGGCCTTGAAGGACGTGTAGCTGATCCAGGTTGAGGGGATGGGTTTGTCGCGTACGTTTAGGATCCGGCTTTGCTGCGACCGGGTCGCTTGGATCGCAAGATCGAGTTCCCCAATCCGTCCCGACGAGAGAAGCGCCTCATTTTCCAGACCATCACGAGCAAGATGAGCTTGGGTGCCGATGTCGATTTGGAGGATTGTGAGTTGCTTCGTGCGGTCGTTGACGTCCTCATTCTCTTGCGGAGCCCAAGAGGTGGGACTTGGGCGCGACTGACTAGCACGTTATTACTATTACTCAATCGTAGATGTCTCACGACCGGACAAGTTGTCGTCGGCCGAGATCTCGTCCATCTGTCAAGCTGCGGGGTTGCAAGCCGTGCGGAAAAACCGGTCAGTTTTCCCCACTCCACCGAGTTCGCTTCGATCAACGCGACGACGGTCAAGGGGTCATCAATGGCTCTTGTAACTCATGCGATGATCATCCTTTTTCCTTTTTCTACAGATATGTCATCCTGCCGGCCGATTTCGAGGAGGCGTGGAAGCAGGTTGTCAAGAGAACGGACGAGACGCTCGATTTCTGTAAGTCGCAGGCGGCGAAAATTCTTTGACTTTCTCGCGTGACGAAGTGGTTACTCATGTGTTTGTTCTTCTGGGTTTCTTCCCTCCCCAAGACCGGTAATCCATCGAGAAGCGAGAAGCCGCTTGTACGCTACCGTGCCCGAGTCACCTCGTTAGGTGTTTTCGTTTGTGCTAGTGATCGGAAACACCGATCAGTAGTTGGGGTTCCACACTTTTGACATGATAATGAATTACCAAAACAATTGAAATTCGAGTCGAACTACACCGCTTTCGGGTGCAACATCGTGGTTGAGAGCTGCTCTGTAGAGCCAAGAGCGGTGAAATGGCCATTAGCCGCGATTGATAAGGCTATAATTCAGCTTGACTTTTTTTGTTCGCCCATCTTCGCAGGGCGGGAGTGGACAGGCCTAAACTCGGATGAAGCGCGCGGGGAGGCCATGGCGCTCTCAGCAGGCGCGCGCTCGCTCGAGGCTCGCTCGAGGCTCGCAATTCGAGTGGCCTCGCTCGCCCGGTGCGCTCGCTTTCGTTTAACCTCTGCTTCCTCCTCGTGCAACCATGGGCAAGTCGACTCTACCTCACTGGTGCTACGGTTGTGTGCTCTGATCGTCTCGACCTCGACCTCGACCTGGATCACCATCAACTTCGTCTCCGACACCATGAGCGGCGGCCAGCAGGGCACGGGCAGATGGGTCGTTACGGGTCGTGCGACGGGTTTTGAGCGCCAGGGCGACCGGATTGCTGGGCTGAGGCGGCGGCGGGTGTTCGAGCGCGCCCAGCGGAGCGGCGGGGGTTCGCCACGGGATGGGCCACGGCAGGGCAAATTTCAGCGTGGGAGCGATCGCATCCCCATCGCTTGATGTGACGCCTTGGTTGCCATGGACTGTTGGGATCATGCGATCGGTCTAGGTGGAAGGATGGTGATGATTGCTTGGTCGTGATGGGACGCTGAATGATCGTGGTCGTGGGACTTTTTGCCCGCTCCCCCCTTCGCCCCCTCCGCTCGCCCGCCTGGCCGTCTCGCTTCGAGGACGCAAGCGCGCCCGCCCCCAGTCGCCAATTCGACGCCCTACGCCAACGATCATCCTCGCCCTCTCACGCACCCTACATCGCTTGACCCATGTGCATGATGGGACATTGGACTGACCATGTCGATTTTCGGACATTCCCAGCCGTCGGAAAGAACAAGCGATTGTCAAAGGGCAAGAAGGGCATCAAGAAGCGTGTTGTCGACCCCTTCACCCGCAAGGGTCAGTCTTGCCATCTCTTTCGCGTTCGTGTAGGACTAGCCCAACTGACTTTGGTCGCTTGATCATGCAGACTGGTACGACATCAAGGCTCCTTCCATCTTCGACACCCGGAATGCCGGAAAGACCTTGGTCAACCGCTCGTCTGGATTGAGTGCGTTCCCCCGCCCGCCCGCGCCCTCGCTCTCCGCTCGCACTGGCTTGCCTCTACGGCCTGGCTTGCGCGAAGGCGGCGGACAAGTTTCTTGTCGCAACACATCGAACTGACACCCCGTCTTCCACCACCCTCGTGTCCCGCAGAGAACGCCAATGACTCGCTCAAGGGCCGCGTCCTCGAGCTTTCCCTCGCCGACCTCAACAAGGACGACGAGAACACGTTCCGCAAGATCAAGCTGCGCGTCGATGAGGTCCAGGGCAAGAACTGCCTCACCAACTTCCACGGCATGGACTTCACCTCGGACAAGCTCCGCTCGCTCGTGCGCAAGTGGCAGACCTTGATCGAGGCCAACGTCGACATCAAGACGACCGACGGGTACCTCGTGCGCCTGTTCTCGATCGCCTTCACCAAGAAGAGGCCCAACCAGGTTAAGAAGACGACGTACGCCAAGTCGTCGCAGGTGCGCGAGATCCGCAAGAAGATGTTCGAGATCATGGCCCGCGAGGCGTCGTCGTGCGACCTCAAACAGCTCGTGCACAAGCTCGTGCCCGAGGTCATTGGCCGAGAGATTGAGAAGGCCTCGCAGGGGATCTACCCCATTCAGAACTGCTACATCCGCAAGGTGCGTTCTTGTAGCTGCGACTTGTTTCATGCGGCCGCAGCTCGACCATGGAGCTCACCATTGCATTTTTGTTTTCGTTCCTCCTCGACCCTTTTTTAGGTCAAGATCTTGAAGACTCCCCGATTCGACTTGTCCAAGCTTTTGGAGCTCCACGGTGGTGATGTGGCCGAGGATGTCGGAGCGTCGGTCAAGAAGGACACGGTCGAGATCCCCGTCTTGACCTCGGTGTAAAAAAGCCCATTTTTTTTACAACGGATTCGACTCGAGCCGGAACGGGAAGGCGCTGGCGAGACAGAAACATACTAGGACGGGGGATCGGTTACAGCCGTAGACGTTGAATGAGACGAGGCCACTTCTGTAGCTCTCACTCTCTTGGGTACTCGAGGGCGTCGCTCTGGGTTTCCTTGGCGTGTGTAGTTTGACCCCAGCTCTCTCTTGTCCTAGGACCTTTTTTTTATGGCTCGCTCTCCCTTTTCTTCTTTCTTGTTTGGGTAGGATTCGGAATGAGCAATTTTCTGTTTTCTGGGTAGACGCGCGTGTTTGGACGAGAGCAGAGAGAGTGTGCAAGCTTAGGACTGTTGTTCTGGCGAAAGCATCGTGGAGCCTGCCCTGGGGACGAAAGAGGACCGTGCGAGCACCTGCGCCGTTGGCTCGCGAAAGACAGGCGTGGTCTGGCGTGGGCTGGCGCTGGCTGGCGTGGGCCAGTGCGTAGGCTTTGGCAGTGCTTTGGCGCGGAGGCGGCCGGAACGAGCTCGCTCGCGCGCCGAAATCGAAACGCCGTCTCCTGCCCACCACACCAACCCACCACACATCACGAAACATGGCCGCGTGAGTCGAGTCAGATGTTGTACAGTCGTGTCCTACATTGTCGAACTGACCAAACCGACGATCGACTTGTGTGGTTCCGTCGTGCAGCGCTGTTGTTGATTGGGGTCGCATCACGACCAAGCTTGGTCTGCACAAAGGTCCGTACTAGGCCGCTCAGACCACTCGTTTCGAAACTTTGATCCTATTCTATACCCTAACAACCCTCTTGTACGCAACCCGCCCATCGCTTCATCAGATACGTTATCGGCGCTCTCCGCCTTCCGCCAACGAGCCGCCGCGGCGCGCACGGCGCATACGACCTACTCCGCTCAAGCGCGCACGATCGACTTTGAGCACTACCGCTCCGTGCTCAAGAACAAAGAGATCGTCGCCGAGGGGGAAAAGTTGTTCAAGAGCTTCAAACCGGTCGATTATGACGTCCAGGCGCAGTTGAAGGCCATCGCTGCGTTCGAGACCAAGGCTGTGAGTTTGGGGCGGTCGACGCTAAGGGGGGGGGGGGGGGGAGGGGGGCATGAATCGTCGGGTCAGGAGGGTCGGCGATCTTAGAGAGGGTTAGAGGGTTGGGAGGGGGTGGGGTTCGGTGGAGCGATTGGAAGGGAGCTGGATCGTAGGGCGGTTACGGGATGGGCGACGCCGAGGTCTGGGATGGTCGTGGCCCCCTTACGCGCCGGCCAGCCTAGCCCAGGCTCGGAGGAGGCATCCCGACCGACCGACCGACCGACCGACCACCGACCGCGCCGAGAGTGACTGAATCTGCGGACCCAGTCGAGTGTGGCGCAAGAACTGACCACCTCCCTATTCGGCTCACATCAGGTTGCTTCGGCCAAGGAGACCGCCAACAAGATCGACTCCGAGTTGGGTGACCTCAACTCGACCCTCAAGAACATCGAGAACGCACGTTCGTTCGATGAGTTGACCGTGAGCATTCTTTTCATTCTCTCCGGGCTGCTTCGGCGGGTGGCGCTGTACGGGTACGGGTCGAATTGGCGTTGACTGATGATGTGTTGAATTGTGTGCGTTGCTAGCTCGACGACGTGGCCAAGGCACGACCCGAGATCACCAAGGCCGTCGAGACGATGCTCAAGAAGGGCAAGTGGACCGTTCCCGGTTACACCGAGAGTGAGTTCTTCCCCCTTCAAAGCATTGCATCGTTACCCGCAACGACTCACCGATGGTCTCGTATTTATTCTCATAGAGTTCGGAGTGAGTAGATCTTGGCGAGATACAACATCTGGGTAACCTTTACTGACCTTGTGGCTGGGCTCGTTCTGCTCCTATTGCATGTCACCCTCACAGAACTTGAGTGAGTAGCCTCGGGCCATACCACCGAAGAGTATATCTCCATGCTGACCCATGTCTACTTTTCGCTGTATTTAGGCGCCTTCTAATTGCCGACAACCTCAAAAAGAAGCATACTTTTCGTCGTGATGGTTGGTGTAGTTGGAGTTTGATTAGAATGACCCGAGTTTTCCTCTCTGAACGAGGAACGGGGAGGGGGGAGGTCTCTTGGCAATGCAGCAGTTGTGTTTTTTTTTCCTCGAATTCGTCTTTGGGGCGAGGTGGGCTCCGTTGGGTGGGCGGAGAGCGATTCGAGAAGTGGTGTGTGTTGTGTGAGACGCTGTGCAATTGTGCGCTGGTAGCTCGACTCGGATTGATCGACGCCGACTGAACACCACGACGACGAGCTACGACGAGGCGCGCGTCGTTCGCCGTAGTTCGCCGTAGTAAATCGGCGAGTTCGTTGTGCTCAGTGCTCACTCTGCCACGCCCAACTCACACCCACCCTCCCTCTTCGGCTCTCACAGCACAGAACGCGGTGCACCCTTCTTGACCCGCTTCGTACACCGACCTTCCCGAGATCAAGGCCATCTCTCTCGCCTCTTGTCGAGCTGGATTGGTGCGCTCTTTTTGACAAGTGGTACGACGTCGCACCGAGTGTGTGTTCCCCACCTTTGTTCAAGCCGAGCCTCCTTTCCCCCCCCCCCCCCCCTCGCTCGACCTCACCCTCTCATCTCTTTGAGGCCAAGTTTGGTGACCTAAAGCAGGTTTCAAAACAATGGCGAGTACGGGACAGGACAGCAAGCTGTTCGTGCGCAACAAGCTGGCCGAGTACGTCGCTGTCGTGCCGCGTCGAGATGGGACGGGGACGTGGGGAGAGAGTAGCACGATGGGATCCGACGCTGACAGGGCGACCCTCTCTTCGCGCATGGACTGCACCCCTGTTGGGAAACATTTCTATTCAGCTTGAGGGCCGAGTTGCAAGGTGACAAGAAGGACAAGGATTTCAAGAAGAGAAAGGTCGTGCTCAAGCGCGTCGTGGCGAGCATGACGATGGGTCAAGTCAGTCCTAAACCCCCCTCGGTCTTCAGCCTCGCACTCGAGCTGTCAGAGCGCTGACTTTTGGACAACGTGCTGTCTGAGAAAAAAAGGACATGTCCCCCCTGTACCCCGAGGTGATCGCGTGCCTCTCGATCGAGATGCTCGACATCAAGAAGATGGTCTACCTCTACTTGATCAACTATGCGCGCGTACGACCCGAGATGGTCAAGCATGCCATGCCCGGCTTGTTGGCTGTAAGTCGCCCATGGCTTGTAGGTCGGAGCAAGTAGGCCGAAAGCATGGTCGGCTGACCCGTGCAGTGCTTTCGATTACGCACAGGACGCCGGCGATCGCAATGCGCTCATCCGAGCTTTGGCCATTCGAACCATGTCCTACCTCGCCGTATCCGAGGTGCTCAAGGCCCTCGTCGACCCTCTCCACGCTTGCCTCCGCGATCGGGATCCATACGTTCGCAAAACGGCCGCGATCTGCGTCGCCAAGCTTTACATGCACGATCGGCGCTTGGTCGACAAGGAAGGGTTCATCAACCAGGTCAAGGACTTGCTGGGCGATCCGAACCCGACAGTCGTCGCGAACGCGGTCGCCGCTTTGACCGAAATCAGTGAACGGAGTGAGAGCATACACCTCAGACTGAATGCGACGATCGCGAGTCGGCTCGTCAGCGCCATGGGGGAATGTTCAGAGTGAGTGCTCACCCTTGGCCGAGCGGAAAGATCTGCGCCGACCGTTCGCTGACTTGGCGGTCGTCTTATCTACCTCAGATGGGGGCAAACCTACATTCTCGAAGCGTTGATGTACTACGTTCCAGAAGAGCACGCCGATGCCGAGTTGTTGGCCGAGCGGATAGCGATCCGCTTGCAACATTCCAACTCGGCCGTCGTGCTGACGACCGTCAAGGTCATCCTCTACCTCATGAACTACATGGGTAGCCGCGAAGTCGTCGACAACATGTGTCGCAAACTCTCACCGCCATTAGGTGAGCCCTCGAGGAGTAACGAGGCGGGCTGGGAAACCTTTCATCTCATCACCTCCTTCGCGGAAACACAGTCACGTTGCTGTCCTCGGGCTACGAGGTTCAATACGTCGCTCTACGCAACATCCACCTCATCATTCAGCGTCGACCTTCGGTGCTCAAGAACGACGTCAGGGTCTTCTTTTGCAAGTACAACGACCCCATTTACGTCAAATTGGCCAAACTCGAAATTATCTACAGGCTCGCGAACGAGAACAACGTCGAGCAGGTCCTGGCGGAACTTAAGGAGTGAGTGACTAGACCTGGTGCTCGGATCCCTCCTTCACTGCAACCGTTGACTGATTCAGTGCCAACGCATGGCAGATACGCTTCGGAAGTCGACGTCGAATTCGTGCGCAAGGCCGTGCGCTCGATCGGCCGACTCGCCATCAAAATCGCCTCGGCCGCCGACCTCTGCATCACCGCCCTCCTCGCCTTGGTCAAGACCAAGGTCAATTACGTCGTACAAGAGGCCATCGTGGTCATCAAGGACATCTTCCGACGCTACCCCAACCAGTATGAGGGGATCATCGGAACGCTGTGTGAGAATCTGGACGCGCTCGACACACCGGACGCCAAGGCCGCGATGATCTGGATCTTGGGAGAGTACGCCGATCGGATCGAGAACTCTGATGAGCTGCTCGACGATTTCTTGTTTTCGTTCGCGGACGAACCGGTCGAGGTGAGTTCTCGGAGAGATTGATCCTCATGCTTTGGGCCGAACTCTTATTACCTGCAAGGTCTCGAGACTTGTCGATCAGCGCGAAATGCATGCGCTGATAGAGGCTCTTTGATCTATGATACAGGTCCAACTCGCACTGCTGACAGCTACCGTCAAGCTCTTCATCAAGCGACCAACAGCAGGTCAAGAGCTCGTCCCCAAAGTTTTAAAATGGGCGACCGAGGACGTCGACAATCCAGATCTGCGAGATCGCGGCTTTATCTATTGGCGATTGCTCTCGACCAACCCCGGGATAGCCAGCGAAATCGTCTTTGCGGACAAGCCGGAGATCTCGACCGAATCGGAAGCGATGGACCGGGGCGTGCTCGATCGACTGCTGTTGCATACGGGAACGCTCGCGTCGCTCTACATGAAGGAACCGCAGACGTTCGTTCGGGGCGCACGGGCAAAGTATTTACAAGACTCTCCCGCGCTCGACCCCTTAGCCAAGCAATCCCAGCTCGATTCGATCCCGGTCGTGCGGGCACCGACGGCAACGGCGACGAACAACGGTAGTGGATCGCGACCCGTCCCTGCTCCGCCGACAACAGGTTCGGCACCACCAGCTCTTCCGCCTCGACTGACAAGGAAGGAGAGCGTCGTTGACGATTCGACGACGCATCACGGGGAGGGATTGTTGGACGATGACGACTCCGAAGATGAGGACGTCGCGTTGAACCCGGGCGCGAACGGTGGGGTAGCTTCAGCCCAAGTCCTCACCGCCTCGAAAACGAACGAGAACGATGGCTCGACTGCACTTCCTTCCCCACTCCCGATCGACGACGATTTGGATCCTTATGCCAGTTTGGCACGCATGTCGTTCGAGCAAGCGGCGCAGGGCGGCATGAGCGCGTTCAGTCAATACGGGTACGAAGCTGATCAGCCCCGACGCGCTGGTGTGCACGATCAGGATTTGTTGTAAAATAGACGTGCAGAGCGCAAAATACATTGCGTGTAATGATGATGGTTCATTGGTTGCTACTGCGGTGAAAATTAGGTTTCATTCAAACGCCAGTTTCGGTCGCTCGCTGTCCTCGTCCTCCTCTTTGAGAGGGTGGGTAGGTGGTATCGCGTCCTGGGCAACCTTTATTCTCCGGTTGGTGTTCAAGCAACGCCGATGACGAGCCCATCTGCATTTATATGATGTTCTACATCCTTTACAAGATGGCGGGCAGATGGAGACACGTGCGCGGGGCCGGCGGGGAAAAACCCAAGAGCAAGTGAGCCTTCGCCAGTGCAGTCACCAGTGCAGACGAGACATCGCGCGCTAATCAGACCCTTCCAAAAAGAGTTTTCATCTAAGGGCCTCCTTACTACTGGTGCTATAACCCAAGCCTTTCCTTTTTGACCCAAGCCGTTCTTTTGGATTTGTAGCGCGCGAAAAGGAAGACGGCGGTCTTGAAGGAGATGGTGTCGCCCCTTCGAAAGAGCGAGGGGAAGAATGAAGGACCTACACTACTTGAATGCTCGAGCAGGCACAAAGAGAGTCGCTGCCAAAGTAGGGAATCGTCACGCGTATTGCTCGCTCAGGGCGGGCGCGCGGAAATGTCTCAACCCTTGTGATCGACCCTGCCCTGCTCCAGTACATAGTCAGTCACCGAGTCATTATTCGCACCGGCCGTGCAAAGAGACCGGTGTCCGCTCCCGAAGACTCCGAAGGCCCCGAAGGGCCGCGGCGCGTTACACTCGACCAATTGGCTACTATGGGCCTAGCGTGCCGAGGTTGGAATAGAATAGGCTGGCCACCTTATAAGCATTCAGGTGGGTAAGGTTCCGAGATGCCGGCAACTACAAAGTAGCTAGTAGTGACTCGCGGTACCTTAAAGAACTAGGTCGGTTTCTGCTTGTAGGGTGAGCCTACAGATCTTGCCTAGTACCTAACCTATGCGGTGCGGAATCTCAGTTGCCCAGCCGCTGCTTTGAACAACTGTCCGAAAGATAACCCGTTAGCACCTATGGATGGCGTTTGTGGCATCCTCTCGCATGACGTTAGCGAAGCTCAACGCAACCTACAATTCAAGGCTCGTGATGCTCGGACTTGAAGGAGATTTGAATAGCAGAGTGCTTGGCGAAAGGGTCCCATCCTTCCTAAACCCGTCGACCTTACCATTTTGTGTCTGCACAGCTACTTCGCAAGTTCTCACGGCCTCGGAATTCACAAGAACTAGCTTACAAGAAAGCATCCATACATAATGCCGCGAGTAAATGGTGCATTTACAAATTACGCGCGCGCGTTTACCCCCGAAGCTTGACCCATCTACCCCGGTAGTAAGGTGCAAAGTTCACTTACAAATGGTGCATTCCTCGCGCAAGTTGGTGCGTTTGCTCCCGAAAAAAGGTGCGTTTACCAATTAAGGATGGTGCATCTACCAATTAGCTGGGCAATCCGCTGTATCTCGTGTAGTATGCCATGTATCACCCTGAAACTTGACGAGCCCTTTTACATGACCACCAAGTACGTCCACCTTCAGTAAGAAGCACTCTCACCAGGACCTCATGTAGTTGAAAATCGTGCCCGTATTGGCGGGGCCGGCCCTCGTCCCGGCCGCGGCCATGGTCCGGACCGAGTAACAAATCCCCCCGGGTTAAGTTCGGCGAAGGCCCCCGGATTCAGTTCAGCCACCTTTTCTTCTTACCAAACTAAGAGCACCAATCATGTTGGTGCTGCTGAATCTGTCTATATGGGGTGAGACACCTTGTAGTATAGTATTCCTTGCCGCATTTCCAGCCCCAGCAACTTGGACAACGAAGATCATTGATTGCCTCTTCATATCATCGAACCTGTCCTAGTTTATCTAGCACATCACCAAGAGATCTCGCAATGGTCACTAGCTGCAACTATCACCTCATTATGTACATTTCCTGCAGTTCTACTCATCATGACACGGCTTAGGATCGACGATCTCACTCCTCTTCTTGCAGCTGCTCAAGGAGTCACTAAACCATGACCAATGTGAGTGTGAGTGTTCTGGTGACATGGATCCGCTGCAATTTGGGAAGATGCTATACCTTGAGCAAGTGAATTCAACATTAAATTTGTCTTGCGAGCCCGACATTGAGTGCAAGGCTTGAGCAAAACCGCGCAGCTTGGAAAGAGGGTTTTCCCCTCTTGCGCTTCGATTGGCAAGGACTTGGGCGCTTGCGGATATAGGGATAGTTGACCGGGCGGCTAGTGTACGTCTTTGATACCTTGACAAGGAACCAACGACCTCGAGTGGCTCGGACACCGGCAGGGAGGGAGTAGGGTCAACCTTTTACGACCCTTTGGCGTCTCATTGGTGGCGTAGCTGGCATCAGACCAATTGTTGTGCTTGACGGTGCTGAGGAGCTTCGCGGGTTTCGCGAAACCAACGGAGTGGTACGTTGAGGATCGAAATTGGAATGAGAGGTGTCCATCGTGCTGATGGAAGGATCAATTAGGACGGGGGTAGGCGCCAAAATTTCAACCTTGGGCGATCCCAGGGGTTTTACTTCGAGCTCCAGCAAACTCTCCCTGAGCGCGAGTGGGACAGATTCTGCATACACATGAGTGTCAGCCTCAATATAAAGCAACTTTAAGATCAGTTCATTGAGATCAACAGTAGAATGACTGACCGCAAAGCGGAGGAGGAGCTGGAGGAGGAGCTCCAGTCCCCTCCGTCAAACCGAGGGGAGGGGGGGGGGGGTCAGAGTTTGCTTCCGACTCCATGTCACACCGCAAGCGAGTATGTATAACAACGTCCAACACGTACGCGTGTCTTTTGATTTGCTTGGCCCAAATCGCCCGGTTAGGATGGCGAGTGACCCGGTGGATCTTCTCCCACTTCTTGCAATAGTCGGACAATACCTTCTCGCGTAAATTGTGAACGAACCCGAGTCAGCGATGCGATCAGCAGACAAGTACAGCTTTCTCTTGGACACATCATGATGATTGTGATTCACCTTGGAACGCAGTGCTACGGGTGCTGCCACAACGAAGCACTATCTGACGAGCGATAGTCCGCATAACCGTGGCCGGTTTCCTGACCGATTCTAGAGTCACCCGGCCCTCATGGTCGCCAAGTCTGTAGATCAAGGCGACCGAGACATTGCTGGCTGGAATCATAATCTTACAAAGCAGAGTGCGGGTAACGAAATGGGTGTCAGCGCATGCGCAAAAGCCACGAACCCAAAGACAGCAAACGAAGAATCTCTGAGTCTGAAGTTTTGGCCAACTCACCTTCAAGTGTGGGCACGATTTTCAACTACATGAGGTCCTGGTGAGAGTGCTTCTTACTGAAGGTGGACGTACTTGGTGGTCATGTAAAAGGGCTCGTCAAGTTTCAGGGTGATACATGGCATACTACACGAGATACAGCGGATTGCCCGGCTAATTGGTAGATGCACCATCCTTAATTGGTAAACGCACCTTTTTTCGGGAGCAAACGCACCAACTTTCCCGAGGAATGCACCATTTGTAAGTGAACTTTGCTCCTTACTACCGGGGTAGATGGGTCAAGCTTCGGGGGTAAACGCGCGCGCGTAATTTGTAAATGCACCATTTACTCGCGGCATTAACCCATTTTCCTACAAGAATTGGCGCATAGGTGGTCCCATAGGATGGAACGCAGGTACTCCCTTCGGCGACCGAGGCTGTGCAGTGTGCCCCTTGTTCGAAGTGTTCTGTTCATCGGGAACATAATCATTGCGCATTCAACTCAAGCCGATGCTCGTGCGTTACCGACGTGCAGTGGAAAAATTACTCTTCGAAAAATTGCAATTATCGACCGCCGAGTGCTGCTAAAGTGTAGAAGCTTACTAAGGCTATTTCCAAGCCCGCCCGGGGCTTCCATGGCTTTCGAACCTGATTCGGAAGTTTATGGGCTTGGGACACTACTACTTCATTTCCACGCGCGAGCGCTTCCGCGGCTCGTAGTCTCGCTAGTTTTGGCGCGGTCTCTTGAGACCAATCTCGCCGGAGTAGTGTGACAAGCTGCCCGGACTCTCCTCCGAGGCCAGAATTCAGGAGTCTAGCGATCACGACCTGGGCTGTCTCCGGGCTTCTCAGTGATGTTCTAGCTCTGTCAGGCCCTCATCGCTACTTGAGTGTTCAGAACCCGGAATTATGCTAGGGTCTAGCCGCGGCGAGCCTGAACTTTGCCGAGCTCGACTTGCCATCGCATCGAACAGCTCGAGACTGCGACAGTCGAGAATCCAGCCGTTGGAGCGTTTCGAATCCATGTGCGCGTGCCTCACCGGCCTCACCTCACACTTTCAGGATTCAGGCCCCCCCTACGTCGGTGCGATATTGAGGCGCGGGCCCATAGCGCCGATCAATGGGCTTGCCTATTTTTCTTTTTCCATTTATTTCTTAAGTTCCGGGCGGATCGGCCCCACCAGCGCACTCCGCGCTTTCAATGATCCAATGATCGACCGCCGAGTCGCCGACTGAATCGAATCGCGCTGCCCGTGGTTTCATTTTGTCGCCGGTGGCAGCACAATGGCCCTTCTTTCTTCTTCCGCTCTGTCGTCCCAGCGCTGAGTAGAAGGTCGTACACAGAGTGCGATCTGGTTAATTGCCCCTGTCAGAGCCAGTGTACCCAGCTTCCGCCTTGGGAAAGTACGGCCCCTCTCCGTCTGGCGACTCGCGAGCCCGACCCCTCGAGCCCGTCCAGTCTTTCGAAAGCACCGCCGCCGGCACACATTTTGCAGCCAAGGGGTGATCTCGGACTTCCGTACCATCGTCGCATTCGCCTCCGAGATAGTTGCTTGACGCGAATCACAGCCCGCACTCGACGTCACTCATCCACCTCGAGCATCAAGTACATTGTGTCCGGAGCACACTTCCGGCCCGCCACGACTTCGTTCGATTGCAGAGGCCAAGGGCTCCATTCGCTCCTTAATCCTTGACATTAACCGCTGTGAGGCCCGTGCAGGTTGGCCCACATGGTTAACCACAGCGAACTCGCCGCCGCTGGCCGTGAGTTCTTTTCATTCACGTACGGGTCTCAGTTTCCAGCGTCTCTTTCCAAGGTGTTCTTTAGTTTCGTTCTCCGCCCGGCCCCGTTCCCCGAAGATGATCGACGAGCACCCGGTCCACCAATCACCGACTCGATCGAGCCGGGCGCCGGCTACAGGCTACGCCGAAGCTTGCCGTGGGATTCGGGTAAAATCGACAAATGTCTACTCGACAAAGTCGTGTTCTGCAGGGTGCACAAGGTGCCTTTCTTCCAAGCTTTCGAGTTGCTGGAGCTCAGGCCTGGCCGGCGGTGCTTGGCCATGACATGGGGCTTCAGGGCCTTTGGGAACTGATCGCCACAATTTAATCTATCCCGGAACCGGGCACTGTTCCGAGATAATTCTCCGAACGACGGAGCTACCGAGGCACGAACTCTCGCGACCAAAAGAACATTTTCGTACATGTTCTAGATGCTACCAGACAACTGAAACTTTACAACCCTTCGTCCTATGGTACCTTCCCAAGCAGATTCCTACTTTGGTACAATCACCACGGTCCAGGATGCGCAAGTGATCTTGGAGGCGAGCAAGCAAGGAGTAAGCAGCTCGCGGCGACCGAGTCGGCGAACCTGTTCCGGTCCACGCTAGACCGCCAAACTAACCACAGCGTGTATCCCAACAGATTCTTCCTCGGGTTACAAGACGATTGACTGACGATGAACGTGAGTCCACATCGCTTGTGCCGAGCGTGCGTCCCCTGGCTGGTAGCAACTCAACCCTCTCCCGGCTTTGCAGGCATCCAATTCGTCAAACCCGGGGCGTGCTTCTGCTGGGAAGAAGAGGAAGCGGGGATACGCAGGTGGACAGATCACATTAAATGGACTCGTGAGTCTTTTGAGCTTCGAGGGACATCATCGGATCTTGCTGTCGTGGCACCGACCAACGTTCGAACCCATACCTGACCGACCCGTTTTCTTTCGTGCTTGCACAGCTTCTCGCGTGTCAGGGGCCTTCTTGACCTATCTGGAGGTACCCTCACGCGGCGACGAGACCATCATCAAGCAATCCTTCTCCTCCATCGACCCTCAGACAAACTCCAAGATGCACCTCATCGCGTACAATTCCAAAGCCGCCCAGCGATCCGGTACCCTCCGAAGCCCCCTTCACGACCCGATGTTGCAGGCCATCTTCCAGGCAAGCTTTCCATCCTCACGCGAGGGTGGTAACGCCAATGGTGATCTACCTCGACGGTCACCATCTGCGTCATCCTCCTCCTCGTCTTCTTCGGCGGAAGCTCGATCACCGCCCGTTGCTCCGGCGAGCTTGCCGAGTCTCTTTGGCCCCCACCCCTCCTTTTCTGCGGCCAAACTCTCATACCGACGAAGCCACTCGAACCTCCACGAAGTTCGCGCGAAAGGTCACAGTGCCACTGAGGCCGATCAAGATTGGCATACGCGTGAACGTCCAAGCACGGCCAACTCGGACGGCGATCGACCGCCACTCCTTTCCTCGCAATCCTTCGACGCTGCTCGTTTCGGCAGGGGCACGGGCTCCGTAGATCACACCTCCGGCAGCTCGAATAACCCAATTTCGCCTGTTTCGATCTTGTCAAACGTCCCACCGCGCGGTTCCACTGCTTGGACGTTTGCATATCCGGGTATTGCTTCGACGACGACGAGTGGAGTGCCCAGATGGGATAGTCGGGATCCTTCCGGGGCCCACCAATCCGCCTCCACGTCTTCGCTCCCGATCCCGAGCCGATATCCCGGCTCGTCAGAACGGCCAGAGATCTCCCCTACCCTTTCGACCCATGGCCGCTCACGATCCTCGACCTCTTCGCCGACCTCACTAACGCAACCCTCTCCTTTGCGGAACGATTCACTCCACGGTTCGTCACAGCCGCCCCAGGTGCCTACTCCGCCAGGATCGGCCGGGACCTCTCGACAGCTCGCTCCATATAACGAATTGGCCTCGGGCATGACGAGTACGGCCTCGCCGCCGTCTATGGCCTCGCTCATCTCACCGCTGCGAGGGACCTTCCTCGACGACGACGATGAGCACGAGGGGTGGAATCCGGACGATCCCGACTCGGAACGCGGACCCCGTTTGCCAGATCAACAGCGCGGATCCGAGGACGAGCGACAACTCAGGTTGTTGGATCGTCGCATTTAAAAATCTTGAGAAACGGGAACCCGGTCTTATATTCCCGTAGTAGTTGTGATTGAAGCTATAGGGTGAGCCGGTCCTCACTCTTCTCTCTCGAGTCGAACCGAACCCGGGCCCGCCTTCGAGGACGGGAGGCCCGACGACCTATACCTACCTGTTCCCGTTCATAACATGAACAATTCCTCTCCTTTGCTCGACGATTTCATTCATGTTTCCCTATCCCGCATTCTCCTCTTGCATTTTTTTTTGATTAGAACCCCCCTTTGCTGCAAATTGTACGTCCTGAGAACGACTAAGATACACATGCGCGCGCGAAACTTATGGATGGATCCCGTAGGACATAACTTGACGAAAAATAGAAGTACGTTCGCAAGGACCAAAGTAACCTTGGCTCCCTTGTGATTTCAATCAACATTGATTGAAATTAGTAGCTTTTTTGCTGTGTGGTCCAGTGAAGGCCAGTCCCTTCCCAATTGGAATACACACAAAGTTACCTTGCGCCTTAGATGGCTCCCGTCTGATTCCGCATCCATTGAAATTGTTCGCTTTTTTGGCTGTGTAGTCCAGCTGTGAGGCCGGAGGGGCTGGCAAAAAAAAAACTAACAATCTCAATCGATGCTGATTGAAATCAGAAGGGAGCCGTTCACGGTGCAAGGTAACTTTGGTCCTTGCAGACGTACTTTTATTTTTCGTCAAGTTATGCCCTACGGGATCCATCCATAAGTTTCGCGCGCGCATGTGTAAACGATTTTTTGAACCCTACCCCGCCTCGCCTTCGGCTTCTCACCAAACATGAAGACCGCAGTCCAACGTAGATTGTTCGAGCTTCCTCCTACCTCTTAACTACCTAGCTGGGTAGTTCCTAATCCATACCATCGGCAGTGCCCGGAACAAGAAGGGCCAAAGAGATCGCAATCTCGCCAGAAAACAGCGGCCACCGTCAACTAGGTTATCGTGTAGGAGAATAACATCATTTTCATTGTATACGAACGAGTGGGGGAATAGACAACTCAGGTAGCTAGAGCTCGATCCGAAGGTCTCATTCAAGAATCAACGGCCCTACTTGGAACACGTCGATCAGAAAGTTGCACAAGCCTTCAAAAAGCAAGTTTCGGCCTCCGCGGACTAAGGGCTCGTGATGCGCATTTAGGCGAGGTTGGCGACCTCGGTAAGGTATTCGCCAAGCAAGATGGACCCTTGCACAAAGTTCGATCGATCGAGCTTCTCGTTGATCTAGAGACCAAGACAAGCCCAACACACAAACCGAATGACAAAGCATGGTAGAACAAAGGGGGAAGAATATGTCGTGTCAGTGAAGGTGACTGTAGAACAAACGAAAACGAAATGATTTTTGTTTTTGTTTACCGAGTGGGCTCCGTCATCGCCTCGTCCCATAGGCAAGAGCATGACGTTCACGCCGAGCGCGTCGGCAAAGGTCAAGGTGATGGGGATCGATCCACCTTCACGCGTGTAATCGGGCGTCTTGCCGTACACGGTCTCTGTTGCCTTTGTACCTGCTCGGAAGTTCCAGTGGTCGACTATTTTGACGAAAAAGATTAAATAAAGTTAGCCGGTTTCCGCGGGGGAATCGCACGATTGAGTTTGCGCGTGGGTGACTGGGCTCTGCACGGCAGGCGTGCGTGAAGCGAGCGGGAACCGAGGCGCACTATCGGCCGGATTGCGCAAACCGAGACTATAAGAGATCGTTCAGACTTACTCGAGGCGACCCAGGGCATACCGCCGGACAACATCTCGACCTTGAACGTGTTTTTGGAGCCAAGCTTGGCAAACTCCTCGTGAAGGTAGGTTTGGACGAGCTTCTCGACGTCCTGAGGGGTCAGGTCGGGCACGAGGCGGATCGAGAACTTGCCTCGCACGGACGAAGGAATGACCGTCTTGGCACCGGCGGCGGAGAAGGCACCTTCGATACCGTGGATCGAGAGCGAGGGGTAACGCATGCGAGCCATCAAGACGGTGGCCTTGTCCTGGCTGATCGTCACCTCGGCGCCAGCGGCTTGCTCAAAGTCGGAGACCTGCGCAGCGAGGACAATGGTCAGTAGAGGCTTGCGCAGACTCCGAGTCCAATATCTGCAGATCCTCTCAACTCACCTTGACGTCGATGACCTCGTAGCGCTTCTTCTCCTCGGGGGTCAACGGTGCAACCTTGTCGGCGATGCCGGGGACGAGAATCTCACCTTGGGGGGTGACGAGCTTGGAGAAGATGGCGAACAAGTCGGTCATGGGCTCGTGGACCATACCACCGAAGACACCGGAGTGCAAGTCGGCACCAGGTCCGGAGATGGAGACGGAGAAGTAGGCCAAGCCTCGGAGACCATAGGTGAGGCAAGGCGAAGTGGTGCCGAGCCAGTAGTTGTCCTGTCAAAGCGGCCGTCATCTCAACAGGGTCAGTCTCGTTTAGCCAAATGGTACTGCAGGCGCGAACTCACGGAGATGCAGACGGCGTCGACATCCTTAAAGGTCTTCTTGGCCTCGGCAACAACGACTTCCTCGAGGCCGTTGGATCCGGACTCCTCCATACCCTCGAAGCACATTCTCAGGTTGACGGGCATCTCGGTGTTGGTCTTTTGGTGAGCCTCGATGACCTGTGCAATACACCTCACGCGTGTGTGAGTCTCTCGTTGGGGCGTGTGTCTCTACATGGCCCTCATAGAGACGCACGTTCAACCACCCAAGAATGGGACCTTTGTCATCGGACGATCCTCGACCGTAGAAGCGGCCGGTGGCCTTGTCCTCCTTGAGTTCGAAGGGCTCCGTCTCCCAGCCGTCGGATTTGAGCGCCTGTTTGGATTTCCGTGGGGTGCGCGGGGTGGGGAAAGAGCACAGGAGACACCGTCAGCGTGGGGGCTCCGAGGTCGGACATGAGTGGGGTGGGTTAGGAGCTTTATGCGTTTGACGTACGGGCTGAACATCGTAGTGGCCGTAAATGAGGATGGTCTTCTTCTTGGGGTCGGAGCCGTACTTGCCTGTGGGGGAGGTACAGAGGGTCAGCCTTCCTCAAGTCCGTCGTGTTCCCGACTGGGTCGTCACCGCAAAGACTGACCGAGCAAGACGGGGGGCAGTTGCACCTCCTGGCCTTCAAGAGTCTGAGGGCCGAGGGGAACGGATTCGACTCTGTGAACGAGGTGGAGAGTGGGGATCAATGATCCGATTGGGCGAGAGAGCTGCGGCGGTTGTGGGGGGCCGCCGATGGGCGACGGGCGTGATGACGTTGAGGTCATCTCTCTTCTCTCCGCCTGAGCCTGGGGAAGCTTATCTCGCGTCGCACCCTCGCCCGACGAAATGAAAGGTCGCCTCCCCCCAACAGTCGTCCACACCCCAGAAGCAACCGCATCAGCAGCCAAGATGCAACCACTCACTCGACACCCAGCTTGACGAGCTCGTCCTGAAGCCACTTGCCCATGCGGTGCACCTCAGGTCGGTACGAAGGGTCGCCCGAGACGGAGGCGATCGCAACAGACGCAGCGAGGCGCTCGATCAACGCATCCTGGTTGTCCTCGATGTACTTGGCGAAAGGGGCGGAAGAAGGCATGCTGAATTGAGGGGTGAGCTTTACTGTTTTCAGTGGGTAAAGGGCGGGAAGGAAGACGGCCGACTAAGGCGAGGCGGAGCGGAGGCGCAATTCGGGCCGCTGAATTATGTCTGATCATGTCGGCGGGCCCGTCCTGAAGAAAATACTCAAGTCGGTGAAAAAGAAAGGGGAAGGAAAAGCGTAGCGGAAGCCCTCGTCCTCCATCTTCTTAGTATATGATTTCTACACTTATCTCCTGCTCTCCTCCATACGTGATCCTCATTTAACATCCGATACATCTTCACTTGCTCGAGAAGGGGAACCAGTCCGACGTCCGAAAATCTTTGACAGGCTAGTGCTGTCGCCCCATATGCCATGTATCGACTCAAACGCAGCATGAGTAGAGATTAGGTTGATGACCTATCCCAAACAGTGGTCTGTTAGATAAGCTGAGGTCTCTGTACCTCTGTAACATTTCTTGAGATCGCTTAGGTGTGGATGCAGTGGGGTGTAAGGAGGACGTCCAGTGTCGATGACGTGTGGCTGCGTAACCCCGCCTCTCGCAGCGGGCCTACAATAGTTACTTGACAATCATTTAAAAAAGTGAAAAGTGAGAGGTGTTGACTTGAGAAGTATAATCTCAATTTCCGCTTGGGACATCTGGACGTTCGGAAACGAGTCCAGTGCACACGGGTCAAGGGAAAAACAGTGGAAATCGCGCTCGTCAGCTCACACTTAGTAGGTACACCTAAGTGTGGCCGAAGTGATGGAAGGACTCACGTTGTATAAACATTGTGTTTGGTGGGAAGAGAAGCAGAGGAGCGGAGAGACGGCCGACTTGGCAGGGGCTAAATTTAATTTCGGATTTGTGTGGGGGCTTCGAACGTTCGCCGAGTCGCCGACGCCCTGCGGAGCGGCCGGCCCACCCGCGGCAAAGGCCGACGGATCCCGACGGATCCTACGGCGCAGGTTGGCTCGCAGTCACCCAATATTGACCTCACTTTGTACAAGTCGATTTGAAGTTGGTGTCAAGACCAACATGGCTGAGCACAGCAAGCGATTGCTACATGGTATATAACATGCAGGAAATGATAACAAGCCAGGCACTAGAGTGCTAGATCATGCCAAGAACCACCTCCTCACCCACGACCCGGACTCGCCGTCCCACGGCGTCGCTTCTTCCTCTCCAAATAAGCTCGAGCCTGCTCCCCCATCTCGATCAACGTGTTCAAACCCGTCACCCCTCCGACGTCCCAAGCTGTACGGACGATCTGGTCGACCGGTCCGGCCAATATACTTCGAAGCGCATCCTTTAAGCTGCTTGAAGGCGAAGAGGTAGGCGAGCCTACAGCTGAAGAAGTTTCGGCTCCGTCTCGCGCGACGGGAGAGTTGGACGACGAAGCGATCGGTGAAGACGAAATCACCTCGCCATCGATGTTCGATATCTCTCGTTGTTTGCCTTTTGAACGAGCCGACTTTGCCAACCTGCGGCGAGGAGGCTGGTACGATTCAATTTCGAGAGAGAACGTCGACGACGAGCGACGACGCTTGAGCGAGCGAGCAGGACTCGGCTCGACGTCTTCTGATCCAACCGGTTCCGAAGAGATGGAAGGAACGATCGGAGTCGATCGAGGGACCTTACCCGCGACGGAAGCAGGTCGACCACCTCGTTTCTTTGATCCCGCGTTCGAGGAAACTTGCGATGATCGCTTCGAAACGAGCGCAGTGATGAGCATCCCGTCGTCCGAAGAGTCGCTGTCCTCGATGATGATCGAGTCTGAAGCACGGGGGCGCGCGATGGGTCCGAAGGGGGGAACAAAAGCGGGCATCGACACCTGGCGAGCTGGCTCTTCGAGAGACGCATCGTTGGCGGACGACGGAATGACCTCTTCCTTGGCCTTGATCTGGGCCTCCATCGACTCCTCCTCGGCTACGACGTCTGCTTGCGCTATGACGGCTGAAGCGCCCAGGATCGAACTCTGAATTCGCTTCTGCTCGAGCTCAAGCGGCGTCTCCTCAAGCATACTGACAGAGCTCTCCGGTGAAGGCTGTCGCAGCGAGGCGGGGATGCCCTCGCCAACTCGTTCGAGGCCGAGCGAAGACGAAATTGGAGCAAGAGGTCGATCGAGAGCCGGCGACTCTTCTTCGAGCGACGAATCAAGACTTCCATCCTCCGGAATCGGCGCAGAAGCATCGCCTTGGTAAGCTGAGGTCGGCAAGGCGGCGATAGGGCGCGAGGCAGTGGCACTGGTCGTAGGAGGCTCGCTCTCAAGTGTCCGAAGAGGTTGAGCAGGTGCGGGAACGGTCGGTGCTGAAGTGACGATGGCGTCGGCCTCGCTACTTCCCACAGCATCAACTTCCATAGCATTCGCCGCAGAAGCCTTGACACCGTCATTCTCAATCATTTTCTCGACGACTTGTGAAGCCGACGCGGTCGCCTGAGTCGCGATGTCCTCAAAGTGCATCAAAAGCGCGACGATCGTCTCAATCTCGGGAGAGAGCTCGAGCGTTGCGAACATGGAGTTCCACAGATTGCGGGCGGCGACAATAATACGCACACTTTGCTCCGCGAACTGGTGCTGCGAGTCGTTTTCCATGATGTCGAGCACGCGTTGAACCTGGAGCAGGAGGGGGGTGAACCTGACCAAGCCAGCGACCGTTGAACTCAACATCGGCGCGACCTCGGTGAGAGCGAACGAGCAGAGGGAGAGGAACTGAGTAGGGACGAATGGTCAGCATTCCATAGTCCGGGCTTCGGGACAGACGCGACACTTTTGACTCACTTCCTCGTCGAGAGCATAGTCGAGAATCAAATTCAGATCGGCCGGTGCTTCGCCAAGCGAGACCTTGAGGACTGCCCGAAGAGCCAAATCGAAGGCCTCGGCGTCCACGCGAGCGGAAAGCGGCCTCGAGGCGACAAGGGTGGCAATGAGGTGCCCTAGAGCATTCTGGCTATCCTCCGTTACCGGAAGGGTGAGCAGTTTATCGCTCATGGAGTGGACGAAGGAAGGCAAGAGCCGAAGGGCCAGTCTCGTGGCCGACATCCCTTGAGTGGGTACATGTTCGCTTGCCAAGAGCATGTGAAGCCAGTTGACGACCTTCAAGAGCGCATCATCTGAGCCGGGGCGCTCTTCAAAGCAGGCCAGGATATTGAGCCACACGGCAAGTATTCCCATCTGCAGGAACGAACAACTTTCAGATCAGTCCCAATCCTTCTGTGGGTGACCGAGCGAAGACGACTCACCTCAAAAACGGCGAGTTCGAATCCACGAGCGGGATCAAGTCGGAGCTGAGCCGCGTCCCACATCTGCGCTCCACTGAGAACGATCTCAAGGATGAAGTCGATCCTATCCGTCGTCCACATCGAGCCCCAACCTTTGATCTTGCTCGGATCGCTTGTCGAATCGATAGCCCGCCGCGTCAATTCGAACGTGCGTCTAGGGTCCTTGCCAAGCTCGAGAATGCTCGAGTTCATAAATACGTCCAATACCATCGACTGATCCAAGCACTGCTCTTGGACCACCTTGGACACCGTCTCTTCCCCCTTTGTAGAGGGACGAACGATCGCGGCCAACGTGTCCCAACCTACGCGTTGTACCTCTTCGAAAGACGAGGTCATGACCGAGACGAGGTGCTTAGGTGCGACCATCTCAAAGAGCTGGTTGAACTGGCATTGGGCGCGTGCGCTTGTTGATCCGCCACAGCTGCCGAGTACGGCCTCGCCCAGACCACCGATCAGCGAGGTAACCAGTCGAGCCAAAGCCTCGGTGTGCAGTTTGTGGGACGTGCGTCGAGAAGGGCTTGCGGGACCTGGGACAGCAGGAGTGGCACCGGCAACGGTCGATGTCGTTTGCGCGTCTTCTCCCACAGCCGCGGTATCGGAAGTGGCGGAAGCGGGCGCGAGGTTTGGGCCGGGAGCTGGAGGCGGAGAAGTAGGGAAGGTCCAAGACAGCTGATTGCGATGGTTGAGCATGCTCAAGAGCACATTGATAGGTTTCCCATCCGGTCTCATCACCCACAGGTCGTCCGGGTCGTTGGTCCCAGGAACGATGGCGAAAGCGTGGGCAACGTGGGACCATGCCAATGCGGACAGGGGTCGCAGATAGGCCGGGGCGGGGGCAACTTCGAGGTGACGGAAGAGGTCGCAGTAAGGTCGGATACCTTTTTGTTCAATCTTGTGGAACGAAGGGCCCATCAAGATGGGGAGGACACCGAGGAAGTGGATGAGCCATAGGTAGGGCGTCTCGTCAATCCTCGCTTGAGGGCCTTGAGCGGCCGGAGCTGCCGGCAAGGAGGCGTTGATCTGGCCAATCAGGACAGCGAGACCAGTGACCCGGGCGTGGCCGTGCGTTCGAATTTCCGTCATCAGAGACTGCAAAGTCGATAGAATGAATCGTTAGTACATGCACCAGAACCATTCCACGTCAAAGAAGATCGCTGACTAACCAACATCTGAACGGCAACCCGTCGTCGCAGCGCACTCTTGTGCTCAGCCCAAGCCGCATCTTCATCCTGATCATGCTTAACGAATTCGCGAGCAAGCTTGGTCAAGACCGTCAAGGCGCGATTCCTGACCGTCGCACCTCGTTTGGCCGTATCCCACAATCCTCGGGCTGCCAAGATGAACCAGTCATCGGCGGATTCGAGGAGCGCTCGCGGGTGAGTCTCGAAGAGAGTCGACAAGGTCGAAAGCGATTCGCCGAGATTGACGCGGTTCTTGTCATTTTGGTTGAGGGTCATCGAAAGCGTTTGAATGATCGAAGGGAAGTGTCGGTCGATCGTCGCCGAGGGCAACCGCTGCATGCGCAGAAAGAAAGAGATGAAGGGGAAGACGTCCTTGCAGACGAGAGGTGCAAGGCCGTGTTGATAAGGGATGGAGAGCATCGTTGTGAGGATCGCATCGATGTCGGCCGCTGCGTAGTGATTGAAGCGAGCTTGCGGTCAGACTCAAGCCTCAGAACGCCTCGCAATCAGGCAAACGGGCCCACTCACGTTTGAGCAACGAGCTAAATACCTCTGAACGAACGATCGAGCTAAAGCACTTGATCGCGGCCTGAGCGACCCCAACCTCGTCGCGCAATCGAGTCATCTCTTGCTCAGAATAGCTCGACTTTTTCGGGCCCGTCGTCGGCTTCGGAGGAGGGGCCTTGCGCGTCGGCGAACTGGAGACGATACCGTCGCTGCTATCAACGCGCATCGCATCATCGTGGTGGCCAGCTTGTCGCGATCGAAGCTCTTCGTCCAACTTGGCCTGTCGTCGAGTCTCTTCGACCCAGGCAGGGAACGAGGGGATGTTGGCTAGGTCGCGGACGAGGCACGTTTTGAGCGTGACCCTGAAATCGACTAAAGGTGAGAGGGTCTTGGCGCCATCGACGATGGTCTCGGGGTGCAGGCGGGTGAGGGCCCAAGTCAATCGAACGTAGGCGTCTTCGACGTTGTAGAGTTCGAGCGGGATAGTCCAGGGCGACGGATGATCGGCTTCGAGGGGCTCGTCGTCGGGCTCTGGCACGACGGGGCGAATGAACGGATGTGCGATCTCTCGCAGAGACCCGCGCAGAGCTTGTAGAGGTCCAAGTAACCAACAGGGGTCTTCCGGGTCCAGCTCCTTGGCGGCAGGCTTGGCCGCTGAGTCTTGGCCCGTGGTAGCTCCCGCCGGTCGTCGCTTTTGCTCGTCCTCATCGTCGCCATCGTCCTGACCACTAGTCTTCGCCGAAGTGTGGCCAGCTCGTCTCGAAGTCGAAGTGGCGGGTCCTTTGCCCTTGTTCGACGCAGAATCTGAACCCTGTTGTTCCCTCGTCCCCGTCGACCCCCCGTGACGTTCCCCTCCCACCGTGCCCGAGCAGGTCGACCAAAGCACAAGAGGTGTGAGCAAAGCCTCGTCGTTCTTGACCGCGTCGAGGTCGAAGCGCAGCGGATGGTGTCGTCGGCCGTTCTTCCGCTTACCCTCTTCGGCGCACCTGGTGGACTCGCCCACACCAGCCGTACCTTGATCGAACGGCTTGAGGATGCCTTTGATGTGGGACCCGTCGTGCGTGCGCGAGGACGACGGGGGTTGCTGATCCGAGTCGGACGAAGGTGGTGGTGTCGGCAAACCGAGGAAGGAGGGGCAGGGTGATGCTGCAGCGAAAGCCAGTTTCGCCGGCGAGTTGGTGAGCAAGAGTTGTTCAATCGCCTCTTCTTCGTCCTCGTCGTTGTCTTCCTCATCGTCCTCTTCGTCTTGATCGGCCGCGGTGGTGCTCGTCGAACCGAGTCCAGGTGCGGCGACTCGCGGCTGCGAAGGCGGAGGTGACGGTAGGAGGAACGAAGGTGCGTTCAAAGGTGACGATCCCAAGCCATTCCCTGACTTGGGTCCGGTGAGATGCTGGTGCTGGTGGCGCTGAGGGTGGTGGTGGTGGTGCTGCAGGAACCTCAGCGACGGCGAGGGCGCGTCCGTATCCGGTACTTCGTCATCGTGATGAGCCGCTGCGAGGATCGAGGGCGGGGACCGGTCCGAGTAGATGCGGCGCCGACATCGTTGCTGCTTCTTCGAGTCCGATGAGGAATACGATGACGAAGATGCAGATGCGGTGTGGTATAATCCGGGTGCGCGGATGGCGGCGGCAAAGGAGAGCGAGGCTGAGGCTGAGGCTGAGGCGGAGGCGGAGGCGGAGGCTGAGGCTGGGATGGTCGCGTTCGCACGCGCTGCTTTGCTGCTCCGAGTCGGCGACGCGTCGAGACTGGGCAAAGGTTTCGACGCAAACATCACGCGACGTCGCTTGCACGAACTCGAACTCGAAGGAGAGTCGGGGGTCGAGCTCGACAGTAGTGACGATTCAACGGGTCGCGAGGTGAAGTAGTCGGTCTCACCGTTCTCCTTGGACCGACTACGCCGACGTGACCGGCTCGCCGATGAGGCTGACCCCGCCGACGACGACAGCGAAGAGTCGACGAGCGCTTCAAACAGACCCATCGAAGGCGAAGAAGATGAAGAGCTCGAGTTGGAACTCTTGAATAATAGGGACCGTCGCCCAGCTGCGGTGGGAGTCGGTCGATCCGGTTTGGTCGGCGACGACGAAGGCGGATCCATCTCGCTGTTGAGGTCGCTGCTGCTCGGCACGCTCGGAGTCGGCGAGAACGCGCTCCGCGTCGAGGGGACAACACCCAGCGAGGAGGGTACTCGGGCATGCATCGCAGTTGCAGCCATCTCGAGCTGACAGGAGGGACACACGCAAGGCGACGATGCAGGGGAAAGCGGCGAGTGTGGGTGATGGGTGTGGATGGATGGCAAGCTGGGACGGGAGGCCCCCCCCAATCACGACCAAGTGCCCCACGCCGGCGGCCGTCGCATTGGATCACACTCGATTTTCACGTTTCCTATATCGCGTCCAAATCGCTCGCAGGGGCAATATCATTGACTCGATCTGATCATGCTTCGTAACGTTATACTGCCAGAAAACTTCGACCAGCACAACCATCTTGTCTCGCCCAGTGACGCGACGCGACGCGTTTAATTAGGGGCATGCTTTCCGGTTCGTGACCCATATCACGTGACCGGCACTAACTCCGCGCTCGAAGACTCACAGTCCACTCTCGGCCCCGCAAAGATGGCGGTCATTCCGTTGCCACTATATATTTCATACACTTCAAGGTATCAAGACACTGTTCCTTCGTCCAAAGTAGGCCCTAGGCCAGTGGACCCTTGTGCACGAGTCCACCCGCTCCCGACTGGCACTTGGGGAAAATGAGCACATCCGCGATGTTGACGTGAGCTGTATGAGCCAGGTAGCCTTACATTCATCAGCGCTGATCGAGGACAGCATCATTCCTCAAATCACCTCGACAGCTCTTGACTCACCTGGCCTCGATGCGGCCCAAACGATCTCCTCGGCAATGTCCTGAGCGACCAGCGGTTCCTTGCCCTCGTACACCTGGTCGGCGGCGGACTTGTCCCCTCGGAAACGGGTGACGGAGAATTGCGTCTCGACCATACCGGGGCAGATGAGCGTCACGCGGATACGAGTCGACATCAGTTCCTTCATTAACGAGGTCGTGAAGGCGTGGACGGCGAATTTGGTCGCGCAGTAGATCGCGCCCCCTGGGTACGCCTCCTTGCCGGCTGGAGGGAAAAGATTGTGATCGGGCGAATGAGTAATCTGAAATGAAACACCTGCATTAGATGAACTGACCGATGGATCCGAGGTTGATGATGTGACCACTCGTGGGCGAGCGACTCTTCATCTCCTTGACCATGGTCTGGGTCAAGGTGATCAGACCTCGCACGTTGGTATCGATCATGGTGTCGATGTCATCATCCAAGATGTCGCCGATCTTATCCGTTCCATGGACCAAGCCGGCGCTAGATTTGAGATCAGGTAGAATGGTAAGAGACGGACGGAAGGAGGCAAGAGAAAGAGCTTCATGATGAATCGGGCGAGCAAGACCCACTTGTTGACCAACACATCCACAAGCCTCAGCTTTTCCGGGATCCTCTCCAAAAGACCTTTGACGGCCTTGCGATCCTGCATGTCCAAGGTGAAGCATTCGACCTGTCCACCTTGACCGGTGCCGCCTTGCGCATTGGCTTCTTTGGCCAACTTGGCGACCTCCTCCAGTTGCGGTTGTCGACGAGCGGTGAGGACCAAGTTGGCACCACATCGAGCGAACAGGATCGCAGTCTCGGCTCCGATGCCACCTAGGCTCCGTTGAGGATGATGATGCGCGAGGGTTGGAGACGAAGAGGGTAGGAAGCCGGAGAGGTGGGTAAGAGGTGGGGCGCGTCGATGACGACAGTGAGCGACTGCCACAGGACTGCTGCAGCCATCATAGCACGAGGAGGGGACTGACCTGATGCACCAGTGATGAGCACCGTCTTTCCGGCCAAACGAGGGAACATGATCGACATCGTGGAAATGGGTGGTGTGGGTAGAGCGGGTCGTAGGAGGTTGAACAGAGCCTCGACGGCCCACCTTCAAGCGCCAACCAGCCCCATGCCTCAAGCTTCCTCAAGCGCACAGACGAGTGTTCGAAAGAGTGTTCGACTTTGCTGCAGCTTCAGTAGAATTTTCTTGGAAAAGCACAACGCACCGTAACCACGTCGAACGTGTAATTTCTATCATTTTTGTGTTGGCTCCAAGCGTATGTCATTTTTTTCTGACGGAGAGAGATGGCAGTGCTTGCGAGCAGTGGCAGGTTTTCTCGAACAGATCGGAGTTCGATGTTCCACACGCCCGAAGACTTTTCGTCTCGCATGGGCGTGCCGACAGCCCCGAAGGCCAAACGCAATATTCAGGAAGTCTTCTATCACGCTTACCTGATGTACTATGCTCCAGTGAGAAGAAGCTCACCTCGACTGCTTCCGCCTCGAAGACTGACTCGGAGCAGATCGATCGGCAGGTGTTCGGTTCCCATGCCGTTTTCCAGCCTGGCAGGCTTTTCATTCTGAGTCGCTAGCGCAGTAGCCACAGCCAGCATGTTTTTATTTCAATAATCTGTAGCCTTGGCGACTTGAAATGTAATTCCTGGTCAGGGCTTGAAGTACTATGGGCCAAGGACTGCGCCGAGTCGCCGTTCTAGTACAACGGTACCAGCGGAAGCTGTCTCCACACATGAGCATCTAGAGCATCTGTACGGGTACAGCACTTGCTGATCCAATCCATTGGAGGCGAAGTGCAGCTCACTAGGAAATAGCTCGAGGTTCTACCATTCAAGCGGTTCACTGCAGATAATCATCCATTGCACCAAAGAACGCGTGCGCTCTATCAGATAACGCTATACCTTTTTGACTAATTAAAATCTCGATTCCCAGCTTCAAAGACATCCCCTCACAATACCAAACCCAAAGCTGCCGCGAGGAGGCCCGTGGCGGGAATCACCAATTTCTCGGCTCCGGAAGCGGACGACTTGGTCGTCGTCGAAGCAGCCACCGTGCTGCCGGTGGCCGTTCCACGAGCCGAAGAAGAGGTGGTGGTGGCGTTCGCGACCGAGGCGAGGATCAACTTGCCGGACGAATAGTCAAAGCCGGGGTCGACCGATTGAGGGGTCGACGCGCCGAGCGCGGTCAAGTTGATAGGGGTGAACGAGGCGAGCGATCGGTCGACGGACGCGTCGACAAAGATGGCGCCGCCCGTGGGCGAGGTCGCGTTCAAGAAAGCAGGCGCAAGCACGGGGGTCCATTGGTCAGCGTTGAGAGGTCCGGGGAAGACGCCCGTCAAGTTGGTCAAGGGCAAAGTACTGTTGCCGGTGAGGCCGTTGAGCGAGACGTTGGTCGCGTTCGCCACCCAGCTGTAAACGTTGTTCATCGTCTTGTTGGCATCACCACGGCCGAGTGTGCCAAGACCCCAGTTGGCCTCGACCGTGCTGAGACTCGAGTAGTGGGTATAGTAGTTATCATCGGTCTTGTTCATGAGGCTCGAGGGCAGTGCACCGCCGAGAGCGAGCGTCCAGATCTGGTTCGCAATCGTGTAGGTTTCGTTCTCGTCAAAGGTCAGCAAGATCAACGTGCGGTTGTCGTTGAAGTTGGGGTTCTGGAGCAGAGGCACGAGGAAGTACTCTAGCCACGCCGAGGTGAAGTCGATGTTGGTGTCGTGGGCATCGTTGACCAGGTTGGGTGTGATGAAAACCCACTGGGGAACCTTGCTGGCGGTAACATCCGCGGCGAGGTCGTTGAAGTTGCGGTGGCGGAGACCCCTCGACTCGACGCCAGCGATCGAGTTGCAGATAATCGTAGGGTTGTGCCTAGTGGAAAAAGTTCAAGCGAGTTTGCTTCTGGCGCGTCAGCGTCAAACTGCAGGCTGAGCGTCGCCAGAACATGACGGCGGCAAGCCAGTCACCAAACTCACTTGCGGACGTAGTAGGTGTAGTGCTGGGAAGCGTTGCCCGTGAGGTAGTTGGTTTCGGTGTAGTTGAAGCCGGTGAACCCATCATAGGGCATGTTCTCTTGGTAGGACGCCCATGAGATATTCTTGGCCTCGAGCAAGTCGACGATCGTCGACACGTTCTTGGGTAGAGCACGGAATTGATCGTTGTCGAGACCGAAGAAGTCGCCGGTTGCAGCTCTGCAAAAGGAACATAACACGACGAGCACGGTGTGAGCGAGGTCACGGAATAGCAATCAGTTTGCGCAGTCGAGTCGTGGTAGCTGCAATGTAGACGTACGCGATGTAGTTGGGCTCCGAAGGGTGAGTGACACCGTAGTACGAGGTCAACGTGACACCCTCACCGGCCAACTTTTGAAAGGTGGGAGAAGATGCAGCTGGGTTACATAAGATAGTCCGGAGAAGACTCTGCAGTCAGCACGGCAGCTCTCAACCCTGTACAGTGTGTGCAGGCACCGCTTGGGATGATGGCTGTGCATTCACATTTCCCGAATCATATCCGACTATTACAAGGGTGTGGCGGATAAAACTCACCGGTGGCGAAGTCGGTGTTTTCGAGCCAGATCTGGATGAAGCTGTTGACAGGCAAGCACAGACTTTATCAGCGCATGCGCAAACATGGGAATGTTCACCGTACGACGAGGATACTTACCGATCAAAAGACTTTCCCGCGACAATGGGACCGTTTGTCAAGGTGCCGTTCGAGGCGCCCGTGTAGTTCGTGGTCTGCGACGTCGGAGACGTGCTCGGGGGTGAAAAGGGGGTCGAAATCTCGGCCGCAACGAGCTGGGCGGCGGCGGCGAGGGTGGCGAAGGACAGTACGGCGGATCGCATTTTGGGTATCGATACTGCTCCTTTGACGTTTGTATCAGGTATCTGAAGACGCTCTGGTGTGACAGCAGAGAGTAAGAAGAGAAGAGCGAGGGGAAGTTTGAGCGCTGACCTTAGACTCTTCTCCACGACAGATCTCCGCGACTGGCGGGAATGAGTGTGGCACACTGATCACCACTGGCAGTTACCGCCAACTGCACTGGGAGCGACACACATCCACTAAGACACGCGGCGGGGGCTTCATTGATTCTAAAAATACAAGCCAATCAGGCTTGAGCTAAATCCTACAGAGAACCGCTCTGTCGGCACGTGGAACTAAAATGGGGAGTTTTGAGTTTCCACCCCGGGCCTCGTCGTCGGCGGCGGCGGCGAGCACGATCCGGCTTCAACACTTCGGCGCTCCGGCCGGCGCGTCGCAGCAGAGCGCGTGTACACTACTAGTAACTTGAACCATTCGGAAGCCAAAGCGGCAGCAGGATTGAGGCAAGGCTTTCGAGATGAACGTGCTCAAAAATTCGCTAACGCCGAGCCGTATGGCAGGTTGAATCACTGCGATGAGGCTGACGACCTGCTTCGCAGCCAGCGGATGTCTTGCGAATCATTCTCGACTACTACCCATCCCCGTCGGAGAAAATGTGTATTGCCGAATGACCTCATTATGTTCCGGCCCTGGATACCTCTCATCTGCAGAGCGTTAGTAAAGGACTGAATGCTGTCACTCGCGTAATGCACCTGCATATAAGTAATTTGTATGGACTGAGGCTGGATGTTCGCGCACGTTGCCCGAATTTCAAGTCGAGTCGGTAACGTAGCTGTCGACAGAGTGGAACGTGCGTGCGAGGCTATTTTTGGCTTCCTGCCCGCCTGCTATGTAAAAACCTCTTTGATCGCTTCGGCGAGATGTGCTCGGTGTTGAACTTGCGCTGAGAGATGGTCAATTGTCATTCGTCGGTCCCTCGTGCTAGCTCGAGAGAGCCGTGCCTGGGTCCGCATGGAATCCGGCGGTCGAAGGTGGGCGTCTGACGAGACCATTCTTCAAATTTTGAGTGACGAAGAAGACCTACCTACCGGCTCAGGTTCCTACCTACCGAGCCGTCGTCGAGTATCTACATCAGCTTTCTCCTGTCTCAGGATTCTCATCAATATTGACAACTTGAGGACTCGAACTGTAAGTGTAGGAATGTGTGAGCTCGAGGCCTTGCTGGCCACCGTACTTCCGCCGACGCCCGGGCATACGACGAGTCGGCTGACTCAGTGACGCGTTGGTGATAGACCGACCTGAAGAAGCATGCGGAATGAATACGACAACGTGAACGAGTCGGACAAGAAACACGCCGAGTCGGATGGCGAGCCTGAGGCAGTCGCCTATAGCTCGGTCGGGGCCAAGTCGTCCGGCCGGCATCACGGTCTGATTGTCGTGTCGGTGGCAGCCTTGGTGGTGCTTGCTGTGGTATTGGGACTCGGATTGGGACTTGGTCTGAGGAAACATCACCACACCAATGCCACTTCGGCTACTCCCACTTCATCGAATGGGACATCAAACTCGTCAACCTCGGCGTTGTCGGCGATGATGCAACAGCCGTCCAGCAACCTCGTTCTGCGCGGTGCTGCCGCGATGAGGTCGGAACCGGCGCAAACTCGAACTTACCAGTTCGTCGTCGAAGAGCGAATGGGTTCACCGGACGGCTTCTCGAAGAAGATGCTCGTCGTCAACGGTATGTTCCCCGGCCCCACTATCGAAGCAAACCAAGGCGACCGTATCGTCGTCAATGTTACGAATAAGCTCCCAAACGCCACCGCCATTCATTGGTGAGTTTGTGGGCCTGCAAATAATTTGTATTCAAGGAGAGGACTGACTAGGATGCTGCGCTCCCTTCCTTGATATCAGGCATGGTCTTTTCCAACCCTTGACCCCTTTCTATGACGGCACCGCAGCCATCACTCAGGTTAGTCACTGCGCACTCCTGTCAACTAAACAGCGGACCGGTTCTGTTCGTTTCATGCCGGACCGGACGCTGACCCCCCTGACCATCTGACACCGTGGCATCTTTTGCAGTGTGGCATTCCGCCCGGAGACTTCTTGGTCTACAACTTCACTCTCGGGGACTTTTTCGGCACGACGTGGTGGCATTCTCACTACTCGACGCAGTACACTGACGGTATTGCCGGCGCGCTGATCATTCACGGCACGAACGAGACAGTACCGGCGTCCGACGGAGAAGTGGTGGTGCAGATGAACGACCTTTGTGAGACTAGTCCGGACCCGGGGATTCAAATGATAAGCTTTCAAAGACTGACTCGGGAGCGTACCGCCAGACCACACCTTCTCCACCGACCTATTGAACCTATACCTTTCGCCTCCTGGCATCACAGGCCAAGGCGACACGGGTGCGGCACAGGGAGACGAGCCCGTTCCTGACTCTGGAACCATCAACGGAGTCGGGCAGTGGGGATCTACCAATGCCTCGTATGCGAACTATACTCTCGCACCAGGAAAGACGTACCGACTCCGTTTGGTCAACTCGGCGTCCTTCTCCGCAGTCAGATTTTCGGTCGACGACCATGTTTTAACGGTCATCGAAGCCGATGGCACCCCTATCGTCCCATACAATGTTACCGGACTCGACATCGAAGTCGCACAGAGATACTCTGTCCTTTTAACGACGAACAGAGCCCCTGGCGCCTACTGGATGCGATCACTGGTCTCACAAGACTCCTACACGGTGAGTTGCGATGAACTGCGAAGAATCATCTCAGGCTTGCTTCTCAGCGCTGATAGCAACTTCCCATCTGCACCTGACAGTACGTTCAACCCGACGGTCAATACAATCAGCTCGCAGTAATTCGCTATGGTACGGCGGACGATGCGCTGCCCAACTCCGCTTTAGTCAACCTCGATCCCGGATCCGGTACGAATTCGACCTCGGACATGGACGTCACTTCTCTGGTGCCTGCGGTATATGTGACCGCTCCCAATGCTACGATCAGCTATCTCGTCAGCGTTTCGATGCAAGAGACGCCGAGCGGTGTCTGGCGATCGTTCGTCAACTCGACTTCTTGGTCACCTTTGCAAGGCCAAGCGAGCATGTTCTCCGGTCTTGGCTTCACGACCACCGGCGCCAAAACCTACAATGACTCGCAGCTCATCGTCACCGTTCCAGAGTTGGGAACGGGTTCGAAGCAGCTGCCACAGGTCGTTGACATCATCATCAACAACTACGACGACGGCGATCACCCCTTTCACCTCCACGGCAACAAGTTTTGGATCGTCGGATCCGGCAACGGCCGGTACCAGAATCAAACCTTGAACAACGCCAACCCGCTTTACCGCGATACGACTCTTTTGAGCGCGTACACTTGGACGGTCCTTCGTTTCGTGGCAGACAATCCTGGAATGTGGATATTCCATTGTCATCTGTCGTGGCATATGGCCGCAGGACTGGCTATGCAATGGCTCGTTCAACCCAGCCAGATCCCGAGCCCTCCCCAAGTCATGCTCGATCAATGCGCAACGATGAGTGGTCTTGCTTCCGCAGGCAGCGCCTAGCAGTTGACACGTCAGTAAAAATTTTGGCCCCGTATTCAGTATGTAATGAATTGGCGATGTGTAGCGTATGCATCGGTGGTTTCCTCACGAGTCAGGCTAAAGGAGCTTGGGAGACTCGCCACCGGTACATCCTCGAATGATCCCGACTGTCGCCAAATTCAAACGAAAAATCTGACTGACGCAAACAGTCAACGCTGGATCTCATTCCGAGAAGAAGAATATCCCAAGTATAAGTATACACTTTCACATCGGCTCCCTCATCAACCTCTATTGTTTCTTCCTCTCCTCTGCCGACACTTCCTTCACCCCCTCCCCTTTCGCGGCCTTCGCCTCCACCTCCTTCTTCTCCTCCAACAACCTCTTGGCTTCGTCCTCGGTCAATTTTTGACCGTACTCGTTCGCTCGGGTCGGGTCTACGCGGTAGATGTACATTTGGTACTACGGCGATTTCAGAAAAGGGGTGCGTGGTGCGTGTCAGTACAACACGAACGAAAGGCGCGAGGAGAGAGAGAGAGCACGGATCATAAGATTTGCTTGACTTTCGAACTTACGAGGAGGACGAGGAAGACGACGTCATCTCGGAAGACGGCGAGGCGGTGAAACTGAAGGGGTGCAGAGTCGATCGGGTGGTGAGCATTGAAGTCAAGCGTCCTCGTCCGCGCTTGCTCGGACTCACCAAAGGTTGTTTAACGACGAAAGCTGCCAAATCATCAATGATCGTCCCGAAGAACTTGTACGCCATCGACTTCATCGGTAGATGCGCCACACTCTTCAATTTGTAATTGATGATCAACTGCGGCACCAATTGCACGAACCCGAACGCATAGACGAACGATACGGCGGTGGTGATGCAGAACGAGTACCATCCTTTATGTTCGTTGTAGTAGAGCGAGTAAAGCGTGTACGCGATGAGGCAAGGTACAGTCGCGTAACCTACAATGCGGAATGCGAGGCGATCGTATTCCTGTGTGCGCTTCTCCTCCTCCGAGAGAACGTGCTTGTCCTTGATGAGGAGTTTGTAAGGCAAGACGCCACCGGCGGTTTGGGGCACGACAGAGATGTCGACGGCTTTGGTGATCTTCCACGCTTCGACCGCCAGACCCAAGCCTTGAGTCAACAGGATAACATTTGAGGTATCCTCGTTGTGGTCCATCAGATAAAGGAGGATGATCAGTTGCACGACGACGTTGGTGATGATGGTGTTGACCGAAGCGCCGACGAGATCCTTCTTGGAGCGCCAGTGCTTGACGTCCGAAGTGAAGGCGAGGAACTCGAAGACCATGTGTAGGATCGAGCACACGATCGTCGCGATCAGCATGTAAGGGTTGCCCTCGACTGCAAACGAAACATCGAAACATCGTACTGTTAGACGCTCTGTTGTTATGATCATCCTAACAGCTCGAGTTGTCACTTGCCAAAGATTCTCTTGATGACATCAAACGCATCACCGGTCCCCGGCGCGGCAGATTGACTCGATTTGGCCATCGAGTCTTCCAGCGTGGCAAAGATAGTCCACTTGAAGTGACTGATCGGCTTGAGTTCGATACGGATAGGGAGGCGACTGAGCAAAGCGAAAGACGGAAGAAAGTCAACATTGATCTGTCCGTCTCGCAGAAATACTTTCCGTCCATCTCAGTCACTAACCTCGTCGATTCATTGATCGGCTGCATATGTTCCTTCATTAACCAAAAATCGTTCGCCCACAGGACAGGGTACATGTACCCATTCCCCGCCTCATCCTTGCTCTCCCCAGCCTTTCTAACGTGCACCTTCAAGGGATCGGGTAGGCTCGTGTACGAGACGTTGCCCGATCCCGTGACGAGCTCCAAAGTAACGTTGGGGTGGTAGTAGGAGACGATGGGTTTGACCTCGTTCTTTTCGCGTTCAATTTCGATCGCTTCGATCGCCAATTCCTCTTCGGTCGGTTTAGAGGATCCGATCAATTTTTTGGCGTGGCGCACTTTGCGAAGCGGCATGTAGCGCGTGAGGACTGAGAGAGATCGAATTCGAAATAAGTTATCTGATTGGTAGCTGATCGATCTCTCCTCTCTCGGATCTGTCCATGGAGAAAACTTACGTTTCCGAACATGCAACCTCTGCTCTTGATCGATACTCGCATCGGCCCGAGTGACGAACACATCCAAATAAAGCGAAGCGTTGTGTTGAACACTCTACTCGAACACTCGCCATCCAATCAGTAGCGCGCATCAGACAGCTTGCGAATGAGCTTGGGTCCTGGAACGTACCTTGGGCACTTCGAACTCTGCCTCAAAGACCTTGGTCTCCCATCCTGAAGCGTACGGGATTCGGTCCCATTTGACCTCGGGTAAAACTGCTCCATCGGTCGATGCATCACCGTCGAGAGAGGTTGATAACCGAGCGATGACGTCCTATAGGAAGAGCAAGAGAACGAGAGAGAGAGAGAGAGAGAGAGAGAGAGAGAGAGAGAGAGCTGAGCCTACACCCTCGCCGAGCAGTCTTGAATCTGCGCCACGTCCGAAGAACCAACTGACGAGCAAAGAGCCTTCCTCCCAAACCGCTACCAACGTCTCCAAAGGTCGTCCTACACCGACCCCGGCACCTTTCGTCGTCGAAGTGACGGTGCGTTGATCCCCAACTGTAACGGGATTGGACCGAGCACCACCTCCGGGCACCAAGGAAGGTGCGCCTCCGGAGGCTGGAGGTACCAAGGCTTTGATCCCGTTCGCGCTGGCATGTTGACTTGTTCCGGGAAGGTATCGTACTGTCATCATCAGGGGATGAAGCCCGAACGAGGCATCAGCATCCCTCCCTTCCGTTTCCCCCCCGTGCCCAGAGACGAGCCAGCCTTGCGGAGGTGTTACTCACGACCCCAATTCACGACGATGTAGACCATATAAGCCTGCGCCAAAGACTTGACGATCGGATTATCAAAGAAACCGGTTGCTGGCGCTCGTTCTCGTCGTCTTGGACCGCCTGCTGGGGCTCCGACAGCACCTGCTGCTGCTGCTGCTGCTGCTGCTGCTGCTGCTGCTGCTCCTGCGCCGGCTGAGGCTGGAGCTCCACCTTCACCGCTCGCAGCGGGTGTGGATGAATCGGCCATCGCGGGTTTTGGGTGAGGGAGGTTGGGGTCGTGTGTTACGCTGTGCACTCTGGGGGGTGCTAGGCAAGTGGGGGAGAGGCGGGGGGTTTGGAAGGGGAAAGATAAGCCCCGGGCAGCCGGGCAGAAGACGTCGGAGATCGACCTCGTGGTAGCTCGTGGTGCAGCGTGGCGCTTCTTTCGGCGAGGGTGCGCGCGAATCTGCGCGAATGCAGTATACATGTGGCCGCCGGAATCCGAACCCTATCTACGATCAAACTCCTCGAAAGAAGAGGCTGGGTCATATAGAAACATTCCTAATTTTCTACAAACAAAGACGCTCTATCAATCAGGGTTACCGCCATCCTCGTCTCCTCTTGGGCCTGGCAAGCTTCTCAGACCGGGGCAGAGCTCCATCCTCAACTCTTCATCCATCAACCAAAACCCCCTTCCATCTACCTAAACCGACCCCTCAACAAAGCAAACCACATCAACCCCGCCACCACGCCGCCCACATGCCCCGCTGAATCGGTCGTACCGCCTCTCCTACCCAAAGCGCCGTACAAATCCCATCCCAAGATACCGGCCACGCAAGCCCAGGCGGGAACGGGCACGACGAAGAAGAGGAGGAAGGTCGTTCGAGGGTACGCCGCGGCGAAGAAGGATAGACAACCGTAGATGGCCCCTGAGGCACCGTGGGCCGAGTAGACGAGCGATTGCGATTGAGGAAGGGAGAGACGCGAGAAGAGGAGCGAGGTCAACGACGCGACGGCGCCCTACGAGTCAGTCGGACAGGGGGATTGGGGACTCAGAGTCAGTGGTAGAGTATATAGGGTAAGAGTCAACTACGGCCTTACGGAGAAGAGGTACAAGGAGAGGAATCCGGCGTTGCCGAGCATCATCATCACCGGGGGTCCCATAAAGTAGAGGCTGCGGAGACAGGATTTTCACGTGCGGTCAGGATTTTTCCAGCTGCACGATGGTTGACGACCTCGACGTACGAAAGAAGATTCATCAAGATATGCCCTGATGATCGAAAGGAAAAAGTGGTCAGTGTCTGGTCTGTCACCCGGTATCTGATCTGAGCCACGCACCTGTGCCCTCATGACTGAAACAACTGGTCAGCAAACACCATACCCTGCCCTGGGTGATGTTCCTCCAGCTTGTGGTGAAGTTGTTTTGCAAGTTCCTGAGCAAGGAAGGATCGCGGTACTGCTGGTAGACCTGATGGGCGAACTGCCACGCGAGGAAGACGGCGACGTTGAGCGCGATCAGGGCGTACAGGACCGTATTGGGCGAGAACGAGTTGAGCCGCGCCACGAGAGAGGACGAGCGTGGTTGTGAGCGGGGTGATTGCGAGGAAGGATAGTAGGAGCGTGGGCCGTGCGAGGTGCGGGACGAGTGCAGTAGCCGCCGGAGGATCGGGGACGAGGCATGTGGGGGTGACGTCGACGGGACGCACGGCGATGACGACGGCCGCTGGAACGCAGCCCGTAGTCCGGAAAATGCATTGGGTGAATTGAATGTTGATCCGGCTGCGATACGCGAGACGAAGCGTGCTGTACTGCTTGAGGGGGCGTAACGATGACGCTGGTCCTGGCCGATCGCGAGTGGAGCCCGGGTCGGAGGGCCACGGAACGCGAACGATGTAGCTTCTGTTCGACACGATGACCACATTTGGGGTGCGACAAGCAGCCTTCGAGACATCCTGGGCTTCGGTGACGTGAGCCAAAGCGGGTACGGCGGAGTCAAATCGAGGAGAGCGGCCAGAGGAAAGAAGAGGAAAGACCGAGGAAAGACCGAGGAAAGAGGGAGAAGGTGAGAGAACCGGAGGAAGCTCCGCGCATCGACGATCTTCGACGAGGGACGCTGATGGAGCTGTTCCTCTGGTTGTCTCTCGTTGGCTCGCCCGTGCTCGTGCCGTTCTCTTCCCCACCTCTCACCCCATACGCCCACCTAATCAGACGCTGTATGTTCCGGGATGGCTACCCCGTCCCTCGCCCCGGTCGCTGAAACCTCCGCTCCACCCCCGCCGAGCTCGTGCCTGCGCTCGCCCACTCCGACCCCCACCTCGACCCCGCTCAAGCTTGCAACATCCCCCTTGGCCCAAGACCCGACCTCCACCACCTCCCCTTCCCCCATGCCCCGCCACATCTCCCCTCCCCCAGTCCAGACCGAGGAACCGCCCGTGCGAGTCTCGGTTCGTCAGGTCCGGCCTTCGGGGAGGGTGCTCATCCCTCCGCCCAATTTCGGCATGGTCGAGGATTCGCTCTATAGATCAGGTCCGTCATCGAATCAATCGATATGGGGAGGATCCGATGTTGGTCCAACTAAGCTAGACTTTTTGCCGCCTCAGGTCAACCCTCGGAACTGAATTTTCCTTTTTTGGAGAAACTCGCGCTCAAGTCCATCATTTGGTTGGCGCCCGAGGATCCGAATCCGAGATTGCAAGTACACCGACACCGAAATCTACAATATCTGGCCAGCTAAACAGTAGTCCTTGCATCCCCCACAGCCTCACCTTCCTCGATGACCAAGGCATCAAGCTGTATCACCTCGGCGTAGAGAACGCGGTCAATTACGACCCCATCACCGAAGAAGTCGTCCTCCAAGCGCTCGACCTCGTTCTCAATCCCGCAAACGCCCCCTTGATGGTCATGTGCAACTTGGGCAGGCATAGGACCGGAACGGTCAGTCTGATGTTTTGCTTGATCCGAGCTTGGGCAGAGCTCAACCGAGCTGATTCTCCGGATGGCTGGGCTGGGATAGGTCGTGGGGATTTTCAGGAAGCTGCAAAGGTGGAATCTGGCTAGTATATTGGAAGAGTATCGAAGGTGAGTCGTTGTGTGCTATCTTTGTCTCGCAGAGAACGAGTCCGCTCACTATGTCGACCTCTATCCTAGATTTGCGGGTCCCAAAGTCCGCGTTCTGAACGAGCAGGTGAGGCCAATATCTTTCTTCTAGATTGGGGTGGCCAGCCAAGCTGACCATTGCTTCTCGCCATGGCATCACTCCCCCACCTTCCCTCAGTTTATCGAGTTATTCGTAAGCTAATTGAAGCGGTCTCAAAAGCATCATATCATTGACCGTTCGTTCTCTCCCTGTGCAGGACGGCGATCTCGTTTCGGTCCCTTTGCCGCCTTGAGCAGGAGCGAACTCGTTCAGCAGTGAATGACGAGAGTGAATCGGCTCGGGTAGATTGGTCCATCATCATGCTTGTTGTAATTGTACGTTCCCCACCACTTCGTGCGCTTCCACTCGACGCGGCCTATTCGGAGATCGTGGTTACATGGCCCGCTCTAGCGGGCTAGCATGGCCGAAATGAGAAGAATGTGACGTAACGCGCCTTTACACATAAACATGGACATATTGGATCGACCACTTGGTACTGTTCAGGAACGCTTTTGTGAGTTGGCAGATCGTCTGTTCTTCTCCACTGAATCCAGAAAAGGGGTTTGGGTGATTCCGCTGATCATCTCTGCTTGCCGAGTTACCAACACCTCAAAATGGCCCTGAAATTAACTCGGAGGGCAACCCGGCCAGACCCGAGGCTAAGTCCCGAGAGAGAGGCGCTTGGTTGAGCTTAAGAGCATTCCCCGACCGCGACGGGCCTCACGGGGTGGTGGCGGAACCAGCGGCCGTGCGAGTTAGGGGGCAACGCCCCGTCACCGCTTTGGGAAAGGAGAGGTCCCGTTCGGGTTCGGCTCGTCCGATGTACGGGTCGCAACCGTTCAGTCTCTTGCGGCGTGCATCCATCCACCTTTAAACTAAGTCTACTTGACTTCACAATTTGCGTGGCAGTCCGGATCTCAACGCGTACTGCGCCTTTGTCTGGGCACGGTGTTCGTCTTGCGTTCGTGAGACCTCCTCGTCACAGTCCGAGACATTGACTCCCAAGAGCGTGGCGTTCGGCCCGTCGGATCAGCCTGGATCGGTCACTTAACAGCTGGAAATTCATCATCAAACCGACTTCCCCAGTCTAGTATGACCCAGTCATACCCTCCGTCAGCGTCAGCACCCCCAACACCATCGTCATCATCACTGCCGCCACCACCACGACCGGCTACGACAGCTTCCTCAGCCTCAACACCGAGTTCAAGTTCCGGTAATGCTCGTTCGACGACCTCGCTCGAAGCCGAAGAGCTACACATCCTCATGAACAACCCAGAGTGGGAAGATGAATTACAACTCTTGACTTACCAGACCTTGACCGCACCCGAATCGCTCATCAACTGCTTCCGTTCGGCACGTCGCTTGACACCGATCCTTTGGGCTCATCCTATAAAGACGTACTTTGGGGTGTGTTTGCTCGCGTTCTGCTTTGCGGTCTTCGTTCGTTGGTTGGGGGGAGGTTGGAACGGCTCGAATCACCTAGGGCATGGGGTGGTTTCTGCCAGTACGCCGCGGTGGCAGAGGTGGGTGTAACGCCGACACCGATCTCAGTTCGGCCAGTGCCAGTGTGTCGGCAGCGTTTCAGGGGGGCGTGTGCGGCTCCGAGGTCCAACTTTTGATGGGTCAGTTGAGGCGTATAATTGTTTTGAGCAACACTAATCGTTATGTTCTTTTAGGGCCTGTCAGGTTAGAAAGAGGGGAGGAAATCATGGGCACGTGGACGCCTTAGACTGCCGAGGTAGACAAGAGAGGTTGACACACTGGTTTCTTCAGATGATCGTATTAGACTGTAACTCCGTTTCGACTATAGTGGAAGATAGATAAAACTCAAGTGTAATCGTTTCCGAGGCAAAAGTGCTTTGAAACGTGAGTAAATTCAATCGTGTGGCAAACTCGTTTGCGCTGACCGCAAGATATCCACAAAACCCTTCATCACGGGAGACAGTTTGTGAATGAAGCAAAAATTTGACCGTCGTCGATAGCAAAACGCGTCGACGGCACACTTGAGGCCTGAAAAGGACGGCAACCCCTTGCAGAGCCACGCTCAGCAGCCCGACGTCGGTCATTCTACGATTTGCCATGTTTCACAAATGGGCTACTTCCAGCGCGCCGCAGCCTCGCAAATTGCTCATTAGCCTCTGCCAACGGCCAGGCGACGAGGGTGGTGGCGCGCGCCTAATACGTGCGCGTGACGTCCATTCAAAAGCGGGCTGGCACACCGGGCGTTTCTGATTCGAACCTGACCCGACGAGCCAAACATGCGCCCGTCGCATCTGCGCAATCGATCCAAAGATTCCATGTCGAAGCATTGGGACCTACAGCAAGACTCGACGACAATACACCTCGGTGAACACCACCCAGCTGGAGTCGATGATACTCCCTCGACGTTCCGTCACGTCCGCTTGTTCAATATGGCTTCGTCCCCACCGTCGTCCTCGTCCCCGCCTCGTGGGGCGCGGTCTCCGGCCTGGGCATTCACGACACCCTCACCGTGGCTAGGCAAAGATGCGGGTGCGGTGGTGAACATGTTGCATCGGAGGTCGGCATCGATGGCGATCGCGAGCAAGTCGACTTCAAGGAGGGCCAAGACCTGGCTCGCTTTGGCGATGGTTGTGGGGTTGTGCATCTGGTCACGCTCTTTTGACGCGCCCGCGACGTTCGGCACATTCTCGTCGCCCGCACCCGAAGCCGCGTTCGAGGCGTCCTCCTCCCCCTCGGCGACCGCTGCTTTCACACCACCCGTGGTATCCGTTGAGGAAAGACCAACACCGTCCTACGTTCCCATCGAAGAAGAATTACCATCCGTTGACCAGGCACTCCGGCCCGAGGCCTCGATCTTGCCCAAGCTCCCTTCACACAACCAACAAGCCCCTTCGCCGCCGTCCTCGCATGCCCCTCCGCCCACCGACGAGATCGCTGACGAGAGCACCGATGAAAGCGCCGATGAAAGCGTCGACGCGGATACGAACACCGACATCGACACGAGTGCCGACACTCCCCCAACCCCGTCAGAACAACTCGAACAAGATCCACCAGCCATTGATGACTCTATCAAGCTCGTCGATCGTCCCGCCGTTACCGTCAGTCAGGCTACGCCTTGGGTCCTCGAGGATTCCACCGAGAGGTTGCCCCGCTGCCGCAAGATCCTCTTGTTCCAGTTCACGCCTTGGTGGGGTTTCGCTTCGGAATGGCTTCTGTATTTGAGAGCCGCGTCGTTGGCCGATGAGCTTGGGTATACACTGGTGGAAGATGATCGAGCGTGGTAAGTCCCCAAGTTTTTTGGCGCACTGAGTTTGTGGCTTCCCCGGGTGACCTTTCTCGGCAATGGGCTGCTAATGCTGCAGCATCTACTCTCATAGGAACTATGGTCGTCTTTCCAACTACTTCTCGCCACGCAAGCTCAACTGCGCCCCTCCAAGGGACTGGGCCGATGCGCAGCTCGCGACCGAGATTGGCCTCCCCGGTTGGAAGAAAGAACCCCGCCTTGTGTGGTCTCGCTTACGGATTCAACAGATGGACGACTGGACACGCGAGACCTACCTCGACCCAGTCGTGATGCAGAAACTTCACGACACGAACGTGGCTTTTGCTCGCAATCGGTCGCGCAACATCCTCGCTGAAGGGGACACGATGCCTCAAGGGCTTGAAGAAGTTTTCAAGGACCATGTCAAGGCGGCGAGGTTCTTGTGGAAGCCGATAGACTCCATCAACACCGAGATCGAAGCGGCAAGGACTGAACTCAAGATGGGACCGCAACATATCACGGTGGCGACTCACATTCGACTGGGCGACAAAGGTCCCGAGTACGAACTCGAGGCCAAGGCGATGGGCATTACGAACAAGTTCGGCAACTTGACCGTCTACCTTCAAGCTGCTCATGAAGCGATGGTAAGGATTTTACCGGGCGGAACGCCTTACACCGAAGAGGTTCCGGTCCCGAACGGCCTCAATCTCAACTCGGCTCGATCACCATCACTCGTCGTCATGACCGCCGAAGCGAACGTCATTTCCCGCTTGGCGATAGACCCTTTGCTCAGACCGTTCACACTGGCTCAACCGCCCGCCCCTGGGATTGCGAGTCTCAAGCATGTGGCAAATCCCAAGCCTCAGCCAAGCAAGCACCCGGTCGACATCCTGGAATGGGTTAAGGACACTCAGGCCAATGCGCTAACGACGTACGAAAAGCGTGCCAGTATCAGGGAAGACGAAGAGGACGCAGCGCCATCAACGCCCACGCCCACGCCCACGCCCACGCCCACGCCCACGCCCACGCCCCAGGAGGAGAAGAAAAAGCCGAGGCCCGGTCTCGCCAGTGGGTTTAGTCAGCTAGATTTCAACCGTCTCCCCATGCTCGAACGAGTGCTCCACACGCGAACCTTCATCCGCGATCTCACCCTTTTTTCGCGTGACTCGGACGCCTTTATCGTCTCCGGCTCGTCCAATATTGGTCGTTTGGCGATGTTGATAGGCGGTTATGAGGCCACAGTTGGACCGAAGAATGAGGAAGGCCGTAGCCTGGGTGGTCGAATTCGATCGATCGATGCGCACTGGTTCCCTACTGCTTATTCGGAAGCGTTGTACCACACCGTCATGGATCAACCTCAAACTGTAGCCGTACCTGTGATACCTTTATCCGATCGGAGGAAAGGCAAAGGCAGGCTTGCCAAGGACAAGCCGTCGTCTTCCATGACCAAGGGAAGTTCCCCCTCTGCCCTGCCCAAAGGCAGCTCGCTTTCCTCGTTTTCCTCCGTACGCAAAGGCAGCTCGCCGCCTTCCACGTCCGAGGACGGCCCGCAATGAGCGAGCATGTATCGGGCATTGTTCACATGTTTCTGTACATTCTCAGTACCTTCGACTCAGTGTTGTAATTGCTCCTTCCTCCTTCTTGCTCTGGTGCTGCTTGCCTTCACCTGTCTTACGCGAGGGCCTCAGTCACAAATTGTGACTGCTCTGCACTTCGTGCTCTGTGTTTCGCTGATAGGCGAAACGAGACGATAGGAGAGAAATACTCACGAACGCAAGTAAGCTCGACCTGGGGTTCGTCCTGGGCGAACAAGGCGCTCAGCTTGGGCCGCTCCTGTTTCCGCAAACGCCTTGTGCATCAAGCTGACCTCAGCTTGGGATGACGTCAACGGCGGTGCGCAGTACTCGATTAGGCCTCGCATCCGATACGAGACGAAACGGCCCGGTCCATTCATCCCATCTGCGTTGCTCTCCATCTTCTTGCGATAGCATCTGCTTCGCGTGGAGTTGCCCCTGACGCGATGGACTCCCGAGAAGTTCGAATTGGACTTGCTTCGCTTGTACCTCAACATCCCTTAGCTCGTCCTCGACTATTTCGCCGTCTGGCCGGTCGGTATCGGCGCCTTTTTCCTCATCATCGGGCTCTCCAACTTGAGCTTGCAGGTCGTCGCCTACTCCGATCCCGCTCTACGTGAAGCTTCGACGACTACCCGGGATATCCAAATCGTTGAGATTGGCTCCCTTCGAACCTCGCGAATACCCGTCAATTTTCCAGATGCGGTTAGCTTGTAAGCCTTCTCCAACTACTGGCACCAACTCTTAGGCAACCTTTCCGAGTCCTAGCTCTCCACACCGCCATTCGGGTCATGACACGGGTCGTAGGCAAGAATTTTCCCCGAGCGATGGGCTTGTTCGCATCGTTGCCTTGCCTTGTCGGCAGTGGCTGAACGAAGACTACATGACTCCAGCGGATGCGACGTCCTGGACCCGTTACAGTTTCTAGATTTAGTTACCCTTACCAGCAGCCGCTTTTATCGCCGAGAAGATATTTACCAAACGGGCAGGAAGGAAGGTTCGAGGGTGAGAGGGCGTGCTCAGGCTGGACGGTGTTGTTCAGCATCCTTTAAGGCGCGTTGAGGCTCGGAGCAGCCTCTGTACTGTAAGGCATGTTTTCGTAGCAGGTGTTTTATTGGAAAACACCATCAAGTATATGTTGTACACAAAAGCTTGACCCTTGAGTTTTAGATCACATACGGGGTGGATTGATGGCCAGGGGAACTCAGACATGTTTCAGGTGCACGGGTGCCGGCCCCTGTCCTCCCCTGTCCACATAGCTCAATCGAGGTGGTCCGTGAAGGTCGACGCTGCGAATCTCCTGCGCCAACCTGCAACTCAGCTTCCTTTGACCGTTGGGCAAAACCTATACACCATCGATCCACACTTCGATGCGAGCCCGTGTCACCCTTCCCCTCTGCCACATTCTCCTCTCCTGTTGTGCGAGTGCGACCCCGTCGTGGGAGCCTCCCCTCACCTATCAGATTCCGCCACCCGAACGTATCGCCGAACTCGCGCAACCCTACCTCATCAACCCGGAGGACTACTCCAAGACGGTCTACTATCGTCACGGACCTCGGGACGATGTGTCGAGCTACGTCATGTACGCATTTCAGAGCATGACGGACACGGCGAAATGGGCTAGTGCGGTTCGTGCCTCCCACCTTTTCTCGTAACCCTGAATACTTCATGTAAGGTTTCATAACGATGTATCAACATTCTTGACTTTTTCAGGTGGTTCGACATACTTACGGCCACCCTAAAAAGGATTCGAACTTCGAGCCTACGACGACGGACATCGCCCTGTCGCTGGAACACATGGTTCCTACTCTTAAACCCGAGGGAGAAGGACAACGTTCCGAGGTCGAATACGTCAAGAACCGAAACTTTTACCAGAAGGTGTTCTTGTGGAATCAACCCAGAAGCGCAGTAAGTGGTCCCAGTGATTGCTGTGATGTCGAACTATGTTGCGTCTCATCGCCGGTTTCTGAACGATCCTCTCAGGTCCTCGGTCTCGAGGAGAAATTGCAATTGGGGACTTTGATCGAATTGGGCCAAATTGACCGGACAACTCAACCTGTTCTGTAAGTCTCCGAACCCCCCCCTAGCGACTTGACTGTAAGGATGAGCTTTGATCATGTTGAAGGCGCCTGATCAGGCGAGAATATTCGGAAGACATGGCTCAAGAATTGGGGGAGGGCTGTCCGTAAGTATTGAAAGACTATCACTCGAACCGAAATCTGGATGACCGACTTCCTACACCGTCTTATAATTCCGAAAGAGTGTCGGATGCCATGTTCGAGCGGCACATGAGGGGCGCACAGACGTATCAGTGAAGGCGTGGAATGAACGATTACAAAAGATAATTCTGCAGTGGCACTGAACGACGAATCTGCGAGTTGACCTAATATGGAAGAACCAAAGGAAAACAGGGGGGTACAGTTGATGTACGACAAGATGAGTATGCGCGCAAAAGGGAAAAGTTGAATAAAGGTGAGACGCCATCGGGAGAGAACCCGCTGAAAGGCCTATCTCAATATTGCGATGCGATAGTGAAGAGAGAAGGGGAATGATTAATCTCTAGGAGCGAGTACGGGGCGATGGGGTCATGTCGCTCTGTGTGATCGGATCAAGGACAAGAACTCGGCCCTCGTCTTGTCAGATCTTCGAAACGCGCCTAGCATCGCCGAGGTAATTGTCGCCGCCCCAGGCTTTTGGACACCCCTCATCGTCATACATTGATGTCTATGAGAAAGAAGCAAGAGATTGTTTTCAGCTATGTGATCATTCCGCTCCGGTTCGGGCGGAAGATGTGAGGTGGGCCTCCACTTACGTCGCTTCGATCACAACTGCGACACCCATCGGCCTGATCGCTTCATCAATAGCCATGGCGATCTGCTTCGTCAGCCGCTCTTGCACTTGAAGCCTTCTCGAGAAGGTCTCGGCGATTCGAGCCAGCTTCGAGAGACCTAGAACGAACTTGTTGGGGATGTAGCCGATCGAGACCTGAGCAGAGGACGGGACCAGTCAGCGACCGAAATCTGCCGTGACTGTCAGCTTCTGATCTTACTTTGCCAACAAAAGGGACCATGTGGTGCTCGCAGAGGGAGTAGACGTCGATGTCTCGCACGATGACCATTTCTTCGTGATCCTCGGCGAAGATCGCATTTCCGATCACGTCTGAGCACAAAAAAAAGGGGGCACGACTCTGATCAGGCTAACGAGTATCTTTGATACGAGCCAGATTCGAGGTATCGACTCACCGGGGAGTCGTTCGGCATAGCCTTTGGTCATCCACAGGAGTGCTTTGGCGTACCGCTCAGGGGTCTTTTTCAGCCCCTCCCGGTCGGGATCCTCGCCGATGCACTCGAGCAAGGTCCTGACGGCGTCAGCGAGTTTCTGCTCCCTTGCCAGTGTCTCGGCGGGTGTTGAGTTGATGCGAGCCAGTGTGCCTTTGCCTGGAGTAGTCGAGGAGTACCCCGTAAGAGAGCCCCACGTGCGACAGATTTTGAACGAATGCAAGGTATGGATTCCGAGGCAGGCGTGAGGCTGTGAGTCACGTTCCGAAATTCGAAAAAGTGTATTGAGTTCACTGACCTGGCCATCCAAGACCATTAGTGTCGGGAATCGGACTGCCGACCCTGGACCCGACGAACGGCTCGAACGACGCCCCGCCGCCTACAGCTCCAGCAGCCGAAGATGACCTGCCTCCAAGATGGGTCTGATGCATCTGATCAATGAGCGCCTGCTGCCGATACCGCTCGAGCTCGGCCATCTCCTCTTGCTCTTGCGGAGACGACGACATGAGCGACGACGGCGACGACGACACTTGCGCCGACAGCGGAGAAGGGCGATGCACGGTTGAGGACGAGGGAGCTACTGCTTGGAGCGAGGACGATCCAATCGGTGTTGGGCTGGCCATGGTTACAGTATTGAGCTGAATGGTGGTGGGTCGCCACGGGAAACGTTCAAGCACAAGGAGCCCTCCTCGAGCTCGACTTAGACGCGATGATCGTCGGGCTGGGTGCGAAGCAGTGCGAAGCGCGGAGACGGGGTGCCGTTGCCGTTGCGCGGCGGCTGGCTTATCCGAGTATTAGAACGAGCCTCAATTGATTATTAGCGGCCTGCCCTAGCCTCTGCCTGGGGTTCATGATCTTGTGAGACACCATCTTCAATTTTTGCAAAAGAAAAAGGCAGAGAGCTGGCGCACGGAACCTGGCGACCGGGAATAGACTACAACGAGACATTCGCTTCTGTCTCGTCGATCACTGCGACGATCTTGTGTCAACGCGGAAGGATTCGACTCGAACAGTTTGACCACAATTATGCGCTTCTCAGCGGAAACATGAAGGTGTCCGGCGGATGGCCAGCAGGTTCGCACCCCGGTCAAGCCCCCAAGCTTCTTATATTCATGTACGGTACTATCATGCACCTTCTCCTCGGCAACGGAATGTGGCTCTCCACAATCTGATGACGGGTCGCGGCTACACGCGCTCCGACAAATGTCGACGCTTGTCTCACTTCGAGGCAAATTGTTTGCGCCTATCACTTTGTACTTCGATGACGGGCTTGCTGCATCAAACAAGCAGGCTCTTTTGTGCTCCTCGGAGATTTCGGCTCTTAATATGGAGGATCGCTTCATCTCGTCTTCTAGTGCTCCGTTCTCCGACGTCCTCGTTTGCCACTCGGTTGCTGTGGGAACTCTTCAATACGCTGCGCAACATGTTCGTCCCGATATCGCGACTGCTGTTCTTGAGGTGGCGAATTACATGGCTGCTTCAAGCCCAAGAGACTGGATCTGGGTCAAACTAATATTTCGCAACCTTTCTGGCACCGTACCTTCAAATATGCCAGGCTTCTCTACCGTTCAACCAAATTCGACGTGGGCAGTGACACATCGTTTAATTGTGATCACAACAACGGCAGAAATGTGAGAGCGCATGCCGCCGTCATGGCTGGCGCTGCCCTCTTTTGGAAGTCGAGAAAGCAAGTAATGATCGGTTCCGCTACAGCACTGAGTCTCAAGGTGACGCCGTTACTTCGGCTGCAAAGGCCGGCCCGGGGTGGACGCTATTCAACCTGGCGTCCGAACGTGGCATCAATAAGGTCGATCAACCGTTCTCATGAGGACAACCAAACTTGCATCATTTTCTCGAATAATCCGGATTTTCGAGGTCGTACTCGCCACTGGAACATTCATCGTTTCTATCTTCGCGAACGATTCGAGGCAAGTTGGCGACAACAGTCTCCGCCACTGTCCGACCGATCTCAATACGGCCAACACATCGACAAAGCCCTTCTGAGCATCGGGATGGACTCGGAAAGGTATCGGTGACTACCTTGGCATGTGGTAGTTCTGTGCCTGTGGCATCTGCGCGTGGTGCGCACGTGTTTCGTCATCAGTCACTTTGGTATTGCAGTCTGATAAATTAGTCAGGCGCGCGGGGCATTCTTCCACCGCGACCGTTTACTCTCAGTAGCTTTCTCATCACTCGCTTTACATTGTGGTCCTGATTTTCGACATCGCTGCCTCTCTCCTCTCGGAAGATTACTTTTCTTCCCTCTTTTTTCTTTTTCTTCTTCTTTTCTTTTTTTCTCTCTCTCTCTCCTTTTTAAAATATATATATTTCAATAGCAGTATAAGTATATACTAGGTATATTATACTTCTGCGCTTGCACTATTGCTGGGGTACTAGTAAGTTATAAGTCACGAGCTCACAAGGATGACTCGATGGCAAAGGAAAAAACCGTGGAAGCGACGTCGATAGTATTGGTTTGAGCGGGCATGTCCGTCAGCACTAAAGCCGTACTAATATTTACAAGAAGGAGGAGGAGGTCACAAGAATGACGCGATGGCGAGGGAAAGAACGGTGGAAGCGACGCCGATAGCATAAATTTGAGCGGGCATGACGGTCGGCATTACAGCCGTACTAAGATTAACAAGAAGTCGAAAATTGGCTCAAGTCTTTCTGCCAAGATGTAGCGCAAGCCCGAAGGTAGTGTAGTACTCACGAGCCACTCGTTGGTGGAGGGTTGTTGTTTGTGACCTTGACGGTTACGATGGCCACATTACCGTCGGTCTTGATATCGTGGTTGATACCCGCACTCGAGTTCGCGGGAAGGAAAGGTAGCAGTTGACTCGTTGCCGAAAAGGTAAATTTTGTCGCGGGCGAAAGCGTTCCGTTGCTCGCCGTTGCGTTGCCTACGAATTCGTCCCGACCACGATCGTATCCGTTGGGGACGATCATGTGGTGCTCTGCAAGCGACATTTCGACCGAGGCGGCGAGGAACCAAGCACTGGAGTTTGCATTGGGCCCGTTCTGTAGCCAGTAGCGAAAATGCGAGCCACCGAAGAGGGTCTCGTTCAGGGTGCCAAAAACGGGGACAGAGTAATCGAATCGAAGCAGATCAATCTGTTCCCCTATTCGTACCCAGAATATGAGTGTATTAGCACAGGCGGGGAAGGAAAGAGGTCCCGGTTTCGGGAGCCCCTGGTTGACATCAACATGCACGACGTCCCAACGATCGCACGCACTTTGACCGTTTCCATCGCCGAGGTTGGCGCTTTGCTTCCCACCGAGTGTAATATCTCCGGGTTGCTTCGAGTATTGAATCGACAAGCACCAATCTTCAAAGCCGCTTTCGGTCATGATGTAAGGGTCCGAATTGGCGGAGACGACGATGTTGAGGGGTTCGCCGTAAGTGTGATTGCCGATGACGGTCGCGTTCTATATGCGGATCGATTGAGTATAAGGACTAAATTAGCGTTCTTGCTCACAGAGTGAATGAATGCCGAATGCTGATCAAGCAAAGCGCTCCCAAGTCCTGCGGGGGGGAAATGCGAAGCTCGGCCCGAGTTCGGACCCTCGCCGACAGTGTCTCCTCACGGGAACAGCTTGTGCGCCGCGTTCGGCGTTCGTAAAGTGCGTCCGGCACTGATAGGCTCCCAGGAGTTGGGTTTCATGGGCACAACTTTAGCAACTGCACTCACGGTCAACCAGCTGCCCCCACCATCGGTAGGATTGAAGAATCCCAATCCTTGGAAGCCCTTGGGTGCGCTATCACTGAGCGCGGTGTCGGGCCGAGGCGTGGCGTTGACTGATAGAGGGCTCGCGCTGAGCAGCGCTACAAGGGCCGAGAGGAGGGGTATCGCGCGGAAGCGGCTGTTCAGAGCCATGCCTTTGTCGACCATGATGTACTGATATAACTGATTGTTGTATATGAAGCTGGCTGAAGGAAGAAGAAGGAAGAAAGCGATCGAAGGGAGAAGGATCTAGCGCCATGCAGTGCAGTAGAGTGCAGTGCAGTGCTCGTTTCGGCATGTCTCCTGTCTACGCACTAAGACCCAGAGACCCGAAAGGGGATACCTGGCTTTGACAACAATAGACTACTGCGGTGCACACGGTTTCATGTAACGACAAAGGGCAGATACCAAGGAAAGAGGAACCCCACAATGCCGACACCTACACTGATGCGATATAATCGAATCGTGTGTCGGTCGGTTATTCCTTGCTCGAGGCTCGTCCGTACCGTTACTCGAGGTCCAAGCGCAGGAAGTCTGCCCGCCGCATCTTGAGATGATCAGTGAACCCACTCTTCAAACTTCCGGGCTCTTCTTCAAGCGAGGGGAAGGTGCAAGACGAGAGGGGAAGGTGGAACTCACACGCTTGCATGTCCTCGTACCGCCAATACATCTCGGTCCAGAGCCGGCCCGTGTTCCTATCCGCTCGCCCAAGTAATCGTGCGCCCCGCGTCCCTCGAGGTCGCCCATAAAGAAGGCCATGATTGGAATGAGGTCGGTATAGTCGACTTTGACAGGAACTTAGCTTCAAAGGAATGAAAGCAATTCAATCAGTACCCTGCCTTTCCGCAGAGGCAGGAGTCGAGACACTCACTGCAGCCACTGTCGGCGATGCACGGTCACGGACGAGAAAGCTACGGCCTGACTGCGTGGCAATCCAATCGGTGTCGGGTTGGCCATGGTTACATCATTGAGCTGGACAGTGGCGGGTGAGGGCCGTTACAGGAATTTTCAAGTACAAGGAGCCTTCTTCGAGCTTGAGCCGTTGCGAAGCGCCGAGATGAGTCCCGTTGAACCTGGCGTTGCGCGGCGACGGGCTCAACTTCATGCCAGAGAATGAGCATCGATTAGTTACTATATTTAGCGGCATGCCCTAGCCTCTGCCTGGGTTTCATGATCTTGTGAGACACCGACTTCAAATACTTGTGAAAGTAAGACGCAGCGAGCTGATGCACCGTTACTGGCGATTTGGGCACCGCATCGACTCCAAGATCGATGTCGGCTCGGAAAAGCTGCAACTTCATCAAGGTGAGCGAGCGTTCGCAATGGCCCGTCATGATCCCTACCCAAGAGACACTGATATCTATACTGTCTCTACTCACGCTCAAAGTCCACTCGATTGCGCTGGATGGACTTGCAGCGACGGATATTCACGGACACTCGCTGTTTGCCACTAACCAAAATGCGGAATGTAAGGCCCGAGCGGCCTCGCACGCACATGGTCAAGGACTGAATCTGGCCGAACTGACCGAATATCGGACCAATATTAGCCGGTTTCCCCCTTTTGTGTAGTTCAGTCTCGGTCCTCTCTCTCTCTCTTTAGGAACACATTCATTCGGAACCGATACCTGAAACAACAGTCAACAACTTAAAACTAGCTAGATAATACAAAAAGTTGTCCCAAGACAAAGACAAAGACTAACCACGTGGCGTGACGTCATAGGCAGCTCTCGGTCCAGGGCGTCTACCTACAGCTAGCGCTGTGTCAGCATGCGTTTCGCCTACGTTCGTCGAGGTTCCAACGTTCGCCGAGGTTCCATTGAATGGCACGTGACTCTCTGCTTCCCGAAGCAGACTGCGACGTCCTGTTTTGCGTGTCTTCCACATCGTATGGTAGTTCCTTCAATCATCCAGTCCTGCCACTGCCGAAAAGTCATCTGCAAGCTTTCCCGTCCCGTCTCCTGTACAATAATCTTCATGAAGAGCAGAGGGGCAGCAGAGCGGCAACTGTCGGCAACGTAAGCGAGCTGAGCGCGCCGCGCTCGCGCTCCTCCTCCTCCGCACAACCCGACTCCTCCCGACTCCCGCTCTAATCGCACAGACGCCGCCGCCAGCAACCCCGAACAATCGCCGAAGCTCAGCGGCAACGACGTCGCGCAAAATGGATCGTCAAGTCGATCTGCACAGGCAGCAGGCAGTCTCAATGTCGCCCGGCAAGTGCGACGGGCCCGCAATCCTTCACCTGCGGGCTTGAGATTCGTTCGTCCACGCTTTGAAGCAGTTTCAGACCTCTCTCGCGACGCGGGTTCAAGTACAGACGCAACTGCAACTTCAGCCACTACTGTCGTCGAAAAGGGCCTTTTTTTCCCGGCACGATCTTGGATCAATGACGTTGCAATGTCCGATCTGTTCGTCTCTGCTCTGGGAGTTCGAAAAATCACCGACCCCAGGCAGCGCCACACCGTTCACAAAATCTGTTGCGCGGACGACAAAGTTCGATTGCCCGGGATTGAAAAGCCAGCCCCCCTCCCCGAGCTGCTCGCGCTTCTGACTGGCGATGGCCCAGGTTAGTATACGTCGATTCGTTCAACTTGCTAGGTTAAGTACAGCGGACTAACGGCCTTGCTGACTATCCGTGAAACAGTTGAAAAGATCTTCCAGCCCTTCTATTCCTGGTTCCGACGAAACGCATAGAAGCCCGACGAGGATTCAATGGACCGCCTGAAAAAGTACGACGTCTAGACACAGCATACCAACAGATTGTTCGTCTCATTACGTCACTCTCCAAACAATAACAGCCGCGCAGTTCAGCGGCTTATCGACACTGGGCTTCACTCCACGTCGTTCCGCGGCCTTCCGCGACATTCTATGAACCCGGTTTGAACTGAGGCGCAGGCTTCTCCATCTTTCTCCCTCCTGCTCTTCACACCTTACCCATCGCACCTCATCCCATCGCCACTCATACAGAAGCCCCAACACAACCATCTTACAACATCGCAGATGGAAAACGAACAGCTCTGTCAGTCGATGACGTCGATCGACTTGCCGCAATGTACGCGAAACAACGCACGACCGTCTCTTCCCTGAAGGCCGACGGCCACGACATAGTCAAGTTACCCGAAGTCTAGGTAACTATGGTCACGCGGTCCTGGCCCACGACACGGCTCAAGTAGTTGTCACAATGCTTGGGAAGATCGTGTCGATTGATCGATCCCTCAACAGGGATGCCTCCCGTGTAGTAAGTAACGCGAACAGCAAAACGTTTAGGGGAGCAGCCCGTTGATTTACCTTCATGATGTCAACCAACCGCCCATTCAGCCTCAGAGATGCGGACAACGAACGGGTGGGCCGACCCGAACTGTGCTCGAGACAAATCGGCCTCGAGCTCGCGACACCCGAAGCGGTCGTTGTGGAAGCTCTGCAACGAATACGGGACCCCAGTTTTCTCAACAAATGGCTGCAGCATGCAGAATAGCTACGGATTCGAGTAAGTAGCTTTATGAACTGTGCTCTTGGTGTGGGATTGTTGAGGAGCTAATGGAAAACTACCAAGCAGCAATTCCCTTCAACACGTCCTCTTTGAATGACAACCCTCGAGTTGTTTTTCTTCACCATCAGCTGGTGACACTGCATGCGTGAGTTATGACTTGACATGCCTGTGCAGTCTTAGGCATGACGGAAACTGATATGAAAAACAGACATTGGACGTCAGTGACAGGAGGTGACCGCTCAAACGTTCTACAGCGCGGATTCGGTCGAAAACGAAGACGAACCACTGTTCTCGATCGAGTACCTTCAGAGTCTCAACATCGCCGGGATGGCGTTGCACGCTGCAAAATTCAAAGTGGGATGTCCCGTCATGCTCCTCAGAAACTTGGACCCCGCCGCGGGGCTGTGCAACGGCACAAGACTGTTGTCAACTCGGTTACACACCCGCGTGCTCGAGGCCATCATTCTCATAGGAAATTATGCTGGACAGCCAGTTTTGTTGCCACGGATCACGCTGAAGACAGGGTCATCAGCTGAGCTTCCGTTCACTCTGCATCGGACGCAGTTTCCGATTCGGCTGGCAATGGCTATGACGTTCAACAAGTTGCAAGGGCCGTCACTCGCGCAGGTAGGAGTGTGTCTGGAGACGCCCGTCTTTTCTCACGGCCAAGTTGTATGTCGCGTTGTCCCGAGCAACGAATATGGACGGTGTCAGGTTATCTCAAAGCTCCATAGTGAAGCTCCGCCAAATAGCAGATGAGGGATGTCGGGAGGCAGCCGTGAAAAGGTCCACACTCGACGCGGGTCTCGACGACGGTCTGAGCCCATCATGGGGCTCCCAGAGAACAAAAAAGTAGTTCAGTGATGGAATGAAGGCTCTGTACATTTGATCGTCTTGCAACGGGTCAACGGTTACGGTGGGAGGTGGCGCGCGGAGCGCGCCGCCGAACCTAGTTAGTCTTGGTTAATTCTTTATTCTGCGCGCGCGCCTATCTTTGTCTTTGCGTCTTTTTTTCCTTCTGGGTTTCTTCTCCACGCTATTCTTCATCTCACTCGTGTATCTCGGAGCTGAGTCGTGGAGTACCTCTTAGTCCTTGTTGTAATAGTACCCATCCATTACCTGCTCTGGTGACTGCCCGAGAAGACCGATAAACTTCGCTTAAGTCTCTGATCTTCTACTAAGACGACTTTGCATTCGATCGAACAAATGTTGGCAAGTGAGTGTGGATTGATCTAGTCTTTGGATTCCTAATTCTGGTCTCGAGGCCGACTTCAACATGACCGGAACATACGACTACAACATCTTTTTTGAGCTCGATCTACTTGGCTTCGTGATATCAGTCTCCCCTCCAACTACGTGTGCAAGATCGTCGGACCGGCCATGTTCCTCCCCATCCTGTCACTCCTTTTCGGCGTGTTTTCCCTGGCCATGGCCTTTGTCCAGACCTTCCCCGCTGCCAGTGTCGCGATGCGTTTCCTCAAGTTGGAGTGGCTAAGTAGGCTGCTTTCCAGATCAGTCCACCGAAGGATTGGAAGCTCTTGGGAGAGGTTGCTGAACGGATTCTTCATCTGATGGTATCGCGTACTATCTCTCGCGATGGTACCGCAAGGACTCATGGGCCGGGCTTCCGCCTGGCCATGCCAGTGTACGTCGTATGCACCCCTCTCGCGGGCGCGTGTGGAGGACTTCTCGCCTCGGGCTTGTTGCGAGTTCCGAGTTTTGGCCCGATCCATACATGGAGGATGAGTGAGTTTCAACACCGGCCGAGCACTCTCTTTAATCGCGTCGAGCTAATTCCGTGGTTGACGCCTTTCCGATAGTCTTCTTTGCGGTACGCCAACAAAAGACCTGGCTCAACAGAGCAGAGCCGTCGATGTACAAGCTGATGCGCTTTGGATGCGCTTTGTTTCGCCTGAGACTCGCAGGAAGGCCTCCTGACCATCATAATCGCTGCGGAATCTTTCTTCTTTCTCGCTGATCGACCCGAGACGGCCAAGGTCAGTGAACTTGTACCAGGCAACCATCAGCACGGTGGATACACAACTGATACCTACTCGGTCGGTCGTGCAGTGGTTGAGTGCGGAGGAAAAAGCGCTCTGCGCCGCTCGGACCAAGAGCGAAAACGTCGGGGCACTGGTCGTGGTCGATGAGCTAAAAAGCAGAGTCTTCTTCGAGGGGATGTTCAACTTGATACGTTGCGAAAGGACTCTCAACCCACGCTGGCCGAATGTCTCATATTTTTCACGAGCTGAAGCCGAGGAACGAAGTACGTAAGTACGAGAGCCGATGATGATAGTAAAGATCGTTCAAAGGTATTGCACATTAACTAACCTGAAGCCGAGGAACGAAGTACGTAAGTACGAGAGCCGATGATGATAGTAAAGATAGTTGGAGAAAGAAGATAAGCGCTAAGGGAGCGCGCGCGAGGCTGGCTCGAGACGCGCGGGGCGTCTAATATCAACAACTAGTAACTAATCATAATCGGGAATACCAGTGGGATGAAACAGCAATTTATTGACAATATTGTCGTCTTTTGGGGCTACAGCTTCAATTATCGGAGGATTCCTCTTCATGTTCGACAACCTCATCGTTCAAGGGCTCGGGTTTTATCTTCCTTCGATCGTCAAAGAGATCTTTCCCGAGATGTCGACCGTGGGTCATCAAATTCGAACGGTGCCACCTTATCTGGTGGGAGTTGCGACCGCGATCCTCTTGCCTTACCTTTCATGGAAGACAAAGAAGCGAGCGCTGTGGATGTCCTTGACGATTCCTGTGATGATCACCGGTGAGTGCCAGTGTGTATCATGATAGGAACAGTGCAAGATGGCGTCACTGAAGAGGAATTATTTGATGGGATAGGTTACGCACTCTTCGTCGTCAGCGACAACGCCTCAATCCGCTACGGCGCATGCTTCCTCATCGCCTCGGGCTGTTTCGCCCTCGTCAGCAGTTGCAACACGTGGTCCGCGATCAATACGACCTCCGATACAGCACGAGCAGAAGCGATTGCCATGACGGTACTTGGCGGTAACCTGGATGGTCTCTTATTGACATGGACGTATCTTCCTCAGTGAGTCCCAACATCAGCACCCGACTCCTTTGCCTCGCCGACCCGCCGCTGCTGATCACCGCTGCTCATCCAGCGTCGAACAACCGCACAGATACGTCCCTCATCAGCTCCCCGGCAATATCATGAATCTAGGCGCATCGTGCCTGCTGTTGATCTTCACCATCGTATCGTGGGGATGGCAACATCGCCAAAACGTCTCACGTGACAGGGGTCACATGGACCACGTTCTGGACGGGAAATTGCCGGAGGAGAACTCCAGGTTGGGCACGCGGCACCCCGGGTTCAGGTAACGACATTGATAGACCATCGTATCAGGTCTCACATCTGCAATACATCCGCATGGGTTTGAGGTCATATTGAAACAGGCTCGAGGCTGCGGTGGAGCATACCTCGAATGTGCTCAATCCACAGTGAGAGAAACAAGATGCAAGCTTGGTGATAAATTCAACAGTACGGGCCCAGCCTTCTATTCCAGATTCAAGTCACGAGGGTTTGTGCAGGTATGCATGTGGCTTGTATAGCATGCGCAAAGCTGTCTATGCTGGTCCACAGTCTCGGGACCGAGGTATGGCTTCCGCAATATAATATTCGACGGTACAACAGGGTCGCCAGCTCATAAGAGTAAGGCGAAGGCAATGGAAAGAACGGTGGAAGCGAAGATCAGAGTTTTGGCTTGGAGGGGCACGATATTCAGCATCGAGGTCGTACTGAGTTTACAAGAAGTTGGGAATCAGATCAAACTTTTCTGCCAGGGAACTCAGGAGCCGGAAGGTAGTACTCACGACCCGCTCTTGGCGCTGGCATTGACAGAGCCATTGCTTGTGACCTTGACGGTTAAGATGGCCACGTTACCGTCGGTCTCGATGTCGTGGTTAATATTTGCGCTCGAGTTGGCCGGAAGGAACTGAATCAGTTGACTCGTTGCCGAAAAGGTACGGTTCGTCGCAGGCGAAATCGTTCCGTTGCTCATCGTCGCATTCCCGACGACTTCGTCCCGGCCGAGGTCATAGCCATTGGGTTTGATGAGATGCCCCATCGCCGCGGGGTACTCGACCGAGGCAGCGACGAACCATGCTCCCGAGTCCGCGGTCGAGCCGTTCTGGTTCCAGATCCGTACGTGCGATCCACCGTTGACCGACTCTTGCAGGGTGCCGTAAATGGTATCGAAGTAGTTGTATCGCAGAAGCTGGCTTTGATTTTCTGTGCAAGTTAGAAGCCCAAGCATCGTCAGCTCACTGATGTATCTTAATGCGGGTATGGCCGGCTTCAGGTTTTCGCTCTTCGGACCTCCGAGCCAGCGAACATTGGCTTTTCAGAGCCACGACTTACGCCGCCCATTCCCATCGCCGAGATCGGCCTTCTGCTTGTTTCCGAGAGATACGTTGAGGAACTCGGTGCTATACTGAATCGAAAGAAACCAGTCGTTGAGGCCCGCCACGGTCATGATGAGGGGGTCCGAATGGGCCGAGACGACGACGTTGATCGGTTCACCCAACAATGTGCCATCCACAGCGTACTGGGATTGGAATCGGCGATGATAAAGTCAGTTTAGGTTTCGTGTTCCAAGCGTTGTTGCCCCTGCATGGGTGTATTTTTGGAGTCGGATCTCCCGCCGGTGCGAGGTCTGGGCGGGTAGAAGCTCGGCGATGGTTTTCGCAAGCTCGCTCGGGCGCGGCATGCGCGCCTGCGCGCCTGCGCAGTGGTGACGATGACGCACGATCGATACGGTGACCGGATATGGCAGATGCACACTCACCGTCAGCCATCTACCTCCTCCAGGCGTGACATTGTAGAATCCCAGATCTTGATAGGTCGTCGTCGTATTGGCGGTATCGGTCGTATTCGCCGTGCCGTTGGTCGTCGTACTCGTAGCATTCGAGATCACGGCGGCGTCGACAACGGTCACAGACACGATCGTCGCGAGTCCGAGCAGTAGCAGCGCCCAGCGACCAATGGCGGCGAGCAGTGCTGAGCCAGAATGACGGCGAGTTGGACACGCATCAATGGCTGCAAGCATTGGGGTTGGGTGCCGGTGACAAGGCTGTGTCGTGGGGGATGGCGTAGAGGCTTGGTCTGCAGTCGGAAGGCGGAGCGGTCGAGCTCGAATCGGCAGTGCGCTCAAGCTGCGGAGGCCCAAGCGCGCCAAGCCCAACTCGCCCGCCGAGACGACGCGCCTCTGCAGGATCGCAGGATGCGCCCCTGACGCAGCTACCACGGCGGGCTCAGAGCCGCGGGGCGGGTTCAGTTCAGCGCCCTACTAAGAGGATTTGGCGTTGAAACACACATGCTGTATACTAAGTCGACTTTGACTCAACTTCCGGGCTGGTAGCGTGGCGCACGTTGCATTCACGGTGCGAGGCGGCAGATCAAAAGAGAAAATATCCACAACGTTCCAATTGATATAGGCATAACATAAGGCCAGGAAGCAGAAGACGGAAGACAGTATGCAGAACTCTGAGCGGCAGAAATGTACAGACACGGACGAAGTTGCAAACATTGATCGAAAGGCAAATCTATGATCCGAACCTCCTATAGCTAGTAGTATGCCGCCCGTGGACCGCCCTTCTTCTTGGGCTTCTTGATGATGGGTTGTTCGTGAAGCTAACTCTTGCAAACGACCTTGACGGTCACGATGGCCCCTTTCCCAATCGTCTGGGCACCCTCGTCGAGATCGCGGCCGAAAACGGGCTCGAGGTGTTGCATCGATCGAGCCGACGCCGAGAAGTGCCGCCTCGCGGCCGGGGGCACGGTCCGCTTTGTTGCCGTTGCATTGCCCAAGAACCCGTTCCGGGCTTTATCGTATCCTCTCAGAACAGCTTCAAAATCAGTGGATTGCCTTTCACTGACCTCAGCTAGCAAGGGACGACGGGCACGAATTCGCCAACGAGCCATCTCGACGCCAGTACCGCAGCATGGCCCGCCGCGGAGCCTGCCGGTCTCTACGACGCCGAAGTCGGTGTCGTTATGGCTGTAATCAACCGTATATCTGAAGTTTAAAAACACACCACCTCCGTCAGCCTTTGAGGCTCGAACGGATTGGCATAGTATCCCTGGCGGCCGGTGACGGACCACGGCGGATTGTACTCAGTGCGGGCAGCTTTGTCGACACTTCGCTTAGGCAGTCTGTGGCCGTCGCCGAAGTGAATAACAGTCGTGACACCTCTCGTCGACAGTTTGGCAATACCCTGAAGCTGGATTGAAGAGCACCAGTTTTTGGATCCGGCTTCCGTCAAAAAGTTGAGGATCCGAATTGGGCGAGATGGACACATTTAGCGGTTCGCCCAAGGCTGGACCGGGGTCACCTTTGTCTCGCGACGTGTGCATGTAGGTACGAATGTCGAGAGAAAGGAAGCCGAGTTGGAATTCGGAGTCGACATTCGAAGTCAGCGCGGTAAAGTGGGGTTCAAAAGAGGCTCTTCTGTCGGTCACTTGCTGAGTCGGTTCGGCCCGAGGCAGATGACGAAGAGCCTATTAGAGGGGGTTGTGTGCACTATTGCGTACCCGCCGATGGACCCCACCCGACCGCTGTCATGATAGCCCTATCTCTCAGCAGTTACAGGCGTTCTGTTGCAGGTGGGGTACACTCAGAATCATACCAGCGGCCTCCCTCCTGCCTTACATCGTAGAAGCACAACCCTAAACCCTTTTTATATCATGGTGGTGCCTCGCAGGCTGGGGCTTCAAGCCCAAAATGGCCACGCGCGCGAACCCGCTTAAGGATTCGCCCGAGATTACGCGCGCTTAACAGCGCTTAACGGTGCATAAGATGTGCATAAGGACGCATACGCGCGCGGCTGAATTGGGCGAACCTCATAATCCGCGCATAGCCAGCGCTGCGATGACTCGCCCTGCTTAAGGATCGCTTAACGCGCGCTTAACGTTTGACCTCGCTTACACTTCGCATACGTAACTGCGAAGCCTGTACTTGCACACGAGCGGGCGGATTGCTTTCTTGACCCCAACAAGTTTCTGTGCTAAAATCCCATCAAAAGGCGCTTCACTTGATTTTATTCAATGAGGCTAAGGAGCATATATTCAGGAAGTAGTTGGTCCATATAACACCGTAATTTCTACAAAAATAACTTTCCAGCAAAATCTATGAGTCCGCCACTGGAGGCCGTCGAGCAGGCCGCAATGTGCCCTGCAATGCTTCACGTAATAGATTTATGGTGAAATGACGCCCAAGGTGACGAAAAACATGTTGATCCTGGGCGAGATTCACCACAAACACCCCATTCCATTGATCCATCACATTCCGAAAATCCAGGTCGGGTGCCAATTCCGCATGGCCTAACAACGGCTGAACAAATGCGGGGCGAGCCATCGACGTCGCAGTCAGGCCAACCGTTTCTGAGGTTCTTCTGTCGTCTGCGGCGTCGGCGAAAGAACTCTTGGCGAGAGCGCTGTTGTCTAAGAACTTGGAGGTGACTTCGTTCAGCAGCCGATGACGTGGGTAGTACGCGGTCGAGCGGTCGGGGCCTTTCGTGAACGTGCAAATGTGCTTCGAGATTGCGCACATGGTGGAATGATCCCTGACAACCAGCAATGTTGCATCGGAATTGACTCATTTGCGAACGAGAGCCTTCATGTTCAAGCGACATCCCGAAGGCCTGTACGACGAGTCTACTGTCAGCGAGAGTGGACTGAAGCTGGAGGAAGGCAAGGGACGCGCGTAAACACAGCCTGAATGCAGGCGCATTTTCTCGAAATGCGCTAAGTTGTCCAAAACTACGCCGCGCAGCTGGCGCGTTGCGGCGCGACGTGGCAGCATAGGGGCCACTGCATATGTTGGCGCACGCTAAACCGCGCCCTAAAAAACACCGAACAACAAATGCGACGTGTCACGCGCGCTCGTTCTGTTTTAATGTTTACCACCTTTTGACTCTCTCCCTCTTCCTCCTCACTCACTCACCGTCCCTTCCTCGCCTCTCGTCTTGTCTCGGTCGTAGCTCTTCCACCCAGTGCCTGTCCAGCGATCTGTTCACATGTCTTCTCGACCTTCTCGAGCGAGTGCCACCGCGTCTGTGCGCCTTGCTACAATGCGGGACCGCGACACGCCGGCGGACCGACGGGAGGGGGCGCAAGCCCAGCAAAAACGAAAGGCGGCGAACACGAAGGTGGGCGACAACAAGCGGCGGCGACTCGACGTCGCTGTCGGTGTGAGCCAAATCAACCCAGCGAAGAAGCAAGACGCTTGGCAACGCCACAAAGCCGCAAAGGAGCAGAAGGAGAAGTACGTGCAAGTGTGATCTCTTAACTCTACTGTATCTTTTCTTGAATGTAGGTGAACTGAGGCCTCGCCCGTCCTTGTTTCCAGTGCACCCCCAGCAGCCCCTGCACACGCGTCCAGGCTTGCGGTGACACGCACCTCTTCTCTTCACACCGTTCATGCAGATACCACACGTCAGCTTTTCCGTGCACAGCAGACTTCTGTTGAGCCATACAGCGACGAAGATAGCGGCGACGAGGACTCCTATATCGATCCTGCTATAAAGGACCTTGTGTTGGGCCGAGGACCCCTGTGACTTTTCGGACAACGGTCAGGACGAGGCAGACTCGGACGAGGGCGAAGACTTAGTCGGACCCACGGTTGTGGATGGCGCCGATGGGGCCGCAACTGTCGCCATTGTCAACAAGGTAGCGACCAGCATCATGGACGATGATGACGAAAGCGTCATTCCAGGCGTAGTGAGTAGCATTCAAGCAGGTTTCGGTACTTACGTGCAGGCATTCAATGGGTCGTATCAACACTTGCAGACGCCCCAGCCCAAGGCTCAGGCTCTACAGTCCTCAATCGCCGGACAAGCTTTAAGACGCAATCCACCGCAAGGTAGGGTTGCCAGTCGTACACCAGGCTCGTCTTCGTCGTTTGCGAGATCGTCGCCCCTGGTCAAAAGGAACCTCGATGTCAATGCCCCCTACGACGGGGCGCACAACCGCAAGCCAATAGATCAAGAGACTTTGGATTCAAAGCCCAACCGCCGACAAGCATCCGACTTGACTCTAGAGCAGAAGATGGTCGCTGGCGCCTGGTTTCAAACTATTTTCATGCAGAATATTCTCGACGGCCAAGGCCTGTGGCGAACAAAGAGATCGCTTTACGCCCAGTCTCAGCTCGTAGCGGAGGTCTACAACGAAAACGCTGAAGAGGCCTATCGAGTGGTCATCGAAGATCGCCGACCTTGTGCGGCATTCTTCCCCGGCTACGGTGATACCTTGCCAGCGCTGACAACACCTGTGTTTCCTTCAAGCAGATCGTTTCGAAGAATCTGGGAGTCTTGAATTTGATCAAAAGGACGGCGCTGAAATACACCTACAAAGCATACAAACTGGACCCGGACAGGCAACGTGAGGCATCGACCGCCAAGGCCGTACTCTATCTCCAACCTACTAAATGGGCGGCCAAAGAGTTACGTTGCGGTGCGGGAACGGTAAGCCTTTCCAAAGCCCCGCTACCAGCTCCTTCGAGTGCGATTCAGCGTTGTGGCCATATGTTTTGGCACCAAGCTGCTTACAACATCTTTCTCCCTCAGGGTGGGGTCGACATGAACGATTGCTCCTTCGAGGCCGAGGATGATTTTCAGAACGACCTTCTATACGAGATCTTTGTTCAGATCGTCGCCGGCATAAGGAAAGAAAAATCTGCTGCTTTCCAATGGCCAAAGGAAGGTCTCGACCCGAACGACAATGATCATCGCGAGCTTGCATTCGCTCTTTTGACTCATGCATATGCCGGCGTAAGTTCCTCAACTGTTCAGCAATGTCCATTTCAAACTACCAATCATATCGTTACATTCTTGCTATGACGGATTAGGTTCGGTATGCCATGCAGGTCCTTACGCCGCCCCCATCGCTCCCCGAATCGTCCGACGCTGGCAGAAATGCGAATGTGGCGAAGCAAACCGTAGCGCTCTGGCACGAGTTCTCGGCCACTCACTATCAGGGTCCCGTCATGGCCATACTGCGTAGGCGTCGTAGAGAAGACTCTGGGCCTTTTTACTCAGAAGCTATACAGGTACGAGTCACCAATCGAGTACAGAACAGCGTGGAAGTAGCACTCCTCGAGGAGTATCGAGGGCCCGGGGTTTCTAGGCGGGGAACCAGTGACGAGATGAGGATCACAGCCCAACGGGCTTGCGACTTTGAAGAGTCTCTCTTCACTTGACTGTAGTATATGAGTGTAACATAGGTTTATAATGACAACAGATCAGGGGCTGCGAAGATAAGACTGCCTAAACAGCCGCTTAAAACACGGTCTGTGGTTCGGATAAAGTCGCTTTAGGACCGCTTTACGCCGCATATTAAGAGGGCTTACGGACCGCTTTGCGTATGCAAACAAAGCGCGCGAGGAGTCTTAAGCGCGCCGTAAGCGCGCCGTAAGAGTCCCTTATCTAGGGTACACTTAAGCGACACTTAACGCGCGCGCGGCTTAACGAGTGGTTCGACTCCATCGTAAGAGCGCAATGCGAACCGAAATAGCTGGGATGGAGTCGGATTTGCAGCATAAGAACCAGGCATCCCGTAACAAACGGGATGGGTTGAAAATCTACCCACGAGAGACCATAGATAAGAAAGTAAAGGAAAGAACACAAGGCTGTTTTTGTATTTATTTATTTTGTAGGGTGGGTGGGAGGAGACAAAGATAGAACGACTATGCTTGTAAAGCGCGATTCTATTAGTACTCGGAATACTGCAAAGACTCTGAGGACTATGGCATACCTATGCTTGTAAAGCGTGTCGCTTGGAGACAAGAAGACAGCAAAGGAAACAGACCTCAGACGCTGGCACGTCGAGGGTGGGTCTGTGTAGCAAGGTAGCCAAGTCAGTCAACGTGTCCAACAAGGACAGTCGAAAGCAGGAGTACCCTAAGGTAGAGCCTGAAGGGGGGTGATGTACCTCGGCTCTTTGAGCGAGACGCAGCACTGGCAGGTGCAGGCGTACGGCTGCATACAAAGTATGGAGCGTCAGTCAACCATCCAACAAGGAGTGTTGAAAAAAAAAAAAGAGAGGCGTACACAGTGGCAGCTGTTCGTCGTCAACTGGTAAGGCAGAAGACTGGAAGGCGGAAGCTGTACGGTATCGCTGGGGGGGTCCTTGGCAGGAGGTGGCAGAGGTACACAGCGATACTGGTACGGCAACGGCAAGCAGTGGGAACTGAAAGGTGCGGCAGGAGCGGGCTTGGTAAACTCTTGCGCAAGTGCGGCTTACAGACCAAGGCTCGAGGCAGGCGTGCGGGGCGCGGCTTACTGCAGGAAGGGCAGGCGTGCGGGGCACGGCTTATTGCAAGAGGGGCAGGCGTGCGGGCACGGCTTACTGCAAGGAGGGTAGAGGTCGCGCGCGCTTGAGTCCTCGGCGTCAAACTCTTGCAGCAAAAGCAGAAAAGACCATAAGGGCGCTTAAGAGCAGCTCTAGGCCGCTTAACGACTGCTTTACGAGGTTCCGCGCGCTTACGCGCGTTTGGCCATTTTGCTGATGTTGAACACCTGGCAAGGGATCGAACGTGGCCAACGTTAACACCTATGTGACCTGGACGAGCCTTGCGGCGATCGACAGGACAGCGTCGATTGCCGTGGCGATGAGAGCGCGCAGCTTGCGAGACAATGTTGCCATTTCCGTGATGGGAGAAGAGAGCGAGGATCGAAGCGTGTGTTTCTCGGTCTACTGGATGAAATGACAAGGGGTCATTCACATGTGAGATGTGGGGAAGAAGAGGAGATAGGCCGCTGTAAGGTTCGGCAGCCACTCGGTAGGTCCAAGCTCAAACCTCGGACCGACGGACCGACTTGCCTGACCTCCCTTTCATTTTCCCTGGCTCACCACAAATATCTACATTGTCTACATCTCTCCCTTTCATATCCCCAGTTCTCCTCAAATAGCGATTCGTAGCTCTCTTCTCTCTTTTCCTCTTTTCTCATCCTTCACTGCACTGGACCCCAATCTCCTCACTTGACAATCGACTGGTTTGGGAACTGTTTTATTCTTCAAGCACCCCGAGAGTACTACCGAGAAACCGCCTTTAGTTACGCCTACCCGCTGAGTAACCTGGGCTCCTTACAGCCGATAATGGTGGTCCAGCGGATCTAGCGTTTGTTAGATTCTGTCTTTGAACAAGACCAGCTGGAATCTATGACTTAAAAAAAAACTTGAAACCGTACAGAATTCTTGAGACACTTCATACGTTTATACGTTTATACGTCCATGGTCCCCGTCCATTTCAGGAGATTTGAGGCCGTTTCGCATTTCGGCTATGTAGTGTCAGACGTCAGCTCTGCGGCTCTCCTGTCCCGAAGCCTCCGTGGTCGGTGCTCACGCCTCGCGTAGTCAAAGCGGGCCGCGATTTTCTCCGAGGAAGCGATCCGAGTGACTCTGTGTGGACGGATGACACAGACTACTATCACACGTGGTATAGTATGAGCCAAGGTCCCCGAGACCACGAATCGACCGCAAAGGGATAATCCAGCGTAGGCTAGCTAGAACTTCCGACTTTGGACTTATGACACCGATTACCGCGAATTGGTGATTAAGGGGGGTCTCTGGGTTTCATGTTTGAGACTAAATCTCATTCCGTAGACAGGAGACATGCCGAAACTGGCGCTGTCTCTACTCTGAGTCAAGCACTGATCGACAGCTGATCTTGTTCGAAGACAAAGTCTGACATCGTGTCATTCGGCAGAGGCACCTCTCCCTCCTCTCGTTCTCTTTCTTCTCTTTCCTTCAGCCAGCCAGATCCAACAATCAGTTACATCACTACATCTTGGTCGACAAAGGCATGGCGCTGAACAGCTGCTTCCGCGCGTTACCCCTCCTCTCGGCCCTTGTCGCGCTCCTCAGCGCGAGCCCTCTATCAGTCAACGCCGCGCCTCGCCGCACGGCCGCGCTCAGTGAAGGCGGACCCGAGGGCTTCCAAGAATTGGGATTCTACGACGTTCGGCATGGTGGGGGCAGGTGGCTGACGGTGAGTGCACTTGCTTGAGGCCGTGCCCATGAACCCCAGCTCCAGTCTCCAGACAGCCTGTAGTGACGGCAAGGTGGCACTCTACGAACGCCGAACGCGGCGCACAGGCCGTTCGCATGAGACACTCTGGAGAGGGTCCGAACTCGGGCTGTGCTTCTCATACACTCAGACGGACGCTGATCCATGTACTCGATCCGCAAATAGTACGCGGCCCATAACGGCACTCTCGGCGAACCCATGAACATCGTCGTCTCCAACAAGTCGCATCCTTACATCTTAACTGAAGCCGGCTTCCAAGATTGGTGCTTGTCGATTCAATATGCGAAACAGTTCCTGGATATCACGCTCGGTGGGAAGCAACAGGCCGATCTCGGCGATGGGAACGGACCACGTGAGTGCGGCCGGGTCGTTCGGACGTCGTAAGGTGTCAATCAGAGGCTCCCAGAGCCGGGACCTCTTGCATTCCCCAGCTATGCTAATGTTTCTTGGTACGATTAGATAATCAAACCAACCTGCTTCGATACGATTACTTTGACCTCAAGCTTGGCACGCTGAACGAGACCTTGATGGGTGGTTCGCATCTCCGTTACTGGCAACAGAACGGACCCAAGGCAAACTCCAGTGCTTGGTTCCTCGCCGCCTCGGTCGAAAAGTCGCTTGCAGAGCACCACATGATCGTCCCCAACGGATACGATCGTGGTCGGGACGAATTCGTAGGCAACGCAACGGCGAGCAACGGAACGGTCTCTCCTGTCTCCCACATAAGGTTTTCCGCGACGAGTCGAAAGCACCGGTTCTTACGCGCCCACTCGAGACATGGAATCAACCACGCCATCCCTACCGACGGTGATGTGGCGATAGTGACCGTGAAAGTGATCGGGAATGAGAAGGGTAAAGGGGGCCTGGCTTCCAAGCGCACGTAGTAGCTCTTGCCTACGCCCAGTACAGCACTAGCAGGACGTTCTCGAGACCATATAATTTTCGTAGCCATCTGATTCTATACCTGGAGATATTCACATTCTTGCAATACCGTGCAGATTGCTCTCTCCCGAAAGGGGATAGCCGGCTTTGACAACGGTAGGCTACTGCGATACACACTTGATGGCAAAACAATAAAGAGCAAATACGGATGAAAGACAAACCCCACGATGTCGCCGCCTATACTGAAGCAATATAATCGAACCGCGTGTCGGTCGGATACTCTTTGCTCGAGACTCGTCCGTACTCGAGTACCAAGCGCAGGAAGTCTGCCAGCCGCCTCTTGAGATGATCAGTGACTCCATTCTTCAAACTTCCGAGCTCTTCTTGATGTGGGGGGAAGAGGCAAGAAGAGAGGGGGAGGTGGAACTCACACGCTTGCATGTCCTCGTACCGCCAATACATTTCGGTCCAGAGCCGGCCCCGTGTAGCTATCCGCTCACCCAAGTAATCATGCGCCCCGCGTCCTTCGAGGTCGCCCATAAAGAAGGCCATGATTGGAATGAGGTCGGTATAGTCGACTTTGACAGGAACGTAGCTTTGAAAGAATGGAAGCAATGCGGTCAGTACCCAGCTTTTCCGCAGAGACAGGAGTCAAGGCACTCACTGTAGCCACGGTTGAATTCGATCCGTGTACCTGTGCAAAGCGCAAAGCGTAGGAATCGGTCCGATCATCAGATGAGATCAGTGACCGCCGTCTATACGACGGAACAAAGCACCTTGTCAAGACTACTTACCACTCGGGGAAAATTGTACTCTTGAGTACCATCGTGTTGCTCTTCATCAGGCGATGGAATCTCCCACTCCATCCGTTTCCATCCACATCGATCACGTACTTATACTTGTTCTGCTCCTCCGTGTACATAATCTCCTTGAACTGATTATCTTGGGCCATTTTCTTGCAAGCCTCTTCCGGGCATTGAATTGGCCCACCCGTGAAGGAGAAGTCGAAGTACTTGTTCGCAAGCATGGAGATCGATTCGTTGACCATCGTGGTCGGTCCTGGACCTTTATCGGTATCGGACTGTGCAAGCATGAGCGAGATATTGCCGTTTTGCCGGGTCACTGATCAAAGTATAAGAGACGATCTAGGGTCACTTCATGGGCCGTCGCATTTGCTCTTGTCTTGGCTTATATACATACAGTGCGTCAATCGGAACCGTTGCGAATACTTTATAGTGTGATCATCGCCGTCCGTCCCTGTCGTCGAGCCCCTCCACAGAACCTTGTTGTGTTCTTTGTGATACCAAGATGGATCAGGCCCCACGCTCCAGTCGTACTGATCAACCGTCGGAATCAACAGATCGTGATGCATCGCCATGACGGAGCAAGAGAATACCGGGCGCAGAAGCTCGGGGCTAGGGTACACCCGGAAACTCGATCCATGCAGGGCTTCGTTCGCCGGCCAATCGCAGAATGACATACTCGCGCGATGTTCCTCGATGAAAGACGTGGGCCGCGTCAAGTCGGGGACAAAGTCGATCTTGTCCCATCGGCCGGCGGTGCGGATGGCTGATCCGGGAGGGCATGTTTCCATGTAACCGTTGACTTCGCCCGTAATGAGGAGTGCTCTCTCCTCTTCTTCCGGCATGACTGCGAGCAGCGGCAGGAGACGGAAGAGATATGGGACAGGTGAGCAATACCGTTGCCAGGTCATTCCGAGGTCGTGCATTCGGCTCAAGACTCACATTCATGGGCGAGCGCATGCTCCATGTGGCGTTGGAACGCTTCTCCTCGGACCAAAACCTTGGGCTCGTCTTGACCTGCGTGCGAGGAGAGGTATATGGAACAAATGAGGAAGCCGGTCCCAGAGGATGCAAGAGCGCGGCAGATTGCTTACCATTGAAGGTCAAAGTGAGGTCGAACGGAATGAGTTCCCTGACGTCCCTGAGCATGTCGACGTTAAACCTCGGCATCGGTCCGCGAACCTCAAACGACTTCCCATCTTTTTCGATGTCGATGGCGAACCAGTTGTTGTGGAGAATCGCGCCTTGTTCGTCTTGCATCTCCTTGGCCCTCGCGCGTATTGTCTCTCCGCTCAGTGAATGGAAAGGCAAGATGCGTCGGTGAATCGAGTCGTACTCGTCCAAGAGCTGACAGTCGTGCTGGATCGCCCATTCGAACCATTTGTCAAACCCTAAAGGAGGGTTCATATCGTATCGTCGCTTGTATTCTTCGACCGCGTCCTCGAGCGTCTTGGACTGCACGGCGACTTTGTGATCCCACTTCTCACGCGCTTCGGCCAAGAGCAGGTGGATCGGGTGGGGCTGATCTTGAGGTACTTTGGACGAGCCCCGTCGTCTAGCCGGAAACATGAGCAGGCCATGGCTGGTTGGAAACTCGAGATTCCGGAACGCCGCGAGCATGAAAGCCGGCTTCTGCTCGTGCTCCCGCCCTGATATCATCCAAAGAAGTGTTACGATGAGAATGGCCGCGAGCCCGAGCACCGTAGCGAGTTTGAACCACTGTGTCGCATGTGATGGTCGCCCAAAATGGTTTGCTGATCCGGGTAGTCTTGACGCGAGATTAGAAACGGCGTCGCGGAGGCGGATCCCGAAACGCGAGCCCAGCCAGGGCCGAGTGGGATGTGGCGCGGAGGAGACCCAGTCGTCCTCATCGTACTCTGTTTCTGGTGACCCTAGCAGCGGTGCTGCACTGTCCTTCCAATATCGACCATCATTCGAGACGTGTTCGAGTTCGTAGGAGCTCCTGTCTTCCTTCTCGACGGGGATTGCGACCGCATGCTGTGGCGAGGCCGACATCTTCGTACGAGCCTCGCGACACGCGCCGGACCGGGAAGCACCTCTCTGTACGGACTTGGAAGCTGCGCGAGCGAACTGAGGGCGAGCGAACGCACACCGAGCCTAGACACGCAACTAGAGCGGCGACAGGGGACTGGAGAGTTGCTGCCAAGATGGCGTTGGTGATGAGAAGCACACGCGCAAGAGTGTATATAGAAGTGGGAGCCAAGAGAAGAGACGTTCGTGTTGAAGTTCTGGCGTTTTTGAACGCGTTGAGCGCGACCGAAGCGGATTCGATCGCCACAGCGCAACGGCCTCCTCCCTCCCGCCGCCCCCACTTACGGTCTGCCCGGGGCTCAACTCTCGACTATGAGCTCCCTACACGGCACCGGGCAGGATGCTCGTGCGCATGTACGCGGTGAATCGATCGCGTACCAACGACGACCGAATACAGCTGGCTCGACCGCGGTGCACGTGCAGACGAACGCGCCAGGCGATAGCACGTCCTCGTCCAACCACCACCAGGGTCCCCCGCCGTCAAAATTCTCGCGAGACGCATGGAACAGGAGGGACAGTCGCAGCAGTAGGCCCTCACAAGACTACTATGTTGATCGTACAGCACGTCCTCAGGTGCTCAACTAGAACACTACGCCTCCTTCTCAGCCACGGCGGATGCCTTCAGTGTCCACGCAACACGTCGTCGGAATCGCTTCCTGCTGCGTCTTGCCCTCGGCCTCGCAGCTGTTTACGCCATGGGGTACTATCTCAGCTCATGGAAGTACCAACGCCGTGTCGTCGCAATCGGACGCGAGAGGAAGACGCTCATGGCAGGCGCCGGCGAATCGCACGTCCTGCCGAAACGGTGGAGGGAAGCTGACGAACGTCCTTCCAGCGCCGGCAGCGACAGTCTGCCCCAGTGCAAGAGAGTGATGCTTTTCAAATTCACGAGGTACGTCTCTTCTACGCAGGACACGCATGAGTCCTGGAGAACTGCTGACCAACGACAAAGTCTCGTGTTGACCCGTGCTAAAGTACCGAGGGTTTGGCGTCCGGGATGTTGGCCTACGTCCGAGCCGGTGTCATTGCCAACAAGTTGGGCTATACTTTGCTTGCAGATGATGTCGAGTGGAACTACGGCTCGTTACGAGGTGAGTGTCTATCAGATGTCGACGTGGCAGCGTGGTGAACGATTTTCGCTCCATCCCTTCTAATCGATCAACTCGATCTTTCCGCCTCTCGACGACTGCCACGCGTAGACTATTTCGTTCCTCGGTCAATCCACTGTCGACCCCCCAGCGACTGGTTCATGACCGAACGTGCGACGGCTTTGGGATCGCGAAGATGGCAGAGCCAGGACCGAATCTGGTTCTCGAGGCAGCACATGAAGCACGCCGATGACTGGATCCGGTAAGTCTCACTGGACCTGTGGTTATGTACCTTGGTCAATACCAAGAAAAGCTGATATCCTTGTGAACAAACAGTGAGGAGACTTTGGATCCTGACGCGATGAACGAGTTGCGTAATCGTCAGCTCGGCCTCGTCCTCCCCGAGGGAGAGACCTTGCCCGCCCCATTGGAAGAAGTCTTTGCCGATGCGTCCGCCGTATTGCGCGAGCTTTGGAAACCCCACGATCAAATTGCCACGATGGTGCGAAGGCAAAGGATGGAGCTTGGTCTCGGCGACGGTGCTGTCCGCGGCCGAAAAAACTCGCCGACCTGGGGAGGGGCGAAGCGCCGCCCCGAGGAGTCGAGAAACACGGGTCGAGCTGATGCCGAACAGGTCGACGAGGGTATGAGGGATTATGATCAGCAATCGGGTGCTGAAAGGAACGACCGAGGGCCGGTGATCGGTGTGCACGTCCCGCTCTTGGCGGAACGGCTGCCTGCCGCCGAGCTACGGCTGATTGGCGTTCAAAGGGCACAGACGGATGATCGATTCGGGCTCGTGATGCAAGGCGTCAACGACGCACTTCGTCGGCTGTCCAAAAATTCGGTCGCGGAACCTTCCTACTCGCGCAACCATCCTACCTTGTTCCCGAGCGGTGCCAAGGCCCATATCGTGGTCGTCTCGGGTGAGAAGGACGCGGACGTTGTGGCCAAGCTGGCGCAGAACGATCTGGCACGGAACATGGACATCAAGAGGACCTCACCCCCTCCTGCGGACGAGTTGAGACAGTGGAGCGACTTGGCCGATGTCGAGAATGCTAGAAGCGACACGACCAAGATTGTGACCGAGTTTGATCAAAAGACTTTCAACGCGTTGCCCAAGTCGCTGAGGGTACATCTGACGAGGGTAGGTCGGATCATCTACAGCCATTACTTTCAGGTCTCAGGCCAGATGATTGACGGATGCGTGTTGCGTATGCAGTACTTACTCCGCGATCTGACGACGCTCGCGCTCTACGCCGACGCCTTTGTCGTTCACGGTGAGTCGCCAAATAGCCTCATCCTTAGCTTTAAATCAGACCGCTGATGCGGATGCTTTTCTTAACAGGTACATCGAGCGTTGGTCGACTTGCGCTCCTGCTCGCTGGTGAGGACGCTGTTGTAGGTCCTCGGGAGATCTCTGGCCACGGCTTGGGCGGTCGCGTGCGCAGTGTGGACGGTTGGTGGTTCCCGAGCAGCCAGGTCTCGGCACTGTGGGATCAAATCTGATTGCATCCTCTTGATATTGATTTTTAAGTTTATCTTGCAAGCAACCATTGTTTTGCTCCGTAGCGTGCATTTGTAACGTGAGACTATGTGCATACCCTTTCCTTCATTGAACATCTCACAGCGTACTAGGTTTCGTCGTTTCGAGATCTGAGACAGTCCAAGCCTCTTTCGGAATCCGGCGAGGCTAGCGACGGCACGAGCGAGAGGATCATTGTTCGCTTGCTACCCTCTTGTCTCAGCCCCGTACAGCTCGCACTGCGCTTCTTCGGGAAGGACATCGAAGCCGACTATGGAGCCACAGGCTTCACTGGCTCGTCGACCTTCGGCCACCACAGGTGAGCACCCCCTGACTGGCCAGCAGTTGAGCGAGTGGATCATCGTCGCCCGCCCTGGCTGGCACTCATGCCTCCAGCCGCCGCGGACTTTGGCCGAAGTCAACTCGCAAACAGCCTGAACCCAACGACTCGAATCGCATACCTGCTGACACTGACGTTTTTCCCTTTCTGTCCCAGTCAATATCTCGCCAGCTCACCAAGACGACCCGATCGATTACTCGCACAGCTCCGCGCGGTCGTCGTCCTCACCTCACCCGATTAGCCTACCAGACTCGGGCCGAATTGGGACCGGCGCATTCTCCCAGGGACAACATCTCCGAAAGGAGTCCTTCCCGAGCCCATTCCTCGATATACCAGGTGCATCAAGAAGATCGGTCCCGGCCTTATTCGGCAACTCGAATCTCTCGAATGGCGCGGGCGCGAGAGGCTCCACATCGAGCGGGCCTCGAACCCCACACGTGAATGCGAACACATTCCCTTCATACGGCGGCGCACGGAGAGCGTTCTACACTACGAAAAGTCAACCGGGATGGAAACGCACCTTACGACTTGTTCGAGATGTCGTGCTGCGACCGATCTACCTCGTCGGGAGAAGGGGTCCACTCATCCCCCTCTTGCTGGTGCTGATCAGCTTCGGCTTGTTCCTGACGTATTCGACCTCGCCTTCGTCGCAAAAAGTCAAGCTGAGGATGCAGGGCGCGGTTGGACCTTACATCCCGCAAAGGGCGGCATCGGTGATGAGTTGGCATGATCGAGCTTCGGAGGAGGCCGAAAGCGGAGCGGGCCTCGATGATGAAGAATCGGACTATACACCACCGGGGTCCAAAAAGCCGACGGAGGCGACCAAGGGTCGACAGGGCAAGCTCCCCAAGGCCAAGAGTACGCTTTCAACTGCGATCGAATTACCTGCTGCGAGGAGGGATGGAAGGCTGTTGCTTAAGGAAGGGGAGGTGCATCCGATCCCGGCGATGATGGCAAGGGCGAAGAGGCAGTGGAAGGAACTCAAGGGGCAACAAAGCAAGACATTCAAGGAGGCAGTCGCAGAGTACGAGAAGCGGTACCGACGCAAGCCGCCAAAAGGTTTTGATCAATGGTGAGCTTTAGTCATTTCCCACCTCCTGAAATGGTGAAACGTGATAGCTGACTTGATCGTATTCTTGCGCACAGGTATGCTTTTGCCAAAGCACACAAGGTCGTTCTGATCGACGAGTTCGACTTGATCGACAAGGATCTGCTCATGTACCGCGCCTTTGATCCTCCTCATTTCCGCAATCGCGTCAAGTACACGTCTACGTACCTCGACATGCTGTGGAACATGACCGTTACCAACGGTGTGATCTCTCGTGCGGGCCAACTCGAGAATCACGACCGAGCGAGAGGAGTCGAGTTCTTGGCGTCGAGATTCGCACATTTGCTTCCCGATATGACGATCATGTACAATGGGCATGATGGAGCGAGGATTGCGGTGGCCGCCGAGGAACGGGCTCGACTGGAAAATCTGGTCAAGAAAGGAGAATGTGAGCCCCTCAAACCGGTCTCAGCGGGCTGCACTGCAGACACCTCCGTACTGACGACAATAGGGCGTGTAACTGCTTTTGTTTTGACAGATGAGCCTGATGAAGGAGCACCTTACCCACCCAAAGAGATAGGACCTTGGCCTCACCACTCGATGCCCGCCTTCTGCCCGAATGGAACTGCGGTCCGAGGGAAGGTTTTCGAATATGGCTGGGCGAGCATGGACTCGACGGGCTACGAAATGCCCGCCCCCGTTCCTGGCTCGATTGGCAGTCTGGTCGATGGCTTCAAGCAATATATGGATGTCTGCGACTCGCCGCAGTACCGTCACTTTCACGCGACCACGTCATGGGTCTACACCCACCACCCGACGCCGGTCGTCCCCCTTTTCACCCCCGGTGTACAGACGACTTTTGGCGATGTGCACTCTTTGATTGTCGAACAACTCGAACTCGAAGCCAAGCATGATCCGAAGTGGGAGGAGAGGCCCTTCTCGTCACTACAATGGCGCGGGCAGACGAGTGGACCGCTATGGGAGAAAACGTCGCCGTGGCGCACGACCCAACGTGCTCGTCTGCATCTCCTATCGCATCAGGAGTCGGGGACGCGCAACATCACCTTGACGGACGAGGACGACAAGATACGCCTCGTTGAAGTGCCCAACTTCAAGTTAAACCCATTGTTCTTGGATACTGGGATGGTCGGCCCGGCGGTGCAGTGCGTCAAGGAGGATGGGACGTGCGACGAGATGCAAGAAGTGTTTCAAGGTTACGACAAGCGCATCTCGTTTGACCGAGCTGCCTTGTACAAATACGTACTAGGTGAATGCCACCGATGATCGCGCGATCTCTAAAGTGCTGCTTGCTGACGGACCAAGTTTGATCCACAGACGTTGATGGCAACAGTTGGTCCGGTCGTTTTCGCCGATTGATGCTGTCCAACGCGGCGGTCGTGAAAGCGACGATCTTTCCCGAATTTTGGACGGACTGGGCCATCCCATGGTTGCATTTCATCCCTATGCAAGTCGACTACAGCGACATGTGGGACATTCTCGCCTTCTTCCGTGGCGGGATCAACGGCGAAGGCGCTCACGACGCTCTGGGGAAGCAGATCGCCATGGCTGGTAAGGAGTGGGTCAGGTCGTGTTACCGTTGGGCCGATTTGGAGGCATACCAGTTCAGGTTGATGCTCGAGTATGGGAGGCTGTACAATGACGAGACCGAACCGGGGTCCAAGGACTTTAATGGTGATACGTGAGTGGTTCTTTCACGGATCTGTCGGGCTGGATTAGTGGCAGAAACTGAGTTCATGAGCCTATACTACAGATCGATTGAACCTGTGTGGAAAGGGGAAGTCAAGCTGGAGTGAAGGGTCCCTAAGTGGTGCCGACTTCAGTTACTCGGCGCTGGGCAGCGGTGAAAACTCTTGCCGCATCGATGCTAGAGTGTTGGGCGAGTTCTTAGCACCCATCTTGTATACCATACATTTGTGCATTGTAGTACCTGTTTATCTTCGTCGATGCATTGCCCCAAACGGCGTGGATGGCATCAAGTCGAGAGGAATCCTGCTCCATTTTGAATTCCCTGCCGGCGAGCATTACCGCACTATTACCGCCGGAAGAACTCGGACAAATGCACTGCGCCGCCCGCGCCGCCGCCAGTTCCGTCATCGCTCTCCTTTCCGCCGTAAACACACCTTCCCCCCCAAAAAAGTGGGTACCGTCCTCGTTACAGCCACGTATGTAATACTGACGGCTTCCCTTGGTGCCCCTCCAGTCATCATGATCTCCCCCATCGCTACCCGCGCTCTCGGCCGTCGTGCCTTCTCGACCTCGCGCTCTGCCGCTACCAAGGTCGCCGTTCTCGGTGCTGCTGGTCAGTATTGACCTAACATCACTCACTAGCAGTGACCCCACGTGCTCACCTCTTGCCTGAATCGTGCAGGTGGTATCGGCCAACCGTTGTCGCTGCTGTTGAAGCTGAACCCGCGTGTGACCGAGCTGTCGTTGTACGACATCCGAGGCTGCCCCGGTGTCGCCGCTGACCTGTCGCACGTCAACACCCCTTCACCCGTGAGTGAGACACCATTGAAATGAGGTTGTCAGCTTGTCGCAAGGTCGGCGCCGAGTTGGGAGGAGCAGCGATGAGCAGCGCGTTGGCTATTCGCCCGCCATCGATCTGCGACGGAGCGACCGAGTGCCGAGTGCCGAGTGCCGACCGAGTGCGAACGCGCCCAAAGGCATGCTCGCACCCGAGAGGTGCTTGAGAGCCCCTTTACGGCGTGGCATCGTGCATGGTGGGCAAGCGGAACTTCTGGGTCAACTTTGAGTTTCTTGCATGAGTCATCTGTGGTAGCACGGGATAGAAGCATGCTCTTTGCAGGGCCAGAACCGATCGAGCGAACGACGACTACAGTCCATCATCGACACCATCAGACGAACACGCTCAGTGCTGACGTTGCATGTTGACAGGTCGCTGGCTACGCTGCCGAGAACAACGGCCTCGAGAAGGCTCTCACCGGCGCCGAGGTCATCATCATCCCCGCCGGAATGCCCCGCAAGCCGGGAAGTAAGTAGTCCAGGGGACCTTTTGCAGATCAAAGTACGGCACATGAACTCATTTGCCGCTCGGTCCCCCCCACAAGTGACCCGTGACGATCTCTTCAACACCAACGCCTCGATCGTCCGTGACCTCGCCATCGCCGCCGCCAAGGTCGCACCCAAGGCCCGCATCGGCATCATCGCCAACCCCGTCAACTCGACCGTTCCCATCGTCGCCGAGGTGTTCAAGAAGGCCGGCGTCTACGACCCCAAGCGGTGAGTTTTCTCGAAGCCGAGCGAAGCACGGCACCGCGAATGTGCACGAAGGGAGAAGGGAGAAGGGAGAAGCAGATGCTCATCCTGCGTGATCATGTCCCGACGTCCGCAGTCTCTTCGGTGTCACCACTCTCGACATTGTTCGTGCCTCGGCCTTCGTCTCTGGCATTGCCGGCACACATCCCAAGGACACCAACATCCCCGTCGTCGGTGGTCACTCCGGCGTGACGATCGTGCCCCTCTTCTCGCAAGCCCCTGAGGGCAAGAAGATCGTCGAGAAGGGCGGCGAGGAGCTCGCTGCTCTTGTTAAGCGCACCCAGTTCGGCGGTGACGAGGTGGTCAAGGCCAAGGACGGTGCCGGATCCGCCACTCTCTCCATGGCTTATGGTCAGTCTTATCCGCGCGCGAACGCTCACGCGCTTCTGCTTGATCAGGAGCTGACCACAACTATATTTGACGTGGCGATTTTGTAATCAGCCGGAGCCGAGTTCACGGATGCTATCCTCCGTGCCCTCGATGGCGAGAAGAACGTCACGCTCTGCACCTACGTGGAGTCGCCCCTCTACGCCAAGGACGGCGTTGACTTCTTCTCGTCGCCCGTCACCCTTAACGTGAGTTTTCCCGACGAAGCCGGTGGTCAAGTTCGAAAAATGAAGCCTGATTGTGGCTCATTTGTCCCATCCAGTCCGAGGGTATCGTCGGTGAGATCCACCCCGTCGGTAAGCTCCACGCTTCCGAGGAGGAGTTGCTCAAGGCGTGCCTCCCCGACTTGGCCAAGAACATCAAGGCCGGTGTGGACTTTGGTACGTGATTGACAAGAGCGTTCAAGTTCATGAGACTATCATGTACTAACGCGCGCATGTGTGCGTTCCTGCAGTCGCCAAGAACCCCGGAAACTGAACGGAGGGACGTTGGAAACGGAGGGACGTTGGAAGGTAGAAATTTGAGATCGGGTGCCAAAAAGGCTGGCGATCCATCATCCGGGCCAGTTTCCCTTCTCTTGGTCGTAGAGCTGCTTCCTTCTTGTACCTGTTCAGGCAGTCCGAGACAAACGAAATTTCGGAAACGAAGCTACATAATCGTGTCCGGCGGCGACCGGCGGTGCCGCTCTTTACACCTTTCGGCGCGTTTTAGGGGTCACTTGCGGGATGCACCGATCAGAAAGGGGGAGAAGCTAGCTCACGCGGTTCAGTTCGATTTTAGCCTCACCAAAGTAGCGAGTGAGAAAACACAGGACCTATTCGCTGTGCTCACTGCTCAGGCAGCACGGGGAAGATGAGCATGTCTCACCTGGCTCGGCCCACGTCGAGGCCGCCGATGCGCGCGCGCCGTGGGCCTCCACTCCCAGCCGGCCCAATCCGGCAGGTTGCGCAACTCCTCCGGTGAAACTAGCCGAACTGGATTGAAAGCTCTCGGACGGATGTATTGGGCGGGTGCAAGCCATGCCACGACTTTTCTCAAGAAGACCTTTAATGAACAGTGATAAATTCAAAGTTCACACAGGTAGTGATAGCAGTACTATTCAGGTGGCCGGCCATATTCCGGCTTCCGCTCGGAGAGTCTGAGTTTGGGCCGTTCGAGGCGGGTGGTCTGGCCCGACACGCCGGCCGGGGCTAGCCGGGGCTAGCTGGGGCCTGCTGGGGCCGGCTGGGGCTGGGCTGCGCGTTTCGCAGGGCGGGGGCTCTCCTAGGCCTCCCGCTCTCTTGCTTCGTCCAACTTGTCGCCGACAGCGCTCTTGTTCTTGTTTCCGCATCACCTCTTGCCATGGCTTCTCAATCTGTTGACGTCCGTGAGTTGCTCTAGTCCCGGCCGGGATTTACGGTGATGTTTGGCCTGACAATGCGTGTTCTCTGTTGCAGTAATCATCGGCGCTGGCCCGACGTAAGCCCCGAACTACTCGGTCCTCGTGCACTGATCGCCGGCCAACCCGCCCGCCCATCATCACGGTCATACTGATGATCCCTCGTGCGATAATCGTTCACAGCGGTCTTGGAGCTGCCAAGCGTCTCCACCAACTGGTACTCCACCCTGATCCTCGGTGTGCCCTACATCTTCTTCGTACACGCGCTGACCCCTTCCGGGTTCCCGCCACTTCTGCTCTCTCCCAACTACGCGCCCGCCTTTTCTCTCTCGCAGAAACACTCCAACTTCTTAATTGTCGATGCGGCTTCCGAAGCAGGTGGATTGGCTTCGACGGATACCACCCCCGAGGGTTTCTTGTTTGATGTAGGAGGGTCAGTCTCCCCAACCCCCTTCTTTTGGGACGAGCCATCTCGGCGCCACCCTCCGAGCACGAACTTGGGTTTAAGCGTACTGACGCAATGCAAGTGCTATGCCGTGTTTCCTTCAATCAATAGACACGTTATTTTCTCCCACTACCTGTAAGTAACTCTTCGTTGCTCGGACCCTCCCTAGCGACCACGGAACGCGCTTCTGGCTTATTGCGGAAACCGCCGAACGTGGGCTAGAATTCGGAACGCGCGAGCTTGAACTCTTCCAAACTCACCCTCTCGATCACCCTCTTCAGCTACTTTGACGATGTCATCAACGAGGCATTGCCCAAGTCGGATGATTGGTACGAGCACGAGCGTGTCTCGTACGTTCGCTCAAAGGGCGCTTGGGTCCCTTACCCGTACCAGGTCAGTCACGGGTCTTCATGTTCCGCCTCAGAAGACAGCACACTGAACCAAGCCCTTCTGTAGAACAACATTACCATGTTACCCGTCGAGGAACAGGTCAAGTGCATCGAGGGTATGATCGACGCCGCCGAGGTCCGATCAAGATCTGCCGACAAGCCCAAGACGTTCGACGAGTGGATCATTCGAATGATGGGTGCGTCACATCTTGTTGAATCGGGTACGCGAGAATGATGAACTGACTCTGAACGTTGCGCTAATGATTAGGTGTCGGTTTGGCCGACCTCTTCATGCGACCTTACAACTTCAAGGTTTGGGCCACGCCTACGACAGAGGTGAGGAAAGAACATTTGCCGTGAGAGCAACAGGTTACTCAATTCAACTTCTTTCATACTTGCAGATGCAATGCGAATGGCTCGGTGAGCGTGTCGCTGCCCCTAGCTTGAAGTTGGTCGTCAGTAACGTTCTCAACAAGAAGACCGCTGGTAACTGGTGAGCGCCCCAGCTTGACTTCCAACGAAAGCTTAACCGAGCTAATGAAACCACCTTCCGGATCACCAGGGGTCCCAACGCGACTTTCAAGTTCCCGGCTCGCGATGGTACCGGAGGTATCTGGAAAGCCGTCGCAAAGACGTTGCCTCAAGAGCGCTTCTCCTTCAACAAGACCGTCGTCCGCATCGAAGGCGCCAACAAGATCGCCCACCTCTCCGACGGGTCCTCCGTCGCTTACCGTTCGCTCATCTCCACCATGCCTTTGGACGAGATGGTTGAACTCGTCGATGGAGCCGAGAACTTGACCAAGACCTCAAGGGAGCTGATCTACTCCTCAACTCACGTCATCGGTGTTGGAGTTCGTGGTGTCTTGCCCCCTCGTATCGGTGACAAGTGTTGGCTCTACTTGTGAGTTTTCTCCTTATGAAGACACCGCAAAACGACCCGGATGCTGATTGCTTTCATGCTTCCTCCAGCCCCGAGTCCGACTCGCCGTTCTACCGAGCGACCGTCTTCTCTAATTACTCGCCTTACAACTGCCCTCAACCCGAAGTCAAGATCAGGACAATCCAGACCGCTGATCCCTCGCTGAGTGGTTCGGTCGACACCAAGTCGGAGCGAGCTGGTCCTTGTGAGTCACACTGCCATGCTACACCTCTGCGAAGAACAGTTTACTGATGAACGAACGTACCCCTCTTAGACTGGTCTTTGATGCTCGAGGTGTCCCAATCGTCGCAAAAACCCGTTGACGAGGAGAACTTGATGAAGGACTGCATCCAAGGCATGATCAACACCGGTCTCCTGCAACCGTCGGACGAGATCGTCTCGACCTACCACCGCAAATTCCATCATGGTTACCCGACCCCTTCCTTGAGTCGTGACGGCCAACTCAAGACGCTCTTGCCCGAACTCAAGGACAAGTACGCCATCTGGTCGCGTGGACGTTTCGGCTCGTACAAGTACGAAGTCGCGAACCAGGACCACTCGTTCATGATCGGTGTCGAGGCTGTCGATGGGATCTTGTTCGGTGCACCAGAGATGACGCTCAACGACCCGGATTGGGTCAACGGGCGAAGGAACGTCGAGAGGAGGTTGTAGAACCCAGCGCATCGTGTATAATTCCGCAGCCTGGGGATCCTGTAGCCAACATGCGCTGTTGTTGCCTAAATCGCTCGGACTACTTAGAGTGTTGTGATGGACGTTCTAACATTCTTCTCGCTTACTTTCCGGTTTCCTTTCTTGTAGTTGCTTGTTTGTTACTTCCTCTCTTTCTCAAATACCTTGTTTAGGGTCAAGCAGAAATATTACCAATACAGAACCTCTCCAAGTGGTCTTTTTTGCTGTGTCGATATGTGACGTGGCTGCTTGCGTCGGCCGTTGTACTCGCCCGCGCCGGTAGCTCTTCTAAAATGTGGCAGTGGTGCTCGACTTGTACAGGAATTGTTTGGATGGAGTTTGTTGAAGCTTTGTCAAGCTAATTGTGTCATCTATCGGTAGGGGGCATATTTTCAGCTTACCGGATACCGATGTAACTGAAGTAGGCAGCTTTTGGCAAGGCTCATCGTGATGACGTCGGCGCGCTCGCGCAGGACGCGGGTCCGGAGTCCGATTATGTTCCCGAGACCCGCAAACGAAGCCAATCTGAGACAGGCGCAGGCGAGAGGCTCGTCGACCGGCCCGCGCCAGCCCGCCAGCCTTTCCTGAATATTCACGGTTCATTCTTTACTGTATTCCCACACCCTGCCCAGTGCTGCGTCTTGACGACGACCATAGCTACCACTCCTTTTTGCTCAAAGCGTACCCTTTTCTCCGGCTCCCTCGCCGGTCTGCTTCATCGAGCTGGCCTCGTTTCGCGCCCAAGCCCCCCTGACGCCGTCGACTTCGATCCCAAGTCCTTGGATTTCGGCGGCGGCAGCAGCAGGACAACAACAGGGAGGCTCGCATGGCTCAACCTCTGGTTCAGGCGGAGCACGACAACCACTTTCATCCTCTTCTGCTACTAACGCTTCAAGTAGCACCTTCTCCCCTCACATTCCTTTGGACGGGACCCCTCGGCGGGGTGGAGGCCCGCATGCAAGGTCGACGTCTATCTCGTCCCCGTGGGCGACACGGAGAGAAGTCCCACACATCGAATTGAACGCAAGGAGGAAACCCGGTGTCGGAGTCGGCGTTTACAATGGAGGGATAGGACCCATGAACGGGATCCGACCTGGTGAGGAACCCTACGAGACCGTCTCGGTCCTCATGGTCGCACCCGATACGCCGCTCCTTGGTTCCCCGGGAGGAGGGTTCGTCACATCGCTCGTATGGGTCGAGGGAGGGTCCTTTGTTGTCGACCGAGATTCTTGATCACCTTGATGCTCGTTTCGATATCGACTTTGCTACTGTTACCGGCCAAGCATCGATCGGCAGCGCATAACGTTTTGACCCATGCTGGAGTACCTCTCCCCGACGCTCTGCCCGATCTTATCCATGACTTTATCGAGACTTGGGCCAATCGGGCGGATGACGGTTCGAAAGGTCTTGTATACACGCCTCATCTCGGTCCTGGGCCGGACGACGATGACTCGACCTGGACGGTGACCACACCTCACGAATTCAATTCGAACGGACATCTCATCGTCGAACCTGTTTCGACTTTTGGCAAGGCACCTCCTGCACCCCATCCGATCCTGACACTCATCCAACGCGCCGAGCACGAGTGGAACCACAAAGTGCAACGGCAGAGCAAGACGTTGAGGGAGGCCGTGTACGAGTATCGGAAGCGGTACCGGAGGAATCCACCCAACCGGTTCGACGAATGGTGGGCTTATGCCAAGGCGAATAGGATCGTCCTCACCGACGAATACGATCAGATTTTCAAGAATTTACAGCCGTTCTGGGCACTGTGAGTGATCATGGGTGATATCTAGTCCCAAGGCGGACGTAGACATATTTACGTGGATGTATTTTCGTTTGTGCAGGGAGCCGCATGACCTAAAGCATCGCGTGCTCGTCATGCAAGAGCGAGAAGAAACTTTTACGATTCAAGTCAAAGACGGCGAGGTGTTCGAGTTGGGCGAACAAGCACAATTGAAACGAGCCAAGGATTTGGGGGAATTGATCGCCAGATTTTCGAAGCATGTGCCGAACGTGAACCTGACCTTCACGCGACATGACCAACCGGCTTGCCAGTTGGGCTGGTTCCATAAGGAACGAATGCTTGAGTTGGCCGGTGAAGGCGAACGTGGGTCATTATCTCTCAGATTTGGTGAAACTGCACGGACTGATCAAGCTCAACATGAGTATACATACTTTGGACCCTCCGAATTCATCGCCGAGAGCGATCTGCCGCTCACCAACTGGGCAAACGGGTGTCCCCCCGATTCGCCGCTGCGCAAGATCGAGACCGAGGTCCTCGAAGCTGCTGGTCAGCAGGCCGACAAGGCTTCCATCCAGGCCAAGCTTCGAGAGGCGTACGCGACTGAATTGTCACAGAAGAGGTCTTACATCTACGACTACTCTTCCGCACTCGACATCTGCCAGCATCCTGAGATTATGCCCCTGCATGGTTTCACGACCGCGATCGGCACCAACCCAGGGCCACTCGTCCCTCTCTTCACCTTCGCCAAGACCAACATCCACTCCGACATTCTCGTCACACCTCTCGAGCAGTACTCGGATAATTACATTGGCTACGACCCGGACTGGGAGAAAAAGGAGTACAACAAACTCATGTGGCGTGGGTCGACGACGGGCGCCGAGTTCGCTGTCGGGTATGACTGGAGGACTTCTCAGCGCGCGCGATTGCATTTCTTGACGAACGATCTCAAGGGTCAAAAGAACGTCTTGATATCCGAGGAGGAAGGACCGATCAGGGAAGAGATGATGCAGATGCATAACCTCAACAAGGCGCAATACGACGTGTCGTTCTCTGGTGGTCCGGTGCAGTGCGACGACGAGACGTGTGCGATCATGAAGGAGATCGAATTCAGGCCGACGATGGGCTTGACCGATTCGTACAAGTACAAATATGTGTTCGATGTGGATGGCAACGGCGTGAGTTGTGGCTCTCTAGGATCCCCGTGGTTCCTACTCACCTACTAATGGAATGTGATTTGTCTCGGACTTCTCATTCTCACAGTGGTCCGGTCGTTTCCACCGCCTCATGTCGATGAAAGCGTGCGTCTTCAAATCGACTCTCTTCCCGGAATGGTACGGCGACCGTATCCAACCCTGGGTCCACTATGTTCCCATCAAGGTCGACTACTCGGACCTCTACGACGCTCTCACCTTCTTCCGCGGTGCTCCGGATGGAACCGGAGCGCACGATGAGTTGGGTAGGAAGATCGGCTTGCAAGGGAAGGAATGGGCGAGGGGCCATTGGAGGAAACAAGATATGGCGGCGTACATGTTCCGCTTGACGTTGGAGTGGGCGAGGGTCGTGCATCGCGCGGATGAGAACGTCGATCCGGCGAGTCTGGACTTTGAGTTCTTTGATTAGAAGTATGTGGTGCTCGAAGTAGTCCGTTCCTTATCTGTATAAACAATGTAGCCCATCATACCCAATTCCGATCGAGCTGCGTCACAGGACTTTCAGAACCACACCATTCATGCAAGTATGCGTCCTTGAATCTTTGCGTTTCGCGTTTTTTACTTATAAGGTGGGTTGCGCTTCTGCTTTTTTTTTTTTGCAGAACCAAGAACAACATAAAATAACAGAACAGGGGAGAATGCGTCTCGCAAACGATTCGCCCTGACAAGCGAAATGTCAATCCTCAAGATCCAAAGCTCCCAGAGTAGGCACCGCTGTGATCGGGCCAGCCACTACTACCAGAACCAATCTGACTCGGAGGTGGTAGACCAAAGCCACCGCTGATGAATGGGAAGGCCGAGGGCGATAGGTCTGACTGAGACCCAGTCGGGACGGGTCCGAAGGTCACATTCGAGGAAGGGAAGAGGGGCGAAGTATGGTAGGGTAAGGGGTCGAAAGGACCTGGACCGCATGGCGTGCTTGAGGGTGGGTAGTAGTTCGAGTGCCTTGGGACCATCGGACCGCCACCAGGAGGCGAGAAAGGCGAAGCAGGGCCGAACAAGCCTATCGGCGCCGCGGACTGAGGTTGAGCCAATCCCGGAGGCGCACCGAGAGGAGAAGGGGCGGCGAATGATCCTTGCCGCTGAAGCAACGAAGGCGAAGAGTGCCCACTTTCATTCGAAGTCGGAGCCCAGATCGAAGAGGTCGATCCGCCTCCGACAGGTGACTGCGTAGGAGCGTAGGAGGCACCTTGATGAGTCATGTTGGGCAACGCTTCGAACGAACTCCGTGAACCTTGGTGTGGTGGTGGGAGAGCGTGGTGCGCTGCCGGAACAGGAGAATCGCCCGGTGGACGAGCCCAGAGCGATCTCAGATCCATCGAATTCCGCTTCGACGACGCGGCGGAATTGGATACAGGCGTGCCTATTCGAGGTGAGATACCCGCCGAAGGGGGTGTTCGTGTCACCGTCCCGATGTTGCCCAAATTCAGTCTTGAGCGATAGACGATGTGCCCGTCATCATCATCGTCATCATCTTCTTCCTCGTCCGTGAGGTCCTGCATTTCCAGTCGATCCGCAGCGGCGATCCTCATCGCCAAATCGACGGGATCATCTTCGGTCGGCTCGGATCCTTCATCCTCTTGTTCGAACAGATCAAGCGAATCCACCCCTCTGGACAATGCCTTTGTTGGCGACGAGGCAGGTATGGGGACGGCTTCGGCTTCGTCCTCTTCGTCCTCTTCCTCGACTTCATCCTCTATGGTTGGGGCGGCGGAGGATTTTGGCGGGGCCAGAACGAAAGCGCCAAGTTCAACGATTATCGGGCAGATCTTGGAAGTGTGATCGGAAAAATCAGCCTCATGGGCAGAGCAGAGTGCGAACGATGTTTCAAGCTTACCTCGGATTCGACGATCAGCGCCGCATCGCTCTGCAACTCGGCAATGCGCATCAGGTGCTCCTCGTTGGGATGCACCTCCTTCCCCACTTTGGATGCCTCAACAGCCAGATCTGTCCCTTTGACGTCCTTCATGCTTCTGCGTAGCGGAGCAAAGCCGAGTAGATCGACATCCTCTTCCAACCATAGTCCACCATCCGGTGGACTAGGGAGGCCTTCGGCAGGGAACACCAATTTGAACGAATTCGCGAAATCGGCGTACGAGGTCCAGAACGCCGTCAAGGCGTCTTCGAGCGACGTCGAATTCACATGATCCGTTTCCATCGACTGGTCCTGGCTCGATTCGACATGTTGCCCATCGCTGACCGAGCTGCTGCGTTGGGTCGTGTCGGCCTGGGACGCCTGAGCAGCGCTGTCAGCGGCGTTGGCTCGACTGATCTTGATCTCCTTCGCTCGCAGACGGGATTCAACTCGATGAATATAGTCAAGCTGGCCTGACAACCATTTGGAGAGCACACGAAGGACCGGGAGTGCCCGACGGACGACGGCACTGATGTTCTGGGCAAGGTTCAAACCAGGTTTGGGTGCTTGCTTGGTCGTGTCCGCGAGGTAGGCTTCCGCCGTCTCGTTGGTGCAAATCCGGAGTAGAATTGTATAAATGGACAGGACATGCAGGAGGATGTGCGGTTCGAGATTGATGTTGACGGAAGGTGCAGAACCTGCGTTCGAGCCAGCCTCGGCTGATCGTTTCGACGGTGTTTTCCGAGGGTTGCTGCTCGATCGATGTACCCGCGCATACCACAAGGAGCATAATCCGGTCACCACGATCTTGACGATGGTGTCTGGTGATAGCTCTAGCGATGTGATGGCTTGTTGGAAGGAACTCTCGACTTTTGCAGAGAGCGGTGCGATGTCCGAGAGTCTGTGGGAGAATACTCCCCTTGCAGTCAGCCTTCTTGTTCTCGGCAGTGCTCTAGTTCTCGGCAGTGCTCTACCAGATCGCCCGACCCACCTCGTTTTGGTGAAGAGCAAACCGTGGAGCGCGATGAAAGCAGTGACAAAGTCAGGTGTGGGCTCGCGCCTCCCACTCGGCCGTTCGAACCATCGTGTGACCGCCTTGTTGAATGCCAACTCGAGGTTGATCCGCGCTGTCGGGAAGGGTATACGCACCGAGAGGGCGCGGAAGTAGTGGTAGGTGGAAGAAAGGGTATCGTGTGTATACCCGGATATTACGGCGAGTTGGTTAGATGGATTGCCTGCGCAAGTCGGGAGCGATAGACCGTTAGCTGATTGGACTAGAACCGTTTCGATCCATGGCCAAACGAAGCACTCACCGTTCTCTGGTATCAGCAGCCTTGCTTGGGTGTAACACGCTGAAGCACGAGAATAGTTCTTTGGCTTGCTGCGGTCAGAACCTCCGGCCGAGGTAACCTTACTCTTGTTACCTCTCCGCCCGCCCCGCTCCTTGGCCTGCGGACCCGAATGCTCGTTGAAAAGCTCGCGGTACCGTGCTAAATCCCCGAAGCAGATGAGGGCCTTGTGAACGAGTGGCACCGCCTTTGATCTGGCTCGGCGCTTGTCTTCTTCCGATGTCGGAGGGAGGCCTTCCACGACCTCTACCGGCTCGACAACGACGCCGAGGGCGTTGAACCCTTCGAGATCATTCGGGCTGAGATCACTGGCAAGTCGACCCAATAGTGTGGCAAAGTACTCTTCCTCCTTGGCCAGGAAGGTTCTAAAGGAATGTACGAGCTTTCTACGAGCGGTCGGCCCCGGCGGTGGGGGTTCGCCTCGCGCTGCTCCTCCTCCGCCTTTGCGATGGGCCTGAGGCGCTTCGGCGAGGGCCTTGTCCATGGCCGAGATGCGTGATCGGTAGGCGTTGATGATGGAATGGGATGTCTCGAGCCATAGCGAGTTGAGAGCTTCGAGTAAGCGAGCCGAATGACTGGCCGAGGGCGAAACGAGCGAGGTCGTCGAGCCGAGGGTATTGGATGGTCCAGAGACTGGGTTCGATGACGACGCGGCCAAGAGAGCAATCGACGAGGACGTTCCTACAGTGCTGGAGAAGAGGACACGCGAATAGGCTGTACGAACACTGCGCGCGGTGCGGCAAGCAGGGCAGGAGTCAGGAATTGGAATTGTCAGTTCCAAGTCGAGCTGCCCCGATGGCTCTCGCGAGACGCGTCGGAGCATGGGATGGAACTCACCTCTCTCTCTGAAACTCGACTTCGCGATCCCACGGGTCTTTGCGTTTGATGGCGGTGCGCAAGTCGAGCGTCAACGCCTTGGCCTCGCTGCGAACCAGCCACACTCGAGCTAAGTTTAGTCGAGCACACCACACAGCGGGGGGTGCGATACTCACCGGAGTAAGGCGGCCACACTCTGACCGCCGATAGAAGGCTTGCTGGATCGCGAAGGGCGCCTGTCGTACTCGGACGACAGCTGCGGTGCGACGCGATTCGCGAGGTCGGAGCGAGTCGCGACCAGCCGAGGAGGAGCGGCGGGTGCTGCTGCTGTTGCTGCTGTGGGTGAGCCCGCGGCGGCCATGGCGTGGGTATGCACGCGGACAAACACAACTACAGGTGAGGAGGGTGCCCAGAGGCTAGTGATCGAATAGACCAAGTTCCTTGTGTCCCCGTTCACGTCATCAGAGGGTTGCTGGGCGTGGTCAGACAGAGCCGGCAGGGCACGATGACGTTCCAGGGGGCAACCGCAGTTGGTGTGTTGGGAATGAGGGTTAGGAATCGCGCGTTCATTAGTAATCTGTTTAGAAGCGCTCGTCTGTTTAGTGAAGCCTGGCGATAATGAACGCGCGATTCCTAACCCTCATTCCCACATTCCCAACTATGTACCGCAGCGCGCTCCCGCTCAGTTCCCGCTCAGTCCCGCTCTCTCCCGTGGGCCGTTGGTCGCACGGGCTCGGTCCAGACCAGAGTTCATGCCGCTGAGTTGAGCTCAATTGGGAAATCGGGCCGGGTTGAGATCCTGCTGGCTTGAAGATCGAGACACGGAGGTTCACATTTTTGCCCATTTTTTTGGTGGCTGGCAGCTCCACTCTGGACGGCATAGACCACACCGTCGGCGCAATATCCCGTGGCCGACTCTGTGCGACGGCTCTCCTTTTTTGACTTCGCCTCACATCGTTGCGCGTGACTCAGGAGCTTCTCACTCCTTTCGATCACTCCCTCGGAGCGGAATCGCGACCATTTCAGACCTCCCCAAGTGCCATCACCAGGTCCACTACTCTCTCATGTGCTCTCACCAGGCGCCTTAAGCGGTGGAAGTTGATCGTTCTTCACGCATGGGTCAAGCACTTTCGTTCCCATCCAAGTCGTCGTCATCGTCATCGTCGCACGAGCGTCCGGGACTGGCACCGGAAACAGCGTCCCATAAAAAGTGCGCCACTTTATCACATCAGTCGCTTCGCTTAGTGCAGCCCTTTCAAGCTTCAAGCTCCAGACGATTACAGACCGATCGAGATCCAAACTCGGATCCGGCTCGAATCCGGCCTATGCAAATCACCAAGTCATCGCTGGCACAGCCTGGTCGGATCAAGAGCTTTCAGCCCAACACGATCCCGCCGCCGCCCAAGGCCCAAACTGGATCACTTAATTCCTCAATCACATCTATACCCGCTGGTCCTTCGACGTCGCTCCCACCACTCGCACGAAACCTGCCCGTCTCACCCGCTCTCGAGAAGTTCCGCTATCGACCGCCACCCGAGCCGACCTCAGACGAAAGAAGCACCGATCAAGCCTCCTGCGCCCCACAATCACCACGCAAACGAATCAAGATCCAACCCATTAGTGAGGATACCGATATCACTGAGTGCAAGTCGTACACCGGCACGGCTGAGCCTACCGCTCGCCCACCACCTCTTCCACCCCCACCGACGCTGATCCTGCTACCCGAGTACGACGAGTTTGGCGAGATCGTCACACCAGACCCACAATCTTCGCAGGATCATACGCGACCAGACTTACTCTCTCAAGATTGCGAATCGAACGGTCAAACTTTCGAAACCGACTTGTCGTCATCGATTGAGCTACCCAGTCAGCTTGCTCGGCGTATTCGGCTGGGTCAGTCGAGCACTCAGCCTCGCCCTCACTCGATTCACGGAAGGGGTTCCGGCTTCGGCACGCAGCCATCGGATCCCGACGAGGTTGATTGCTACGATGAAACCGATCTCGGGGAACGGGAGACGTCAGAATATCTCTCCAGGATCCTTGAGGAACTCGAAGCCAGTGGCAACCTCGAGGCCGATCTCGCCTTTAGCGACGACGAAAAGGACGAGCTCGAAGCCGCCGTCCCCGTGTCTGCTGCAGAAGGGACCGACGACCGGTGAGTAGACATGATATTCTAGCTGCTGAACGTTGGTGATGCACGATTTGACTGTGAAGACCTCTGGACCATGAGCAGCTCGCAAGAACCTCCACCCTCGGCCCCATGGGGATCACCGAAGCCCGCCCCTAAGGCGTTCGGCTCGGAAGCAAATGATATTGCACCATTCGCGAATCATCAAAAGGGGAGCCAAGTGCATGCAGATCCCTGTTCTTCTTCTGCTCTCAAGTTCGGGACCGACCTTCTCGATCTAGTGTCGTCCCCGTCGGGGCCTCTTCGCGCACTCTCAAGCGAGGCCGCCGAAGACAAGGTCCAGAGACCGTCAGTCGAGCCTCGCACACCTCTGGGACCAAGAACGAGCCCGCCCGCACCGCCCAAAGGGAATCTCATACCTGCTCATCCAAAAAGAAAATGCACCTCGCTCGACTACCTCATGGCCAAGCACACACCCGTACCCGAACGACCGACCCACCGCCTCGTGCCGCTAACCCCTGAAGGTCTAACGACTCACCTCACGCGCATGCTCGATAGCTATCGCGGCGAAACGGCGGCCACGAAAGCGCTCGTCGAGAGTCATCAGATGATCATCGATGAACAAAGTGATGAGATCGTGCGATTGCGAGGCGAATTGAGGCGACTTGAACCAACGGAACGACGGTGCGAAAATTTGACCAATAGGGTTGAGGTACTTGAGCAGATTCGGAGGGGTTTGTTGGATATGCTGGAGGACAAGGAGAATGAATGTCAGGCTCTTCGGAGTGAGCTAGAGTGCTATAGGGACAAGCTTGAATCGGATGAAGAGAAGGACGCCGGTCAGTAGATAGCGGAGATTCGAGCAATGGGCAAGTCCTGCCGCCGTCCTCCGCGGACTGCGTCAGCGACGTTCGCTGGCCACTACTAGCTGGTCCGAAAGCGAGTTCGACTCCAGAATCGGAGCCGAATGGAAGAGAAGGGGCTTGCACACCGGGTGTTCTCTGTGGTAATACGACGCACTCAGCTAGCACAGGACATGCACGCTTGAACCTTTCGTTTCCGATAATTATGCCGTGTCCAAAACTGCGACGGCGAAGTCGGTCAATTCTGATCGAGCTGGACCGTCCGTCGGCGAAAATGCGTGTTAAGTTCGTCTGTCTGCACAGCAAAGTTGACCTGAATCGCCCGAGATGTGGCCTACTAGTAACATTAGACTGCTTGGCGCTAGTGGTGTTTTGCAAGCTGTGCAGGACGAACCACGGTAATTTCTAGTCGACGGCACGGCCCCGGCAACGACTAGCATGATCGCGTCGTCTTTGCCCTCGTCTCGTCGTGAAAAACCCGGCCAACGGTCGACCGTACGCTTCAGCGGGGCGCCGGGCGGCCATTCGAAAGAGGTCGCCAAAGGTCGCCCCCCCACAAATCGGAGGAGCGGAGCAATCTGGATTTCTGATCTCTCTCTCTCTCTTTCTCTCGTCCCCCTTATCGTCCCCCGCTACCCACAACTTCATTCTTTGACCCTACACTTATCAACATCAAATAATGGGAAACCCTGCCAACCCTTTGCCCACGGACGGAGTTGTGGGCCGTTTGACCGACAAGCAGGAGAAGGATCTCAAGGTCAGTCAGTCGTCGGCCGGCGTCGTCACTTTGTCGACGAGCGTCATACCCGCATGCGGGGGGCTGACGGCGCTAACCCCTCGTTCCCCGTGCCTCTCCTCGCCCTCGCGTTCGTATTGAGCACAGGCCGCATGGGGCGAGTTCCTCGACTTGATCGACAACGCACCCACGGAAGGTAATGGCAAGACCACCTCTGTCGAAGTTAACACCGATAAGGGCAGTCAACCCAAGGTCAGTTCAAAGTCGAGAGCCTCAGCGCAGAGGCCAGCATGCAGTGGGGGTTGTGCCGGCTTGGAGACGGTCGCCTTCCGCGCTTTCGAGCTTTCGAGGTCGCCGCTCCGTGAGGCCGAGCCCGTGCGCTGACGGGTTCCCCACTTGCGCCGAATTTCCATCCAGGGCGATGACGCCAAGGCCGCTGCTCGTGCCGAACAAGAACGTGCCGATGCTGCTGCTGCTTTCCAAGAATGTGAGTAAACTCATCTTGGGAAACGTTGCGGCACTGTAGTGGGACACGCGCAGCGACCTTGGGCCATGGCCAGGCCGGTCAGAGCGAGTAGTCGGCAACTAGCCTCGCTTTGCTCAAAGAGCCTATAAGGCCTTAGCGGTGTTTCGGTGACAAGTCGGAGATACTGATAACCCGACATCGTGTTATTCACCAGATGGGAGTCGTCGATTTGTCGCCTCGTTCTGGCGATTGGTGAGCCCCGTCCGCCCAGGGAGGGCTAGCGACGCTTGTACTGACATGTAACGCATCGATCAGGTTGCCATGGATGACCCCGATGGAATCATGCTCCGCTTCTTGCGAGCACGAAAATGGTCCGGGTCCGCCGGTATCGCCATGTTGTGCGCGTGCATCAAATGGCGAATGGGTAAGTCGGACTTGCTGAGCCCAGCCTTCGAGTCCATCAAGTCAGGTTCCTGAAGTGTGCGGTTGCGCTTTTACCAGGTGGTGACGTTGAAAAGATTTTCGAAAAGGGTGAAGAAGGCATGAAGGACGCGGAAGGTTTCATCATGCAGATGGTCAGTGCTTACCCCGGAGCTCAGCCCAGCTCCATTGGTCACCTCGCTAAACCGACGCCTCTGCCGGAATCAAACAGGAAACCGGGAAGACCTACACACAGGGTACTGATCGCTACGGACGACCTGTCGTCTACATCCACGTCGCCAAACATCGCACGTTCGACCAGTCGCCCAAAGCGTTGGAAGATTTCGTCGTCTTCCAGATGGAGTCCGTTCGTTGCCTCTTCTCACCCCCCGTTGACAAGATCGTCATGGTCTTTGACATGACTGGTTTCGGTATCCGTAACATGGATTGGCGATGCATCCTCTTCATCGTCAAGTGCTTGGAAGCCTACTACCCTGAATCCCTCAATGTCATGCTCATCCACAACGGTCAGTAGCGGCCAGTCCTCGTCTCAAATTCATGGTCATAAGCTCATCTTTCCAATCTGCGTTGCATTCAACAGCCCCTTGGGTCTTCCAAGGTATCTGGAAGGTCCTCGGTCCCATGCTCGACCCTGTCGTGCGTGCCAAGATCGATTTCACCAAGTCGACCGACGACTTGGTCGTTCACATCCCTCGCAACCACTTGGTCAAGGAGCTCGGCGGAACCTCTGCCTGGACATGGAAGTACCCTCCCATCAAGCCAGGAGAGAACGCCGCACAGCAGGACAAAGAGGGGCGGAAAAGGTTGCAGGCCGAACGCGATGACTTGATCGGGCAGTACACCGAATTGACACGCCAATGGATCAAGTCCGACGACCCCAACATTGCCAAGCAGCGTCGCATCATCATGCTCAAGATGAGGGCGCAGTACTTTGTCCTCGACCCTTACATCCGTGGTCGTGGTGCTTACGTAAGTATCCGTCTTCTTCAGCTGGTGTTCAAAAGACATCGCATTTGACGCCAATCGCTTGGTCCTCTCCTCAGCACCGACATGGCAACATCATCGGCAACGGTCTCGTCACGTTCGACTACCCCTCCTCGTCCGGCGAGAGCGAAGGCGAGTGGGAGACGGCGGGTTACGAGACGTGCAAGGAACAGTGCCAGCTCGAGGCGACCCAACTCGAAGCCGAGCTCAAGGCCGCCGGCGTCAGCGTTGGCGGTGGTGGTCGAGGTGGCAAGCGCCACAAGTAATCGCGTCGCAAGAGTCGCCAAGACTCGAGAGCGATGATGATGAGTGATTATAAACTCGAAATTTCTATATGACCCTTTCGCTGTGATCTCCCTCTACTCTGCCATGCCCCTGCCATGTGTTCACCTCCGTCACCCCGATTACGAGGGAGGGTATTGTAGGCTCATCATTTACGGGTGTGATGCGTATGATTCTCCTTTGACTACTACCCTTGAAGAACTTGTTCAGTGTACTGTATATCCATGTGACACATCTTCATACTCTTTCCGGGCCGTCGAATGTAATCGGACCACTTAACCGAGGCTGCGTCTGAAAAAAATGATCGACCAGAGTTAAGGGAAGTAAGCCGGTCGCTAGGCGCGAATTGCAAACTCGGTGCACGTTCAGCGAGAGTGGGAAAAGGTGCAAGCGCCCATTGTTCTAGAACCGAATAGTTCGAGAAAGTCCAACAAATACTCTCCCGTCATCATCATCAGGGGTCTCAATTGCTCTCGATCGTCAAGTACCCCTCGGCGTCCTCGAATTAAGGATTGGGCGGTGGTGGGAAGCCCGGAGACTATAATCGCTCTCACGCGGATTCCACAGAGGTCGCCGATTCGCCGCCGGTGGTGACAGCCAAGGCCCGTCGAGACTCTGCACGCGCGTGTTGGGATGCCGGGTGTATTTGGTAGAGGTCGGAAAAAAATGGTGTGAGAGACGAAAATTTCAATGATTTGAAAAAAGTCGAAACAGAGCTTGTCGAGGTGGCGAGGGGCGGACGGAATTTCGTCGAGCGGAGTCACTTCGCCCCGCTTCGATCCCAAATCCGACGCAGAAGGTTGCCACACGCCCCGCTCGCCGCAACCCCACTTGATCCCGTTTCCCCGTGCCGCTCACAAGAAGGCGCTTTCACCTTCTTAGCCTCCACTCAACACACCCCTGCGAGTGCCAATTCCATTCCCAACATGTCGGTTCAACTCTCGACGCCGTACAATGCGAACCAGATGGAGGTGCTGTCCGCGATTGTCGATGCCATCTTCCACGAATGCGACGAGAACGAACTGCTGTCGGTCGCGCCCGAGTCGTTCACGAGCGAGCAGCGGGAGCATGTGCGCTTCCTCGCTCGAGCAAAGTACAGCGCTGTAAGTGCCATGGCTGGTTGTGATCTCCTGGGCTCCGAATTGACCCTGCGTTCCCTCCCTCTGACCTGTCTGCCTTGTTGCCGCTGTATGTGCCGGCTCCGTGATGGTCCACGCATTCGGCGCAACCCATTTCGTGCGCTTGGACCGTTCCCTGCTGGCCAACCAGTTGCCCGGTGCCGTCCCAGCCTTGGCTCACCAATTCGCCATCTCGCTCTCCAAAATCAATGTCGATTCGATCGGCCTCGTCCTGACTCTACTTTCGACCCGTGCCGGAACACTTGTGTTGACCGGTCACACCGGCTTTTTCGTCAATTTGTCGGTCGAGCAACGCGAGCAGATTCTCAAAAATTGGGGATCGTCCAGTCTGGCGTTGATGCGCCGAGTGTACCGAGGATTCGTCTGTGAGTCTCGGGCCTGGGTATTCAAGCTGTGGTCTATCATGTACGCGAATAAATAAAACTGATACCTCTTTTCCAACATGAAGCGGTCGCATTGTATGTCGCCTACACCAACTTTGACCAAATCGCGCTCGCCACCGGCTTCCCTGCGCTCGGCGAGGCGAACCGATTCGCCGACAAGAACCGCCTGCGTAACCATTACGCCTTCGTCTTTGAGAATATCAGCGTACCGTACCAGTACATCGATACCGATATCCTCGTCGTCGGTTCCGGCGCGGGTGGGGGCGTCGTCTCGTCCGAGTTGGCCAAGAAGGGATGGAAGGTGCTCGTGGTTGAGAAGGGCCCGTATGTCCGACCTGAAGACATGTCGGGCAAGCCGAGGGACGGATTTGAGCAGCTCTATGAAGGTGCAGGCATGATCGCTACCGAGGATGGTGCGATGAACGTTCTTGCCGGATCTACTTTTGGAGGTGGAACGACTGGTGAGTGACTCACGAAGGAACTCCCGAGACGGAAGATGTGGCGGCTGATCCAGTGCATGTGTTTGGCATCGAAACAGTCAACTGGTCCGCATCGCTCCGACCTCAACACTATCTGCGTGAGCAATGGGCGTCGATGCACGGCTTGGACTACTTCCTCTCGTCCGACTTTGCGGACTCGGTCGAGTACGTCTGCAACAAGATGGGTGTCTCGGCGGAGCACCTCAAGCACAACAAGCCCAACTCGTTGATGGTTGACGCTTCGCTCAAGCTTGGATACCCATGTGCTACCATCCCTGTAAGCGCACTTGGCTCAACCGGTTGCAATTTGGACGCTTATTTGACCGCCCCTTTCACAATTCCCAGCAAAATACCGGCGGCACCGCCCACCCGTGCGGTACCTGCGGCTTCGGCTGCGTCTACGGCGAGAAGCAGTCCGGTCCCGTTTGTTGGCTCAAATCGGCGGCTCAGGACGGTGCCAAGTTTATGGTCGAGACGACCGTCGAGCGTCTGCTCTTCGCGTCGACCCGCAACTCGCCGCCGCCAACGGTTTCGAACTTAAACGACTTTTACCCCAGCGCGACGAGGCGCCACTGCATCGGTGCGCTCGTCAAGGACGCCAAGGGACAGACTGCCGTCATCCGTGCCAAGCAAGCCGTCGTCGTCTCGGCTGGATCGATCAACTCTCCCGCCGTGTTGATGCGTTCGGGCCTCAAGAACCCTCGCATCGGCCGCAACTTGCGCTTACACCCGACGACGTACGTCACCGGTTTCTTCGACGAGGACATCAATCCTTGGGACGGCGCGATCATGACCGCCGTCTCGACTGTTCACGAGAACTGGGATGGCACACATCACGGTGTCAAGATCGAGGTCATCCAATCCTTCCCCGGTGGTCGCGCGGCTTCGTTCCAACCCTGGGCCGGATCGACGGAGCACAAGAAGGCTCTGGTGCAGTTCGGCAAGTCGTCGACGCTCATCGCCATTTGCCGTGATCGAGGCTCGGGCCGCATCTTCCTCGACGAGCAGAACAAACCTCGGTTCGACTACGTCTTGGACGCTTACGACGCTCAAGGCCTGCTACGAGGTATCGTCGCCATGGCCGAGATGCACCTCGTTGCTGGAGCGAATCGCATCCTCACGACGCAGTCCCTCGTCGAGGACTACATCCCCGCGCCGGGCCACAAGGGTCTTTCCGACCCCGCTTGGAAGGCCTGGATCGCCAAGGTGCAAAAGGCGGGTGTCAAGCCGACCTTGTGCGGTGTCGGGTCCGCCCACCAAATGGGCTCGAACCAGATGGGGACCAAGCCGACGAACTCGGTCGTCGATCCTCGTGCGCGCGTATGGGGTACGCACTCACTCTACGTCGCCGACGCGTCCATCTTCCCCACGGCTTCGGCGGTGAACCCTATGATCACGAACTTGTCCTTGTCGCACTCGGTCTCTCGCTTCATCGATGAGGATCTGCGTGAGAAGCTCGCGCTCCCCATCAATGCGAGGTTGTAGAAGTACCCGGACCTCCTGTGGCTTACTGTGCCTTCTCTGCCCTTATCTGATGGCTCTCATTCTTTGATCTCGACCAATTGTGACACCTCCTTGTGCTCTACCCGTGTTGCTCCTTATCTTTTATTTATCTCCCTATTATAGTCTGAAGTGTCGAAAATGATGTGATAAATGGTCTCATCGTCTTGCGTGCCTCCTCCCGAAAAGAGTCTCGTGCGCCATAACATAATACCTGAAATGCCACCCGACGGACTACAACATGCTGTGAATTACTACCTATCTCCGCCGACCCGTCGTTCTCGCACCCGTCATCTTGTCCCTCTTGGCTCGTCTGCATCAACCAAAAATAGATAGAAGTCAGTACCTCCACTCTTGCCAAAAAAACAAACAAACCCCACGTGACCAAGAACGAGCAAAGGGTACGTACCTCAGGGCCCTATCCCTCTCAGCCTCCTTCTTATCCATCTCGTCCAACGTCAAAATCTCGACGCTCGGACCGAAATCCTTCGTCTCGTTCCAATCCCTCCAAACGCCTTCCAAAGGTCTAGGACCACGACGTCTAGGAACGCCACCTTCTTCATCCCCGATCAAACCCATTTGGAGACAATCTTTCTTGAGCCGGTGCAGTTCTTCGTAGATCGCTGTGGCGATGAGGGGGGAGGCGGAGGAGGGGAGGGAGATGTCGCGAACTAGGACGGAGGCGAAGAGTTCGGGCGTGAGGGACGATGAGAGGTCCCATTCGATGCGGTCGACGAGGTGCAGAGTGCCGACCATGACGTTGAGCTGGGGAGACAAATTCAAAGGAATTCGAGGGATCAGGCGTCATCGTTTCTTTCCTGGATTTGGATTATATGTTCTACTCACATGCAAGATGACGCGAAGATCCTTTTCGATCTCGGCGAGTTCATCTTCGGCCGCGCGGACGGGGATCTCGGCGACGCCCATTTGCTCACCGCACTGCTCCTTGATCTGCCTCGCGACTTCGGATGCGCACGAAGGCGGGATGTCGAGGTCGTCGCAGAATATCCGAGCGAAGGATTCGGGCGTGATGAGTTTTTCTGAGGTCGTACGGTAGAGGCGTGAGTTGGGCACGAGGGTTGAAGAAGCGCTCCGGCAGGAGAAGATGGCTGAGCTTACCGTTGATGTTCCATACGAACGAGTCCCTGATCCTGAACGTGTCAACTTCGAGATCGATCTGTATCGGCACGAACACGGCCTGTTGCTCCGCCTGGTCCTCCAACTGATCCTCGGAGCTGAGAACGGGAACGTCAATCAGGTCAGTCTTGGGGGGCGGGGCTGGCATAGACCCGATATTGACACTCACAATGCGCCATGGCGAGTCATCTTGGCGGGCTGTACGATGACCAAGTTCCCCGGGGGCAGTGTGCCGAGGTAGGACTTGCCATCCCCCCACACGACGGCTTTGGCATTCGTGGTCGAGGTCGTGGTCGCGGCGGTGTTGTTGCCGGTCGTCGACGCGAGGTTGCCTGCGCCGGCTGGATCCGGTCCGTCCGAACTGGCGCGCAGGAGATCGTTGCTCGAGCTCGACGGCGCGAGTGACGGTCGACCGTTGCCGGCGGCGGTGAGGTCGAAGCCGGTCATCTCGGCATAGTTGACGGGTGCCCTCGTGCGTTTGCCGAGCACGATCCCGGCCAGAGGAGGGGAGACGGCGCGCGAGGACGAGCTCGGCTGATTGCCGTTGCTGCCGTTGCCGTTCTGGTTCGAGCTGGGCGCGGCGGAGGGTTGCATCAGCGAACTCGTACCGAGTCGCATCCGGGCCGGGTAGGTCGTGTAGAGCGCTTGGCGGGTGCCGTACTCGTGCGGATTCGCGAGCGGCGTCAAGGGCGGCACAGCCGCTGCGGAGGATGAGAGCGTGAACCGCGGTGGCAGAACGGGTCGGTTCGACAGCTGGGGCATCAACGGTGCCGAGGTTGGGGGTCGTGACATGGCGGGCTGCTGGGTGGATGGGTGGATTGGGAGGATTGGGTGTTGTGGTGCGACCGAGTCTCGTCGGTAGTCGGTCGTACGGCGCGCGTGAAAATCGGCGGCGAAGCGAGCAGGGGGTGTATGTGTCTCACTCTGGCTGGCTGGAGATCAGCGTCGTTGCCGGAACAAATATCGTACCACACACGGGAAAGCTGACGGAAGAATGCGGTCAGGCGGGATGCAGCTGTGTGGAGTGGACGGGTCGGAAGTCAAAGCCCAAGCGCGTCCAGCGCAAAGTCACGCGTCGACGCCTGCCCTGGGCCACGCGAGCAAAGACGACTCGAGTCGGAGCTCCGGCAGAGGAGCCCGTACTAACTGGGCAAATATTGAACAGTGGAACAATACCCTTGATTCCCGATTGCACTCCAACACCACACATAATCCAAGACTATTTAAATAACACTATGCAGCGCGCGCCCGGCGGGTCCGGCGCAAATTTGGCAACCTCTTCACGAGGCTACGACCGGGATCATGAAGCCGGCGAAGAACTCACCTAGTACACCAAACAAGAACAATATAGTCAGAATCATAACATTTTCTCCATCGCCTTCGACACTCGGCACTCACCAACCCTCTTCACCTCGTCCAACCCCACGACCAACGAAACCGTCTGATCAGGTCGTACCACCACCACACAACCTTGTTGCTTATCGATCCCAAGGCGTTCATAAATCTGACCATGGCCGGAGAACCAACTCTCATCGTCGGAAAAGATCTTGAGATAGTCACGCGAGCCGAACGCGCCCTTTGGGGGCCAGAGGATGTCGCTACGACGGTTGGACGCGCACAAATTTCGAGTGTGTCAGTGCGGAGAGGGGCTTTCCGGAACGCGGAAATCATACGCACGGAAAGTCATTCGGTTCATGCGTCACCCGCGGGTTAGAAATAATGGTCAGGATCTCGAGCACCGAATCCAAGTCGTCCTTCGGAGGTGTATAGGAACGAATCGGACCGTCCGTCGAATCGAGGTAAGCCGCGACCTCGTCCAAATTTTGTCTTTGCGCCGAGTCCCGAACGTCCCCTGCGAAAAGGATGATCCTCCACCTTCCATCCGACTCGAGTCGATCGCCCAGATGCCAAGGTCTGGCATCGGCCATGGAGACGACTTGGTGCGATTCGAACCGCTTGCCAAGCGGGAGACCAGGCGCGAGGAGGTTGGTAGTCGCTTCGGCGGCGACCACGATCGATTCCTTGTAATGCACTGCCGTGCCCGAGGCCCAGTGACCCATCTTGATCACGAATGCCGTGAACTCTTTCAATGAGACCCCACCTGGTTCACCTTCTTCCGTTGAAGGTGCGGAGGAGAACATGCGCGATAGCTTGTGGTCGAGATCGATCAGCTCTTGAGCGGTTTGGTGCCGCTCCGAGGCGTAAGTAGATAGGAGGCTGGGGTCCGCCTTGCGTTGGAGCACGTGAGCAAGCTTCCATCCTAGATTGTAGGTGTCACTCATTGAAACGTTCATGCCTTGACCGGCTTTGGGCGAGTGGGTGTGAAAGGCATCTGAATTGGAAAGATAGGTGGGGGGTTGCACGGCGTCAAATTCGATAGATGTAGGTGAACAAGCGATCACTCGAAATCCGAAGCAACCCACCTCCGGCAATAAAGACCCTTCCATCCCTCGTGACATCCTTACAGATCCTCTGCCCGATCTCATAACATGTGTACCATTCGACGAACGGCGTCTCGAGCTTGTAAGGGTGCATGATCGCCTGCGCCTTGGCGAGGATCGACGCCGGCGTTACCGAGTCGCGATCGTACCGCTCCCCGGGGTTGATCGAACCGAGTTGGACGTAGAAGCGCACGAGATTGCGCTCGCGTGGGACGATGAGTATAGACCCTTGGTCCTTGGAGTGGATAGTGCATTTGAGTCGACTGTGGGTCGATTTGTCGTACTTGAATGATCAGTGTGACCGTCCAAGTGAAAAGAACACTCGGAACATTGCTCACATGTCGGGAAAGTCACTTCAGAATAGCACGAGAAGGAAAGTCACTCAGCATTAGGACAAAGAGGAAGATCACTTGGGAAGACACTCACGTCTTGACGATGGCATCGAGCACTCCCCACGCAGCTCCCTATCCGACCAAGCAGCAAGGTGAGTGACAGTTGACGCGCTTGAAACCCACAATCGCTCCAACTGGCGTACCGCACTTTCACCGTCGAGGGTCAAACCCAACTGCTTGCGCACCCAACTCCGCGCTCCATCGCACCCCACAACATATTTGGCCTTGATGACCTCTTCCAACCCAGGCTGGTTACTCGGCATCGCTGCATCGGCTTCTTCGTCCGAAAGTAGATTCGATCGAAACATGCCGTTCGGGACCGTGCCGACTTGAGTGGGGGTCGCTTCTTCTTCCGACAGGTGACGGAGCGTGACGGTGATTGCATGGGCTTGGGGGTCACTGAGGAGCGATTCGTCGACTTGCATCGACATGGGCAGACGAGCCCTTTCGACTTCCAAACCATCTGAGAATCGACAGGTCTATCTGGTCTCAGCGACAAGCTCGGCCGACTTACTAGACGCAGAATACTACAACGCATCGTACCGAACTCTTTCATGGCGTCGAGCATGAACCTCTCGATTCGACCTTGAGTCAAGACCGCATGCGGAAAGCGGGATGTTCCGGGTGCATTGTCAGGAGTTCGTTTAGTTCGGACGATCCCGTTCGAGCCGTCGGGATTCCAGAACACCTAATTAAAGACGCAAGACCTTCAGTACAAGGATGCAGAGACGACAATCGAGAATCTATGCAGGCCTTCTTTCTCACCACTTCGTTGACGTGTGCACCTTCTTTGACAAGTCGCTCCGCGAACCCGAAAGACTGAAAAACCTCGACCGTACTGCAGTGAGAGGGCGATGTCGTGGCGCAACTTCGTTAGGACTCGTTCGAGACGCAAGCAAGAGAATTCCTTCAGGTCACCCACCGGCATTGGAGTCCATCGGCTTGACCGGTGAAGACTTTGGTATTGCGCTTGTCGACGATGCGCGTCGAGATTTTGAGCTTGGAGAGCCAAGTCGCGAGCATCACTGAAATTGGTGAACAAGGACGGAACAGCTCAGCCTCATTCGCGCGGGCAGTGATGGGTCGAAGGCTTCCGCATAGCCACACAAATGGGCTTACATCCTGCCGGACCAGCTCCAACGATCAACACATCGACGTGATCAGGCTTCGAAGTCGACATGTTGCCGATGTGGCGTCTTTGGTCAGGGCGATTGAAATGAGCCTGCTAGAGCCTGGCGGGGCCGGGAGTGTTGGCCGGTTGATGTGGGGGTGGGCTCGGCCAGATCGGCGAAAGCGCGGCGGATGTAGAGGGAAGGCGACGCGCTATACTACGAGGTATGTGCGAAGCGAGGAGATGGGTGAAAGAAGGTAAAAGACCGGTCGCCCGTCACATGAGTAGTTGTGCAACACCAAGGTCGGCGCTTGCCAATATCGTGGGGACAGGCAACCGGTCTCCGACGGGGAAGGCAAGCGCCCCGCCGAAGCGCTTTCACCGCGACCCGGTGTCACGAATGGGAGTTTCGCCACTCCAAGTTCGGCCTCTCAGCACCCACGTCATCCGCGTGACTTCGGCCTTCCTGCGCCTCGGACCTCCTCTCCCCGCTTCGGCACCTGCACTGCCTTCTTCTCCAACTATACGCTCACAACCCTCTCGCCCCCGACTCTTACGTGAACATCAACCAAGCTCTATTACGTGATCGTCGGTCTCAACACTATTACGTGATCCTCGTGCCTCGCCGCCTCAAGCTCGTCACCTCGTCCCCGACTCCTCTGGTCTAGTTTCCCAGTTCCGTAGCTCACTTCTCTCTTTCCCTTCTGCAACTCGAATCTCGTCAAAGGTCACATCCTTGCACTCGTCCCTCGTCCTCGCCTCTTGTGAGAAGTCCCTGGAACATCTCCTAACTCATCACTCGCCCTCGTCCTCGTCTAGAGCCCCTTCGTCCGGCTCCCCTCTCCTCTCTTCGTCCTTCGTGATACCCAGATATGACTTTCCCGAGTGGGAAGCACCGTGGATTATATTTCGCGGCTCGAATCCGGCCCTAGTTTGATTATTTTCAGGAGCAAAGCATCCGAGACGTCAACGAGACATTTAATATTTACCCAGGCGAATGACGGCGGGTCAACTTTGAACAGAGTGCACCAGTAGCCGGACTTAACGGACACCACCGTGCTATACAAAGGAGGCTGGTTGTTTCAATCGAGCGCGCGTGGTGCATGATATAGTCCGAAAACTAGTAGTCCCCCCCAAAAAATCGAAGGCCCGGGCAGCGAATCCGGGTCGATGCAAAGCACCGGGCACTACTTAACAGGAGAAGGAGAAAGACAGAACCTCACTAACACGTCGAGCGGCAAAAACAAATGGAGACACAGGGGCTTGAACCCTGGACCTCTCGCAAATACTCAATGATGCAAAGCGAGCGATCTACCACTGATCTATACCCCCTCTCATACATGGCCTGGTACAATTATGCAAAACATATTCTAGGCACCACCATTTTTGAAAAAAAATCCACACACACACACACACACACACACACACACACACACACACACACACACACACACACACACACACACACACACACACACACACACACACACACACACACACACACACACACACACACACACACACACACACACACACACAAGTGAGTTTCTGTGGTGTAGAGTGAGTAGTTGACCTCCAAGCCCGTTAAGCTTTACAGGTCAACACAAACACGCGATGCCGGATCCGCCCGGCGCCGATGCGCCCCCGCCCGAGGACCTATTGGGTGGTAATGGCGCGAGTGATTCATCACTCAACACGCAAACGCGTGAAGCGGTCACTGGAGGAACCGCGAATCCTCCAGCTTGGTCGCCCGAGGCAACTCAGGTCCGGTTGGACCATGAGAAGCTGATGAAGAAGACCTTCCAAGTGCTCGGGATTGTTCCCTCCAGCAAGTCGACCCGCCGACTGATGGTCCTGATGCACGACGCCTCGACCCCGCCTTCGCAGGCGCCAGCGCTCGCACGAGCCGCCCAAAGAGCGGTGCGAAACGACGCAGCCCCGGCCTCCAATGTGATTCGAGTCATTATGGATGGTCCTGGATCACCCAGAGGTCCTGTACAGACCGCGCTGCGCAAGCACTTTGGATTGGCCGAGACGCCGTTCATGTTCGCGCGGCCCGAGGGCGTCGTGCTTGACCCCGAGGTCGAGAAGCTTTTCTCGAAATGCGTGAAGCTGAACCCGATTGTGACGAAAGCCACGAAGAGGTTCCCGATCGCTCGTCACATGTACGAGCTTGTATTCGAATCCGAGCAAGCTTGTCTTGAAGCCGCTTCAGCGGGCCCATTCCCCTACCACGGCAAGGAGATGGTTACCGAGCTCCCCAGCGCCTCTCCCCTTAACCACGTCGTGCAGGTGCGATTCACCTTGCCCTCCTCCTCCAGCGCGATCCCCGCTTCCGTGCTCCGAAAATCTCTCGATGATGCTATCACCCTTTCGTTCGGCCGCGCAGGTCGCACGCAAGGTTATACCCTGATGCAATTACAGCGGGGCCTCGCGGTCGATCCGAATGGCGATCCGATGGCCATGACCGAAGACGGGTTCCACTGCGCGTACCTTCGCTTACATGCTGATCTTTTCCAAGGCTCCATCGAGACGCAGAAGGCCGCGCTCAACGCCGCTTTGCCACAAGAGATCGAGATCCTGGGCGCCAAGTACGGCTTGCGACACGAATTCGAGACGCACTACTGCGCGGTGTGCGATCGCGCCGGACACCAGTGGGGCGCTTGCAGGAAGCCGGTTTCGACTCCGGCCACCGCCGCCCCTGTTCCGGGGGCCTCGACCTCGACTTCGACTTCGACCACCGGCTTCCGAGTTGCTGGAAAGAATGGGAAGCACGGTGGGCCTGCCGCATTGAACTCTCGTGTCTCTGGCGCGAACATGATCCAGCTGGGACCTCGTGCTAACCCCGCAGGTGCAGTAACCGCCAACAAGGACGACGCGAACGACGGCGACGACGAGTCGGTCGTTTCGACCGAACCGGAGGGCGGCGACACTGGGGAAGAGACGTCGACGTGTGCGACCCTGGGCTCAACAAAGGAGACGCAGACGACGACGGCGGCGCCCGTTTCGACCCCGACCTCTCCTTCGCCTTTGTCCGGTGGCACGTCGGGATCATCGGCAACCTCGACAACCTCGATAGCCTCGACGAGTCCTCGACGCCTTCGTTCGAGCTCGGCACCCGGCAACCGACGTGTCACCCGGGCGGGATCCGCCATGATCCTCGGTGCATCAGGGGGTGATGGCTCAGGGGGCAACAGTTCAGGGGGTCACAGGTCCGAGGTGACCGAATTCGAGGGGGGCGGCGCTGAACTGATTTAATCATGATTGAGTCACTCACCGTGTTGACGTTCAACGTCCGATCGATGAAGAACGCAGTCAACCAAGTCAAAATCATCCGTTATCTCAAAACCCTTCGGCCGGCCCCTGCGGCCATCCTCCTGCAAGAGCACCACCTCAGCTACAACGCGTCGCGCGAAGGCTTCGAGAGTGCTTGGCCGGGGGCTTGTATTCGTTTCACTCCTCATGTCCTTACCCTCATACCCGATGGCTCACCTTTGGCGGGCCATCTCCTTTCCTCTACCCCGGTCGTCTTTGCAGGAGCTCCTCGTTTCGACGGTCGGATTCTGCGCTCGGTGTTTCGTCTTGAGGAGCTCGATGTCGAGATCATCAACATGTACGCGCCGGTGCAGGAGGACGATCGTCGCGACTTTTTCGGGCTTCTGCACTTCAACGCCCCGAGACCCAAGATTCTTCGGATCTTGGCCGGCGATCTCAACGATTGTCCGGATGTATCGGTCGACCGAGTGTCCATCACCGATCGCGCTTGGACTCCTGTATCGCACTGGCAGACCTTGCTGTCAAAGATCGCGTTCAAGGCACTCGACACGGTCCGATATGTCCATCCTTGCACCCCTGCATTCACTCGTCCTCACTACCGTGGTAGAGGGGAAGAGCGAAAGATTTGCTCGTGGTCGCGGATCGACTATATTCTTGTCCAATGCAGTTGGGCGAACCGGTTGTTGAGCGCTTCTACGCTCTTCGATGCGCCCTGTTCGGACCACAGACCTGTAGTTGCGACTTTCGCTTTGCCTACATCGAACACTGATGCCGAACCCCCCCTTTCTCTTCCCTCCACGAGCGATTTCATTTCGAGGCTCAACCCAATGGTCTTTGACGATCAAGACTTTGTCGCATCGATTCCCGGGGTCGTCGACGAGGTCTATCGAAGGCTCGAGGGGACCGCTCCGCTCGGCGACGTCTATGACGCCGCTCTGCGGGCGGTTGCAGTCGCTGGCCATGCACGATACCGCTCGACTCGTGCCGACATGCGCCGACTGCGGGCCGAGAGCCAATCCGTCATGGAGGCTTTGGAGGCACGCGGTGAGCACATGAATGAGGCCGAGCGCGATGTGTATGCTCTTGCCAAGTCGCGGTTGGACCAGTTGGCGGTAAAGGAGGCTCAGTGGCTGCGCATTCGTGCGCATGTGCCGTCAGTCGACTCGAGGGAAGGTCAATCGGCAAGCATTCGCACGCGCCTCAACCGCCGGAGTCGCCAGACGAGCATCGTCTCGCTGGAGGATGTGGATGGCACCGAGACCGTTGACATGCAGGAGGCGCTGGGTATTGCTTCACGGCACGCGCAGTCGCTCTTCACGCCGGACCCAGCTCGTGGCGACCCGACGAACGCACGCCGGTCCCTGCTCGACCCTATTCGCGCAGCGAAATGCTACGATGACGACCGCTCGGACCCTACGTTCGGTCGTCGGCTGCCTCGTCAAGCGAGAGTGGCGCTTGACGAGCCCTTCACCCTCCTCGAGGTTGAAGCGGCGTTGAAGAAGACGGATTCGGGGCGATCACCGGGGCCCTCGGGCATTCCGTACGAGCTCTTCAAGGCGCTGCCAACCTACTTTGCTCCCAAGCTGTTGGACTTGTTCAACTCGATTTGGGAGGGCGGCAAAATGACGGCGTCCTTGGCAGAGGGACTGGTGCGGCTCTTGCCCAAGAATAAACCGGGGGCCAATCTGAAATCACTGGGGGCATACCGACCGATCACATTGCGCGAGACGACCTACAAGGTCCTCAGCAAGGTCTTGGTGGCGCGACTCAATGGGGTGCTCGGCGAGCTTTTACCGCCGGCGCAACACGGTTTCATGCCATCAAGACGTTCAGCGGACGCGGGAAGTCATCTCACTCTCCTTCTCGAAAAACTCAAGTCGCTAGGCACTGATGTTTTCCCCGAGGGCGCCCTCTTGTCTTTGGATCAGCAGAGCGCGTACGATCGGGTCGATCACGCCTGGATCTTCGAGGTCTTTGAGGCCTTTGGGTTCGGTGAGCGTTTCATCTCGCTGCTGCGCGCTCTCTACGATCCCGAGACTCTGGGGGTGCGCTACCTTGTCAATGGGTTCCCCACGGACTTGGTGCGGTTGCTGTGTGGTCTCGGTCAGGGGGATCCCCTCTCGTGCCCGGTTTGGAACATCACGTTCCAGCCCTTCCTCGACGCCCTCGTTCGGCGCGGGATCGCGCTCGACCTGCAGAAGGTGTGGCCAGGGGGGCCGCGTGCGCAGCTTACGCATCTGGCGTTTGCCGACGATGCTGTGGTGGTGGTGGAGTCACCGGCGGCATTGTCGAAGCTGCAAACGCTGTCGCAGACGTGGTACGAGGCTACCAACGGGAAGACCAACACGGACAAGACGCTGGTGCTACCACTCGGACCGAACTGGCTTCGGGACGAGACTGCGCAGGCGCTGCCAACGGTGCAGGAGGGGGAGAGCTTCAAGTGGTGCGGCTATGCCTTCTTTCGCCACGGTGACTCGAAACTGTTTTGGACCCATGTTCTTGACAGGATCAAGGCCAAGACCCGCGCCGCTCGAGACCGGACACTTTCGCCGAGTGGGAAGGTTTTCTATGCCAACGCTCACATCATCTCGACGGTCCTCCACGTGCTGTCCTTCGACATACCGCCTCAATGGTTCATTAAGGCGGCGGAGACGGCACTTACGGACTTTGTCTGGGGAGGAGCAGGGCGAAATACCGTCGCTCGCGATTTCGTGTTCCAGGCTCGGGAGGACGGTGGCTTGGGTTTGATTTCGATTGGCGACATCGTTCATTCGGTGGCGCTTCGATTTTGGGATGCTGTGGCGGGCTCGGACGAGGCGATCTGGGCGCCCCTAGCTCGCGAGAGCTGGAGGTCCCTCGTCGCTGCGACCCGCGATTTCAGTCCGTGGGGGTTCTTCAGCAGCACGGCTCGGGTCGAGAAGCTGTATCGCGACTCGACGCGCTGGGGGGCAGTCGTTGCAGCGGCCAGGGTCACAGTTCCAACCATCAAGTCCGAACTCCTTACGCTTCCCGAATTGCTCTCGCTTCCGCCTCGCCTCCCTTCACTCTATGCTGAAGGTGCCCAGCACGCATATGACGATGCGGACGCGGTGGCGAAGTTTGCGCAGATCGCGGACCTGTACTGGAGGGACGAAGGGAAGGGATGGGCTCTGGTTGGTCATCGACGCGGGTTCTGGCAGCACTCTAAGGAACCCGCCCTACAGCACGAGCACGTGTGGTCGCGCGTGGGTCAGTTGCTCAAGGCGAAAGCGTTGCTGCCCAAGACCGCGTTGCGACCTGCTCGGATACCTCTCAAGGAGGCTCCCCGTCCTCGGTGCTTCAACTTCTTTGGGCTCTCCCGACCTTTTACGATTCGCAAGCTTCGTCGGCTTGTGAACAAGGTGCGGTTCCCAGGGAGGGAGGACCGTGTCAAGCGTTTCCCTGATGGGACTTCTCAGAGCGATAGGAAGCGCTTCTGGAGATGGCTTCGTGACCGGTTCGCGTCTGCTGTCGAGCAGGACACCCACTGGCGGCTCATGTACGACGTGACGCCGACGCGCAAGAGGCAGCATACTCAGGGTCATGCCTCTTCGCCGACGTGTCTGTTCTGTGGCAACGATGCAGCGGTCATCGAGACGGTGTCCCACTACTTTTTCGAGTGCGCGTACTCGACCAGCTTCTGGGGTGGGGTGCTACGCATTCTGCTTGACAAGCTCGGCATCGAGGATACCGACGTCGATCCGTCGACGTTCACTCCGGAGCAGCTGACTATGGGGCTCCCCCTTTTGCGGGGTCGTGGGAGAACGACCTCGAAATGGATGTGGGTTCGGCTGGCCTGCGCGATCGGCTTCCAGCGGCTGCACCTGCTCCGCTGGCGCGTTCATCAGCGGTTCGAGCTGGACAACGTCGTGGCCCCTCCCTCGCTTCCCAGTGCGCTCAGAGCGTTCGAGCGAGATTTTCTCTCTCGAGCGGGTTTTGTGCCTGGGGTTCGAGATTGGGAGGTGTGATGACCGAGTTAAGTCCTTCCTTCCCATTTTCCTCCCTTCCTTTCCGGTCAGAAGCTGACTGTCTTGAAACTTGTTGCGCAGTGGAAGGCTGCGCACCTCTCCCTCTCTCTACTTTGTGCAGTAGCGGTTTTCGTTCTTGGATGGATCGGCAAGCCGGTCGATCGTCGTTGCGTTGGAGGCTTTGTGAAGTTCTCCCCTCTCTTTCCCCTTTCTCCCTTCCCTTCCTCTTCTCGTTCCTGTTGCTCGGTTGTTGACTACGCTTCAGCCACTTCTCCTTTTATTCCTAAGCCGTGTGTTGGATTCCGTCGAATACATCGTTCGTTGGCGTTGGTCAAGATCTACGGCATGGATCGGGAAGAAAGGTCGCTCGTTTTTTTGGTCAATATCCTCGCGTCAAGGCGAGGCTTGTTTCGTTGTATTGGATCGTTTTCGCTCGGCCCCGACGGCTCAACAGCCAGCACTCGAGACTCAGCCAAGGGAGGACATCAGGCGCTGTCGGGGTGACGAGTAGCTGGGGCTTGGCTGCGGCCTGTCAGTCCCTGGGGACCTCTAGCTCTGGCTTCGACCCCCTCCCTTGGCCCCTCGGGTGTGTTCCCCTCCTCCTCCCCTCCTCTCTGTCTTAGTATTCCTGGTTCTCCGTGTTTCCAGTCGTGAATTTTTGTATATTCTCCCCTTTTCTTTCTCTAGGCGCTCTTGCCTGGTTTTCGAGTATCTTCGCTCCCGCTCTTGGGACGTGAAGCGGCAGCAGTACTCACCGCCCGTTGCAGTCCGCGTTAGGTGCTCGGCGGGTTTTGATCTGCGCAGCGCTCTTTGCGCGCAGGGGTTTGACTTTCACCCAATTGCTTGCCGTCGTTGCTTTATAACCCCTCTTAGCTCTTTTTGTTACTAGTTTGTTCTTTACTATCATTAGTAATTGGTAGCGGTCCCAGCCAATCCGAAGGATTGCAAGTTATGAGCCCCCCCCCCCCCCGAAAACAAAAACAAAAACAAAAAAACCGATTCCATGTGTATTATCTTCAATCTTCCTTTCATTCATCTCTGGGAGGGAGCAACCGTCGGTGGGGGAGACTTGAGCTCGGATGTATCGGGTTGGTCTGTTCTGCTAGTTACAACGCATCGAGCGGCGGTTGTGGTCATCATCGTGCATACTGGGCAGCATCTCCTTAGTTCCGTATTCCACGCCTTTCCTTGGCCCCCTCACGCCAATAAACCCCCGTTTTCCATGCTCGTGCTGGAGCTTGCGCTTCGGGGTGAAGCGGAGAATAAGCTTGAACCCAACTTCCCTCTCCCTCGCTGTCAGTGCCTTCGAGTTACCGCCTTCCAGAAGCTCCTGAGATCGTCCGGCTGCGGTGGTCCCTTGAGCCCGAGCGTGTTGGTAAAAGCCTTCGCGTTCAGGACCCGGCGGATGCGACGGATTGTGTAAGGTCGAGCCGTGTTCAGCAGCGTATACTTGCTCGCCTGTTGTGGAAGCACCGGGTCCGGAAGGCGCTGCTCCATTGCGAAGCGGGCCACGGGCTTGGGGATGATCGCCTCGAGCGGTGCGCAGGTGCCGATCCGGGGAGGCACGTTATTTGCAAAAAATTATGGAGTTTCGAGCGAGGAACAGGCGATGTTGCGAGAATAGTTGGTTCTAGCAAGAGGGAGTGATTCACACCGCACTCGCCTATCGACTCGCTCGGCGCGCCCGTTGGTCGCCTTTGGCAACCGGCCAAGAGGAGCTAAGAGGAGGCGAAGCGCGCCGATGTTCACGCGTCGCGCTCTCACCGGCTTGCTCTTGGCTTCTCCCCTCGTGAACCACTTCCCACTTGCTTGGTCATGAGCGCCGCCCAATCGTCGTCGGGTGATTCGTCGGGTGATAAATATTTCACCACGCCCGCACGCCCGCACGCCCGCACGCCGGGCTGTTTTACCTGGTCAGACCTGGGCATCAAAAAAGGGCACCGCCAAGCAGAAGGCTTACCCGTCCAACGCCGCTAATGCGAAGTCGAAGGCCCCTAAATGGGATTGGACCGATGCGGAAGTGATTGCGATGTTGGAAGTCCTCAAGCACATATATGAATCAACCGGTACGCAGTCTTTCCCGGACTCGGTCTTCATCAAAGCCAATGAGGCGGTCAGCTGCTTGGATCCTACCAAGGCTGGCTGGCAACTTCAAGAAGGTCCATCAAAAGTGGAATCGGTGAGTCGCGCATGACGCGTCGTTCGTGTCGCTCAATCTGGGTCTCGCACTTCTAACAATACCGGCCTTTAAAAAATGCCCAGTGCTTGGTCGACACCAAGGTTATCAACGAGATCAGGAGCGTTAGTGGCGTCGGATGGGACGAGTGAAAGGCGCGCGGCACCCTAACGCGTGATCCAAAAGTAAAGCAATTTGAATTGATGTAATTCAAATACCGGGTGCCACATTAGGTGCGTAAGGCACAGCTGCCTTACAACGAGGTCAATTCTCGCCCACTCTTGAACGCGGAGCAATGGAGGGCGGTGAGCGTGTCTACTGTGGTTTGTTTTGTCGCGACGCGTCGCTTACTCATCCTCACTACACGATTCCACCAGGCAATCGCCAAATGCCCCAGGGCAGCGATCATCAAGAAATGTCCATCGAATTTCTACTACCCTTTGACGGCGGCGATCCTGGGAAAGGACTACGCCACGGTGCGAGGTCGAGGTACATCGATTTGTACCACATCCTGGACGTACCTCAGATGATCTGGAATCCAGCCTGACAAGGAACAGCTGAAGGAACCTCATTCATATTTACAACACACGTCTGACAGGTTCGCATAACTACAAGTGGGAGAGTGTACCAGTACGCGCACGGTGTTGGCCACTCTTCGAGAGGTCAACCTCAGCCTTGGCCGTTTCTGCCAGCTTCGAGTCGGGCAGCAGCTCGGCCAGCCCCAGGACCTCCGTGCTGGCTTCGGCTCTCGTGTCGACAACGTTTTCGAAGCCAGCCACGGGCTCGAGACCGAAGTGCACTCCTTTTCCTGCACACCGTCGCCACCGACCAGCGCAAGCAAATTGCCGACGCGGAGGAGTCAGCGAGTCAAAGGTCAAGGCGTACAACGAGCGATGACTGTGAGCGCAGAGGCAAGGACTCACTTCGGAAGTGCTTGATTTCATCGTTGGAGAGATGACCGGGGTGAGAACGGGTTGCGATCGTACACCCGAAATGTTGGAACCAGTGTCTACGGACAGGCGCCCAGGACGGCAGCCCTCCGTAAGGAGCGAGCCGTACGGCGAGGTTGTCGGACTCGCGCAGGGGTGGGTTGATACCGGGAAACTTCTTGTTGCATTCTTTGATATAGTTATTTCGAGTGCGATGCATGTCTGTTACGGCGTGCAAGGTAAAAGGTCAGGATGAGCGAACTCGGTGGATCTGCCACGCCATCTCGCCGCTACAGTCAGACCTGAGAAAATTTATATCGCCCAATCTTATACCTGTCAAAATTTATGGACTTTTCAATCTCCCGACTTTTTTGGCTGACAGAACCTGTCCAATCTTATACCTTATAATTTATGGGTTTACAGGTCAAATTATAAGATAAGAGAGAGGCGGAAATGAGCGATTGATCATTGGCCTCTCCTTCGGCGTTCTTGTTGACGAGCCGCCTGCTGGAAGAGTCCGAAATGCCCCGAAACAGCCGAGAAGCGAGCACAGGAGAGCAAAGGCGGCGGTTGACAATGTTACGAACAAGTACGACCCAAGTGACATCTTCAACATGGACGAAACCGGTCTCTTCTACGCTATGCGTCCGTCTACGGGCCTTGCTCGGAACGGTCGAAATGGTGTCAAGATGAATAAGACTCGCATCATTGCGAGACATGAGGCGTGGAACGACATCCGCCCCGAGACGATTGCCAACTGCTGGCGCCACGCTCAAATCTTGTCTGATCGCAAGAACAAAGGATCGACCGACCATGCACCTCTTCCCAACGGTCGCGGGCCTCTCAATGGCGATCGCGGCATCATCAACGCGATGAACGCTCTGAAGACGGCGAATGATGAGCTGGTCGAAAAGGGCATAGTTACGAGCAACGAGAAGATGAGTATCCACTTTCTCGTCGATGTGGGGGAGAAGAACCTTGCTGGTGGGGCTGAAATGACCGATCAGGAGATTGTGGACCTGGTCACTGCCGAAGAGTTGAAGGAGAATTGCGAGGGAGAAGGAGGAGAGGAGGAAGGGGAGATAGAGCTCCGACCGGCGGAGCGAACGACGCTGCAGGAGGCAATCTCCGCGCTTGATGTTTTCCTTAGGTTTGCTATGAATGGATACTCGGGTCCAACGTATTTGATTTCTTTTGAGGACGAGGCTAGGAGGATTCGCAGGACTCTTGTTGCCGAGCAGGATGCTGCGAGGATTCAGACGACAGTGACTTCGTATTTCCAGCGTCAGTAGGTCAAGATATTGTTTCTTGGAGCTTTCAAAACCTGTCAGGTGTCATCATGCCTCAGTAGAGGCCGTACATTGGCTGCAATCAGTAATTCGGGCCTTCTGAATTTCTTCCCCGTCAAAAGTCAATGTATCGACTCAAACGATGCACGAAAATTCTTGATTTGATGTAGAAAGCTTAAAAACGGAGTTTCAGGTCATAATGTAGTGATCTGAAGCCGCACTCTCCAAGCTTATACCTGTCTTAATTTATGGGAAAATCCGTCCACCGAAAATATAAATTTTCTCAGGTCTGACTGTAGTGAGTACCTCTCGCCGACGAGGGGCCATGCGGGGATTGCGGGATCCTGCACTTACAGAGACCGGTCCATATCTCGATCTCGCACACCAGGGGATCGTAGACTTGGGCCAATCGGTAGAAGTCCTTCCAATCGTCGCGTACTGCGGCAGAGAAGATGTTGTAGCTCCAGTTGCGTTGAACCTCGGCCCACCTCTCCTTGGAACGCTCCTCAAACGCCTTGAGATAGGTCTCCAGTTCGTCCCACCTCTCTTCGGAGACGGCGTGCCAGATGACCTCATTCTCGTGGTAGTGGAAAGGCTCGATTTCGCGACTGATGAAGCAGTAGAACTTCGAGACCGTCTCGGGCAAGAAGCGGTCGTGCTTGTCGAGAAGCACCCGCAAGGGAATGCCCATCGGTGCGGCCCAGCACTGGCTTAATGTGGATGCAGAGAAATCGAGGCCTGAGGTCGGAACGTTGGCTCGGTGGCTCGGTGCCACTCACTGATCGAGGATGACGCGCTGAGGTGTTTTCTCGCGTCGATGTCTCGAGAGCCGAGCGTTTGGGCTGGAGGATGGAGGCCCGCGGGCACCTGGACGGCGAGGAATGCCGGTTGCCAAAGGTGGCCATTACCAAGCATTACCACCCTCTACCCGACCTTACCAATATCGCAGAAACGATGCGAGCGCGGAAGTAAAGCCTTCCGATAGGTGAGGGTGCACGACGCCGAGAAGTCAGGACCACAATGTAGAGCGAGTGATGAGAAAGCTACCAAGAGTAAACAGCCGCGCGGGAAGAAAGCCCCGCGCGCTCCCTAACTTAAACAGATCAAACTCCAATACCAAAGTGGCTAATGACTAAACGCACGCGCATCCGCGCAGATACCACAGGCACAGACACATATCAATTAACACTCCCACATGCCAAGGTAGCCAGCGAGACCATCCCGAGTCCTTCGCGATGCGTAGAGAACTTGAGCTTGGATAGGGGTTTTGTCAAGATGCCGGCCGTGTTCAGATCGGTCGGACAGTAGCGGAGATCGATATCGCCAACCTCGATTCGTTCGCGTAGATAGAAATGATGCACATTCCAATGGCGAGTACGACCTCGAGCTCCAGGATTCTTCGCCAAATCGATGCAAGGTTGGTTGTCCTCGTGCAGAACAGTAGATCGACCTTGATTGATGCGAAGTTCGGACGCCAGGTTGCGAAGACCGATAGCCTCCTTTGCTGCGGTTGAAGCAGCCAGAGTCTCAGACTCTGCTGTAGAAGAAGCGACCATCGTCTGTTGTTTCGACTTCCAGGAGATGGCAGCGCCAGCCATGATAACGGCATACGCTCCCACAGATCTGCCGTTGTTGTGATCGCAACCAAACGACGCGTCACTGTACACCTCGAACTTGTTTTCGAAAGTATAGTGTTCGAGTAAGCCTCGAATGTACTTCGATTGGTGGACGAAGATGAAATCCTTGGTTCGAACAAACTCGAGACCGAGGAACGTCTTGACCGGGCCAAGTCGCTTGAGCTTGTAGACCGCATCGAAAGCCGAAATCTCGGAGTCCAGAAAAGCCTGGTCGTTCGATGCAGCAAGCCCATCATCAACATACAATGTGATGATCGCAAACGACTTGCCATGATACTTGAAATACAGACAAGCATCGACATTTGAGCGCGTATAGCCGCGATCCGTCATCAGCTTGTGGAGAGCCGCGTTCCATTGCCGAGGAGCTTGCTTGGTGCCATACATGGATTTCAGGAGCTTGAGAGCGTGACCGGGCTGAGAACCACCAGTCCATCCCTCAGGAACCTTCATGTAGACATCCTCCTCCATGATCCCGTTGAGAAACGCAGAATCATAGTCGAACTGTTCGAGGACGAGTCCGAGAGCGGCAGAAATCGCGATGAGAAACAAGATCGTCGTGATCGACGAGACAGGAGCAAACGTCTCGTTGTAGTCAATCCCAAGTCGTTGAGCAAAGCCTTGGATGACGAGACGAGCCTTGTAGCTGATGATGTTGCCTTCAGCGTCTTCCTTCCGAGTGAACACCCAACGATAGCCCAGGGCGCGAGCCCCGGTGGGTAACCTCGTAAGCTTGAAGACCTTGTGCAATTTGAATGAGCCCAACTCCTTCTCAGAAGCGGCCATCCAGTGTTTGGCCTCAGGAGAGGCCATCGCTTCCGCAAACGTCTTGGGAAGCGGGGGGTGACGAGACGAAACCATAGCAATGAGCTCTGGTGGACGACGGTAGACCGAGCGAGTAGACATGACACGAAGGGCGTCTGCACGACGCTGAGCACGCAGGCGAGTCGGTAAAATATTGCCTGCATCGACGTTCTCGAGCGCACCAGGGTTGCGGCCGACACGGTAAGGTCGATACTCGTAACCATCCTCAGGAGGTAATGGTTGATCGTGTTCCGCAGGGCCGTCGTCATCGTCACTGTCGATAGCCTCAACTGCTTCCTCGCGTCGATGATCGATCGGGTCCTCTTCAACTTCAGCGTCTTCGGCCAACGGGCCGACAGCCGGTAAAGGAGGGGGAGCAACGTCGTCATCGTCCATATGTTGGAAACGAAGAAGAGGAGCGGGAGCTGGCCGAAAAGCCGGACCAAGCTCGGGTACGAGCGCAGGCCGTAAAGCCGGAACTTCTGCCTCGGGTACGAGCGCAGGCCGTAAAGCCGGATCTGCCTCGGGAAAGAGCGCAGGCTGAAAAGCCAAACCTGCCTCAGGAAGGGGAGCAGGCCGTAAAGCCGGAATCTGCTCCAAGCCAGGAAACGACAGTTGGTGTACTAACTCGTATTCCTGTAGAGGTTCAACTTCGTAGATGCGAGGCTCGACAGCCGAGTCCGCGATCGAAGGAGCCTTGTCGGAGAAGGTGACATCGGAAGAGACGACGATCTTGAAAGACCGACCGTGTTCGACGCGAACCTTGTAGTTGTACTCCCCCGAATAGCCGAGGAAAGTACCCTTGACAGTATGGTCATCGAGCTTCTTACGAATCGCCTTTGGGACGAGAACGTAGGCAGTAGATCCGAACGCGCGAAGATGCGAAACGTCGGGTTGCTTGCCGAAGAAGACCTCGAACGCAGTCTTGCCCTTGAGGTGCGGGTGAGGACCGCGGTTGGAAACGAAAACAGCCGCTTCCATTGCGTAAGACCAATACTTCTTGGGAAGTCCGGAGTCCTTGAGCATGGCACGGACGAGCGCGAAGAGAGAGCCGTTCGCGCGCTCCGCTTGACCATTCTGCTGCGGCGTGTAGCGTGCAGCCAGTTCATGGGTGATGCCAAGTGCCCTGAATTCGTCGCCAAAGAGTTGGTTGACGAACTCGCCTCCATTGTCAGAACGAACAAACTTGATCTTCTGACCGGACTGCCTCTCGACCTGCGCTTGAAAGCCGCGCCAGACCTCGAGGACTTCGGATGCCGACTTCGAACCAAGTGGAAAAGCCCACTTATAGGTTGAAATTTGGTCGACGATAACCATGTAGATGGATCGTCCTTTGGTATCGTCATCGTTGACGAATCCCAGATCGATCGAAGCCCGTTGAAGAACATGTTCGGGTTTTCGACTGACATGATTGTGAGGGCCCGCGCGCGCCTTCGCGATAATGCACGGCTCACAGTCTTCAATCTTCTTGTCGAGTAGACGAATCCCAACGACAGCCTTGGAATTGACGAGACGAAGAATTGATGAAGGTGCCATGTGTCCGAACTTCCGATGCCATTCCATGAGCGAAGCTCCAACGGAGGCACGGGTAGTGGCGACGAGCACAGGCGAGGGTGGGGGAACGATCTCAAAATCGAAGACGTAACTTGGTTTCTTGGCCTTCGTCTTGACAGTTTCGGCGACGAGAGAGCCGTCAAGCCAAACCTGTTGAGTATCTCCCCCATGGCCATAAACCAATTTCGCGCCTCCAGCGCGGAGCGACGACATTGAGATGAGACCATACTTCGATCCAGGGAGGTAATACATCTCCTTGAACTCGAGAACGAGACCTTGCGAAGTCTTAACAAACATTCGCCCGTATCCAGTGGCTTGACCAAGCGAATTGTCGGCCAACTGGACTTGCATCGGGGATTCTTTGAAGTCCGAGAGCAGCGAGCGATCGCCAACGAAGTGGTGACCAGCTCCGGTATCCGCGATCCAAACGAAATCGGTATCGGGAGCTCTCGAGGACGAACCAGCAAGGTAAAGGGAATGGTGGGTGGTCATCGCAACCATAGCAGGGGCTGAAAATGACTCCGAACGCTCCTTGGCGATCTTCACGTCCATAGATGCGAAGTCGAGCCGCTCGAGTGGCGAGTGGAAGCCGCGCGATCGATCGTCGATTGCGACCTGAAGAACGGCCTCCGCAGCGGGGCTCAACGGCCTCGATGCGCAAAGATGCAAGTCCTTGGATACAAGACGACCAATCAGACGTCGACGCCAATCCATGTAGTTTGTGGCGCGAAGGATTGGTACATGTATTCCACGATCACTCGTTTCGGTGGAGGGTGTATCGGTGTCCATTCCGATGGTGGTGCGATGGGAATCGCTTTACTGACTCGGGCTTCGGCACTGCCCGTTGAGCTCATAACCTATCGCAGAAACGATGCGAGCGCGGAAGTAAAGCCTTCCGATAGGTGAGGGTGCACGACGCCGAGAAGTCAGGACCACAATGTAGAGCGAGTGATGAGAAAGCTACCAAGAGTAAACAGCCGCGCGGGAAGAAAGCCCCGCGCGCTCCCTAACTTAAACAGATCAAACTCCAATACCAAAGTGACTAATGACTAAACGCACGCGCATCCGCGCAGATACCACAGGCACAGACACATATCAATTAACAGTGGGTAAGGGAAGTTCGCTCGTAATCTAGAGCGTCGTATGATGTTGGCAGTCGGTCGGTCAGAGAGGGGGTCGGAGTCATTGCTTGTCGCGGAAGAGGTAGATGAAGGTGGCGTGGTGACAAGTAGGGAGAAAGAGATGAAGAGACACCGAGGTTTTGAGGACAGCCGAAGATGCTTGCGGAGTCGACCCTGAACCATCCTTTGGACCATAGTAACTATGTAGTACGACTGGCTGCTCTCGAGCTCGAGGGCCAACTTGTGTCGTTAACCTGATCTCATCAAACTCATCAAGTGTATTCAGCTGAGAAGGCGCTTCAAATGTTTGAAGGTGAACAAGGTGCGACAAAGTAGACATGTTGGCTCGAGAAGCGTGCAACTGGGCACAATCAGCAGCAGAATTTGACTCGAGTTCGGGGATCTGGATCAAGACAGGCTAAATCCGGGTGCTAGGTCTGGCCAGTGTCAGGTCCGGATGCTGTAGGTCTGGGTACTAGGTCCGCGCTCCTAAGATGACAAGAAGATTGCAGAGTCTGACAAGCCCACAAGTGTAGAGTGTGCAGGGTGGGTCGGGCCGTGTGCGAGTGACGAATGACAAGGCGAAGCTTCGAAAGCGACGTGGCTCGAAGGGCGTGAAACCTGTGCTATTCTTAGTTCTTGCCCTCCCGCCCCGTTATGGCAACCGGCCCCCCCTCGCCCCCCTATGCTTTATGACGAGGTCCAAGGAGTCAAGGACCAAGAGCGACCCCGCCGCCGGGTCCGTGACTCGGTGGTTCCTGTCTCCTGAGTCCTGATCCCTGAGCTAGGCCGAACAACGCCGCGCGCGTTTTCATAAAGTGCGGGGAAGCTGTGCCTGAGGACTGAGGGGCCCAATTCTGAGACACTTTGAGATTTGCACCAATTCTGGGCTGGAACCGCCCAATTTTCGAAACGAAACCTTCAGCTCTTTCAGAGCTTCAGGGATTTGCCGGTCCGGCAGCGGACCAGAAGCATTAGGGCCCGCTGAACCACAAATCTGCCCGTCCGGCAGCGGACCAGCGGCCTTAGGGGCTGAACCACAAATGAAACCCCGTAAATAATCCCGCGCCACCCCCTCGACCCTTTTCTTTTTCCCTCCCACTCTCCCAATTTTACTCATTCAAGGACAAATCCTCGGCACTATGCCCCGGTCCCAAGGTCGCCAGGGAGGGCCATCGCAACCTCGCCATGTCTTGGGCGAGAGGGTAGCGCCGGCGGATCTGCTCGAGTTTGATGACGTCGCGTATCCTTCCTATCGCGCCGCTTGCGCCGCTCGTGGACTTCTCGCCGACGATGGCGAGCACGACATCTGTCTCAGAGAAGCTGCACAGATTCAGACTGGTGACCAACTGCGGCGATCGTTCGTGTTCATGCTCATCCATGCGACGGTTGCCAACCCGCCAGCTTTGCTGGATCGCCACTTTGCTTCCCTGAGCGACGATGCCCGTTACCACATCGAAAACTATGAAGACGTACCCGTCAACGATCAAACCATCCGCCTGTGGACGCTCAACAAGATTCGACTCCTTCTCGCGGCGAACGATCAAACTTTGGCCTTCTATGATCTTCCCGAGCTGACCGAGGACGAAGTGCGGCTGTTCGATCGCCCCGACGATCGGTTTCCCCGTTTCGATCGCGAGCAATGTGCGCAAGATGCTAAGGAGGCGCGTGCCCGCCTGAACCATGCTCAGCGTATTGCATTTGACGAGTTTCTTCGCGCGGTCGAGCTCAATGTCGTTGATCAGATGTGCGACGACAACCTTGGGCCGCAGCATGTGTTTTTCCTGCTTGCACCTTCAGGTACTGGCAAGACTTTCGTGGAAAATGCCCTTCTCGATACTGTGCGAGCTCGAGGCCACCAAGCGATTGCGGTGGCGTCGTCCGGAGTAGCGGCGTTGCTCCTCAAGGGGGGACACACGGCGCATTCGACTTTTCGAATCCCACTCGACGCGTCGCCGACCTCGACGTGTCCAGTCGACAGGAAGAGTGATCTCGGTCTGATGCTGCGTACCACCAAGCTCATCATTTGGGATGAAGCATCAATGGCGCATCGATTCGCGGTGGAAGCGGTCGACCGTTTGCTGCGTGATGTCCGAGAGACCGAGGAGCTCTTCGGCGGGGTGGCAACAATCTTTGCGGGTCAGTTGGGCTCTTCCGCCTCCGATCTGAACGACTGCACGCTAACGAGGTTTCCAATTTGCAGGAGACTTTCGCCAATGCCTTCCTGTCGTTCCTAAAGGAACTCCCGATCAAATCCTCGATGCATCCCTCTTCAAGGCAGACTTCTGGCGCCACGTTCGTGTTTTTCGACTCACCGAGAACATGCGTCTCAGCTGGAACGCTGATGCAATTGATGAGGCTCAATTGGCTCGAACGCGCGACTTTGGGAAATGGCTACTCAAAGTGGGAGATGGAACTGCCAACATGCACCCATACGACTGGATTGCAGTACGTTTGGCTCCCCTGTTTCGCCCGACCCACCGAGACTAAGACCCCTTCTATTCGTTTTGCAGCTGCCTGATTACCTGCTGCTCCCGGATGGTCAAAGAACCGCCGAAGGATTGATCAACTTTGTCTACCCCGGTCTAAGGACCGTGAACAAAAAGTCCCTCGACGACCTGATTCAGCTGTTCTCGCGTGGGGCAATCCTAGCTCCGCATAACGCAACAGTCGATCGCATCAATGCCAAGCTGCTTGAAGACTTCGATGGCGACTACGTCGAGTATCGTAGCGCAGACGAGGTTGTCAAGGCAGGCGAAGCTGGGGGTGGAATGGCGCCTGATCTTATTTCGCCAGAGTATCTGCATTCAATCAACCCGTCCAACTTTCCCGCGCATCACTTGCGTCTCAAGGAAGGGATCCCTGTCGATCTTCTTCGCGATCTCGACCCAGACGCCGGCCTCTGCAACGGTACCCGCCTTATCGTCTCGCACGCAAGATCGCACGTCATTCAAGCCATCATCTTGACCGGAGTTCGAGCGGGCACCACGGTCTTCATCCCTCGTGTGCGACTCGAGACAAATGCAACTAGCAGTCGCCAACTTGGTTTCACTATGCGCCGGCTCCAATTCCCGCTTCGAGTTGCCTTGGCCATGACGATCCACAAAGCCCAAGGTCAATCACTTGATCGTGTTGGCGTCGATCTCTCCCTGCATCCCGTCTTCACCCATGGGCAGCTGTATGTGGCATTGTCTCGAGCCATGAATGTCGATCGAGTCAAGGTGCTACTGCCCTCTCGCGACCCCGCCGATTTTGTCGACTTCCTACAAGCCGTCGATCAAGCGGCAGCGGCAGTCACCGTGACCCCAAATCCCGTATTTTGCCTGCCAGTGTTCGAGTCAGGGCGTTGAACGGAACATAGTTTACCTTCACTGAGACCATGTAAACCGTTTGATTCTCCTGCGAGTTTCATCATCTCGGATCTCACTGTGGCTTCCTTTACATCACGAGTACTCTTCAATTTTTCTGCTATTTCATTTCATCCTCCCGTTAAGTTAACGGGTTCCCACTGGTAGGTTATAAGCCCAACGACCTACCAGCGGCAGACGTCGACAACATGGCCGATGATGATGAAGTATCACCACTTCCACCACCATCAACGCCGGGCCATAACGACGACGTCACACACATCGGCTCTATCTTGTTCTCACGCGCTGAGTATGAACTGCTAGTGAGGAACCACTGCACTGACGAGGCCGCGACGAAGAAGCTCTCACGCCCCGTCACCTCCTGCCACCGAACGCGCCGGCTGCCTTCGCCGAGGACTGGGAACTCATCGAGCATAGCTACATTGACTGGGACCTCAACATGTCTCTCACTGTTGCCCCTGAAGTCTATTCGTACTTGCGCAAGGGGACGATCGACCCTACGTGGACCACGGCCGTACGCTCGCGCTGGGAGGATTCTACGCGGCCTACGTGCTCGCCGACTCTCTGACGGCCGCCACCAAGGTCCAAGGCCACGATAGGACCGGTCGCCCAGAAGGGAGGATCGGCGCACGAATGCTGCCACTCACAGACTTCACGGGTAACAGTGAGAGACATGTTTAGGTCCCAGTGCCGCTGGGGGCTAGCGTCCTCAAGCGACGCTCTATGGGTAGAATTGAGTGAAGCCGAGGAGCGAAAACGCGCGGGAGCGACAGAGACCCGCGTGATGGCAGCAGTGGAGGTACACTGCTCGAGGAAATCAACGATATCAGGATACCCATCCTTTGTCTTACGCAACAATGGCTACAGTTTATACTCGATGAAGTGAAGAGGAAGTACTTCCCGAGGAGGGATTCTATATATACCACTCGGCTAGAAGAGCAGACGACTCGATCGAGCTGATGCCACTGCTTCTTCGCATACGTACACAAGTTCTGGAAACTATAAGCAATTGAGCAACCACTCTATCAGGTATGTCAGATGGCTGTAATGTTCAAAGCGATCTTCTTTCTCTCGCACAAATCTGCGAGGCTGACCCCTTCTGCTCCAGGGAGGAATCGGACAGGCGCCGAGGGTGGTTCCTTGACGTAGTCCGTGGCTTCGCCATGCGCATCGTAGACAAAGCGCGGATAGCGCAAGCCAATTGTAAGCTTGAGGGTATTAAGCTTCGGGAAAAGATCTTGAGAGAGGAGGTGCTCGACGTCAGCGGTGGGATTGCGAAAACATTCGACGTGCGTGATGGTGAGGTCGAGTTCTTGTAGTTCGGGCAGAGGTGCTAGCGATTCGGCGAGACCCCGGAGTGCGGCCCCGCGGAGGGCCCACTGGTAGCTCTCGTATTCTGCAAGGGAGATTCGGAATATGCACAACGATGTACATGATCGAAGCCATGACACCATATCTTCAAGCATCCGAGTGTCCGCACATTTGTTCGCGTAGGATATCGAGACGAGACGAGCGCCATTGCCCGCGAACAATTGCTGCAAGAACGCCTGTCTGGTCTCGGTCTCGTGTGCGGAGGGATGCGCTCGTCCTATCTCGGACAATTGCCGAAAGAACGCTCGTCTTGTCTCGTTTAAATCACTGTATGCACCAAGTTCGAGATGTCGGTGTACCGGGGTCTGCATGTAGCGTGCGAGGCTGCTGCGGTCGCCGCGTCGGAAAGGTACAAAAGTGAAACTTTCGAGTTGCATGAGCGAGAGCCGCTCGAGTCGAGGGAAGATGAACGGTGCGCGGCCGTTTCCATTGCGCACTTTGACTTCGCAAAACAGAACGAGTTCGAGGAGATCTATAGTGTAGTTGTTGAGAGCAATGTATCAGAGTGCGTTGTGTATAATGTTGCTGGGACCCTGTCTCCCGGCTCACCTTTGAAAGCGTCTGGCATTCGATCGTCAAGTACAAGATCGAGTCCGCTCGCATACAGCGTGCCGATGCCCTGCATTCTCCCAATGATTTTGTGATGGGCAGAAGCAACCATATCCCTTCCCATGCCCTCGGCGTACAGATGCAATTCCTTGACGAGGTGACGTTGCGCCGACCCGCAGTGCAGAAACGCGTACGCTGCTTGGTTGGAATCGAAGCGGACGTTTTGAAAGACTCGCCGCTGGAAAGGACCTCTCCAAGCCCGACACGCGCATGCGGCAGAGGTCATGTCGCTTGCCTTGACCAAGTGCGAAGCGATGCTGTCGACGACTTCGGGGGGAAGCGACTGCGCTGTCGAGGGCGACTGATGAGGAGGTGGTGGAGGTATCGCACCGGCAGGGGCCACCATCGTCAAAGGTGGTGAAGATACTCCGGAGGTGGAGGTGGCCATCAAGTGAACGGGTGTCTCCAGTGTTTGCAGCAAGGGTAGGCTACTGGGCAGGAGGGAAGCGACGCGACGCATTTGCGGGTACTTAGGGGCTGTGCGGCGGCTGTGCGGCAGTGTGCGGCCGTGTTGGAAGCTTCTTCGGACTGTTCACGCCGGCAAGTAGCGAACCGGCCCGGCCACCAAGCGCGCCTATTGCCTCGCAACTTAAAGTTGTCTTGACATGAATGTCGAATGCATCCCAGAATGTGACCCATGAAGCATCGGAAGCCTTGGGGCCGTAGCAATGCACCGAGAATGCGACTGGAGTCTTGCAAGGATTACTCGGGGAGAAGAACTATTTACGGCATAGTAAGCAGTCGGCTTATGCGAATTGTTTCTAAGATCGTATGCAATTGCTCCTCAAATGAAGGCAGAGCCGATGAATTCACCAAACAGCAGTGAATGCCGTATCTTGGACTACACATCCTGCAATCGCCAACCCGCCGCGTGGGCGCTCAGAAGGCTTTGGACGTCAACCTGAGCTCGACATGCTTGCGCACGCAACACCTCCAGAGATCATCCTGGCAACGCACTCCAACCGCGGTCTTTTCCGTCTTGGCGCATACTCGGTCGTATTTCGCCTTTGAGGCATGATGCCGAAATCCTTGAGACGTCTTCTTTCGTGAATTTTGTATTCGAGATGAATCAAAGGATTGGGATGGAAGACGGTGTGCACGGTCAACTCCTTGGTCCTCACCATGGCGGTCGGCATCAAATTCACCACATGCTATCGAGGTACGTGGTTTAGGACGAGATAATTCGAGCTTCACGAACTGGTGGATATGCTTTCCGAACGCGGCGAAGAGTAGGTGATCGAAACCTCCGCCGAGATCAAGCCGTGCTCGCGAAAGAGGTATTGCAACGCGGCGCCTTGGCCATCATCGCTTTGGCGCTGCATCGAGGACGAAATGAGCTCCACGAGTAAATGGCTCTAGATGGGCTTGGCCAGCTCCAGGGCTTTGCAATAGGTCACGTTGCTGAGCCTTAGCGAGGTCAGACGAGGCGTTGAAATTAGTGTGAGAGCGGGAGTGGACTCGAGAGCAGACTCAACGCTCCCCCCGATGCGTAACGCTCCGGTATCTGTTGGAGGGCAAGTTTCAGCCTCTCTTAAATGCGTCAGAGTGAGAAAAGGGTTGCGGTGCACACCTTTGAAAGCTTGCAACAGCCGAAGCCACAGGGTAATCCTCGACGTCGCTGCAGGCCACGGACGATGGTGAATACGCTGTGACAGGTAGGGCACACCGGCTCTTGAGCCCTCGCCAAACTCTTCTCATAGATTCCAACAACAGGATCAATCGAATCTCGGCAGTAAAACGTAGTTCTTTTCGCATCAAAAGTCGAGCTGCTCCACAGGGAATGCCTTGGCGCCGTCAGAGTTGACGAACGAGCGAATGTGGCGCTCGCTGTCGAGATGAACCCCCGATGATGGACACGGAGTTGACGAAGACAGGTGGCACGCCGGGCGTGGCAGGTTGAAGCGAGGCTGAGAATGTCGGTGTAGAGACAAGCTTCGTGTGAGAACGTGGATAGCGCGCCTGGGGTGATGTAGCCTCAGATGTGTTCCCCGACCTTGAGCGGGGGCCTCGTAGCAACGTTGAAGATTGAACGCCGAATGGACGTCATCGAGTCCGAGTCGTTGCAGTTTGAGCAGACAGTCGCTGTGCAGATGCAATGAGACCTATGGAGCGGTCGATTGAACGAAAATCAGCTTGCTTGCTGAGTGGAGACGACTTCTTGAATTGCCGGAGCAGGTGAAGCGGTAGATAGGACAGGCGTACTCGATGCGATACGTCGGCCCCTGTGGGGTCTATGCGTGCTGGGCACGAAAAGCGCGAACCTGCTCCGAGTCGGCGCCTGCCCTTGGATCCTTACAGTGTCACTGCACCGCTTCCAGAGGTTGACAAAGTAATTGTTTAAAGTGAGTTATAACCTGAGCTTTTGAACAGAGACAGCATCATCTGCAGCCGCACAAGATCTAAGCCCCAGCCAGCGACTCACGTGTCCAAAACGCGCCCAATATATAGTCGTCCAGCTTGAACCGAACATGGACGTTTACCCTTTTTTTGGCTACGATCTTACGCTGACTCTGTCAGGGAGTCTAATGCTGCTTCATCCCACTTAGAGTCCCGATTATGATCAGTTACTAGTTGTAGTTATCAGCGGCCTCTCTCGCCTCGAGCCTAGCTCGCGAGCCCTTCCATAGCCTTTCTTCTTTTTCTCCAACTATCTACATCTACATGATCTTATCTATCATCTTCGGCTCTCATACTTACGTATCTCGTGCCTGGGCTTCAGAGTTCCAATAGGTTATGAGCCCAACGACCTACCAGCGGCAGACGTCGACAACATGGCCGATGATGACGGAGTACCACCACTTCCACCACCATCAACGCTGGGCCTCAACATGCCTCTCACTGTTGCCCATGAAGTCTGTGCTACTTGCGCAAGGGGACGATCGACCCTACGTGGACCACGTCCGTACGCTCTCGCTGGGAGGATTTCGCGGCCCACGCGCTGGCCGGGCCGCCACCAAGGCCACGATAGGACCGGTCGCCCAGAAGGGAGGATGAGCGCACGAATGCTGGCACGCAAATACTTCACGGGCAACAGTGAGAGGCAAGTTTAGGTCCCAGTCGATGTAGTTGTGCTCGGTGAGGTTGCAGTCCTCGAGAGCAGCTGGTAGCTCGGTGAGCTCATAACCTATTAGAACTCTGAGGTTCAGGCACGAGATACGTAAGTATGAGAGCCGAAGATGATAGAGAAGATAGTTGGAGCGAAAGAAGAAAGGCTATGGAAGCGCGCGCGAGGACTGGCTTCTTGAGGACCTATGCGAGTCAAAATTAAGCCTATCAAATCAACTAGGTCGCGCGTGACGCGTTAAGGCAGTTTTTTTGAAATTTGGCCCAGGAAAACGTTGGTACAGGTATGGTACACCATCCCTCCCCCACCGCCCGCGCCCGGATATATACTTGGGACTGGCAGTGGGGTGGGGATCGTGGTCGCCGGTCGGGGTGGGGGCGGTGTCTGGCGGTGTGATCGAGCGAGAGGAGGCGAGGCGTGCCAGGGCTTGGAGCTTGGCGCGCCCTGACGATGAAAGGCGAGGACCGAGTTCGTGGCCTCATGTTGCCTCTTTCTGTCGTTTACACACAGCGTCACCCCTGGGCAATCAATCCGACGTCATGGCGCCTCCTCCTCTGGCGACCAAGACGAGTGCCACGACCTCTGCGACGATCGTCGAACACTCGGCCACGCCACTGGCTCGGACTTCGCTGCCATCCACGTCGGCGCACGCCAACGCGGCGAGCGGTGCGACGTCGTCTCCGTCTCCGTACCCCGACCACGCGCCCGCTTACGATCGCACATCACCGACCTCACCGACTGCACCGCACGAGCCGTCCTCCACCAGCCCACCTCTACCGCGGCTGCACTATGCCGCGCAGATGGGGGACTTGACTGCGCTGCATGCGCTCTTACCCGAACCCAACCACGCGCCATCGACCGCGCCCACTTCGGACCGTGCACCGACCGTCACCGTCACCGTCACCGTCACCGCGAACGATCTCGACGCGGTTGGCGTCACCGCTCTGCACTGGGCGGCGATCAACAACCACGTACAGGCGTGCAAGTTCCTGCTCGAGAGGGGAGCCAACGTCGACGCGGTCGGTGGGGACTTGTCGGCTACGCCGCTGCAATGGGCCGCGAGGTGAGCCCACCTGCACCCCCACTTCTGCGCAAACAGGCAGAGGACAGCGATAGGAGTCAGGCCCGAGACTGACGACGCAGTCAATCTCACACAGGAACGGCCATGTCTATGTCGTGCATCTGCTGCTCAAGTACAACGCCGACCCGACCTTGCTCGACTCGCAATCCTTCAACGCGCTCCACCTCTCCGTGCACTCGTCCTCGGCGCTTCTGGTCGCGTACATGCTCTTCACCTCGCAACCCATCGCCGTAGACTCGGCCGACACCGAGGGACACACCTCGCTGCACTGGGCATGCTACCAGGGCGACGCCATTTCCGTCGACCTCTTGCTCCGAGCTGGTGCAGATCCGCGTCGGCCCGACGGCGCCGGACTGACTCCGCTGCATTGGGCCGCCGTCAAGGGCAACGCGGCCTGCATCAAGCGACTCGTCGAAGCGGGAGTTGATTTGAGCGTCAAGGAGCATGCTGGCAAGACGGCGCGCGACATGGCTGCCGAACTGAAATCACTTGCCGCGTTCAAGCGAGGGCTGCTCGACGCCGGCTACCACGAAGATGGGCGCAAGCAGGTCGGCACTCTCTCACCTCGTAATACGATCGTCGCCATATTTATCGTGCCCTCGCTCGCATTCGTCGTCATCTTGCAATCGCTCGTCATCCTACCCTGGTGGTCAGGTCTCTTGCTCGCGTTCGGCGAGATCTATGGGATGCACCACATCGTTGCCAAGGTTCTGCTCGGAGTCTCGGGACCGCACAACTCGGACCGCATCACCAAGAGCCCTTACTTGGCGTCCATCATCACCGCCAGTCTTCTCGCCGCGACGTACATCTACTTGACGCGCATGGTGTCCCTCCCCGGTCATGCGGTCAGCCAGCTGCTGTGCGGCATCGGCATCCTAGTGTGCTCGTACAACTTTTTCCGGGCCATCACGCTCGATCCGGGCCACGTACCGTTTCCCGTCAACGATTCCGAGCTCAAAGAGGTGAGTAGTGGCAAGATGTGAGATCCTTCAGGAGGGCACAACAGACTGACATCTTCCCATTGCGCAGACGATCGAGGACTTGGTCGAACATGGTAGCTTCAACGGCATGAACTTTTGCCTTCCCTGCCTGGTAAGCACTTGCCACTCCTCCACTCCCAGTTTTGGGTATCAGCTTGACTTACACGTATATTGTACTTAAGACTCGACGGCCTTTGCGATCAAAGCACTCCTACATGACCAAGCGGTGTACCGCTCGGTTCGACCATTACTGCCCATGGGTATGGAACGATGGTGGGTAGCAGCCCCAAGTCCGGCGCAGTCTTTCCTATCCAGATCGACTGATCCTTGTCACACCTTCTCACAGTCGGCAGCAACAACCATCGCCAGTTCCTCATGTTCGTCATCGCGCTCATCTTTGCCATCTCCGTCTTCCTCAAACTCTCCTATCACTACTTTTCGACCCTCGCACCGCCTCTGCTCCCCGACGCGGTATGCAACTTCCCCAACTGGCTCTGCGTCTCGTCGCGCTTCGACACGTTGGCGTTGGTCGTCGTGTCCTGGTCCGGATTGCAATTGACGTGGACTTCGATCCTACTCGTCGCGCAACTATGGCAAGTCGCTCGTCAAATGACCTCTTTGGAAGTTTCAAACGTCGGAAGGCACGGTTACATGGGAGGTAAACCTGGAGTTTCGATCGCGGCGCAACAAGGTCTCGTCGCGACTAGAACCGCCGCCGCTTCAACGACCTCTTCAACGACCGCTGCGGTCGACGGAGAAGTAGGAGACGAAGAAGCCGTCACTCACAAATCGACCCAAGTGCGCAAGGCAGGTTTCCTACTCAAGATCTTAGGTATCGATCGTTTCACGACCGGTCAAGCTGCAACCGGTCTCGCTAAATCTGGCCACGTCGCGAATCCGTTCGATTTGGGTTTGGTCGGTAATTGTCGGGATTTTTGGACGAGGGGTAAGGAATTGGACGTTGATTATACGCGCTTGCATGAGATTCCTGAGGGCGGGTTCCAGAAGGCGGTTTGGGAACGGAGAAGGAGGGAGAGGGAGGAGAAGGCCGGGCTTAGAGGTGCGGGAACAACGGCGATGTCAACGGCGAGGGCGGCGAACAAGTCGGGTAGGACGGGCTATGAGAGGTTGGCCATGGATGAGGTTTAAAATACGGGCTTGGCCCCCGAGTGGGAGGGCTTTCCTGTCCGTGTTGACTTTGTTCTTTTGTGTTCGTGCGTAATCGTAGTGTATGGAAAGGTACTATATTGTACATGCGAAAGAAGGAAGGTACACGTCGTCGTTCGATCCCATCGATTCGGCCACCGGTTTGCTCTCCCTTTTTCCCACGACAACATGGCTGAGAAAGCGTTAACTAGTGTCGTTGCAAATGTTCGTTTGCCAAGAGGTGTTGCAGAGAAGGGAGCGAATCGCGCGCAAAAGAGTGAGGAGCAGAGGACGGACGGGAAATGCGTAGAAATATATGGGCAGGTAACGAGGAAAGCAACGAGGAACAAACCAAAAAAAAAAAAGAGACCCGCCTGTCACCCCTCAAGATCAACAAATGGAAGTGGACAAACGAAGAAAAAGAAGAGAACAAACAAGCCGGGGGAAGAGAACGCTCGACGTGGAAGCGAGGTTCTGGGTCCCGCTATTACAAGACAAGCCACGTCGTACGCTCAACGTAACGACACCGTATGCGAGGATTGAAAGCGACGAGCAGAAGGAGGGGGCGAGAAACGAGCTTAAGGCACTCGCGCGCTGAGGGTTGAAGGTCTTTGCGGTGATAGTATCTTGGGGGAGAAGTCGAAAAAGGAACCAAGTGCGACTACACGGGTTTTCCACCATTGAAAGCGTATTTGGACTCCCATGTCCCCGTCCATTGCCAACTGCTTCGCTGCAAGACGTCGTTCTTGTTGCCCCTGAAGAAGCCAGCAAGTGCGGTCCAGGCGGCCACGGTCAGGTCGGCGGCGTTGGTTTTGCCGTGGCTCCACTTGGAATCGAAGCCGTCGATCATAGAGAGCTGGTAGACTTTGCCGTCGTGGCTGGTGAAGTTGGCGTTCGCGCCGCAGAACGCCTGACCGGCCTTGATGTTGGAATTGTCAAAGTTGGCGAGCATGGTATTGACATCGATGGCGAAACCCATGATATTGTCGTTGTACGCGTCATATGAGTTGTAGCACCACGAACGGCCATTGGTCGAGTCTTGAGCGCTGTTGGTCCGGAACCAAGAGAGGATTCCGTGTGTATTATTCCCCATGAAAGTAGTTATGCCTCGCTCGCGCATGATTCCCTCCACAGCACTCGGCGGCGGGTACGAGCCTCCAGACGAGCTCCCGGAGGACGATGACCCCGTCGGAGAGGGCACGGACGGTTTCGGTTGCTGGGTAGTGGCTGGCGGCGCACTGCTCGTGGAAGGGTCATCGTGGCTGCCGTCACCTTTGTTGTTGGTGCCACCCGAGACGAAGGCCTTGACAGCGCCGCCGGTGTTCTTGGGGTGCGAGGTCCCGCTGCTCTCAGCGAGGGCGGTCGTCTTGGCCGGCTCTTTCGTTGTTGACTTCGGGGTGCTGCCATCATCGTCGTCAGCATCGCACTCCCCATCATCTTCGTCGTCGTCGGTCGGCGCGCTGGGCTTCTCGACTGGCTTCTTGGTCTCGACTGGCTTCTTGATCTCAACTTGCTTCTTGGTCTGGACTGGCTTCTTGGTCTCGGTCGTGGTCGCGGCCTTCTTTGCCGAAGCGACGTGGACCTTAGCTTTGGACTTGCCAGGGGCTGCTTCGGGGTGGGGGGCAGCCAGATGGGTCAGCTACCCTTCTCTCGTCCGCAAGGGAAGATAGGGGACGGCAGACTGACCTTTCTCGACGCAGTAGTGGTACCTTGTCCACAGGTTGAAGCACTTGCCATCGACCTGAGGGTTCAAGGCGTAAAACTCGTCGAGGGTGAGTTTCGAGTTGGACGCCGCAATTGCGGAGTAGCACGAGTCGTTGGGCTTGACTTTGTAGAATTTGGTGCAACCCTGGGCGACGGTGAGCGACCCCTTGGACAGATTGGTCGGCTCCGAGGTCGTTACGCCACGCACATGCTTTTGCGCCTTGTCACCCCGTCGGGCTCGGACGAAACGATGCGGTGACCCGCCTGGAAGTCGGTCCAGGGACCAGTGATGGCCCGAACCTGCTTGTTGGGCACGCGCGAGTCGTTGGTGGCGTGCGGCCGCGTCGGACGGCAGCCCACGGCCCTGAGTTGAAGCCGAAGCGACAGAAGCCCATGTGATAACGATCAACGCCAAAGGAAGAGATAATGAGGAAAGCACTGTTACGACAGAAGTCGAAGGTTGACGAGGTACCGAGAGTGGTCAGTCGCGAGCGTTCCGACACAAAGGCAAAAAAAATGGGTAGCGCGGCGGAGCGAGGCGTCAGCGCGCGCGCGCGTCGACGGGGACGGAAATCGCGCTCCCTTTGAGCGGCAAGCACAGCCACACGGGGAGAGAACTTACTATTGTATGATGGGCAGGAGCGGGGGTAGGGTAGAGGAGAGGGACCAAAAAGTGAATTGGTCTATGAGAGGGCGCCGTGAATGGTGTACTGGTTCTTCCTGAGTGACTGAGCCGGCAGCCAAAAGTTGAACAAAGCCCAAGTGCGAGTTGGACGGTTGGAGGAGGCGCGAGCGAGCGAGGGCGAGCCGAGCGACCGAGAGCGCGCGGAACGACCGAGAGCGCGCGGAACGACTGGGGACGACACGCCACCAACGAGCAAAAGGGAGGTTCGCGGTCGCAGAGGGAGAGAGCGGTAGCAGCACAGGAGGAAGGAGGAAGAGTGCAGATGCGACGGGGAAAACGATGGAAGCACAGGGATGAGCAGGTCAGCGATTGGGGCACGGGTCGATTTTACAAAGTCTGAAAGGAGGCAGCGCGAGGCGCGTGCACTCGCGCGGTCGAGCTGCCGACCACCCTCTCCTCTCGCACAAGAGGTGACAAATCACACCGAGTGCCGGAAGTAAAAAGCTCACCTGAGACAGGAGGAATCGGTTGCTGGACGGAAAGTGGATGTCCAGAAGGGAGGTTGATGGATAAAGTAGAGACAGACGAGGACGGAGGAAAGGGAGGGAGGTGAAAACGGTGTGGATGCTCGGCACCGTAACCGCTCCCTCGGTGCCGCCTGGTGCCGCCGCCGCGTCACTGCCGTGTGCAAGTTCATTGATTGAAGTGAGCCCGAGCGGCGCCCGTGCGCGTGACGCGGCGCGACGTGCAGCTATAGGTGTCGCAACGCGTCGTCACGGGCGCCTGAAGCGACTCACGCGCGCCTTGCCCAGCCGATTGTGACGATGATTCGGCTCGGCGCGATCTCGTCTCGGGATCGATCTAGATTTGGATCTTAAAGCAAGCCTTGTCATTCGAGGATGAGCCCGGCTAGTTCCGCAACAACATCCCGCCCACAAACAAGAGAGCCGTCCGTCTGGCTCGGCGTTCTCGACCGCCGATGATCATCCATTTTTCCCGGCGGCGTCGGGGTCCTGCCCACCGTCTACTAGACTACCTACCTGTATATTTACATCATTGCACCACGGCTAAATCACACGAGTACCACTTACAATGAAACTCAAGGAGATGTCATTGGACCTCTTCACACCTTTGACTAGGCTGACCGAGCTTGACAAATTCGCGATTTTCAGTCTGTCCGACGCGACGGGTTTCCCGAGGGTCGCGCCGAGGGAGAGGCGTCTGTTCATCCGAGACGTTCAACGGTTTAGGTCGTACACCGACAAACTCTCGGTCATCGGTCGACACAGATGCTGGTCCTCTTACTCATCCATTCCTTGCGGTGTACCTCTATGTACTTGCTTCCGAGGGGAATTTGGGCATAGTCAGTTGTTTACCATAGATCTTATCATGAGAGGCTGTGCTGATCGATGACTCGCATCGTCCTCATCGTCAACGCGACGTTCCGAAGGTTGTATAGGCATTACATTTTGCGGTGTACGACCATTTTCACTTTTGATGCTTGTTGAGGAACAGCTGCTGTTTATTGCCCGACATCCTTTCAGTGCCCTCACTTTTGATCCGAAACCAAATCGAGTCACCGGTGCAGCGAGTGGCGGGTCCTCGGGGGCTCGCGCCGCTCGCGCGTGGATCAGGTCGATCAGGGGCGATGCACCCTGAGTCAGAACACCCGTCGTTCAGTATTTTCACCGCTTGAGTCTGCCGTCCGGCTCGGGATTTTCATGAGCGTGTTCGGCTAGAACATTACGACATCTCATACCGGATTCCCACTGCCCCATCGGAGAGGGGGCATTTTTTTTTTCCTAGATTCAACGTCTCATACGGGGAAGTGAACCAGTGGAATTCATAAGTGAGATAGATCGGACTGTTTGGCTACTTTTCGGTATGGGAGCACCTACGGGAGACGTTCTTAAAGTACTCTGGACCACTTTTGAGGTTGATATGAGAGGTTCTGGGTTAGGCAAGGTCACATGATCATGCGATCCTTTGCCAATGACAAGCAAGTTAACCTCAGCCTGCCCAGGAAAAATCTTCTCAGTGCATCGCATCACGTTCTCATTCAGTCAAAAAACATAGATCAGAGCGTGCTCGCTTTTGGATCCCAACTTCAAAACAGGAAGGTTTCCTCTAGGACAAAGGTTCGTCGGCTCACACTCGCACTTGCTCTACCTCAAGCATCTGGTTAGGCGACTCACGTACTAGCCGCTCCTACTGCCACCGCAGTTTCGCAATCACAGCTGAGCGTTCACAGGGGGTCTCGGCAAAAAGACTCCCGCTGTACCCACTACAGAGACCTTACTTCGGCAGGTGTCGAAGCAATCAACCCGAACTTTCCGGATTCCGAGGAGAAGGGGGCCGTCGATTGCTACAACTTACCAGCCGTCAAACGCCTGCTCAGCGCCTCCCCTTCCCCTTGTCCCTGTTGTAATACATAATACGAGGAGCAAAGAACAGCCATTATTCTACGCTGCGGGACATGGCAATGATGCTGGCCCGGAGTACCGTTTGGGATACTTGAGATATTCATCCGGGCCGTTGGTATAAAAGACACCGGTGTAATTTTGACTTCGACGAGAAGAACTGGTTGCCTGACCTCGAGCCCAAGAACTTTATCCTAAAATTGTGTTGAACTTGTGCGGAGAGCTCCGTGCGGGCGATCAATCATCCCCGACGATCGACGGCGCCAATATCCATTTTGCATGATCATCCATTATCGGGCCGTCGGCAATTCGGCCAAGCGCTTTCCTGGCCCAAGCCGATCGGTCGGTTCGCTCCGTACGCGCATCCCGACGCGGGCACGGCACCATGTTCGCACGTACCAACGGACCCGCGTGGACACTTATAGCAAGGTGCATCAGACATAGCTCGTCGTCAGCCAAGCGCACGGCCTCGGTGCTCTCGTCGCCGAGTGCCGCCTCGGCGCCTCCACCACCCCCACCGACGGCCGAGAGCGAAGCCGCCCTACGACCGCAGCCCTTCATCCCCAAGCCGCTTTCAAGATCGTACCAGGTTGCATCACTGTCACCGTCCTCGCGAAACCCGAATCAGTCGACGACGATATCACTGCAGCGTGGTACGGCGCCCAAGGTCGAGCTCGAGTTGCCGAACCTGTTCCTGCGAGACGCCTCCGTACACCTATCGCACGTCCATCCTGCATCACAGCAGAAGCTTTTCCGGACCTCAGATATCCCACTCGATGCCCACGTGATCGGGTACGGCGTGCACGAGATTGCGGGGGAGGACCATCTCGTGATGGAGTGGAGTGGTCCCGTCCACGGTGTCGAGGCCAAGAGCGCCAAGCTCTCCGTTACGCCTCTGAGCCTGCTGGTCAAGGCCCTCGAAGGCCAGAGCGAGAAGGACATCGTCCCTAGAGCCAAGGCGTGGGATAGACAGGCGCTTCTGTCGAGGCTCAAGACGATCGAATACGCCGAGTTCGTCCGTTCGAAACAGACCCTCTTTGATGTTGTCGATGCGATGCTCAAAGACGGCTTGGTCTTCCTCAAGAATGTGCCGACGAGTGAAAAGCAAGGACAGGACACCGAGTTGAAGCGATTGGTCACGAGGATCGCGAGCGTGAGAAAGACATGGTACGGCGATCTGTTCGATGTCAAGGCCGAAAAAGGCTCCAAGAATATCGCATACACGAACCTGGATCTGGGACTTCACATGGATCTGGTGTGAGGCAAACTTTCAGCGAGATGTACCCGACCCAGCAAAAGCTGATTGTACAACTCTTTTTCTCTGTCCTGTTCGAACGCAGTCACTTTGCGCACCCACCTCGATGGCAGTTCCTACAATCTCTTCTGAACGGCGGTATCATCGGAGGCTCCTCGTACTTTGTCGACTCGTACGCCGTGGCCATGTCGATCCGCTCGATCGATCCTTCGTCATTCGACGTGCTGACACGAGAACTAGTGCGCTTCGAGTACAAGAACGGAGACTATCACACGCGGTACGACCGACCCGTGATCGAGCTCGCACCAGAGTCAACACTGTTCGACCCCATCATGACCGCGATTAACTACTCGCCGCCTTTCCAGGGGCCACTCCCACTGCCTTCGACCCCCGACGCGGCCGATCGGTTGGCCAAACTCCACCGAGCGTTGCAGCTCTTTGCGCAGCAATGCGACGACCCGGCCTTTCGCTATGACACGCAACTCCAGCCGGGTGATTGCGCGCTGTTCGACAACCGGAGGGTGCTGCACGCGCGGACGGCGTTTGAGTTTGAGAGCGACAAGCAGGTGTTGGAGACGATTGATGAGCAAGAGAGGGGGCGATGGTTGAAAGGCGCGTACGCCGATGGGGACGAGGTGCTCAGCCGATGGAGGGTACTCAATGCCAAAAGGATCAGAGGCAAGTGGAAGTAGGCACGTGTGTTTGCAGCCTTGGGGTAGGCTTAGCGAGGCAGTCGGACAGGGACAGGGGCGAGCCTTCGCAAGCTCGACCGGCCCCGGCCGGAGATCGAGCGACCGGTCGAAGCCAGAACCCATCGGGAAGACAACTTCTCGTGCGAGCATGTCAAGGATAGCATATGCCGTTTGCAACCTTTCTGATCTACATGTTGTATAACTACGTGTCACCCAGTCAGTTTGGCCAGAGCGACAGTAAAGGCGCGGCTGTAGCGGGTTGACGAGTCCCAACTTAGAAGAGAATGCGGTCTGAAAAATGGCCATTGCCCGGCCCTGCTGTGCCCCGATGACCCCCACGCCGGCGTACGCTGTGCCTGCATGCGCGCGTTCGGTCTCGCCCAGCGGCCGGGAACGCCGTGGCTGACGCCGGATATGTAGCGCTGATTGGCACAGATCGTCGTGACTTGTTCCACGATCGAGCGCAGGCAAACTTGGGTAACCGCCCAAGAGCTGGTATTCGTTCGTACTCTGTACTCGACCCGGCCCTCTCGAGACGTATCGTTTCACCTGTCGTGTTTGTCTTTACGTGCAGTGTGTCTTCTCCCAAAAATTTTGTCCGGCAAGTTGCACGTCAATCGTTTCAGACTCGCGCTCTCCGACGGCAACCGACCGCTCGCGGCTCGACTCGCGACTACTCGCGACACTTCGGCCTCGCTCTCCTCGACGCGCTGCTGTTGCTGGCTTGCTCATCGACGACCGACCACGCCATTCATCGACGCTGCATCCCGGTCCGCCTGTACATGGATCGATCTCGTACCGCGTATATTCTTCTCTTCTGAACCTCGTCCTCCTTCAACTGTGCCACCGATTAGAAGCTGTGCTCCGTCTGGTGACGCTCGGCCACAGTTTCCTCTTCACGCCTGCCAGCTGCGCTTGTCGATCTCGCGGAGCGCGCGCTTTGGCCGGACAACAGCACCGAGCGCATATCACGCGTCTTCGCCGGCCGGCTCAAGCCTCACGCCCAAACCCAAGCCCCTGTAGCCGCCGCATCCGCGGTTGCCAGGGCGTCCTTCCCAGGTCCTCACCTCTTTGTCCGTTGGGATGGACATGTCTGCTATTCCCCTCCCTCCACCTCCGCCGCCGTCGCACGATTCGCCACCTTCGACCTCGCTCTCGTCGTCGCTGAGGATGAGGTCGGCGTGGCCCAACCAGCCCGCCGCGTACAGCAACGCAGGACCATCAACATCGTCACCTCTGTCATCTTCACCGACCAGTTACGCCCCGGGACCGTCCATGGCGAGCACATCGACCTCGAACGATGGCGCCTTCGTTCCTAGACAACCCCGACGCTCATCCCTGCTTCCGGCGGTGCCCTCGGGCTCCGCTCCGCACCAGCAGCAACCTCCTAGCCTCAATGCTGCTCGAGTCGGTGGCTCAACTCCTCTGGGTCAGAGAACGGCCTCCCCGTTAGCGCCGATGGCTCCTCCTGCTGTGGCGCCCCTGAGGCTACCGACGACACCAGCTCCGATCGCCAATATTGCTACAGCGTCTTCGCCCACCACAGCGCCGTTCCCGACGACAACGTCGACCAAACGCGCCAATCCGCTCGAGGATCTCATCTATACGGAGCAGACCTACGTTGATGATTTGGGCATGGTGATCAAGGTACAGTCGCATTCTTGAAGGGATCCGAGCCCCGCGCGTTGCTCTACATGCTGACACGATCGGACCTACCGGATCCCAATCGTAGCGCGTCGCGGCTGCGTGGTCGCCCACGAACTTACCGCCGCCGGCCCTGGTGACCGTCTTTCGGTCCATGCATGCCATCTACAAAACAAACGATTTGTTTCTGACCGTGAGTTGATTCTGTCTATCGACCTATTCCGATCATCGTCCTACTGGCCCGCTGACCTCGCCTTCCACACCGCTCGGGCTAACAGCGACTGGTCGACATCGGGCCGAACCCTTCCTCGCCGAGAGCGCTCGGTGACCTCTTGATGCGATGGGTCGACGACCTTGCACCGTCCTACACCGACTACAGCAAAGCATGCGCGACCGATTTCGACCTGTTCCCTCCCGTGCAAGGGAATCCCAAACTCGGGCCGCTGCTACAGCAACTGCCCTGGCCGGACACGCTCGACGATGATGACGAGCTGAGTGACGCGACGCACCTCACGCTCGATGCGCTCTTCTCTTTGCCTCACATCCGCCTCAAGTACTACAAAAAGCTCTATGCGAAGCTGTTGCGGTCCGCAGTTGTGGGTGGACTTCTCGTGGACGCGAATGCCCGCTTGGACGCGCTGTTGGAAAGCTATGAGAAGGCCAGGAAAACGAGCGTGGTCGTGCTGCACGGTGGGGTCGAACCGACGGAGGAGGCACGCAGACGGGTCAGACGGATGACACCGCCCGCTGATATGACGGCCAGTACGAGCACCAGCGCGGGGAACACAGCAGCTGCACAGAATGGGCTCCGCAGCAGCGGGGAAAGTGGGACGGTCAACACGAGCTTTGATTCGAGGTGAGTGGCTGCCCATCTTACAGCGGTACGGTATCATGGTGGGGAAGTGGATGCTGACCCAGTCGTATTCATCAGCGCCCGATCGTCGTCTGCGACGGTACAATCGTCTGTCACGGATGGCTCGAACAAGACACATACGCCCGCGACGACGGTCTCCGAAGGCCCGGCTTCGCCGCGGATACAGGATCTCGAACGGAGATTGAACGCATCGAGGGCTTTGGATATATTCACGATGCTTCCCAAGGTCAGTTTGCCGCATCGGATCTGAAACCACCGCTGGCTGGCGGGTAGAAAAGCGCCGACGCTGACGTATTCTTCTTTGCCTCCTCACCAGAAATGCAAACTCCAAATGGCGCCCCCTTCCCTACCTTTTACGCGCTCTCTTCGGAGGGCGGGCGATGTCACCCTTTCACTCTACCCACGGTCGGATCCGAGGGGTAACAAGGTCGTTATCGATCGTGCCCACCTGTTCCTCCTCACGGATCTGTTTCTCGTCTGTCAGCGCATGACACCGCAAGAAAGGATAGCCAACACGGGTGGCGATGGAGACGACTCCGACTTCTGGCTCGTCTACCCTCCGTTGGCGGGCAAGCATCTTCGGGTCGCTCGGTCACAAAGTGCGGAACACACTCTCGAGGTCACGATCATGAAGAAAGAGACGTTGATCGTCCGTTTCCGCGATGGGCGCACTCTCGAAGAGTGGAAAGAGTCGTTCGAAGATGCTATTGCGTTCGGTGCGGCCCAACCTTCCTCTGCGGCTGGTTCAAACTCTGTCGCATCGGCGAGACCGACTGCAGCTACATCTAGCTCCGTGCCGCCCGTGCTCTCCCCGACAGCACCCTACAGCCCTCTCAGCCTTGGTCATATGCCCGGAGGCCTACCAGCGAAGTCGTGGAACGAGGTGCACCCGCTTCCCGTGCGGTCCCCGGCGAGCCACCAGCACGAGTTTTCGGCACAACCTCGTGGGCCGTCCCCGATCAATGCTGGCTATACCACATCTCCGAGCGCTGTGCCGTCCTTCGTGCCTCCCTCTTCGTCCCCGCCGATAGACAGACGATTACCGGCTATGAACAAGCTGACGATCGACACCTCGCGTCAGCCGACTGTGCCGGGGTATCAACAGGATCGCCGCGCGTTCTCGGCAGGGCCACATCCCAGCTCTCCTGCGTCGAGGCCCCCGCCGAATGGGTACCCCAGCCCACAGTACGCACAACCCTCTTCTTCATCGCCCAGACACTATGGCCTGCCCGGCTCGGCGGCATCAACCAACTCGATCGGTCGTTCCGTCTCTCCCTCTCCACAATCGGCAGCGTTCCAGTCGTCGAACGGAAACCATGTGCCTTCCCTTAATCAACCCGGTTCTTCTTCCGCTTACTCGGGACGCCAGTCACCCTACAACGGCTCTTCACAAGGTGGATACGCAAATGAGTACGGGCAAGGAAGACAGCGATCGAATTTACCGCCGCTACCACCTAACGGCATTCCAGATCGGCTGGTCAAGTCGACGTCATCTCGATCGAATGGATCGTCAGCGTCGTCGGGGACGCACTACTCTTCGAACCATCATGAGATCCCGCCCGTGCCCTCCAGTGCCAGGTCGTCTGCGAACGGTAGCGTCGGTGGCGACCCACGCTTCAATATGGGCCGAAGCCAGGACAGTTACCGCAGCGCCGACAACTATAGCCACGGAGGGATGCTCGGCCCACCTTCTCATGCCGTTCATCGCTCGAGGTCGGCCGACGGTCTGCGTGATCCTCGCGAGTATCTACCGTCTGCGTATGCCGCTAGCTCTGCGCCTGGAAGTTCCTACAACGGCTTCGATGGCCGACGCCGGGAACGCAACTCGATGGACTTTGACCCCGACGTCGACGACGATGAAGCCGACGCGAGTGCGGCGATCGAACGAGCTCGGAAGGAACAGGCGTCCGTGATCGCGCAGATGAGGTGCAAGGTTTTCCTGCAGCACGGACACGAACAATGGAAGTCGCTCGGCACGGCCAAGCTCAAGTTGTTCCTCTCCAAACCTTCGTTGACGAAGCAACTCGTCGTCGATTCGGACAAGAACAAGACCATCATCTCGACGATCATTTTGACCGATGGGGTGGAGCGCGTTGGCAAGACGGGCGTCGCGATCGAGTTGAGCAACCAGGGGGAGAAGACGGGCATCGTGTATATGCTGCAGATGAAGACGGAGCAGAGTTGCGTCGGCTTGTTCGATCAGTTGCTCATTGGGTCGGATCGCGCTTCGGCGGCCAAGCGTCGGTAGGACTGTCCCACTTGCGCTCGGCTCTTCTTTCGCTCTCAGTGTACGCAATGTCACAGTCCACCGCATCCTAGCTCGAGGTTTTTTGCTGTCGTAATGCACATGAACAGAGTGACTGGTGACTGTATCATTCAGTGGCTGCCATGACCTCGCTGCACACCCAGAAAACTTCATGACCTTGCCCGTGCCGGCTTCTGCCGGGGCCCACCAGCGGGAGGAGTCCGGCCCATCTGATCGCCGTGCTGGCGGCTAGCTTGCGCTAGCTTGCGCACCTGCACTGCGCTCTGCCTCCTGCCCCCACCCGGCTCCATACTCCCTCAGGCGCTGCCCCACCCTGCCATCCACCATGAAGACGCGAACCGTGCTCTTCGTCATCCTCCCCGGAGTGCTCCTCATCAGCAGCTTCATCTGGCCCATCGTCCAGCTGATCGGCTTGACGAGGCCCGTCAACCAATTGAACAACACCAAGTGCCAACGCGTGCCAGGTGCGTCACCATCCCCACCCCGCAAAAGCTTCGGCCTTTACGGAGTCGTTCTGCGTAGTAGTAGGCGCTGCTGCGAAGATGAGGATGTACGAACTGAACCCTTTGTTGCGCATTGAGCAGATCTTCCGGCTGTCGAAGATGCCTGGATTGACTATGACGCCGACGAGGCTTACCTGTATGTCTAGTACTGCGAGTGCGAACGCCCACGCCAGAAGTCGCCGCTTCCCCACATTCAAATTGTGGAGGCTCTTCTCAGGTGCTAAAAAATTGTGCCGGAGCGCGAGACGAGGCGGAGCTTCTGTGCCGTCCCGTACATAGACTCGGAAACATTGACACTGCTCCTCCATCCTACTCCTGGTTTTCAGATGTGGCTCCAGTCAAGAATCTCGTCAACATTGGCTCCCCGCGATCCTCCATCTCAACGCGAGCAAGCTGCCCGACCACTCGGTCGATTACGTCGCCGTGATGGATCTCCACACGCTCAAGCACCGTCGGCTCGAGATCGTCGCTCCGACCGAAGTGACCAAAGACTTCAACACCCATGCCATCGAAGGTTTCCACCGCGCGAGTGATCGCAAGCACCTGACCTTGTTCCTCAATTCGCATCGTCCTCCCGCCGAAGGTCGAGATTTGGCACCCAAGCTCGGAGCGGACAGTGTGATCGAGGTCTTTGAAACGAGGACCGGTTCGAACCAATTGAAGTGGCTCAAAACGATCCGACATCCTTTGATCCGTACGCCCAACAACATCGTCGCGACCAGTGAGACGTCCTTTTACGTCACCAATGACCATCGTCACAAGGTCCACTGGGGCCGAGCCTTCGGCATCTTCTACCACGTCCGTTCCGACATCATCCACTGCGACTTTGCTTCGGGGGAGACCCAGTGCATCGTCGCTGCTGAAGGCGTGTACAACCCCAATGGGATCGCGATGGGCGCGCAGAACAAGTTGTGGCAAGCCAGTTCGGGCGAACCGGTCCTAACCGTGTACGAGATCCAATCCGGTGATCAGACCTTGATCCCGACTGATCGCATCCCCCTCGGTCGTATCATGGATAACCTCCACGTCGCCGACGACGGCTCCGTCTACGTCAATACGTTCCCCCACCCTTTGCACTGGGTCAAAGCCGCCGCTACGGCCGGCAGGAACAAGCACCCCGCACCTACGGAGGCGTGGAGGATCTCGAACAATACGGACGAGAGCAGGCACTTGGGGAACAAGTACAAGGTCGAGTTGGCGTTCGCCGATGACGGATCGAACGTGATGTGGCCTACGAGTGCCGTGCCTTGGAAGAACAAGCTTCTTTCGACCGGCATCTTTTCGGAGACCGTCGTCGTGTGCGATTTGTCGTGAGCGGCGGATCGAGATAGTTAGGACGCGCACTACTGCAATTGTAACTTGAAGCGGACCTGGTGACAAGCGGGCGACAAAAAGATAAGAAATGTTCTAGTGATCCGAGTAGTACTGCGCCTTCGTGCAATCCAATTAAGTGTCATGTCGATTACGAAATTCGATCGGATATCGTTCATTGTGATTTTCTCGAGTGGCGAGACGGAATGTATCGTCGCCGTTGATGGGGTTTACAAACAAACCGAATGGGATCGCCATATTAGGCGCGCGCAAAATACGTTCAAGTGGCAAGCGAGTTCGGGGCGAACCTTTTTTGTCAACGTTTACGATATTTGCAAGGATCATAGGTTGGTTAAGAAGGATCGGATCGCGTTGGGGCAGGATCATGGATAATTTACCATGTTGGGGATGATGGGAGTGTGTGGATCGATACGTTCCCGTTCCCGTTCCCGTTCCCTTTGGAATGGAGGAAAAAGCGGCCAAAATGGCGGCGGGGAGGAATCGACATCTCGCACCGACGGAGGACGTGGAGGATCTCGAATAGAACAGAGGGGAAGGGGGGGGGGTTCATGGGCTGGGAGGTGGGAGGTGGGAGGTCGAGATGGTTTTCGCGGACGATGGGACGAATGTGTTGTGGCCTACGACGGCGGCACCTTGGAAAGGGAAGATTGTGTCGACGGGCATCTTTTGAGTCGGATACGGTCGTCATTTGCGATTTGTCGTGAGGGAGGGTTACATGTAGTGAGAAGAACGATGAAGTAAGATGTGTCATGGTATGAACTTTCACCCCAAGGTAGTATCTTATAAGTCTCCGAAAGACAAAAAAACCGAGCCAACAAAAGGACCCACTCGAAACCCCTATGCACAGACAAAAAGCAATGTAAAACCCACGAGCAGACCCTTCCAAAATCCGTCATGCATCGTCGCCCGCCGCAACGCCTTCCAACAACGAATAACTCTTCTGCAAGACGCACTCCCCGCCATGCTCCAAATCGATCGCATAGCTATAAAACACGCCTTCACTCGTCACGACCATCACCTGAGGTGTCGTCGAGCTTAGAGCGACGACGGAGCGTACGCCCGCGGTGGGGAGTTTGAGGAAGGCGAAATCGCGTTGAGGGTCCCAGAGCCCGGTGACGGTGCTGGGGAGAAGACCTCCCACCGAACCGGCGAGATTCCGACCTAGGTGGAAGGAACGACGACGCAGTGATCCGCCGACGCTCGATTCGTTCTTCTTGGCGTCGATGAAGGCTTCGTAACCTCCGATCGGACCATCGCCATTCTCATCGAACGATCCGAGATCGGAGTTCATACTCCTCCCACTACTCCCACTCGCGAGCCTACCGCCTTTAACCCCCACTCCTCCATTCTTTCCTGCGTTCGTCAATTTGAAGATGTGCACCGTTTCCGTATCGGAGGAAACGCCCAAGAGGGTCGAAACGGCGTTGAAAGTGATCGAGTAGATCTTGGCGGGGTAGCTGCCCCTTCGGAACTCGTGGACGCGGTCGCCGTTGGGGAGGGAGAAGACGCGGATGACGGTACCTTTGTCGCTGGAGGTGGCGACGAGGGTTCCGAAGGGGTTGAGGGCTACGCACGATATGGGCGCTTTGTGGGCTTGGATGATGTTGGTCACGGAGAGGGAGACGGCGTCAAAGAGGAGCACGTCGCCGTTGTTGGAGGCGGAGGAGGACGAGGGAGGAGCGGCGGGAGGAGTCGCGGAGAAGGGGGTTGTTGGGGAGGGGAGGGGAGAAGGGTAGACGAGGAAACTGTTTTCTGAAGAAGGTGAGAGGGCGCAGATGGCTGAGGGGTGGGGTGGGGTCGGGGTCTGGGTCAGGACTAGGCGTGTACTGCTGGCGCGTTGACGTGTGCCTCACCTTGTGGGTTGGGACTGGTCTCTATCTCGTGCAGGAGCTTCATGTTGGAGATGTCGTAGATGTAGATCCTCTCCTCGAGCACGACGACGAGCCTGCGCCGGTTCATCTTGACGGCCAAGATGGCGGTCGGGAACGTCAACTCGCAGATGGTCGATTGTCGCTGTGGGACGGCGTGGAGAAGAATGAGTCGAACGGAGAAAGATTGCTCGGTCGGACCGGATGCGCACCTTTGTGTTTACGATCTGGAGCCTGCGCGTGCTCGAGCTGGGCCGGTCGCCTGCTCCGACCAAGGCGACGAGCGAGGTGCAGAAGAGCATCTCGACGATCGATGTCGCACCTTCATCTGCATGGTATTGACGAGATTGCGTTCCAGAACTGACGCAAGGCCTCTCTAGTCGCGCGTGCCGGGCATGGACGACTCACTCTTGCCGTACACCCTGCCAAAGGGGTCGCAGTTGGTGATGGTGTAGCCCCGTCGGGTGCCGGTCGAGATGCAGCTGGATGGGGATCAGATCGGATGGGGGGGGACAGACAGGGGCAGCGTAGATAGATGGTCAGGCTTGATCGGATACGGCTAGTGGACTGCTACGCACGTGCTGTCCTGGTTGAAGTTGACCGAGAGCAAGTCGGCGTGCGACTTGATCCCTCCTCGAGCGGCGGCCATCTGCTTCCTTCAGCGTGGGTCAGGTGCGCGTGTCCGAATATGAAGTGGGATGGCTGAGTGTTGAAGGCGAGCGGTGACCTGAGCGGTGAGAGCGAAGGACGACGCGCAGACAGACAGACAGGCGGGCACGCAGGCGGGCAAGCGCACCGGACAGCACCGGACGGGAGGCACCAAGCTGGAGCAAGCTGGAGCAAGCTGGAGCAAGCAAGCGCACAGACCGCCCGACTCGTGGCGCGATCGGAATTGCACATTACAACGCCGCGGCGATCCAACGCGCCTATTAGTATTAGTAATATAAATCATCATCCCGTTCGACCGCGCGCGCGCTCTCAGGATCGATCTCGGCGCAAGTTGGTTGGCTCATTCTCCTTTCTCCGACTCGGGACTGGAACCGGGGTCAGTCGCGTGCGGATGGCGATCGCATCCACCTCCTCACCGCTGCCCACGACGACCAGCCGCAGTGATGGTGGTGCATCACCGGGTAGTGCCAAGTCACGGCTGAACAACACGCGGACTTATGGTCGACGAGGGGTAGCAGCAGCAGCATCAGCATCGGCGACCAAGACCACCACGACCACGACCACGACCACGACCACGACGACGGCGGCGATGCGCGACTCCACCTCGGCCACGCCTTCCTATACCGCCAGTCATCGCAAAGCGTCAATGTTGCAGCTCGACGAGGATTCTTCAAGCTCGAGCAGTAGTGGCAGTGATACCGAACTGGACGAATGCATCGAGAAGCAACTGGGCCTGAGGCAGGGCAGCAACCATCAGACCGTCTCACGCGGCGACAAGGGCAAGGGCAAGAAGCAACCGACCGAAGAATCCGTTTCATCATCTATTGAGGTCAAGACGTTGGCCTCGAAGCGCTCAACGTCAACACTGCGTGTCAAGCAACCGCAGCGGACCGCTTCAAAATCGAGCGCCGACCTCGTCTCGGCGCCCAGATCGCCGTCACGTGCCTTGCCCTCCTCCATTTTTCCTTCCGCTTCGACATCATCCGCTTGCTCAACTTCGACGCCCAAGCCAGCGCTCCATCTCGAGTCGAAGAAAGAGGTGCCACAGATAGAAGACGACGACGATGATGATGTAGAAGAACCGCCCTCCCCGCCGCCGAGAAAGAAGCGACCCCTTTCCTCTAACACGACTACATCATCCATCCTCGTCTCGGTCTCAGCGACCAGCAGACCCACTCTGGCCGAGCCGACGTCCCAACCCGCTGCCAACAGTCATGTTCCAAGTACCCGGACCGAGACTTTGCTCGTCTCTCCGACCAAGACCAAGAAGCGCAAGGCAAGTGAACCCGAACAGAAGGGTGCGAGACCGAGCTCGAAAGCAAGACCTTCGACGCCACCTCCTCCCGTACCATCGCGGACACCAGCAGCCCACCTTTCCAAACCGTCGACACCCAACACATCACGGTCCATCGCAGCTTCGAACCTCGCTGCGACTTCGGCCGCTCCTATCGACACCCATGTCGCATCCCCCCTCCGATCCCCAGCCAAGGATCTCAGCGGCATCTTTGATTCCTTCGATAGCGCCAACACCAGTGCAAGTGAAGGCGCGCGCTCGATCACATCAAATGAGGTCTCTCCCAAACGCCGGGGCAAGAGCCCACTCAAGGAGACGATGTCGACGGGTAGTATCGTCGCGGGTATGGCGCCCAGAAGAAGAGGTTTAAGTCCAGAATTGACGCGACAAGGTCCGTGCGGGATGTCGATGTGCAACGTCACTGAGGCGGGCCCTTTTCACTGATGTTGACTACACCCTCTCGCCCCGGCCAGGTTCACTCACACCTACTTCATCACGAACGATCAATGCGCTTTCACCAAGACCACTTGGACCGTCGTTTTCGCAGCCGAACATGTCCCCTACTCGACCAACGAGCAGGCAGCCTTCCCCATCTCGGCAACCTTCACCCTCGACGTCCCATAGCACCACAACAACGTTACAGAACAACGTCGTGCCTTGCTTGATCGAATCAGGGGCGATCGCACCTCGTGCTTCGGGTGCAGGGGTGAGGAAGACTTATGGTGGTGGTGCGGGTAGGTCGTTCAGGAGAAGTAAGGATGAGGATGAGTTGATGGGGATCCCTTCATCGGGGAGAGAAGCGCAAGAGGACCTGTCCCAAGACTCGGCGGGGGATATCCCCCTTGAACGAGCTTTGGGTTCTTCTTCTTCTTCTTCTTCGACGACGACGACGATGATGACGACGACAGCGACGTTGAGGAGGTCTTATTCGTCGATGAGGATCGAATACGGCGTCGAAGAAGAGGAAACCATCCTGCTCGAATCTCAACGAGCTTCTTCCCTCTCCTCGATCACCCAGTTGATCGCAAAGGGCGAATCGACCAAGTTCACGGATGAGGTCGCGTACCTTTTGGAAGGAATGTCGGAGAAGGAAGCTTCGCTCGCACTTCGGCGTTCGAGCGCGATCGAATTGGTTAGGAAGGTCGTACAGGAGCGCGAGTTTGGTAAGAGGGTTAAGAGTTTGGGATTGGAGGAAGGCGTCTACAAGGCTTTGAGGAGGTGTGCGATACACGGTGGGAAAGGGGTGGGGGTGGGTGAGGGTGCAGGCGATCGGTGCTTGGAAGTGTGCTTGGCGGTGTTCTTGGGCAGGATCGCGAGGGAACAGAGGGGGTTTGAACCGCTTATGAGAGTCACGAGAGGAGATGTCGGAGGGGAAGAAAGTAGGAATAGGAGAGGCGCAGAGGGGATGAATGAAGGCGATGTGTTGGGGATGATTAGACGGTGGTTGGAAGTGGGGTGGAGCTGTGAGGAGATTGGGGCGCCTGCGAAAGGGGTGGGGAAGGCCGAGTTAAGGAGTGTGAGTGCTTTTTGGGCGGTTCTGGGCACGGGGGGCTTACTTTGGTTTGGCGTTTTTCTGATCACAGTTGACTACCCTCCGCAACCTCATCATCACGAACAACCTGATCGGATCGACATCGTCCTCCGGGTCTTACCCAACCACATTGGAATCCCTCGCGATCCACCTCTTATCGACGATCGCCTCGTTCGAACCTCGTGCCATTTTCAGACCTCAGCTTCTCGTGTGTACTTCGGGAGCGTTGAAGGCTTTGGTCGGGACGTTGATGAGAGGGAGTGAAGCCTTGGAGGGGAGGTTGGGCAAGTATGAGAAAGGGCTGGATTTGTTGCCCTTGCCTGAGGATGCAAGCACCACGGCGGCCCCGAGCGGACGGTCGAACCCCCACCTCCCGCTACTGGCACTGCAGATCGGCGTTCTGGAGACCTGTCTTTCCGTTTGTTCTGAACAAGCGTTGGAACCTCTCACGGCCCACTCCAACTCGATCGTCACCTCCCTCTCGACCCTGATCCTCGTTTCCGAACTCGTCATCTTCGGCGGCGCTGCTCGTCCACCTCGCTCATCAACGACCGACACCCAAACCGAACCCGACGTTGCCCAACCCGAGTTAAGAGCAGCGATGGCCTGTCTCTCCGGCGCGCTCAAGCTCGTCCTCCAATTGACGATCGCCGACGCGAGGTGGAGCGCCGAGTTCGTCGCTGTGCATAGGGGGAGGATCGTAGGGAGTTTGGTGAGGGTTTTGCAAAGTGCGAGGAAGGGGATGGGGGAGGGAATGAGAAGAGCGGAGGATGGGGTGGAGGAGACGGGACAGGCAGCGAGGTCGACGTTCGATTTGGACTTGTTGTGCTTGGCGTTGGGCACGTTGACGAACCTCGTCGAGAGCGTCGATCGCGTCAAGACGATCTTGAGGGAAACGCGTGAGTGGCTCCTTGTGCGTGAGGGTAGAAGGCGACCTGCGAACTGATGATTGGCTTTTGGAGGTGTGTAGTGCTTTCCCCGACCTGCCAAGAACGACGACGCTGCACGTTCGTGTGCCATTGCGAGGGGCGCGAACCTGCGCTAGCTGTGCTGGCTAGTTTGTACCTCCAAACGCCAGCGACCACAAACGAGGTCAGTCCCGGAGTCGGGATACTCTTTGTCTCAATCTCGTGCTTACTTGGGTCGGTACCCCACGTCGTCACAGATCAACACCTCCTTCCTAACAGGTTACTCCGGCCTTCTATTGGGCCTAACGATGGTCGACTCGGAACCCAACGAAGCCCTCGTTGAAAAAGCATTGCAAGGGCATCCGCAAGCGAGGAAGGAGTTGCAAGCTGCGATGGACGACTTTGCGAGTTTGCACGAGGCCGTTGAGGAAGGTCGTGAGGGGGAAGGGGATGTGGGGTATAGGGATCGGGAGAAGAGTCAGGTCGCGGGCAGGATCAGGCAAATGTTGCGTAGGATGAAGGCTTAGGTTTGGGCTGCGAGCGGTAGCCGGTGTTTTCTTGCTCTTTTTCTTGTGTATTAGATGAGTTGATAATGCAGATGTTTCTGTACGCCTCTCCATCAGAAGCGGGTTCTACAAACTGCGTTGCAGCTGGCGAGGGTATGCTGTAGAGGACGCGGCTCGGGCGAGCAAAAGAAGAGAAGAGACCAGCTCTAAAAAAAAATTCACTGAAGTCTGAATGTACCCCTATTATCTCCCACTCCCAACGCCTTTGAATTTGTAGCGCAGGTTGCGACGACCAGTGAAGACCCAACTGGCGTCCATCTGTACGACATTCTTGTTGGTCGTGCGCGCGCCGTTGAATTTGGCGAACTGCGAGGATCAAGACGGCCAGAGCAGGAAATCGGTCAGTTCATACCATGGAGCTGAGGTATATTGGTAAAGGTAGACTAACAGAATTTGTGATCATGTCGATCGAATTGGGGGTGCGTACCCAGCCTGTATCCAAGGAAAGATTAGCACCCGACTCGACGTCGCTTCACGAAACGCCATCCTCCTCGAAAGACAGCTCACGATCATCAAAGGCATCCGCAACCACCAACTTGATCTTCTTCCCACTCTTGGACGTAATCTCCGCCTCCATCCCACAGAACGCCTTGGCGGCCTTTTCATAATCGTTCCCAAAATTCGCCAACATCGTCTTCAAACTGATCGCGAAACCAGGGGTAGTATTATCGTAAGGGAAACCGCACCACGAGTTGCCGTTCGTGGAGTCGGTGGTGGATTTGGTGCTGAACCAAGAGACGATCGCGCCCTTGTTCGTGCCGCGACGGGTCGCTCGGAAGGCCGTGATGCCATTTTTGCGAATGCGGGCGTCGACCCAGGTTGAGGTGGGGGAGGGGCGGCGCTGTGGGGGAATGGTGGGTCAATACCTTAATCGCGGTGGCCGACGTCTCGAGATGAATTGGATCACCTTCGTCGTGGATCGCTTGACCGGCGTAGTGGTCACATTGTCACCTGATCGCCTCGTCGTCGCTGTCGTCGTCTTCTTCTTGGTGATTGTCACAACCCCTGTCTTCGAGGTCGTCGCTGAGCGTGTAGACCCCGTTCTAACAGCCCTCTTAGTGGTCGTCTTGACGATCGTAGGCCCCGCCAAAGTGGGGGTTACAAAAGTCGGCTTGTACGTCTTGGGCAAGAAACTCCAACTGATAGGCAACACGCCCGTGTCCCTGACACCGATCAAGTCGAAGGCTCCAAGGGAGAGGTCCAGGGCATAAGCCCCTGCGCACGAAGGACACGCATCAGCGACGATGGCGATGACGTTCTTCCCGTTGGCGGTGTTGGTGATGTTGACATAACGACCGCAGTATTGAGATACCGAATTCGTGTCCCCGTAAAGGAGATAATGTAAAGCCACTAGCGGTGTGGCGTCGAGGTTATAGTTCCCACAAGCACCGGCAAGATTGTCTTGAGTGAACCACGTCGCCGTCGCGGGCCCGTTATGTACTCCATCGGGTGTAGGCGCTGTTGTAGCATTGGTCACTGCACGAACACCGAGGTTGCGAGCTTGGGGCGCCGTCGCGGACGTTTCGCTCCCAACGGTCGACCGGGCCCCGCCGCTGGGCTTGCTGACAGGAGCGCCTAGAGCGATCGAGCCGAAGCAGAGCAAAAGAAACAAAGTTTCGAGCATCTTGATTGAAATACGAGTGAAACGAGTGAAAAAATTTGGTTATGGTATGTAGGGGATGGGTCGAGACCGGCTCGATGGAGTACAGAAGTCTTTGGCAGGAGTCAGCTTTGTCGGCCTTCAGGGAGGGGTAACGGGTCCGCGCTTCGCAACTTACAAGTACAGCTAATCACAAGTCACAGGGACGCCACGGCCGCACGAGGAGAGAAGAAGAAGAAAAAGAGAGCGAAAAAAAAAGAGTGAAAGAGACGAACAGAAACCGCAAGTCCAAGTACACAGTAGCTGCGCGCTCAGGCCACCCTCGTACCCGCGAGTCTGTCTCGATGTCCGGGCGCCTCGGGCGCTGCGGGCGGACGCCGATAGTAGCTTGACACGGACTGGACCTGTTCGAAGAGCTGGGTGAAAGCACCTAGATATTTCCGATTACTGCACGACACTAATCCGATTGCGCATACTTGTCCCTGACGGTGCCCAGGTTCTTTGTCAGCAACCGCAGGTCTGTGTAAGGTTCGGCAGCCCCTCGGTAGGTCCAAGCTCAAACCTCGGACCGACGGACCGACTTGCCTGACCTCCCTTTCATTTTCCTGCCTTTGACTGACAACCATGGTGCATCCCCTTGTCATCCTTTCCTATCTTTATCGTATCTCTCCCTATTGTCCTGGTTCTCCACAAAGAACCACAGTGTCTACCTAGCTCCCTTTCACACCTCCAGATTCCTTAAATAGCAATTGGTAGCTCTCTTCTCTCTTTTCCTCTCTTCTCATCCTTCACTGGACCCCCACTCCTGATTCAACTTGACAATCGACTGGTTTGGGACTGTCTATTCGTCAAGCGACATCGAGAGTATTACCGAGGAACTCGCCTTTACTCACACCGCTGCTGAGTAATCTGGGCTCCTTACATTACATGCGGGGAACGGATGAGTCGATAGCCATTCGCTCGAAATTGTCAGTCGCTCCGCTCTCGGATTGGTCATCAGACCAAACAGACTTGAACTGTTTAACAACATGGTGCCCACCGATTAGGCGGGTCTCTCGCTTGCCCTTGTGGAGGAGCTCGCCCAGACCGGTGTGGTTCGCTAGTCCCGTGAAGTCGATTAGTTTGGGCACCTTGTTGTTAAACAGTTCAAGTCTGTTTGGTCTGATGACCAATCCGAGAGCGGAGCGACTGACAATTTCGAGCGAATGGCTATCGACTCATCCGTTCCCCGCATGTAGTGCAGTACTACTTGCACAGTGGGGGAGGATGTAAGGTTCGGCAGCCACTCGGTAGGTCCAAGCTTAAACCTCGGACCGACAGTCTGGCCGAGTCGCTGGGCCGAGGGGCATCGCCGAATTCGGCCAAGCTCCAGCGACCAGTAGCGAGCGATTCCGAACACTGTAGATTGGACGGTCCAAGGCTGCGATGAATCGCAGTGGGTCGAGCACCTGAAGACAATTAGAATACGGCACTCGACAGGGACAAGTCAAGAAACACTTGCAAGTAATCCCACCTGTCGTGCAGAGCCAGTGCAAGCACGTGAATCCGGGGCTGGCCCCGCTTGAGGCTCACTAGCACTGCAGCCGGACGTCTTTCGGCAGCCCGAGGTCTCCGAGATCCTCACGGGTATGACGCGATACGAGAATGAGAGCGTGTGCTCCAGGCTCAGAACAAACATATGTGTCAACAAAAAACGAAACTCGGCTACAAGGGAAACAAGATCAATACTGAGATAACAGATGAGAACACGAAATAACCTCCGGTGCATTCTCAAAGCCCTCTCTGCACCTGGGCGCCGGCTCACCTTCGAGTCACTGCAGCCCCAGGAGTCCCGCCATCGCGGTTTCAGAAGGGTTCATTCCTCCACACACCCGTCGGAGCCGACGTCGAATCTTGTCGGTACCTTCTCTCCAACTCGACCGCATCCGAATGCCCTGGCTCGTTCCCGTAAAACCCAAAATCCTCGTCCTCTTCGTTGTCGAAGGCCGAGCGTGGCCTTTCTACGGAGCCACTGTACGGATTGGGTGTGCTCTGCTGGGGGGCATGGTCGCGGATCTTGTCTGATCTGCTGAGGAAGCGGGAGCGCTCATGTGTTCGCGACCGGCGAATGAGGAAGTACCCCTGGTCGAGATGGAAGTTGGCCGAGGGTCAGCTCGCAAAGCCATACCAAGCCCATCACGCGCAGGAGCCTACTTACGAGGATTCCAAAAACTACGAGTCCAATCACTGCCGAACCAATCCCTAAACCAATCTTCTCCCCCTTTGGCATCCCAGTCTCCTTCCCCATCCCCGTCGTCAGCCCCGTGGTCAGCCCCGTCGCCGGGGCGCTCTCCGCGGCCTGCGAGATGAGGTTCGAGACGAACTGGTTCACGAACGAGATGACGGATTCTTTCGCTTTCGAATACGCATCCGGGTGTGTGATAGATGCTCCGGGGATGTTGGAGGAGCCTTGTGAGGCCATCGGATAGGTTTGCGTTGTGAGAATCGTCGTGAGGCTTGAAGTCGTAGCTGAGGCGAGACTGTTCCCCGGGCTCGTAGCGAGCGAGCTCGAGACGGACGACGCCGCCGAGGTCATGGATGTTGCTGTAGGTGAAGCCATGTTGTTGCTTCGTCTTAAGTGGGTACACGAAGGCCGATCACTCCGAACTGCCTATAGGCGTGCAAAGGTAGATCAGCTTCGAGTTGAAGAATACGCCGGAGCCGATGACGACCCGCCACATCCCGACTCGTGATCGGAGAGAAGGCGGGGGAGGAGACTCACCAAAGAGGCAGGCGACTCGGAGGCTGGGGAGAGCAAGTGAAAGTTCCCGGTCGTCCCTTGGCCGGGAAACGACTGCAAAGCTGAGTAAGTAGTAACCCAATTGATCGCTGGTAACGGGTCGGGTAGACTATTATAGAGAGCCTGACAAAGCTCACGCAGCCAGAACCAGAACGTCGATCCCACGTCAAGCCTGGGCGTCGGCCCGGGGCAGCCAGCTCAATGACGACTGACAGTTCCATGACCCGGCGACTGGTCGCGAGTCGCGACCCTCTCCGCGCGAGTCTGCGCGTGGGATCTGGGAGGCTCGGCCCCGCTCGCTCGATCGCGAAGCGCTCTAGAAGCTCTTCCAGCTTTTGAAACTGTCGATCTTTTCGTTTTCTTTCAAGAAATAAATCCCTATCCTTCTTTGTCTATCTCGTTCTTTATTCGTAGGTTCCACGCTGAGAGTTTGGATCGAACCAAGAAGGGTTCTCGAAGAAGAGCCGCTCGTGGGAATGCGCTGATCGAGTCGTGACGCTGGTCGATCTCTCGCGCAAGCTCGGGGAGATGGGCGTTCGAACGGAGAGGGGGTCCGTGCGCCCGAAGGATCGACGTCCGATTCCACCTTACTATCTCCAAACCCACTATTCCGCTTTGTTCTCAGGGCCATGAATAGTTTCTATGCCGTAATTCGTATTGTATGTTTTGAACCCCACTGAAACAAAGTATACTGTTCAAGTCTCCTGCTATCCGAATCTCATCCTCCCGTTATTTTAATGGGTTCCCGGGGACCTGGTACCTCTTTGTAAAAAAAAAAAGTGTCAATCCGCGACCCATGTGCCTGAAAGCGCTGTACCCGACTATGCCTGTGGTGGATGTAGCAGCATACTGTTGAGTCCGCCGCATCTGCTTTGCGGTATCGGCGTCCCGGTCAGAAATCATGTACGATCATTTATGCGTCCTCTGGACCATAGAAACCGAGTTACAGCCCGATTATAACTTTTATCGAGTTGCTTTCCAGTGGTGCAGAACTGTTGAGCAATTTATGTAGTACTCACTGTACAACAAGCGCGTGGGGTTGCATGACAGTGCTTCTACCAGGCGTTTATCAGAAGTTCAAGTACACAGTCCCTGGCTACTTCCCCACCGATCCTCGCAGCACTTCCCTATTCCCCTTCCAACCCATTCCTCCGTCGAGCCTCTTGCAATTCTTGCCATTGTTGCACCTTGCGTACTTTATGTTCCTCTGCCTCCTGGTCGAGTTGCGCCTTGAACGAGCTCCAATAATTCGTCTCTTCGGGAGTGAGTCGGTCGTCGCTTTTTTGACGCTCGGCCGAGTCGAGCTCCTCGGGTTCGGGATCGGTATTGGAGGTGGGCTGGGCCCAGGTTGGGACGGTCGGTCGATTCGTACCTGTTAGTTTGGGTGTTACGTCGTACGAGATTGCCAAGGCGAGTGATTTCAACTGGTGTATGGGGAAGAGTCAAGCCATCATGTCAGTAGGGACGTCGACCGAGGAAAATTGAGAGATCTGAGAAAGTTGAGCCTTCGCCCCAGAACGGCATGTTTTGGACGCACATCATCGACCTTGTACCACTTGAGGAGACCATAGATCCCAGCCGAGAAGAGACTTAGGGTGATGGCGGTCGCAATGGCCAAGGCTTTGAAAGCGTCCAGAGCGGGGTTGAAGCCGAGTTCCCCCTTGAAAGGTTCGTCGAGCGTGCCGCCGTCGTTGTGGAGACGATCTTCGAGGTCGACGTTGTTGGAAAAGATGATGGATTGGGACGAGATGAATGAGTTGGGGAGAAAGTAGGCGGTGGGATCGTTGCGGTTCGAGGACCAGGAGCGTAAGATTCTGAACCGGCCACGACTTGAGGAAGAGGAAGGGAAGGAAAGAGGGTCCGCAAACAGTTGCCGTGGAGGAATGACAAGCGGTTCGATCTGGGAGGCTGATAGTGGTGTCGAGGTGGACGCTGCTGGTGTAGGCTTGAGTACTCGTGCCAGCAATCCCTTCTTGACGGCTCGAGCGGGTGGAGGAGCGGCTGCGATGGGCGCCTTGGACGTTGAAGCGACCGCACTGGAGGCAGTTGCAGAGCTCCTCGCTGAGGCCATAGGGTCTGCAGTCGGTGGCATTTTGACTTTCTTGAGAAGTCTGCCCCCACTTGCTCCGGTGATGAGGAGCGTGGTGCCGACCGAGACGAGGAAGACGAGCGTGTACTTTTTGGACGGATCGAGCGACGACAGCTTGGCGAAGGGGCTCTTGGACGGGGCAGCGACATCATCCTTTCCTCCTGTTGCGCTTGATGGCACCGATGGTGGTGAGGAGGACATGTTGGATGCCGTGTGGGGGGATGGGATCGTCCAAGTTGAGGCTGAAGCCGACGACGATACGGGCGCGCCCCACCTGCGGAACAGCTGAGCGGAGCTGAGCGGCCTGAGCGCGCGGGCAGGCACTGGCAGGCACGCGACACTTCCTGGCCGCAGCTGGCCGCGCGATTTGTCGCGACCCGACACGCGCACTGAGGCCTGCTTCACTCTCACCGACTCGGAGTCGATTCTAACTCTGCCGCCCCTGTCTTGCCATCAGCCACCTCATCTCGCTTGCCCCGGTCTGCTCGCCTGAAGGCCTGAAGCCATAGCACACCACGCAACCTCAGCCGCTATCTGAGCTCGCGCCTTGTTACTCATGCGCTCCTCACGCCTTCAGTTCGACTCACCCCGGCCGCCGCTCGCCTTGTGATGCCCGATCAGTCAATCGCTGCGCGCTCTCTTGCTCCTACGGATCATCACGCAAAGTCTCATCAGACTTAGGCCGACGGTACCTCGTCATTCTTCGAGGAGGTCTTGGATTAGCCTGAGGGCGTCTGAAAGACTCGACTGGTCGTTGAAGGTTACGTGCAGTCGGTACTACACTGTAGCTTTGAAAAACTCGCCATTGCCTGTGAGACCTTTGTACTTCACCTCTCATTCCACGTTCTACCGAGCATAGTCACCTCCGACGTGCACCCAACCGCTCTTCAGGAAGAAAAAAATCCCACTAGTAACCCCCTACTACTCAAAATACCCGCTCTCCCTCAACCACCCCTCCACATCTCCTGCATCCCTTTCCAACCACTTGGCATTCAACCTGACCCGATCCAGACCCTGATCCAAGGCCTGACTGAAAGCCGACGAATCGACACCCTGAGCCCATTTCTCAACTGCTAGCACGTCGGCCTCGGTGGTGAGACGAGCGAAACAAATCGGTACGATGGCGGTGATCATGAGCGCTGTTGGCGAGAAGCCAAGACGGTATAAGTCAGTCTATCGATTGCTTCAGGGGCACAAGAGGCGATCGCAACATGACTCACAACCTTCGAAGCGACGGGAAATGTAGTCATAGTTCTCCTGGAAGAAGCGCCACAACGCGCGCGTGGCAAAGGGATTCATGCTCAAGGCTCGGGTGGAGTGCACGATATCTGAACGAAGGAGATGACGAAGTTGTCAGCAGGTCAAAGGCGCCAAGTCGACCCCGATAGAAGCGTACAATTAATTGACGTATCCTCCCTCTTGATGATCTCAAACACCCTCTCCAACCTCTCCTGATCCTGCGTCGCAGACATCCCCTTCACGGCCGCCACAGCCTGATCCGGCGTCTCTGGCGCACGGAACACGCTCACCATCTTCTCAAACTCCTTCTCCCCGCCCTTCTCAACGCAAATGGCGTAGATGCTTTCTTGAAGCTCGGAAGGGATGAGGGACTCGTCGTTCTTCTCCAAAAAGGGGGTGAAGCGTCTCTGGTACTCGGCGAGGATCTGGGGATCTTCAGCGGCGGCGGCGGTCGTAATCGCCGTGGCGCGCAGCTCGACCGTATCAACATCGTCCTCGGCCGAATCATCAAAACCCAATCGTTCCGCGATGGGACCAAAGAGCGTCCGACGTAATTTGGAGATCGCATCGCGTACCTCTTTGGGTTGCTCCCACCACGTCGAGGCGAGCGTCGCGAGCGAATCCGCAACGGCTTGAAGGACGAGGTTCTCCTTCTCGTTTCGAAGCTCGGAGAGGAAACTCAAGCCTGTGCTCGTTTTGGACACTCCTGCAATAGCGAGAGCCATCGCGTCGCCGACGAGACCCATTCGATCACTGAGATCAAAAGCGGTATCGGGCTTGCCCGCTTCTTGGCCGATTTTGACGAGTCGGTCTTTGGGATAGGATGTGCGGTAGACGCCGCATGTGCTTGCGTTGAGTTTGTAAGTCGTGTTGGCGACATCTTGAAGAGGGATCGTCATCTCGCGTTTCGTGAGGAGCAAGTCGTGATTGACGGTGGTCTTGCCGTCCCGCACGACCAAGAGTTGAAGCGGGATATGCCAGAGGACCTCGTCCTCTTCGGCCTTGACGTTTCGTGTGCTGATGAAGCGATTCTGTCGAACCTTGAGCCCCTCGACCGTTTCCTTGACGGTTACGACCGGATACCCAACCTTCAAAGTCCAGTTCTCCATCATCGTCGCCACATCCTTTCCGCTCGCTTCGGAGATACCGTCCCATAGATCTTTGGCGACGGTGTTGCCGTACAGGAAGCGCTTGAGGTAAATCGACACTCCACGAATGAAACGTTCTTGACCGATGAAGTTGGAGAGCATCTTGAGTACGCTAGCACCTTTGTAGTAGGAGATGGCGTCGAAGATTTGGCCGATCGTCTGTATGGGACCAACGCACAACACAAGATCACGCAGTCAGCTTGCTATGGCACGGTCCCAGCCCTTCGATCACGCTTTATCCTTACAGCTTCGTCGGGACACGGCACCTGGATCGGGTGCGAAGAAGGCAGCGCATCAAGACGGAGTGCCTCCGCGAGCTCCTGCTTCACAAACCCACTATGCACCCTCCACGAAGGCTCAATCTCATCAAGCATAAGCACCTCCCCGACCAACGTCGCGAACGCTTCGTTGAGCCACAACCCATCCCACCAATCGAAAGTGACGATGTTGCCGAACCATTGGTGCGCGACTTCGTGCGAGTTGTAGACGACGACCTTTTTCTTGTTCTTGATACTGCTCTTGGCAGGGTCGTAGACGTACGCGTCCTTGACGCCGATGATGAGACCCCAATTCTCCATCGCGCCTGAGCAGTCCGTCGCGATGAGAGAATCGAGCTTGGGCAATGGGTACTCTAGAGTAGAAGAGCATACGTCAGCGAGGTGGTATCGAAGCCACTACGGTGAAAAGTCGAACTCACCAACATCAAACAGCTTCTCGTAGAGGGGCAAGATCTTCGCCATGGTCTCGAGCGTCAAGGCTCCTTGCTCGACACAGTCCGCAGTCGCATACACGCGAAGAGGGATGACCTTGCCCGAAATCGTCGAGGTGAAGGTCGATTCGAGATGGGCAAAAGGACCGTTTGCAAAGGCCACCAAATAGGTCGAGACTTTGGGCAACGTAGCGAACGTAATCAGGCTCCAATCGTCTTTGAAGTCGCCGTGGGAGACGGACTGAGCAGGAATCGCTGATACAGATGTGACCGTGTTGATTGCGGGTCCATCTTGAGTGAAGAAAGACTCTTCCAAGAGCGACGTTCGAGGAAAGTCCCCTCCGGCGCCGAGATGCTTCGTCGCTATGACATCCATGTTGGACAGCGAGATCGAGTCCGTGCGCGAGATCATCTGAATCGCAAACGTCGCTTTGAGGGCTGGCTCATCGAAGCATGGGAAAGCTCGACGGGCCGCGGTCGGTTGAAATTGGGTGATGGCGTAGTAAGCCTAGTTGTATTCCGTCCCGGTCAGCTCGCCATTCAAAAATGTGATTATTAGTCCAGATAACGTGATGCCACGCACGATTTCACCCTCTTGTCCGCCAGGAGCCGGGTAAGTCGAACGGTAATACCCTGCTGTCGTGCCCAGGTTGGACTCCCAACGCAAACCCAGTCGAACTTGACCAGGGACAATTTTTCCGCCCTCGAAAAAGATCTCTACGCGCTCGCGCTTGGTATCCAATCTGAACTTCGTTGCTGGTTGATTGGAAGATTTTCGACCATGTGAGAGGACCGCGTGCTTGATCTGGATAGACTCGGCGACGTGGAGCACGATCGAAGCGGTTTCGTGCAGTACGTCGAGGGTGATTTCGGCCGTACCGGAAAAGGTCAAATTCTTGAGATCGGTCTTGATCACGAGGTCATAATGCGATGGTCTGCGAAAGTAGTCGGAGAGTGATTAGCAGGTGATTGAAGAAACAGGAAAGCGGAAGGGGAACGTGCACGACGTCGCTGGTTAATCGTACGTCGTCCGGGCCGACGCCTGAGCTGGTGACGACTTGGATGTTGTTCAAGGACATTTTTGGATATGGAGGACTGGATCGGAATGTATGCTATGAAGCAGAAGGCGACAGACGCTGGTTGAGGAGTTCGACTCTGGGGTCGTGTTCGCAGGAGCTGCAGTGGTGTTGGCCTGCTGGTGTTCGCTATGTGGGGCAGTCACGGCACTGGCACGTGACGACGAGTCGGCGTTCGAGGGCGAGTACAAGAGAGAGGAGATGTACGGAGGGATGGTACGCAATGAAGCAATAAAGTGGATCGTGATTGTTTGAGGTGAACAAGATGAAAAACTACATCTCGCTCGAGGGTCTGGCATTGCGACTGTCGCACCACGTGGTTGGCGCCAGATAAGACACCACAGTTTGGCAGACATGTCTGAAGCGTGACTCGACGACCGGCTGCGAGCCCTGCGGCCGACTGATCGAGTCACTAAGCCCAGGGGAGGAGTCAACATTGAGATGTTGGTCTGTTCAACAGGGCCAGCCCGTGCAAAAAGGCTGCCAATATAGAGATAGTGACTTGCGGATGTTGCAGCCAATGAGGTCATGACGATGGCCAAAATCTCGGCGGCGCAAAATCGAAGAATCGTCATGGCGGGTCCGAGCTCACAACACGGGAGCTTTCCAACCCGAAGCCCGGACCGGTTCCGAGTTATGAGCATCGCGCCTCTCTCGATCCCAACTCGCCAGCCTTCTTGCAGGAAGTCTCACGCTCTCCGGGTCAAGCACACCAACACACCCGCTCACACCAAGCCATGGATCCAGCACCGGACCCCTCGAACAAGGCCACGACGACTTCGTTCCGGGATGCGCTTGCATTAGGGTTGCCCTTGTCGAGCAAAGGCGCGACGCATGCGGCATCGTTGCCCAGAGGCGTACGTAATACTTTGAGCTCAGCGCCGAACGAACGAAATGGCCGGCATCGCGCGTCGTAACCACCCCATCGGCAGGCCGGGATGAGACTCCCTGGAGGTGGTTACAAGAGCAGCCGGCTGATCATGATGGGTTTGTTCATCCACAGCAATCGTGCCTCGCATGTAGGAGACGCAAGGCAAGTCTGCGATCACAGTCACCCGGGACACGCTTCAGCGCCGTACTCGCCGATCGATCTACCGCGCTTGGATCCGGCCCACGGTGTTGGCTGAGGTCGCAGCGATCGATCGGGATTCCAACTACCAAGCTAACTTAGCTGGCCCTTTGACACTTTACGCAGGTCAAGTGTGATGGAGTGAGACCGGTGTGTGGGGGATGCACTCGTTCGGCGCTTGCCCACGGCGAGTGAGTTAATTCGGGATACCGATACCCCTGAAGAGAGCCTTCGGCGCGTTGGGTCGGACGCTGATTCTTTGCTCGACAACTTGCGCTGCTGCGCGCACTTACAGAGACCCCAACACATTCGCATGCCCTTATGACGATTCGGAAAAGCCGCCGACCAAACGCAAGAGGCCCGCGAGCTCTACAGCACCGATCGCTCTGGAACCGGTATATCCTTCGCCCCCGGCTTCGGCGGGACCGACGCCACGCGAGAGAGAGCTCGAGAGACAGCTCGGTTAGTCGAGCACGAAGGCTCGGTAACTATTAGGAACGCTATGCTTACCCTAAAACAACGATTTGAACAGCTATCCTGGAAGCCAAATTGGCCGCGGCGACTTCGCCTTCAGGATCGGGCTCGTCATTCAGCTCCGTCCACGTCTCCACGGCCTCAGGCTCGTTCAGCAACTCGCCCTCGACCATGGGTTTGCTAGGCACCGGCAGCAACATCACGTCGCCAGAAACAAGTCTAGACTATCTGCTGCAAGCCACGACAAGTCAGCAACCGATGCTCTCGACGATCACCTCCGGCTTCTCGTCCACGGAGCGACTCTTTTCGCCGTATACGTCCGACCCAAGCCCAACCGTCCCGGTCTCGGATGACTCGTACCTCCTTCAGCTCTTGTACCCCGGATGGCCTGTCGATCTCCCCAGTCCTGGTTTGGTCAACCGACTTCTGGACGTCTTTTTCACCAAATCGCACGTCTTCAAGGAGATGGTCAACAAAGATCGGTTTATGGCCTCGATGATTTTGCCTCCGTCGCACCATGGCTTCCCGCATCGCTCGATCCTCCATGCCATCCTCGCTTGTACGGTCAAGATGGTTAGCGACGATTTCTACGGGCACGAGCACGGGTATTGGCTGCGTCGTCAGGACGGGGTGGCGCAGGAGGTGTCGCCGGCGGATTATCATGCGCAGCAAGCGAAGGCCGCGGTGGATGAGTCCGTACGCAAGGGGCAGGTCTTGTTTCATGTCCAGCAGGCGATGGCCTTGCTCTGCTACTATTGCTACACCTCGGCTCGCTTCATCGAAGTTTGGCTCGGATGTGGTCTTTCAACTCGATTGACCGGTCCGCTCGGCCTCTCCCATCTACGGTCGAAAGCGCAACAAGAACTCGAGGAACTGCACGGCATCGCGCGCAACATGATGACCAACAAGAAAACGAGCTTTCTACCGCCAATCAAGGACGATGAAGAATACTTTGAGCGTTCGGTGACGTTTTGGCTCACCGTTTGTGCGGATCGGTTCGCGAGCGCGTCGACGAATTGGCCGGTTTCGTTGGACGAATCGGATATTACGTCATTGTTGCCGTGTAGGGATCCTTCTTTAGATGTGAGTCCAAGGATCACCGGATTATTGCGATTGTGGTGACATACTCTCATGGATGGTTACGGCTTCCTCCAGACCACCATTCCCAACCAGTCACCTCTGTCCATCAAAAAGTGAGTCGTGCTGCTGGAGATCCTTTCAGACGACCTTCGCTCATCTTTGTACTTCCACACGCCTTTACAGTCCCAACTTCTTCACCTTCCACCCACCACACCTCGTTGGACCTTTACAACTCTACATTAAGTCCGTCCTCCTGCTCGGGCGCGTGGTGACGTACATGCAACGCGAAGGCGCAAGAGACCGTTACCCCCCCCCGAAATCGACATCCGCACGACCGCGGCCTTCCGCAAACTCGAGAACGACGCCGTCCAGTTCCGTATGTCGATCCCCAAGGAATACCAACAATCGGATGCGCCGAACGTACAGGGTCAGTCGACGCCGGTCGATAATCGTATCTGTGTGATCCATGCGATGCCCCACGTCGCGACGATCATCATGCACGAGCCTCTGGTGGCGATGCAGGACAACGACCCCTCCTTCGCGAAATGTCTAGCGTCGGCGAGGTCCATCCTCGCGTCCGTTTACAACCTCTGGTCCACTTCTTTCGACATCGGTTTACTAGCACCTTTCATCAACCTCGCTTGGTCCGTCGCCGGACGAACGCTCGTGCGTGAGATAGCCTTCAAGCAAGCCCTGCACCCGAACTCGAATACGAGCCAACTCGTCGCGGACGTGCAAGTCATCCTAGCAGCCATGCGAGCGTTCAAAACACCCCTCGGTACAGCCGTCGCGCATATTTTGCAGAGGTTGTTGGATAACCCGCCTTCGGCTTTGCCCAACGCGGATATGTCTTGTGGTCACGTTTCTAAACACCAGGAGCAAACGATGATGTGTGGTGCCCCCATCGGAGGAGCAGGAGCAGCAAGAGGAGGGAGCGATGAAGCTTCTTACACAGGTCTCTCACCGAGCCCGGCAATGACAAGTCTTCAAAGCGTTTCACCCAATGGTGAATCACCCCTTGGTGGCAACGGAAGTCATCGGACCTCTGGGTCCAGTTCGGGCGTCTCCCCAGTTTCGAATACGGCTTTCGACCTCCCTACGACACCGATGAATTCGATGGACCCGATAGGCAATTTCTTTGAAGGGAATGGGGACGAGGCGAGGAAGATGAAGATGAAGGAGATGCAGGATACTTTAGGAAAATTCGTCGAGGTCGCGGGTTTGAATGGGGATTCGTTCGGGACGGGATGGAAGTGAGAGGGAGGGGGGGGGGGGGCGTGGTGTCAAAAGATGCGGGTCAAAGGAAATTAGATTTGTCGCAGTTTTGTTTTTGTTGTCAGGGGGGGGGGGGGGGGGGGGGGGTCCCTATTTCCTTTGTACATGTTGTTGAAATTTTCTCCTTTCTTTCATTGGAATTCGAAAGCTCTCTGGATAGGGTTCAAACTAGTGTGTATATATTACTCGTCTCGAGAGTGTTCGTGCTCGTCCCCTCCGTTGATCGTAGGCTCGGAAGAAGCTCCCCGCTCTTCAAAGGCCCGCAAAGAGCCAACCTCCCAAACCAAACAAGAACCCACTCATCTTCTCCGCGGGCGAATGGAAGAACACGCTCGTGCACGCTAGGACGAACCAACACAAGCCCATCAACGCCAGAACGGAATACAACACGAACCGCTCGGGGAGGCCGACGTCCTTTCGAGGGACCGAATGGTGCAACACGCGTTCGATCGAAGGGTTGATGAGGTAGTAGAGGAACAGGGAAGCGTGCACCATCATGAAAACGTGGCCCGAGGAATCGTGACCTCCTCGGTAGTATTCGCCTCTTTGACCGGTGCATTGAAGGTTCGCGACGACGAGCGACGACGAAGCGGAAGAGAGCGTCGAGGGCGTGCACACCGCTCCGGAGTAGAGGAGGAGATGTTTGGCGAGCGAAGGGCCGCGGTAGAAGGCGCCGAACCAGGTCGCTTGGGTGAGGTAGTACCAGTACAGTGTCGAGAGGACGAAGCGACGGGTGATGGTGAGGAAGTGTTGCACCAACGTCGGCTCGTTCAACTGTACTTTGTGTGCGGACTTGCTTGGTTTGGGAGCCAAGACCAAGGTCGATAAGGAGTAGAAGATGTAGGCGAGCGTGACCCAGAGCCAGGCTTGCTTGGTAAAGTACTGGTTGATGACGTTGCGCTTGTCGGCGAAGTAGGGCAGGATCGCCTTGAGTGACTCGGTCGAGGAGCCCTTCGTCGACGAGCTCAGATGGCGCGTCAGCGTCGACGAAGGGAGACGCGACCGGAAAGTGAGCACATCCGTCGGGGTGGTGTAGTTCGAGTAGGACGTTCCAAGCAAGGTCGTGAGGAAGAGCACGGCGACGAGTGTGCGCAGCTGGGCAGGCCCGTTCGAGGACGATGCTGGTCGTCGTACTCGCGGCGTGGGCGTGGCAGCGGTCGTACCAGCGGGCACTCGGGACGATTGGCCCGATGGCCTCACTCGAGCCGCTGTTGCTGAGGATGCCATCGCGTGCGAGGTGGAGCGGAAGGGTGAGGTGAGCTTGAGCTTGAGCGCGGGATGAGGCGAAGGGCAAAGGGCGGAAGGGAAACTGACGGCGATGACGACACCTTTCAACGATTCCAACCTCGCGCGCCCGGCAACGGCAGGCCAAGCGTGCCGGTCAGGCGCGTCAGCGGCGATCTAATGCTGAATTCCCATCGTTTCTAATCCAGCTGCGCTTCCATTTGACAGCGGCTTTTTTGCCGATCAATGCAGCGGGAATCATCAAGCACCGCCAGCATATTTACTCGAATATGAGAGTTGAATCGTCTTAACATCTATAGCTAGAATCGTCTTAACATCTATGAAGCTCAGCCGGGACCGTAACTGATGACACGGATCGGTGTCGAGTCGAGGACTTTGATCGGATTCATGTCCACGGTGGGAAAGGACCTCCCAGAGGTTCACCTTTCTCCGGGGGGGGGGGTCTCGGAATACTGCCGAGGCCCGAACTTCAGCGGCCGGAACCCTTTTGCTGTAGGCGACTGCAGCAAGTCATTCGATGCCCGGATTCGCTACGAGAAAGCGTGGAATACACCAAGAAATCCTCTTCGGCTTTGCTGCTGTCAGATCATCATTCTATTTCAATCCTGGCTAGTAGTAATCACAAAAAAATTTGGGCACGTCGTCGATTCCTTCTAATACAAACCATTCTGAACAAATACCTAGCTCGGTCTTGTTCACGAGCATCATGGGATACTACACTACCTATTTAATAGTTCGTTCTAAACCTCCCGCCGAAAATGCCACCTTTCTCCTCGTCCGATCCAGTCGACGCCGCCGAAACGTACGTACCGAGATGAACGCCATTCGCTTGCTCCGGGTGCAACCTCAGCGATCGATCGGACGAGATCATTTTGCCCGGATACGAGATGAGGAAGAAGATGGTGCAGAGGAGGATGGGGAGCGTTTCGAGTCCATAGTACCATCCTTCGTGGGAGAGCAGTTAACCTCCCGTTGTGACGTCCCCGCTGGCGAAGGAGACCGTTCGGTAGATGCCTCGGATCAAGATGAGGGCAGTGCCTGGATGTTACAAGGTCTGTCAAGTTAGAGCAACCCTTGGGAGTGGGGAATTTTGAGTCAAGGTGAATAGTATTGAACTGACCGATGTACAAAGTGTAAAGGCACCTCGTCCACGTGCCCGCGGGTTCACCAGCACGGCGAGCTCGGGTTTGATCTGGAAGACCCGATCAAAATACGATCAGCTTCAGTAATCTGTCCACTGATCCTCCAATTGATTGATCGCGGGCTGGCACGGAAAACTTACAGATGATCGCGAATATGGCGAAAATGCCGAAGGAGACGATTTGGATCAAGAAACCGACGGTGAGCTGCACCAGTGTGAAGGGGTGAAGGGAAGGCAAGTCAGGGTTGTGTCCCTCATAATGTGGGGAGGTCTGATAGAGCACTCACGACCGCTTTCGCGATACGAAAATTATTGGCGTTGTTGCCCGAGTACAGAGCTCCTCCGCCACCTTGAATCAAGAACGAGGCGACGTCGAAGGAGACGAAGATGGCGGTCACGCGACGCGCACGGACAGGGGAGTACTTTTCACCGACGTAGGTGATGAGGCGACCGAAGCACATGTAGTGACTTGCGGCCATGCAGGCGGGGGCGAGGATGATGAACATCTGCAAAGTGGAGTTTAAAATTCGATCAGATTTGCTCCTCCAGGGACGGTGACCTAGGGACGGAAGTAAAGAGCTCACCTCTTGGACGATATACAGCATGGTGTTGTGGGGTTTCGCAGCCGATATGCGACGGACGGCATAGCCAGCACATTCACCCTAGGATTGAAGATCAGACGAGCTTACGGTTAGCTTGCTGAAGGGTGAACAGAGCCACCACCCGATGTAATTTACAAAGACACCGACGACGAAGGGGGCCATCTGAAGAGATCGAGGAGAGGAGAAACAGTTAGCACAAGTTTTGAGGCGGAACAATCTGAGGGGACCGCTTGTCTATTGAGCAACGGCGCTCTTGTACTTACATACCACGCCTTGTGGCGCATCATCAAGAACATGTGTGCGACGAAAACAGCGCCGAAGATCGCGGTCGCGGCGATGGCTGTGAGGAGTGGAGCCAACGTCGGAGTCAGCTTTACAATGTTTCTAACAACACAAACAGGTGACGCAAACACGCACCCAAACCGAAAGAGGGATCATAGTGGTAGAGCCTGTGTGGAAAGGTAGGCACCATCGGTGTCAGTCTTGAGCGTCGGCAGCTAAATCCGACAAGTTGGGAAAGCTCGACCGGGCCTCAGGCCTCAGGATCCAGAAGCACCTACGCGGTCTTGTTGTCGTCAGCGGACATGATGGCAAAGTCGATATCAATGAGGGGGAGACAAAAGCAAATGTGAAGCTTGAGAGAGAAGTGAGGTGAAGGAGAGAAAGCCGTCTGCTTGCTCGCCACTTCGAGATGTTGCTTGTCGAGTCTCGAGAGTTCATCGCCGAAAAAACTGTCCGTGGCGAGCGACTTATTTACCCTGCAACAGCGAGCAAATGCCCGAGCAGCGAGCGAGCCAGCGCGGGCCCAAGACCTCGATTCATGTGCGAGCAAATCTGACATCGTCTGGGGCACAGCCAGGGAGATGTGCAGTCAGTGGCATCTATTTAGAAGAGTAGATGGTTTATAGTAGGCATTTGTTGGCGGTGCTCCGAAGTCGTCCCTAGAAATTCCGAATCTACATGAAACCGGTCGAGACGTCTGCTCTTCAGGGGACCGTTTGCCCGCAAAGGACGAGGCCTGGTGACCAAATTCGCCGGACCCTTACAAAAAAAAACGAGTATCTGCACAGAAGATTGGCACAGTTTCAGTCAAGATCAGTCAAAAGTTAAAGCTGCCTCACGGTTCGCACTCTTCTGCTACTCACCTACTCACCTATCACCCTGACATCTAGACGATACCGCAAAACCTCGGGCGTCGACCAGCTGCAGAAAGTGTCCGGGATGCGCGCGAGAGGTGGCCGTCGTTCAGACCGAGGGGAATCCGCGACGAGAATGCGCGACCGTTTTCGCCTACGGCAGCACTACTACGGCAGCCCTCTCGGAACCCGCCAGTCGAATAGCTCCGGACACAGCCTTCTAGTACTGGCCGGAGCGATGCATGCAACTTAATGCAAGATGACTAGGGCTCGTGCGAGATGACATCATCGAGTTACGAACTCCGCTTGCGATAACGATCGAAGTCCTTGTGCTTTGCCCCCCACCCCCCCACCCCCCACTGGTGGTGCCCCGACTTTTTCAACTCCGAGTGTTCGCCTTCTGTGGGTTTCATGGCGGGACAAAATGTCAAGCTACGGCTTTGCCGCACCGCAACAAGGTCTCCTCATGAAAACCGGGACAGGGTTACAACATGATCGCCATCTTCGTCCGAGCTATTCGATAGCTACGCCCAATCGTACCAACCCATCATGCAATCCTTTCGTACCCTCACCCTACCCGACGTGAACTCCCTCGCGATCCTCCTCGCGAGCCGTTCCAACAATTCCCCTTGCCTCGTGGGGACCTGAAAAATCGCCTTATCGACGGGTTCGCGTTTGGTCTCGAGATTCGAGGATCGCCAAGGTAGTGTCAGCGTCACTTGCGATCGCGTGAGGACGAGTTTGAGATCTTTTGTGAGATTCGGATCGAGCTCGGTCTCGCACTCGGTCTGGGTCGAGAGAAGATCAATAATGAGGAGGTCCTCGGTCCTGGCTTTGGGTTGTAGGAAATTGAAAATGTCTCGCTCTAGACCGGCTTGTGATTGATCAGGTGACCATTCGGTCCTTGAGGAGAGGAGCAACTCGCTCGCACTTTGCTCGTTCGCGACCCAACTTCGACCGAGGATGAACAGGTCCAATACCTTGCATTCGCGAGACGACGGCGGTGAAAGCGGCGACGAGGTGTTGGGAGCTTGGACGAGAGACGCGTAGAGTGGGAGGTAGACGGATCGGAGGACCGAGAGGGCGTAGGTGGAGAGTTTGTGGCATGTCGCACGCAGGCTGAAGGCGATCGTGGAGATGGGGCAGTGCGAGATGATGAGCAACAGGATCGGTTCGGGCAGGCTCAACAGGCTGGGTTTGGTACGATTGAGCGGGGTGTCGCGAGGTGTTGGAGCTGGTGTGTATGCTGGTGGTGCATCCCGCATGGTCGAGGGTGGCGGTGAGTCGTTGTGAGGAGGAAGGCGTGCACCGTCGGATGCGGGGGATGTGGCGCACCGCCTCGCCTGGGGCCTTTGGGGCCTCGATCGAGCCGGACAAAGAGGTGGAGCGCACTGCTTCCGTACTTCCATAGCGCACAAGTACGCACGTCGAAGCAAGATGCATAGTCTATTGCAAATGGTGCTTACACAGCGAGCATAGCAGTCGCCTATGAATAATCAAGATAAGTCAAATCCACAGCCTCCATCTCGGGGAGTTTCCCTCCTCGGCCAGCGCGAACACACCCAGACGGAGCTTCCATCATAAATAATCGACAAGGAAAACAGATACAGGGACACTGGCATGTTTTGTGTGCGTCTCGTAATCACCTCTTGAGGCCGTACCACCTCCTTCGGCGCGTGTCCTCGCCCGCGCTCTTCTCTTCGTCCGTGCCCGTCTCGCTGCTCACCTCCTCGGGGTCAAGCCTCAACGAGCGGTCCGAAGGGATGTACCGCGCCGGGTAAGAGGCGAGGAACAACAAGGTGCACAAGAGAATGGGGATCGTCTCGAGTCCGTAGTACCATGCCTCGCGCGAGAGGAGGTAGCCATTGCTGTTGCCCGTTCCGGTGGCGAACGAGATCGTACGGTAAATGCCCCGGATCAAGATCAGAGCCGTGCCTATGAAGCGCGAGGACAATTGGGCAATGTGTGAGCTGCACATTCAAGGTATGAAAAGGACTTGAAAGGAAGACTCGCCCGCGTAAAGGGTGTACAAGCACGCGGTCCATTTCCCCTCGAGTTCACCGGCACGTCGAGCACGGACTTGATCTGTGCGAAGCCACGAACCAAAAGGAATGTCAGCAACATGCTTTCGCTTCTTGCGAGTGAGGTTGAGAATGCACAAATTATAGCGAAAATGGCAAAGATTCCGAAGGAGATGATTTGGATCAAGAAACCAACGGTGAGCTGGGGAGCGCGACAAAAACTCGACGACGTCAGTTCGGACGAAACAAAACGGGCTCCGCTCGGCAACTCACAATGGCCTTGGCGGTGGGGAAGATGCTTTGGTTCGAACTCGAGTAGAGCGATCCACCGGCACCTTGAATGCAGAACGAGGTCACGTCGAAGAAGACGAAGATCGCCGTCACGCGTCGCGCTCGCACGGGCGAATATTTCTCTCCGACGTAGGAGATCAGCCGTCCGAAACACATGTAGTGGGATGCGGCCATACAAGCGGGTGCGAGAATGATGAAGAGCTACAGACGGGTCGAGTCGCCAGAAAGAAGATCAGTTCCTTGCTCCAAGACCGCCGCCGTTGCCATTCCTGGAGACGAAGTGCAAGGATGCTCACCTCTTGGGTGATGTACCAGATCAGTCCTTGACTACGTCCTCGCGGGTGTTCCGCCGACATTCGTCGAAGCGCGTATCCGATGCATTCTCCCTGTGCGGTGCAGAAGGAGCAAGGTCAGCGAACTGGGCCAAACTCAACGAAGATCCCCGAAGTGGGTGGAGAGGTACTCACCGCAACACCGACGGTGAACGGCCACATCTGTACACCATGATCGAAGAAACGGATCAGTTCCGCGAAAAGCGAATCCCTTCGCTCGGCCGGGGCAGTCCGATGTTATGGATCGTGTACGCCGTACGGTCGGAAGGTGAGACGCGGAAGAGGGCTCGGTTCCGACGTGCGCCCCACGCTCTCGCGAGTTGCGGCAGTTGGCTCTCCGCGGGCGGACTGGGTCGCCGCGCCGACCGGTGTGGCGCGCGCTCGTATTATGATCGGGTCGAACGACGGGCGAGGCTATATGTAGACGGAGCAGCGCAGCAACTTGAAGGAGCCCATCGGCCATCGGTGTCGAGATGTCGACACGCCTCCGCGGGCCATTCAAAGTGCGGTGCAGGCGATGCAAGGTGATGGTCGACAGAACAAGAGCATCGTTACTTACATACCACGCCTTGTGTCTGATCATCAGAAACAAGTGCGCGAGGAAGATCACGCCAAACACAGCCGAAGCCGCGATCGCTGCGACAGCGAGCGGGCAGTGGAGAGGGCACGGCCCGAGGGTCCGACGCGGAGGTAAAGGAGTCAGTGCGCGCACTCAAGGCGAAAGAAAGAAAGAAACCGAATGTATGCTCACCGAGTGCATAGGACGGCTTGTAAGCGTAGTAACTGTGACGACGGGACGAGGAGCCGGGGGTCAGTCATGTTCGTGCACGAGTTATCGCGCCACCGCGCCACGATGAGCTGACGGAAGTCGTCACTCACACCCAGTCATCGCCACCAGCCATTGTGTCGAGATGTAAGGGCGGTGTGGGGTGGAGCGGAAAGAGGGAGGAAGTAACGAGAAAGGGGGAAAGGGGAAAGAGAGAGCACGATGCTTGCGAGACAAGCGTTAATCGTCCGCGTGCAACTCGCCGTCGGAAGAGCGAAAGAAGCTTGGCCCACTTATCCCGGGGCAATCCTGGCAGCCGAGCTGGGAACCGAGGAAATAAAACCGATTTCCGAATAACGTCGACGGGTCACTAGATACAACAGGAGTGCACCACGGAAGGATTGTTTTTCAGTGACCAGTATTCGAAGATACACCGTCGTTGATCCGTTTCGTTTTTTCAACATGCCACGCCAATGTCATGGCGCCACATTCTGGGCAGGCCATGGAACGTGGTCGACCGCACGCTCCGGGGTCGCCTCCGAGATCGCGCTTTTTGGAGTTTCGGGGTCGCGTCCGAGCTCGGTTCCCGATATCCCGATGGCCCGCCCTACGATGATCGACGCTGGGAGAGCCTACACAGACCTCACCAAGCTTTGCATGAGAGTTGGAGTTCTGAACCGCTATGTCTTGAGGTGATCTACGTAGTCATGTCAAGGGGTGTACAACGTGCAGATCGGGCTGGTTCAGGTTCTCCCCCATCTTGGCGTCAACTTGCCGCGATCGAGACTCCCGGGGACGGCGGGACGACTTAAGTTGAGACGCTCATCAGGTCTAGCACTACAGCGACTTGAGCGAAGCTGCGTCTTCAATTAGCTAATGTTGACTTTACTCAGGTTGAGTTCTAAGTGAAATCATGGTGCTCCTCTCGCTCCAAAGGTCAGCCGCGTTGTTCTACTAAATGAACAGCCAGAACCCTTCAAGACGCGCTTTGAACTTTCAAACTGAGACGGTCTGTCGGACACCGCCTGAACCAGCACTGCACCTCGTAGGACATGCAGCATGCAGACGCGCCCGTTAAGATTTCACACAGGATCCTGTCGAAAAACTGTTCCAACAGGCTGAGTGCCGCTGAGATCTACCCAAATGGTCCAAAATCCCTCTGAACCGCTCTGATTCGGTTCGTGATCGGTCTGAAATAGGTCCGAGCGGGTCTAAGCGGTCTGCGGATTACTTGGCACCCGTTTCCAGGTGGCCATACGGCCGGCGCGACACTCGAAGCGAAACGGATATCCTCAACGTGATTGGCCTCGATAGCTGCTCGTCACAAAAAACAACGTCTCGGTATTTGCTTGGCCAGAACATTATCAGCGACGATGGCGGTGCTTATGTTCGCATTGCCAAGCTGAAGTCACAGCGCGTCCGCCAACGTTCGCGCGCGGGGCGCGTCGCGCCTCGGAAGCCCACCCCGCCCATCATGTGGACTTAGGGGCTCTAAAACAAGAATGGAAAATCTCCCCACACCGCCAAAGAATAGAGAACCACAATTTCAAGGCTAAATTTCCGCGGTAATGACAATGACTAATTCTCGAGAAGGGAGCCACCCGTGGTATAAGAGCATGCTCGGAACGTGGCCGGACAACCGAATTGTCTGCGTCGATGAAGAGGAATTCGCCGCGGGAATCCACTCGGCTGCGGCGGAAGTGCATACACAGCCAGGGTTCCGTGAGACCCTTGCAATTCCCCACGAACGAATGGAAGGATATTCCACGATTCGAAGGTGGGGCTATGCGCGCAGTCGCTTCAGCTTAATGACCCGTCGGCCGCGGTGAAGCTTGGCGGACGATTTCATGAGCGCACACACCTCTCGGATCTCGCTGTCAACTGCGAGCGGACTCACATTCCGTGGACTTCACAAAGTCGAGTTGGTCACAACTTTGTCTCTTGTCTTTCTTTCCATCACACTCACAAACAACCTCCTCGCCATCCTACTTCCATTTCCTTCTCCATCCACCGTACGTCTTCCATTTCATACTGTGTTTGAGCACTCAGTTTTCGCATGCGCTGACGCCCGATGGAACTATCCCACTTTCAGGCAATGAAGGTCTTCGTCTTCATCCAATCGCTCGTCGCCCTCGGCGCCCTCGCTTCCGCGACTCCCGACTCGAACCTTGAGCCTCGCTCCGACCTGGACAAGCGCTGCGGCCTGTCTCTTCTCAAAGGTAAAATACTCGGTCTCGGAGCTTGCGGTATCTTGCAAGGCGGTATTGGGGGTTGTGCCGGCTCGTTCGGCCCTGGCGGGGCGATCTTGAATTCGGGCCTCAATTTGGGAGTGCGTTGCCCTTTGAACTTCCAGTGTGACGGTCAGTCTCTTTTTTCAACATTTCCCAAAGTATGATGGAATCATCACTTTTGCTGACTTGGTGATACGAATGTCTTGTGATTGCGTAATCAGGCTCGGGAACCGACGGGTACCCTTATGACGTCAACGGTAATGGCTGCCCCTCCTACTTGCCCCGGGGCTGGAAGTACTACGGAGTGTGAGTTTTATATGACAACTATTCAAGATTATTGTGCTGATCCATGACTTACTCATTGCAGTCAAACCGGCTGGCAACCTCCCGTCTCGTACACGTGCGGACCGAATTGGGTCGCCCCTCCACAGTGGACCCCTTACGCCCATCTTGCCCCCTGGTGGAGCGCGCAACCCCTCGTCGTCGGACCTTCCAAGTACTACTACAAGTACCAGTACAAGGCCTACAAGAAGTACCTACATTATCTCAAGCACGCGTCCAAGTACTATGTCCGATCGATTGATGATGGTTCCGAGTCGGCGGTCATTGCGAGGGCCGTGCAGGGCAAGGTCGCCTCTCCCGGCCCTCAACGTCTTTCCGAGGCCGAGCAGGACGCCAAGAATATGGCTGATGCTGAGGCCGATGCTGAGGCCGACTTCAACCAATAGGTTGAGGTGATCGTGTTTCTTTTTCTGATCTCGTCCTTCTTTGTTATCTCACATTCTTATACCCGACCTATTGTTGAGCAACCTCCCCGAGGAAAATCTTCTTGAGTAGTGTCGTCTTCACTCAATTCTTCAATGCTCAGCGCTCAGCATTGACTATTCGCTCGGCCTACCCCCTAGCCTTTGAGCATGATCCTGCATTTTGATACTTAATATTACACAAGGACCTCCAAAGCGTCCACTAAAGTTCTAGTTGCGCCTTGCGACAACAACGTCGATTTGTCATAACGAAGTACGGACGGTGCCCGCAGGGATCGTACGGATCCGACTCTGTGTTGTTTCCTATCCACCTTTTGCAACTTCAATGGGTTCAAAGCTGAAGCCAGAGTCCTACAATCCGATGAAGTAGATAGCTTTAGGTCTGTGAACGAGCGCACACAAAAAACTTTATTCCACCATAGCAAGAAAGGCCAAAAGGAGGCCACCGTTTAGACCGGTGCCGCACCTGGCCGGGAGGTTCGCCACGGGTCGGCGCGCGCGCGCGAAGTTTTTCACGGTGTGGGACCTCGAGGAGCGTCCATGATGGTGTGGGCACTTGAGGGGAGGTGGCAACTTGGTGCTCAGGTTTTTCAGATTGTGCCGAGGTTCTCCAACTTCAGTACGGGGTTCTCCAACTTCGGCGTCAGGTTCTACAAACTCGGTGGTCGGTTCGGTAACTTCGGAGTCAAGTTCTCCAACTCCTGGCCGAGGTTGCCAACGGTTTAAAACCAGGGGTCGGGTTGCGCACGGTTCGCTTCGTTTACCAAGGGTGGAAGACCGGTCGAAAGAATTTGCACTCCTGAAGCCTCCTTGATGCGGTGGACACGATCATAGTAATGACGATCGGAACTGAGCTCGACTGGTCACCGTGCGCGTCGGCGATTTTGTCGTTCTTGGTGCTCCACCGGATTCAATGGACCGTGTCGTATTCGCCCAAGTCGAAGCAATTTTTAGTTTCGAACTAGACGAAAAGTTCACCTTGCTCCTCGTCACCTGGATGGACGAGAGTCAGACGCGTAAACTAGGCTACCTTGGCCAGGTTAGAGTGCTCAAGCCTTTCCGCGCGGGGACTTCGGAGCGACCGAGAGTCATCGGGCTCGATGCCATCTCGGCGAGCGAGCAAGGTGTGCCGATTCTGAGGAATTACACAGAGATGAGACTGCACATCATAGTACCCTACCAATTTTTGACAATCTGATGGGGTCTTCATGTGATCTAGGGTCACCTGCAATGACGTCGCAGGAGAAATGCTCCAGTCTCAGTCGAAGCACTTTTCTTGCCGTCGGCCTTGTCGGAGGCATGGACATGTCGATGTCTTGCTCCAACCTTGTCAATGCAATTTTTTTCTCGATGCCACCTGTTGATAAGAGACAGTCTTCGCTTCTGACGATTACGTCGTACCACCTTGCTCTCTGAGTCGGTATCTCTGTCCACATTTTGCGGACATTCGTTTCAAGCCTACAAGAAGGCCTTTGGTCACCCCTTACAAACCAGTCGTCGTCTTCTTCCGATTCTCACCAGTTCTCACCCGCCATTCGAACGCCTGTGGACGCTCGTTCAAGCCTGTTCGCGGCCATGACTCGCCCCCACCCGTGTGCTGCGGTGCCCACAAAGATATCTTCGCACGAACCATCACGTCCTTGTAAGTGTTTCACCGCTCTGGCTACTCCTCGTATGATCGTGGCGATACCAGGTTGTGCGACCACGTCGAGTCTCGCTGTGGTGATGGCCCTGTGGGAGCTGCACTTATGCTGACGCTTTCGCCCGTGTCTTGATTCCTCAACAGCGATGTTACAGGTGAAGAACCCTCTGTTTCGAGCCCAGCTACGACAATCCCGGCCTCTATTCGTGCAGGGTGGGAGGGCCGAGCGATCAAGCTCCTAGCCAGAAGGATGACGTCATAGCCTGGCTCAAGCTTGATCAACAATCACCTTAGATCTCATGTAGATCATAAGCCTTCTCGCCCATGCCATCGCCAACAAAGGTGAGTACATCCCATCAAAATACTGGTGCGCTTGCACGTTCCTTCCGAGCCGTGGGATCGTGCTTGGTTGCGTCGAACCATCACCTGCTTACCATGACGGTCTTCTCCAATCGATGACACACCCGTGTGAGTGAGCTTGTGGTGGCACACTGCATTGCTGGTTTGGCTTGCTTCACAGCACTGGATTGGCTTGGGATGGTGGAACGTTCCAAGTCCGATTCGTAGAATCGACCTCGGCTGTCGGAGCTTCGCACCCCCTCTCGTCACGCTCGAGCTCCATCCCAATGCTTCGAAACACCCGAAGGACTGGTCCTCTTCGATCTCTGTCCTTGCTCAAGATGATATACTGGCACACTATCATGATCCACCCCATTCCTGTCCCAAACCCTGACCCGACCGAGTGAAAGATTTGGCTTAGCACAGTTGTTTCTGATGATTTAAAGTCAGTGAGTCCACTCAAGTTCATGGCACTATCGCTCGTGGTATAGTAAGCGGGTGTGGGCTGGGTTTGCTAGTTCCTGTGCAAGGCGATCGATGCCTCTCTCGATTTGAAGATGACCGTGCGAGTCCCACTGCTGCGGTTTGAAAACCTGAGCCGAAGTGAAAACTTTCGCCGCAAAGTCGTGAACTAGTAACTCAAGTTTGGCACTACGAGCTCAAGTTCTAGACCTTCGCTCAAAGTCCCTCGCCCAAGCCCCAAGTTCCGAACTTTATCTTTCGAGTCCTATAACACTGCCCCAAGTGTCAAACCTCGAGTCAAAGTTCCGAACCTCGAGGGCAGAGTTCTCAATCTCAGGCCCACGTCCCCAACTTCGCCCCCAAGTTGAGAACCTCCCACCCCAAGTTTGAAAGTTCGCCTCCAAGTTCAGGACTACGGGCACGGTTCCGGAACCTTGGGCCCAAGGTATACCCGGTTCCCACCCCTGGCCCCTGGTGCCACATGGTGTAGGGGTTGCCAACTTCGGGCGGTGGTGCGGAACCGTGTGTTAAGTTGGGACCGGAGGTCGCTGGGGATTCGTGTGACGGCACGAGCCGGATCGTTTCGGAGAGGTTGCGAGGAGGGTTGGCGTCGCAATGAACTCCCGGGTCGAGAAGTTGTGAGGCGGAGCAGACGCAGCGCGAGGGCGCGAGCGCAGCCGGACAACCTGTTCTCTAGCGAATCTCAGCAGTCTGAATGGTGAGACGAAACGATGGAGAAGAGGGAGAGGCGCGAGAGCGCGCGAGTCGGGCGAGGTTCTAGCAAGGGAGCGCACAGCGGGTCGAAGTCAAACTGGACGGGCGCATTGCGAAACAAGACCGAACTCCAAGCGGGCCATCGAGGCTCTGAGAGGGGCTGTGTTGGACAGCGGACACGAGGGGAAACTTATCTACCATGGTCGAGTGTTGGTGAGCGAGGGAGTCCGTAGCGACGAGTGCAGGTTGCGAACGGCGGGCGTCATGCATGGGCGATGCTCTGGATGGCCGATGGAAAATGAGGACGGCGGCGGCAAGCTGACGGTGACTAGGCGGAGGCATTGGATCAGCAAGACAGGAGAGGTAGATCGACAAAGTTCCGGCGTGAGGCGGCGGCGCGCGAGCGTGAGTTGAACCAGGCTGGCGCGGAGGCGGCGAACAGGGGGCGGCTTGGCTGCGAAGGCGAAGGCGCCGAGACGAAAAACGGGCGGTGACGTGCAGGCTCAGCAGGCGACGGCCGGACGGGTGGACCAGGATGTGGACGTGTTGACTAAGGCGCACATGGGTCGATGGAGCGAGGCTGGTCGTGTGTATCAGGCGATGAGGCTCGGGTAACAGGGGGCGCGGCGAAGGCGCCGAGGCGAAGGTGCCAAGAGGCAAAGGCGCGTGGTGGCGAGCATGGCAGAGCAGGCAAAGCTGGCAACGACGGGCAGACGGACCAAGATGTGGACGAGTTGACGAACGGTGCACATAGGTCGAGGAACGAGGCTGGGCGCAAGCGTCATGCGGCGAGGCTCGAGGGACAGGGGGCGCGGCGGAGGCTCGCGGAGGCTCAGGCGCGGAGGCTCAGGCGCGAGGCGAAAGGCGGACAAGCCCGTCAAACGGCGGCCCGATGTCGAAGTGTTCGAAGGCTTGACAGAATGCAATTCAACACCGTGCGGCACCGGTAGAAACGGTCGCCTCGTTTTGGCCTTTCTTGCCGTGGCGGACGCTGTCTCAGTGCGTCGACTTGACTCCGCACTGCACCGGGGCTACACTCTTGGCAGCGGTTCACAAGATAAACGATACTGACTAATTATAAATAGCAAGTGCTGAAGTCGCTAGATTAGCTTGCGTTACCTAAGCGTGCTTGGCATCCCGCACGCCGTTCCCGATTCTTGCATGCCAGACGTCCGCGAGCCCGGCGCCAAGAAGACGAGCCCAAGCGCGCGGACGTTGAGGGGCCGAGCCGCGTCCGCTCAGGTCCGTCGGATGCCGTACTCCGTGTATTACGACGTCTGTTGAAGTGGCGCGGCTTGAGACTGACTTGAAACACTTGAATGCTATAATTAAAAACACCCAGGCTTTAATTTGATTAGCGGAAGGGAAACCGCTGCGTGGACCGGCCAACTCCCGTCCCCCTTCGAGAGAAAAAGCACAGCCGGCGTTCTCCCGCCAATGTTCTGCTGCGAGCGGATGGGGCGGTGTAGTGATTATCTTGTGGGGAATGGGAACTGAATAAATTCATTCGCCAAGTTTGAGTACCTCTTTCTCTCTTTCTCTCATCTCTTCATCCTTCGTCTCACTCCACCCACAACTTCTCGCTTTCACTTTGCCTTGAACCATCCCGCTCTTCACTCTTCTCAGTACGTGAACAGAGTGTGCTCAATCGCTCTCCTCTCCTTCATGATCCAAGACGACATCTGATCCGAATTGCATCATCTCCACAGTTGACTCATCAAACTTTCATCCATTGCCGAGATGAAGCTTTTCGTCGTCGTCCCGACTCTCGCTCTCCTCAGCACCTTCGTCGTCGCCAACCCCGACCCCAGCTCCACCGACCTTGAGAAGCGTTGTTCCAAGTCCCTCCTCAAAGGCAAGATTCTCGCTCTAGGCACGTGCGGAATCCTATCAGGTGGTTTGGGAGGATGTGGTAGTTCGTTCGGACCCGGTGGAGCGGTGTTGAATTCGGGGTTGAACCTCCATGCGAGGTGCCCCCTGACCTTCCGGTGCAATGGTTAGTCACGGCCACGTGACTGAAAGAGGGGCATCTCTCGGGAATTTTTTGCTAACCGGTGTAATGTCGTTTTTTTTTTCGTGTTCGATGATCAGGCTCGGGCAGAGACGGCTTCCTCTATGACGTGAATGGCCACGGATGCCCGTCCTACCTCCCGCGTGGGTGGCTCTACTATGGCGTGTAAGTAACCCCAGAAGTAACCCCAGTCGTTCCTAAATCCCTTTTAGCTCTGAACCTGACAACCTTGTGTTCAAAACACCTGCACAGCTCCACGGGCTGGCAACCCCCTCCCAAGTTCCCTTGCGGGCCTAAGTGGGTCCCCCCACCCCAATGGCTCCCTTACCGCCATCTTGCACCGTGGTTCCACTTTTCCGCCAGCGTTTCCGTTGGCGTCGGCGCTGGAGGAGGCGCGGGTGTAGGTGCAGGCGTCGGTGCTGGCGCTGGTGCTGGCGTCGGTGGTGGTGCTGGTGCTGGCGTCGGTGCTGGTGCTGGTGCTGGCGTCGGTGCTGGTGCTGGTGCGGGTGGAGGAGCTGGCGCGGGTGCGGGTGGGGGAGCTGGTGCGGGTGAGGGTGAGGGAGAGGGATCGGGAGCGGGTGCGGGTGGAGGCTCTGGTGCGGGAGCGGGTGGCGGAGCTGGTGCGGGTGCGGGAGTGGGTGGGGGAGCTGGGGCCGGTGTGGGTGGTGGTGCCGGTGCGGGTGCTGGTGCGGGTGGAGGAGCTGGCGCGGGTGCGGGTGGCGGAGCTGGTGCGGGTGCGGGAGTGGGTGGGGGAGCTGGGGCCGGTGTGGGTGCGGGTGCGGGTGCGGGAGTGGGTGGAGGCTCTGGTGCGGGTGCGGGTGCGGGTGGAGGCTCGGGTGCGGGAGCGGGTAGCGGAGCTGGTGCGGGTGCGGGAGTGGGTGGGGGAGCTGGGGCCGGTGTGGGTGGTGGTGCTGGTGCTGGTGCGGGTGCGGGTGCGGGTGCGGGTGGTCACGGATGTGGGAAGAAGCAGGCGTACAAGCATAAGTACATGAAGAGGCTTGTTCGACGTGATGAGGAGCAAGACGGTCCCAAGCGTCTCGACGACGTGACGGAGGTTTGAGTTGCGCTCAAGAGTCGACTCGCAAGGCCACGCCACTCCATTCCACTCCACTCCGACTTCTTTGTTCCGCTTTTGCTTTCCGCTTTCCGTTTTCCTCTCTGTTTTTCTTTATACTCCAACGACACTTTGCTATCCCGACCTCCCAACTCCGAATCTATTTACCGCGACTCCGAATCCCAAATTTGTTCCCCGCCCGCCGGCCGACCACGCCAATCCGTCGTCGTCGCCGCCGCTCTGGCGCCCCTTTTCCCCCTTGATGCTCAAATGATCTTGCCCCTCCCCTGTTCACCCCACACATATATAGCCCTATGCTTTATTCGTGGATGTGCTTCTTTTTGGTATGCAATCGATCAACTTACACAAATTCGAGCCTTTCCTTTTTTGTTGTTGTATAGCTCTGCTTTCTTTGAAGCTGCGCGTTTCCTTTCAAGTGGTGTAAGTAGTAGTAAGGCGTCGCTTCGCTGACGGGCTCAAAAGACGACCTCGAGCCAAACCACCTCAGCGCCTCAGCGCCTCAGCGGCCTCGAGCTTAAGTTGACCTCGGGCCGCGCGGCGGCGTCGCAGCATCTCGTGACCTCGGTCCTTTTAGTAGGAGGGTTTTTTCTGTTCTTCTTCTTCCTCGTCTGCGAATGACACCGGTTCGATCCTTTCAGTTCGGGACTTTGGAATCAGTTCAGTGAAACTCAAGAGGAGCGAGGAGCTAGTATCTCCGAGCACGTCACGTCTTCTTGAGCTAACCCCCAGAAGGGTCACTCTCTTCCCACTCTTTATGGGATCTCATAAATCGGAGGGACGAAGAAGACCTGTGTTCGTTTTTGAAGAGTGAGCTGCTTTGTATTATTATACAACACATTTCGCTAAAAACCCAAATCTAAAACAAAAAAAAAAACAAAAAACGCGAGAAGGAAGATCAACTACCGAATCCCAAACCCCCCGCCCCCTTTTCCTTCAAACTCTCTGCTGGCGCGTGACTTGATCTAAATCAAGCGCATCGTCGGGTCCCTCCCCCTTCGGCGCGCCGGCGGCCGGCGCAATTCCTTCTTCTTCTTCATTTTTCAGGAACGAGATTCATAATTCCTCAACCTCCTCTCGACCAAATATTCCAACTCCCTCCTCCTCCCCAACCAACCCAACCACCCTTTCCTCAAAACCCAAACGAACGTACTCAGGATGAAGAGTGACGAATGAACGAAGTAGGTCAATCGGATCCAAGTCGTTATTGGGCAAGGTTCGAAGTGGGTTGTTGGGATGTAGGATAGGGAAGGGTAGAAGAGGAGGATGAGGTGGTGGAGGGTTATGGCTAGGTAGGTTGGGAAGAGGAGGCTGATGAGAAGGGTTAGGAAGAGTGGGGTGTAGAGGTCTTTGAGGAGGAGGGAGAGAGCGGCTGGTCGGGCGTGGTGCAGCCAGAGTGTCTTGGCGCGTGATTGGGCGAGACGGAGGGGAGAGGTTGAGGGTAGGATCAAGGGGGAGCGTAGGAGAAGTAGGAGGAGGTGTTGGATCAAGAGACCGAGCGACCAGGAGGGGAGGAGATGCACGGTGCTCATTGAGGTACTTGGCGTGCTCGGTGGTGGGAGCAGTGTGGCGAGGTACGGATGGGTTTGCAGTAGTTTGAGAGGTAGGACGACGTAGGCTTCGACAAACAGACCCAATGCCAGTGGAGTCAGGATTCCTGCGAGCAGAATGGTCATAGAGAAGATACGGATCGTGGACCAGGTTTGACGCGAGGGACGGAACTGGTTCGCGTGACTGATGCCGTAGGCGAGGAGGATGAGGAGGTGAGCACCGAGAGCAAAGGCGTAAAAGTCGTGTGGTGGGGATGAGGCGATCTTTGAAAGGAGGTATCGACCGACGACGACTGGGAAGATTGACCAAGGATTCGATCAGCAACTCAGCATCGAACCCAGCGCGCCAACGCGAAAAAACCCACGAGGTCCCACCACCCCACCCACCACCGCCGCCGATCCCGCCAACCAAGCCAAATAACACCACACCCCGACCCTCACCGCAAACGCAGGAGGCAGATAAACGACCTCATACGCATCCTTTTTCCTCGTCGTCGCCATTTCGGACACTTGTTCGGCGATGACTTGTTCGCCCCGAGGGGTGAGGGGAAAACCTTGCGAGGTGACGCGGATGAGCATCGGACGATTGGGGGCTATACGAACGGTGTCGAGGGCCGGAACACGACCGAAGCCACCGTCGTGGTGGAAGATGACGGGGCGGGTCGAAGAGCCTGAAGAGAGGAGTTCATCGTCGAACGTCGTATCCCGAATACGGTCTTCGCCTTCGACGGGACGAGGTGGTACAGGCGCCTTCAACAAAAGTATCCTCGCCCTCCACGTCCTCCTCAGATGCGTCCCTTCTTCGTCGAGATTGCGTTCGCCGAATAAAAAGTGCGACAACCTCAACGCCTTGGCCGATCGACGAGCCCATTGCGTCCACCAAGTTTTCGCGATCGATCGAGGTTCGACGAGTCCGATCGTGAATGGGACGACGAAGCGATAGATCAGGAGATCCAAAGGTACGGAGAAGGAACGTGTCGATAACCAATTGAGAGGGAGGATCGTGGGACAACAAAATTTGAGGAAGAGAACGTTCGTTGATAGACTGAGGAAGATCACCGATCCGTACAAGAGCACCGAAGTGAAGATCTTTTTCGCTTGCGTCCAGGACGACCGTTCGAGAATCTCTCGGATGGGGTGGAAATCGTGCGATTGCGGATCTTTGATGAACCAAATGAGGCCCGGGCGAACGACTTCACGGACGGCGTCAATGGCGGCGCTGAAGGAGAACATGAAGATCGTGCCGGCGAGCCAGGTGAGGAAGAAGCCTGAAAAGGGCGCGACGTGGAGATAGTTCAGGCGAGTGGCCAACGAAGCACCGGGGAAGAGTGGGTACGTTGAGAGATTGACGAGCAAACCGCACGTGGCGGGGAAGAGGATGATTTCGACCGCGACGAAGAAGCACACCTTGAGCAAAGTCAACTGTTGCGTGATCCCCTCTCGAATCGCGCGGTTGACGGATCGACTGTATTCGGTGTCCGTGATGTGGAGGTAACCTGCTCCACCGAGGAGGAAGGTCGTGTAGCCCAAGGCGGTGCAGAGTGCACGGTGAAAGGTGTCTTCGGCGTGCGCCATCATCTTGTAGTGCTTTGCCGCGGTTTTGAAGGTCGTCTTGACGCTTGAAGCGGCGAGGGGTTTCTTCGAAGCAACGATGACGGTCGAATTGGCCACAACGGATGAGTGGCTCGGCACTCGACTGAACTTTGCCAACAGCTTGCTCGCGACCGTCCCGTTGCGCGCACCTTGAGCCATCGGCCCGACGAATCTGACCCCTTTCCTCGGCACCCACATGACGACCTCGAACGCCTTATCGAAGACCGGGTCCGAAAACCACCTCACGACCCTCAACGGCATCACGATCCATCGAATCGCATCCGAACCGGCCATGACCCTCCCGAGTGAAAGAGGGATCCAGAGGCCGATGGCGAGACATAGACCGACGAGGAGCATCATAAGACAAATATTTTGGAGTAGGGTGGACAGCGATCCGCGCATACCGATGGCTTCGAGCACGCCTTCAAAATCGTCAAAGAGGTCTTCGGCGGCGAAATCGTCCTCGTTCGGAGGAGGGTCGTCAGGGAGGATCGGGGCGTTGGCGGCGGCGTCGGCGGCGACGATCATAGCCCGTTCGTTGTTGATTTGTTGTTCGGGGCGAGGGGGAACTTCGCGCGCGGCGACGTTTGCGGCCGGTGCTCGTGGTGCAGGAGCTAGTTCGCCTCGGAGGATCGGTGGATGAGGTCGAGCATCTTCTTGTGCGGGCTGGACAGGGGGAGGTTGGGAACCTTGGGGATTGAGACGTCGAATGATGTAGCTCGGTCCTCCATTCGGATCGTCCAAACCAGGAACGTAATCGCCCGTCAAACCAGGAATATGAACGCCATTGTACTCATCATCCTCTTCATCCTCATCATCCTCATCAGAAGCCTCACTCTCCCCCGATCTATCCTCCCTCTCACTATCCTCATAATCTTGATCGTCCGCATCATCCTCCTCATCATGCACATGCGTCGCATCCCAAGTTGGCCCCCTAACCTGTTCCGTCTCCGTTTCCCTCGGAGGTAAATTGACTCTCGGATCCGCCGCGAGTCGATCGAGCGTTCGTTCGAGCTGCCTCCACATCTCGTCGTATCGGGGACCTCTCAATTCCTCTTGAATTTCTTCCATACGGACGACTCCTTGCGCGCCTTCTTCGCCGCCTACGATCAACGCTGGAATCACAGGAGCTGCAGCAGCAGCAGCAGCGACGATGTCGGGTGCGGGTGCGGGTGCGGGTGCGGGTGCGGGTGCGGGTGCGGGTGCGGGTGCGGGTGCGGGTGCGGGTGCGGGTGCGGGTGCGGGTGCGGGTGCGGGTGCGTCCGCGGGTACGGGTGCAGGTGCGGGGGGTATTTCGGGAGGTGCGTTGGTGAGGATCCATTCCCTGACCAAGAAACCGATGACGAACAGGACGATGACGATCGAAGTGATGACTTGACCTTTGAACACGTCCGAGGCGATCGTACTGGGTTGAGTAAAGAGTTTTGTAGGCGGGATCAGCAAGCATCATCCCCAGTGCTGATTCGAACACTCTTGGGACTTTTTGAACTCACTCAAAGACGACGTCCCAACCGATTTTGGAACGATTGGCCCGACCGTGGATCATCGTGCGCAAATAGTCGATCTTGTCGAGTCGGCCGATCCAGTTCGGCGTTATCTGGGTTGAAGTTTGAACGAGGCCAGATTCGTCCAAAGGTGCTTGAATGAGCGAGGTGAGTCCCGTGGTCATGTTCATCAAGGTCGTCGACGTAGCGGGGGAGGTAAGGTTCCGCTTGAGATAACACAAAGTTGAATTGACGACGTATTCGTGTTTGATCGTTTGGCCCGAGTCGTCACGGGTCGTCGTTCTGGGTAGTAAGGTCATGTAGGTTCCTGCGGCGAGTCGGACGGGGGTCACTCTGGCGGTGATGACGATGCTGAAGATGCCCAAGCCGTCTGCGGTGTAGATGAAGAGCTTGAAGATGGACTCGATCGCATACGGCAAGACGACGAGCCACGCGAGCGCGACGAGGATCAGCCGCAGCACGAACGCGAGCGAAGAGAGGAGCGACGACCCGAGGTGACGGAGGAGGATCTTGGGGGGCAGGTGGGAGGGCATGTGCGCGGGGTAGATGGAGGTGTAGTGCAATGGGGTGTGGCAGAGTTCGCATTTGGCCTTCTTGGACACGCGCACCCATTCGTTCAAGCAGGATTCGTGGACGTATCTGGACCGGAAGCGGGGGAAATAGTGTGAGCTGATGCCAAGAAGGGACAGTTGTGCGACCGAGTGAGTGCTGCACTGACTTCATCGAGCCTGCACATTGACATGGCCAGAACAATGCGCCGTCCTCGGGTGCGCCCGACCGACAGACGCGACAGACGTGGTCCGAGTCTTCTTGGTCTTGGTCGTCAGTCTCCGCGCCGGGAGCATCACTCGCCGGGTCGGGCGTCGAGCTGGGCGGGTGGTCAGACGAGGTGCGGGATCGTGGGATCGTACCCTCGCTTGGTGTAGGATGATGATCGTGGCCGGGCCCAAGCGGGTGCAGCTGAGCATCCGACGACGATGACGATGACGATGACGATGACGATGACGATGACGAGGGTCCAGCCGTCGGTCCTACGTCCTGGTCAAAGTCCTGCCAGCGTTCCATTCTGCTGCCTGGGATAGGAGCCACCACAGGAAGAGATGAAGAGACGATGCAGCAGCCGAGCAGCGAGTAAAAGCTAGGAAGTGGTTGGCTGGCAGAGATCCAAGCCGCGCGTCGAAATACGAAATAGCCTATTACGTATTGGGGGGAAATACTAAATACGCTATTCCGACTTGGACTTGGGCGCCGCTCTCGGTCTCGGCTCGGCGTTCGGGGTTCGGTGTTCATCCCCCCCCCACACCTTTCTCTCTCTCTCTAACCCCTTTTTGCGCTCTCACCGCCAGCTCGCACCCGCATGTCATCCCGTACCTCTCTGGTCCATTTCCGAGGAAGGACCACCCACCTCTCTTCCACCTCGACCGACCTCATCTTCGATCCCACTCCCACCCCTCTCAGCCAGCACGACTCGAAAGTTCACACTCTCAAACTGCCTTGGGATCGAGTGGGGACCTTATTGAAAACCTCGGAAGATACGGTCAAGCTTTCTTGGATAGAGGGAGTAGAGGGGCAAGAGAAGGCGGTCGTGGAGGAGGTGCAGTGGAAGGGTTACGCCACCACCCCATTCGAGAAGGAAGCGAGTGAGGCTGACCTACAGCCTCCGCAAGAGGAGGATTGGTTGGCCCATCTTCGAATCCCTTCCCATCTATTGAGCACACCATTCGAGAATCAGAACAACTCGAAGCAACACACGATTCATATTGTCCGGAACCCGACTTGTTCGCAACACGATTCGCGAGCCCAAATCGTCCTGAGCTCGTTACTCACCTTACTCGTCAATTCGGGCCATGTTCACTCGGAGCGATCCATACACGTTCACGAGACGACGATGCAAGCTGGTGGGACCATGATTGGGAGACAGATCGTTCTACGTGATCCGGCCGGGCCAAGGACGGTGGTCGTCCTCGGGGGAGATGGCACCGTCGGGGAGGTGGTCAATGGCTTGTTGCAGGGGGTCGATGTGGAAGGGGAGGAGACGAAGGAGGTCAAAGAGACCGGGTTGGTGATAATGTGAGTACATTGACCGCATTAAAAAACGAGACGAGTGTCACAAAAAAAAACACCTGCCGATTGACCCACTCTTTGCCATTAAACCCCCCCCCCCCCCCTTACCCCCACTTTTCATTTTGTTGCACTTTTTTTTTCTTTCAGACCGCTCGGCACCGCCAATGCACTCTATCATCACCACTTTCCACCCGAGCATCACACCGAACTTGATCCTGCACTCCGTATCTACCAATCCGTCTTTGCCTACCTCCATCGACGTAACGATCGACCAAGACCGTTGAACGTCGCTCTCAACATACTCCCTTCCCTCAAAGGAGAGCCGGAACGACTGTTCACGCTCGTCGTTACCTCCACCGCTTTGCACGCCAATATCTTGTACGACGCTGAGAAATTACGCTCGACCCATCCAGGTGTGCAGAGGTTCAAGATCGCCGCCGGTGAGAATGCTACCAGATGGTATGAGGGAAAAATCAAGATGGTCGGTGCCGTCAGTAGGTGGGACGCGGGCCTGTGCCGGTGGGTGTACGAAAGTGGGGAGATCGGATTGGACGGTCCGTGGGTTTACGTCGTCGGCAGTTTGGTGTCCCGGTTCGAAAAGGATTTCATCGTCGCACCTTTACGAACGAGATCGATCACCACGCAAGCCGAACAAGATCAAGAATTCGATTCGTCGATCGATGTCGTTCTCGTCAGACCGTTGAGAGATCCGCTCACGCGCAAGGTGTTGGAATCCGAAGGAGCGCAAAAGGCGAAAGAGTTTTTCGTGGCGGGTTTGTGGGAGACGTTGGGAGGGATCTATAGAGGTGGGAAACACGTGGGGATGAGATGGAACGATGGCACGGAGAGGGTCGAGTATTATCGATGTAGGATGGTCGAGTGGGACGCGGTGGGTCTGGTTCATGCTCTGTCGAATGTAAGCTTTCTTTTTTTTTGGCTGCGTCGGAACTGATGCGTTTCTTGTTTGTTCAAAACAGCCCGATTCGGACGACGTCAAGGATCGATTGGTATGCCTCGATGGACTGGTGAGGGATTTGGGGAGCAAAGGTGAGGGTCATGGGAGAGGTAGGTATGCGATGAAGGCGCTGGGGAGTGGGAAGACGGGGTTGGGCATTTGGGCATGACTCGACGGGTCAAGGGGTGGTGGGGGTGGGGGGAAGGATTGCGGGTATCCTCTCGGTTCTTTTTTTTTGGCGATGATCACCTTGAGTTAGGCGCAATGCATCTTGGTGAAGTGCTTTTGCTGCAACACGCCACGGCATTGCAACTTGAGTATGGGGCGAGGCACTGCAGTGGCAGAGACTAGAGAGTGACCGTCGATCTCTGGCTGGCTCAGTTGATGAACATTTGCACGCGCGCGGGTGCGACGCGTTGACCGCCTCGACGAGCGCGCTCAGCTCCGGCCTCTCTCTCTCTCTTTCTCTCTCTCTCTCTCTCCACCCAGCGCCCCACTTTGCCCGTCCACGAACGATGGCGATCTCGATCATCAAACCGTCGTGGGTCGTGCACCCCGACGAGACGCGTACGGACCTCCGCCCGACGACGATCTACACGCTCTCGATCCACCCCGATCGATCGAGGCTCGCCACCGGTGGACTCGATACCAAGATCAGACTATGGTCCACGCTAGGCGTCGTCGACGAACGCGTCGAGAGGGACGAGAGGTGTCCCAAGTTGTTGAGCACGTTGCTCAGTCATTCGGGTACGTCCCATTTCCCGGAGGAAGGAGCGAGCGCGCGAGCGGAGTGAAGGTCCTGATCGGTAAAGCCGTTCTCGTCCGCGTACAAGGGGTGGTCATGTGCGTCAGGTGGAGTCATGATGGGAGGTACTTGGCCAGTGGGTCCGATGACAAGATTGTCATGATTTGGAGTTTGGAGCAGTGAGTTCACAGGCGGAGCACGCTGCACGTCACGCGAGGGTGAGCAGCTGTGAGGAGCCAAACAGTGACCGAGACAACCCATCACCTTCTTCAACTACAGGGGAAAGGGTGGAAAGGTGTGGGGCACCGATCAGGTCAACATCGAAAACTGGAAGGCCGTACGCCGACTCGTCGGTCATGATTCGGGTCCGTCCTTGCTGCGACTCGGAGGGCAGGAGAGCCTCAGACGCGTGTTGGGAGATACAACTGCTGATCGTGTTCAACGTGGTCGGCATTCGTCTCGCAGACGTCGCCGGCGTCGCGTGGAGTCCAAACGACGAATACGTCGCCTCCGTCGGACTCGACAGTTCGGCCTACGTCTACAGCGGTAAAACCTTTGGTGAGCCCATCAGAGCCTGCCTCGAGGGCCATATTCAACGACAACGGGGCTGATATGATCCATTCGCGCACGGCCAGAACGCATCGCTCGCCTCGACGGTCACATGGGTTTCGTCAAGGGCCTCGTCTTTGACCCCGTAGGGCAATACCTCGCGACCCAGGTCCGTTCCCGCCCTTCTGAAAGCGCCGAGGCGGCGATCGGTGATAGAGCCGGATCCTTAACGACGTTGTCCCCGATTGAACCCTACAGTCCGACGATGGCTCGGCCAAGATTTGGCGTACGAGCGATTGGCGCCTCCACACCAGCATCGAAGACGTGTTCGTCCAAGCGCCGAAAACCAACATCAACCGTCCATCGTGAGTCAGCCGAAGTATTCTCCATGTCGGGTTTTCAATTGACTGAATCGATGGCGTATTGCTCGACGACGAAACCCCAGTTGGTCCCCCGATGGCTCGCACCTCGTCTTACCCAACGCGACCTCGAACGACGTCTTTGTCGCGGCCGTGATCGAACGCTCCACCTTCCGCGGTCAAACCTTCATGGTCGGCCACGGCAACATCGTCGAATGCAGCGCGTTCAACCCTCACGTGTTCCTAAGGGATCCAAAACTTCCAGCGGAGAGTAACAATTTTTGTTCGGTACTGGCCTTGTGCGCGAGAAGTACACTCTCCCTTTGGATCACCTCCAAATCCGAACCGGTGATCGTCTTTGAGCAAATCTTCGAAAGGGACATCTTGGACCTGTCCTGGTCCAAAGATGGCCAACAACTTTGGGCTTGTTCTTCGGAAGGTCATGTCGCCGTTTTCGAATTCGATCTGGACGAGATCGCGACCGTTTGTCCGGTCGAGGCAAAGGAAAAATTTTGGACGGACCTTTATGGAACGAACGTACCTGCGCTCAAGGGGGCGGCCGCCGTTTTGGAGGCGCAGAAATTGATGGCGGTTGATTCGTTCGTACCGATGAGGAATGGGACGATGTTGCACGGAATTGGAGCAACGACGACGACGAGTGTTAATACGTTGGTGGCGAGGAAGGGACCGGGTGCGAAGAGGGTCGTACCGAGGGCGCAGCAGATCGGGCAGGTTCAAGTGGGGGGGAACCCATTCGCTTCGGCACCGGTCATGCAGGCCCCTTTGGGAGCTCATCAGATGATGATGCAGCAACCAGCAACCCTTCCCATGGTTCAGCAAGTGCCGCAACGAGCGGTCTTGCAGAATGGGATGCAGACAATCGCGCAGACGTGGCCTCAACAACAACAACAGGTGCACCAACCGATCGGCTTCCCTCATCCTCAAGAACAAAACCCAGCAGCATACACGTACGTCGTGCCGAACCAACTACAACCGCACTATACTTCGCATGCGCCTTCGTCATCGTCCTTCCCGAACCAAGGTCAAGGGTCAGCACGACGATCGTTGGAAGCGATGGAGATTGATCACGTCGAGAGAGGTCGACCGCTGCCTGGTCAGGGGTACGGTGACCATCTGCGGTTGTCCGAAGCGGAGTATAGGACTCAGGGAAGGACCGTCGGAGGAGGGAGGAGCGCGGTAGAGAGGCAGGAATTGAGGGAGTTGAGACCGGCTTATGCGCCTGTCGTTGGCGCGCAGGCTAGGAGTTTGACGTTTGGGATTTCGAATCGGCCTGATGGGAAGGGGGAAAGGGCCTTGGCGATACCGGCGGTTAAAACGTTCGGGGAGCAGAGGATTACCGAGCAAGGCGATCGGTTGCAGGTCCGTAATTTTGGGGAAGGGGAGAGGAAAGGATCGAGCGAGGTGTGCGTGGTCCTCTCGGCGTCGTGCGAGAACGGGAAGGAACAAGATGCGCAAGAGAAGACGCTCTGGATCGATTATCATCCTTCCTTCATCGTATCCTCGACCGGATCACCACTATTCTCGGCCGTTTCACTCGAGGACGAATCCCTCGTCGTCTACTCACCAGCGGGAAGGAGGCTCTGGCCCGTCGTCGTACTCGATTCGCCGTGCGCTTTCTTGTGTGCCGAGGGGAAGTGGTTGATGGTTGTTACGGCGAAGGGAACGTTGGGTGTTTGGGATGTACCGAGACGCAAGGTGGGGCTGGAGATGAGGTCCATCGAAGCGCTTTTGACGTCGGGGGTGGATGCAGAAGGAGCTGGCCGGAAGGGGACGACATCGACGACGATCACTACAGCGGCGTTGTTACCGAATGGGACTCCGGTGGTCGCGCTTTCGTCGGGGGTCACGTGTTCGTTCGATAGGGCGTTGGGCGTGTGGGTTCGTGTTGGGGAGAAGGGGTGGAAGAACGGGTCCGAGTTGTGGGGCTGTATCACGGAGGAGGACGAGGTGGATGGCGCGGTCGGGAGGGTCGAGACAGCGATTCGGGAAGCTGCGGGAGCGGACACTTCTGAAGCTGAAGGGGACGAAGATGACGAGGAAGGCAAAAGTCCGATCGCACCCGATTCGGACGTCGAACGATCCTCGAAGAAACGCAAGCTCTCGCCAACCCTTTCCGGCGATCCTTCGGCACCTCAAGGCGAACAAAATGACTTTGGACTCTCGCGTACGTTGGCGCATGCGGAAGCGAGGATCGAAGCTTCGGTTGCGCTCGACTCGCCGCAGGAATATAGCCTTTTCATGAGGCGGTATTGTGAGCGGTTGGGCAAAGCGGGCATTTTAGGACGGGTGGAGGAGGTCATTAGGTCATTGTTGGGGCCGGTGTATTAGTGAGTTTCGAGTTCGCTCCCCCCCCCCCCTTCGAAAAAAAGGCAGGTTCTGATGATGAGCTTTTGAACTTTGGCGCACAGCCAACCCTCGAGTTCGGAAACAAAGTGGGATCCCAAGGTGCTTTCGTTCAACAAACGCGATATTCTGCGGGAGGTCGTCTTACCCGAGTTGAGTAAGCACGAGACGTGTAAGAAGTTGGTGGAGGAGTACGGAGCGTTGTTGAAGAAGATCGAGGGATGAGGGAGCGCATCAGCGCTTGTTTGTAGTAAAATTCGTCGCTTTTCGTGTTTGTGCTCGTGTAGATTTTTAGTAATCGGTCTTTCAAAAACAATGTGAAGAATGCTGTTGTTCCCCCGTTGTCATTGCTCTCTTTCTCTCGAGATCCTCAGCAAGCTTCTGAACGAGCAATAACTCGCCTCATAAAGATGACGTAAATAAGAGAACTCTCCCCTTCGTAATACTCTTCTCTACACACTGGCACCCCCAACGACTGCTCTTCCCTCTTAACCAACTTTATCAACAATCTTGACCGTCTCCTTCACTTTACACCCTTCCTCCCATTCCTTGCCCGTCAATTCGACCCGCTCGACGGCTTGAGAAAACGCCTCGAACGTACAGATCGTCCCTTCTGATCCGGGGAGGTGCGAAGAGGGGGACGAACAGGCGGGTAAGTGGAGCGGTCGGCCGTTGAAGGCGAGGCGGACGTAGTGCTGCTTTGAGGTTGAGGGGGTTGCGGGGTTGGGGAGGAGTAAAGAGGGGAGGTAGGAGGTGAGGAAGGAGGTGAGAGAGGGTTTTGAGGTCGAGGTCGAGGTCGAAGGTGAGGAGGTGGGAGTGGCGTCGCTGTCGCGGAATAGTTCTGTGAGAAGTCCGATAAAGCAGGAAAATTGGTTGGTGGTCAGATTACTGCGCATATACGCTTCAATCGGTTCCTGGTCCCGAACTCACCGACGGAGATATGACTCGTAAAAGGTGGCCATCGGCCATCGAACACTTGTAGAGCGTTCAAGATCCCTCCCAAAGAGGTATCATGACATGAGTACACCCCCAGTCGCAACTTGTTCTTCTTCTCCTCCGGATCGGCGATCTTGGACACGAGCGAAGCTTTGAGGTCGCCTAGGAGTCGACCCATTGAGAGTTTGGTAAATTCGAGCGTCGAGTAGGAATCGAACCATTCGTGCACGACGGCGGATTCGAGCGTCTGGAGCAGTTTTGGATCTGAGAGGTCCGAGGGGGTGCGTATGGAGTGGGCGAGACAGACGTAGAGGGTGTCGAGAATGCCGTTTGCTCGAGGGGAGGAATCGATTCGGAGGGGACTGTTGGCGGAGATGTAGGGTCAGCCGAGGGAGGGGCAGACGCAAGGTCAGAAGGGGGAACATACGTCTCGGTATACTTGACCAGGGTAGCGTCTAGCGGTTCTAGTGTCGGATTGTACTTTTTCGCTGCCATGGCGATCGAGATCTGGTCCAGCTGACGCATGCGAGCACACAACGAATTCGGATAAAGACTGCGGCGAACAACATCACGTACATCAGCCCTCTGCGGTGGTGACGGGCTACAGTCGATGCGCCGAGACGGACCTCTCATCATTCGGGTTCCGGACCGTGTAATCGACGAGTCCTGCTCTGTACCCGGTTGGGAACAACCCCTCGACGATCTGATGCAAGGACTCGATCGTCCTCGGCATCCCCGTACTCCTGAAATACACCGGTGACTCTTCCACGGGCAGATCCGGAAGGGTCTCGGGGAGGAAGCCCAGTCGATCGACGTAGAGAGCGCGTAGACGAGCACCGAGCTTCAGCGTCGATTCGCGTCCGAGGTCGGTCAATTCTCCCCAGTAACAGTCGGCGGGGCTACCTCCGTTCGCGACGTTTCGAGACCCCATCTCTTCGGCGTGGCGACGGATTCCGAGGAGGCGTTTGCTCAAGACTTGACCTGTGTGGGATTTCCAGGGCAGAGAATCGGGATGGGTCCCGGGTTGTCGGGAAGAGGTGGGATTGGAGCCGGTGTCGAGTTCAGGGGTCGCACTTAAGCTTGAGGCGGTCGGGTCGGAGTTGGTGAGGGACAGCACGGCGGTGGAAAAGGACCGGCCGATCGCGCATAGGGGGAAGATGGCGGGGATGTCACCGAAGCCTGTTAGGCGTTGTCGGACGGCTGTGTTGGACAAAGATGTGATTGGAGCGAGTGTTGAGGTCGTAAGAGGTGCGGTCAGCGCCAGACAGACGTCCAACAACTCAGTTATCGATGGGTTCACTCACGCGACCGTTCGCCGTGTCGTACGAACCAATGCGCCTGTACGAGTTGCAGCCCCTGTGGGACGTAGCTGTGCCCAGCGTCACCACGATCGCCGAGTGAGGGTGCGACGCCGATCAAGTGCGCGTTCGGGGGGTTCCCGGGTTTGTGAGGGTGGTGCGATTGGCCTTCGTACGACATTCGAGTGTGAGGAGAGGTGGGAGGTGGGACCGGAAGTGAGGTGGGGTGTGGGAAGGAGCACGAGGAGGAGTGAACAGTGATTGATCGAGTGAGGAGTGCCTTCGCGTCCCGCGGTTCGCTTCGCTTTATGAACGGAGCCGGCCCCCAAACCCGACCGAGCGCGCGCGCTGCTAATGATTAATGAGCGTTACTATTAGGCTGTTACGGCGAACGAAAGGGGGTACTATGTCGTCATCGGCCCCCTTGCTCACTTCGGCTCCTCGAAACGACTTGGGGCTCTGCATCCTATTGCGCACTGCTGCGTCTGCCTTGGCACAGGCTCATCGGGTCATGGCTCGGAAGGGGTATGCACCACTGCCCAGCCATGATGGGCAGACGTCGGAACAGCCGATCGCTTCGACCTCATCGTCATCGTCGTCACCGGCAGCTCCGAGAACAAGCGCCGGCGACGATCGTGGTGCACAGTCCGCTTCGCACGGCTCATCCCCACAAACCACCTCGACAACGACCACAACAGCGCAACATGTCGATCTGATGTTCAAGAAATGGACCACCGTAGTCAAGCACAAGATGAGGCTCAGTCGATCCGGCCAACGACGCGCGAACGCCAAGAGGAGAGCCCAGCACGACCTCGATCGCATTCAGCGCAGGGATAGAAAACTCGCGGTGCCTATCCTCGCGAGTGTGTTTGGGAGGGATGGCGTCGGCAGTGAGGACGAGGGCAAGGCGCAGAGCGAGGGGGATTGGGAGACGCTCGATCATGAACCGCCCCTGTCCGACGAGGCCTTCAACGAGTCAGTTTGCGGCAACGAGCTCGGTCGAGTACATACCGCCTTCCTTGGGCACAGAGACTGATCCACTGACAATCCTCCCATCTCCAGGCTCGTCGACCAAGTGAGGGAAGCCATCTCGCTCAACGTCCAACCACGCCTCAACTCCAAAGGGTCATCAGGCTCCTATTTCGCCAAGGACAAGCACTCCCACACCTTGGCCATTTTCAAACCCAAGGACGAGGAACCCTATGGTAATTTGAACCCGAAACTTACCAAATGGTTGCACCGCAATTTCTTTTCGAGGATCATCGTGAGTGGTGACTTGCACCGGGAAAAGCTCGACCCTTTGCGCAGACGTGACTACTAACGTGGCCCTCGTCTCTTTTTTTCAGCCCTTTGGTCGCGCGTGCTTGATCCCCCAACTTTCGTACCTCTCTGAATCGGCCGCATCGTTGATGGACCGTCGTCTCGAAACGCACATCGTCCCACCGACCCAAGTCGTCCCCCTCTCCTCCCCCGCCTTCTTTTACGACTGGATCGACCGCGAGCGCGCCCAACGCCAACGCCAACCCGTGCCTTTACCTGACAAACCAGGCAGCTTCCAGGTGTTCTTGAAAGGCTTCAAGGACGCGAGTGATTTCTTGAGGGAGTTTCCTTTGCCGGGAAGACCGGAGAGTCAGACGATGGATCGGAGGAGTTATAGAAAGGGCAGGGGGAATTTGCTGGGACCTTTGAGATGTCTTTGTGGGAGGGTAGGGGCGGACGTTGATGACGATGACGAGGAAGACGAAGATGGGGAGGGGGAGCCGCATCGCTTATTGGACAGCGAAGCTCCGAGTCGACGAGGCACCTTTGGGTTCCTCAGTGGTGGCGCATCGACAACCCCCGACGACGAAACGGGCTTCAAATGGACCGAAGAGATGCTGGAATCCTTCCGCGAGGAACTGGAGAAACTCGTCATTCTCGATTTCATCATACGCAATACCGATCGTGGGCTGGATAATTTCATGATCAAGCCTTGCCTGTGCGCTGAGGAGGGGAGAGAGGAGAGATCATGGGGGAAGAAGCAGGAGGGGATGCTGGGGGTGCATGGATCGCGGACGAAGGCGATGGCACCGACGACGGAACCGCCGAGCGCACAACCGCCCATGACGGAGATCAATGCTCGAAATAGGAGGAAGTCGCATGTTGCGAACCAAGGGGGGACGGCGTCGTTGTCGGAATCGGAAACGGAGGCCGCCGCCACCGTGACTCGCCCCCACCTTCACATCGCCGCGATCGACAACTCGCTCGCATTCCCCCATATGCATCCCCTTGGGTTCCGGACCTATACTTACGGCTGGCTCTACCTACCTCTCACACTCATCGGTCAACCCTTCACCACCAAAACTCGACGCCACTTTTTACCTCTTTTGACGGACCCGGAATGGTGGGCCGAGACGACCCTCGCTCTGAGGAACGAGTTTGCGAAGGACGGCGAGTTCAGAGAGGACATGTTTCGGAAGCAGATGGCGGTGATGAAGGGACAGGCGTATAATGTCGTGCTGAGCTTGAGGAGTGAGGAGGATGGTGAGTCGCTTCCTCGCGACGGGGACTGCTTGAGTAGGAGCAGTGGGCTGACGTTAAACTTTGTTTTCACAGGCCCGATCGAGTTGTGCCGAAGACCGAAGAAACTCGTCTGGGACGACCTCATCGAAGTCGCCGACCACGTCATCACCGATCAGCTCCTCGCTTTCACCGCCGCGGGTGCTTCCGCGAATACCGCAGCTCGTGCAGCCGGCATCGGCAACGCGAGTCACGCATCGGGCCAAGAGGAGGACGATCGTGCGCCGACTCCGCCGCTTCAACAGGCTTCCCCACCGCCGATGGAATCGATCACCACACCTCCGAGACCTTTGTCACCTCTACTCGATGCCTCTTCGGCACCGACATTCGCGTTCGAACCGAACGTCACGCGCAATGCAATCGCAGAGCAGAGCGAAGGGTCGGTCCTGCGACCGGTCCCATTACAACGCGTCTCGACCGGTGCGGCCTCGAACAAGACCGTTCCCCTTTCGGCTGAACCGGTCACGACACCCATCGCGATGCCTTCCCCCGCTCTATCGACGACGCATTCCATGTCGAATTCGATCACGAGGGGGAAAGGTCACAAGGCGAGTTCGTCGATCTCGTCGGTGTTGGGATCCTTTCCCGAGGAGATTAAGGGGATCATGAGGGGGGTGGATGCGGTTGAGCAGTTGGATCGGAGGGAGGGGAACGCACGGGGTCAGAGAGGAGGGGGGCTCAGAGAGGTTTTGGATGAACACGAGGAGGAGGATGACCAAGTCGATGAAGAGGACGATGTTGACGCCGAGGGACCGACGTGGGGCGTGCAATCGGAGAATGATATACGGCGCCCTGCGAGTCGACCCCAGTTGGGAGGAAAGAAGGGATCGTGGAAGGGAGTGTGGACGAGTACGCATAGGAAGAGTGGGAGTTATAGTGATGCGCGGAGTTTGGGAGTGGGCGGAGGGAGGATGAGGAGTGGGTCGTTGGATATGGGACGGGGTGGAGGGGGGAGGGGGTCGAGTGAGTGGGGCGGAAGGAGGAGTGGGGAGGCTGGGAGGCTGTCGGGTTCGGACGGTCGGAGGGGAGCGAGTGAAGCTTTGTTGGAGGAAGGTGATGAGGAGGGGGCAGAGGAGGAAGAAGGGTTGAAGACCAGGGTCGTGGTGGTGGAGAGGCTGGAGGTCTTGAGGGAGCGACCGAGGACATTCATTTGGTGCTGAGTTTTGGATCACATCTCTCGTATTTTGTTTTTCTTACGTACAAGACTGCTTCGTTCATTGCAGATATAAGATGGAGGGTGAATTACGAAAATGACCTCTGAAATAGCTCGAAACATCAAAGTTGCCCTTGATTTTTTCAGAACGTCAAAAATTGTCCTCGACGAGCCCACCTCCCAGAGTGCAGCGGCTGTAGCACAGTTTCTTCGAGCTTTGAAGTGTGAGAGCAGGCCTCGAAGGGTTTCTTGACCTCGGGGCAACGGGAACGATCATCTATCTGCTACAACGGGACTTCAAACTCGCCCCGGTCCTTTGTCGAGGGCAGTTTTGACGTTTTGAGTTTATCGAAGGCTGTTTCGACCTGATTTGGAGGCAATTTTTGTAATTTACTCTGAGATGGGTTACAACACTGAGAAGGGAAACGGAATCAACAGGAAAGAGGGGGTATACAAGGACATGCACACGTTAATCATCGCATTCTTCGAACCGCCTGACCGAGTACACTCGGCTGCTGCATTTGCGCCTGTTGCTGTTGCTGATGCGCGACCACTGCCTCCCTCCTCTTCGCATCCTCAATCATTTTCTCGAATAACTTGTTTCCATCCTCGATCCTCTTCTCGAACTCGCGCATCTCGTGACCCATCTCCTGTTCCAATGCCGTGTAAGCCGTTTGACCACAATGGTTGTACCATGCTTCGAGGGAAAGCTTGCGAGCGTCGGGGGTCAACGAAGGGACGAGGGGGGCGTCGAGTGAGAAGGGGTTGTCCGGTCGAGGAGTGAAGGGATTGTTCAGCGCTGGAAGAGGGAGGGAAGGTGCGGCTCGGACCGAGTGTGCGGCGGATCGAGGAGGGGAGATGGGGTCTGCGGCAATGACGATGGGCGTTTGGGGAGCGGTGGGTTTTGACTTGGAGGATTTTGATTTCGTCTTCCTCGTCTTGGGCTTTGGGGCGGTCTTGGCCACGTCGACGTCAGGCGCAGGCTCGGGTTCAGCGGCGCTTTCGACTGCGGGTACGTCGGGCTCGGGTTCCTCGATGATGATGGGTTCAGGGACGGCTTCGGGTATCTCTTCGTCAGCTTCCGGGGCCTCGGGTTCGACTTCGACTTCAGGCTCGGGTTCGACGATCTTGGATTTCGTCGATCGCTTCGACTTGGACCCCTTCTTCACCTTGGTCGCCTTTTTAACCGGAGGCGGGGCGATTTCTTCTTCCTCCTCCTCCTCCACTACACGAGTGGTCGAAACCAGATCCTCGACAAAGTCTAGCTCAGCTCCATCCCCGATAACTTTCTCAGCCTCAGCCTCAGGCGCTATCTCCTCCTCTACTTCGGACTCGACAACGCGTGGCGCCTTTGTACCACGCGTCTTGCGAGGCGGTAGTCGAACGGAGGGTGACATCGTGTGCGAAATCTCGATCTCGATGACCGAGTCGTTCGCCTCTTCGACTTCAGGCGCAGGCTCCCGATCGTCTTCTTCCACGGGCGCAGGGGTATGTTTCGTCGAGGCTTTGCCCTTGCGTGAACGCGTCGATCGGGTCGTTGAGGCTTTCGATGGGGGTGGACCTTCACGATCTGCTGTAGGGGTCGGGGCGACGATCGAGGCGGGTGTTTTCGTCGCACGAGATGATCGCGAGGGAATCTGTGAGGCGATGGGTAGGTACTATTCGTTACGGGATGATGGATTTACATTGACAGTCCAATCCACGACTCACGGGTTCGATCACTTCTTCAATTTCAGACTCGAGCTCTTCGTTGACCTCCGCAGCGAGCTTCTGTCGTCCTTTCGAACGAGAGAGACCAGCGTTTTTGGTCGTCGAAGCCGAGGCGATGGGCGCGACATCTTCAGCGAGGAGTTGAGGCGGTCGCTCGGCGAGGAAGAAGGGGCATTCGAGGCCGAGTTTGCGCTGATGCAGGGCGCTGCGGAGAGAAAATCGTGCGTGGTCAGAAGATATCGAGGGGAGACCTCGAGGGGAGACCTCAAGGGGAGACCTCGAGGGAGGGGTTTGGTGGCTTACACGGCGTCGTCTCCGGCCTCCCATCCTTCGACGGTGCGAGTGCAGTACGGGCAGTAGCATCGATCGCCGGCGTCTTCATCTGCCTCTGGTCGGAACCACCATCCCGCAGAGGCGAGCTGTGAAAGTGAAAGACATCGAGGCCAGGTTGGGTCAATGAACAGCCTCTGCCGAGAGCAAACTGCGAGCTTGGGCTCACCTGCTGCACGGTCGGCACCCCCTTGGCACCGTTATGAGGCCATCCTCGCTCGAACGACATGAGTCGCGCACTCTGGATCTTGTCCGACCTAGGCCAATCGCTGCCATCGATTCCCCAGTGCCAATGCTTGCGGATCTTGTTCGGGTCATCGGCCATGTTGGACAAGAGGATAGCCCATCCGCAGTGCGGCGACCTCGTCAGATGAAGCGATACGGGTTCGTCACCTTCGCTCCATCCGTCGACGACGAGGTCGCACAGGAAACAGGTCGTTGAGGAGGGGTGGTCCGAGCTAGGCGTCGAGTAGAATCCGGCGCGGGAGAGGTGGTCGGCGTGGATCGACGACGTGCTCGCCGCGGCTTTGGTCAACGGGTGCGGCCAATTGAGTGATCGGGAGGCACCTTTGCGTGACTTGTGGTACGTCGCTCGACGGGTCGGGTACAGGTGAAGAGGTTCGGAGGAGGAAGCCATTGTTGGGGAGGGGATTCTGGGCGGCGAGGATGAGCGCGGGGATGAGCGCACGGGGTGTAGGGTGTAGGGCGCAGGGTGTAGGGCGGAGTGGCGGAGCGCCGGACGACGGTCAATCAACAACAATCCGCGGCAGAGCTCGAGACGCGTCGCACCAAATCGAACAAGCTGAGCGCCGTCAGGTGGAGGTGGTGAACCAACAGATGCGTCTGATCGGAGTGTCTTGGATCAGGCTGCTTGATCTGATGCTGCGGCAGGTGAAGCTGGTATGATGATTGTCGAGTAAAGGACGAGTACAAAGACGAGCCGTGAAGCTCGGAGCGGCGGAGCGACGCGCGCGCGCCGAAAGTCGAGTGAAGCAGAATGAAGCCTAGTGAAACCAATGGGCTCTAATCAATTGGTGGTACGGGCCCGGTCAAAAATATAAACATGCGGGCAAAGCAGAATGTCCAATGACGGTCACTCAGAGAGAAAAGGGCGCTCAGAAGAAACGCAGACCTCACCGGCAGGAACAGCAATAAGGCCCCACTCACTCTCTCTCCACGTTGAGACAAAAAAGTGCTTCCGTCCGGGCTCGAACCGGAGACCTTATGCGAACACACGCATGTGAAGCATACGTGATAACCAACTACACCACGGAAGCTGATTCCTCAGGGGCATCGCCAGCTGGCGAATATACTCACGGAAGCACCTCTGCCAAATTGATCGGTCACTTCACTTCACTTCACTTCACTTCACTTCACTTCACTTCACTTCACTTCACTTCACTTCACTTCACTTCACTTCACTTCACTTCACTTCACTTCACTTCACTTCACTTCACTTCACTTCACTTCACTTCACTTCACTTCACTTCACTTCACTTCACTTCACTTCACTTCACTTCACTTCACTTCACTTCACTTCACTTCACAATCGCCCTACTGCAGCCTTCGATACTCGAGTTAACAAGTGATACACCGACAAGATGTCTACCGGAGACCCTGGGTCCCCACTGCCGGCACCGCCACCACCGGTATCCGCCACCAGCGTCCAGCCCCCCCGCGACCGGATCCCGATAAGCTCGAAGAAGACGCAAGTCACGGGCCCCGCCACCGCCGCACCCAACTATGCTGCCGCTGCGAGTCAGATGGCGGCTCAAACACCTGAACAACAGCAACAACAACAACAGCGTGCCAAGGCTCTGGGCAGCCTCCTACAAGCCATGGGTGCTGTACCCGGAAACCGCATGGATCGCTGGGTCCAGGCCATCTACTTCGCCGAACTCTACCCCGTCGCCACCGCCACATCGCTGAAATTTTCGGCCTTGAACGCGAACCGGTCCGTCGAGAACATCTTCGATTACGCCCTTGAAGTGACTCTGTCTCACCAGAGCGCCTCGCGAGCGACTCATGCCGACAAGATCGATCTCGTGGCCTGCGTCACGAGGCTGCTATCGCCCATCTCTCCTATCTGCTTTGAGCCTGGAGTTCCTCTGCCGGACCATCTTGCGGCTTATCAACCACAGATCTTAGGCGTACAACATTCATCAATCCTGCGTAATGGGGCGGCTCACCATCGCGTTACGGTTGGGTTCGTCACCGGCGAGGCACGTGACGCGGCGCTCACGACGCCCCCCGCTCTCACTTGGCGATCGGCGAAGGCCCGCTTCGCGAAGTCTCACAGGTTCCACCATAACATGGTCGAGCTTCGAATCAACGTCGGTGTTCAAGGAGTGCCCTCCATGGATGCCATCATCAAATCGTTCCAATCACTTGTGCAAGACCTGTCAGGCAAGGGACATTCATGCCAACTTGTGCAGGTTCTGCGCGTTATCAGCGTGGACAACGCCTCGGCCTTCGCCCACGTTGCCGGAGACTACTCGGCTTTCCTACACTTCGATGACGACTCCCTATTCCAACGCCCCAACACGACCTTGAAGGAGATTCTACCTTCGAGGATCGACCTTCCCACTCGAGGCATCCCGGTTACCGCCCTTCGCCATGACTATGAGAAGGAGGCGGCTTGCGGTAGGTGCCACTTTGTGGGTCACGTGGGAACCTGCGGACTGGATCAGGAGAGGAAGCGGAAGGAGGCTCACAACGGCATCATCAACAGCAACAAAAACACCATCACCCACAACACCAACATCGCGGAGGCCGAGGCCCCCATTCCTGTGCTGGTTGTTAACAGGATCGCATCACAGAATCACTTCGCCGGGCTCGAGGTCGAGGAGGGACAGGAGGAAGAGGTAACTGGCCAGGGCGAACAGGGACCGGAGGAATCGGGGGAGGAAGACGCTGGTGATAAGGCGGATGACGAGGACTCGGAGGACTCGGAGATGGAATCGGAGGCGGCCGCGAAAACGGAGGTCATCAAAATTGAAAGCGAGGACGAGTCGGTCTTGGAGGACTGCAGCGGATCCGATGGAGAGGTGATTGATGAGAATGAGGTGATGGCGGATGAAAGAGGTGAAACGGAAGGAGAGGTGGCTACGGAGATGGAGGAAGAGGAGGTGGCGACGGAGGTGGGCGATGTGGACGAAGCGAGGGGATCGACGAAAGCGGAGAATGCGGAAGCGACGGACTTAGGGGAAACGAACAGGCTGGACAATGACGACGACAGCGACGCCACAGCAACCGCCGCCACCGCTTCCCGCGAATCGACGCCGCATGAACCAACCCCACCTCTGTCACCCGAAACTCTCGCCAAGTCGCTACGCGAGGGGGAGGAGTGGGACAGGATCAGAGCTAACTGGGTTGAGCAGGCACGACTTGAGCGGGACCAAAGCATCGAGAGGAGGCTCAACGCTGAAACCCCTCTGGTGCGTCACAACTTTGCCACGTGGGACGAGGACGGTGAGATACGCTCCATCAACATCAGGGGGACCGCTGCGAAGTTCAAGAAGCAGGTGATGAAGAGGTCGCAGACTGCGGCGGACCTCAGTGACCCAAGTGACGAACCGACCGACGCCAAGCGAGTCATCATCAAAGGGAAGAGCCGCGTCGTGGTGAAGGATGGAATAGAGGGGCGGAGGGTGACGAGGTCGATGTCGGCGGCAGCGGCGATGCAGGTCGAGGTGACGAAGGTGGACAGAGGGAAAGGAAGAGGGGTAGCTGAGGAAAAACGATGGTCCGACCACGAGCCCGAGGACGATGTCCTGCCCGCCCTTCCCCTCTTTGAGGACGTCACCACCGCCAAGAGCGCCTCGACCTCGACTACCCATTAATGATCAAGCACACCATCATCACCTGGAACGTAAGAAGGGGCATGGGGGTCCCGGAAAAAACGACGTAATATCTACACCTACCTTTCCACATTCAAAGCTTCCGCGATTCTCTTACAAGAGCATTTCATCAGACCACAATTCTGGCAGCTCATCAAGGACGAGTACGAGGGCAAGCTCTTCATCAACCAGCACTGCCTGACCCTGATCCCGGCCGACTCGCCCCTGATCGACGCCGAGCTCTTGCGCACCCACTCGGCACTCGACGGCCGGCTCCTCGTCACCTCCTTTCGTCTGCGGGGCGACATCAAAATTCTAGAAATCAATAACCTCTACGCGCCCGTTGACCCAAAACAACGAGCAAAATTCTTCGACAAACTGATCCTCCACAAAACACAGAAATCCCACCTCCGACTCCTTGGCGGCGATCTCAACGACTGCCCGCGCCCAGAAGTCGATCGGCGGAACCAAAGTCGGCGCGGCCACCACTGGCCGATTCTGATGGGCAAGCTCGACTCGGCCTACACGGACTGCATCCGCTACAAGCACCCCATCACCCCATCTTTCACTCGACCTAATCCCAATCGCAAGCGACCCAACTCCTTCTCCCGGCTTGACTACTTTCTCCTACAAAGAGCTCACCAAAAAAGGCTCGACCAGGCCTCGACGATCTACGACTATCCCAAGGATCTTTCCGATCACCGACCGGTCTTGATCGTACTGGCTCTCTCAGACGATCTTGATGCGGCTCTCCCACAGCTCAGCCTACCTACCACATCCAACCAACTACATCGAATCAATACCACAACCTTCAAGACGGTGGAATTTCAGCGGATGATGGAAGGATGGTTGGAAGGGGCAAGCGGGGAGGATCCGGTGCGAGAGCTTGAGGAGGTTCTGGAGGCGTGCAGGGACAGGGGTGGGGAGATGGCGAGGAGGCTGCATCGGGAGCGGACGGAACGGATGGAGTATTTGGTGGGGAGGGTGCAGGATCTGGAGGCGTTACCGGTATGGGGGGAGGCGGAAACGGCAGAATGGACAAGGACGTCCGAGGAACTCAAGCGGGCGGTCGAGGAGCGCGCGCGCCTACTCCGGATCCGAGCCCACGTCCCCGAGATCGCTTCCGAGGAACGACTGTCGCGGCCGGTCCACGCCAAGCTCGCGGCGCGGAACTCGGACTCCAAGATCACAGCACTGCGCTTGGGCAACGGAGAGCTAACGCATGACATTGATGTCGCTCTTGACCACACGCAGGCGCATTTCCAGCGCCTCTACCACATCGAGCCTCGTGATCCGGAACGCGTCGACCGACTTCGGGACGAACTCCTCGTGCCGATCAGGGCGGCACGGACTTGCGACGACCCGCGCTCAGATCCGCTCTTTCTGCGCCGACTCTCGGAAGCGCAGATTGATCTCCTCCAGCAACCCATCACCGAGGACGAGGTCGTGGCCGCGATCGGGACGACGCACCCGGGGCGATCGCCGGGCCCGTCGGGCGTGCCTTACGAACTCTATCAGACCGCACCGGAGGCGTGGTCCAAGGTGCTGACCAAGGCCTACAACGCGATGATCGAGCGCGGTTCACTCTCTCCCAAGCAGGGCCAGGGACTCGTGCGCCTCATCTTCAAGCGCCACAAGAAGAATGCCGATCGCGCCGAACTCTCGTCGTATCGCCCCATCACCCTGCGCGAGTGCGATTACAAGATTTTTACCAAGGTCTACGTCGCCCGATTGAACCAAATTCTGCCCGATCTCCTCCCGCCGCAGCAGCACGGCTTCGTCAAGGACCGCCGATCGGCCGACGCTGCACTACACCTTCGTCTCCTGATCGAGGAACTTGGCGCGCGCAGGACCGAGTTCCCCGCGGCCGCGCTCTTGTCTCTTGACCAATCATCCGCCTACGACCTCGTCGAGCATGACTGGATCTTTGCCATTTTCGACGCTCTGGGCGTTCCTACCACCTTTCTTCGCGTGCTGAGGATGCTCTACTCGGGTGACTCGACCTCGGCGCGCTACATCATCAATGGGTTCCTGACGGCGCCGGTGCGACTGACGTGTGGGCTCGGCCAAGGGGACCCGGCGTCATCGTCGGTCTGGGACATCGTGTTTCAGCCGTTCCTGGATGCTCTACACCGTCGAAACATCGCGCTGAATCTCTCCATACCTGCACTTCATCCGTACCCACAGAGCCGCGCCATTACATCACTTGCATTTGCCGATGACGTTGTCGTCGCCGTCGCGGGCTTGGAGTCACTCAACTTGCTCGATGACCTGGCGCTCGACTGGAGGCATGCAACGAATGGCCGGCTCAACACGGACAAGACGGTCGTCCTACCGATTGGACGTCGCTGGGACCCTGGGGAACGGCCAATCGTCGTCAAGGCCGCAGGCGAGTCGCTCGAGTGGATCGGCCTCCCCTTCGACCCCAGCGGCGACACCGAACTCGCCTACGCGAATCTCATCGAACGGCTCGAGGCGACGCTGGAAGCGGTTCAGCATCGCTGGCTCACGCACCACACCCGTGCCTTTTACGTCAATCGGTACGCCATTCCCAAGATCCTGCATTTCCTTGCAGCCGACATCCCGCCGCCCGAAGTCGTCAAGAAGCTCGATGACATGCTCGTCGATTTCGTCCGTGGGGGCAAGGGCAGGACCAGCTACGGCAGAGACATTGTGTTCACCGCCAAGAACAAGGGGGGACTCGGGGTGATAAGGATGCGGGACGTTGTGGACGCGGTTGCGGCACGGCTCTGGGACGTTCTTCTCGGCGGTTCCGGCGCGATTTGGCAAGGACTTGCGCGCGCAGCACTCCAGCGAGCTCAGCCCGACCTCGACCTGGCCACCGATCTCTGGCCACATCCATCCACTCCCATCCCCAACGACCTTCATCCCCGATGGCACGCCGCACTGGGCGTTCCGAAACTTCACGACGTGCAGGTCAACCCGAGGGCCTTGACCACCGCGAACCTGCTCGCGCTGCCCACCCTGCTCGGCAGCCTCCACACCCCCATCAGAGGGAGACAGACCATCGACGCGGTTCATGTACCTGACTACCTTCGTCTCCAGGGCTACCCGAAGGTGGCGGATCTCTATCGGCGCGAGTTGTATGCGGGTGGGGGGTTTCACCTCTGGACGCCGCCGGCGGATGTGCTCGGCGACAACAGCGAGTACGATCGACGCGGGCTCCCGCAGCGACTGGCAATCGCGGCCTGGTACCGGTTCACTGTCGATCGACACAAGAACACCCCCTTGGCGGCGGCGGTGGCGGCGGGACGACTCAACGTGCCTCCCCGGATCGGCACCAGCGCACCACTCGAGGCGATCATCCCCAAGCCCGTGGCCCGCTTCGCAATGGAGCAGCGCCTTCCGGACCCGGTGCTTCCACAACAGGCGAGCCAGTATACGCTGCTGAACATGGCTCGCCCCTACACAGTCCGTCGCATCCGCCGGGTCCTGAACGCGAAGGCATTTACCAACATGCTCGGGCTCAAGGGACCACCGCAGCCGGACGACCTCAGGAGCTTCTGGAAGGCAGTCAACTCGAAGGCACTGACAGCGAGGGAGAGGGAAGTTTGGTTCAAGCTGATCCTCCGCTTCACCCCGACGCGCAAGCTCCAGCACGAGCAAAAGCATGTCACTTCTCCCGCGTGCCTCGTGTGCGAAGCGCCGGTGGACGACACCGATCACTACTTCTTCGGCTGCGTCGACTCGCGGAACGTCTGGACCGCGGCAAGGGGCGTGCTCTGCGACGCGCTCGGATGCGACACGATCGAGGACGCCGAGTACACGACACTACAACGACTCTTTGGCCTCCCCAAGCTCAAGGCCAAGCTCAGCGAACAGGAAGGCGCAGGCAGGACGATCGAGATCTTCACGGGGATGGTCTTGGAGATGATCAGCAGTGGGAGATGGAGGATGCAGAAGCACGGGACGAGGATGGAAAGCCTGGAGCGGAGGAGGGTGGTACTGGAGGAGAGGATGAAGTTGAGGGCGGGGGGAGCAAGGGGCGGGCGAGGGCAGTAGAGGCTGGGTTCGATTTCCCCCCACCCCATCCCACACTCACACACCCCACATCACACATCCTCTTACAAAAACTGTATACTAAATATATTTTCTTCATCTTTCTTTCTTTTATTACAGGTCTGCCTCCGTTGCTCATGGACCGGCTCGCGATTTGGGATTGACTCGACGGTGGCTCGCGCTCTTTGGCTTCGGGGTTCTGAGTCAAGGGAGGGATCAGCAGACACAGGCAGAAAGTCGGCTTTGAGGGGCCAGGGACTGCTGAGGTGGAGGTTTTGAGGGGCCTCCACCGCGTCTTGTTGTGACCGAGCATAGACTTGGGGACTTCGCGGGTCAGGGTAGCTGCGCAGTCGCTCTCCTGTCTTTGTCTCGACCGAGTTGGGAAGTGGGTGCGGGGTGGGCCTCTTGTCGTTAGTACGCCAGTTCTTTTTCATTTTCTCTCTTTCTCTTCTCTCTCTCATTCGTCTCCTGGGGGGGAGCAACCGCTTGGCTGGGGCACTTGAATCCGAAGTATCGGATTGGTGGACTTGGCCCGTTTCTCGCATCTTGCGGGCGGTTTGTGTTATCATCGTCGACTTCCATCTAGTTTTTCCGTAGGCCAATCAGGGGGAACAGGAATTGGGGGCAATATGATGAACGGTTTCTACAAAAAAAAAAATGATCGGATGTGCTCGGCGACAACAGCGAGTACGATCGACGCGGGCTGATGTGCTCGGCGACAACAGCGAGTACGATCGACGCGGGCTCCCGCAGCGACTGGCAATCGCGGCCTGGTACCGGTTCACTGTCGATCGACACAAGAACACACCCTTGGCGGCGGCGGTGGCGGCGGGACGACTCAACGTGCCTCCCCGGATCGGCACCAGCGCACCGCTCGAGGCGATCATCCCCAAGCCCGTGGCCCGCTTCGCAATGGAGCAGCGCCTTCCGGACCCGGTGCTTCCACAACAGGCGAGCCAGTATACGCTGCTGAACATGGCTCGACCGTACACCATCCGTCGCATCCGCCGGGTCCTGAACGCGAAGGCTTTCACCAACACGCTCGGGCTCAAGGGACCACCGCAGCCAGACGATCTCAGGAGCTTCTGGAAGGCGGTCAACTCGAAGGCACTGACAGCGAGGGAGAGGGAAGTTTGGTTCAAGCTGATTCTCCGCTTCACCCCGACGCGCAAGCTCCAGCACGAGCAAAAGCATGTCACTTCTCCCGCGTGCCTCGTGTGCGAAGCGCCGGTGGACGACACCGATCACTACTTCTTCGGCTGCGTCGACTCGCGGAACGTCTGGACCGCGGCAAGGGGCGTGCTCTGCGACGCGCTCGGATGCGACACGATCGAGGACGCCGAGTACACGACACTACAACGACTCTTTGGCCTCCCCAAGCTCAAGGCCAAGCTCAGCGAACAGGAAGGCGCAGGCAGGACGATCGAGATCTTCACGGGGATGGTCTTGGAGATGATCAGCAGTGGGAGATGGAGGATGCAGAAGCACGGGACGAGGATGGAAAGCCTGGAGCGGAGGAGGGTGGTACTGGAGGAGAGGATGAAGTTGAGGGCGGGAGGAGCAAGAGGCAGGCGAGGGCAGTAGAGGCTAGGTTCGATTTCCCCCCCCCCCCCCCCCCCCCCCCCCATCCCACACTCACACACCCCACATCACACATCCTCTTACAAAAACTGTATACTAAATATATTTTCTTCATCTTTCTTTCTTTTATTACAGGTCTGCCTCCGTTGCTCATGGACCGGCTCGCGATTTGGGATTGACTCGACGGTGGCTCGCGCTCTTTGGCTTCGGGGTTCTGAGTCAAGGGAGGGATCAGCAGACACAGGCAGAAAGTCGGCTTTGAGGGGCCAGGGACTGCTGAGGTGGAGGTTTTGAGGGGCCTCCACCGCGTCTTGTTGTGACCGAGCATAGACTTGGGGACTTCGCGGGTCAGGGTAGCTGCGCAGTCGCTCTCCTGTCTTTGTCTCGACCGAGTTGGGAAGTGGGTGCGGGGTGGGCCTCTTGTCGTTAGTACGCCAGTTCTTTTTCATTTTCTCTCTCTCTCCTTCTCTCTCTCATTCGTCTCCTGGGGGGGAGCAACCGCTTGGCTGGGGCACTTGAATCCGAAGTATCGGATTGGTGGACTTGGCCCGTTTCTCGCATCTTGCGGGCGGTTTGTGTTATCATCGTCGACTTCCATCTAGTTTTTCCGTAGGCCAATCAGGGGGAACAGGAATTGGGGGCAATATGATGAACGGTTTCTACAAAAAAAAAAAAAATGATCGTCGCGACTTTTTCGGGCTTCTGCACTTCAACGCCCCGAGACCCAAGACTCTTCGGATCTTGGCCGGCGATCTCAACGATTGTCCGGATGTATCGGTCGACCGAGTGTCCATCACCGATCGCGCTTGGACTCCTGTATCGCACTGGCAGACCTTGCTGTCAAAGATCGCGTTCAAGGCACTCGACACGGTCCGACATGTCCATCCTTGCACCCCTGCATTCACTCGTCCTCACTACCGTGGTAGAGGGGAAGAGCGAAAGATTTGCTCGTGGTCGCGGATCGACTATATTCTTGTCCAATGCAGTTGGGCGAACCGGTTGTTGAGCGCTTCTACGCTCTTCGATGCGCCCTGTTCGGACCACAGACCTGTAGTTGCGACTTTCGCTTTGCCTACATCGAACGCTGATGCCGAACCCCCCCTTTCTCTTCCCTCCACGAGCGATTTCATTTCGAGGCTCAACCCAATGGTCTTTGACGATCAAGACTTTGTCACATCGATTCCCGGGGTCGTCGACGAGGTCTATCAAAGGCTCGAGGGGACCGCTCCGCTCGGCGACGTCTATGACGCCGCTCTGCGGGCGGTTGCAGTCGCTGGCCATGCACGATACCGCTCGACTCGTGCCGACATGCGCCGACTGCGGGCCGAGAGCCAATCCGTCATGGAGGCTTTGGAGGCACGCGGTGAGCACATGAATGAGGCCGAGCGCGATGCGTATGCTCTTGCCAAGTCGTGGTTGGACCAGTTGGCGGTAAAGGAGGCTCAGTGGCTGCGCATTCGTGCGCATGTGCCGTCAGTCGACTCGAGGGAAGGTCAATCGGCAAGCATTCGCACGCGCCTCAACCGCCGGAGTCGCCAGACGAGCATCGTCTCGCTGGAGGATGTGGATGGCACCGAGACCGTTGACATGCAGGAGGCGCTGGGTATTGCTTCACGGCACGCGCAGTCGCTCTTCACGCCGGACCCAGCTCGTGGCGACCCGACGAACGCACGCCGGTCCCTGCTCGACCCTATTCGCGCAGCGAAATGCTACGATGACGACCGCTCGGACCCTACGTTCGGTCGTCGGCTGCCTCGTCAAGCGAGAGTGGCGCTTGACGAGCCCTTCACCCTCCTCGAGGTTGAAGCGGCGTTGAAGAAGACGGATTCGGGGCGATCACCGGGGCCCTCGGGCATTCCGTACGAGCTCTTCAAGGCGCTGCCAACCTACTTTGCTCCCAAGCTGTTGGACTTGTTCAACTCGATTTGGGAGGGCGGCAAAATGACGGCGTCCTTGGCAGAGGGGCTGGTGCGGCTCTTGCCCAAGAATAAACCGGGGGCCAATCTGAAATCACTGGGGGCATACCGACCGATCACATTGCGCGAGACGACCTACAAGGTCCTCAGCAAGGTCTTGGTGGCGCGACTCAATGGGGTGCTCGGCGAGCTTTTACCGCCGGCGCAACACGGTTTCATGCCATCAAGACGTTCAGCGGACGCGGGAAGTCATCTCACTCTCCTTCTCGAAAAACTCAAGTCGCTAGGCACTGATGTTTTCCCCGAGGGCGCCCTCTTGTCTTTGGATCAGCAGAGCGCGTACGATCGGGTCGATCACGCCTGGATCTTCGAGGTCTTTGAGGCCTTTGGGTTCGGTGAGCGTTTCATCTCGCTGCTGCGCGCTCTCTACGATCCCGAGACTCTGGGGGTGCGCTACCTTGTCAATGGGTTCCCCACGGACTTGGTGCGGTTGCTGTGTGGTCTCGGTCAGGGGGATCCCCTCTCGTGCCCGGTTTGGAACATCACGTTCCAGCCCTTCCTCGACGCCCTCGTTCGGCGCGGGATCGCGCTCGACCTGCAGAAGGTGTGGCCAGGGGGGCCGCGTGCGCAGCTTACGCATCTGGCGTTTGCCGACGATGCTGTGGTGGTGGTGGAGTCACCGGCGGCATTGTCGAAGCTGCAAACGCTGTCGCAGACGTGGTACGAGGCTACCAACGGGAAGACCAACACGGACAAGACGCTGGTGCTACCACTCGGACCGAACTGGCTTCGGGACGAGACTGCGCAGGCGCTGCCAACGGTGCAGGAGGGGGAGAGCTTCAAGTGGTGCGGCTATGCCTTCTTTCGCCACGGTGACTCGAAACTGTTCTGGACCCATGTTCTTGACAGGATCAAGGCCAAGGCCCGCGCCGCTCGAGACCGGACACTTTCGCCGAGTGGGAAGGTTTTCTATGCCAACGCTCACATCATCTCGACGGTCCTCCACGTGCTGTCCTTCGACATACCGCCTCAATGGTTCATTAAGGCGGCGGAGACGGCACTTACGGACTTTGTCTGGGGAGGAGCAGGGCGAAATACCGTCGCTCGCGATTTCGTGTTCCAGGCTCGGGAGGACGGTGGCTTGGGTTTGATTTCGATTGGCGACATCGTTCATTCGGTGGCGCTTCGATTTTGGGATGCTGTGGCGGGCTCGGACGAGGCGATCTGGGCGCCCCTAGCTCGCGAGAGCTGGAGGTCCCTCGTCGCTGCGACCCGCGATTTCAGTCCGTGGGGGTTCTTCAGCAGCACGGCTCGGGTCGAGAAGCTGTATCGCGACTCGACGCGCTGGGGGGCAGTCGTTGCAGCGGCCAGGGTCACAGTTCCAACCATCAAGTCCGAACTCCTTACGCTTCCCGAATTGCTCTCGCTTCCGCCTCGCCTCCCTTCACTCTATGCTGAAGGTGCCCAGCACGCATATGACGATGCGGACGCGGTGGCGAAGTTTGCGCAGATCGCGGACCTGTACTGGAGGGACGAAGGGAAGGGATGGGCTCTGGTTGGTCATCGACGCGGGTTCTGGCAGCACTCTAAGGAACCCGCCCTACAGCACGAGCACGTGTGGTCGCGCGTGGGTCAGTTGCTCAAGGCGAAAGCGTTGCTGCCCAAGACCGCGTTGCGACCTGCTCGGATACCTCTCAAGGAGGCTCCCCGTCCTCGGTGCTTCAACTTCTTTGGGCTCTCCCGACCTTTTACGATTCGCAAGCTTCGTCGGCTTGTGAACAAGGTGCGGTTCCCAGGGAGGGAGGACCGTGTCAAGCGTTTCCCTGATGGGACTTCTCAGAGCGATAGGAAGCGCTTCTGGAGATGGCTTCATGACCGGTTCGCGTCTGCTGTCGAGCAGGACACCCACTGGCGGTTCATGTACGACGTGACGCCGACGCGCAAGAGGCAGTATACTCAGGGTCATGCCTCTTCGCCGACGTGTCTGTTCTGCGGCAACGATGCAGCGGTCATCGAGACGGTGTCCCACTACTTTTTCGAGTGCGCGTACTCGACCAGCTTCTGGGGTGGGGTGCTACGCATTCTGCTTGACAAGCTCGGCATCGAGGATACCGACGTCGATCCGTCGACGTTCACTCCGGAGCAGCTGACTATGGGGCTCCCCCTTTTGCGGGGTCGTGGGAGAACGACCTCGAAATGGATGTGGGTTCGGCTGGCCTGCGCGATCGGCTTCCAGCGGCTGCACCTGCTCCGCTGGCGCGTTCATCAGCGGTTCGAGCTGGACAACGTCGTGGCCCCTCCCTCGCTTCCCAGTGCGCTCAGAGCGTTCGAGCGAGATTTTCTCTCTCGAGCGGGTTTTGTGCCTGGGGTTCGAGATTGGGAGGTGTGATGACCGAGTTAAGTCCTTCCTTCCCATTTTCCTCCCCTCCTTTCCTCCCTTCCTTTTCGGTCAGAAGCTGACTGTCTTGAAACTTGTTGCGCAGTGGAAGGCTGCGCACCTCTCCCTCTCTCTACTTTGTGCAGTAGCGGTTTTCGTTCTTGGATGGATCGGCAAGCCGGGTCGATCGTCGTTGCGTTGGAGGCTTTGTGAAGTTCTCCCCTCTCTTTCCCCCCCTTTCTCCCTTCTCTTCCTCATCTCGTTCCTGTTGCTCGGTTGTTGACTACGCTTCAGCCACTTCTCCTTTTATTCCTAAGCCGTGTGTTGGATTCCGTCGAATAGATCGTTCGTTCGCGTTGGTCAAGATCCTACGGCATGGATCGGGAAGAAAGGTCGCTCGTTTTTTTGGTCAATATCCTCGCGTCAAGGCGAGGCTCGTTTCGTTGTATTGGATCGTTTTCGCTCGGCCCCGACGGCTCAACAGCCAGCACTCGAGACTCAGCCAAGGGAGGACATCAGGCGCTGTCGGGGTAACGAGTAGCTGGGGCTTGGCTGCGGCCTGTCAGTCCCTGGGGACCTCTAGCTCTGGCTTCGACCCCCTCCCTTGGCCCCTCGGGTGTGTTCCCCTCCTCCTCCCCTCCTCTCTGTCTTAGTATTCCTGGTTCTCCGTGTTTCCAGTCGTGAATTTTTGTATATTCTCCCCTTTTCTTTCTCTAGGCGCTCTTGCCTGGTTTTCGAGTATCTTCGCTCCCGCTCTTGGGACGTGAAGCGGCAGCAGTACTCACCGCCCGTTGGAGTCCGCGTTAGGTGCTCGGCGGGTTTTGATCTGCGCAGCGCTCTTTGCGCGCAGGGGTTTGACTTTCACCCAATTGCTTGCCGTCGTTGCTTTATAACCTCTTTTAGCTCTTTTTGTAGCGGTCCCAGCCAACCCGAAGGATTGCAATTTATGAGCCCCAGTAAAATTTAAAAAAAAAAAAAAAAAAAAATCACTTCACCTCACTTCACTTCACTTCACTTCACTTCACTTCACTTCACTTCACTTCACCTCACTACACTTCACTTCACTTCACTTCACTATCGCCCTACTGCAGCCTTCGATACTCGAGTTAACAAGTGATACACCGACAAGATGTCTACCGGAGACCCTGGGTCCCCACTGCCGGCACCGCCACCACCGGTATCCGCCACCAGCGTCCAGCCCCCCCGCGACCGGATCCCGATAAGCTCGAAGAAGACGCAAGTCACGGGCCCCGCCACCGCCGCACCCAACTATGCTGCCGCTGCGAGTCAGATGGCGGCTCAAACACCTGAACAACAGCAACAACAACAACAGCGTGCCAAGGCTCTGGGCAGCCTCCTACAAGCCATGGGTGCTGTACCCGGAAACCGCATGGATCGCTGGGTCCAGGCCATCTACTTCGCCGAACTCTACCCCGTCGCCACCGCCACATCGCTGAAATTTTCGGCCTTGAACGCGAACCGGTCCGTCGAGAACATCTTCGATTACGCCCTTGAAGTGACTCTGTCTCACCAGAGCGCCTCGCGAGCGACTCATGCCGACAAGATCGATCTCGTGGCCTGCGTCACGAGGCTGCTATCGCCCATCTCTCCTATCTGCTTTGAGCCTGGAGTTCCTCTGCCGGACCATCTTGCGGCTTATCAACCACAGATCTTAGGCGTACAACATTCATCAATCCTGCGTAATGGGGCGGCTCACCATCGCGTTACGGTTGGGTTCGTCACCGGCGAGGCACGTGACGCGGCGCTCACGACGCCCCCCGCTCTCACTTGGCGATCGGCGAAGGCCCGCTTCGCGAAGTCTCACAGGTTCCACCATAACATGGTCGAGCTTCGAATCAACGTCGGTGTTCAAGGAGTGCCCTCCATGGATGCCATCATCAAATCGTTCCAATCACTTGTGCAAGACCTGTCAGGCAAGGGACATTCATGCCAACTTGTGCAGGTTCTGCGCGTTATCAGCGTGGACAACGCCTCGGCCTTCGCCCACGTTGCCGGAGACTACTCGGCTTTCCTACACTTCGATGACGACTCCCTATTCCAACGCCCCAACACGACCTTGAAGGAGATTCTACCTTCGAGGATCGACCTTCCCACTCGAGGCATCCCGGTTACCGCCCTTCGCCATGACTATGAGAAGGAGGCGGCTTGCGGTAGGTGCCACTTTGTGGGTCACGTGGGAACCTGCGGACTGGATCAGGAGAGGAAGCGGAAGGAGGCTCACAACGGCATCATCAACAGCAACAAAAACACCATCACCCACAACACCAACATCGCGGAGGCCGAGGCCCCCATTCCTGTGCTGGTTGTTAACAGGATCGCATCACAGAATCACTTCGCCGGGCTCGAGGTCGAGGAGGGACAGGAGGAAGAGGTAACTGGCCAGGGCGAACAGGGACCGGAGGAATCGGGGGAGGAAGACGCTGGTGATAAGGCGGATGACGAGGACTCGGAGGACTCGGAGATGGAATCGGAGGCGGCCGCGAAAACGGAGGTCATCAAAATTGAAAGCGAGGACGAGTCGGTCTTGGAGGACTGCAGCGGATCCGATGGAGAGGTGATTGATGAGAATGAGGTGATGGCGGATGAAAGAGGTGAAACGGAAGGAGAGGTGGCTACGGAGATGGAGGAAGAGGAGGTGGCGACGGAGGTGGGCGATGTGGACGAAGCGAGGGGATCGACGAAAGCGGAGAATGCGGAAGCGACGGACTTAGGGGAAACGAACAGGCTGGACAATGACGACGACAGCGACGCCACAGCAACCGCCGCCACCGCTTCCCGCGAATCGACGCCGCATGAACCAACCCCACCTCTGTCACCCGAAACTCTCGCCAAGTCGCTACGCGAGGGGGAGGAGTGGGACAGGATCAGAGCTAACTGGGTTGAGCAGGCACGACTTGAGCGGGACCAAAGCATCGAGAGGAGGCTCAACGCTGAAACCCCCCCTCTGGTGCGTCACAACTTTGCCACGTGGGACGAGGACGGTGAGATACGCTCCATCAACATCAGGGGGACCGCTGCGAAGTTCAAGAAGCAGGTGATGAAGAGGTCGCAGACTGCGGCGGACCTCAGTGACCCAAGTGACGAACCGACCGACGCCAAGCGAGTCATCATCAAAGGGAAGAGCCGCGTCGTGGTGAAGGATGGAATAGAGGGGCGGAGGGTGACGAGGTCGATGTCGGCGGCAGCGGCGATGCAGGTCGAGGTGACGAAGGTGGACAGAGGGAAAGGAAGAGGGGTAGCTGAGGAAAAACGATGGTCCGACCACGAGCCCGAGGACGATGTCCTGCCCGCCCTTCCCCTCTTTGAGGACGTCACCACCGCCAAGAGCGCCTCGACCTCGACTACCCATTAATGATCAAGCACACCATCATCACCTGGAACGTAAGAAGGGGCATGGGGGTCCCGGAAAAACGACGTAATATCTACACCTACCTTTCCACATTCAAAGCTTCCGCGATTCTCTTACAAGAGCATTTCATCAGACCACAATTCTGGCAGCTCATCAAGGACGAGTACGAGGGCAAGCTCTTCATCAACCAGCACTGCCTGACCCTGATCCCGGCCGACTCGCCCCTGATCGACGCCGAGCTCTTGCGCACCCACTCGGCACTCGACGGCCGGCTCCTCGTCACCTCCTTTCGTCTGCGGGGCGACATCAAAATTCTAGAAATCAATAACCTCTACGCGCCCGTTGACCCAAAACAACGAGCAAAATTCTTCGACAAACTGATCCTCCACAAAACACAGAAATCCCACCTCCGACTCCTTGGCGGCGATCTCAACGACTGCCCGCGCCCAGAAGTCGATCGGCGGAACCAAAGTCGGCGCGGCCACCACTGGCCGATTCTGATGGGCAAGCTCGACTCGGCCTACACGGACTGCATCCGCTACAAGCACCCCATCACCCCATCTTTCACTCGACCTAATCCCAATCGCAAGCGACCCAACTCCTTCTCCCGGCTTGACTACTTTCTCCTACAAAGAGCTCACCAAAAAAGGCTCGACCAGGCCTCGACGATCTACGACTATCCCAAGGATCTTTCCGATCACCGACCGGTCTTGATCGTACTAGCTCTCTCAGACGATCTTGATGCGGCTCTCCCACAGCTCAGCCTACCTACCACATCCGACCAACTACATCGAATCAATACCACAACCTTCAAGACGGTGGAATTTCAGCGGATGATGGAAGGATGGTTGGAAGGGGCAAGCGGGGAGGATCCGGTGCGAGAGCTTGAGGAGGTTCTGGAGGCGTGCAGGGACAGGGGTGGGGAGATGGCGAGGAGGCTGCATCGGGAGCGGACGGAACGGATGGAGTATTTGGTGGGGAGGGTGCAGGATCTGGAGGCGTTACCGGTATGGGGGGAGGCGGAAACGGCAGAATGGACAAGGACGTCCGAGGAACTCAAGCGGGCGGTCGAGGAGCGCGCGCGCCTACTCCGGATCCGAGCCCACGTCCCCGAGATCGCTTCCGAGGAACGACTGTCGCGGCCGGTCCACGCCAAGCTCGCGGCGCGGAACTCGGACTCCAAGATCACAGCACTGCGCTTGGGCAACGGAGAGCTAACGCATGACATTGATGTCGCTCTTGACCACACGCAGGCGCATTTCCAGCGCCTCTACCACATCGAGCCTCGTGACCCGGAACGCGTCGACCGACTTCGGGACGAACTCCTCGTGCCGATCAGGGCGGCACGGACTTGCGACGACCCGCGCTCAGACCCGCTCTTTCTGCGCCGACTCTCGGAAGCGCAGATTGATCTCCTCCAGCAACCCATCACCGAGGACGAGGTCGTGGCCGCGATCGGGACGACGCACCCGGGGCGATCGCCGGGCCCGTCGGGCGTGCCTTACGAACTCTATCAGACCGCACCGGAGGCGTGGTCCAAGGTGCTGACCAAGGCCTACAACGCGATGATCGAGCGCGGTTCACTCTCTCCCAAGCAGGGCCAGGGACTCGTGCGCCTCATCTTCAAGCGCCACAAGAAGAATGCCGATCGCGCCGAACTCTCGTCGTATCGCCCCATCACCCTGCGCGAGTGCGATTACAAGATTTTTACCAAGGTCTACGTCGCCCGATTGAACCAAATTCTGCCCGATCTCCTCCCGCCGCAGCAGCACGGCTTCGTCAAGGACCGCCGATCGGCCGACGCTGCACTACACCTTCGTCTCCTGATCGAGGAACTTGGCGCGCGCAGGACCGAGTTCCCCGCGGCCGCGCTCTTGTCTCTTGACCAATCATCCGCCTACGACCTCGTCGAGCATGACTGGATCTTTGCCATTTTCGACGCTCTGGGCGTTCCTACCACCTTTCTTCGCGTGCTGAGGATGCTCTACTCGGGTGACTCGACCTCGGCGCGCTACATCATCAATGGGTTCCTGACGGCGCCGGTGCGACTGACGTGTGGGCTCGGCCAAGGGGACCCGGCGTCATCGTCGGTCTGGGACATCGTGTTTCAGCCGTTCCTGGATGCTCTACACCGTCGAAACATCGCGCTGAATCTCTCCATACCTGCACTTCATCCGTACCCACAGAGCCGCGCCATTACATCACTTGCATTTGCCGATGACGTTGTCGTCGCCGTCGCGGGCTTGGAGTCACTCAACTTGCTCGATGACCTGGCGCTCGACTGGAGGCATGCAACGAATGGCCGGCTCAACACGGACAAGACGGTCGTCCTACCGATTGGACGTCGCTGGGACCCTGGGGAACGGCCAATCGTCGTCAAGGCCGCAGGCGAGTCGCTCGAGTGGATCGGCCTCCCCTTCGACCCCAGCGGCGACACCGAACTCGCCTACGCGAATCTCATCGAACGGCTCGAGGCGACGCTGGAAGCGGTTCAGCATCGCTGGCTCACGCACCACACCCGTGCCTTTTACGTCAATCGGTACGCCATTCCCAAGATCCTGCATTTCCTTGCAGCCGACATCCCGCCGCCCGAAGTCGTCAAGAAGCTCGATGACATGCTCGTCGATTTCGTCCGTGGGGGCAAGGGCAGGACCAGCTACGGCAGAGACATTGTGTTCACCGCCAAGAACAAGGGGGGACTCGGGGTGATAAGGATGCGGGACGTTGTGGACGCGGTTGCGGCACGGCTCTGGGACGTTCTTCTCGGCGGTTCCGGCGCGATCTGGGAAGGACTTGCGCGCGCGGCACTCCAGCGAGCTCAGCCCGACCTCGACCTGGCCACCGATCTCTGGCCACATCCATCCACTCCCTTCCCCAGCGACCTCCATCCCCGATGGCGAGCAGCACTGGAGGTTTCGAAACATCACGACGCACAGGTCAACCCGAGGACCTTGACCACCGCGAACCTGCTCGCGCTTCCCACCTTGCTCGGCAGCCTTCACACCCCCATCAGAGGGAGACAGACCATCGACGCGGTTCATGTACCTGACTACCTTCGTCTCCAGGGCTACCCGAAGGTGGCGGATCTCTATCGGCGCGAGTTGTATGCGGATGGGGGGCTTCACCTTTGGACGCCGCCGGCGGATGTGCTCGGCGACAACAGTGAGTACGATCGACGCGGGCTCCCGCAGCGACTGGCAATCGCGGCCTGGTACCGGTTCACTGTCGATCGACACAAAAACACATCCTTGGCGGCGGCGGTGGCGGCGGGACGGCTCAACGTGCCTCCCCGGATCGGCACCAGCGCACCGCTCGAGGCGATCCTCCCCAAGCCCGTGGCCCGCTTCGCAATGGAACAGCGCCTTCCGGACCCGGTGCTTCCACAGCAGGCGAGCCAGTACAAGCTGCTGAACATGGCTCGACCGTACACCATCCGTCGCATCCGCCGGGTCCTGAACGCGAAGGCCTTTACCAACACGCTCGGGCTCAAGGGACCACCGCAGCCGGACGATCTCAGGAGCTTCTGGAAGGCGGTCAACTCGAAGGCACTGACGGCGAGGGAGAGGGAAGTATGGTTCAAGCTGATTCTTCGCTTCACCCCGACGCGCAAGCTGCAACACCAACAAAACCACGACACTTCTCCCGCGTGCCTCGTCTGCGAAGCGCCGGTGGACGACACCGACCACTACTTTTTCGGCTGCGTTGACTCGCGGAACGTCTGGATCGCGGCAAGGGGCGTGCTCTGCGACGCACTCGGGTGCGACACGATCGAGGACGCCCAGTACACGACACTGCAACGGCTCTTTGGCCTCCCCAAGCTCAAGGCCAAGCTCAGCGAACAGGAAGGGGCGGGCAGGACGGTCGAGATCTTCATGGGGATGGTTTTGGAGATGATCAGCAGTGAGAGATGGAGGATGCAGAAGCACGGGACGAGGATGGAAAGCCTGGAAAGGAGGCGGGTGGTACTGGAGGAGAGGATGAAGTTGAGGGCGGGAGGAGCAAGAGGCAGGCGAGGGCAGTAGAGGCTGGGTTCGATTTCCCCCCCACCCCACCCCACACACACACGCCATCACACTTCATCTTCCAACAAAACACTGTGTACTAAATATCTTGCCTTCTTTTTTTTTTCATCTATCACAGGTCTGCTTCTGTTGCTCATGGACCGGCTCGCGATTTGGGATCGACTCGACGGTGACTCGCGCACTCGTTGGCTTCGGGGTTCTGAGTCAAGGGAGGGATCAGCAGACACAGGCAGAAAGTCGGCTTTGAGGGGCCAGGGACTGCTGAGGTGGAGGTTTTGAGGGGCCTCCACCGCGTCTTGCTGTGACCGAGCATAGACTTGGGACTTCGTGGGTCAGGGTAGTTGCGCAGTCGCTCTCCTGTCTTTGTCTCGACCGAGTTGGGAAGTGGGTGCGGGGTGGGCCTCTTGTCGTTAGTAAATCGTTTTATTACTCTTTTTCTTTCTCTCTTCTCTCCTCTCTCTCATTCGTCTCCTGGGGGGAAGCAACCGCTTGGCTGGGGCACTTGAATCCCAAGTATCGGATTGGTGGACACCGGCCCTTTTCTCGCATCTTGCGGGCGGTTTGTGTTATCATCGTCGACTTCCATCGAGTTTTTCCGTAGGCCAAATAGGGGGAACATGAACTGGGGGCAATATGATGAACAAGTTCTACAAAAAAAAAAAAAAAAAAAAAAAAAAAAAACTCCTTTAGTTCCGTAGGGGGTTTTCTTGTCTTGCAAATTAGCGATGAGTTTCATACCAAAAAAAAAATCAAAAAATCATCGCGCATACTGGGCAGCATCTCCTTTAGTTCCGTAGGAGGTTTTCGTCTTGCAAATTAGCGATGAGTTTCATACAAAAAAAAAAAAAAAAAAAAAAAAAAAACTACTACAAAACAACAAAAAAAACTTCCTTTCATTCGTCTCTGGGAGGGAGCAACCGTGGGTGGGTGGGACTTGAACTCGGATGTATCGGGTTGGTCTGTTCTGCTAGTTACAACGCATGACTTGATCTCCTCCCAACCCGCATCCTCGGCGATCTCCACTCCGACCTGAATACCAAGGTAGCGAAACTGGGAGATGCTGAGACGCCAGGTCCCGAGGCCTAGGCCTATCGGCCGGTCCCTAAACGATCCAAGGGGGTAGAGGAACGATTTAGCGTTGCTGAGCTTGCTGGCACTTGCCCGTTCGTACAACTCGAACGCCCGATTGAGATGCGCAAGGTCCGAGAGGTTATGGAGCGCACAGCAAGCGTCGTCGGCCAAGAGGAGTCTTGAATCGTTCGTAGGCCCGGGCTCACGATGCCCATGACCTTCAGTCGATCTGATAGGCAAAATCCTCGATCGCCAACACGAAGAGAGACGGAGCCAGAGGATCGCCTTGCCGAACACCCGATAGGACGTCGAAAGCGGCCGAGAGCCAACCCTCGAGGAAGATCGAGGCAGATTAGTTGGTGTACGTCGCTCGGGACCATCGGCGGGCTTTGGGACCGAGGCCAACGGCGCAGAGGACTACATCAAGGTACGTGTGGGGAAGACGATCGCAAGCCTTCTCGAAGTCCATCACCGCTAGCAGACCGGATACGAGCGCTAAGCCCGGGAGTCCGGGATCCAAAGAGACACTGGACGGTTCGGCACAAAGCCACGCTGGGTCGGGCCGATTAGGGACTCGAGCAAGGGAGCGAGGCGCTGGTTGTGGGCTTGGGAGATGATGCGCTCGTCCGCATGACGAGCGATATTGGACGTTTGTTCGACAGCTGATCCTCTCGCCACATTTGTGGATGAGGTGGATGTGGGCGGTGCTCAAGTTCAAGCGGGCAGACGGGCCAAGCCGAGGGCCCCCGGTGGCCCAATGGGATCGAGTTGATGACGTCTCGAAGGATCGAGCCAGTGGCCGTCCGCGTCGCGCGGTAGAACTCAACCTTAAGCCTAAACAAGCCTAAACCGCCACTAAATCGACAAGCAGATTTCGCGCGCGTGAAGAAATGAAAGCGACCCTGCGCGGCTGACTCGGGCTGACTCGTTGTCGGCGTCCGCTCGCCGCTCGGTGTGCCCTCGGTACGTTGACCGTCGTTCTGCTTGGCTCTCTTTCGATCTGACGACAGATACTGATAGCTATGGCACACACCCTGCTGGTGTATCACACCCTTAATCCTGTTACCGCTTCACCGTCTTGAGCAGCTCGTCGTCATCGCACTGCGCCAGCCGCTGGCATTGCCACCTCACCTCGCACTAACCAACGCTCTTCTTTCGCCATGTTCTTGGAGGCTTGGCTTCCCCCCACTGCCCCGACTACTATCGAGGAATGTTTCATCAGTGTTCGGGAGGATGGCACTGTGCGTTTCGACAGTGAGTCGACTGAACTCTTCTCGCGGCGCCGGTTTGACAACCCTAGTAGCTCCAGCTGCTCGAGACAAGCCTGGAATGAGTACACGAATCGTAGCTGGCGTGAACTAGACTGACCCTCGTTGAGCGCTTTACAGCTGCCAAAGCGATCAAGTTCTCCGTGTTCGTGTCGACGATCGTTTTCCTCCTAACGATGCAGTTTTTTATTGAAACGTTCCGCTTCATCTCCGGTTTAATCTTGTCGGTCGTCGGTCTCGTCGCCTTTCTGTACATCCCGCTGCCACCGGATTGCCGCGACGACCCCCTTTGGATATAGTAAGTGCGCTTAATCTGATATGTCTCGTCCGAATGATGTCGACTGATAGATCTTCAAGATTTAGTCGACTGTTACAGGCTGCATATCTACCAACCGCCGGATATCTCGCCGGTTTTGGCGAGGCTCTTCTAATCTGGTTCCGTAAATCGACGTTCGATCGCGCAGCGGCCCGCGCTGGAGTCGCAGCCGCCGACCTCGACAAGCTCGAAATCATGTTCATTCTCTTTACCGCCTTTGGCAACTTGATGATCGGAACTGGCGCGCTGTTCGTTGCCACATACGCGGTCTACCTACTCGTCACGAGATATACCTCGATACGTGACCGTCTCCGAGTCCGAGTCGTGGACGAGGAGTCGCAGCTTCTCATCACCAACGACGCTGCCGACAAAACCCCCGACGCCTTGAACTCGGCTATTGACGACGACGACCATTCTGACGCCAACGCGGCCATGAACGACCACCACAATCTCCACGCCTCAACTGACCACACTCCTCACGCCGGCAATTTTGAGCGTCCTGCCAGTGGGTGCCTGGATTTCACAGCTGCAGCATCGCTGGGCGGCCATGGGTTAGAAGGCTGTGACAAGCGAGCCTAACATCGCCGAGGTGATCGCGGAGACTAAGCATTTCAAGGTCCTGTCTACAACGACTATAGCTATAGACAGTTTAAAACCATATGTGCATTTTTCAAGTGATGTGCCCTTCTTTCTGGTCTCTGACGTGGCTTGCCCAACTTGCAAACTTGGGTAGATCAATGCCTCCCTCCGTCGTTCTATTTTTCCCGTGCTATGAACTACATCATTACGATAGCCAACCTTGCCCACGCTAACTCTTCCGGGCCAAGTAGCCCATCACGAGCCATCACGCGTCTGTAGCTTCGACTTCACGTTCACGCGCGCCGACGCTCCTTTCCCTCTCCTCACCCACTTCTCACTCCCACCACTTGCACCACTCGGCCCGACTCGACTCGACCACGGTGCGACGTCGCACGGCAGAACTACCAACAACTCCAGCATCATCCTCTTTGGCACGATACCTCGGCCAACTTGATCTGAGAGGGCATGGGCTCTTTCAGCAGCGTCCAAGCATACGTTGATGCCTCCCTCGCTCGAGCGTTCTCGCTCGGACACGTGCTCGGTCAGCGCATCTCCTCGATCACCCCGATCGCCCACTAGCTACTCGACCAATGAGTGTGGTGAGTACTTCACTCAGATAAGATTCAGCCGGAACTGCAGTGGCTCACCTTATGTTTATCTTTGCTGCTCATCACTCTAGTTCAGATCGCGCGTTGGCCGACTTGCTGGCATCCCAACTTCGCACCACACTCCTCTGTGACTTGTACGACCATACTCTGCGCATCCCTCATCAGCACCATCGACAAGACGTTCAACCTTCCTGAGGTCTCGAATCGATCCACGCATCACTCGATCCTCGTCGGTCCACCCCGAACACCACTGTCGACCTGTGAGGATCACCTCCGCCACCCCCACATCCGTTTACCCGCGTTGTCAACGGCGACCGATCATTCGAATGCAATCACTTGTTGTCACATCTCTTTCTTGATCGAATCGACGGGCTTCATCGACGCGGCAAACTCGGAGTCTGTTGGAAATATGTTGCTCGATCGGCGAACGTTTGATCGACACCCATTCGCACTTTGCGATCCACCGGTCGACCGACCGAACCGACACACCTCTGCAGCTCGGTCTCCCTTTGTTCGTCGCCATCCCGTTACCACGACGTGCAAAGTCACAATCCGCTCGCCCCTCGTAATGGCCGCCTTGACCGCCTCGACCGTCGACCTTCCACCGCACTCGTGCTCGATTGCCTTGGACTCACTGTCATCATCCGACCTACTCACCATGAATACCAACCCCACTATCGACTCATTCTCGACCCATCTGCCAAGGTTTCCTATCGACACGCTTCACCTCGCCTCGTCTTGATCTGTGTCGGCGCACCCAGCTCGACACTTGCCCGTGATCTTCGCATCCACACCGGCGTATCAGCTCGATCAGCCAGGTCCCCAGTCCGGTATGCTGTCATCTCCAACCCGGGTCTCCATGCGGTCAAGTCCCGTCGGTACTGAACTTTCTTCATTCAAACCCTCATCTGTGTTCCACAGCATTAACCGACATCCTTGGCGCGCTAGGTCCGACTCGATCCTCAGCTTCGCACCGACTTGCTCACACATCGGCCACACCCCATGCCACAAGCTTGTGGTTCGAATACTACAATCGCCAATACGACTTCTCTCGACCCGAGTTTTGTTATTTTCTTGAGATCAGCTTGACTCTACCGCGCTCATCTCGGTTGGCTCGGCACTCGACAGCTTCGTCTTGATTCGACCCGTTCGGCACGAGGACGATCACCAATCAGCTGGACCCATCCGTCTTCCAGAAAACCCGACAATGCGTAATGGACGGTCAATAACCGAATAACTCAAATGTGTCCGGCTCGATGTGCCCAGCTTTGCCGAATCACCACTGCAACTCCTCCGGTCAACTCGAGCTTCGACTCGACGATACTTTGAACCTGGACGACGCTCCCTCTCTGACGCCATCTTTGAACCACCCCACACGCCAGTCGATGCTTTAAAATATTCGATTCGACGGTGACCGTGTTGCGCTGACGGCTGACATGATTGATATGGAAATTGTGATAGTGGTGTCCGTCGGACGGTGTTGGAAGATGATGAAGGAGCGGATGGGTACATGGAAAGGACGGCTTGTGATGTAATGCACGTGAACCCCAACATGCATCGTCACATCATCGGGTGAACCCCAACGCACATTGTCGCTATGATCATGTGAACCCCAACTTCCATCCTCGCTGACCGTCACCGTCTCCGTGCGAGCGCTCGAACATGCTCGAACATGTGACTGTGTGCGCGGTTCATTGCTCCGCCAGCCCGAACACCGCTCCGATGATAAATGTATGGTGTGTCGTGATGAATCGCATTCGATCACTTTCCATTTTGGAGATCGCGAGCGCTCTCAGTGGCCGAAGGCAGCGGGGGCCGCCGCCCTCAAATACCAGAGGGCGCTCGGCCAAGCATCTTTGCAAGGATCGCGCTCGACAGCGCGCGCAAAGCTGGCGGGCAGCTGGGGGGGGGGGGGGATTTGGTATTTGGTATTTCAAAAGCGCCGATATAAACAAGACGAAAAACACTACTGAAGCTTTGGTGCTCTTGTCTGGTCAATGGAGGCTTGCTTTCGTTATCGCCGGGCCGCCGTAATCCCACCGAAGCTCGCCCCACTCCTGTCGTCGATTGTATCGAGTTCGGCAGGATGATGTCGATTGGTCTGCACATGCAGAATCTAGGAGTTTGATCATAACGCGCAGTACGAATCTAGTATTAGAGTCACATTCGACCATAAAAATTGCAAAGCAGGAACGCAGATGTCGAGCACGGTTCTACTCGCAAACGGCCTTGAGACCCGCCTGGACGTGTTCATACGACATCTGACCGGAGTTCCAACGCCACGCAAGTTCTGGCTCTGCCTTGATGCGTTTCAGCCTTGCGAAAGACCAATCCAGCGAGCAATTTTGCTGCAGGACACTCAGAACCTTCTCCATGCCAGACCAACGAGGTGCGCATGCGTCCAGAAGCTCATCAACACCGTCCTCCGCCAGCAGCCCATTCTTCCTGGCTGCTGCATCGTCGAGATCCCCGGCATTCCACACGTTCCAGATACGCTCGGCTTTCGGCTTTTCGAAAAGGGGCGGGCCGGCAGACTCAGATTGAAAAGCCGTGCGGGACGCCACATAAAAAAAGGATTCGATGTCGTGCCAGCGCTCGTGCACCACACCCTCAGTTGCGGGGCTGAGCAAGAGTCGAGAGATATAGGGTCGCGTGCCCTGTGGTTGATCATGGTACAGGGGAAGGGTGAGAAGGAGTTGGGTGAGTCCAAGAACGTGTTGAGGGCTAGCACGGACGCGAGAACGTACCGAGCGGCTGAGGCGACACTCTTCTTCCGCCGTTCGAGCCTTCTTCACCGCCAGATTGTAGTCGATCAATATTCCTTTGCCGTCTTGGTCCACCATTACGTTGCCATAGGACACGTCCCGGTGGATGAAGCCGTGATTCCAAAGCTGGCGATGCCCTGTCACGCAAGGCAAAGGGTCGTCAGTGTTGGCACACCCTTCAGCGCGCTGTCCCGCTCTGCTGAGCACTCACCCTCAATCGCACCCTCGAGAGCGCGCGCGAGCTGCTTGGTGTTTTCGAGCGTGGCGAGTGGGTTGTAGCACTCTTCGTGAACGACGACCTCCCTGGCCCGCGGGGTGAGACCTTTCAGGGATTCGTCGCCGGGTAGGAGGAACATGGGGAGGGTCCTGTATTCGGTGCGAAAGACGCCGACCAGCGGAGCGAGCCCTCGAGGTCTCTTTTCTTGGATCACGTTGCGTATTTCGACCAAGTCCGAGTTGCGCGACTCCTCGACCCAGATGATCGTCATTGCGCAGATCCTGACGTTGGCGCCCTCGCCAGCGGTGATTCTGTATGTCGATGTCGCGCGACCGCACTCTCTTTGTCGACGGAACAAAAGCTCTGTTTTTGGTGCATCTGGACCGCCTGGAAGATTATTTCGGCTCTGGCTGTTGCTCGCTCTGCCGAGGCCGCCTCCCGGCGCGGTCGTAATGGGGTCGAGTGGCTCGACGAGTGCGATACCGAGGTAGAGGGCCCGACGCCAAGTTTTCGGTCGCGTTCCTGGGCGCACTTGCGCTTGCGGTCGCTGTAGTCGCTGTCGTGGCCAGCAGGGAAGCGCGTCCCTCGCGGCGCCTGGTCGCACGTGTCAGACGTCGAAGGCAGCTGGAGGTCGGCGGATGTAGAAGCTGCGTCAAAACTACCAGCGCTCTAGCTCGACACCGTGACCGAGTTCGATGCCATTGAGGTCGAGGTCGAGGTTGAAGACGAGGGGGAGCTAGAACTTTAGCGTGCGAGTCGGCGCCGTGTTGGACGAACTTCGCGTCAGACGCGCGAGGACCCATGAAAGCCCAGCCCCAACGCCGCGCCCCCCGGCCCAAGCGGAATCGATACGCGTCAACGGCAGAGACGGCGCGCCAGGCCCGTCGGTTGGCACGTCTGCTCTTGCGACCCCCGCCCAAGCCGCCACGACCCAACTGCCCAGCTCGTCGCGCTGGCCAGTCAACTTTAACGCCACTCGACCGGGACGAACCGGTCGTGCACGTGAGGCCGTAGGCCTACCAGGCATGTCGGACCTCAGCGTTGCCCCGACACAATCGAGCCCGATGAAGTCGAGCCCCTCAGTGTCGATGACGGCCACGGCGGAAGCGAGGGAGCACCAGCTCTTCGCCCATATGGGCAAACCTCGACAGTCAAAGGCGATGGACACATATTTTTTTGACACGCCTTCCACCTACGAAGCCAAGATCCCCAAACCGACGGAGAAACTGGGGACGGAGGCTGCAATGAAACAGATGGCTGACGCGATCAAGGATGTGGTGAGTGCCCCGGTGCTATCGCTTGGCTTCGACCGCACGAGTATGACTGACCACTGTCTCCCGATCATTGATGCACCCGGGTGTAGACTGGTGATCGACGTCTGGTCGGATGCGGCAACTCGGGTAGCCCCATCAAGCTGGCGCCCGATCGCGGGGAGCAGGAGAACACGCCCGACGCCGTCATCCTCACGCATGCGGCGGTGGCCGCTGCCCCCGATCTTCCGTTCGTTTGGGCGCAGTCAGAGCACCCAACGTCGATGGAAGGCACGCCCTCGTCGCCTCAACGCGCATACTCGCAGATTGCAGTGGCGATTGAGGTGAAGAAGAGCGACAAGAGGAGCGCAGAAGCGCGTAACCAAGTGATCAGGCGGCTACACATGATCTGCACGACCGCGCTCCGCGCCCACGCGATCGGGGTCACCCTTTGCGGGGACGTGCTTCAAGTCTACCTCGTCAACGCGTGTGGGGTGTTCACGACGAGCGCCCGCGAGTGCGGTCAGGGAGCCGTGCTGCTCCGGCGCGTGCTGTCACACCTCATCGAACTCGACGACAACGAGCTCGGGATGCTGGCCTCGACGAACGAGGTCGACGACGGTTTCGGCAGTTTTGTCGTCTCGGACAAGTTTCTCCCACCCCGCGCCCACGACTTCGAGTCCGAGCTCGGCGATATCTCAGATCTCGAGATCCAGGAGCTCCTCTTCCGACGCCGAAGCTGCCTGGGTCGCGCCACCTCCGCTTTCCGCGTCACCGCGCGACACGCGCCTGTCGACCGCACGTCGATCACCTTGCCTACACCTGCCACCGAGTACGCCATGACAGTCGCATGGGTTGAGCAATCCCGCCTCGACGATGCGATTGCCCTACGTCGCAACATGCACGCTGCGTCGCGTATCGACACCGAGGGTTTAAGCCTTAGCGCCGGCATCTACCGTGACGACTTCCGCACGCTTCCGACCTTCTTCGGCGACGATGAAAGTTTCGATGGTATCGGGTCCCGGGCACTGGAGGTGGTCTTCCACCGACAGTGTTATCGGCCCCTGAACACGGCGACCACGACCAGGGAACTCGCCCAGGCCGTACTTGGAGTCGTCAAAGGTGAGCACAGGGATCAACTGGGCGGCGTTGCGTTTGCGCTCCCTAGCCGACACGCCCCTTCCCACGACATTGCAGGACACCGAAACCTCTACAGGCTGGGGTACATCCACCGGGATATCTCGTACGGTAACGCCGTCATCGACCGCGACGGTGTCGGCGCCCTCATCGATTATCACCTCGCCGTCCCGCATGATCGACTTTGCACCGAGCTGCACCACAGAATACGATCCGTGCGTCCTCCCCTCTGTATGTTCCCCCAAATGAACTTTCTGACCAGCACTAACCTTTGGACTATACGACGTCTTACAGGGCACCTGGCCCTACCTCGCCCGCTCGATCCTCGCCCAGCCACAACAGCCGCTCGGTGTCGTCCACGAACGGTGGCACGACATCGAGTCGCTTTTCTACGTCGTGATGGAAGTTTCGTTCCGCGAGCCTTACCAGGGCAACAATGAAGAGCTTGTCATGACGCCAAAGGGTGAAACCATCTGGCGGGACTGGAATCGGCCAGAAGCGCACCTAGTCTATGGTATCAAACTCCTTCTTCGCATGGACGAACCTTACGAATCTGTACTCGAAGGCTGCGCACATCGATGGACGAACATCAAGCAACTGGTCGATATCTTGCGACACCATTGTGGTCTTGATAACCAGTTCAATAATTTCAAGTTGGCTGCGGAAGAGGCCAAGCTGGGGGAGTTGTGGGGTCCGTCCGGGACGATGTCCCACGAAGCTATCATCTCGGAGATTGAGCGACTAATTCCCTTGCTCTGACTGCCCCACCGTATGCGATGGGCTTGTTGATTGTTGTTCGTTGCTAGTTCTGAGCATTGCAATAGATAGCCCAAGTCATTCTCCACCCATTCCAGTACAATTGCAGGATAAACGAATGACTGCGCCAGCTGTGCTTTCATTCGGTCCGACTGCCCAGACGGGAATAGACCTTCTGACAGCGCAGGTTTCGACAAAGCTGTTCGTGCCTAAGTCGTAAGTTGGGATGGCCTGACATCATTCAAGCTTCGTTCATAATTTTCTTCTTTTGAAAATCAAGGTTATTGTCATACCATGTGGCAAAACGCGTAGCCTTGAGCCAACCAAATGAAAACCAAAGCCCCGCCTCAGAATCCTGTCTCTGATCTCACTGACCCTGCAGAGGGCCGAGCCAACCTAGTAGGTCAAGTGTGAGGACGGTCACGTTCAAGATACGCAGCGCTCGAACGAGACCCCATCATCACCAACTATTCATGCTTATGCTCTTTCGCAACATGACCGACTCCCAAAGTCTGTTGATGTCTAGATGCGCCGAGAACTCGGTCACCTCGGGCAGACAAAAGAAGGGACGATCTTAATCGCGCCGCGCAGCGGCGAAAAAAGCCGATCGGATCGGCATCCTGGGCCGGGAGCAAGTTTGGCCCACTCCATGGACTCAAGTCTCTCCAAGTCCGTCAGATCAACTACACTGACCCGAGTGTGGTAGTGACATCAGCTTCGGCAGTCTGGATGACACTGTCAATTCTCCAATTTACGACACTAAGCAACGAAAATGTTCATGTTCTTTCATTGGCTAGCCTACGGCACAAGCTTGGCACACTGACGCGCTGATCATGAGCCTGTGAATCCGAAGCACGTGACTTGCGATGGACACACGCGACCCCGAACTTCGAAGACCGCCAGCTCTGCACGTCTGCCCGGTGCCTATACTGCGTCGTGATACAACTTGCCAAAACCTGTCCACCCATCGTGCATCTCAACGTGTCCTCGCTCGTCTCCGCTTGTCCTGAGTTGCGCCACAGCTCACAGCCTCACACTTGCAGTCGCCTCGTTACCCGAAGGACTGGTCACTGGGGTCGTCTGTAGACTCGGCCCTGCTCAACTCCACCTTGCCCGAATCGCGCCGAGAGACTCACCTCGCCTACGATGATGTGAATTTGGAGCATATGTGCAATTCGGTGGTGAATGTACAAATCTCGGCCCAAGAGAAGGAGAGCGATTCGATCTAAACGGGGCGAGCTCACTGTCACTCGCGACACACCCAACTTCGCGGCAACGACTCAAGCATGCTTGGTCCTTGGCGCATCGACTTTAAACAGAACCGACGTTCTCAACCTCCGAAATATTTTGGAGAAGAATAGAAACATCATGTGGATGCTATGATCCTCGCGCGCAGGAAGGAAGGGACTCCAAGTCGATCCGGTGAAGCTCGCCCTCCTCGCGCCGCAGCCTTCGCCGCAACCGTCACTGACCGAGTGAGGCTCGAGCTGCAGGGTGAGGAGTGAGATGATCACTCGTTTTGATACGATCATAGACCGTACATACTGCCTCGATTTGATTACTCGCCAAGTATGGGACATTTCGCTGCCGTGCGGCCAGGGCCAGCCGGCCCCACATCTCAATCAGGCCACTGGCCAGCCCGATCGTGCTCGGGGTCTCTTGGGCTATGCCCTGGCGGTAATTGAAAGACAGGGGATGTGCTTTGCTCCTTGCGGCCGCAGTTGTAACAGTCAAATTCGAGTCATCACGTGCCTGCATCGAGTTCCCTTGACATGCTCTGCCAAGTGCGCGATGAATAAAGCCCAGCCTGCCTCCGACAACAAACAGCCCAATGATGACATGCTGACATCAGCGGATATATAATTTCTCCATTTGACGGAACTCGGTCTAAGCTGCAAGTATAGTGATGCTGTCTTGAACAGTGTTGAGGTAGGCGCCGAACAGATCTTTGTAGTGACAGACTAATCCTGAGCCCCGACAATTGAACCTCGATCGCCGCGCATGAGTATAGCCCCTGTGATTAGGAGCACATAATGCCGCCGCGCGTCATTTCAATACCGGCAGAGCTTTTGAAAACGTAAAAAGCAAACCGTAGAATCCGAGAGTCTCGTTGACTGCGTTTCTCCACTTTCGAGGCGCATTCTTCTCGTTTTGGCCGGCTTCTTCTCGTCTTGGCTGTTGACTCGATTCCTCGTCTACCGCTCATACAACATGATGTCGACTCTCGTGAGAGTTCGCAAAATGCAAAAAGTTAGTTTGCGTATGCTCTGAGTCCCATTGCCGCCGCCTGACAAGCCTTTCATGAAGGTTTTCGAATTGCCCCCTTCACAAGTAGCCACCTTCCTCAGTGAAGCCGAGCACCTACTCCACCAAACCGCCGCCAAAAGTCAGAGCATTTGCAACTTCACCATCTTTGAAACTGATGAAGATGGCCGTCAACTATCGAATGTACTTCTCCAGCCGTTAGGCCGGTCCATCCTCAAATGTCAGAGATATATGCCAGATACTTAAGAAGAAAGGTCGGTCGAGGCCTCTCCCTACTGGCGCCGAGTGACCTTTGGACTCAAAGGCCTTAATCCTGCCCTTGTACATCACACGGAACCCTGGTCAAAACTCGTGAGTGGACTAGTTCAACATTTAGTTTTCATCTCTTGCCATCGGATAGGGTCCAATTGCAAAGTTCGGATGCATGATTGAGCGTCTTGCCCAAATCAGAAAGCTTGGCGGTTCCCCTAGCTGGCGCCGAGTGGCTTTTGCATCCAAAGCGCACGTAACTGCTCGAATGTCCGATACAGAAATCTCGTCAAAATCGGTGAGTGAATTCGATTAACATAATCAATACATCTCCTGCCATCGGACAGGGTCGAACCGCAAACTTCGGATG